CCGGTGCCTGCGCTCCCACGCTGCCAGCTTGCCCTCAAGGACTCGGCGGTGCTCATGCCGCATTTGCTCGGAGAGCGATTGCTGCCCCTCAGCTGCGAGAGTCACACTGCCACCCAGCGCGTACAACTCCTCCAAGCAGCCTTGGTAGTGGTGCTCCCATGTAAGACGGGCCTGCGAGTAAGAATCCTGACATCAGTGATTCATGCATCTTTATGTATCTTCCAAAGGTGTGCATCCCATTTGCTCTTTACAAAAACTCCACCAGTATGCACATCCTGTCATGTCTTGTCCTGTCATGTCATAAGTCACATGTCAAATGTCCTATCATGTCATATGAACAAGCACCAGTACAGCCAACTGAAGGTGCAGAGTGGAGCAGCACCGGGATGGTGGGCGCGCTTGTTGATGCCCCCTCAGACGATGTCTGCCGCTGCTCCCGGGCAGACCCCTGCGTGCAAAACAAACAATCTGCTTGCATACTTTCTTCTGAGGCAGCTCTTTACTCTGAGTCCTCTGAGCACCTCCTTCTCACTAGCATACCCATTGATACTTATTCCATGCTAGAGAAGAGCCTTCAAAAAGGACCAACACACCTCTGCTTCGTCACTTGCGCCTGCACCAGCGCCGCCTTGGAGAGGATCCTGGCCTGCCGGTGATGGGACGCCTCCTGAGCCACCGCCACCCTGCACCTGATTCATCAGCCAATAAGCGAGCATGCAAAGCATTGCAGACTGCAGGATATATCAAGATGGCATCTCCCCAGAGAATCAGTAGAGACAGGTGCAGCAACTAGGAGGGGTGCATTTTACCTGCAACTCGGGGGCTTTGATTTGGGCAATCTCCTGCTTGAGGGCCCCCGTGGACTGCCGCAGTTGTGCCAGCAGTCGAGCAGCCCTCCTATGCCACTCAAGCAGCTGCTTGGGCAACCTGCGCTCCTTTTTTCGCTGCCAAGCCATCGCCTGCACATGGACCAACATTGTCACTTCTCGCACCTACAGGGTTACAAACTGCAACATCGAGCAAGGCTACAAGAGCTTGCATCATATGAAAGGAGAACTCACCAGGTCCGTCATGTAGTCCTCCCGCGTGGCAGTCGCCATGCGCTTCAAGATGTGTGCAAATTTCCTGTAATGTGCCCAAGCCTGTTCAATGTTGTCACCAAAGGAGTTTCCTGCCGCTAGCATGCGGCGGGCGCCATACTTTTCTTGGCATGCCGGAATGTGAGCCTTCACATGCCACGGCCCCACTGCCAGGCCAGGCATACCCTCCACGTTTCCTTGAACCATCCTGCCAGCACAACACATCACCATTCAAAGGGGACGCTGCTGTGCACTCCGACGAATCCACACACTCATAGCATGACTAGTACTAGACACTAGGAGTGAAATTGTTCCATGCAATAATTGTACAGGGCACATCTTGACGTAAACGCCAGGCATGATGGACGAAAGATTATACCTTCGCCAATATGGGTCAAACTGGCAAGCAATGTCAATGAAGAAGTACTTCAGATCCTTGCCCTCCTCAGGCTTGAACTCCTTCAGCAGACGCTGCAGGAGCAACTCGTAGTAAACAAAGCACTCCGGTGTGAACAGGTTTGCCGCCACGAGAACATACCCGTGGCGGCAAACTGCTGCTGCCACGCCCTACGCACAAGCACATGCGGGAGTGTCAGACCGGCTCCAAAGCACCAGCACATCTTCTTGTTACACGCTTTCCTGCCAAGCAAGGTACATCCTGCAGAGCTGCAATTTAAGGCTGCCATAACCCTACCCCTTGTTGAACTCGCCAGATCCAAGCAAGACCCAATCAACCGTGGGCATGGTATTCAGTATTTTTACCACCTGAAGCAAGGCACGCTAGGGTGCTGCCAAGTATTACCCTTGCCAGCCGGGGCCAGGAAAAAAAGAGAAAAAAATCATGGATATATGAGATGCATGCCAACATCAGTAAGCGCAACAAGATCCCAGAAAAATGCGAGGAGACTCACTTGCACATATAGGCGCAGCTGCGTGTCTGAGGCGGTTGGCGTGGCAGCAACGAACTGAGAGCAGACCGGCCGCTCCAGCGCCGCCGGGTCCAAGGCCTTCCGTTGAGCGAGCAAGGCCTTCACCTCTTCATCAGCAATGAAGGGGCTATAGGGCAGCTTCGGCTGCAGGAAATCAGAGGCTTTGCCCGCCGCCCTGAGCTGCGTGAGTCCCAGGCAGGCGTCAGCAATGGCTGCCACGCAAGTGCGAAAGCAGCAAGGACACTGCACAGTGGGGCCCCCGGAGGCACGACTGTCCAGAGATTCCTGGGTCGCCGGGCCCACCTCAGCTGCATCTCTGCCAGTTTGAGCCGCGAGGCTGCCTGCTTCCATTTCTGGTGGCGATGACGACGCTGCTGCTTCCCTCTGAGTGTTCTCCTGGGGCGGCGGCGGCTGGCCGAGCTGCAAGTCTGAGTCACCGCTGAGCCCTGCCTCCGAACAGATGGGCTGCACGCCAAGCCTGTTGAGGTCATGTGTGGCGATGTCCATTCTGCGCCACTGTCTGACCGCCACTGGGAGGTTCCTCCAGATATTTTTGGGCAGGCCACTCAGTTGCCCGTACGGCACACAGCCGTTCCTGACGTGCACCTCCTCCAGGGCGCTAGTCCAGGCGACCATTGAGGTTGGGCTGGCGAGGCTGAGCTCATGCGTCTGCAACATGAGCGCTCCAGAGTAGTAAACCAGCGGCCTCTGTGGCGTTGCAGGAAAGCATCCCATGCTCACAGGATCGACTGTGAAGGCGGCACTGCACCCGCCACACCTGAATGCTGGGGGGCTGACCTCTGTCCTGCCGCTGATCGAGACATACACAAGCCTGCTGATCGTCTCCACCTGCTCCCACACTGATCCCACCCTCCCAGCCTGACTGCATGGACTGCAAGCGGGCAGGGCTGCTCTGGCAGCTGTCAAAAACTCTGCCTGCAGCTGCTGCTTCAGTGCTGCTTGGCGTGCAGGCTGACCAGCTTGGAAACATGTGTTCCTGAATACATTGTCATCAAAGCACGCATCCCATGCTTGGTGCAGCCGTCTATTATCCTCTTGAGCTGCCTGTTTCCGCAGACGCCGGCGTGAGGGCGGAGGCTGATAATAGGCAGCAGCGGCTTCTCCATCTCCATCTGCAAAGCCATCCTGCTGTTCTTCCTGCTGAGCTGTGTTTCTTGCAGGGATCCGCCAGGATGGAAGGGCGCTGGCCGGCCTCCGGGGTCCCCTCGGTGCAGATGTTGCCACAGTGCTGCCTAGGTTCCTCCCAAATCTGCGGCCTGGCTGCAGCAGAGCAGGAGTGTCGGCTGATGGTATCACCTTGACACTGACCCTCCACCTCTTGTTCCTGACCATTCGTCCTGCATGAAGTCATCACACAACGGTTTCTGCAAGTGATCCACCAGGACATTAAAGGAATGAGAAGTACATCAGCAGCATGCCTTCTAGTACAAGTGATACAACTATCCTTACAAGCACCTGGGCTACTTGCTACTCTTTGGGGTGCACAGTCCTCTCCAGATGCTCCTCATCAGATTGGCATTCCAAGCAAAGCCAGGTCAGGGCAGACACCCACGGCTACTCACAGCAGCAGAGGGATCGTAACGCTCACCAGAACAATTGAACTTGATGTTGGTTTAGATTGTAGACGACTTCAGTGTCTGTCCGGTGCATCAGTGCTCAATTCAGGTGAACGCTCTGTGTTGCCTGCACGCATTTCATTTCAAGGAATTGGCTTGGCAGGGCATGCAGTCACTACGAAAGAAGTAGACATGCACGTCGATGGTCGTGACATTCGATTAGCTGAGTCCAAACAAGTCAAGGATGGGGATGCCAAAAAACCGGCAAAAGTGCGAACCTCACATGGCCAGCGACAGAAGACTTCAAGAATTCGTTTAAATTACTCCCATAAACATTTGCGGCCGTCCCACCCCCCTTTCAAATCCTACTTTGCAACGGTAACCTGGCAAATGGCATTGCTGTCTTCGCAGAAACGAGTAGCGCACGATCCTATAGATACAGGCTTGACCGAAATAATTAGCTTGACGGAGGTACTATGCAATGCTGAGATTGTTGTAGGTAAATCTGAAGGATGTGCAGCATTGCTTTTGTTATTGCACGCCCCGAAGGGGCGTGCTCAGAAAGAGAGCCAAATCCACTAATGTAGTGGAGTGCATGTCCACCAAAGTAGTGGATTTTGCCCGACAGAGTAGGATGCATCAAAACCCTTTTGTAACCTCGGGCTTGCAAACCGAGCAGCGGTTTCTATTCTTTCCAGTCTCTAGGAGGCTGTCGAAGGAGCCCAATGAACGATGAGTGAGCATGAGCAGGAAAAGACGCTCGGAGCTTCGCCTTCGAAGCTCCGTGTCGATGCTCCTTCCTTTAGCCCAGGACACCACCTCGTAGGGCTTCTTCCTTAAGGAGCTTCACCATATTCTTGGATTTAAATCGTCAAATGTATGAGTGATGCAAAGAATGAATCCAGAATCGATGCCCCTGCCGGTTTTGCACCTTGTGTCTTCATTCAGCTCTGTTTGACCCGGGCGTTGGCACAGTTGCTGGTCCGGGATTCCGCCGCTCAAGAGCTACAAGCGTTGTGTGGGTGTGCAGATCGGAAAAAAATCGATACCGCCCGTGCAAACCAATTTTCCGAAGTTGTACCAAAAGCTTGATGCCGGTGCGTCCATGACACCATTGAGACTTCCAAAACGTCGATAGTTTGCAAGATGGGCTCACCAGAGTGGTCAGGAAAAATGTCATTAGAGGCAGGAAATGTCACTTGGCGCATCTTGAAAGGGAACCGAGCGTTAATAAATCGGTTTGGACAATAGATCGTCCCACCAGAGCTCCTAGTCTATTCCCAGAGGACCTCTGTCCTACCCATCTAGCTGTATGAAATCTGCCTTCAATCCAGCACACCCTTGAGGCTGCGTATTCCACCCTTGTCCTTTGTGTCATCCAAACGTCGCTCTTTCAACTAAGCCATTGAATTGCAATGGATGCAGTGCCTTTCACTCCGAGCCAGGGAGTGCTCTCACCCACACCCAGCAACATGGCTGCCCTGTGGTACCAGCATCAGCATGCCTACATGACCGACTCCCCTAATTACCACCGCTACCCAGGCACACCGGTCTACACTGTGCCAGTAGGATCAGCTGCATGGCCCTCGGTGAGCATCCTCATATCTGCCAATGCTGCCCCTCTGCAAACTAGCATGCAACCCGCGCTTGGGAAAGCCATGCAATGAGCACAGGGTCACAACCCAGCACTTGTGAGCACCTGAACCGGCTCTGCTGTTTTGCGCACGACCAAGGGGGTTCCATTCAAGAACCTCCCTGGCACAATTGGCCGCATGCCTGATGACGAGCCGGCAACTTCATTTCATGCTCTGTCTTGCTGCGCGCAGAGGCAGGTGATACAGAGGTCTGTGAGCCTTGGAGGAGGGCCGCCGTGGCCGCCAGCAATGCACTCTGCGCCGGCCTCGCCCGTCTATGCCTTCGCGCACGGCCATATGGGCGGCACATGGCAGCTGCAGCCAGTTCCCTGGCATCACTCACCCCACCCGATGACTCGCCCCGTTGGGGGCTATGTGCCCCTGTCGCCCTCCCCCTGCCAGCAGATGCCTTCTCAGGCTGGCCTGGCGATGTTCCCGCCAGCTTTCCAGCCGCCGCCGCCCCCTGTGCATGTGCCGGTGATGGTCCGGCCTGCCACCTCACCTGCGCCCCTGGGCGCCAGCCAGCACTCGCCCCAGCAGTCGGACGCAGACTCCCAATGGGACACCCTGCTGTCCTGGCAGGTGACTCCCTCTCTAGTAGAATACATCCAATCGGTCTGAGAGGCCCCGTACGACTGTTCACTGCTTGAGCGCCCCCGTCTGCAGTACATACAGAGTAAGAATGCTTCCCTGTTTCACTGCCCTAGTGTGTTCAGTGCTACTGGCAGGATGATTTCGCTGGTGTTGCCAAATTCATTTCGGAGTGTCTAAATTTTATGCTGGGCGCTGACTCTGAGAATCAAAGTCACGCAATAAATAAGCCCAAAATTTGGCCGGGCCTCATGTAATGTGTGTCGCTGTCTGTGTATGTGGTCCACCTGTCAGCTGGAGGGGTTGAAATTTGATGGTGGCAAAGAGTGCTGCAATCTATATCGGGGTGTCATGACGGCAGGGTGGTGGGTTGCAGGGTCCCCACTCTCCGGCATCAAGGGAGGCAGCCGGCAACAGCCGCATCATGAACCTGGAATTTGTGTCGGCTCTACACCACAACCACAGGGCCGTGGGGAGCGCCATGCAGCAGCTCGAACAGAGCGGCCCAGAGCCACTGCAGACAGCGGTGACCTCTCAAACCACTTGACTGCATTGAATTTTTAAAAGACATGATCCCAGTCATACCTGGTGTCTCTGACCAATATAACACCTTCACAGATAACAGCGCTAAAAACAGGTTGTCTTGTGCATCAATCAACAAAATTGTCAGACCTGATGCATGACTACGTTCATCCACGGGCTCAAATGGTGTACCATACCGTTTCCTGCATGGGAAGCATATGCGCAGACCAGTAAATTTGTGTGTCTTTCCAGGTGACAGAGCTGCGGCACCTGATGGAGTTTCACGGTGTTTTGCCATTGCGAGGGGGCAGCAAGGGGGATACCGATGATGCGAGTAGTGCCTCTATGTCGCCGGAATCAACTTCTGTAGCAACCAAGGTGATCAATGAGGCTTCGCCTTGAGCTTGTAAAGCTTTACTATATGCATGTGCAATCCCTTCTCTTCGCATGCAAATCAGCTTCGCTTTGAGGTCTGGGGGAGTTTATCTTGACACAAGACATGCGGCATGATTCAGGTCAATAGCCCAGGAGGGAAGTCATCCAGGGAGACCAGAAGGGGCCAGCCCATAGCAGGCATAATGCAGAGGAGCAGAGGACATGTGCCAATGCTGAACGCCAGGTGGGGCCTCCTACTCTTCCTGAAATGGGCAATAGCAAACATGCTCACAGCAAATGTCCAGGCCACAACCTGTCAGAGGCAATGAACTAACCACTGCACTCAATTGCAGGGCGAGGAGGACATTAAAGAGGGCATTGAAGAGGGCGGTGGATGAGCTCTCTGCAGCAGGAATCCCTGTGAGTGATGCTCTGAAGCCCCTGCCACACAGCGGAGGAGAAGTATCAGTGAGGCCCTTCCTGGTCCCATGCCTTGCAGCCTCAAAACCTTGTGCTCATGTTCCCATTACCATAGTGTCAATCCAGGGCAAACTGTTTTGTTGCTTTGCATGTAGTATAAATTGTACGGTTGACAGGAACTGCAATCCGTGGACATTATCGGTGGTGCACACTACGCAGGATGTGTCTTCACCCACCACAATTGCAGCAAGGAGGGAGGCCAGCAGGGATTGTGAGAGCTCAGGGAGCAGCTCCCCAATAACTAAGGTTGCTGTCTTCTCCCACACTGAAAGCTCTGAAGATAGCACGGCCCAGTCCATCACAACAACTGCTGCCCAGCCTCCAAAAGCCTCCCACCTCAGCAGCAGTTTGGCAGGCAGTGAGCTGAGCATTGGAGGCCCTGATAAGGCAGCAGAGGTGAGCTCATCAGCCAAGGAAGTGCTTGGCCAGCCGGTGCAGTATAGCATTGATGTGAATGCATCAGTGGTTGAGCCCATCAGTGTGCATTGTGAGCGAGAGACTTCAAACAGTCAGGACAAGTGATTGCATTTTGTCTGGGCAGCTTCCTAGGCCCTGCATTGCTTAGGCAAGGACGATACAAATGCATGCATGCACAAGGTGTGGCTAATGCTTTGATTTTCAAAATGATAGCAGCGTGCTAAAGCACTAGCTAGCGCAGAATAGAAGAAGCTTATGTGAGGTCAAGCACCCTTTACTTGTGGGGTGGCCTCTGAACTTGTACCATGTACATGGGACGTATTTACACTTTAGCATGCTGTGCAGCAGCTCTTGCAGTGATGTATTCTATAGCTATATATGAGATCACTGTTGTATACATTGCATGTAAATGAGTGAGTCTTCAATTAAATCCAACACTGGAATGCAGCCCCAAGTATCATTGCAAATACACCAAGCGATGATCACGGAGCTCCTAATCTGAACCTCTTGATCGTACAAACCTTGTACCTAGGACTATACCTACGTTGGATCAAAACACTTGAGCGGTTGATATAACATACAGGGATATCTGCGATTCCAAGAGGAATGCTGAGATCCATTATCTGGTAAAAACTAGGCAGTCTTAATGAATAGCAACGAATTAAATCTCTGTCAAGTCATTTAACTTGAAGCAATTGGCCAGGTTCGGCGTCAGTAGCGCGCTCCACGGATCTGTCTGCCCCTTGCCTGCCGCCAACGCGCGCATAGCTGGACTCTGATGGCTTCACAGGCAGCTTCCCATGCCGGTACAGCTCCAGAAGCACGCTGTTTAGCCACTCTGTGGAGGCATTGTCCGCCCAGGGAGCACCTGAATAGCAAATAACACCATGGCCTTTCATCTTCTGACAGCCTCGCCAGTTGCATCAGACATTGCATGGGACAGGATGGGATGCATCAAATTGTAGGAAGACACTGCAAGCTTGCAGCACACCGCGCAGGCCCCAGTGTGGCAGGACATAGAAGAGACAAGGGTGCACAATAAATTGAGCAGTCCAGTCACACGTCAGTACAGCTAGGCAGCAGTCTCCTTTGAGGGAAAAAGCAATGGAAAGGTCACTCACTGAGCGGCCCTTCAGGCCCTGCTGCCCAGCCGAGGTGGCCGCCACCAGGAGTGACTACAAGGGCGCAGTTTGGGTTGTCTGCCAGTGCCTCGTAGGGGATGGCGCCCTTCACTGCGATGGGGTCATCCTCTGCCTGCATTCATGCCAAGTCCCCCTCTTCGAAGAAAGTCATTATTATTACATTTTAGAGACATGTGGGAGTCAACTGAAGCTCATTGGTCTTGTCATTGACTCATTGATGCAAAAGCAAGGCAAGTCAAGACAGGCTCCATGCACCAGCCTTGGAAGGTGTGTTGCACAGCCCTCTGACAGAGCAAGATACTGCGGTGAAGTGCGCTTCATTATATGCGTGTTGAGGGGCATTGCCGCACCTGAATGCACAGCAAGGGTATGGCGACGTTTGGTACAGAGAGGGATGATGACGAGCCTGCAAGCACACCAGCCTCTCGCTCACCCGTTTCAGCATGTGCCATGCAAGGCGCTTTCCACGTCAGCGCCGTGCAGCCCATCAGCTACGTGACTGAGGAAGTGGATTGGCTGCTTCACCCCAGCGACATGAACACAGGCCATCATATGCACGCTACACAAGGTACAGTGTGCAATGGGCAGACCCTCACACAATGTCTGGGTGCAGACCACAAACCCTCACCTGCATAGTAGGCATCAACACTGGGCCACCCAAATGAGACTCTGGTGATGGCGTCATCAAAGTCACGAATCGTCTTGCAGTTGGCCGCCAGGTCCAGCTGGTAATCTCCACCAATCCCCTCAAAGAGATGCTCGTGCCGCTTGTATATGTTGCACAGCGAGGCCGCCAGGTTCCTGTCATATATGCGATTGAAGCCCACATGGAAGTTGTCATCGCACATCACCTGCAATGGTGCCCCACAGCCATTAATTCTGTCCAGCAGCTGCAGCCCTCATGTATGTGGTCACTTAGCTGCGTGTCATGAGATATGCACCTTGGGATCAAACTGTGAGCTTTTGAGCTCACAATATGGTGTCTTGGTGTCCATTAGAAGCCAGGGGGTTGCTTACCAGATTGAAGGGGTTGCACATGGAGATGGCAGCCGAGATGGGAGTCTTTGGACCCTCCTCTCCAAGATACCGCACCAGGATGTTTGCTGCACACAGAAGTATCGCTCAAAGTGTCACCATGACGCGCAATATCAAAGCGAATCTGGGGTGGGACTGCAAGAAGGTTAATGTGCCATGAAATTCTCGAATGTGTGTGCTCACCTCCAAGTGACCAGCCCGCTGCCAGAAGAGCAGAGTCAGGAAACAAGCTCTGCACCTCCTTGACCACAGCCCTGCCAGAACCACATAAACAGTTAGCACTGTCAAGGCTCCATCATACAGCTGTGCCTCTGCTCAACTACAAGGACAGGATTGGGAACACAACAGACAATGATCTGTCTCTCCAGTGAAGGGTGCATCACACACCGCATGTCTCCGGTGAACGAGGCGGAATAGAATTGGGGCGTCGTCACTGGGCCATCACTCGTGCCACGGCTGTTAAATACAATCGCTCGCAGCCCCTTTCTGCGGCATGCCCGCACCATGTACTTCACATACGAATCGTGCGAGCCCCCAGTCAAGCCTGCACGGACCACACAACACCACTAAGCTCTAATTAAGGCTGGCCGGTCATCATTGTCATGTTGTCTAACAATAGTTCTTGTCAACAGGAGACCAAACCTGGAAGCAGGATGACCACAGGTGCATCCTGGGGGAGGTCCTGCACGTGCTCAAAGTCTTCAAAGTCTAGGGCAACACTGCCGCCATCTGGTAGCCTCAGGATTCTGCGAGCATAGGGATCCAGGGCGGGGCTCCGCCTCAGCCTTGAGGCCAGGATTGTTTCTATGTGCCTGCAAGCACCAGTTTGTTTGATGTGGCTGCCAACAAAGGTCGATCTGGAAGTCCAAGGCCTGAGACAAGGAGGCATCGAGATGTCGAGCGCATACCCGTTCAGGCTGATGAAGGGAAAGAAATCATATATGGAATTGATGGTTGGACATCGGGACAGCACAGCTCTGTTAAAGGCTGTTTGCTGCATGAACAGCTCAGGCAGCTTGCTCCTCCTCTTAGCGCTGATTGTGGCTGCCGTCAGGGCTGTCACAATAAGACCAGTGCCCAACAAGACAGGATTGCTCAGCAATGTCATCGCAGCACTGCAGGAAACAGGCCTTTGCTGCCGATGCCGTCGTATATTACTTGGACTAGGAAAATTTAAGCGGCCAGTGAAGGATCGATGATAAGAACCTATACAAATATCGACTTTGCGCATGCTACGAGTCGAATCGGCTACGCGATAAAGACAAAGTGAGAAGACATGCGTGTAATAAGCTTGCGATTCTCAAGATATGGCTACACTAGTCTATGCTGATCACTTATGTCTTTCCAGAAATAAGCAAAATGCAATGACGCCCTGGTCCTACGCAAGAATTCTTGAGCTTCTTCCAAGGAGCGTGAGAACGAATGTGAGCTCTACGTTCTGATGCTGACTCACTGTCGTGTCTCCGAGGCGTTCCTAATTCACGAGGGCGAAATCGTGAGTGGATCGCGTCCTGAACACTTCAACAGGCTTCACCTTGCTTCTCCAAAAGCTATATCGCTCGCAAACTTGCCACACAGTACCTCTGCTTTTGAATGGTGGGGACCCCACACGACGCCAGCGTTCACAGTAGCATCCTGGAGGGCGGCTTCGAGGCTTTCGGCCAGGCTCTAGAGTTCGTCGATGGTTGCAATGGCGGTGCTGGCGGACCGCTACGGGTTTGTGCTTGCGGGGCTGAGCGCCGAGGAGACCAGGACACGAGGGGTGCGTCCTTTTTCCCGCTGCCAAAAGTCCTAGGCCCACCCCACAGCCCCACTGCTTTGGGCCGTTGCTCTCGGGTCAGCCAGGCAATTCTGATGCCTTCAGCAAGCCAATACCTTTTCTCGCCTTGCCTGAAGCGCCGGGAGACGTTGTGCGCCCACAGACGATGGCAGAATTTCAGGCAGTCAAACACGTTTGGTGTGCAGCAGACTATGTGCCTGTCGTTCAGTGACCTTCTGTAGGGCTAAACATCGAGTGCCTTAAGCGCCCTGAGTGGTCAAGCAATCAACAATAGAGAGAACACTGGCATTCAGGCAGCTTCCTGGTCAGCAGCAAATGTACACCTGTCCATAAGGCGTGACTCTGCACCTGCTGAGATGCCACTGTGCAACATGCAGGCGTCTGCCGCACGGGAGACGACTATGGCTAATAGGTGGGCCAAGGCTGACACAAGCTCCTACGACCCAGCCCAGCCCCTGAGCAGCCCATCCAAGGCGCTCAAGGCGCTGGTGCGGGCAGGTATCCCGGTAGAGCTGCGCCCAGACCTGTGGCTGCGCTTCTCCGGGGGTGCCGCCAGAAAGGCGGTTGCGCCTCCTCGCCACTACGCCGCCCTGCTGCGCCGCGCGACCGCGGCGGCCCACTCAGGGGCTGTGGATGCCGCCGAGCTTGGCGCTGAGCTGACTCGGGCCTTCGGCACACACCCGGTGGTGTCCTCCGCCAAGGGCATGCGCGCAGTGCTGCGCCTGCTGGAAGTGAGTCACCCCCCCATCCTCCTCCCTACCGGCGGCTAGAATTCCATCTGCTCTGGTCCAAATATAGCTCCTGGGAACGTGCTTGTTGGCAGGCTTTTCTTTCGAACGATGTGTATCCCAGTACCTAGAGAAGTGATTGGCAAGAAGGCGGCTCTTATGCTATCATCAAGGTGTGATCGAGTGCATGTCTGTGCAGGCGTTCCAGCTGCAGTGCCCGACTGCCGGGGGCTTGGGCCGCGGCATGGCGTGCGTCGCGGCCTTCACGCTGATCGTGGTGGGCCCTGAGCGCGAGGAGGACGCCTTCTGGACCCTGGTCGGCCTGGTGGAGGATCGCCTGCCCCACTCCTGCGTCCTGCAGGTGCTCCCCCTTTGGCATGCACTGCAACCGTTAAAGGGAGAATGGTCCTCTCTATTGCTCTGCATTCCTTGACGTATGTTCAAGCAAGCTGTGACAAAGATCACTCTCTGTCTCTGATGCCTTGCAGCCAGCTGTGCAATTTGCGTTGCCTGCCGAGAATTGCAAGTGCTTATACCCGCTCCTTTCTACTCAGCCGTTGGGCGGTCTGGCTGACTGTGGGAGTGGATATGTATGCAGAACATCAAGGGCCCGGGAGTGGAGCAGCGAGTGCTGGATGCGCTGCTGACCAAGCGCTGTCCCAAGGCGATGGCGCAGCTGGCGCGCACAGAGACCCCCCTGGAGGAAGTGACCGCGCCCTGGTTCCACTCGCTCTTCTGCACCTCGCTGCCTGCCGAGACGGCTGCGCGCATCTGGGACGTGCTCCTGCTCGAGGGGCCCAAGATCCTCTTCCGCGTTGGCCTCGCCCTCTTCAAGGTGCATAGCTCATCATCTTCTGTACCTTCTTCTTGCATCTTATGAAGCAAGAGCCGCTCTCATTTCAGTGCTCTTGCAGTCTGCCTACTGATCAATGGCTTCCCAGCAGTACGGATGTCTTCTGCGATGGGTTGCTGATCCGGACTTGTGTGTGCGCAGATGAACGAGCCGGCGCTGCTGAGCACCAAGCTGAGCGGCCAGGTCGGCCGCTGCCTCAAGTGGCGCATTGCCCGCTGCTACGACGCCGACGCCCTGCTCAAGGCAGGATCCCTCCCTCACCTTGAATCATCCTTTTTGTCCTGCATCGCTGCTGTGACAACCTTTGAAATGCTTTGCCCGGCAAAACACTGGCCGCGCGCGTTGAATGAATGGCTTGCCAATGCTTTATTAAGACTGGTTGCTGAACGTCAAGTATCGCGTGTGCGGCAGGTGGCCTTCAGCGGTATCGGCAGCCTGCCCATGGCGGTGATCAAGCGCGCGCGCGCCGATTACGAGGGTATCGTGCAGGAGCAGCTCGACGAGCACCGCCGCCGCCTGCAGGCCGTCCTCTCCTCGCCACGACGCCCGGCCGACGGCGGCAGCCCGGCCTCCAGCGATGCCGGCAGCTCCCCGTCGCACCTGAGCACCATCCACGAGGAGGCCGAGGAATCTCTGGAGCCCTTCTCTGCGACCTCCTTCCTGCGCGTGCTGCGCCCCCTGCAGGCCATCATTGGATGAGGGAGAGAATTTTCCCCTCTGCCGTGGCTGTGTTCGGTGTCAAGAAGATTTTTTGCAACAGCATAGGAATAGGTGTATTATTGGTGCCAATGCCCCGCACTGCCTGAAAGCTGGAATAGCGTGTGGCAGGTTGGGCATGTGTTGTAGACTTTGGGACACCACAGCAATTTTATAGTAGGTTGCCGTGAATACTAGTGTTCTTGCTGTCAATAGGCATTTTTTAAAATTGAAAAGTGCTACCTTTCCCAAATTTGCTGCCATGGAGGACTGCAATCTACCAACAATTTGCGTATTGTATGTTTCGTCACTTGAATTATTTTTCACCGCATACCATTTCTTGGGCCGGAGGGAATTAAGGGCATCCTTGTAATAAGGCGCGCAATTTTAATTCAACCCCTCCATTGCATGCATATGTCTCTGTACTGAACTTAATTCAAGAGCCCGTCCACTACATCGTGGGGGGACATCAAGGCAGTGCCTCCTACCAGCACCTTCACTGATGCCCTGCCTGGCTGGCCAGTCACCTTCTCCGCAACAACATGTCTCACTTCCCTCAAGTCTGCCACAGAGATACCACCAACCACAAATATGATCACAGTGCTGTGATCCCCAGGCTGTGGCTGCTTCTGCACCAGCCCAAAACGCCCCAGCCCACTCTTCAGCAGTCCCCTGCATGCACATGCGCATGTCACAGATCATCCATGTTCCCTGGTGCCAAATCTTGCTTAAGCCGCTCAAGCTTCAAGCATATTTGGGCAGCCAAGAATGAGACATGATTGGCTTTGCACGTGCATGCCAGTCCCTGACAGCACTCACCCGAGCGATGCACTGTTGTGCTGCATATCTGGGATTGGCCGCTGATCAAGTATGCGGCTGGTGAGCTGGCTGAGCAGTGGCGTGACACCCTTGCTGCCCGCCCCATGCTCCAGATACCTGCTCAGAACAGACCTTCCTGAGCATTGCGCCCATCCAGCATGACCACAACAGTAAATCTCCTATTTGACCATATAGCCAGAAAAGGCATAATACCCACCTTTGCATGTCTTTGAGGCGGCTCCTCGCGGCAGCTGTTTTCTGCAGCTTCATCAAGAGGTCCATGACCTGCAGTATGCTAACAAGACTTGAGTGATAAATTTAAGCTGCTGGGTCTTATATTCATTCATCAGTCTGTAAGCCAAGCTGTCTGTTTGTCTCATACATCTGGACGAGCTTACCTTGTCCGTCAGCTCCAGGCGAAGTGCCTGTGCCTCATATCTGGCCTCCTCATCAGCCTCGCTGTCCCCTGCTTCCACCTGCCTGATGCTCAAGCAGAGGTCGCCTGGCAGCCCCAGATGCTGAGGCTTTAAATTCCCCTGCACCATTCGCAAAGTGCCGTGAGACTGGGAGAATGAGTTTGCGGGCTGTAGATTTGTGTAATGTGGAGCCCTTCTTCGCCCTTCTGGGGGTGGCCTGCTGTCTTGCGCCCAAGACTAAGTGGTGAAGCAAGCAAGCAAGCCACACAGCAGTTTACCACATGCTGCCACCTGACACAAGAGATATGGCATTGTTATCTCGCTAGTGGTGCATGCATCTCACCTCCAAAAGAGCGTCCACAAAGGCCTGGCACATCTTGGATCTTAGGCGCTCAGAGCTGCCTGCCCGCTGCGCACCGCCATTGCTGGCGAGTGCCAGAGCAACCACACACAGCCCCAGTGCGTCCGTCGCTGAGATGCCTGCGTCTGAGCTCTCGCCAGCTGCCTCTGAGATAGCCACACACAGCTTCTCCGCAACTTCCTCATCCATACCTGAAAGCAATTCAATTCCATCAACATACGCCTACAACATACAAACCAGTGCCATGTGCTTGCGGGGCCCTTGTTCCTGTGCAAGTGGCACATGAAGGATTGCATGGGAGGAGTATGGGATGATGAGTAAACGCACAATTTGCGCTCAGGTGGATGAGTTCCTGCTCAAGCTCTGCAAGGCGCGCCCATCTGTCTGCTCGGGGGCCGCTGAGGGCGGCGGCTGCCGCGCAGCCGAGCTGCATGATGCCCAGGTGGCCGAAGCACACCTTTGGCGGCGCTGCTGCCAGCAGCTCAGATAGCGCCCTGAACTCCTCTGCAGGTACGGACCCTGCCACATTGCAGAAAACTTATTTGCCCTCTGCACACCTCAGCATGCAGGGGGCTCTGAACACCTGAATTATGGTTGGATGCACTAATCGTGAATGGACAGATCCCTGTGAATGGGTTTTATCCTGGATGGCTTACGTGCAGGCATCCCCCTCTCAAGGGCCTCTCAATAGAGTTAATTTAGTCTCTGAGCCAATCAGGGGATGCACCTGCTTTGAAGCGCATCATGGTCTGGATGCCGGCCTTGCGAAGAGCCTCGCGCAGCCACTTGCGCAGGAACAGCGCAGCGTCCTTGCCCTGCCGCGTCACCAGGAATTCCCGCCACTGGCCCATCTGCGCGTCTGACGGCGCATACAGCGACCCCTGCAGCGCCACTCCCGAAGTGCTGACTGCAAGCATGCACCTTTACTTCAACTGAGCTGCAGCGCAAAACTATCCTCTCCACGTTTTTGTTATTGTTTAGATATATGGACAAAGTTCAGCAAATTGCCCTGCGACACTGCTACATGTGACACCTTGGCACCTTAGAAGCTGCCTTTGCACAGCAGGGATCAGTATAATCCACAAGCAAAGAAGCAAAAGGTTGAGCTGTGCACCTGCACCGGTCGAGGTCTGCCTGTGAGGCTCTTGCGCCTCTGCATTGCCACTGATTGAGCGTGGCTCGCCATGAGTTGACGGCGCCTCCCTCTCGCCCAGTTGCTTCCCACCTCCAATGAAGTGTGGAAGTGGCACAACCACATCAGACGACCTGTACATGTATCATTGCATGTGAGCTCAGCAAGGCTAGAACTGTGTGAAATAGCTATACATCCTTGTTGACACCCTTTATCTGCCATGTGAGATGATAGAATCACCTCACGGCGGGGTTGCCAGCCGCCAATCGCCGCTGCAGTGTGCCATAGATCTGATCAAGCACATGGTCTGTATGGCTCAGCGGGGTGACCAAGTCTAGGCAGCGATCCACAAGCACAAGCGCTGCCGTCTCGCTCGCCGCTGCAGAGCCGGCCATGGCGCAGATCTCATCACCTGCAGAAACTAGCACTGTAAGGATGTAGCACTTCCATGCTATCGCGCTGTCAAGTTTACATTGAAGTGTCTACCACAGCGCACTATCATCATTCAGTAACATTTACTCTGTTATTGCAGAGGTCTACTGCCTCAAAAATCCTGAGGCATGGGATCTGAGCTTAATACCAAACTTTACACTCACAGGAAGTGTATGAGTGATGTTCTGTGCCAAGTACCTATGAGGTTGGACACAGGGCCCAATGAGAATGTATCCAAGCGCACGCCCAGCTCAGAGGCGAAGCCCAGAAGGGAGTGAGCCACCAGCTTCAACCCAGTCGCCTCCGGTGCATCCAGCCCATCGTCACCTGCGCCACAGACGACCCCTACATTGAAGGCTTCGTCTAGGCACTTCCCCGATTGTTTATCTGCCTCCCGCAACTGCGTTATTGGTCCAGATCACTATATATTGAAGAAAGGGACCCTGCGGGATTTGATTGAAACCCGGTGGTACCCTGTATCCAGTGGGGAATTGCCAGATTGTGAACACAGAAGCCCCCTACAAAAGGCATGCAAAGTCTCCGCTTTGGCGCAGATGGAATTTCCTGGCCATGTAGATATGAATGATTGCTATGAACGCTAGCACCCACCAGGAAGTGCATCTGGCGGTGCTAACCCGGCAGGATGGGCCCCAATTCTAGCAGATACTGCTGCTGAGCTGGCAGCGGGCAGCACAAAGCTGCCAGAGTCCAGGCCGCATGTGTGCAGAGGGAAGTACTCGACGCTGGTATTGAGAGAGGCTGGGAAGCTTGTGTTGTCCCCCTTTGTGCCCGTCCTCCTGCTGATGTCTGCCAAGTCCTGCAATTGGCATAGTCATGAGTGCATAATCCTGATTTTGTCGCGCGACGATTGAAAAGTTGGTGCGCTATCGGAACTCTGTTCTTCCAAGGATGACTGCCCTACCTCTTTCAATGCTGAGAGATATGTAGTGTAAGCATGCTCTCCCAGCATGGTTCCCGGTTGTCCTGCATGGGCTGCCTCAGAAGAGGAGCACAGCACCGTGATAGCACTGGCTTGCTCATGGGCCTGGAAAGTACAACATAGCTCAGACGATGTCAAGCGCTTGCATATAGGCCACGAAGAGTGAAAGCAGGAGCGGTTGTGCCGCACGGGATAATTTGCTGACCTGATGCAGTCTGATCAGTGCCCCATGGATTGCTGTCAAGAGCTGGGTGGTGATGGCCACGATAGGATAATTCTCGGCTCCCGAGAGCATTTGATGTGCTTCGGCATCCCTGTGGATGTGATCAAATCCAACCTTAGAGCGCTGCCAGGTTGTGATTAATGCCGGTCTCTTCAGGCTTACTGTGGCTCTGTATAGAAGTGTTCACCTTCTAGATGCAGTTTCCAGGGAACAGACATGGACGACACCGATGCTCAAAAGATATTCAAGACCGATTTCAGCTGCGACTGCCTCTCCTGCTCCACCGTCGAGGTACAAAAGACATCCATCAAGCAAATGCGACACCTTGGCTAAGCTCGATCGAGCAATTTGTCCCAGATCTGGCTTACTGGCATCCAAAGCCATGTTTTGCGAGTGATTAGACGAGGATATCTATGTGCTTTTTGCACATTCATATAAAACGATTGGGGCATCAAAGGTGTAATCGACAGGTTCATTTTGACATTGTGCACAAAGGGGAGCAACGGCTTGCTCTGCTGTCCCATCAATTCAGGTGCAACAGTTGCAATCACTCGTATGCTCTCGTGGACAGTGGGCACCAAGGTGCATGCATGCCATGATGGATTCCGGCACGTGGATATATTCACCTGGGGGGTGGGAGGCGTTCCCTGCGCACACGTCGAACTTCACTCCGGAACATTACGGTGGAATGCACAAGACATGTCGAGAACAAGTACAATAGCATTGATGTGGAACTAACGAATCATGGACGCTGTCGAAAATTGCTGCAGCAGGGCAGAGCCCAATAAGTCCTGGAGCACGTTGTTCCCAAAGTTGTAGCCTTGATGAGTGTGGGTTCCCCTATTGCACAGTAAATTGAAAATATAGACATCTTTTGCATGTGTCGTGCATCACATGTGCCGAACCCAAGCTTGTAGGTCAATTGAGCAGGAAGCATGAAGCACATGTCGTTCTAGCATTAATGGAAACTGCCTCTGAAGCGTTTTCAAGAGGGTGTCCAATGGCATAGTATGGAGGAGGAAACCCCTTTCATGCCAAAATTTATCTCAAATCGTTGCCGAAGCAATCAAATTTGATCTGACTTGTTCCGGAATTTCTGACTAGGAAATTGCTTGAACAGGCCGCTGTGGATGTGTTGGGTCTCCTGCCCGGTCCTGCCCTAAAATCAAACGGCGGAGCTTGTGATATATTGCAAGGAGAAGCTTTCGCATATGGGGTCTCGGGATCAGTGGCGGTTGTGGATGTACGAGCCGTTCAAACAGAACTCTATTGATATTGCTGTTTGTCACCCTGGCATGTTTGCAGTGGCTATGGCATGAGAAGGAGAACGGGATGAAGGTTACTCTCGTGACCATCGAATGTCTGTCAAGGGGTTTATTGAGCACTACTGGACAAAGTTGTTGGGTTGTTAACGTTCTGTATGGCCTGCAGATTCGAAGGATGCAGCTGGCGTGTGTGCTGCAAGGTCCCCACAGGAGTTCAGTGGTCACCGCAGTGAGCTGGTAAGTTCCTGCAGGTTCCTGGAATTGCTGACGCTTCAGTAGTGGCTCAAGAAGCTCATACCCATGACCAACTGTCCTGTCTGTCTCTGCAGGTGCCCTGAATGCCACTCCAGGGACATGAAGGAGGGAGCGGGCCTCAGGTGACTCTTACCTTCTTTCCACTTCGTCTGACTGCCCTCTTTGGACAATTCTTATTCCCTGCGTACTGCCTCTGAAAGCATCAGGTGGCGCAAAGCAGTGGGTGCATGACACTGCAACCTTTGGGATAGGGCCTGACCTTCAAGCTACAGATAGTGAAGCTGAGAAGCCCTAAGCACTAAGGAACACGCGAGTTGGTACAGCGTATTCTGGTGTGCCCCCATCTGGCGGGGCCGGTACATCTACTGAGCACTGTGCCCATGATTAATTGGGTCTTGCTTGGATCTGGCGAGTCCAACAAGGGGCAGCTTGTCTGCATACGTACCTTGCCTCTGGCCAGAAAATCATATGATAATAATCCACACCTTGCGTCTGGCAAGAACACGTATAAAAATGAGATAATAGTCTGGGTGTGCTGTGACAGGTTGGCGTCCGGGGACAGCGAGGGGCGGGTGGTGGTGTGGGACATAGCCACGGCGACGCCGGTGATAGCGCTGGAGGATCCGCTGACGGCTGCCCAGGTGGGCAGCAAGCGGACAGAGCCGGGCAAGGGTAACGCAGTGCGCGGCCTGGCTTGGGTGTGCGCCCACCCAGCCCGCCTTGCCATCGTGCTCGCCAACGGAATGTTCCTCGTCTGGGACGTCCAAGGCGCGCACTCATCCCCTTGCTGAGCCCCAGCTCACGGATTGTGTATGACCCTGGACCCTAAGAAGCAGATAGCCTGCTTCACAGGGAAGGCATTGGAAAGTGCAAGACAGTGTCTCTTTAAGACGCCTGGAGCCTCCTTGTGGGCAGGCAATGACCAACACCACAGCAGGCAGTCTGCCCAGTGAACACACAGAAGCGCCTTGCGGGGTGAAACGGGGATGCCTGGTCTGCAGCACAGAGACAGTGGCCTGAGGGCAAGAGGCACCAATAGAAGAAGGAAGACTCCCTCTATGGCAACGTTGCTAAGAGGAATGTCGCCGCTGATGTTCCCAGGCAATGCGGCGCTGTGGAGGAAGGACTTCGGCGCAGAGGCCGCGCTGGCGAGTGTGAGGGTAGACCCTGGGGACGCGCGGCGGCTGGTGCTGTGCGGGCAGCGGGGGTCGCTGATCGTGCTGAAGCTGGGCAACATGGCGCGTGACCGCGTCGAGCAGCAGCAGTACAAGGTGGACATGAGCGCGAGCAAGCCGGGGGACACCCTGCGCGCCGCCTTCTCCACCACCCGCGACCTCCTCTATGTCCTGCTGCCGCGTGAGGTGCGCCCTCCCCTGCACGCCTTATGTACAGCTAGTGTCATCCTTTCATGTGCGCCACCAGTGTGCCTGGCCTGTCGAGAATGATCATGAAGTGTGGTTTGAGCGGCGTCTTGACCAGCAACATGCCCCATTTGAGCCGCATGCTCTCACAAAAATGGAATTTTGGGGTTCAGGGGACAATTGAAACTCTATGAGCAGCTTCCATGCCCTGTCATCACTTGCACATCTGGTGCAAGACTTGCACAGCTTACCTGTGCATGCATGGAACATCAACAGCCCACATCCGAGTCCCATGCCACGAGAGGCTGTCGTTGATGGGAGCGATTGTGCACCAACAGGTGGTGGTGTTTGATCTGGAGTATGGGCAGCCTGCGGCGTCCACGACACTGCCCACATCGCGGCCGGCGTTCCGGGATGTGCTGGGCTGCTTCGGCCACGCGGACGTCGGCAAGGGCCTGTCTGAGAGCGGCGTTGACCTCCTCTACACCTCCCACCAGGCAAGATCTTTCCCAAACCTTATGATGGCACTTTGCCCGGGCCAGGCTTGCCTTGCACATCCCTGCTATGCATGCTGTAATATGTAACTCCACCTAGAGGTCACCTGGTTACTGAAGGCGAGAGAATTGCAAACCTTTGCCTGTCACAGACCCTTGCAGAGGCCCTCCTGCGCACCCTTTGTGGGCACCTTGCACTGCAGTACTGTGTATCGAAGTGATCCTGAAGGTTGCTGCTGCTTAAGTCACTCATGGCAGGAGCTCACCTGCATTGTTTGCATGCCCTGACAACATGCTCTGCATAAATAAAGAGTCCGTGGAGTGGTGCCATGGAACCAAAGAGGGGCGATGGGGACCTTGAGGCTGAAAGAAGGCAGCAATGCAACCGCAGGATGGCAGCCTGTCGATCTGGCGGAGGACGGAGGGGCAGCTGACCTACTCGCTGCTGGGCCTGCACAAGCTGGTGCCGCCGCCCTCGCGAGTCAACAACAACTCGACGCTGTCGCTGCTCTGCGCGTCCGCGGCCGCCTGGGTTCGCTGCGACATCGACGCGCTCCGAGGCAGCGACTCGGCCTCGACCACCTTCGAGCCGCTGGACTCGCTGCCGCCAAATTCACTCGGCGCCGCCACGCGCGCGCTGATGACCAAGGGCCGCAAGCTGTCCACCATTTACAGCCGCGTGTCCGCCTTCTCCGGATCCTCCACTCTCACCAGCGAGAGCCAGGCACGCACCCTCGCACCTGCTCTTTCATATTTTTTAGCCAGAGGACGAAAAACCAAGCACTGCCAAGTCTATTGATCTAGAATGCCTGATCTGACCACTGTCCGTCAGACTTTCAGCCCGCCTGCAGCTTCATGCTGTTCCCAGTCCAACATGGGATTTTAGGAGCTTGTTGATGTTTGATGTTTCCTGCCAGCTTTCTGATGCTTGCTGTCGATGGTCCAATCAGTCTCTCTTCATGATGAGGCGCTGTATGTGAGCACGTTAAAGTGCAAGGTCAAGGGAGTGAAGACATATGGGGTATGGCATTAGGTGCTGGGGGAATCCGGTGAGGGTGCCAGCTGGCAGAAGCACACCCTGGGGCAGCGCGGCAGTGGCCTGGATCCGCACAGGGCCGCACCCGAGGCGCCCACTTCAGCGGCAGCGCCTAGCGGAGTGCCCCAGAGTGCCGGCCGCACCGAGAGCACCCAGCAGTCCGGCGCGCAGCAGCAGGGACATCTGAGCGGCGCTGGCGGCAGCAGCCTGTCAGCATACGCGCAAGAAGACCGCTCATCTGAAGAGGAGGCGGACTTTCTGCGCTCGAGCATCTCCGGGCGCAGCTCTGGGGAGAGCAGCCTCGGCCGAATCTTCACCGCGCAGTCCAGCCTGGACCCCGTGCCTGAAACCTCCGAGGCCGCGCCGGTGGATCTGGAAAAGACATTCGGGCCGCTGACTAGCTACCCGGTGCGCCTGTCTCCCGCGGCGTCCTCCAGCGCCGGCGGCTACGGGGGGATTTCCCCGCGCGGCTCGGGGGGCCTGCCAATGCAGCACTCGCTGGGGGATCCGGGGGGCGCTGGGGGGGAGGGGACCGCCCCGCTGCTGTCCAGCTCACCGGCGCGGTCGCCCATGGTGCGGCGGCAGAGCTCGCTCAAGCCGCCGCGGCCGCCCGGGTCCGCGCTCAAATCGGCCAAATCGCTCACGTTCTCGACGGCGCCGCCGGGCGACTGCGCGGCGTCCTCGTCCGACGATGGCGCCCCGCGCGCGCCCCCCAGCGTATCCTCCACCACCAGTAACAGCCCGATCTCCTCCCTCTCGGCACCGCGTAACTCCTTCGAGGAGCGCATCACCAGCGGCGGCTTCGCCTCGCCGTCCGGCGCGGACCATTCCACCTTCCGAGCGGCCGCCGCCTCGCCGCCGCAATCGGTCTTCGAGCAGCACGCGCCGGCGCCCTCGGCGGCCCCCCTACAGCAGAACCCAGTGTCGCCCTTTGACAGGGGGTCGGCGGCCGCGCCGCAGATGCGGCCGAGCCTGGCCGCCGCCGTGGAAGCCAACGGCGCCGCGATCGGCGCGTCGCTGTACTCGGCGGCGATACCGACGACGGATGTCCCCTCGCCGCACGAGTCGCTGCTGCTTATGGCTGTGAGCGAGGAGGGGTACGTGTGGCAGTGGGACGTGCCGCTGCAGGACCTGTTCGAGGACGATGTGGCAGCGCCGGGCTTCCCGAGCGCGCCGACGATGCTGCCGACCGCGTTCTCCATCGCCGTTCCCTCCAAGACGGCCAACGCCGCCGCGCCGGCCGCCACCGGCTCCACCAAGCCGCGCCTGCTCGGCCTGCTCCAGACGCTGCCGCACAGCGTGACGACTTTTTCGGTGTGCCCTGTGGCGGTCGGGGTGGGCATGCTTGGCATGCCGGGGGGCCCGCCGAGTGCTTCGTCCGGCCGCGGCGGCGACGCTGTGGCCGTCCTGGCGGCCGTCACCGCGGCAGGCAATGTGGAGTTTGTCACGCTGCAGCGCGGCGCCGTCAGCCCGCTCATGGGCACAGTCTCCGTCTCGCTCGGTTCGACTGGCTTGCACTCTTGCACTACTGTATGGCTCATAATGTATACTTTTCCGCGACATGGCAGCTTCTCTTGCGAGTCTATCATGCTCCTAACATGGCACAGCCATAGATGGAAATGGCAGCAATATCATAACCCCGTCCTGTGCGACCATCAGCCGTGCCTGAAGCCTCATAGAGAGACATGGCTGATGGTTAGGGGTGACAGTGCCCTGCTGCTGTGCTATCCACGATTGACAATGGTTGCAGCAATTTGGAGATGCCAGGCAGCACTGTGACATTGAGTGGCACTGATTGGTTGCGCAGGCGCGCACAAGGACGTGGTGCGGGGCGTGCGGTGGCTGGGCCCGTCGGCGCGCGTGGTGTCGTTCAGCAGCGAGAAGACGCAGCACGGCTACCGCAACACGCTGCTCATCACCGACGTGCGCAGCCGTGCCAGCCTGCCCTTTCGCGAGGTGGGCCCTGAGGCCGCGCCCATGCTGGGCATCCGCGCATCTCCCTCTGGCCGCTACCTCCTCATCCTCCTCCGCGGCGCCCCCTCCGAAATCTGGGCGGTGCGCCCTTCAATTTCCTATCTTCCTCTCTTGGAAGGTGTACTAAAATTTACATTACACAATGTTAGGCCTCCTGGGTCCTTGGGACTGTGCCTTTGGCTATGTGCCAACACAAGCAGGTCCCTGAGGTTTCACATGTACGAGGCATACGACCAATGCATGCTGTGATGAACTTAGAGACTTAGAGACTTATGCCTGTCGAGTGATCATGAGTTGTACGGCTCACGGTGGTGAAACCCATGTTCTATATGATGATCAAAAAGTACCAGCTGTGAGTAGTTGCAAATGCATGCCCCTGGCTAGAAAAAAGTTTTCCGGGCTGATATGCAAGTGCTGTGGCGCAGCTGGGCGGCAACACAAAGCCGACGCGCATCCGCGTGCTGGACCTGCCCTTCACGGCGGTGGAGTGGGTGCTGCCGGGGGACCTGGCCACCTGGCACTCGGCAGGCTCCGACTCCTGGATGGTCTGGGAGCGCTCCCCACTCGCGCGCGAACGCTCCCTCATGGGCTACTGGGACGAAGCCGACGACCACCAAATCGCCGCTGCCGCCCAGGGCGCCACAGAGGGGCCCTCCACCGGTGCGCTGCTTTCTGTCGTTCATGACAGCCCCATTGATGCAGTTTCATATCCTAGATATACTAGATATGCTCTCATAGGCGCTAGCAGATGGCGGTCCTTCCAGTAGAAGAGATTTGCTTGGATGTATTGACTGTGGAAAGTGGTGGGAAGTTTCACAGAGAAAAAGAAAAGAGGTTGCCGAATTGCTATCATGCCTCCACATTTCCTGACTACTCTTTGTCTTTCTGAGAGAGCACAGGCTGACTACTGATTGCTCGAGAGTATGTAGCAGCTGTGCACTACTGACGTATCAAGGTGGCTGGTGCGGCAGGCGGATCGGGGCAGGAGGGGGCGGCCTCGGCTGCTCCAAATGACATAACGGGCCCTGAAGAGCGGCTGGCGTTTGCTCTGAGCGACGGCCGCGTCGGCGTGCTGGCAGTGAAGGGACGAAAGGTGTGGCATCTTCCTTAACTCTTGTTGCTTTTGCCCATGGAGCATGCACGGTGCAAATGCTGGCTCTCCGTTGTTAACCTCTCTGCATTGGAGGCGTGGAATGCAACGCAAACATTTCCTTGTAGCGGCTCATTTGGCACCCGCAGGAGTTGAAACCCGCCCTTTTGTCCTGTGCTCCGTACCCGCCAAGCAAATCTGCAACACTGCGAGTTATATTGCATGAAAATTGCGAGTTTGGCAGGTATGGATCATTCGGCAAATGGGTGGGTTGGACTGATCGAGAACTAGGCTGATGAGTGTCTCTCCTCACAAACCTAGTGTTGCATGTGATTTGCTCTTCCGGTGTTGCAGGTCACAGATACAAAGCCGAAGCGGCCGTCGTGGGGCCTCATGTCCAGCTCGTCAGAGGGCGTTGCCACGGCCATTGCAGCCTGGGGCCACCTAGTCATCATGGGTGACACCGAAGGCAGCCTCAACCGATGGGACACCCAGACCGGGAGAATCTCCACCGTGCAGACCACACAGGTGTGCGAGATCATAGCACACCCAATGTAGATCATAGCAAGGGCATCTATAAAGTCAAGCCCCCTACTGGCCACACACATGTCCCTCAACATCAGATCTGTGCAAATTAATATCTCCAGGTCTCTAGGAGGTCCTGGTGGTGATTTTAAAGGGCAGGGATGCCGGTACAAATGGGAAAGGCTTTGGGGTGAGAGGAGGCTGAGAGTACAAATAAGTTTGTTTGTCAGCCTAGAATTGTGCAGCTAAGTACAATATGCAGGACACGATAGCTCATGGAACATGTGACACAGGCATCCACGCAGAAGTGCAGGTGACAAACAAATGACCGGCGCATTTGACTCTGCAGGGCCCTGTGAGGAGGATACACTTTGCGCCGCCGGCTGCAGAGGAGCTGACGCGCGGGTCATCCAGCATGAGCAGCATGGGCAACGCGCGCGTCTCCGTGCTGTTTGCCAACGGCACCTTTGGCATCTGGGAGCTAGACGCTCGCAACGACCTCAAACCGGTACTGCCCTTCACCCATGGTGCTCTTGTGTGTTGCTGGATGTTTCTCCTTTGGCCAGACTGCAAAGAGAACAATGCAACAATACGTGCCGGCGAACTGCTTCTAACATGCAACGCGGCCGCATGACTGCGGTGTGCTCAAGAGCCTCTGTGAGGCTGCTGCCCTTTTGTCTGTTCCGCCCATCACCCAAAGCAGGGCTCATTGCAAAATGTATGGGCAGCATTATCCATTTCACGTGGCTGCACTATCCTAGCCTGGCAGCCTATTGCACGGTGCAAGTGGCCCCCAGGTTCAAGCAAGAATAGATAAACATGCAGGTGGCGGGAGCATGCATGTTATTGGCAGGGCCCGGTGACCGCAGCCGTCTGATGATGTAGAGTGGAGGCAAGTGTAAGGCAAAACAAAACGATCTCTTAGAATTTTACCTTGGCAGGGCCCGGTGAGTGTGGCGGCGAGCGCGCGGCTGGGCAAGGTGATAGATCTAGCGTGGGTGCCGCTGCCGGCGCCCATCGGGGGCGGTAGCGTGATCGTTGTGGCGGGCGAGGACGGCAGTTTGGCATGCGTGGACGCCACGCAGACCGTGGAGCAGCGGCCGCCCAAGCGCCGCCTCGCCGCCTTCAAAAACCTCGTCGGCGGCCGCTGGCCCTTCCCCCAGGTGAACTACTTCTTGACAAACATTCGCAGTCTGCAGAGACATTCGGTGAAACGTCCTTGTGACGGGGCCCGTTGAGCGAAACGGGCTTGGGAACCGACAAGGGCCGGCGTCTTGCCCCTGCACATGTGGGTCTTGTGTGCCATTGTACAGAATTGAGAGTGATTTTAAAACAAATGACTGGTACACAAAAATGAGTCAGCCCCTGAAGGCAAATCAAGTAGCACCTACCCCTTTGCCTAGCTCCGCTGTCCTGGCAGCAGATGTCAACCAGCAGAAATGGCCTCTTGTGTCTCTCCTCTCTGTGTATGATGCTATATTACATCGGGCAGCTGGCAGTGTGTTCTGTTTTCACTCCTCTTCTCCTCCTCTGCCTCTGCTCTCCTTCACTTGCTGATGAATCGGCAGTGGATTGGCAGAAGATTATGACTATATAGGGTGATCTGCCTGCAGAGAGCCCCGATCAGAGAGCCCGTAATGGTTTTGTAGATGTAAAAAGGGCTAAATTAAAATTGGCTGCAGGGGGGCCTGAGCCCGCCGTCGGCGCTGGGATCGAGCCTGCTACTGCCGCGGCCGTGGGCGGCGCTGCTGCGGCTGCTGCTGCAGCAGAAGGTGCCGGCGCGAACGCTGCGCAAGCTGGCGGGGCCGGTGGTGCCCGGGGACGAAGCGCTGTTGGAGGACGTGATCTGGGCCTGCCTGCCCAAGATTGCCAAGGACATCTGGCTGCAGTCCCCCCACCGCATGTACTCTGCTGAGGCCGAGGTGTGTCCCTGCTTGCTTCCCTCTGTGTATGCGCTAGTAGCCTCTGCTGGGTAAACACCACAACCCTTGCTTCTCTTCACCATAGTGAGAAACCAGGCACTCACGGTGTGCAGGAAGCTGATTGTCAGGCCAAGGTGGTTATTGTCACAGCAACAGCATTGTTCCTTTCGTCAGCTTCTTTTTCATGCACAGGAGCGCTCAATAAGAGGGTGCCGTGCACAAACTTTGCAGTCTGCGACACCAATAAAAAAGGTTTTCACTCCGGCACACCTTGCAGACATGTGCAGCTGGTTGTTGAGAACATGGTTGTGCGTTTGTGGCAGGAACTTTCGCTGCTGGCGGGTGGGGGCGACATGTGCCGGTCGGGCAGCGAGGAGATTGGGGTGGCGCAGTTTGCGTCCACCATGAGCGTGCCGCAGGACGCCGCCTGGAGCGCTCGCTTCAACACCTTCCCCATGGCCTCCTCCCTGCCCACCCCCTCACCCCTCCTCGTCAGGTGAGCGCCTTGGCGACTATCCCATTTGCAACTTCTGTGCTCACTTTTGTATGCACCTCAGGGCCGACACTGGCGCATGTTTGGCCCTGCACGTATCTGGCGCGCCTGCATTCGAGCATATCATGTCGTGCTATTCAAAGGTGCTGTTGTGGGATCCTCTTGCAATCGCCTGTAAGAGGGGTTTGCCTGCAGCAGAGCGCCCCTCAAATGTCTTCACATGATGAAAGGAAGTCCCTGAGTGCCACGTGGTCTTGGCACATCCCCTTGTGGCTGCAAGCGCTGATTAGCTTGCGTGTGCTGGTACAGGAGCGCCAAGGAGCCTTCCACCCAAAACAACGAGATGTCAATCAGCAAACGGGCGGCGTCCCTGAAAGGTGCTTCCATTGCCCCTATACCCCCTGTCCAAGCAATCCACACAGCCCCGCTTTAGTGACCGTCATAACCATGACACAGCTGAAGACTTGCTTTGTCTGGCAGGCAGTTTTTTGTAGTTGCAGGGTGGATTCAAAGATTGTTGCAGGGTGGCTGATAGTCGTGTGCAATAAGGGAGAATCGTATCATGCGTGGCAGACCTGAGTAAAATTGATAATATTTTGTTCAATAGACCCACTTTGGAGTTGAATGCGTTATTTGTGGTGGACCAACGAAGAGCGGAAATCTTATTGTTTGACATACCCCATAATTGAAATGAGTGTTATGTCTAACAGACCGGATACGGGCGGGTGCGCTGGCAAAGACGGTGGGCTGGGGCGGCAAGGCGGACGAGCCGCTGCCGCCGGCGCCGTCGGCGGAGCAGTCGGAGCAGCGGCCGCTGGCGCCGCAGAAGCAGTATGCGGCCAACATCGGGAGCGTGGTGCGCGCTCTCACGCGGTCGCGCGCCAACGGGCAGCTGCTGCACGAGACCGAGTGGCAGGCCTATGAGGAAGCCATCGCCTCCGGCAGGTGCATGCTCTTTTTGCCCCATCTACTGTCCATGAGCGTACTGTAACATGTCTCTCCAGTCTTCAAGCCCATCTATTACCAAAGGGTTTGGGGACATTCACTGATATCGGCACGGCAAAGGACCTTGTCCTTGCGATCCTCTCTTCCCGGGGTTTGATATTGTGTGCTCTCTCCTGGCACCTCCTTTACCACAATCCTGCCGAGGCGGATCGTCAGGAATCTCCTTCCCTTTGGGCCAGATAAAAGAGTTTTTCAGGTATTGTCTGCTGCTGACGCGCTTTGATTGTGCACTGCAGCACGGCGGCGCGTATGGCGGTGGTGGCGGCGGTGGCGGGAAGCTCGGAGGAGGCGCGCTTCTGGCGCTGTCTGCCGGCCACGCTCGCCGCCCTCAAGGGCTCCCTGCCGCCCGCGCTCAAAGCGCGCCTCAACACAATGCCGCCGCAGCCGTCTGCGCTCGAGAACGGCATCCTGTCCGCCTTCGCCAATAGCACCTCGCCCAGCGCCGCCTCCATCGATGACAGGTGCCTGCTCCTTTTCACTTCAATTTTAGCTTACTCGAGGATATTCTGTACCTAAATCCCTGAGTTTTATCCTGTATTGTGGAAGGGGATACAAATGCAGCCCATCCTGTGTGTCTTGAGCAAAGTCCATCCCCAGACAGGCCTCACCCTCAGGCCGTTCCTCCCTGGGCTCATTTCAATGCGATCTGGGCGAAATACGGGGTTTTCACAAGATGTCCTGTGCGCGTGCAGCCCCTTTGCAGCAAAGCTGGGCATTGTGAGGGATGCGGGCCCGGGCGGCGGCGGGCCGGCAGAGCTGTCGCGCAACACCTCCCTGCGCGCGTACGGCGCCATAAAGCAGGCAAGCATCGCTTGTATCAGTGCCCTTATCTCACCACATTAGTACCAACCATGCACCCTTGTTTCACTGTCATGGTGCAATTTCTTCTGGCACAATAATCATACTGGTGCTGCCAAATTTGTCTGCGAGTTTCTATTTTTTATGCTGGGCGCTGACGCTGAGAATGTTGCCCTGCTATAGCTGCGACTATGAAGGTCCAGACTTGGTGTCACGCACGAACATCCTTCATTTAGCCGGATGTGATGCCAGAGTCCGAGTCAGGCATCAATTCAGCCCCAACTTAGCTGGAAGCGATGAACTTGACTGACTAATTGACTGACGAAACTCGTGACTGACGGTGACTGACTGGGCAGGCGGAGGAGCCGCCGGACCTGTCGCAGCCGGTACTGTGGTCCCCCGCCAAAGAGCTGGCCGAGGCGCGCGAGCGAATGACGTGGCACGAGCTCATGTCGCGGCGCAACATCGAGAGCAGTGAGGTGCTGCAGGAACGCCGCGTGATCGAGTACGTGTCCGTGGGGGACTTCCAGACGGCCGTCGGCTTCCTGCTGGCTTCCACGCCCGAGAAGAGCATCCGCTACTACCGCGATGCCCTCTGCACCCTCGCGCTCGCGGTGCGCTATATGATAAATTATGCCATTGATGTTGCTCTTTGAGAGGGACCCTCTCACTGGCCAAAAATCCTCTTTCATTGGGCTGTGTGGATAAATATACCCAGCCTGCAAGCCGCGGGTGCATGGGTGTCTAGCTGACATGCAGGGTTGCCAGTGCATCAGCTGGGCAAACCTGTGTGACAGCCAGGCATCCAGGCGCTCACGGGCCGAGGAGGGCAGTTGTTCCCTGTCCAAATGGAAGTAGTGGCTAGGTTGCAATATCTTGCAATTATGGGCCTGGGCTGGGGATGCAATAGCTGTGTGCTGCTGGCGCGCAGGCGGCGAGCTCGCAGCCGCACGTGGCGGTGGCGGCGGGTAACCACGAGATGGTCTCGCGCACGCTGCACATCCAGGCCGCCAAAGTGGTCGCAGCCCACGCGGCCTCCATCGGGGACGCTCTGCTGGGAGTCCCGCTGCTGTGCTCGGCCGGGCTCCCCCAAGAGGGCGTCGCCGCGCTGCAGGAAGCCGGCCTGTGGCGATACGCTGCCACGCTGACTGCGCATACATTAAAAGGGGACGAGCGCTCGGCCGCGTTGGACAGGTGGGCTTGCCGATCACCTGCATGTGCTTCACCAAGTCGAGCACGCGAAATGGGAGCATTTCTGATCTGCCACTAAGTGTCTGCCTTAGTATGGTACCCTTCAATTACCCTGTTGGGCCGGACGGCAAGCTATTGCGAGTGTAGCTTGCAAGCAGGGGATTTGAACAGCATGCATTGCAGAGCAATGAGGCCTGGCCAATGGGTTGAAAAGGACGACCTGCAAAGTGGGTGTCACAGATATTGAAGAAAGGTTCGTGGGTCTTCACAGGTGGGCGGCGCACGTGCACCAGTCGGAGGGCGACATATGGCGCGCGCTGGGGATCATGGCGGCCGGCGGGGCGCTGCGCAACGCAGCGCTGCTGCTGCGCGAGCTGCGAATGCCGGACGCGGCCGCCGCCTTCTGCGCCGCGTGCAAGGAGGCCGGCTTCCACTCCCCCTTCGCACCCACCGACGCCGGTGCGCACCCCAACTTCTTCCCTCAGCCTTTAGGTGTTATTTCTCAGCTGCCAATCGTTCGCGCATCTTTTCTACAGAAACATAGATCCAGACATCAAGGTAGTGTGAGGGCCAGAAGTAAATGATCGCCAGTCAGCAGCAATACAACGATCAAGAGCACCGTTCATTAATCGGCTCTTCACAGCTGCCATTTGCCCTCATGCCTATTGCATCCTGACTCTCCAGAGCATAGCAGCAGCAGGTACTGGGAGTCTTTAGTGCCTCTGATAGCAGTGGCAGCGCAGCAGTGCTTGAATACTCTTGCCAAACTAACTGGGTTGCCCATCCTTTCTATGGACTTCCTACTTCCGGTGACTGCTCCCTGCGCCTGTCTCAGCTGTGCGGCATGCGAGATGACATGACTCGCACTTGATATAAATCAGGAAGTCTTGTTGGGCACAGGCTCATAGAATCCGCGGGCTCATTCAGAACTCCAGGGTGCAGAGGTGTTGATGTGGGGTGCAGGGGGCTTGGAGAACCTCTTCCACCACTCGGGCAACACACCGCCGCGGCGCAGCTCCAGCTGCAGCGGCGAGTTCATGAATGGGCAGCCCGAGGCGAACACCGTGGAGGCCGACTACCTCGACTACTGCTGCAGCGTCCTCCAGCACCTGTGATGCAGCCTTGCTGCAAGGAATGCACATGTGGCAAAAGCGCTCACCACAGAATGGACTGGAAGATGCCACCACTCTGCACGGCTGCTGCTGCGGCGCAGTTGATGGCAACGCACAGCTGTATAAGTCCTTATGGATCACTCTTGGCATTGTTTTTTGTGGTTGACCAAGTAGTTGGAACTGCCATGCGGCAGCAGCAGCCAGGAAACTAGACAGCCACAGAGAGTCCCAGTACAGCAGCCTAGAATGGCAGGGGAGCCTGGAGCAGGGAGTGCAGCAAAGATTGCTCATCGGTGCAGAGAGGATTGGTCTGTGGGCACCTGAGCGTTGTGGGTTGAGGTCGAAGGTGCAGGAGAACAAATGCATCCATGCACGGAGTTTGCTTTGCTCCCCCATCAGTAGGATGGGAGAGCAAAGCATTGTTGCAGAGCGTTGAAGACTCGTTCATTCTCGAACATAGCCAAATTGGCACTAGAGAGGTTCCGACATGCGCAAAACCGGTCCCACCGGTGCGGTTTTTAAATTGAAAAGCCATCTGTTTTCACAAATGGCGTGTACGTATGTGGAATTCCAAACATCATGATATGATGGTGAACGAGCTTGCAGTGTGTCCCAAGCATTGCATGAAGAGCTGATTCTGTGGGTTGATCGGTTGTCGACATTACAGTTGTTGTGCTCACTAAAAGTCCCTATGTACAAAGATAAGGGTTGTGCTAATCTGAGCAACAATTTGAATCAATCTTGAACATCCGTTTGTAATGCTGGCACTCCAGAGATATTCTGAGCTGATGCTTTGAGGTTGCCAGGATAACGCTTACTCCATTACGTGCTTTGACATACTTCAACTACAAACACGCATGCGCACTTACTGAAGACACCACCACTCATGTTATCTCCTTTTCTTGGCTGGGGGCCCACGTCCTCGGCCTCTGCCTTTGCCTCGGCTTTGCATGCCACCCCTCCTGTCCCCGGCCCCTCTGCCGCCCCTGCCGCCGCCAACAGGTTCCTGCTGTACTGTTGCGGGCAAGGCCTGCCCTCGTGCAGCGGGCCCACCCCCTCCTGAGCACCCCGAGACCACAGCCGCGCTCTCATCGGTCCTCAAACACATCATTATCACCGGTCTTGCAGCAGCTCACTCCAAGAAACCCCGGGGATCAGGTTCTTGACCCCAGGTTGACCAATGTCATGTGCAAGAAACATTCCCGAGCATTACAGAGCCTTACAGCAGACAGTGAGAGAGATGCAGGGACAAGAACGCACCCGGCTGCAGCCACTCCTCCCAGCTGCGCTTGGTCGGCAGCTGGTGCCTGGCTGCCGCGCCCGCGGCCGCGGCCGCTGCCTGCCGCGCGCGCTTCTGCCCGGCTTTTGAACCGGGCAGCACCAATCTGGGCGCTTCCCCTGGAGGGCCCCTCTCCTGAATTGTCTGTGATGCTGCCTCAGGCTGCAGCTCCGCACCTGGCACGCTCAACGGATCTGCTGCATGCGCAGGTCCAGCTGTTGGCGCCAAGGGTGCAGCTGCCAGCCAGCTGCCCAGAGCCGGCAGTGCGTTGTAGAGAGGCTGCGCATCCTCTGCCTGGTCGGCTGGGATCTGTGGCTCTGTCCGCTCTGCTGCTGGGAATTCATTTACCGCTGAGGAGACGGCGAACTGTAATATTGCCGGGGCAGCAGGTGCATCATGGGAGGCAGGATCCGTCGACATGTGTCTGACGTCAGGGTCAGGCATATCTGCACCCTCCTCAGCAGCTGCCGAGCCGAGCCCAAGCATTGGAAGGAGGTCGTACAGCGGCGCAGGAGAGACTGCCTGTGCTTCTGAGACCTGCATGGGTGCCACAGTGGCGTCTGTCTGCACCAGCAGATCCACATGTACGGGTTCTTCAGGAGCCGGTGCTGTTCCCTCGTCCAGCAGCGCAGCATCTTGCTCGCCCCTGCTCAGGTCCGCAGCCTCTGTCGGACTGGCTGAGTGATCGCTGGGATCAGGCGGGACGGCTGCTGCACTGTCAACAGGGTCTGGCTCTGCATGAGGCTGATGCGATTGTTCGAGCGGCTCCTCTGCAGCTGCGGCCAGCGGGAGGGGCTCAGCTGACAAGATGTCTCTATCCCCTTGGTGGCCCACCCTTGCAGGGTCGCTGCTCTTGCCGTCAGCAACCTGACTAGGCTCTGCGCTGCCATGCTCCTCAGGCATTGGCGAGTCCTGCTGAGCCGGCAGGTCCGGTGACGGCTGCCGCGGCGCCGATGCAATCACGCTAACGTCGCCAAAGATGCTCTCTGACTTCTTTCCAGCTGTCCGCTTCAGGTCTGTTTCGCTGGCGCGTTGAAGGATCCTGTCATCACTTTTGGCAGGGCTAGGTCGCCTAAATGCCTCCAGTGGCTGCCCAAACGGCGCTCTGGGCAGCTGGGAGCTGTCCGGGAGGGCAGGGCCGCCAGTAAGCGCAGCAAATTGGTCTCCGGCCCCAAGAAGTGGCGCGGCGGACCCGAGGGCTCCCGAGGGCACATACAGCGGTACATCAGGCTCTGCGCTCCGTGAGGGCGTGTCCGCCTTCCTGCATTTCGCATCATGCCCCATCATATGTGTTTTTTTGAAGGACATACTCATACAAATATTCCACTCCTTTAGGCAGTGATACCTTGATAGTTCAGTGTGATCTGGCAGAGGCTCACCTGTCCTCAAAGACAGCAAGCTGCGTTGGATACGCAGGTCGTTTAGCTGCTGCATGTTGTCCCCTTGCATTCTCTGGCGGATGCAAGCTGTTTTGGACCCCTGTCTGCTGCTTCTGTTGCTGCTGCCTCACCCCGGCGCGCAGATCAGCCACCTTCGGGCGAGCATCAGGCGCTGCAGGAATCACCAGACGGACTGGTCTGGTAGCTGCATGCTCCGAGACTCTCTTGGCATAGGAGTCCCCGGCTTCGTATGGCAGCTGCACAGCATGTGGCAGCGATCCGCGCCACTCCGCCTTCAATAGCTGTGGGACCTGACTCCCTACAATGACACCATGCGTCCGATCCAATCACGAAACTTGCTCATGCAACAGTCAGATACATGGTGAGAGGTTGATGTGGATAAGAGTGCACTGGCCTCGCATCGGACGCACCGTCATCCAAGGTTTCCTGGGGTAGCGTGGGAAGGTACTCAACAAGCTCGTTGTAGGCTGCAACTGCGTCCAGCACCCACTGAGCTGCCAAGACCTGCACGCCAACCACATGCTGAGCTCCTCAGATCTGGCACAGTATGAGGAAATAGCCTGCAGCCGAGGAAGAGCAGAGAAAATTTTAATGGAGGGAAAGGGCCACAGGGCGCACCCGCACTCGAGCCAGGATGGCAACAGCTGTCAGGCAGAGGGGCACGAAGAAGGAGAGTGCCAGCTGGGCAGACAGCGAGGCTGCTGCCTTATGCACTGCTGCCTGCACCATGCTCATCACCCTGCACCCTGCTCCCCAGAACATCTGTCAGAGACCTTCAAACAGAGACAATTTTGCTCAGCTGTCTGATTGTGACAGGTTGCAGGCTTGAAGAGCTCTAGGGGGAGTCTTGCCTGCTATCAGCCGCTGCAGGAGGAGCTGTCCTGAAGGTGTGACACTCTGTTGGTGAGAGGGAGGCAGCCACTGTGCCTCCCGAGCATTCTCTGCGGCTTTGGCATGATCGGCAAGCTCTGCCATCATATGTGGCACGTCCAACCGTTGCCAGAGTTGCAGGCATCGATGTACCTGCCATCAAATCGAGTGCCTGAGCATTCCATGCTTTTGGATCTAGTATGGTGCATAGAGGCACTAGGGGGTCTGAGCAGACAGTCAATACGCATGCATCAGGTGTAAAGCACGCTAGCAGAGAGTCTCACCTCAACTAGTTGCTGGAAGTGACCAGAGGAGCGGTGCTGCTGCTTGTTTTTGTAAAGCAGCCTTTCCAAATAGGCCATCTCCCGTAGTAAATCTGGGCGTGTGAGGGAGCCCTGTGTGACATGTAAATCGATAATATCTTCAATACAAGATCTTGAACAGCGATTTGGCAGCCCCGAAGTGCTTGGCAAGCACGGCTGCCCATCAGATGCAATTTGGTGTCTCGTTGAAACCAAATGAGTTGGTATCGTATCTGGACTGCAAGCGCTTGTAATGAAAGAGGTTAATTAAATAGTGGATTAGAGCTTTACCTGCAGTAAGGCAAGATTGACAGATATCATTTCACTGCTGCTAAAAGGATTCCATAATATAATCTATCAAACGTCCTGCGAAATTGAGGCGGACAGACTGAACAGGCTCTTCTGACACCTCTGAAGTTTTTGATTTCGATACTAATAGGTATGAGCAAGAAGAAGAAGAAGAAAGGAACGCATAACAGGAGACCCCGGGGGGGACCCCTGCCACGTGCGTACGGGCGCAGCTGGGGGGCCGCGCAGAGGACATCACCTCAAGGCTAGCCCCCGTCATCAAAAGGGAAGGTCGTGGGTGGTCGGCGGACCCGGAAGGAACGCCGCGCGGGCAGCACGGGCATTGGAGGCTGTGGCAGGCGTGGGGGGGTCGCGCGGGTCTGGGGCACGGAGGCAGGTGCACGGCGGCGGCGCTGCGGCCGGGAGGGACGGTGGGGTGCAGAGAGACGGAGAGAGGGGCGAGTGTGGCGGCCGGAGCGGCGAGCAGAAGTGCCTGTCTGCCAGTCTGCAACAGCACATGTCAGCACGTGTTTCACGTGCCTTGTCAAAACTTGACTCTAGGGCGGCATGCATGTCATGCAGCTTGACAGTCGCTCCTGATGGTACTGACGACGCAAGAATATATATGATGCATGCAGCGCTGAGCTGGAGCCTCATGGGGCCCCTTGGCGCACGTTCAAGCAATTATTCCAGCCTATATAGAATTAGCCCCGGCTGGCGGAAGGCGGTACAAATACTGAGCACCGTGCCCACGGTTGATTGGGTCTTGCTTGGATCTGGCGAGTCCAACAAGGGGTAGGAATTTGGCAGCCTTTACATGCAGCTTGTCTGCAGACGCACCTTGCCTTTGGCAGGAAAAGCGTGTAATAATAATAATAATAATATAGAATTATACTGAGCACCGAGCACTATACTGCCAGTGGTACACATACTGAGCACCGTGCCCACGGTTGATTGGGTCTTGCTTGGATCTGTCGAGTCCACCAAGGGGTAGGAACTTGGCAGCTTTTACATGCAGCTTGTCTGCAGACGCACCTTGCCTTCGGCAGGAAAAGCGTGTAATGATTAAAAAAACAGAATAATTGGCGGAGGCCATGACGCCACTGCTGTTGTGCACTGCAGAAATTTGTATGTCTTGTCATCATCTATATGAGTACATTAGAACATCTATCCTTGAGCATCTCTAGAGAGCCAGGTTTGCCAAAGTTCATGCAAAAATTATTTAGTGATGTGCACAGCTCGGACAAACTTCAACAGTAGCACGAGGACAGGATGTCAAGGGGTTTTTACACAATGCTTCTTAGAAGCTACCAGTGTATTTGTTCAAAGGATAGCTATGGTACGACATAATACTAGCATGCGTTCACGTTATACTCAAGCGCCTTCAAATGGTCATTGACATCAATCATTGCTCGGCTCAGCTCGAGTCCTCCTTTTTCAGCAGCATGTACATAGCGCCCAGCACATGCCTGGCAACTATAATCGTCTTGCCCATCCTCACATATATTCACAGAGGCCAGCACTTCCATCTGTGTCATTTCAAGAATTGTCCTTCTCATCATTCCCAAGGCAGCACCTCAAATAGACAGCTGTGCCTTTGCCAAAAATCCTGACTCCAAGATTCCTTGTTCCAATAAAAGTCAACAGATTGCCCTGCTAGGTCCATTTTCGGCTCCAGGAGCCCACAAGAGACCAATCATCTCAACACCCTCCAGGCCTTTTTTTCCAACAATACAGGGGTCAAAAGCCCTTACTTCAGAATCTGAATACACACTGAAAAAGGTCTGTCTATGTGTCAAGATTCCTTGCACACCTGTCCGTCTGAAACGCATACATCAGCAATCAAAGGCAATCTATGTCCATCCACAGCAGATGACACACTGACGAGGCAGCAATTGCTTATCAGCAGATTTGTGCACTGTATCGTATTCTGAGAAGAAATGGTTATCAAATCATCACCATCAGACTGAAGCAGTCCAATCATCACCATCAGACTGAAGCAGTCCACAATCTTGTGGCAGAAGACACCAGAAAACTCTACCGGCCGGAATGTAAAAATTCTCCATTAGGTTGGCGCAGGCCCAAAGAGACAGAAGACAACAGCAGCTTATTCAAAAGCGCTCGACAGAAGCTATTTTGCTTCTTCAGAAATACCTACTTATTTCTACACACTTCCCTGCAGACCTCCAGAATTGACCCTGCTCAAGCTTATGCAGCGAGCAGTCTCTCTCGAGCAACTGCCTAAAAGCAGCGTCCATCAACAAGTAATGCTATACATCTCTGAGCTGAGGCACAGAACCACGCGCATGTGGTCCTCTGATCTGAAACAGAACAGCTGATAATTTCCGGTACTTGCAGTTGATGCCAAGTGACCACCTAACACCCAATTCCCACCACCAGAAAATGCAAGCAGGCAGAGAGGGAGATCACCAGCCATCCCACCTTGTTCTGAGAAATGGGCTATGCTCATAGCCTTGCTGAAACAGCTATTAACACTCCTGCAGCAAATCATTTGACTGTTTGAACGCACGCTACGCGCCATGCTGACTGCATAATGCACAGGATGCTGTCCGCATTGGTCTGGTCTGGTCTGTGCATTTGTTTCTGAACTTTCATGGTCAAGCCTGCACCCAACAAACACACTTTTATAACACAAATGGGATACAGAGCGCAGCAAACACAGGCTGCAACTGCCGTGTCACGGACAATTGCACATTATGCATGTGGATGCACTTTTCTGCAGGTCAACATGTGCAGGTGCAATGGATGTTCTCAAGCAAGAGGATTTACTCGCTGTAGCAAGGGGTTTTACCTGCAGGGCTTGAGGGGTTTATTTAGCGGCCATTGCCGGACACAAGCCTGCCGCTGCCGTCAAAGACAGGCGCGTTGCCGACGGCCTCTGCGGTGTTGGACGGGCCCTCAATCTTGGCGCGCTGCCCGTTAGCATTGGGCGGAGCGAGCAGCGTCTTCTGCACCGCGGACGCGCTTTGGTCCACCTTCACTGTGCCCTGCTTGGGGAGAGCGGCCGCTGCGTTGGTCTTCTTGGTGGTCGTTGCCTGGCTGAGTTTACGTCCGCCGGACACCTGCTTGCCGCTGCCGTCAAAGACCGGAGCGCCGCCCTCGTCGGCCGGCCCCTCGATCTTAGCGCGCTGGCCGTTTGCGTTGGGCGGGGCGAGCAGGGTCTTCTGCAGCTGCGAGTTGCTCATGTCCACCACTTTTGGGGCAGTCGTCCTCGAGGCCAGGAACTGCGCCGCGGCTCCCTGCTGCGCTGGCTTCGCCGGAGCCGCCGATTTGACGGCGGAAGGGGCGGCCGACTTGGTCTGGGCGAGCTTGCGGCCGCTGAGGGGCTGCGTCATTGGCCTGCGCAGAAGAGAACGAGCTGTTTAGGGAAATTGTGCTTGTCCTTTGTGATTCTCACGAAGGAAGAAGGCTGCAAATGAATTTCAGAAGCTGGTAGAAAATAACAAAAACTGTTTCATATTAGTGCGCTTTCCATGGAAGCACCTAAATAAGGTGTCTCCTATTCGTACACCCCAGGAAACAAATCAAGGCCATTGGGGAAGACACCAACATGGAAATTGACGAGCGTGGATCCCTCACCTGCCGGCGGCGGCGGCGTTGCCGGAGTTGTCAATGCTGACGCGGCCGGGGACGCGCGCCGGCGCACTATTCATGGCCTTGGTGGCCTGCGGTGTCAGCGACACGCGGCTGCTCCCGATGGCAGCAGCCTGGCTCAGCTTGCGGCCTCCGGACACCTGCTTGCCGCTGCCGTCAAACACCGGGGCGCCGCCCTCGTCGGCCGGGCCCTCGATCTTCGCACGGTTGCTCGCCGGCCGGCTGGAGAGCATGAACTTTTGCATTGGCGAGGTGGTCATGTCGACGACCACTGGAGCGGCCGAGGACCTGGCGGCGGCTGCGGCGGCCGGCTTGGCGACCGGGGCGGCTGGGGCCTTTTTGGCGGCGGCGGCCTGGTGCAGCCGGCGGCTGCGCTCGGGGCGGCTGGTCAGCATAAAGATTTCCAGGTCACTCCTTCTCATGTCCTCGGCCGCCTCTGGCGCGCCTGCCTCTGGCATCTCCACAGCTCCTGCGCAGTGCAAGCTCCCGCTGTCGATTGCAGTCCATATGGCCACTGCATATCCAGCTAGGAGCAGCTAGCTAGCGATGTGCTAGAGGCAACTGGGAGCAGCTGTATCAGACAGCCTCTGTGTGACTAGCAGTTGTGCAGATCATTTTGACTTGTTTCAACGACTGCAAAAGGGGAATGCAAGGCAGATGGGAGGGTGCATCAGTGCAAGTGAGGGCTGCACCTGCGGGGCTCTCAGCATCCTCTGCCTCAGGCTCCAGGAAGTAGCCGTTGAAGGTGTCGCGCAGGGAGCTGTAGAGCGAGGCCGGGGTAATGTCGTTGCCGTCCAGGCGCTTGAGGCTGATCAGGCTGTCAAATTTCTTGAGGCTGACGCCATCCAGCAGCTTCCTTGCCGCACCTGTGCATGTATAAACGTGAGTCAGAACCTCCCTAAATCCAGAGATCAGCATTGGGAGCAGAGCCTGTGCCTGTGCAAGAACAAGCAGGCACAAGCCAGCATGGCTATCAGTCGGACATGGCACTGCTTTCTAAGACTGGGCCCGAGTTGGTCCCTCCAGGAATTGCACTGATGCCGTCTCGTTCAGCAGCCGATCAAACCCTACCACACAATGCCCGCGACGTCCTGAGCCCTCGTCTTTGGAGTGCTTCCAAGTCTTCAGGCTCACAACACTTGCTCGTTTCTTGCCTACACGGTGCTCATTCGGAAACCATTGAGCAAGACGGCCGTACCTAAGTGGTGGGTTGCAGCTCCGGTCGCGGGTGTGCTGAGCGCTACCGCTAGGCATACGAGCAGCAGCGTGGTTTTCGATGTTGCTAATGTCATACCTTGCTCCTGTCGGGATATCTAGCTCAAGACCTCCTGCAACACGGAATTTATGTTAACGTCATGTACCGAGATGTACTGCTGGAGTTCCATCGGTCGAACTCCTGGACAAAACTTCCTTTTGGTGCCCTCAGTACCCATAGTGTACACATATACCAAGACTTCACACGAAAATCGCGGCGCTCGGGCACCGGCGAGTCTAGAAACCGCACAAAGAAGGGTCCGGCACGATCCCCACGCTGCCCACCAAAGACCTCGATGCACACTTGCGGGCGTGCACGAAGCAAGAGGGCCAAAGATACCGAGTACAAAGTACCCAAAAAATCTGACGCCACCGGCGGCTTTGTAAGCGGACGAAGAGCACCTTTCCGGAGGACTCCCGCCGGGACGAACGAGCCTATGAGAGATGTGAAGGTAGGAGCTCACTCTGGCGTTGCAAGGGACAAAATTGTTCAATCCTGAAGGCTTCTCAGAAGCTCACTTCATCCTGAACTTCCAAACCCAGTATCTTGCAAGCGACTTTTGGGACCATCCCAACGGATCTCTGGCTTTGCTCCCTCCTTTCCACCTTCTAGCTGCCTCCTCGATTCAAAGTAGCTGTGTTCAAACGGAATGCGGCACCGGGGAAGGGGAGTACGTCTTTTACTTCACCAGTGACGCAAGACGAGGAGGATTGCTGACGATTACCTTGTGTGACGGATTGGCCGGTGTCGCGCTTAGTGGCCCGCTTTAGATAACTCCTGGAAAGTGTCAAAGATCTCGTCAATGGCTTCCAACGTCAACTCTCTGCAGCGTCCTTGGTTGACAGTTTCTAACCGTTAGAATCCGGTAGAATCTAACGTCAAACTTGCCCCTCGTCCTGCTCCCCAAGTCAAATCTGGCGCTTTCGATACCTTACTCACCCTGTTGGTCAACGTGTCAGGGGGTACTAAAGACTACAGTAGTCTTTAGTAACCCCGAACGTGTCCAGATGAAGCCAGAACTCCCCCCAATCTTCCTAGTTCTGTAAGATAGAATTGTAGTGTTGATAGAATTTGTACTGCTAAGTTTATCTACAATCCTTACAGTGAGCCAGAAAGGGCTCTGCAAATGGACGCTAACATTGCCACCAGTGCATCTCCAGGGCGCTGGAGACAGGACTGCTGTTGTCGTCATGTCAGAAGTTGCATCAAATTGTCAAAAAATTCGGGGATCTTCCGATGCAACGGGCCTCCGCGGTTAGCCCGTCGTACCGTTCGTCGATCAACCAAAGCCCGCGTTGAAGGTGCAGACTGGGTAGCAACCATCAACATGCTATTCTAGCATGTAAGGAATGCCGCTGTGCAGTGTTCTAGCGGCTGTATTTATTCAGACAAACTCGGCCTGCAAGATAGGGAAGCATCAGCATCTCTGCCAAGATGAATTCAACTGCCTTTCTCGATCTGTGGGTGCTGTGCAGAGGATCTAACGCCTTCAGACGGCGAGGTGGTGCCAATAGACTCTCCCCTTCTCACGTCTTCCTCGTCAGCATTCTCAGAGCTGCGGGCCTTCGTGGCTGGGGCCACTGGTGGCACTGGCCGCGCCATTGTTCAGCGGCTTGTGGCAGAAAAAATACCTGTCCGTGCACTCGTGAGAGATACCAGCAGGGCGGTGTGTCCTGCCTCAGCTTCCCACATCTTTGTCCTTTGGTGCTCTGCCAAATTTTGATTACATCCATGCATGCCCCTCAATCCCACTCTTATTAACACTTAAGCTAAGAGCATTCGCATGCAGGCAGGGCTGCTGCCGCTGAATGTGGAGCTGGTAAAGGGGGACGTGTATCAATTCTCTACCCTGCAGCAGGCGTTGGGAGACTGCAATATTGTGCTGGTTGCAACAGGCTCCAGGCCTGCGCTGGACCCCTTTGGCCCCTTCAACATTGACTACCAGGTGTGCCTTGTGTAAGACTAGACATGTGTGAGACTAGACATAAACAGCCAATCTTGCATGAGTTGAGCGTAGATCTCAGTGCTTGCAAGGTGGATCTGTATGTTATGTGCGCTGGATTGCCTGCACGGTCTGTTGAGGTGTCTCTATGGTAGCTGTCTGCGTCTGGAACAGGCTCTGGCATGCAGGGGACAGCGAACCTTGTGGAGGTGGCGAGGAGAGCGGGCGTCAAGAGGTTTGTGCTTGTGAGCAGCATTGGCGCTGATGAGCCATTCTTCCCCCTCAACCTCCTCTTTGGGGTGAGTTGCCTCAGTTGCTGGCCTGTGAGAACCCCTCTGCATGCGCATATCTCCAAAACAATAAAGTTGCATTCCTAGTGGGTGCAATGGGGGTTCCAGGGGCGCTCTTGTGCTTGTTCTGCCTTGGTGTCTGCACCTCTCTTTCTCTTAAAGGGGCTGGAAGGTGAGAACATCAGCTGGATTCATGGGGGTGCAGGTGCTATTCTGGAAGAAGAGGGGAGAGGAAGCGCTGCAGAGGTCAGGGCTGCAGTACACTATTGTGAGGCCGGGGGGCCTGACTGACACCCCTCGACAGGGGCAGGTACCCGGTGGGATCATCATGGAAGGGCCTGGTGCTTTTGGGCTGCCGCCAAAAAGGACCCCAGGAAGCATCCTGCGCAGCCAGGTACCCTTCGGCATCTTTTTTGCTGCTCGCAAATCTTTTTTCCCCCACTTGAGAGATTGTGCATGTATTAGAGTTGGTGCCTAGAATATCGTGCGCGTTGCGGTTACAATTGGAGGCAGCCCTCTCCCCTTGCTCGGGCGCTCGCCTTTGTGTCTGCATTTCTCTTCTACTAAATATAGATTGCCTGTACAGGTGGCGGATGTATGTGTGGACTCTCTTGTCTTGTCTGAGGCTGCAAACAAGGTGGTTGAGGTGATCACAGCAGCGGATGAGCCCAATAGGCCTGTCCGGGACCTGTTTGCTGGCGTATACTTATAGTGAAATAACAGGTCCACCTTCAGCAAAATCTAGAATTGTCTTGAAGGGCGGATGTACCGTAATAATGTTAAGTAAACAGTAGTATCAGCTGTCATGTCCTTTACAATCTCACGGGAAAATCTTATGGTTATTGACTTCCAATTGAGGCCCAACATGCAGGGTGCATTTCCTTCAAGAGATCAACCCCCGGAAAGATCTGGTAGGAGTCATGATCATGGATGAACCAAAACTTCACATGTCTGGCAACTCGAGAAATGCCGGTTTGCAGAGGCAACTTATGTTGCACATTGAACGCTACGTCAGTTTTTTTGTAATCTTGAGCGTGTGACATTTCTCTAGGTCCGCAATCAGAGCTGCATGTCTGAACTTGAGATACCCGAAGCAGATTAACCATTGTAGTTCTATATTGGTATCTGCTGGGATGCCAAAATCCCTCTTAATGAGGGCAATAATATCCTCGATTGATGGAGCCGCACACAACTCTCGCTTAAGAAAGGTCATCCTCACGCCTTCATAGTAGGCCTGTTGCAATACAGCACATGTGTACAAGAAAAGGCCGCTTGAGGTTCTTCAGATCAACAGGACTGTGAATAAGTAAGGCATACCAATAGGGAGCTGGCAGCTGGCTGATCAGAGATTACTCCAGGAATTTACCGTGATGCTGCCATCCTTGAAACGACAGGGGGGACAGCGTTCATGAGCACAATGTGCAGGCTTCACAGCCGTTGCACACACATCAAGTCTAGCGGCCTGCACATCCGCACAAAATGTATCTGCTTTTCTGCTGACTCGTCGATATCTGGAGTTCTGTTTTGAACATAGAGAAAAAGACGTCTGTCTCATCCATACTCCCTTATCCACACCTTTGCATGCGGTATCAACGGAAGCGGTCTGAAGGATCTAACGGATATTTTGGCACCCTTAATGCTTTTCGTCACTTCTGATGGCGTGCTTAAGAAACCATTCTTATCGTTTGCCCTCGCGGGCAGTGTTCCTCTGCACACTGCCATCGGCCCTTTTCTTTTGAAGCCACGGAATAATCTTTCAAATGTGAGTAACTTCACAGGAATCTAGTAAGAATTTGTTTGTTCAATTCGATGATTCTATAAGGAGGAAAATTCGGAGAACTTCGGTCCGGGCTCGTGACGGCCAACAGATCAAAGGAAACCAGGGGAATATCCTTCAGGTCTCTGTTGTTGCACACAAGGTCCCGTATGAGCGATTATTATTCGTAATGCCTCTCTATCCCTCAGCTTGCAAGGGTTTGTCAAGCTAGAGGAGCCTATCCTTGGGCGTCATCGCTCGGCGGCAAGAAGCTTCGTCGTCAATGTGGGAAGCTTCCTCATCGCAGCTGTCCGACGGCGTGTAAAAGGAGAATTGTAGCCTTGGATATCTCAACAGCTGCAGACTTGCAATCTTCCTGCCTAGTAAGAAGACTGCCGCATGTTTTGATCATGGTGGGTTGTAAGATTGTACAACAACAGGGCAGACTGTGTCGTAATGACCTCTCGACTTTGTTGTTGCCGAGAAAGCACCAAGCAAGACCTTCGCGATGCAGCTTGCCAATCTGCCGGGCATCAGCCACTGCTGTCTCCAGTCCTGTAAAGCAAGGCGACGGTTTCACAGTGCAAGGGACATCGAGGAAGCAGAACGAGGATCGCTACACACTCGAGGCAGGCACAAATGCATCCTGTATCTTTGCAGCTCGCCCGGTCACTGGTATGCCATCTTGGGAGCGATGAGATGTGACAGACAAGCACTGCCACGCTATTCAATGGAACTCCCGTCTGGCCTGCAGGTCAATGAAGGGGACTCTGGGAGAATATTGTATGCTGGAGTGTTTGATGGGCACGGTATGCCCTTGTCCGTGCAATGGGGCTGTCATGTAAATCCAAAATATGACAACCAAAGTAAAGATAGTCTCCAGCACACCTCTCACAGATAGGGGCACCTTGCTCCACACGTGCAGGGGGCATGGCAACAGCGGACTGGTTGGAGAAGAACCTGATCAAATACATTGAGAAGTACTGGCAAGGAAAGGGCAGCTCAGCAGAGTCAGACATCACTGACGCCTTCATCAAGGTGCATGGAATGCTGAGTCCTTCTGCTGACGTACCTAGCAGTATCCAATACCCTTTTCAAGTCCTCCATATCAATGGCTGCACCCATGAGGCCATGGTTTGCAATGACAAGCCTCCTGCTGTCAACCCCTTCTTTCCTGCTCAGCTGAAAGGGCTATGTCGGGGTGATGCGCGCACCGAGTGATTTCAATTAGTTATTTGTATATTCCTTACATGCGTTTCTTGCCGGAGGCAAGCTCAGTAAAAAGTCTATCAAAATATTACCCAATGTTGGACTTGCCAGGTCGAAGCAAGACTCAATGTGCCATGGGCACAGTAATTATATTGCGTCCCCACCAGCCGGGTGATTTACCAGGGGCATATTATGTGCACAGGCGGACGAGAGGCTGCTGCAGCCAAAGAGCGGCTTCTTCGGGGGAATGGGCGAGCGCGGAATCGGGGGGTCCAAGTGCGGCTCCACGGCGGCAGTGGCGCTGGCGTTCAGAGAAGGCGGCACGACTAAGCTGCTGGCGGCAAATGTGGGCGACGCGCGTGTGCTGCTCAGCCGCAAGGGCAAAGCACTGCAACTCACCACCGACCACGTACCCGACAGGCACGCCTCTGTAAGGGGCACTCTTGCCCGTCCTGCATGTAGCAGACTCACTTCTTGGCAGCCAGCGCTTTCTGTACTGCTGACAAAGGCAGTAGGAGTTGAGAAGATCAGGACGTTCCACCTCTCTGCTTTGGAATCTTCCCTTGCCTGCCTTCATCCTAACGAGCACTGGAAGCACTGGATAGCATGCGTTCTCCTTGCATCACCACCCCTCTTGTCTTGTCATATTGCCGAGCTGCAGACAGCTGGCCGGTGAACTGCATCATATTTGGCATCGCTGTCCGGTATTAACATTCACCATGTTGCCTGCCGTCCATCCAGGTGTCCAGCAATCATGGCAGCCTGATCTTGCAGCTTGTTGCAGATACACCTCGCCTTCATTGGCAGACGAGCGTTCTGAAAATGAGAATGTTACCAATACTGCCTGCAGCGAGGAGGAGCGGCTGCGCATCGAGGGGACAAACCCAAACCCGAGGCTGCCGCTGGTGCGCTACGTGGGGGGCACCTGGCGGGTGGGGGGGATCCTGGCGCTCAGCCGAGCCTTCGGCGACGCGTATTTGAAGGGCAGCCTGCAGTTCGAGGGTGTGCGCGCCGGCGGGGATGGCTACAGCTCCGGCTTTGGGGTTGTCAGCGAGCCTGAGACCACCCTCATTGACCTGACAGGTGCGCGCCCACTTTGTACTTCAGTTCACCTGAGTGCTTGCAGTCTACAAGTGACCAAAACAGAGGCAGGAAGATGGGGTAAGACAGGACAACCCTCATCGACATGTCAGTTGCTGGGCCACTAACCTCAAGAGCTCTGCCACGAGCGATGGCGCTTCTGAGGAACTCATGTGGAGACGTGCCGAGTCTCTGGGAAAATAGCATGCTGAGGGAAGCAACTTCGATAGTACTTTGAGAGTGAACTGCCTTGTCACCTGCGTGCTCATCGTCTGTTGGGAGACAAAGACACTGGCACAAAAATGAGCTACCACAGGAGCAGCTGTTAGGTCCTAAAGAGCCAGTGAATTTGACAGAGTTCGTTTCGAGTTGCAGAGGGCGGCCCAAACAGGGTCCATCACTTCCGTGGACATGCAACGTCCTGGCTTTGTGGGCTGCTGACCAAATGTGAAAGAAGTGAATCTCTAATAAATCCTGACAAACTGACTGTCCGTTGCAGCGGATGACGAGTGGCTGATCCTTGCGAGCGACGGCCTGTTTGCAAATGTGGAAAGGGGCGGCGGAGGCGGCTTGGAGAATCAGGAAGTGGTGGACCTGTGCAACAAGTCGGGGGCGTCCCCTGAGCAGCTGGCCAAGAAGCTGGCCTTCGCTGCACAGGAAGCCGGGTCCACCGATGATGTCACTGTCGTGGTTGTGCAGCTTGGGCAGTAGCTGCGGACATTCTTTGACTATTTTTGGGAGTGGATTTCTTTTTGATTGCTGCATGCGGACCAGGCCTGGCGTGCAATGGTAGCTTGAGAGCACAGATTGGTCTGCCAGTGCTGTTATGTATTATTTTGGGTTATGCAAACCCAGAGGAGAGGTGACATCCAAATCTTTGTGCCCCTTCTGGGGAGAATCGGATTCGTTTTCGAGGAGATCTCAGGTATTATTGTTGACAACAAGGGCCACCTTGGGTCTCTTAAAGCAGATCAATGTGAACAGCAATGCCTGTTGCTGGCGATGGTGCCATAATGTCAATCAGGAAGCTGACTGCATGCATGCATTGCGCAATAGAAATGGGTTTAATCGGGAACACTAGACTGGAATGATCCGATCACTACTTCTGGTCAAAAGTGGCCAAGTCACATGTATGAGTGGCATGGGGTGAAACAAGAAAATTTATTGGTCGATGTCAGCAAGTGAATACCCCTTGTAAGACTAAGCAAAGCCCGTGTGACGCTGTGACTCCAAAATAGGCATGTCAGCTTTTTCATCTCGCTTGTCCGCCTTGGAAGCAACTTTTATAATATTCAAAGGCGGCAGATGGTCATTGTTGTGCAACTCTGTTCACTTGCTGTTATTCAAGCTAGCTGTTCCTAACACATTTGCGCAGGTGTTCCATCGGCTTGCAGCATTTGTCAGTCCATCTGCAGTCTGAAGCTCATGGAGACCTGTGGCCCCCACATGATCCCGGGCGTATATAAGCTGTCATCTAATCAAGATTGATGGAGTTCCCAAATTTCCCGTAGAGCACCTGGCCACACCAAATTAAGGTATTTGAAAACTAAAGGAAGCACTGTGGACTGGAGGCAAACACTAAAGGCAAGTAGCTGCCAGCCTCAAGACCAAGCACAGAGAATTTCAAGGGTCATGATAGCTAGTAAGAAGTCAAGCAGCGGTACCTTCTTCAGGTCAGCCATCTGTGTCTTGATGGACTCAAGCTCACCCTCCAGGCTGGTCATGCTCTCCTTTGCTTCATCAGCAGCTGCAGTCAGTCCCACACATAGGCTTAAATCGAAAATGCAGCGGCGTCCACATATAGTTTGCGCTCATTCAGGTAAGCTGCCTCTCATCCACTGTTATGGGAGGAGAAAGGGGGTCACATTACCTGTCTGAATCTTCTCTTCAGCCTCATCAGGAGCTGCATGGTAGAAGCATTCACCAACCACATACCTCACCTGCAGCACAAGACATGAGTCCTGTTCGCAAGTGCTTTCCTGTAGCTGAGCAGGGTCAGAGAGGTCTAGGTGGTCACCTTCTCCTCGTCTGCCAGCATGAGCTCATTGGAGGCATCTTCCAAGTCATCCACGAGGGCCTGCCACGAAGATGGTGATCAGCTCAGCTGGTCGCATTGAGAGATCCGAGAAAGAGTGAAGTGTATCAATCACAGAACACTTAAAAGTTCAAGTAAAAGCATTGTGAGCTGTAGTACCTTCTTCGCTTTTAGCTCTGCCTCGATTTCTGACGAACGTGTAAAAAGCTTGTTGAACGTGTTTATATTCTCCTGATCCTCAAACGCTACATTCGGGCCACCATTTCCCTACAAAGACCCATTTCAAATCCTTCACTGATGCAGAACATGCCAGGTATGCTCGTCTTCAAAAGGACTTGATGGTCTAGCGGCAGACACATCATCACAATATCATATGCCCATCAGTATGGGAACGATGCTGCTGCTTGTTGAACAAAAATGCATCCTTACTTTCTGTATGCTTCCGCTCATATTTATGAAGGGGCGATCGCCCGCCTCGTAAGCTCAGGCTTGCCGCATCACAGTACACACATAAATTTGTATCTCTTCTGTTCTCTGCTAGTCGGCTGGTTATTGGGGAGCAGATGCTTTTCTTTCAACAAAAGATCAAGCTTCAAGCACAACTGCTTTTGCGATCGAGTTTCTTCCTGAACTGACTCCAACGCCCATGCAATACCATAGCGGGAGGCCTGAAGCAGAGGGGGATCTGAAACGGCCGCCGCTCAGCATCCCAAGCTTTGCTGCACATGCATTCGGCGTGAGGCCGTTCAATGAGTGGTAAATATTCCTGAATTCCCTGCGGGCCCCAGGCACGATATGCCCAATAAGAAATTGCAGTACATATTACAAAAAAATTCGAGCTACGCCCCCCATGGTGAATGCGGCCGCCAATTGCGCATGGAACGCATGCTGCATTTCTGATCAATGAAAGAATCATCTAGCTAGAATCGCCACGCCAGTATGATGCGGCAATAGACAACAGTTACAAGGTACTGGTGCCAAGGCAGCTCGTAATATTAATGATAAGAATATTGGACTGCCATAACTGTCAGTACACTAGTGACCGAAAGAAATGTCCGAAGCTACCGTGCGGCACAGCAGTACTACCAGCAACGTCTCAGCAAAACCGCACTTGCGCATTTTGTATTTGCAACAACTTTGCTAGCAAACAAGCACAATGAGGTGGCAACACCCACCTAGAAGTTGTATATGTGACGAATTTTCAAGGACAAAATGGTCACAATCTATTTTTGCCCTACAGGCAGCCTGACAGGAGTTGCCAGGGAGCTATTGCGGCCCTTGACAAGGCCGTCCCTGTGCTCTCTGTACAATGCAAACAGATCCCTGAAGTAGTGCTCATAGAAAAACTTTGCCGCATCAGAAGTCGCTGCGGAGTCGGCTAAGCGCTCTTGGAAGATGCTGTTGATGGGCTCAAAGATCTGCTCCAGGGCCTCGACAGTGTCATAGGCGATGGGGTTCTGCATGCCACACAGCAAGCCTGTCACAAATGCTGACACCATGCATGGAAGATTCTAGCTGGAGCCCAAGCTGAGTGCACCGGGAATTAGACATTGCAGTGGTGAATGCACATGGTTCTGCAGTTTCACACTCTTGGAAACGTGCACACCAACTTCTAGCCATAAATGTGCAGCGATCACTGGCAGGCAGGCTTCAGCATGCAGAGGAGCGTTGCACAGCAGTACACCCAATCACCTGGGTGGATCAAATAAAGCATCAAAAACACATAAAGTAGTGAGAGGCATTCTGCTGACAAACTGTCCCCTCAGCTTGCCAATCAATGCCACAACAATCTTTGATCTGCAAAGCACAAGAGCAACAAAAAAGAAGTGAAAAAGCGCCAACTTCACAAGGTTTGCGTTTCGCAGCATGCACAGCAGTTTATATTGCACAGCGGCTGCTCCTCCCCACCAAGAAGCAAGCTAATGTCTTCTTGGAGAGCTGCTCAATAAGGCTGTGCAGCAACGTGGCAGGCTGAACATGCAGAAACAGATACGCAGCTGCGCACGTTCAGTCAAGATACAAGGCAGCTGCACAGAAGAGCCAAGGGTGCCCCACCTTCACGAGGGTGGCGTTTCGCAGCGAGTGCAGCAGGTCGGGGTCGGAGAAGAGCAGCGCCTCGGCCGGGCGCAGCACGAGGTCCTCGGCGGGGCCGTTGATGCCGGAGAGCTCCAGCCACGTGGGCGTGTAGTTGGAGTGGAACAGCGCGATTGTGGCCAGCTGCGCCGCCTGATCTGGCCGCCAGCCGGATGGCTTAGTCAGCGTGTAGTCATCCACCACCTCGCTGTCCAGGCTGTTCACTGCCTGCACAACCCAGCACAGTTTCGGCTGTTAGTGCACATGAAAATATTATAAAATATTGCTAAGTAAGTTGATCAGGCCTGAGGTGTGTTTAATCAGACACAGGTCCATTTTGCAACAGCCATTCCTGCACTCGCCATTGTGAAGACAAAGGGAATCCCATGGCCACTGCAGGGATGCATGTGTCACCGTAAGCCATGCATCTGTGTGTTCTTTGATCTACGGTGCAGCCAGCTCGAGACTTCATTCATGCTCTTCACGGTGCTGCAGTGAATTAGAGTCAGGAGCATTTGTCCCACCTCCATGTGAAAGGTGGTCCTGTTTGCAGCGACGCGCAGGTAGCCGTGCTGGATGGCCACGCTCTCATAGTAGGGCGGCGTGTCCGGGCTGATGGTCCACGAGTAGGGGGCTCCTACAATAGGAAACATTACCATACTTCTTTATTGGAGGTTCTTGGCACAGAGCTCCAAAGGAGGCTGCAGAGAGAGATGAGTTGTCGATACTTTTGTGCAACAGTCACGCCTTGATCATTTGCTATACTGGAGGTGGGTGTCATATTGTGGCACAATGACACCCAACGACTGTCCCTCTTTGCCAGAGCTGCATCTACAGCCAGTGATTTGGGTCATTGATCAGACTCTGGTTATCAGAGTGAGGGCATGCCTGCATGGCCGATGAGCATGTGGACGGGTGCATTGGCGCTGCCGTCCGCCGCGTAGCCCATGCAGTTGCGCTGGAAGACCGGGCAGGTGCGCGAGTATGAGTGCACGTGACCAAACCAGGTCACGTCCACCTGGACAGCACACAGACACTTCCTTTCATGCATGAACCTCCACAAGCTTGCATGCAAGGGAGCTAAAGCCTTCAGCGAGCTTGTCAGCTTTCAGAAAGGCAATGTCCCTCACATGATCTGCCTCCCAAGCACAGGGAACCAATTCTGGTCGCATACAGCAAAGGATTGGGCACTTAGTAGGTTTTTTTGGGGAAAGGAAAACTTCCTTCCCTTGGAACATGAGAATTCAATGGAAAACCAATCTGGAATACTGGAGTAACTGTGATATGGGAATTTTTTGGAACAGGCATTTCTGGCTTGCCACAAGCGCACACCTGATACTGGAAGAAGAGGCGCTCCAGGGCAGCGCGGATGGCATCAGTGAATCCGACATCGCCGGAGTCGGAGTTGCCATAGACGCTATCAGTGTAGAAGGGGCGGTGGAAGCCGGCCACCAGCCAAGGGGTGACCGAGCGATCCACCCTCTGCAGGTCGCGCAGGATCCAGGCGTATTGCTCCGAGCCGGGCGCGAAATCGTGCTCCGTGGAAAACTGCAGGAAATGGATCGGCCCGTGGTCAAAGCTGTACCTGCGCATGCATGCATGACACTCTAAATCCTTAAATGTCTGCATGCAAGTTTCTTGCTGTCTCCGTCACTGTAAATCAGCTTGATGTTTGTCACCTGGTCGCTCCTCCTGCTTGGCAGGCAATTTGGATGCTCATCTCAGCATTGCCGGCACTTTTGGGAATCTCACAAACTAGTTGCACCCTGAAGTTACCTATGGATACTTTATAAGCTTTAGATACGTCGCTAGCACGTTATTGGGCTCAGGTGAGATGGAGAATGAGAGCGTACCACTCCTTGTCTTTGCCCTGCAGAGGCATGGGGAAGCGCTTGTCATAGACTACTCCGCACTCGCCGCCAGAGTCGTACGCAGGCGGGAAGTCAAAGCGCGTCCCCGTGCCCGGCCAGTCCCTCTCATGATTGCCTGCACGCCAACAAAACCTTTACTGCAATGCAAATTAGCAAACCTCAATCCTTATGCAGAGAATGGGTCCATAAGAGAAAAGTTTCATCTCAAGAGGTTCTTATGCCCACTGTGTGAATAGGAGAGCGCACCTGGCGTGAGCATGTATGGGGCCTTCTGAATCACCGGCCCCATCATGTCCATGAACACATTCCAGCCGTACACAAAGCCCCTGCAGCCACACTCTTGTCTCAGCCTTGATTGCATTCAAGTCTTCATTGTATTCCATTCCTAGCAGCAGGACACTCGTCAACACGTGCCAGGAAATTAAATGTGAAAGCAACAAATGGGCTGTGGCAACAATCTGGGCGCACTCTGCATAGCTGACATCGCCGTTGTGCACGATGAGTGTGCGGCCGTCGATGTCCTCCTGCATGCGCTTGGCAGTGATGAGCGCCGCGCAGTAGTCCACCCAGCCCATGTGCAGGGCGTTCTGCACCTGCACCCGCAGCATTGTATGCATGTCACGAAGTTGTACTGGCGGCTACTGCTTATGGCTGCAACCCATCACCTGCTGTCACATGCGGTATGCAAGCTGCCTCTGCTCATTCTGCCTCAGCGCAGCACACCTCACAAAAGAGTCATGGTGGAGCCACTGGACAACACTGCATATCCTTCAAATGGAGATGCATGCTCTGGAGTGATTAGTGTGGCACAGTGGGGGCCACCTCGCTGATGATCTGCACATTTGTGCCATACGGCTCCACTGCCACAGCATTGGGGTAGTTGCCAGGCCAAGTCATGGAGCCGTCCTCCTCACAGAAGCCCAGGTCAGCAATCGCCAGCAGCTTCACAGTAACGTCCGAGCCCGGCGGCGGCGCGGTCACAAACGACAGCTCCTCACTGAAGCCAAAGTCCTGTGAACAACAAAAATACAGAGTCAGCCCAAGTCATAGTGTTCTGCCCTACTGCTGCCCTGCAATTGAATCATAAAATTGAGGACGGCCCCGACCTCCCCACAGCTCACGCAATTGTGTTGGACATTAATTCATAGGAATGTTGACCAGGAGGTTTTGGCCAGATAAAGTGGGCAAGGAAGTGAGAGATCACCTCATTGCCATAGGCATAGAAGTAGCGTGTGTCAGGCGCCAGGCCGCTCATTTTTGCAGTGTGGAACAGCCCAGGATTGATGTAGCCAGTCGTGTTTGCCACGCCACCGCACAAGTCTTCCCGCCTGTATGTGTCTGTTGTGGCGCTGGAGCTGGATGACAACTCCCCCGACCGTGTGCCCCACCTCACCACTGGAGACCCCTTGTCCCGCGTCGTCCATTGCACCAGCATCTCACTGCAGAAGAGCAACACACAATCCTCCATACACATCAATATAAAGCACTGCTTTCATGAAGCTCCTCTGTGCTATTGGGTACATGGCATATTCTGTGCTACAAACTTACTCTCTAATTTTAATGGACTGCACATCATGCATTCGACGATATGCTGCTGTGAAGTGTCAGCATGCATGATGCCAAGAGAGATACTAGGGACAAGAGATCAGTCAAGACGGCAGCGCACCTCAGATTCCCTGTGAGAGCCAGGTGGCCCTGCAGCGGCTCGTTGGGATTGGCAGGCCTGATAATCTGGCTCTCAGCCACCACATCAAACAGCCCCAGCCAGTTTGTGAGGTTTGTCACCATTATGAACTTCATGTCCGCCCTGTGATTGAGCAGCCGGAACCTGCACATGCACATATATTGCCATCAGACCAACAGGCCTGCCAAAAACCCAGACCTCGACTGAGAAAACTACTGTTATTTATCCGTGCATTGTCAAAAGGGAAATTGGGAAATTAAGCAGCAAGGGAGGATGCTCTCACTTCAAGCTTCCTGATCCCTCCTTCAGGTGCATGGGTGACTCGCTGGCCCACTTGTGCTTGGCCGGCGCAGTTTGTGCATAGTCCACATCAGCAGGCACCACCAGGGCGACTGCATCATGTATCGATGGTGATCGAATGCCGCTCCATGACACCTGCAGATGCGCAGCATGAGTGTGGGATATGTGTGCCCCTCTTGCTTTCTTGTGTGCTTCCTAAGATCTGATTCTGTCCCTTCACAGACATGTAGGGAAAAGGCCTAACACATTTTAGATCCACTTGGTACATTGTAGCTACTGGCAAACATAATTCTGAGAACCCCCACCTCCACCCACTCGCCAGATCTGTTTAGAGCCGTGGTGTTGACTTGCAACAGCGGGACGTCCTCGCTTTGACGTGCAGGACGAGATGTAGCTGCTGCAAGCTGGCATAGCAGTGCTGCTATATACAGGAATTTCTTTCGCCTGAAACTATTTCTTGGCGCCATCGACATCCAGGCAGCTGACGACACGAGAACTGGTGTCTTGCACACTCTCAATATTTGTCACATCAGCTCTTGTCTTGGTGGAATCCGCGCTTTACTAGGTTTCTGATGGGAGCCAAAAGTGATAAGCTTGCGGCTGTAAAATACCCCCTCTCACCTAGAACAAATCAATATGTTTGTTAGGCGATTAAGTAGTTTTGATCTGCAGACCACGGTGCACAGATTGACCTTCAGCTTCTGGGACATCGGAATCACGTCGACTTGATGTGTACTCAACAATAGAACATACTGATCAACCTGAGACACCAATGATCCTAAGGTGGTTACAAATAGCTTGAGATTCTCTTGGTTGGACAATGCTATCTGCATTGATGCCTATGTATTCTTGTGCTGGGGACCTCATGACGTGGCCTTGCCACGCTGGCGCCACGCTGGCCATGACTCCTGGAGCATGCATGCTAACTAGATGTCACCTTCGACACATTTTTGTGCATGCAAAGTCGCACCATCTTCACGAATGGTAGTGGAGTGGGGTGAGCGGCTAGTGGCAGTCGCGCTGACTATCGGGGTGATCATCGCTGCCGGCAGCAACTTGAAATGCCAGTTGCAGTGGTCGCTATCAATAGACGAATCATGAAGATTTTTGATGGACTCTTTCAGGCAGCATGGCTCAGACATGCGCTCCCAAGTGCGTGCCAGTTCTTATCACTGCTTTGTGAAGTCTGTGTCCCCGCTTCAAGCATCATGCTTGAGTGAGTCGCCAACTGGCTTGCAAATTGTTCCTACATTCACAGCAATGACATGTATATTCCTAGGGCCCAAGAGTTGTAATATACAACATATACTGGTCCCTTTATCACAATAACAGACAACTGGAGGTTTACACACAGCTGGATTGCTTCAGCCCAAGTGATACTAAGGTACAAATCTACATCAAATTATTAGCAAGTGTAATCATTTGGTGGTGCCATCATGCACACTGCCTACTGTACTACTAGGGTTGATTAACACTGCGCCAAAATTCCATCTTGCGCAAGCAAATACACACTCAGCAGCATTCATTTAAGAGTTCGCAAGACAAGTCAATTTCCTTGAAAAATTCCAATGGGTTCTTGAAGGTTTTTGCCCGGCCCTAATGTCACATGGGTCACATGGGCCAGTGTTCACCTGTTCCTTCTGGTCTATTTATGCTCTTGCAAGCATTCTGGTGTCAGGCTGCATCCAGCAGTGCACAAACAATGCACACTGCTGCATAAGCCATTCTGCATTGCCGTCCTTGCAAATATGCAAAGCTTGCTGCATCGACAAGGTATCCTCTGGCCCTGACTACTCTACGCACTGACTACTCTGGAAGGCTTGCTTGAGCTCTGTATCTAGCCTGAAATGAGCCTACCCAATCTAGGGTGAATTTCTTGCCTCTGCTGTCTTCTGTCAGTTTCAAAATCAAACCATGAGCAGGCGGCGGCCGGCAGTGTTGGTGCCGGTACTGCTGCTGCTGGAGGAGCTCGAGCTGTCAGTGCAGGGGTTGTTGATCCACCCACCGTTGTCAGAGTTGGCGCATGATGAGTACTGAGTCGCCTTGACAGCTGCACACAGCACACCACATACTTAAATAGATGGATTTGGAGATCTTGTCAAAACTTCTCAACAGATTGCCATTCACTTGTCACCGGTGGGTACCCATGATTGCGAATGGCCCAGGCACTGTGTCAATTCGCAAGGCAAGGTAAGCTTTGCTAACAGCAGGCAATGCAGAGCATGACATGGGGCAATGCGCTCACCGAACTCAATCTGTGCAGTTGAGATGCCAACCATGGGCAGCAGTCCCAGCAGCTGCTGGCTGCAAGAGCAGCCCTGCACACAACGTCCTTCCCATCAGCATGTTTTGGATTGCTTGTCAAGGATACAAGTATCTTAATGTGTACAACCAGGGAAATTGCTGGTGTGAGATGCAGCATGGCAGGGGGCTCTCACATCCTCAATGAAGACCCTGACAGCCGCGCAGCACCTGCACAGCACAGACACACCAGGTCAGCCCAGATCCAACAAAGATTTCCTATTATTTGAAGTCTGGTCTGAATGCAAGACATACCCAAGGCGGTTTGATCGCCAACTGTCTGCACCATTTCTGCCAGGAGGAAAGGTGCGCCTGCCCACAAGCTGCCCACAAATGCAAACTACATGAAAATGGCGGAGCAGGCGATTTTCACTGAGTGCATCAGCATAGCTGGCTGGGGGGCTTTCGGCAGGCTCTTACTGTGAGCTGGGGACGGGTGCTGACGCGACTGCAGCCTTGATGGACTCGTCATCGGTGGAGGGGTTTGAGTCGAGGATGCTGCGGTAAGAGCTGATGAGCGACGCGCACGGCGCGTTGTTGCCGGTCAGGGACATCGCCTCGGCCACGCAGTCTGCGCACAACACAGACAATCAGCACTTGTTGTTTACTGCTAGCTGATGCTCTGTTAAAAGCTGTAAGGGACCAGCTATGCAAAGAGCTGCACAGAATGCATTTCAATTGTTGTAATTTCCTGCATGCATGGATAGCACGTGAAGCTGCGGCCACCTGTGCTACTCTGACCTTGATCTTCTCCTACAACTTGTTGGGTGAAGTCTTCATTGATTCGTTTGAAAGGCACGCATGCATGCATGCGAGGACATCGATTCAAGTAATATGCTTGGTGGTGAAAAGGGGAGGGGACAGCGCACTTGCTGGGGGGCCGGTTCTGGCGGCAAGTCCGGCAACACCGCTGACAGATGGAGCAGGGGCCTCGGCAGGCGATGCGGCGGGGGATGCCTCTGAAGCAACAGGAGCCTCAGTTGCTGGTGCTTCTGCTGCTGGTGCTTCGGCGGCTGGTGCTTCGGCGGCTGGAGCCTCGGCTGTGGGAGCTGCGGCAGGGGCTTCTGTGGGGGCTGCTGCTGGCACCTCGGTAGCTGGTGCTGCAGCTGGTGCCTCGGTGGGAGCGGCTACTGGAGCTGCCACAGGGGCATCTACTGGGGAGGCAACGGCCTCAGCGGGCGCAAGGTCGGGAGCCTGGGCGCGTGCTGAGCCGAGGAGGGCCGCCAGGATGAGGCAGAGAATGACCAGAACGGAAGGAGACTGGTTCGCCATTGTGTATGACCCTGCAGGAAAACGTCCTTTGCTTGTTGCGGGAGCTGCTGAGCTCGACACAAATATTTACAGTATGATAGAGACAGCTTGCACGTAAGGATGGTGTGATCCGATGTCCCAAATTTCCGAAGACGCGCCGCAGAGCGTCATAGACCAAACTCGTCGCTAAAAAGCGATCAATGGAGGAAAACGCCACGAAATGCGATATTGCCAAGCTGACAACAACAATACTCAAGCAAAGCTGGTAATGTTTCGGGGACCTGAATGATGAACGTCCCTCTATTTGCCAACAAACGTGCACACCGAGTCCTACTACAGACTTGCCGAGAAGCTGCAGGGCGTGCTGCGTCTCACGCATCTGAATCTCAAATTAATACTCAAATACTTAGCAAGACCGATGATAACATCACAGTTCATCGATCGGGAACCAAAGCAGGGCAGAAGGAGCATGGGATCACTCACCTGGTACTGCAGCAGTCGATGATTTAGGCAGGCGTATGGGAAGCTCCTTGACCTTGAAAAGATTGGGAAGATAACAAGTGGTGTTCGTGCACGATCAATTTCACGCAGATCGTCGCGGAGCACAAATTATAGGTGTCGGAGAAACTTCTGACCGCGGGTCAACGGGGCTTCAAGGAGGTCCGGATCCGTCCCGTAATCGCTGCCCGATTTGGCGCACAGGGCAGTCATCTAGATCTACCAGCCATGCAAATTCTGCTCCTGTCAAGGATGCATCATTCACTGTAGCATCATTCCAAGATGCGTAGAAGCCTGAATCTTTCGAAATTGATTTAGGAAGAAATAAATACAGCAGAAGGTGCAACGAATGACATTCTCTTCGAGCTTCTCCCAGTTGAGATGGGTAAAAACCAGGGAGGAGTCAGTTCCTGATGTGTGACCCCTAGCAGCATCTTTCGGAGGGATCAACTCTCCCTTTCAGTATCTGATATGGCGCAGGATCAAAGATCCTTGTTAGCTATGCTACACGAGGATGATGATGGGGTGAGGCTCTGGAAATGTTTGAATGTCCTGCATCTGTACGTGCAAGGCAAGACAGATGGGCAGATGTGAGCTAAATATTGACATCAGTTTCAATATCCAGCACTCATCAATCCGTTTCTTGGCAGTTATGCCTCAGTATGATTCCCAATGCCGCAACGAAGCAGTTCTTAGAGCTAAACGATTCTGTGCTTCAGGATACTGTCACTCTTGACGACGACAACAAATACAGAGCATTATTTCAGCAGCCTTTCCAGCAACAGCCTGGCACTTCGCAGCCAGGACCAGCTGCTAATGGCAAGTTCATCTTCCTCTTCTTTAAAGCACCTTGTCTGTATCATCACCCGTCTACACCAGTTATTCACGGCACCATCCGGACACCGTGATGTGCTCAAATCGATCTCTTGAGAAGTACCGTGTGGGATCAGGTGTTCCAGTGGCGTCACAGCAGCAGCATGCAGCGGTGCGGCCTGCGTACATGCAGCAGCAGCAGCAGCCACCACCACAGCAGCAACAACAGCATCATGCAATGGCTCGACCTGCACGCATGCAGCAGCCGCAGCCGCAGCAGGGGATGATGCCACAGGCGAGGGGCGCTCTGCAAGGCATGCCACCCCGCCCTGCTCAGGTGGGCGGACCCCCCGGTCCAGTGGGGGCCTCCCAGCCCATGCGTCCCCCGCAGCAACACACGGGACCCCCATCATACTCTGCTCCTGGCGGTGTGAGCCTTCCCCAGCCGACAGGGCTTGCTGCCCACCAGCAGAGGCCGCCTGGGTACCCGCAGATGCCCCAGCCAGCAGCTCAGTACTCACAACCGCAGCAACAGCAGCAGCAGCAGCAGCAGCAGCAGCAGCAGCAGCAGCGGCCGCAGATGCCCCAGCCAGCAGCTCAGTACTCACAGCAGCAGCAGCAGCAGCAGATGCAGCAGCGGCCGCATATGCCACAGCAGCAGCCGGGCGCGCAGTATTCACAGCAGCGGCAGCCGGTGCAGCCGGTGGCGAGTGCGGCGCAGCAGCAGGCAGCATTCTCAGCAACCATGGCGCTGCAGGCGGGGAAGGGAGGAGTGCCTGCAAACTTCAACCCTGAGCAGATTCGCCAGCTCCAGCAATTATACCAGCAGCAGCAGCTGCAGCGGCAAGCGCAGGTATTCTCCAGCCGACCTTCCCCTTACCTGTACTGCCTTGTGACATATATTTCCCCATTTTCACTAGGCAAGCTTTGCTGCTGCCACTTTGTGTCACATTTGCTGCCCGGCCCATTTTCCTTTGCCACCACTGCTGCTTCCTCTCTGCGGCCTCTTTGACGATTCCCCCTGTGCTGGCTTTCCTTGCAATCACAGCCACTGCCTCTGTGCGGCCCTTCCTCTACCTGTGTGCCTTGCCCATATTGCTCTGCAATCATTGCCACTGCACATGGCCTGCTTTCCCCCTGCTCCTGGCCATCTTGCTCTGTGACTATTGCAGCTCCCACTGTAATGCCTTTGTGACACATGCTGCCCCAAATTTCCCTGCAATGATTGCACGATTGGCCCCGGCTGGCGGGGGGCGGTATAAATACTGAGCACCGTGCCCATGGTTGATTGGGTCTTGCTTGGATCTGGCGAGTCCATGAAGGGGTGGGATTTTGGCAGCCTTTACTGCCGCTTGTCTGCAGACGCACCTTGCTTCTGGCAGGAAAAGCGTGTAATAATAATAATAATTGCACGTGCCTCTGAATGGCCTTTGTGACATTTGATGCCCGGCCCTTTTTGCTTCCCAACCATTGCCGCTGCCATGACGCTGCTATCTAGCTTTGTGACAGATGCCTTGTGCCCCATGTTGCTCTACTACCACTGCCAGTGCATTTGTGTGGCCTTTTCTGACACCTGCTTCAGCCCCATTTTGCCCTGATCACTGCCAATGCCTCTGTGCGACCCTAGTGCCTCATGCATTTCGCCCAATGTTGCTTCAATTTCCAGGTGTCCTGCCTCGTCTTAACCCCCCCTGTTGCTCCCTTTTTGGGGCCTTTGTGGAACATGTTTTCTGCGCCTTTTATTGTGCGAGTTACCTTCTGCCCTCGTCTGGCCCTTTCTGATGCAGCCCATTCAATGCTGCTCTGCTGCCATTGCCCATGCGTCAAGGCAGCCTGCCAGAGGCATTGCCAAGTATCTGAAATTGAGTTGTGTTCAGGCTGCCAGAACTCCCTCTCCTGCACCGAGAGCGCCCTCCCCTGCACCACAGGGGGCAGTGCAGCAGCCGCAGCAGCAACAGCCGCAACAGCAGCAGCAGCCGGGTCAGCCGCCGCCGCCAAAACAGCAGACTATGACCGACCTGATCGCGTATCTGCAGAAGCAACTTCCCGCCCATGAAGTGGCAGCTCTGACGGCCCACATGCAGGCCTACAAGGTGCAAACTCCTTTGTCTGGCCTCAAAGGCACCGCAAGGAAGCAGATCCTGAAGGTTACTGTTGGAATGCATCTTCAGGGGGGCAAAATTGAGGAACATAGCATTGTGAGCAAGCTTCCAGTCTCTTGCTTGCCCTGCGCAGACCTGCAAGACACAGGAGGAGAAGACTCAGTGGAACATGAAGCTGAGAACAATCGTGGGCCAGAAGCTGCTAGCAGACTTCCAGCAGCACAGCCAGCAGGCACGCATCCATCTACCCACCTCTGCCGCACATCTGCTGTCCCTGAAATTGCTCTGACTCTGCGCAATATCGTACTCTGCCTCGGCCCCAACTGCCGCCTGCACAATTTCCTCCCGATCGCCGTGTTCTCCAGTTTTACTGAGAATCCGCACAGATCGGTCGCTCTGCGTGGCTCGATGGAAAAGGGAGATCAACCAGCCCACATGCAAAGTGTGAGCAACTATGACCAGATGCTGGCATAGTATGATGTGAAAATGTGCTAATGAGCAGTGTCAAGAGTGATTCTGATAAATTAGTCGTGCTGCCGCAGGTGGCCAGGTCTCAGGCAGCGTCCACTGCGCAGCAGCCGAACCGTAACGGGCAGCAGCTGCAGGCAGGGCAGCTGCCCAGAGCGCCGTCACCTGCCCCACCCATCAGACCAGCTTCCACCCCTGGTGCGGCGTATAGTTTGCATTTTTAGGCGCAGTTCCTTCCAAGAGAGGCAGGATGCGTGTGCTGACCAGCTGCAGATATGGAGTGTCACATGTCCTGACACCTGTTGGACTCACCGGAGACGAGCAGGACCCAATCAACTAAGTGGGCACACCGCTCAATATTGCCAGTTGGCCCCAGCACATGTTGGTTTGGTTGCCTGCTAGGACAAGGCTGGAGGTTATGCTTCGGCATTGGAAGGAGCGTATGAGCAGGGCTGCATAAAAGGCTGATTGACTGAATGCCTGTGTGTGTGTGTGACAGGGGCAGTGTCACAGGCGCAGTCAGCGGCAAATCTGGCGTTCCTGCGAGCGCAGCAGCTTGTCAGGCAGCAGCCGCAACAGCAGCAGCAGCAGCCTCGACCGGCTGTATCCCAGCAGCAGTTTCCGTACCCATACACAACAGTGCAGCAGAACCCAGGTACATCACATTCCACCCTCCATGCTTGAACTAACATCTGCTTTGATATCTACAGTGTCAGGTACCTCATGGATTTTACTGATACCGCACACCTACCACCAGCCAGTCATGAATTGCAGCCGAGCTTGACTTGGACAGAATTTAATCACCAGATACGGTTCATCAGTCTAATTGACAAGGATACAAAGCGGTCAGCAGTCCTTTTGACGGGTCAAAATTGGACAGAGCCTCAGGCTGTGTCAGATCCTCACAAATGTGCCGCAAGATGGCATCATAAACAGGAGACAATTTCAAGGCCAATTGGCAGGCAGGACAGACTTGTGCCCAAGTGGGTCACATTTGTGCACATTTTCCAGAATGGATGAAGCTAGCTGTCTTCTTCCTTCATGTGTCCTGTTTTTTGTACAGGGCGGGATCCGCGCGCGCAGGTGGGGTCAGCGCCAATGCTTCAGCAGCATCTGCAGCAGCAGATGCCGGCGCAGAATGGGGTGGCATTGCAGCACGTGGCTGCGCTGGCGGCGGCGGCCGCTGCTCAGCAGCGGGCAGCCGCCGCGGGCAAGCGGCCGGCCGAGCCGGGTGCCACCGACCCGGCCGCCAAGCGCGTGAAGAAGGAGGATGACCTTGGGAATGATGTTCTTGCGGTACGCGTGCCCTTTCAAGGAATTTTCTTGATGGTGACGTGGTTGGAGGGATCCTAGCCATGCTGTGTCTGCATTCCGTTCAGCGGGTTCACACTGGGTATGTTTAACAACCTACACAGTGGTACTTCGCTGACCGGGAAGCACATCCAGCATGTTCAAGTATTGGCCGTGAGGCAGATGTCATTCAGACTTTTACTGAGAATAGTTGTCAAAAAGCGGCTGAATAATTGAGAAGAAATAAAAAGACCTGGTGGGAGCCACCTGAGGTTCGTGGTTTTATGGGCTGTCTTTCTTTCACTTAAGCAGACAATATTTGTGCATGGGGTTTGCAGGACAGCGGAGTGAATCTGGAGGAGGAGGAGAGCCGGATGGTGGCGGGCCGTGAGCGCAACGTAGCCTCCACCATGCCGCTGCCCCAGGAGACCCTCTGCATCAACCGCGACCCCTTTACCCAAAAGGTGAACCTCACCACCAGCTCGCTGCAGCCTCCTATCAACATAGTGTCAATTTTGCAGTTGATTGTTGCAGTTGCAGTGAACACAAGTGACTCTTGTCATCGCCAAATTGTGCACATGCCCGTCCAAGAAGGATTGCGTGCATGTTGACCCCTCAAGTTATAGGACGAGGGGGCAAAAGGTGTAATTTTGATGACTAAATGGCTGCATCATTTTGCTGCATGAGCCGCACAGCAGTGATGCATGCCGGTACGCGAAGACACGTATCGTTTATGTGCACCTTCCCTCACCAAGCAATTTGCTTGTTATCATGAAGTACTGGCCGACACCAACTTCTGGGAAAGCAGTGCTATCTACTTTTACTTTTTTGGGCATGCTGTACGCAGCTTCAGATGAGATCTGGGTGATTCTTCATGTCATCATCCCTTGCTGCAGGCGAGGGAGATAGCGCGGGAGCACGGGTTGGCGGGCGTATCCGCAGAGGTCTGCAAAATCATCAGCCTGGGCCTGGAGGCGCACCTGGGCGACCTGCTCCGGCGCGCATTCGTTCTGGCCCGGCAGCGCGCTGACATCGGCCGCCGCCTGCCTGGCATGGAGGTTTGAACTCAAAAACGGTTTTATTTTGGTGGACCAGCATTTTGCCTTGCCAGTGCCACAAATTGCCATGAGTGACTGGCTTCAGATTACATTATACCGTAAACTGCATCGGCAACACACCCACTGTAGCACTGGTTGTACTTTGTGATTGAAACTGCTGAAGTGGGGGACGTTCTTCCGAGATTGGGTGTTTTGCTTGTTGAGAGGGCTGATGTGGAACTTGAGCAATTGCTGGAGAGGGTGTACGTGACGAGCTGCTGCTGTGCAGATCGTGGGCAACGTGCGGAGGCAGGTGCAGCAGATCGCGAAGAAGGAGCAGGAGGCTGCGGAGGCTAAGGAGGCCGCTGAGCATGAGAAGCTCAAGGTGTGGCTTCACCTGTGCTCTGTCACCCTTCACACCGGGGTGCCACATGGCTGTATGCAGGATGCATGTTGTAGGTCCACAGTTGACGAAGCACCAACACAGCACCTGTGAGATGCATAAAGAGGAAGCGTTGGCGGACTAAATTTAGCCGTGATTTCAGCCCACTTACCAAGCAGTGACACTTTGAAGTGTGCACAGGCGGAAGCCAAGAAGAAGGCAGCGGATGACAAGACGCGCGAGCGGATGGAGAAGCTGAACAAGGCGCAGGACGAGAAGGTGCAGGCCTCGGCGGCCAACGCGGCCGCGCAGCTGGCTTTCGGCTCCAACGCGCGCTGGAACCGCTGGGGCGCCAAAAAGGACCCGGCGGCTAAGCCCGACGCCGCCGCGCCGTCGGCCGCCGCGGCCGGGAGCACTGCCGGGCCAGCTGAGGCGTCGGCCTTGGCGTCGGCTGCCGCCGCTCCCGCGGCCTCCGCTGCGGCTCCTGGGGCCGCCAAAGCAGATGGTAGCGCAGGTGAGAGGTTGCTCTGCAGCAGGGCTTATTCACAGAATAAAGATCAGGATATTGCGAAGCTGGCTTTGGTAATGGCAATGGCTCGAGCAGGGTTGAGAGCCTGTTTTTTTATGTGGGTGTTCTTTGGGGCATGATCTGTCCTCATCGAGCGTGATGCTGCTGCCTGATTGTGGAGCAACCACTGTCAGCGCTTGGCATTCAGCATTGCCGATGAACGGTACTTTTGGGGTGGGCAGGTGCGGCGCAGCTGGGCATGCGTGCAGCGGCGCTTATGCCCTCGGCACAAGGGGAGCGCAGGGCGTTGGCGCTGAAGGATGTGATTGCAGTGCTGGAGAGGGACCCCATGTACGCCAAGAGCACATTCCTCTACAAGCTCTACGAGCGCTTGGGCTGACAGTCAAGTCACCTGTGGGCAACCTTCTGGAAGCGGGTCTAAAGCTTTCTAGAGCTTGAAGCGAGCGCCCTGGGCCGACAGTCACCTCTAAGCAAAGTTTGTAGGCTCATTTAATGAAAGTGGGTTTGAAAGGGTGTTGTCGGCAATCTGGATTGCCAGAAACATGAGACGTTTGAGCGGCAGTCATCTGTGAGCAATGTGAGCCCAATTTTGGAAGCTATTTGAAAAGGTCCTGTGAGCAACTTGGGTTGCCAGCCAAATGAGATAATGCTCTGCAGTACTGAAAAGCGCAGAGAGGAAGATGGACAGATGCACAGCAGGTGATTGGTTGGCCTGCTGTTTTCCTAACGTAGAAAGGGAGATAAATATGCAAAGATGCCTTGCATGTACGAGGATGTGCGATGCTGCAATCCATAGCGCCATGTAAATTGGAGGAGGAGCAACCACGTTATCAGCTCGAGCATCTTACACGGCCATGCATGGCTGCCTCATAATACACAGGCAATTGATGCACAGCCAGAGGCATCCCATTGCATCATTCTCGATTGGAGCAAGCCAACAATTTTATCACGATCATTGCATCCAGCAAACACTCTCACAATCGATATCAGATCCATGGTATGTTCCAAAATTCTTGCCAGTCAGAAGAATAATCGCTATAGAGCTAACGCATAAAGGCGAAGTATCTACATTGGTTCCGGGGTAATGTTCTCTTGATCTATAGCTATGCTTCTACATCTAGCGCCCTGCAAGGAATATGAGTCTCTGCTGAGCTGGAGCGACACTGAGGAAGCCCCAGGATCGTGTGAAATGAAAGCAAACCATCAGCAACCCTCCACACAAACTGGTTTAATACTACTCTTGCATGCCTGAACCAGGCAGCAACGCTAATTCCAGCCTGCCATGCAGACACAGTTGTAACCGTGAACCTGTACAGGCACCTCTTCTACAGCAAATTTGCGCCAGCGGCACACATCACAAAAACCGGCTTCTAAACCTCCCACCCTCCTCTAATACACACACACCACCAGACAAGCCCTACAAATTTCTACACATCTGATGCAGACAATGCACACACGATCTCACACACTCTTCTGGCAGCCCCACACGATGCAGCAGAGCACTCAGGCGGTGAGCCATTGCGCAGCCATCTGGGCGCTGTAAGGCTCACCCTGGCAAACGCTGACTAGGCTGTAGTGGACGCATGTGCAGTCCTCCACGGCGCTGCGCATCGTTTTGAGCACATAGCAGCCATCGTTATCGCTTGCCCAGCTGCTCTGGATGACAACGCCCCAGTACTGCACGCCCTTCTCTGTATTCGCACTGCCCGGCTTCCCGGTCTTGCTGCCGCTGCTGCGCGGGCTGTGAGGCAGGATGTTGTTCGCGACGGGCGCCTGCAATGCAATCAATGCTTCAGAATTGGGAGTCCATTCATCTTGAGATCCTTGCAGCACTGCTACATACCGAAACATTCTAATGCTTCTATAAGAAACAGTCATGCTTTCATATTGAAGCGGGTCCAGTTTAAGCGCTGACAACCATGTGAACATTAGTCAATGTGGTGCGCAAACTCGCGTCCAGAGGAGTTGTCCAATCCCATTTGTCTGTGGATAGTACAGCAGTACCTTCCATGACCAAGAGGCACAAAAAATGGGTCCTCACCTGAGCACTGGTCTCATCATCGCAGCAGTCGCCGATGCTGCCGGAGAGGGCCGGGATGGAGAGGCCGCTCTGCATCATGCGCGCACATGACTCCATGCGTTCGGCATGCCTCTGCTGCCAGATGTGCGCGGGCTCCTCTCCGACGGCAATGCCTGTCAGCACATCTGTCGCGCTGTACTTTGCGCTCTCCCTGGCAGCCTGCAATTGAAAGAGACACAAGGCCGTAAGCACAACAAAATGCGCATTCTTGGAGGCACCTCATGGACCAGAACAAACGGACACCAGAACCAAGCACTGGCTGATGTTAAAAAGGACTTGCGCCAACAGCCATCAGCACACGTGCAACACAGGTGCAGGCACAAGGCAACACAGCACAGTACTTCAAGCTCCTCAAGGAGCGCGTGATCAAGAGCGCAACCAATGCAAGTGGCCGGTTTCAAAATTGAGTGAGGTTTTGAATAATGTACCTGCAGGGCGCGGCTGCTGTGTGAGGAGGTCATGTTGATTGGGTGTATGAGCACAATGACCTCCGGTGAGGCCTCTGCCAAGTGCTCTGCAATGCCGTGCCACAGCTGAGGGGCCTGCATGCGCACATAGTGAAGTGATGTCAATATCAGCAAATATTTAAGATCATCAACTAAACACCATGTGGCATGCAGAGCAGGTGCGTTCATATTCAATGCCTGGCACAGGGTCAGAAAGGCAGAAATTGCTGCATGGCTGGCTGTAGACGCACCTGAACGACCGCTGACGGGACTGAGTGGTGCAGAAAGCTGTCAGACTGGAGTGACATCATCAGCTGCAGGAAGGGGGCCTGGTCGAGGTGCTTTGCGGCCTCTGCAATGCATTTGCTCAGCCAATCCGGCATGCTGGGACGCACTTGCTGCTCTGGGATGTCATAGCTGGCAAGCGCGCCTGTCATCGTCAGGGAGGATTGGCACACCAGGGGATCCCTCCTCGCCTGCACCAGCAGAGGTCACAGAAAAGGTCAGCATTGCTAAACAGCCATATTGCCACTGAGGATCCTGACTTTTTTGCATTCCGGGTGTAAGTGTACATTCAACGTGGCTCTTCCTGTGACTGATGCAGCAGAGCCATGCGAAGAAACTGCTACATCAAGGCCTCTCCGTAGCAAAATGTGCACCAACTGATAGAGGAAACTTCACCACCAGGGGCAAAGAAAATGCCCTGCATCATAGATTGTTGCACTCGTACTGAAAATCTGAAGTTTTGATCTCCTACCTTTGTATTGGCACTGCCACGCAGGGATCGCCCAAAGGAGGCCTGCTCGTGCACAGAGACGACAGGCATCGATCTGCCTGGGCGAGAGCATCTTCCAGGGGTGCCTCGGGGCGAGAGCTGGTTCGTTCCATCACTCTTGGAAACTCTTCCGGTAGCTGACCAAGCACCGCTCCGACCGACACCAGTTCCAACGAAGTCTCCCATGGTACAGGCAGTCGCGCACGACAAAGGTATCCTAGTTCATACAAAAATTATGTACCGGCTTAGAGAGTTCAAAACCAATCTTTTGGTCTAACCACCAGCGCAGCTTCAAGCGTAATCCGAGGCAGGTTCGAGGACGAGTTCCAGCACCCAGCGCCACACTAGACAGATTCCATTTCAATCACAGTGAGGCTTGTGGGTGGGACTCCGTTCTCAAGAGCCCCGTGGCTGGCTGGAGGAGGTCGCCTGTCACCACCGTGCAGGAATGTGGGGAGCACGCGCTCCGATACAATTACATCACCTTCTTCCGAGAATGGCGTCAGCGACCAAAACAGGCCAAGTACTGACCAGGAACGCCGTTTGGGGAGTTGATTATGCTGGGAAAGGGCAGATTCACCCAGAGCTTCCAGGCTGTGCAATCTGAGGAGGGAGCAGGGGCAATCAAGAGGAGCTGTCAAATATTGTGTATTGGCGTCACCAGGAGCTTTGCAGGGGGCGGGCAGCCATCGGTACGGTGTGCTGACGGTGAGTCTGAAAAGCCTCGAGTCCCCTGGGTCCTGCTCGTCTGTGTGCGGGCATCCCTTGGAGCCAGGGATCGCAGTGGGCTTTGTTTCTACGGTGTTGTTTTCATTTAAATTCGCTTGCGTTGCGCGAGCGGGGCTGGGACCCTTTCAAGACGCCCCAGTCATCCCAGAGACCTTCAGGGAGTGGTCAACCCGCGAGGGAGCAGCAAATATGTCTTATGGGAGGGCGATCCATTGGTTGATTCGCTGGTCTTTGGTATCCTTGTATGGTCCTGCATCGTTGTCGGTGGCAGTTGAGGCTGTTGAAGCTTTAAGCGACACCTTCCTGTGAGACTTGGAAACTTTTTTTCATGGGAGGGCGTGCATGTTGCTTTTGCGAATGCTTTTACACCGCAGTAATCGACGAAATCGCGAAGAGTGAAGTAGAAGGATCAGGCACCCCCAGATACCGTCGAAAGGCATGTGTACTAGCTCACATGTGACGGTTGCTCCCAGTCCTTTCAGGAACATTGGTGGCCCTTTTCATTGAACAATCATGTAAGGACCGTTATTAAAGTATTTCCATGCGAAATTCGCGATCCAACAGGGATTTTGGAACCCGTCTCTGAAGGAGCCAGCTTTTGATGCTGACCCAGTTTCCCCTGACAAATCATCAATTTGCCAGAACTGCGCCAAGCTGCTATGATCAGCTGAATACTTCTTCATGTGCATCACCCAGGTGTTCTACCCCAGCAGCAGCGAGCGACAGGCAGCTCAATTGAGGAGAAGCGTCGCTGACAGTGCAGGACCTTGGGTTACCTTGCACCTCCAGGTGTGCCTTTTTTTAATTGCAAGCCTGACAGGGAGAGAAGTAACATGCTGTGCAGAGCTGTACGCCCCTCGATCGAGAAAAAGCCTGGGGCAGGTCAAGATCAGCTGAGAGAACACAAGGTGGTGTATGCAGGCAGGCAGTAGAGCGGCAGACCAGCAGCACATGGTCACTTAGAGCCCTTGGAAAGAACACCACAGAGGCCACTCCAGATCCAAAACTGGCACCTACAACCACCGCCCCTCCCCAGATCGTCAAAATGGACATCAACAATGCTAAGTTTGAAATGATCAAGGACATCGGCAGCGGCAACTTTGGCGTGGCCAAGCTGATGAAGGACCGGCTGACTGGGGAGCTGGTGGCTGTCAAGTTCATTGAGCGTGGCGACAAAATAGACAAGTGAGCCCCTGCCACCCTTCTGCCCTGGCAAATGCGCCTTGCACAGGAACACCATGCCCACAGCTGAAAGCAGCCTTATAATGCTGGCGCAGTTGTGCATGCATACACTGACTTCTGTATCTATGAACGTGCCTCGGGTTATGCTCGTTGCGCTCTTTTAAAAATATAGACAAGGATGGTTCATGTTGGCCTGCTGATGCTTTCAGGGCTGACTTTGGCCATGTGGGTTGTCTGACAGAGCAGAGGATGGGGATTCAGAAAGGACTTCTGTGGTGCACTTGTACATAAGCGGCAGCACAAGGGACCACGATTGTCAAGGGCGTGCCATTCTAAGTGACCGTCCTATGACTACATAATGTGCTGCACAGGAATGTGGAGAGGGAGCTGATCAACCACCGCTCGCTGCTGCACCCCAACATCATCCGCTTCAAGGAGGTGTTTGTGACGAGCACACACTTGGGCATCGTGATGGAGTATGCAGCGGGCGGCGAGCTGTTTGACCGCATCGTCAAGGCCGGCCGTTTCTCAGAGGACGAGGCCCGCTACTTCTTCCAGCAGCTCATATCCGGCGTCGAGTACTGCCACAGCCAGGTATGGCAGTCTCCCAAGTCAAGCCTTGGCCTGCTCTGCATGCTCTGTCCCCCCCGAAGCCCAAGTAAGCGGTGCCAATCTCGAGACCTCTTCATGTGGCAGCACTGGCAGAGATTTTCCCCTGAAGCCATCAGTGCTACTTGACGTGAGGGTATCGCAGATGGTCTTTGGGAATTCATCACTGTTTGGTACTGTAAAGTCCCACCCACAGTGTGAGTGACTCAGTAGGGCCCACCATTGCATCAATGCAAGCAGCACCGAGATGTCAAATGTCAATTGGGTGCCATTGTTCTGGTGGGCAGGGGGTGTGCCATCGCGATCTAAAGCTAGAGAACACACTGCTGGACGGCAGGCCTGCGCCGCGCCTGAAGATCTGCGATTTCGGCTACTCAAAGTCGGCTGTATTCGACTCGCAACCCAAATCCACCGTCGGCACTCCGGCATACATTGCACCAGAGGTGCGCCCTCCTGTTTGCTGCCTTGCTATTTTATTGTACTTCATGCTTTTTAATTCTTCTGCTGTGCTGTGCCTGTGCCTGTGTCAATCTGCTGCATCAGTCAACATGCGGGTTCTCTGGCGTGTGCGTTGGAGAGAGAAAGTTATTGTTGCCCCGCAGGTGCTCTCCCGGAAACACTACGACGGAGAGATAGCAGATGTATGGAGCTGTGGGGTCACGCTGTATGTGATGCTGGTCGGTGCATACCCCTTTGAAGACCCCAGCGACCCCAGGAATTTCCGGAAGACCATCCAGGTGCCCCTCACACCCTCATCTGCTGTCACCTGACAGATAATTACCCATCGGCATCCCTTCTGTATTTGCATGCACCCCTTGTCTGAGTTTAGCACATCACCTCTTGCACCACTGTCTGCATAGCAAATTCACCTCAGATTTGGCACCACATATTGTTCCAGCAAGATGGTCTCAATGAAGTTAGCATTGAGATGGGGACCATAGTAAAGGACTTCCCTAGTAGATGTGTCTGCAGACACCCTGCGTGTATGCCCTGGGGCCTGTTCTCCTCCTCCTGATGAGAGGAATAGGGCCCGGGGGCTGACGGCCTTTTCGTGTGTTTGCAGCGGATCATGGGGGTGAAGTACAGCTTCCCGGCAAACCTGGCGCTGTCGCGGGAGTGTGTGGACCTCATCTCCAAAGTGTTCCAGGCCAACCCCAGCAACCGCATCTCCATTTCCGGCATCCGCTCCCACCCCTGGTTCCTCAAAAACCTGCCCGAGGAACTCATCGACGGTGGCCGCGCTGCCCAAGTGCGCGCCCTGCCGTGCTACCACTGTATTTTCCCATTCAGTGGTGCCTAACCTGCTGTGTGTCCCTTTTGCCATGTTACTCCCGCATTGAAGGAGGTATGAGTGCAGCTTACATCTGTGGGCTCGAGGCACTTCAGCGTTTGGCACAAACACGTCATGGCATCGTTTCTGGACTGCACTAGGACAGGCGGCCTTAAAACTACAAGCACTTACGTACCTGCGCTATATGCTGTGAGGACTCCAGGGAATGTATATGGTGCACATGCCACACTACGAACGTTTGCAGCGCAGCGGGCCGGTGCACAGCATGCGTGCATGGTACTTCAGCCAGGAACGTGCATCTGGCAGAATGAGGAGCTTGCCGACCTCAGGTGCTTCAGCATGAAGGATGGCAGTGCTGGTGTTCACACGGTAAGCACTGCTGACTGCGATTCAACATGTGCCATGTTGCAGGCCCTTATGCAGCCGAGCAAGCAGTCAGTGGAGGAGGTGAAGAGGGTGGTCTCAGATGCAAGGCACAAGATGCAGGTGGCACCTCAGCCCGGCATCAACGGCACATTCAATGAGGAAGACTTCATGGATGGCGATCTTGTCGATGACATGCACTGACCTGCCTTCACACGGCTGCATGCGCGCTGAACTCAGAATAGACGTTGCTGTCCAGTACCCGTTTGAATGCCTCACGGTGTTGACTGGTTGCCTCCACCAACTGTGGTGCAAATGCCAGACTTGGGGGGATGATGGGCCTCGCTCTGGTCAGTTTCTGGTTTGCCGCGTTGGCACCCTGATGCATATCTCCTCCCTGACTCAAGCTGACAATACATTGCAAGCCAGGCATTCTCATGTTGAGTGTCCTTCATTGACGTTCGATTCGGCAGCATGGAGCTTGGAGCATGTGCAGGTAATGAGCAGCTTGCAAGTTGTAGCTGGGGCCAGACAATATATTGCAGTGTGTTTACTCCTGCACGGTTGGCAGTGTCTACAAACTGGACCCGTGACAGTAGCATTCAGTATCTATTACCGCTCAAAGACGGGATGGGCCTGTGTACTTTTCTTTGCTTTTGAGAAGATCAGAGTACGGGCTGCCAGTTGTGAAACATACTGCCAGACTCAGGCTCTCAAAGTGAGACATTGCTGAATACGTTCATAACAAGGGCACTCGATATTTGTAGCTACTCGATATTTGTAGCTCCGTTGAGATTAGAGCTCCCAATAGGATCAACTTCTTGTCAGAACGCATGTAGTTTGCACCATATGATGCATCCACTTGGAAGTGTAGCAGCATGCATGGGTGCAGATGGCCATGCGCTAAATTTCTGATTCCTGGTGCTAGCAGAGCGCTCACAGCCAGCATATGGGATCTGTTTGCAGTCAATCTTTTTCCGTCCATTGAGCTTGGTGTATCTGCGCTGTAAATCAGCCGGCCTCCATTGACTTTGAAGCAACCTTCAAAATGCAGATTGCAGCCGCAGGCATGATCATGCATATGCTTAAGGCCTTTAGGAAGCCTCAAAATCCTATGCTTAAACCCATGCATGCATATGTCAAATGCTCTGTGAGGAAGTAGTCCATGTTTCTTAATCAGGTGCTGTCACGTGTATGTGTTTGCGGCCTCCCTCAATGCAAATGCGTAAGAGTGAAAACATTCTCCAGGCAAAGACGATCTCGTCGATCACAATCTGGGCATCCTTTGAACCATGACGTCGACGAAGAAGGTCGCACTTGTGACTGGAGCTACAGGCATCCAGGTTGGCACAACTGCATCGGTGCTTTTAAGCTTTGCGTCATATCCTCACATTCTGTTCTTCAAGCTGCATAGAAATGTTTTGAGATCAAAGCATTCTACTGCAGGGTCGTGCTTTGATATCGCATCTGTCCAAGCCTGACTTTGGCTGGGATGAGATATTCGCCGTCAGCAGGGAGCCTCTCGACTTCGACAATCGAGCAAAGCAGCTGTCGTTTGACATGTATGACAAGGAGGTGAATTTCTTGCTTCGATGATGAGCGATGTTGCTTCCCACCGAAAGCCTGCTTCCTATTGCGCCTCAATGCAATATCGGGACGCATTGTATGTGCATGCATGCACATGCCAGCTTTGACAGGAGTCCGTCCAATGACAGGCAGTCAAGAAGGAGCTGAGCTCTAAGAAGGTTTCCAAAGTGACACACTTCTTCCATTTCGCATTTGGAGGCAAGGCTCAGGACAGGCTCACTTGCACAGCAAGCTATCTCTCAACATGCATGAATTCTGCCATCATGCCTGGACTTTGCCTGTGCTCATATTGCATGCAAGCTGGGGATCTGCTGTGCAACAGGGGACATCAGCAACATATCCAAGGACACCGCTGTGTGGATGGCCAACATCATTGAGGCCCTGGAAGAGAGCAAGAACCCACTGCAGCATGTGTACTTCACCACGGCACGTGTTGGCCTGGCTTTGCCAAACACCTCATGCATGCTCATCAGTCTCTGCATGTTGCATGCACATGCAGATGCTCAAGAGTGAGGCGAGGTGTTCTGTGCTTTGCAGGGTGCCAAATACTATGGTGAGCGCTTTCGCACAAACATTCAGGCAAAATCGCAGAGCTGTGAAATAAGCACTCCGTGTGATCTGACATGCCTTCCTGGACAGGTCTGCACCTGGGTGAAGCAAAGACACCTTACAGGGAGGATGACCCAAGGTGACACCTGCTTGATTGACTGTGCACAACCAGCATATGGAAGAATGTGACGGTACACATGCATGGTGTTCATGACATTGTTCCACATTTTGATTCTGAAATTTGTGCAGGCATTTCCCTCCCAACTTCTACTATGATGAAGGTACGCCCTCACTTGCAGTGTGCAAGGTACAGTCAATATCTCCAAGATCGCCTTAAATCTCTCACTGAATGAGGCTAAGGACCTTGCTGCAGAGGATTACGTCATCGAGCGCCGCAAGAAGGGTGCCAAATGGACTTGGTCCTCTCTGCGCCCAGGTCAGCTGCCCTTGCTGTGAATTCCTGCAAGCTCATTGACCCTTTCTCTGCTCACATTGCATGTCCTGCTCAGCCTTGGTTGCTGCAGGGCGCTGGCAAGCATTTGATGGGCTTTTCATGAAGTGTGCATGTCTGTTGCCAGGGTGCATCATTGGATACTCGCAGGGGTACATGAATCTGCTGCACAACATTGCTGTCTATGGCACCCTCTGCAAGGAGTTGGGAGGCCTCTTCAGGTCTACCCCTCATCCCTCTGCTGCTTCTGCTTGTGCTGCTTCTCCTGCAGGCACATTACACTGCTGCTTTCAGCGCCATCCACATACTTTCTTAAAATTCCAGCACAAGCACCATTAGGAGATGCATCGCAGAGCCGGTCCATGCAGCTGCATGCAGAGACAAATGGCGACACTTAGTTAAATAGTATGCTCACAACAAAAGCATGAGAGGCTGAAGAATCCCAGCAGCGAGACGGTACTGAAGAGAGTTCAAATGTGCAAGACACTCTCCAGCAGCAAGGGGTTACTGTGAATATTGAAGAGAGTTGGATATGTGCAGGTTCCCTGGCACCCCTGTGGCCTACAAGGTGCTGCTGGACTGTGTAGATGTGGACCTGCTGGCAGATGCGCAGATCTGGCTGGCCACCCACCCCCAAGCCCAGAACGACGGCTACAACATCTCCAATGGAGACCAGTTCCGCTTCCAGCAGGTGTGCTCTGACGACCACCTGGCATGCATGACATGCATTACATCGTCATCACGACACGTGTCTGCAGGCTTGATGTTCCGAGCCCGTGGGGCATAGATCAAGGTTGCTTCCAGTGTGACCGAAATTTGGTTTGAAGACCGCTTGGCATGCATGACATGCTTCGTGTCACACGGTGACAGTCACTGTGAAGGCGTGTGTGTGCAACCTTGATTTATCAAGCCTGTGGGGCACAGATCAGGATTGTTTCCAGCTGATTTGATTTAAGGACCGCTTGGCATGCATGGCATGCATCATGTCGTCATGAGCACACATGTGTGAACAGGCAGGCTTGACTTGACAAGGCCTTGGAACATTGATTTTAGACGCTTCCAGCATGCTTGATTAAGACTGCCTCGCATGCATGGCACGCATCATGTGAGTATGATGATGAGCGTGTACAGGCGTGACTGATGCTTTGGTGGATTGGCTGTGCAGCTGTGGCCGGTGCTGGCATCCTGGTTCAAGCTGGACGTTGGTCCCAGCCTTCGCATCCCCCTGACCAAGTTCATGCCGCACCACAAGGACCTGTGGGCCTTCATTGTCAAGAAGCACAACCTCAAGGACATCCCCTTTAAGAAGGTAAGTTCTCCCCTGCCATATTTGTCTAGTCCTTTGGCGATACAGCCTGCTGACTGCCCAACGAATGGTGGGTGTCACATCACTTGATTTGTTTGTTCAGATGGCAGGACAGGAACATGATCAGCAAACGGAGGTTTGTTAACAAGAAGGGTGTCGTGTGGTGCAGCTGGCACAGTGGGAGTTTGCAGACGCCATGTTCACGGTCCCCTCTGATGAGTTTGGCGATGTGAACAAGCTGCGCAAGGCCGGCTACGACAAGCAGGTGGGTGCACATGTCACACTTTGGTTCAGCTGACCGGAACAAAGAGAATGACGTGTCCATGCATCCGTGTGTGGCTCCATGCAAAAGGATGAAGACGAGATAACAAGGGCCATTATGGCCTTTCTGCTCTCTTAACACATGCAAAGCAAGTTATGCAGCTTGCAGAGGCGTCTTTCTGCTGTTTTGGGGTCTCCATTAGGGCAAGTCCGTTGCATTGTGAGCCATAACCACTGAAGGACCTGACTGTTGGTTTTGCTGGGCGCAGAGGCTGTACACAGAGGAGGTCGTCCTGCACAAGCTGGACTATCTGGCCAAGATGAAGGTCATCCCCAAGTATTGAAAGCTGCAGTGGGATTCCCATGTATAAATGGTACCTGCAGAATTCTTCAGAGACTGCAGGGGTTTTTTAAATGTCTGGGAGGGTTGTGGTGTTGCAAGATTCCGGGGATGCAGAATCCTCTTCTCATGCCATGCAAGTATGCATGATAATGGGCGATTGAAAACAGTTTTATCAGGCAGCAGTGTCCTTGCAAGTTGATTTGTGTGCATGATCCTTCACGGTTGGTGTATGAGATTCATCCTGCCTGCCAGTGGACCTGCAGAAGTCTCCTGACGTACAAGTTTGAGGCACTCAGTCGGCGGACTCTAGAGACGTGGTGAACATGTGAAATGTGGAAAGCTGCATAAACCCAGCAGGATTCCAGATGCACAAGAGTAAAGAAAAAGAGTTCCAAACACGTACATTTCCGACTGCCTCTCGCCATTGTCTAATCTCTGCAGACTTGCATGCAAAGTTTCTACGAGATCCACCCTTCTGCCAAAAATAGCCCCTTTGGAATGCATTGAGGACCCGGACACGATCCGAAAGGATCTCTGACTGCAAATATCCGAGAAGTTCTAATTTATCAAATCGGAGGCGAGAACAACATCCGAGACAAGAGAAATGGGTAAAACAGCTCTGGTCACGGGCGCATCCGGCATTCAAGGTGACTCGACGAGACTTGTCTTGTGTTCAAAGTTTGGTGCTTGCGCGAGGTGTATGCGCTCCAGAATGGTCCAATTTGTCCAAGTAATCAGCATCCTGAATTTCAAAATGTCTCGGCCGTAGTCGTGAACAATCCATAGCGAGTCTGAGTCATCAAAATTGGCGCTGGCCAGGTCGCTGCGTGGTCAAGAAGCTCGAGGCTTCAAATGAGTGGTCTAAAATAATTACAGTCAGCAGATCACCGCTTGAGTATGAGTCGAAAGCGAAGCGCATCTCCATGGATCTGAACGACAAGGGGGTACGTGGGTGCAGTAGGACAGTCTTCTGATCAGGAGCATCACTCCCTTGCTGTGGTGATGTTCGCGTTGATAAATGAACGAACGTTGACAGGTTATCAAGAGCACTTTTGACTCGGAGAAGATCATGGATGTCACGCATGTGTTCCACCTTGCATTCTCGGGTAAGGACACCATTGCCTGGTCCCTTGTACTGCAACCCTGGCCGTGTGTTTCTTGAACGTTGTGTCACCTAAAAAAAGCCTGTGTTGGCCTGAGGTGACACGACCAACACTTCAAGGACTGTCGCCTCATGGCTGAACAACCTGGTTGAGGAGTTGGAGTCAGCAGGCAACCCCCTGGAGTATGTCTTCTTTGCCAGCGGGAACAAGTACTATGGTGCGCTCTTCGGACTTCTGAAATTCAAAAGTAGGAAGGCACTGCTGTCTGCAAGGGGCACGGATCTTTACTGCTGCCAGGAAAGTACGGTGCTGCATGCAGTGGGTCACATCTTTTTTACAGGCGCCCAACTGATTGGATGCGCATAAAAATGCATTTGCTCATGTGATCTGACTGCACCCTCGTGCACCCAGATGCTAACAGATGCTGGCTTCTCTAATGCAGGTGTGCATCTGGCAGAGCTGCCTGGTGAGCCCAAAACCCCCTTCCGCGAGACAGATCCCCGGTGAGTTTGTCCCCGACCCCAGTCACTCATAATATCTATTCCCATTTGCTTCTGCAACTCAAGTGAGCAGTCAAAACTATCTGGATACGCATCAAAGATGGACATGTGAATATTGTGGGCTGTTGGCTCACAACATTTGCTGCTGCTGCAGCCACTTTCCGCCCAACTTCTACTATGACATGGAGGTGCGTGGGGGGTCCTCGCTTGGCAAGCATGCATGCTGTTGATGTGCAATGTCTGCTGCCATCAAGACGTTCAAATGAGAGCTTGACTGCATGCACAGCCTCTTGCAGTTCAAAGCTGCAGCAAATTACAAGAACGAATGTTATGACAAGGTTGCTAAAGTCTGCAAGCTGTCATATTACTGCCACATGCATGTGCAGGACTATGCGATCGAGCGCAAGAAGAAGGGCGCCAAGTGGAACTGGTGACTGCGAACTTATGCTACTTACTTAAAGTGCATGGCACAGTTCGATGATTTGCTATGCATCTGCTTCACTGAGACTTGCTCTGCATGCTGTGTCACACAGGTATTTTCCAGGCACTGTGAGGCTACCGTTTGCAGCTTGACCACACATGCTGTCAGCATGGCTGGTGTATCTTTGGCTTTGACATGTCTGGCTGGCTACAGGAACACTTACAGGCCAGGGCCCATCATCGGATACAGCCTGGGTACACATTGTCCACTCCTCAGCTGTCCTACACATGGGTTGTGGTGGTTTAACTTGCAAGGGTGTTGTGCAGCATGCCTCACAAGCCTGATTTGTTTCGAGCGCTGGCAAAATAAGTGGCTGCCCTTGCAGGTTACATGAACTGGCTGATGGAGTTTGCAGTCTATGCCACCATCTGCAAGGAGAAGAACCTGCCGATGAGGTGCCTTCTCGATCCCTAGCCGTCATGACTATCTTTGTTGCCGCCTGCGCATGAGGCGCTGTCTATAGAGAATGCCTGGCATCTGCCGCTGAAGTGTTCCCTACAATGCCTCCAGAGCATCTGGCATCACAAGTCAAGTCAGGTGCATTGCAGACACCGTGTTCCAGTAATCATCTACCCTGGCATTGCCCACCCAAACACCGTAAAATGTCAATCGGAGATGCCATGGTTTGCTGTGTGTTTCAGGTACCCTGGGACGCCGCAGGGCTACCGGGTGCTGTTTGACTGCGCGGATGTCGACCTGCTGGCAGACGTCCAGATCTGGCTGTCCAAGAACCCGCACGCCCAGAACACCGCCTACAACGTCAACAACGGCGACATCTTCCGCTTCGAGCAGGCACGCCAGAACTTCTGATGCTCTTGACTAGCGCACAGGAAACTACATGTGGCTGCTTGTCTCACATCGTGTGGACCTGAGCTTCCTGTTCTGGTCCAGTGGGTCTGAAGCTTGCTGAAGCTCGCTGCCACGTTCAATTGTCCTCCCAAGGGAACTACAATAGCAGCTGATGCAATTTTATGATAGTTCCCTTGGGAGAACAAGTGCAGGGGACTCTAAATCAAATCAGTTGATTTAGAGTCCCCTGACAACTGCAGTTGGCAAAAATAAGGTGACTGTCTCCTTCAGAGCTCAACCTACAGATCTCAAGGCAAAACCTTTGCATATGGGTGCATGTGTGCTGCTGCAGCTGTGGCCCAGGCTGGCAGACTGGTTTGGGCTGGGGGTGGCGCCCCCCCTGCGCATCCCCCTGACCAAGTTCATGCCGCACCACAAGGACCTGTGGGCCTCCATCGTCAAGAAGTACAACCTCAAGGACATCCCCTTTGAGAAGGTGCTGTGCCCCACCCAATCCTGCACCGATTATTGATGTTCTGTTTCCAATTTTGCAAGTTTCAGGTATCAATTACATGTGCAAATGCAGTCGCCAGGTGCCCAATAGCTGGCAGATGCAATTGCTCTTGGTGCCTCGTGAGGGGCATGTATGCTTCGCAATAATTCTTCTCTTGTGCAATCATGCACGCCTTGTCCTGCGGCACCAGGTGCATGATGGCAAAAGAAAACTTGCACATTCACTCGGGGTCTGTCAAATCTGATGCTGCGCACTGTCAGACTATAATTACAAGAAGATTTACTATGTTCTGTGGGAGTTGGGGGTTGCAGCTGGTGCGCTGGGAGTTTGCAGAGGCGACGCTGAATGCCAACAGCGACGAGTTTGGCGACGTGACCAAGCTGCGCAAGGCCGGCTTTGAGGGCCAGGTCAGCACCCCTCTTCTCTTGAAAGTACAGGATTAAGGAATGCATTTGAGGATGTCGAGCTTCAACCAAGGCCGTTTCCTTGGTCTGCCGTGTTTGGAATGTGGAATTGTGTGCCCTTGTTTTGGTGCCCAGGAGTTTGGGTACACGCTGCGCAGCATGCCTGATGAGCAATCAGGCTATGATGCATTTTCCTGAATTAATTTTTTGACTTCAAATTTTTTGACTTCAAAGATTGTATGTTGTGCTGGAGCGCAGAAGATGTACACGGAGGATGTGTTCCACCGCTGGTTCAAGGAGCTGGCAGACATGCGCATCATCCCCAACTACCCGGCCATGCAGAAGAGCACCTGACTGAAAAGCAGGCTTCAAGATGAGGTGCAGTGGGCATGCATGAGCCCTTCTTGTGACAGCCGTCTCAACAAGCTCTGTCAAGTGGCTATCGTGTGAGGCTGCGAAGGAGATGTGAAGCTCTGCAATTGCAACGCGTGATGCATGGGAAATAGAATGTGCCCCTGAGTTGCCCCAAAGCTTTGGAGCCTGTCATGATGAAGAATTATGCTGCCTGTGTGTGCGATTTGCCGTGCAACTGTCATGCCGGGCTGTCAGTGAGAGCTGTATTAGGGAACTGTTGTTATAGATAGTCACTTCCATCATGGCGAACTTGTCGGGCATACCTTGTGAAGAAGACAACTCTGTTGAATCTGCTAGCATGCTGTATACGTGCCACAGTGTGAGCTTAGCTCTTCATAATAACGGCCCAATGGTGCAAGGATGCATGCCAAGATTCCCTGCGCTGCATGATGTAATGTCACACTGGGTGCTGTAAGCCTCTTGCTCCTTGGGCAAGCTTTATAAGAAGAATCCGTTGAGTCCTAGAATCTGCTGTTGGCGCAGCACGCGTGACCGCTGTGCGGCATATTGACTTCAAGGTCTCTGTATTCGAGGTATGGATGTATGCAGGCATGTACAACCTTCTCACCATGAATATGAGCTCTTAAGAGTACCAAAATCCAGGAAAAATTCCTCTCCATCTTCCAGCCTTGGAGCAAAATTTCTCTCCGATGAGAAGCAGGTGGGAAGTCACGTCATCGGTGACATTGATATAAAATTCTCTTGCGATACAGCGACCTTGTCTGTGGAGAGATAGGCTTATTTGGCATCCACATTACTGGGCTTAGTGGGGCATGTGCCAAGGAAGGCAGAACAATTTATCCCTGCAGATCTTCAGGACGGGGTCGAGAATCGAAGCCTGAAAATGGCAACCCTTGAAGAGCGATCAAAGGACAACGCGTCCCTGTCAAGGACAGCTGCTCTACTGAGCAGATGCTTCAAGATCGGGGAAGTAACGGAGAATGTTGCAAAAGGCCTCAAGTCTGTATTTCCCGAGGCTTCCATGCTCAGGTATGCGGACCACCAGAAGTAGATGTCTTGGCTTCCTCTTGAATCTCCAATCTGGACGGACTCTCGTTCATTGACTGGAGGGATTGTATTGCATTGATTAATCAATAAATTATGGTCATGCACAGTTGGATCTACTGCGCACCTTCTGCACGACACTGACTGGTTTGGGATGTGCAGTGTCTCTATACCAAGCAAGGGGCTTTCGGAAACTTTGCTGATCAGCACTGCAAATTTCCTGGAGGAGGGTTTCACATCCATCGGCCTGTGTTGTCTCAAGACATCTGTGGCTGGGCAGAGCTATGCTAGCAACACACTATTGTCTTATGCAGCTTTGTCAGACCAGCCCAGTGGCCAAGGCACAATCAGGTGAACACAGTCCACATCAAATCTTTTATGCAAACATTGAAAGTCACAGATCAAGTCCTATGGAATAGGGGGCCCCTGAATTTGTTGCATTCCCAACGCAGGTATCATGATGCAGACTATGCAAAGGACAGATGGCATGTAGATGAGCTGCTGTGCTGTCCCATCCCGCTGTCATTGCCTGCCGCGCTGGCCGGTCAATCTTCCATTGAGGCCGCAAGCCCTATGACTGATGTGCTCGGCGTCGTCACCCTTGGACTCTCATCCAGCGCAGCCACAAACATAAGGTGCAACTGGAATCGACTTTCAAGTGCCAGTTCCCCGTGCTGCAATACAAGTAGACGTGGGGCGCGCTTTCGTTATCCATATAAAGGCCCCACGCTTACTTCATAACTTTCGTATCCAGCTTGATTCTCAGTGATTGCTTCTCTGCGACTCTGCTGACTGTACACACTTCCTGCCACGCCAGGTGGAAGGAGGTGCTCCAGGAGCTGGCAGAGGCCCTGGCAGAGACAATCGAGAATGACTCCGCAGCCATGGTCGAGCAAGTGTGCCAGTACCATCTGGGCGTGGCCAGAACAGAGCCTCCTGAACTCCCCATGCAGACGCACAGTGCCAGCTGTAGTGATGAGGTGAGCCTCCCATGTGTGAGCAGACCTCTGCATGTTGCCATCTACTGCTCCAAACTCCCTGTGCAAGGCACCCCTCCTAGATGTATTGGCTCCTCTTCTGAAGGCCACTTCTCATTCCTCCCAACCATGCCCTGTTGCAGGGCCGCAACGGCAGCGGATCTGGGGGCGCCGGCCCACCGTCGGGGGGACTGCCGCAGCTGGTCGTTCAAGAGGGGGGACCCGGGGGATCACCTCCTCCAGGCCCAGACAATGCGGACCGCGCAGATCGCAGCGACAGAGGCGGCGAGAGGCCAACCAAAGGAAAATGCGCACCCGCAGATGAGGCTGAAGCGACAGGCATCAATGCTGCAGAGCTTGCAGTGCCTGCGCGCCCGAGCGCCCCGGTGCCGCCTCTGGGTGCCGCGGTTCCAGGCACGCTGCTCACTGTCATGGCTGTTTTCAAAAACACTTCTGCGATGTGGCACGCTTCCCCGGTGCAGATAGACCAATGTACTCAAGAGACAAGATTGAACGATTTTGGTTCCAGGCAGGTTGCCCATGGTCATGGCTGTTTTTCCAAATATGCTATGTGATCTGGCATGCTACTCTGGTGCATGCAGCCCAAGTTTATCTTAAAAATAAGAGCGTGGTGAAGACTGGCGTCTGTGTGCAGCTGGCACTGAGAGCGGGGGCAGTAAGGGACTTGCCAAAGACAACAGCCACAAAAAGGCGGGGTCATCTGGCAAGAGCGCCCTGCTAGGTGGGCCTCTCGTCACTGCATTTGATGTTGCCCATATATTCATGATGAGCATGCCTTGCATTGACAGTCATGCATAGCACTTAGCTGCCTTCTGCATTGTTGCTTGCATGTCTGCCTAATTTTGGTGGCAGGTACGGCAGTACGCTGCACTTCCATTCTTGCTGCATGTGCTCTGAGGAATCTCTGAGAGGATTAATCTGAACTCTGAGGTGTTGTAAGGTCTGACGGCCTGACAAGTTGATTTAAGGACGTGTGAGCAAGGAAATCTCTTGCTTTGACTGAAATGTGAGTGTGCGGTGTGGCAGGGTCGGATGGCCCGACGAAGTGGGACCAGAAGCTGCGCGTCCACCATCCGGTGGACACATTTGATGCGCGCAAGGCCGGCTGCTCCGCGAGCGCGTTTGAGGCGGCCGTGTACGATCCCCAGGAGGAGAAGGGCGCCGCCAAGAGAGCATTTGCCGCCGCCCGCGTGCGCAATTTTGCGCGCACTCCCACCATGGCCTTCATGGACGAGGGGCTGGAGGCCGAGTATGCTCATTGGCAAGCCCGCCAGCGCTGGCAGGTGCGCCGCTCAGAACTTTGCTGCAACTGTTCTGTTGCTGTCTTGAGGAATGACGAGTGGCTCAGTAGCTTTGGTCCTGATCTCCACAGTTACAATCTCGGAGAAACCCTTTGTCAGTACTCTTGAGCAGAAACGACATCTGTCAAGCTTAAAGAGGCCTCTAGTCGCTATAATTTGCAATGTGAGGATGCGCCTGCGCATTTTGTGACCATGTTGGGATTGGCTCAGACCTGAGCCGTAGAGGACAAAGACTGTGAGAGCCTAGGAGAAGCTTGATTGTCAAATGAAGAGATGTATTGTGTTATGCTGCAGCTGGATGCGGCAGGCCTCCTGTTCTTGCTGTTGATAACAGCCACATCCATTGCGACATCGCTGCCGCAGTCAGCCGAGGCGTTGCAGTGCTTGTGGCTGGCCTGCCTCCTGCACGCCCTCCCCCTCGCCGCCATGCTCGTCAACCTCCCCTGGTACCTCCCTCCTGCCACGTCCTGCGACTTCCTCTCACAAGCCTTGTTGTTAACAGTCTCTCAGAGTCGTGTGAAGGATGGAGGACTTCTGCATGTCATACCTCACCAACGTGTCAAGCGCTATCCGGCTCAAAACTCATGCATCTCCTCCAGGATGAGGATTCCTAGGATCTGCTCCTCTCACCGCTCACCTCACGGGTGTCTTTGCTTCAGAAGGCTCATATTGTTGAAGACAGGACTTCTCTTGCATGACATACGGAAGGTGAAATTTGACTGGTTACCGTGTGCAGGTACCTGCGCAAGCGTGAGCGGGTGCTGGGCGCGTACATGGTGTGCCTGGCGTTCCACGCGGTCTACCTGCGCAACCGCGTCGCGCTGCAGCTGGGGCCTCAGTCCGCGCTGGCCGCGCTCGTCTGGTTCTCCCGCGTGCAGGCCGCCGAGCCGCTCCTCTTCCATGCAGTCATGTTTGCGGTGAGCGGCTTCACAACAGGCTGATGCTCAGTTCACTGGAAGCTGCCGGATAGGTGAAACGCTGGAAGCTATCACATTGGAATCCAATTGGCTTGCGCCGAGGCAAGCTTAGTGGAAGATACCACGGGCGATATCACCAGTTAGGCTGTCCAATCCCCTCTGAGAGAAGAGAGGAAGCGAGCACGTGGGATTGAGGCTGCCTTGAACCCATATCTATGCTTTCATGACGCCGCATTGTGTCTGTGGAGCAAGATTGGGAGATTGATGCTGTCTGCGTGTGCAGGTGCGCTTCCGCACGGCACTGCTGGTGCAGGCGGTGTGCGTGGTGATAGCAGCCAGCAACGCGGCAGCCGTGTGCTCCTCCTGCTGCTCCTCCTTCATGGGGCCCACCTTCTGCCTCCTCAAGGCCCTGGCCACCCAGGCAAGCACCCACTGCCTGTACTGCTTGCACGATTTGCACCCCTATGCTTGCAGGGTCTCTGAGGCTGTTTGGTCTGGGGGCCTCACCGCCACACCCAGTCAGTGCTGGGCTCCAGGATAGCCCACCATCACTTTAATGCTGGGTCACTACTGAAGAGCTGTTTCCGGCTGTGCTAGCTGCTGCTCATTTCTGCACCAAAATGATCTATTCTCGAGCCAAATTCATTATGATGACATAATAAGGACCATCCCTGCAAGCGCAGTCTCGACAGATGAAAGATGAAACACTTGTTGCGCCGCATGTGGGGACTCTGTCTTCTGTACTCCAGAATGCTGAAGTTTGGAGTCTCTTGGTGTTGCGGCAGGTGGTGTTTGGCTACGGCGTGCCTGCTGGAGTGCTGTATTTCACGGAGGAGAACTTCCGCCAGATCTTTGCAGAAGCCTGCTTGAGCGAGGGCTGATGACTGCACAAGCACCAAGGAAGCAGTCCAGATCAGCGCAGCCTTGTAGGAGGCAGAGACAGCATCCTGAGCAGAGCATGGAACTGTGATGGCATACCAAGATATCCTGATGTACACAAGTAGATTCAAGACGTTGAGACCAGCCTGGACCAAGAAACAGCCTCCTTCACAGGTCATCTACCGGACGCATGTGTCCACAGGAATGGAGACTGAGATCCAAAACAGCACTTGATGTCTGAGAGGGAACGTCCCTTGATGATGGTACTTTTGCCTGCATTGTCAGGCATACTTCCTTTTGTTAGCTGGCCGCTTTTCTTCTGCACTTCCATCGATCAAGAGGTGGAGGATATTTGCAAGCTGCTGCAAGGCCCAATTCACTGGAGACTGTGGATTGCTAGGCACACTGTGAGTTTTAGTGTGGATCAAGGGTATAAGGGGTGTACACTGGGTGTGGGAAGTTGCAAGATGTTGGTGATTGCAAGATACTGGCCCTTACTCAGGATAGAGATCTTATGATATGAGCAGAGCATCAAATGTGTGGGTGCCTTTGTAGCACCCACTGTTTGACTGATGGTGCAAGAGCTGTTGTTGCAATCACATGTTCTGTATGAAGTTTGGGCTCTCCTGCTGAGAACATTGGCTTTCATCTGTCAGTCGCGAGGCCAGGAAAGTTTGCTGCAGCGCGCACAACAGTACTTGGCAATGTATGTTTGACGGCATCACAACACTTTGGGTGCGTTTGTCCAGTACTGGTGTCCACTAGTGCGACAGGGTGTGGGTGATACTTCCATGCTGGGGCATGGTTTCTGGGCAGAGAGAGAACTTGTCAAAATTTATCCATGTTATGGTGATACTTCATGGTCATTAATTGAATGTTAGTCATGACAGCCGCCTGCGGCTCCAAGCAGCTTCTGCAGTCGTGCAAGCAGTCTGTAGAGCGCTGGGATCAGTTGTGTAGGTGGTTTAACCCATACGAGTGTAAGTCGGGGATCTCTGTGCAGTCATGCATGTAAAGCATTTCACGGTCGATAAAAATATCTTTGCCGATGGTCTTTGCGCGCGCAATTCCACGACTCTGCTTATACAGCCTGTAGTTTGAATTTAGCAACCGGCTGTGTACAGCTCAAGCTGCACATTTGGGTAGCCGCAAAGGTGGACTGGTCTCACTGCATGCACTGAGCCGCGCTGCTACACATCATGCCATGTCCATCAGGGTATTTATTGAATAGCTTGCGATGGCGGCTGGCTGGCCGGCCGGGGCTGCCTGCTAGCAGGTTCATGCAACGGCAGCATGCTGAGGCTGTTGTTCCTTGAGGGTGCCAGGTTAGCGATACCCATCGACGGCTCTCAGCTTGATGAGCATGGGATATAATACGATTGCCATCCGTGAGAGTTGATGGCTGCCGAAGCTGCTGAATCCAGGCAGAAGGGCAGACAGATGGCCACGTCACAGTGTCCTAATTTGGAGGATTAGAAGATTCTCGTGCGAGCAGCATCATCGTAATGTGGACAGGCCTGACCCCATCTGAGATCCTGGATCAATCAAGAAAGCGCATCAATAAAGCATGGCAACCATGTTGGCTCAGAGGCAGGCTTTCACAGGGCTGCGCTTGACGCAGTCGCCACGGTCCAAGGCATGCAGCAGGGTGAGATTGGTGTGCTTTTCTTTCTGCGATCAAATTAATACTAAAGACAAGTAGGAAATTGTTCTCAGAAAAAATTGTGTGTCCTCGACAGGCTCAGGTCATGGTTGCTCGCGCTGAGCTGCAGCTGAAGCCTCTCCCATACGCAAAAGTAAGCTCCCTGTTCTACTATCGATCGAGATCGCGCTTGGCAACAAGATTGAACGAAAATGTGTGTACACATCGCTAATATGCGTCTGGTGTCAAAATATCAGAGTTACTTGAAGATTGTGTTGTGCTGAATAATAATAATATCTTCTCTGCAGGACGCACTGGAGCCCACTATTTCAGCGGTGAGCCTCTCTGAGTGTTGTACTTAGATCGTTGATTGAAAGTGATGCGAAAGGGCAGAGAAGTTCTATGTCCGTATCGTCGATTTGAAGTTGCCATGTCTGGTGGCATGGCCATCTTATCATGCGGGCGAGCTTCGCTAGGAGAAGAAATGTACTACGAGGTCCTGACACGGTAAATTCGTTGACCTGGTCCTTGACTGAATTTCGATATGTTGGCAGGCGACCCTGGATGTCCACTGGGGCAAGCACCACCGTGCCTACGTGACCAACCTGAACAACCAGATCAAAGACAAGCCACTGGCCAACAAGACCCTGGAGGAGGTGATTTACTTACCTACCTTGCCTTGCATTTCTTGCATTGCTGGTGGTAATTTATCACTATATATTGGACCTGTAGAGGCTGTCTGAGGTCAAGCTTGATGTGACATGCAGATCGTTGTGGAGACCTACAACAGCGGCAGCCCCACACCAGAGTTTAACAATGCTGGCCAGGTCTTCAACCACGACTTCTACTGGGAGTCCATCAGCCCCTCCCCCAGTGCGTCTATTGCGTCCCTCACATGCATGAGCTTCTGCACTATCCTTTTACTGCCTCTCACGCACATGCATCGCAGACATGAAGTGGCACACAGGGCTTTCTTGCAGACTGGTGATGTGGGTTGTGCTCCTATTATATGCTCCCGGGATGGGAGATATTTGCAGTGTCGAAACACCCTAATTGTTCAGTGAGGCAACCCTTCTTTCAGACTGGCGCTTGCACTGTCTTTCATTGGCACACTTCCTCTTGGATGGAACCCGCCCCTGTCAGCATTCGCAGAGGCTAACGAGCTTTGCATGCATGCGCAGCCGAGCCCTCAGCGGAGCTGAAGGCGGCGATTGAGAAGGACTTTGGGTCGCTGGATGAGTTCAAGAAGCAGTTCAAGGCTGCCGGCGCGACGCAATTTGGCAGCGGCTGGGCGTGGCTGGTCAAGGGCAAGGACGGCAAGCTGGCCGTGACAAAGACCCCCAACGCTGAGAACCCCCTGGTGTTGGGCCAGACCCCCCTGCTCACCATGGACGTGTGGGAGCACGCCTACTACCTGGATGTCCAGGTAGCGCTCTTTGATTGCCCTCGATTTCCTCTGCAGATATTGTATTCCTTTGGAGCCTAAGGCCTCAGATGACCTGTTAAGCGGGGTAACCTCCTGCATGACATGCAAGGCAGGGATGCTTAGAAGATAGTCCTGGCTCCGTCTACGATACGGATCTGGTTGGTACAAGCCTGCTTGGTCTCGAGCATCTTTGAGGACATCATTGGGCATCAGATGGGCAGCTCCATTCATAAGGGACCAGTGGTTGCAAGACGCTGAATTGGTGTCTGCTTGGTTGCTGCAGAACAAGAGGCCAGACTACATTGAGAGCTTTGTGGAGAAGCTCATCAACTGGAACGCGGTGAGCATGCCGTTGGATTTTCTTATTGCTTAATTCGCAACTGACCATCCAGCGAGCATGTTGGCATGACTTTCATATTTGGGATCTTCCTTGTTCTTTACCTGAGGCGAATTGTGTGCTTGGCCCCATCGCAGGTGTCCGAGCGTTTTGCCGCGGCATAAATCAATGTGAATGCTTCTTCTTGAGCGTGAGACTTTCATCAGAGAGGCAACACAGTGGAGGCGCTACCATTGTAGGTCTTCTGGAAGTATGTACAGGGATCTATGAAGAGGAGTGCTTGTGGGACTTATTTTGAGTCTTTCCAGGGGAATTACCCAGGATGTGCAGCCTGCAATTGAGCAGGAGTATCAATTCAGCATGTGGTTGTAGCGTGCAGTTTCCCAAATTTTGGGTTGATCAATTATATGAACAGCTGCAGTGCATATGCAATCTTAAGAGAACATTGTAATGGCTTGTAGCTGTGCAGTTGGTTTACAAGGCATGCCTTTGCACAGGCGTCCTGACTTGGGCAAATTCAGAGTCTCCTCTGGCGGTGAGTCAGTGTCATCTGTATCGACAAAATGCGTCGGCCGATCCTGGTCAATGCAGACTCTGTCTGGCTGCGCCTTGGCGAGGGCTCTGTGCACCGATGAGAATCTGGCCCAAGCTCTCGAGCCAAACAGGCTGGCTATCTTTCCCCATACGTCTGGCGGCAGGTCTTGAAGTGGGGAAGGTGGGCCTTTGGCCTTGACTGACCTAGCTCCTGTGCAGAGACAATGCATGAGCATCAAGTGCTATCTTAGAGGCCTGAATACAATATGGATCATCGTGTACGCACGTGATGATGATGAAAACGACTACACGGATTGATGCCCGTAAAGAAGCCAAGTGATCTGGAGGTGGTGATCTGGTGCTTGCACACTTCTATTCAGCTAGTGCCGCGCCATGGGGTGCCGTGACAATACTCGGAAAGTTACACCTTGTGATTCTATCGTTCCCTTGGGTTTGTCCTTCTTCGGAGGCATTCGGAGTCCCCGCTGTGCTCAAGTGAGGCCGATGTGATCCTCTCGCACGATCGCAATTCCTAAGACCCTCGGACTTTATCCAAGATGCACTTTAGTGAGGAGTCGAGGTTCAGATTGCGATTTTGTCATCCAGAGCGAGCGAGTGTTGTGAGGGATCGAAGATTCTGATGCATGTTAGAGGCAGGGCCAAGGATCGTGCACGTGCGTATCGTGTAACTTTTCGAGGCGAAATAACGACACGAGCGTATCCCCAGGCAGCTTCGTTCTCCTCGTCCCAAATTATCCTATTTCTTCCTCTCTCGACGTTCAGATCGTAACACAGTTTCAGGTACAAGCATGTACTGTTCGCCCTGACTTACTTTACTCCCGCACCAAGTGCACGATCAAATTCCAACAGGAACACAACTTTTAAGAGCATAGATATTGATTTCTTGTCAGTCGACGCGTCATGTGACGAACATTGCTTATATTTCTTGAAGTATACGGATCAAGCTACATAGCTGAGATCTGCTCTGGAGATTACCATTATTTTGGTTCAGTGAGAAGGGGTTGCTTCCCGTGCTCTGGAAAGCAACAAAAACTTTGGGAATTTTTGGTTGATCCTGTATATCAAGATGTGAAGGCATCCATCTAGACGTCTGGAAAGGGACAAGCTGAGAGGAAAGCAAGAATTGTAAGACACGATGGGGACCACGCAGAATGGCGCACCAGCTCAAAAAAACGAAAGCACATCCAACGGAACTGCAGCAGGTTTTAGCTTGACGTTCTCAAAGAAGCGCACAGCAGGTGCAGCGCCTGTAAATGTGCAGCCTAAGGAGGAATCAAGGTGATCCAACCACTTGCCTATAGCTCAGAAGCCAATTTTTGATATTATCATAAGAGAACCGCTCTGAGTCTCTTGCATGTCAATTCGAAGTCTGACTCCAGCGGCTGTGCTGACAGGAGGGAACTGGTAAACGGCTTTAGCGGTGGACAGTTGGAGTTGACAGATGCTGCAGCACCTCTGCTGGGCGGCAAGCGCACTATCGCCAAGCTTGAGAACACCTTCCAAGTGGGCGTGGGCCCCAAGAAGTTTAACGCATCCAGGTCAGCTGCTGCTCGTCATCTAACACAATTGCTGGTTCTGTTGTGATTCCCGGTTGTGGTACTCTCACTGTCATCAACACTGCCTGCAGGTTTCTACCAACTCAGGACGCTCCTGAAGCCAATGCAGACCGCTTTGAGCTGGCTGGACCAGAGGTGGCCCAGGAAGAGGTACATTGCTTGCTCTTCGCAGCCCTACACATTTGACAGCTGCTTTGCTAGGATACCAGGTTCTCGCCATCCACCTGTCTAAGGAGGTGGCGGCTACCGTAACTGAGGCTGCTTGCACAGGTGACGTATGGGCTGCAGAAACGAGCAAGGCCCTCTGAGCGCGAGGCAGATGGGGCGGGGCCCAGCAGGGATGACCCCCTGAATGGGCTCAGCATCACCAGCAGAGAGTGGGAGGCTGCCAGGTTCAAGCAGGACGTGGAGTCCCTTCCTGAGGTGTGCATCTGCTTTTTTCTTTGCAGAATTCCGCTGAGGGCAGCAGATTTTTGTAGATTTTGCCGTTCATGTTCCCTTTCTTTCTGGTTGTCACTTGCCACGTTGAAAATGACCTTTTCCCTGTGCAGGTGGCTGGGTTGGATGCGTATGAGGCGATGCCTGTGGAGGCATTTGGGGAGGCCATGCTGCGGGGGATGGGCTGGCAGGAAGGCAAGTCTGTGGGCAAGAACGCCAAGGAGGTGAGAGGGCTTACTGTTCATAATTATAGCGTTTAATTGAGAACTGAGCTGCGAGAAAAGTCTATTTGCAGCAGCCCAGCGGAGTGTGTCTGCAGAGCTGATGGCTTTGTGGGGCGCAGATTGTGACTGCAAAGGAGTATGTGCGGCGGCCAGAGAAGCTGGGCTTGGGCGCCACGCCTGCCGCCATGTTGCCCAAACCCAAGAAGTACATCAAACAGGTGACCACTCAGGACACCCTCCTTGCATTGCCGTCTCCGACATGTTCCACTGAGCTTATGGGAATTCACTGTAACCACCCTGATAGTGATATCACCTTGGGTACTGGCCCTCTGTCGACTGTCTACCGCAGAGACACCAGTACTTTAAATTCCCCCAGCCGTCCGAGTCAGCGCCACTTGTACGACTAGATGAAGCATAACCATCGACTGCTAGATGCTGAGCAGTGTGCTGTGATGCGCTGCAGGGGGAGAGCAGAGAGGCCAAGAAGGACATGATCTACATGGACGCGGAGGGCCACCAGAAGCACGTGAAGGACGAGAATGCCAAGCTCGTGGAGCGCGAGAAGAGGGGCGTCCACGTCGGCAAGACCATGCGCTGCATCGCCGGCACCCATGCAGGCCTCCTCTGCGATGTTCTCGCCCTGGAACCCAAGGTGAGAGGCACCTCCTCCTCCCCTGACCCTGCTGCAGGCGCTGTTGTATCTCAGCTTGTTGTGGCTGAGCCAGACTCTCCTGTGCAATTGTTATATTCAGATCCTGCACTTCTACCTTGGGAAGCTTGAACAACTGCTACGTCACCTTACTCCTGAACGTGGCGCCATCTCTGAGTCATCTTGACGGGTGTCGTGTGCTATTAGCAAAGCTAGTGTTCGGGGCTGTGAGAGGAGGCAATGCTTGCTTGGCAGGTGGGCGATAGGTCCCAGAGGGCCACGGTGCGGCTGCAGCCGAGCGCAGAGACGGTGTCAGTGCGGGTGAAGGAACTTGGGGAGAAGCATGAGAGTGCTCCAGAGCCCGAGAACGGCTCCTCAAAGCGCAAGCACAAGGAGCACAAGCACGAGAAGAAGCAGCACAAGCATGACAGGTGATAGGCTCATGCATGATGCTTGCTGAGCAAGACTTACCTGACAATGTTCCTGCACGTGAGATCCGCACACAGCAAATCTGACTGAATCAGCGTGTCGGCAATGAAATTACACCAGTGATTACGCAAGTGGACTGGGCGCCTATTCAGGTCGAAGGTCAAGGACAGGTCATCAGCGGATGAGGAGGATGGGCGCGAGGCAGAGAGGCCCTGGCTGGCTACCCACATCATCGTCAAGATCATCGACAAGAAGCTGCGCGGGGGCAGGTGCGCAAAACTTGTTGGTGGCTGCTTGGGTCAGAATTCTGACCCTACCCTTGCTCAGGTGGGCCTCGAGGCACCATTGTCGGCAGGAAGCGCCACATGCAACTGCCCTTCACTCTGCATCCGGAGGCTCGCATGGACGACGGTGCCTTTTGAAACGCGGCTTGCAGTTGCAGACGTCCAGTTTTCATGGGCATTTCCACTCCGCGCGTGGGACGTGCCATGCCCTATTGGTGCTTTATCATGTGCCAACGCCCAGATCATCGGTGAGGAATGGATCAGCTGATGCTGATCAGTACTGTGCGTCATGCGTACAGGCTGTACCTGAAGCGTGCAGAGGTGGTGGACGTCCCGGAGCCGACGCGGTGCAGCCTGGTGTTGATAGAGGGCGGCGAGACGCTGTCGGACGTGCCACAATCGGCGCTGGAGACAGTGGTGCCCAAGCAGGAGCGCTGCCGGCTGCTCATCCTGGCCGGGCCGCTGCGGGGGCAGCGCGCGCGGCTGCTCTCGCGCAACGCCGACGCTGCGGCCGTCGCCGTGCAGCTCACGGCCGACTTCTCCGTTCACAAGCTCAGCTTTGACGATGTCTCTGAGTATGCCGGGGACTTTGGCGACGAGGAGTAAACGGCCCGCCGACACGCGCGCCATGGCGCGCGTGTCCGCGGGGTTTAGAGAAAGAGCATGCAGACATCAAGGCCATGCTAGCGTCAGAGATACTGTAGGAGGAAGCAAAGGGCAGCAATGCCAATGAACGGCGTTGAACATATTTGTGATGTCTGGCCAGTTGAAGAATTAGGTTGTGAAGCAAAACACGTTTTTGGGTTCAGCATGATAGACAACTTCACAGGATGTGCAGCAGCGAAGAACTTGAGCATGAGTCAGGTCATGCCCATCAACCTGACAGTTTCTAGGGGATGAAAGCATGTGCCACGTTGGTCTTTTGCTCCTGATGGTCATGCCATACCAGTGGTGAGCATGCTGGTGTCAGCATGCCATGGTCCCGTGTGCCCTGGCCAAATTTGCTTGCCCTCATGGCCTTGCAGAAGCCAGGCTTGATCTTTCGGATTGTAAAATTTGGCATCAGTAATGTCACATTATGCTTTAGGTCTGTTGGCAATCTGTCACACTGGCAGTACGGTCGAGTCTCCTGCATGTACCAGTTTGGCCAACACACTGGCGGTTGGCAATAATTCCTCATAATGAGAATTCTCATCGAAACAAATCTGATCTAGTCTCAGGGAAGAAGACCTACTAGAAGAACGATCATTCATAGGCAGCCCTGCAGGGGTGACTTGATGACCCCAGTGTCATTCACACGTCAAATTATGTAGAGAATGGGATCTTCTTCCAGATTTGGCTGACATCAGTACATCTTGCGTCATCCTTCAGTAAGTTTTTTGAAATTAGTCTCGAGATTAGATCCTGACTTATTGATGGTTTTCGTTCCAATGTTCTCGACTTCATATTCAATCCGGCCTCGGCCAACCCCAATATTAATCAGGTTTGCTTGCCCCTGAATCGTCTCAGTCATGCGTCTGCTCGTTGCCCTTGCCGCTTTCGTGGCGGTTGTTGCGATCTCTGCGCAAGGCCAGTCGCCACCTCCGGCAATTATTGATATTGGAGTTGGAGCTAGCGCTGGCAATCCGATCGTCCAGATTCCCACCTCTACAAATCCCAACGGGCAATTGACTGGCCAGGTCATCAGCGTTATGGGGGGAGACCCCACAGCGGTCAAAGCGCAAGTGCTCAAATCCAGCACCAACTCTGATCCGGGCACCACAGTCACTACTGGAGGCACCTTCAACGTCCTCGGGACGAGTGGTGGGACCACGGCAACTGTGCAAACGACGGGCGGGACATTCACCCCCATCACCTCGGAAGCTGTCGGTGAGCCCTGCACTGCGGCCTCCTCCACCTTGTCTGTTCGATAATCAGGAAACATTGAGATCAGGCAGTGATAATTTGCTCATATTATGACCAGCATGGCAGCTTACAAGCGAAACCAAACGATCTTTGCGGACTTGTTCAGGTGACCCGGAGATCAGGGCTTTCGATGGCGAGACGTTTGAGTTCGAGGGCACCCCTGGATCCTTCTACGAGGCAGTGGGGGACCAGGATCATCAGGTGTCTGTTTTTTTGAAGGTCGGTCACATGTGGGACCACAACGGGACTTACATGCAGGGCATGGGAATGAAGGCACACGGCCAAGAGATCCTTGTTACCCTCAGCGATGACGACTGCCTGCAAGGTGACCATCTGACCTCCACTGCTGAATCACTTCTCATGTCAAAAACCTTACAATCTCGTGCGAAACATCGAAACAAAATGACATCATAGCTCTGCAATGGCAAGCACCATCTGATAGCTTGATGTGCTGCGCAGTGACTGCCAACAATGAGGTCTTGCATGTGCCTGACGACGGCACCTACGGCCTGAATACGACTCTTGGAAAGACCCCAAGCGCGGTGCACCTGGACTGGAAGCTCTTCCGCGAGAAACTCGGCAACTCAGTCCGTGTCAGCACAGGTGCCTTAATTAAACCCTCTCTGCTAAAAGCATGCGTCCTATGCAGCGCAACAACGATGCTGCCCTGCTGTCATGAGCTTGCCACGGACTGAAATTTTAGCTGGTGCATCCTGTCTCTCAGCTCAGTGCAACAATGACGGGAGCGTGTGTCTGACCACTGCCCTGCCCTTGAAGTTGCCATGGGCTGCAGTCTAGTATGCTGGTCACCAGTATATGGTGATTCTGCACTAACAAGAAGGCTTGCATGTATGCAGAGACGATGACCATCACGGTGTACATGACGAGGGCGGGTATCAAAGACAAGGGCGGCGTGGAGCAGCCAGCCTACCTCAACTTTGAGGCCACGCTCAACAGGGCACCCGACCACGACCTCAGGGTGCGTTCCCTGCAATGGCCCAGCAATCTGGATAGGCAGACTGCCAAATTATTTACCGCCCACCTGACACTCAGCAGCCTCCCTGGGAACACTTAGAATGCACAAGTGGTTCCCTTCAGATCATCCCCATCCTCAGCTGGCTGCCAACAATGGTGCATTTGCATTGCATGCCCAACATGCACCCAATTCCCACACTGCTGCTGCTGCTGCAGATGATGAGCTTCTTCAGGGCCAGTGAAGCAAACAGCCTTCGGGACACTCCATGTTGGCACACATGTTGAACCCAGAAAAAGCAAGGGTCAAGTCTGACGGGGCGGAGCAACACTGCACGCAGGGGTTCATGGGGCAGAGCTACAACAATGTGAGGAGCTCCACGCGCAAGCTGCAAGCCGTCCCTGAATGGGGCTACCACCACAACGCATCCGAATACGAATTGCCTGACTACTTCTCCATTTGATTCCTCCAACCAGGAACCCCGCGCCGCGCGATAGACATGTACACTAGCGCACTGGAAAGGGAGAGAATAAAACTGCAATATGGTATTTGCTGTGCTGTGTCCCAGGGTGAGGCAGTGGGCACCTAGTTGCCAAGGTGTCTGTGCGCGTTGTGATCTGCCCACAAGACGGTGCCCCGAGCGGATATTTGCCCCGGGGCGCTGGTTTCTTGAAATTTTATGTGGCGGATCCAAGTTTTGAGCGCAGGCACCTTGGAGGGTGCCCCTGCGTCCTGGGACTTCATCCTAGTATTTTCATTTCTGCAGAGGGATTTGCGGCTGCAAGTTTTCTGCAGCCCAGCATCCCTCTGCAGATGTGTGGGGGGTTTGAAGACCCCGCCTGTCAGGGAAGTTAACATCTAATTGCTGCACAAATTCAGTGGCTTCTTTGGAAAGCACTGAAATTACCTGTAGAGGTCCTCACTGGTGCGAGTCGCCTTTGCAGGCTGACTGTGGCACCCCGTGCATTGCTTTGCTGGGGGTCTGAACGGTTTTCGCATGTACTGATATACACCACGTATCATCCGCTGCAGGCAGCTTCCCGAGCTGCTGCAGCTGCGATGTATTCAAAGAAGCAAACTTACATGTGTGAGGCCCTTTGCGGGTGGGCTAATCAATTGCGGCACGTATCGCTTATGAAACGATTTCATGCAAATGCTTTGGGGGACCATAAATCTGTTTGCTAGTGTTGGTTGAATGGCGTGACTGGTGTCCAGACAGGGCCTTTGTACTTGGCTTTGCATAGGGAGACTGAAAGGGGGCACCGAGTGTCCCCAAGGGCTAGAACGTCCCATAGCAAGCTGGCGTTACAAACCTGTTGGACCCTGCCACAATAAAAATAAATTGGATCCAGACTTTTCTTGCCCTGAGGCCCTTGCAAGGTTTCGTTTGCATCACTGGCAATCTTTTGCGGTGCCAGAATTTGAAGTACAGTCCTAAGCAACTGCCTGTGCGTTTGCTTTTATGTTGCGCTGCCATCTTTGTGTGCAGCTGCTGCTCAGATGTGGACATCAGGCTACCAGTGGTGTCTCATGCTGTTTACGATCCCACCATCAGCAGTGATGCTGGTATTGCAAATGCAGTTGAAAATTTTTATGTGTTGACTAGCTTGGGCAATTTGCCAGTCCTCTGCCATGTCTTGCTGCCATGCGCATAAATCCCGCCATCCAAATGAGAATTGCAATTGTGGAATTTCTGATGAAGTCAGCATCCTGAAATTTGTACTCGGAGCTTCTGGGATTTTTTAGCTTTGAGTGGTGGGTTGAAGTATGCCATGCATGATGCTGACATCACCTTACTGAAGGAGCCCATGCATGCTGATATGCCTTAGCAATTTTCATTCATAGCAAGCTCCAGAGTGGAGACGTTCTTTAAAGCGCCTGTGTGTAGCAAAATAATTTGGCCATTTCAAAGAAATTCTTGTCACCTGGGGCTGTGCTAGACACTCCATTTTTAAATTCATTTCTTTGCTCGACACCGCGTGCATGCCGTGTGTATTTTGGCCTCTGATAGGCAGGGCGACTTGCAGATTTGGCAGACATTTGACAACCCTCTGGGTGATGTGCTTCCTGTGGGAGTTGCAATGTGATTTCAAATATGTATATAGGAAGCGCTTCATTTACATTTGATGGCACGCACTGGCGGCCACATGATACAGACTGCCTGTAATCTTTGTAATTTTGCAACAAGATCTATGTTCGAGTTTGATCCTGATCTCTTCTGACCACCATCCTACTAAAGCTAGCGCTACACGACTCTCAGATAGACACCACAAGTCTGACACGTGTGCACACCACTGCAAAGCTCCTTTGCAAGCTAGCTAATACATCGGCTGGTGCTAGCAAGTAGACACCTGCAATTACTGCATAAAATCCCGCAGAGCTGCATACGGCGGCGAGACAGCCAAAACCCAACTGCTGAGCCTGCATCGACACCCACCACTATCTGAAGAAACCACCAGTTCCCCACCCTGACGTGGCCGATGCATCACATGGATCAAGGCAGATGACAGAAAGCCGGTGAAATGCAACACCCCTGCATGGCTGCCCTGGGGAGGCCCAGCTCTCGGACTTGGATGGACAGTCTCTGACACCTGGCACGCGCTCCCAAAAGAACGACCCATTCCCGGAGTACCAGCACTGTTTTCACAGCCGCAACAGAGATCCAAGGCCGCTCAGACAGCACTTTTAGTGTGTCTTGGCAATCCCAGGGGCTTCTGATCTGCCCAGTTACTTTGGCAGAAAAGCTCCGGGCAGGCCAGAACCCTGTCCCATAATCCGTGACCATACCAGGCCTGTCTTTGCAGCCTGCCCTTCCTGCCAGGTCTTTTCAGGGTTAGCAGGTCAAGCTGGCGCCTCAGGGTCCAGTGGATTACAATCCAGAAGCCTGAACCCCATCCCAGAAGGGACCCCTCCCCCCCTAAGAATGAATGAGGTTGGGCCTTCCCCAGGGCCCCCCCTTCCCATATTAACGAATGCTGGCGCCGTCTATTATGTGGAGAAGTCATCGTCGGTGCGGTCTCCGGCGTGCGCGGTGCTGCCGGCAGTGTCATCGAAGCGGAACTTGGCCAGGCCTTCGCGCAGCCGCGCCTCCAGCGAATCCTCGGCTGCCGTCGGCCTCGGCTGCGGCCGCACTGACCCCGGGTCCACCCTCTTCAGCGCTGCCCGGCCCGCCATTATGTCCTGCGCCTGTCATACCGGCAGCCATAGTTGTCAGAACTCCCCAGGCTCGATGTAGGGGTTACAAAACACACCTAGATCTATATGCACATGCTCAGATAGTATACGCCCCCTGTTTCCCGTCTTCTCAATGCAAACCATAGTGAGATGTCCTGGCTGTGCAGATGAGCGCTGTGCCAAGCCCCATGACACCCGCAAGCTGACATAGGAAGCAATCATGCAGCATTGCACACATGCAGAATCTAGGTGCACTGCCTTCAGCGCTTGCATTGGGAGTTCAGAGTTGAGTTTTGGTGCCAATGAAGTGCATCAGGGCTCACCCGCAGGGCCACAGGCTGGGCTGCTGCGTGCTGCTGAAGGGGCGCCCTTGACGGCGCCTGCACAGGTGCCGGCACATGCTGCCTTGCAGCGGCTGCCTCCCGCGGCGCCGCCGCTGCATGCCCACCGTTTGATGGCTCGATTGCGCTCACTGCAGTGCACACAGCGGCATTCAGCAAGCAATTGATGTTTCCAACAATATTCTGCCCTCAACCACGAACCTCCATTCTTGCTGCTGGCAGCCTGTGCCTTCCTCATCACCACATGAATCTGGCATTATCACTGTAAGTCCTTGTTGGCAAGGCAGGATTCAGGTGGGTGTCAGGGAGGCAGAGATATTTCGTGTGCGCCTACCGGGCGGGTTGTCGGGGGGCGAGCGCGATTGGGAGCCGTCGCGGGCGCGGCCGAGGATGGCGGCCAGATTCACGGTCTGGCCGCTGGACAGCTGCCGGAACAGCTCCTCCGAGATGGTGTCCAGGTCCGCCGGGCAGCCCGAGGCGCTCGCCGCGCTCACCTGCGCACAACACCAATTGGGCACCTCAATCACACAGACCCCCATTGCCGTGATATAATGATGAGAATAGACGCTGAAAGCCAGACATTCCTGAAAGCTACAACATCACATGAAGGACATGCATGCAATGGCAGGATGCCTGTGGTGCCTGGTTGCCGATGCTGCTGCAGGAGAGGGCCTCAACCAGGCACTTGAACGTGGCATAATATAGTAATCATAATATAAAGAGAGGGCTTGGGGATGGGAAGCTCGTGGACAGGCTGTGAGGGTGTCAGGATTTAAAAAAATTATTGCAGCCAGGTTAAAGAGGTGCAGGGGGGATGAGAGCAGGGGCCGCACCTGGGTGAGGACTTTTTTTAGCTGCTCGCGGGTCAGCCCCACGAGGCAGTCTGGCGTGGCCGGAGCGGCCGCTGCGGTGGGCCGTAGAAACGGGTGATTCAGCAGTTCCTGCATGACAATACGGGACATCCTTGTCAGCCTTCACAGCAAGACCGCGGCAACCTGGCAGTATAAAGATATTATGTCTTCTGTAACCATCTACCTTCTGTCTGTGGGGTCAAAGCGGCGCAGCCTTGAACAGCAATATATTTTCATGGAAGTATGCACTGTTTAGAGATCACATCTCTGATCATTAGCATTGATGGAAGTCAGTGCCGCTGCTTGTAGAATGCGATGCCAGCCGGCAAGCCCATCCGGAGGAAAATAAAGGTGGGAAAGTTTGCCTGCATGGAGATGCGGGTGCGGGCGTTGCGGTCGAGGCAGCGGCGGATGACGTCGGAGAGGGCTGAGTTGCGGAGGGGGGGCATCGCGACGCGGTGGGCCGGGTCGGTGATGGCATGCATCTTCTGGATGAATGCCAGCGCCGAGAAGGGGGTGTGCCCGTACACCATCTGGTACAGGATGCACCCCAGGCTCCACACGTCCGAGGGGCGGCCCACCTGTGTTAATTCCCCATTGCAGACCCTTCAGCCGGGGTTGCTGACGATTGATCGAGGCATAAGAAAAGCATGCTGCACTTAGGGAAGAAAAGTGCAACAGCATGATCTCCTGGCATGCCTGTGAGGAGGCAGGTAGGATAGGCACAGACTGCGAGTATCCCACAGGGATCTGCCTCCTTGAAATACGCAGTTGCAAAGTTTGAGGCATACATTCTTGTGCTCTCGAGACAGTAGAATATTTTACCTTCATGGGTGGCCCGCCGCGGATGTTGGTGGCGCCGCCCAGAATCGCCTCCGGAGACATGTAATTCAGCGTGCCCACCTGGACCATGGAGAGACACACCCTTGTCAGTGCCATCCCACGTCAAATTTGACCATCACCTGTACAGAGGTTGCAGCCAAATTGGGTGCTGATTGGGAACTGCAAGTCATGCATGCACACGAATGCTGACTGACAGTCAATGATGACAGTATTCGCTAGAGTGCAGATCTGGGTGCCCCCAGTTTGATTTTGTCATGCTTGGATCTGGCGAGTTCAAGCAGCTTATGGGGCAGCCTCGACCTGCAGCTAGTCTGCAGACACACCCCAACTCTTGGCAGCTATGATATGAATATGGGAAGAATACTCAGAACAGATGTGGCTTTACGGTGCCGACCTGGGCCTCGCGGGCGATGGAGGTAGTGTCGGAGGAGATGGCCTTGGCGATGCCAAAGTCGATCAGCTTCAGCTGCCCCTCCACCACCAGGAAGTTGGCCGGCTTCAGGTCGCTGTGCACTATGCGCGCCTCGTGGATCGTGTGCACCGCCTGTGACACGCATGCATGCAGACCCGTCAGCTGCATGCAAGCCTTGCATGTCATGCTCAGACTCTCTTGATTGTCACTGTAGAATACACCCTGGAGACTTTTTCTTTTAAGTGGGTTCCCGCAGATATTTCCCCCGAGTCAGAGAGTAAATGTTTGACCCATCTGCAAGCTTGAAAGGATTTAATTTTCCCTGTTGTTTCCAGCGAGCACTTTAGCACATCCCTCACTTGCCACTTACCAAGCGGGTGAGGCATGCCTCTGCAGCGCATGGTGCTACTTAAATGGGAAAGGGTCATTTCAAGGCATGTCAAGAGCAGCAAGAAGTAAGGCAAGGGGTGGGATATGCATGAAGGTGGGCTGGACGGCGCGCCTGCAGCATCTGCTGCCAGTAGAGGCGGATGAAGTTTTCGTCGAGCTCGGTGGCGCCGCCCTCGCGCTGGTTGGCCTCGTGCCGCGCCAGCAGCCGCGCCAGATCTATGTCCCCATACTCCAGCACCATGTAGATCAGCCCCTCCCCACGGATCACCTGCGATCACTATTAAGCTCATGCCCTGGCTATGAAGACTTTGCTCATTCCAGACTCAGGGCAAGCACAGCGAGAAGACATCTGAATGGGCGCACTTCAAGGACGCGGTCTACCATACAGTACAGTACAGTACATATAACAGGCGGCCACACTCAAGTTCAGAAGGCATCTTGGGCTCCTCCGCACTATAAGACAGATAAAGATTGCCTCCATGCGCTCACACATCCGTTCAATATGACAACAGGGCTGTGATGGTGTGGGTGAGAGCGTTGCCACAGATATTGATCATCAGACCAAGTCGAAGTCTTTGAGGCCCTGGAGTGTAGCGACAGATTCCTCCCGCCCACGGTCCAAAGGAAAGACTGACAAAAATAGTATTGCGAGGGTCACCTCGGCGTCGATGAGCTGAATGATGTTGGAGTGGCCGCGCAGGCGCTGCAGCAGCGTTATCTCATCGATGAACCCGGCCGCCGCCTCGTGGTCGCGCCCCGTCAGCCGGATGCGCTTCAGCGCATATATCTTGCGGCTCGGCGCCATCACCTATACGCGCATGCATGTAGTCGTTATCACTGACTAGAATCTTGGAATTAATGAGTGCCCCCTAACGATATTTATTGTTTATTCCACGCTGGCAAACCATGTGATACATTATGGCCACCTATAAACAGTCAAATGAATGATTGTGAATGCAGGCTCTTTGCATACTGCCTTCAAGCGCTCACACTCCTGCCAGACCACTGCAGATCTGCCTCCACCAGTCCTCAAGCTCTGTACATGTACTCTTGTGCCATGGCACGCTAATTTTCTACCCAACAGCCTACTGGACAGAATAGGCTGATGGGCCTCGCTGTCATTCCAGTGAAAGGACAGTGTCTGAGATGTTTGCCAGCATGAGCGGGTGCAAGGGCAGCATGCGCACCTTGTAAACCTTGGAGGAGCCTCCGCGGCCAACGCACTCCAGCTTTGTGTAGCGCGTGCCCCTCACCACCACAGTGTTCTCGTCTTCGCGCACCCTCCGCACGCGGGGAGCCTGCCCCTGCCCTTGCTCCTGCACCGCCCAGAAATCCTCGTGGGACTGGATCTTGCTATGGCTTTAAACTGCATTGCAACAGACAATGTGGGCTTGATTGAAAGCCAGAATGGGTCTTGGAGGTCTGGCTATGAGGCAGGTACCATCATAGGAATGGAGTCAGTCATACTCCATCGTGCATGCTTTGAGACTGCGTGCAGGCGAGAAGATCAACAGCGGCACCTTTTGAGCAGGCTCCTGGGCGGCCGATGGCGCGGGCCCAGGCTTCTCAGCTGGCTGCTGGGGACGCGCCTGTGCCTGTTGCTGCTGCTGGTGTGGTACTGAGATGCTCGACAGTGGCTGCCTGTGACCCGGAGCACATCACCCACCTCAGACACTCTGTTTCACACTCTCTCAAAGCAGAAAAGCTGCTGCAGTGGCTTGTTCAAGACTGCCTCAATGGCCTTGAAAGTGAATCCCCGAGACGAGGCATCAATAAACAAGCTGTTTGCTCAAACCACAGAAATGTTGATGAGGCTGCCACTAATCTAGACATATGCACCGGGAACGTGCACGGATGTATTGCACTGGTGAAAGTGTGAACCCACCTGGGGCGGCTGGGGGGTGGGCCCATGACCTGTCGCCCGGGAGCGGCAGCCTCGCTGCCGGCCGCAGGCACCACTGCAGCAGCGGCCGGCCGCGCTGCAAAGGATGGCGGCGGCGGCGGCGGAGGCACCGGCCTCGGGCGCTCGTTCTGTGCTGCTTCAGCTGCAGCGCTCGACCTGTGCATGACATGACATGTTTCATGGCATGCTTAAGTTCTCACTACATGACATGTTTCCAGCCCCTGCAAAGCAGCATTTAATTATTTGGGTGTGCGGCAGGATCATGTCAGGCAGGAGCATGCTCACTACTGCTATGCAGTGGACATTGAAGGTGGCAAGCAATGTCATAAGAGGGTCTCACCGAGCAAGGCTTCCAGACCTGGACAGGGGCACTGTCTGATCAGGGTCCTGTGCAGCTGCGGCAGCTTGCGTTGCGCCATGCGCTGGTGCACTGCTCCGCGCATCACTGCCTGATGACACAGCCATGCACAGTTCAGCGCACACTTTTTACAGATTGCTCCACAGCAAAATGGCCAGGTGTTTCGCATTTGGTAGCAGAAGGAACGTTTCTGGAACGAAGACGATGCACTGAAATTGCAAGACAGAGTGCACACCTGACGGGGCAGCGGCAGCGCTGGAGGGGCGTTGCAGGATGGCAGTGGGGCCGTCTGACACAGCCATGGCTGCTCTGCTGGACCCTTCACCCGGCCTCCTCATCTGGACGTCCTCTGCATGGCTCTGCGCCTGCACACACGTCACCATTCAGTTTGTAGGAGTGCTGATATCACCATTCTTGAACTCACCCTGCTGATCTCCTAGACTGAGCCACGCCAGCATTCTGCATCCCTGCTCCGCATGTCCTGCAACATGGTTCCCCATCACATCCAGCATCTGGTGTCAAGCCTGCAGTAAAGGTTAGCATGCAGATTAGGAATCCTGATCCAAAGTCTCACTCATGCTTTGCACAAATGACTGCTGAAAAGTCAAGGGCCCACCCGCAGAGGGGCGATGCTCTGGCGGCCGCGCAGGGCTTTGGCTGCCAGCCCGCCATTGATGAGCGGCACGGTCTCATCTGCGTCGTTGCTGCTCGGTCTGGGCGCCAATACAGGCCCCCTCCTGCTGCTGCTGCTGCGCGGGGGCGGCTGCGCCCCTATGCTCATGGGCGGCACCCGGCCCTGGTCCGCCGCCACCGGGGGCCGCGTGCGATGCACAACCTGCGTGTCATTTGTATATCGTCTCAAAGGTTCTCCCTTACAGTACAAGACCAAAGCATGCCAATCTCTCCTGAAGTAAGATAAGACAGGCAGGGCGGGATCTTAGTGAGCCCTCCGAATGCTGTCTTTGAGCTTCAGAGGCCTTCACTGGGCTCTCTAAATGCTGAAGAAATTCTGATTGCACTTTATTCCAAGATGGACACCTGGAGAGTCTCGTCTGGGCTGCTGGTGGACGTGCTAGCTCCCTCTGGGGGGCCTCTGTTCCGCGCCGCAAGTGCAGATCCTGCTGCATCAGCATTGCTCACTGCAGCACGGTTGCTCTGAGGCTGCGCGGCAGCGTCCAGCTTGCCGTGCCGGTGGTGCACGGAGCCGTTGGGCGTGGTGACCACTGTGTACCCCCATTGCGGGCTTGACTCCTGCCGAGCCCTCATCTGCATTGCCATCATTGCAAGTCATTAACACCCAGGTCGGAACCCCCCCATTGTTGCACAGATGGATGCTGAAACGAGGCATGCTTAATTTTTTGCACTTTTAATGTGCAGCAACGTCTTCCTTGCCAGGCAACATCAGCTTGAGGATAACCAGAAATGATGCATGCTCGCTTCTTCTACTTGTCATATCTGCAGCAACACATGCCTTGCCAGATAACTTTCAGTGTGAGGACAAGTTGGGAACAAGGCAAAGAGTGAGCGCACATCAATGTCGGGTGATGGCCGGCGCTTGGGACCGCAGGCATTGGCGCCCTGGGGTGGGCAGCCGCTGCGTGCGTCCGCCTCCGCCTTCCTCTTCTTGCCGCTGTCGGTCAGCGCGGTTGCGGCGCTCTCGCTCTGCAGGACCACCCTCGCAGCCCCCCCTCCCAAACCTGCAGAGCAAGCTTTCGCGCTCAGCACTGCCTATTTATGGTCCTGTGAGAGGATGAGGCACGCCAAGGCTCACTGATGTTATCTTTGCAAAAGACACCACATCAGTGTGACAAATGGAGCAAGGCAGTTGGACATCCATGACCAAGAAGCAGCAGTGCTCGTCCAGATAGGGCCACTGGGCTCTAAAAACAGCACACTTGCCAAGAAATCGAAAAAGAGTAATGTGAAGGGTACAAACTGAAAAGCTGCACAAATGGAGTCATGCCTGTGCGGCGGGGGCCGGCTCGGAGGCCGCTGAGGGCGGGGCGGCCGAGGCCGGGGCGCGGCGCGCGGTTAACCATGACCATTGGCTCCTCACCGGCCGTCGCTGCATGCTGCTGCTGCAGGTGCACGCTCGGCCCGGCAGCCATTTCCGCCGTCGTGCGCAGCTTCAGGTCCAGCGTCTCAGCCTCGCCGCTGCCCGAGCTGCTGCTGCTCACATCCGTCCGCCCTACGCCCCGCCAGCAGCTCACCTCTGAGAAGATTTGTCCCTTTTCATAGAACCACGCTGTCCCTTTTCATAGAACCACGCTGTCCCGAGCCGTTTTGCTCAACAGTTTGGCATTTTTAGGCGCACACACTGTGGGACTTTGCAGAAGCCTGCATGGTTCCATGGCGTTTTCTGACAGCCGCAGGCTGCCGGTGTCACTGCATGCGAGGTGCGTCCTTGACAGACAGCTGACAGGAGCAGAGCTTGAGAAGGACAGCAAGACAGCCGGCAGCGGCGCAGTCAACAATCTATGGAGGGCAGCGACGTTGGGGGTGTGCCTGTGAGGGCGGGGGTGGCAAGGCGGGGGTTGTTGTTGATTGTCACAGTCGCCTCGTCGCTCGTGCCGGAACCGCCGGACAGGCTGCTGTGGGACGTGTGCGCGCCCCCAGCCGCCCCCCGCCGCACCACCACCGTCGCTTCCATGCGCGCAGAGTTCCCCCCGTCCGCTGCTTCCGTGTGCGCGCCAGGAGCCGGCCGCTCCTGCTGTGTTTGTGGTTCGGCGTTGGATTGTGTGGTGTCAGGCGGTGAGTCCTGCTGGGTCTCGCAGATGGGCGTGAGGTGGTCTGGGTGGGGTGCCGTCGCCGGCGCTCTGCTGCTGACGTCAGCGGTGACTGCCTCGCCGGCTGCGTCCCTCTCCTGCTTGCACGCACACATGAAGTCCTCGATCGCATGTCTAAAAGCATTCCTGGCTGTTTCCTCCTGCCAGGCAGTGCTGTTGGCTGCTCCAGCAAGCCCTACCTTGCAATATGGTGATCATGGACAAAGCAGCATGACGAATACACAGAAGCCCAAGCTGTTATTGAAGCAATACGGCGCATTTTTGCGGATTTCATCAAATACCTTCAGTGGAAATTCTAGGGTGTCAGCTTTGAGATGCGGCGCACCAGGGTGCTGGCGGCATTGTGGCTGAGGGCCATGTCGAGGGAGTTGGTCTGCGTGAAGTCGCGGATGCGGCGGTTGGCGCGAGCCGCCGGTGTCGGCAGCAAATAAGTGGTGGCCGCGCTCTGCTGCGCATTCGCAGCGCCCACCCTCTTCGTTGTCATTGTTTCCCCCGCCTTGGGGCCTGCCGAAAGCCTCGCCTCTAGTGCATGCAGCTCACTGCGCATGTGCAGCACATTATATTAGTCACAGTAGAGAAATGCTGTTATACAGTCATCTCTAGAAGACAGAAAGCAAGTTTTGGCTTGGTCTTGTGGATGTGGTGGAACAACAGGGGTGGACAGTGGGAATTTGGCAAATCGAAATGGTGCGGTACAGTCACCTCGGAATGACAGAAAGCAATGGGTGTGCCTGGAATCATGGGTGTATTGTAAGGAAAAGGGTGGACGGTACATGTGGGCACCTGATCGGCTGGGCATCCGCCTTGATACCCTTCCTCACAATGGAGAGCGCCCTGTCCGTCTCACCTGCAGGTAAACAACAGGCACTGTCAATGCAACTCCAATGCAAGGCGTCAATGACAAGGAGTCAAATGGAAAGTGATAAAGCCCAAGTGGCAAGCGTGGCTGTGGATGGGCTTGCCTGCGCTGATTTCCAGGGCTGCCCACTCTGCATAGAGGCTGGCAGACACCGATGCATTCCCAATGTTCTGGTCCTTCAGTGTCTTGTATGTCTCCCGCGCCTCATGCTGGTTCCTGTACCTGTTCGCAAGCAGCCATTTCTCTTTCAATACAACGCTAAGGGAAGCTGCGAACTTTGACAGTTCGGCATCCTCAAAGGCCAGCCATGTGTCCACTCTGGTAGCCTTGGGCTCGCTCAAGTCACCGATAAGTTGGAGCTTCTCATGCAGACCGAAAAAATCAATTATATAGCTGAGGTATTGCAAAGCCTACCCCTGGTGACGGGCATAGCCCAGCCACAGCTGCAGGTAGGCCTCGCTGTTGCGCTTGGGCAGCACTCGAGTGGCCCACTTGTACAGCTGGAAGAGGGAAATGGCCTGCCTCCCCAGTTTGGCTCCTGTGCCTAGCTCCACTGTCACATTGGCGCCTGCTCCTGCCAGAGCTGCCTCCTCATTTGCAAGAAATGCCCACCTGCCAGCGTCATGAGAAACTGTCTCTATGCTTGCAATACACTTTTGTGGAAAGCCTCAGAAGTGAGAATGTATTCAGATTTCCAAAAACTTCGCTTGGTGTGGCACTGTTCAAGTCCCGTGTTGGTATTCTAGTGAGATTTACAGCCTCTCACCAGGACTCTGCAGCCTTGCTGTCTAAAGGGCTGCTTGAAAGGAGCGCAGTGCTGAGTGTGTGGCGCTGCGCTTGGAATGGCTCCGCTGCAGTGTCTTGACACAGCACATAGGCGCGTACATCATCTTCCCAGCTCTGTGATCCAGTGTTGCGAGCAGCCTGACCAAGGACCAGCAGAGTGAGGGTGGTCCTTTACTACCAATCTTGCTATATGCTTCGGTGCTGCTGTGCCTCAAGACGACTTTTCAGTCGTGTCCATTTCGTAAAACGACGCATAGCAAAGAAGAGTATAAAGAGATTCGTAGAGCTGTCAAGGGCGGGAGTTCAATCCACAATGCAGGGCACTGTACCTGGACACTTGTGGGAGTGGCTAGAGATTTGCAACCGAAGCCCGGCGTTCCAAGATTGCGTGGCTTAAGAGGAGGAAGTTTCTGAGTGCTGAGACTTTCTTGTGGAAGCATGTTATCCCTTCTCCCCAAGACTTTGCGTCCAACTGATCCCAGTCCACTGAATGGTTGTACACGTAGCGGCCTTCCGGCTGGCCCCACATTCTCCTTGTCCATGATATCTTGAACAGGTGTCTGCGCATTCATTCCGGGTCCGAGCGTACCTCCTTATTGGGCCTTTTCTGTCCTAACCTGACTGCTACATCACCGAATGCACCTAAACAAATGCACGTCTCGTGCACGCGAGACGCCCATGAAAGGAAAACCTACCTCTTCGCTCCACATTACAACTACATACAATGCTGTCTGATTGTTCTTTCTAGATGAAAATCGAGAATTCACAGCCCTAACAACGGCTAGAATTATTAAAGCATATACCCCGCGAAACCCTAGGGCTTACTCACATCATCGCTCTCAATTGATCAAACATCCCAAACGGCTCTCCAGTATGTTCTTGTGGAACGAAAGATAAATGATTCGGCACAAATTATGCTTGAAACGCTCTGGTCTCTAGCTGGGCCACGCTGCCCTTTAAAAGTTGTTACGACAGGCTGATCTGGCAGATTATTCTGACTGGAACAAGCCAGGTGAGAAAACAAAGTGTCAATCATGACGCTGTGGGTCACTTCTAAAATTTAAAGGAAGAGAAGTAGGTACCATGGCTCACGAGGACGACGATGACTTGTGGACTGAGGTAAGTTGGGTGTCGACAGCTGCCATACTTCTCATGCAATATTATGAAAGAAAGAATTGCATGGAATTTCGTATCAGTCATCGGCAGCACGACTGCTCCGGGGAGCAATGTCGATGTCCCTAAGCCATAGCTTGGTACTAAGTGTCCAAGCCTGAACTGCTCACTGCAGCTCTACGGGGAAGCAGCACCATTGGAGGAGCAGAGATCAGCTGCAGTCAGACCGGATGTAGCATTGCCAGCGCCTGAGAAGCCTCCTCAAGCAGCACTGCCTCCACCCCCACCTGCAGAAACTTTACATCCACAAGGTGCGCGCCCTCATATACCTTGCAGACCATTGCTGATCATAAGATTATCTGCTGTTTGAAATGTAAGGAAAGTTCTTGGGCCGCCTGGCTGATCCACAGATGTGCGCTTCTTACAGAGCCTAGCGAGAAAGCTGTAGGAGTTCAGGCAGCAGATGCGGCATTCTCTGAGGAGGCGGCAACAGAGGGGGGAGCTGGAGCCCAGGGCGGAGAGGAAGAAGACGATGATGACTTGGACATTCAGTTGGATGGACCAGACACAGCACAGGAGCAGGCTGACAGCGAGGTGCGCTTACATTAAACTTGAACACTGGATTTTGCAGGATTTAGCAGGCATCCGCAAGAATCAAGAACTCTTCACTGTTGCACTTGATTATTATGTTCTGTTGTGTGCCTGCAGGATGACGAATTTGAGGTCATGCTCGATGCTGACGAAGACATTGGGGAGCCGGGAGGCAGCGCACAGCAGGCAGCAGAATCCGCGCACATGTATGTGCGGCCAGGCGCGGACACTCCTCAGACTCAGCCCAGCTCGTCAGCAGGCACAGCCACGTTACGAACAGGTGCGGTCAAGCAGAGCTATCTAACACTAGCATGCATTGCAGGACTCTAGAATTAAGCAAAGGAAATGCTTCCCATATGCAGGCAATATTACGCTGGATGCGTTACATCATACTTGTCAGAGACATTCTTACGTCCATGTAAACATTGCTCACCGATTTTCCCAGCCTCACGTAGTGCATGGACTCTAGAAATGCTTGTGTAGCTGTGTCTGATGATGAATCTGGTTATGTCACAGGCAGCACGGGTGCAGCCGCGGGAGGCCTTTCAGCGGAGCCTGCGAGCATGGTACCAGGCATGATGTCAGCCCCAACATCCTCTGCTATTGTACCTGCGCCTCCCAGAGCACCTACCGGCCCGCCCCCTGTTTGGCCGCACACTCTGCAGCGCTACGTGCCGCCTCAAGGTCAGCATTTTCATCATCACCTTACTGCTGTTTGGTGTGCACTGTTGCTTCTTTCGCTTCCACTGGACCTGTGCAGCTTTCTGCGTGTTTCAATGGCTCTAGTAGCAATGTAGCTAGCAAGGGGCTGGCGATTTAAGAAGTCGCGTGTGCAACTGCTCTCCTTGCAGCTTGACACAGGGGTGTATATGGCTGCAGGGCTGGGGGTGGATGAGCCGGTGCTGCCGTCAATGGGCAAGCCCGGGCAGCGGATACGGCTGCCGGGGCAGACGCGCGTGATGCACGACGAGTACAAGGAGTTCCTGGCCCTGGGCCATGGCGACATCTTTGACCTGGACCCAGATCTGTACGCTCCTCCCTTCCCTTGAACCTCACCTGCCCCCCGAAATTGCCCAAACTCTTATCATGGCCGAAAAAGCTGTTGAGCCGCCTCCTCAGCTGCTCTGTATATGTGGCTGGGAAATAGAGAGAAAATTAGCAGGTCACTAAGGTGCTCATGTAGCTGAAAGATGCATGTGTCTATCCCATGCAGGGTGCTGGATGCACCCTGGCGCCACCCGGGCGCTGACGTGTCGGCCTTCTTCAACTACGACCACAGCATGCGCACGTGGCGCGAGTACTGCAAGAAGGTGGAGCAGTACCGCCTGCAGTTCACCATGCAGAAGAAGATCCAGACTCTGGACGCTTCTGACTCCGCGATCGACCCCGACCTGCCCCCAGAGCTCCGCGCTGCGCTGGCGGCCGAGCGCCGTGATCAGCAGCCGGCGCCACCGCCGCGCCGACCTTACTCCGCCCAAGGTAAGGCACCTTTTGCTGCTTTCTTTGCATTGGACCACTTTATGATGACATCATCCTTGATGAACAAATGAGGCCCTTCTGGCAAACCCACCCACTGTCCGGGTAATAAATGCAAATGTGTCTGATGTCAAGAAGCGCGCAGCGTGCCCTGAGCTGGAAGTATGTGATACAGTAATAATGCAGGTATGGTGAGTGCCAGCTCATTCATGACCTGTCTATCTCTCTGTGGCAGGTGGGGGCCGTGGACCGCGGCCGCCATTCAGGCAGACAGAGAGCAACGCTGTGGTGCTGGCTGGCGCTAGCACACAGCAGGCCAATGGCAGGCCTGATGACCAGGTCCGCCTCACCCACAACATTCTGCTCTGTTCCAGAGGTATTCTACCAGATCTCTATGCCCCGCTGTTGGCCTATAATATGTGTGCTGACTGCTCCTTGGTGTCCAGGGGAACTCTGGATCTGGACCCAGGGTCGCCAATGGCCAGGGGATCAAGGTCAGGCTGTCCAGCGGCGAAGTCAAGATCAACTTGAAGAGACCACAGGTGTTGTCCGCCTTCTGACGCATCTCTGATTGCATTCTAGTCAATGGTTCCCACCATACTCTGAAGTGCGACGGAGAGCTCATGCTGTTCTGCTGGAGGTTAACACTGTCTGTCTGATGTATGCAATGTCTGCACCCAGGAGAATGGGGTGAAAGGGCCACAGCCACCGCCGGGGCCAAAGCCGCCGCCGGGCCGGCCACCGCCGAGACCCCCCAGCGTGCCTCCACCGCGGCCCCCCAGCGGTCCCCCACCTGGGCCTCGGCCGCCCCCCAGACCGCCCCCAGGTGCCCTTCTTGCAGGCATTGCATGCTGCCAATACAAGACATGCATGCCTACAAAGCTTACCTTCTTTTGGCCTAGGGAACAGGTGCAGATGATCTTGTTGCAGATGATCTGCAGATGCTGGCAACACAATAGATACATCAACTCCAGACAGGGGACTGGGGGAATTTGCCTACGGGCTGGTGAGGTGGAGCAGTCAAAAGATTGCATGATAAATGGTGATAGGAAGTGTTTGCTTGGTGTGGATGCTGACAGCAGGGTGTGGGGTTGCAGGTGCAGGATTTGAGGGGCCAGGAATGATGGGAGGCATGGGGGGCATGCCGATGGGCTTTGGGCCGATGGGCCCCATGGGGCCGATGGGGATGATGGGGGGTCCCATGGGCATGGGCATGGGTGGCTCCATGATGGGCATGGGCATGCCGGGGGGTCCCATGATGGGAGGACCCATGCTGGGGGGCCCCATGATGGGTGGGCCCATGGGGGGCCATCCCCCCATGCCGCCCATGATGATGGGCATGGGACCTGATGCCATGTGCGACCCTCCCTTATATATTGATTCCTTACAACTCACTTACCCTTTCTGTCAAAAAACTTGCTGTTGAGCCTGTTGAGGCAAGTCAAATATCAAGGGGAGCAGAATGAGGAGTATAGTGTTCCACAATATACTCCCCTTGCAAATATCTTGTAAGCCTGCTCAGGCAGGGATGCAGCTTTGTGCATCACCCCATCTGCGCAATAATGGTTGTTGCATGCATGCACCAAATTCTGGCGGCGCGAGGAGATGATCGGAAAAGGAGAGTGAAGGGAGCAAATGTGGTATTCACAGGATGGGCAATGGGCCGGGCTGGGGGCGCAGCAGGAAGCACAGCCTGGCAGAGCTGGGCATCACAGAGGAGGAGTTTGAGGAGTACGCGGCCAAGAAGCCGACCGGTGGGGACTCGGACGTGGGCGCTGGCAGCCTGGCCATGGGCATGGACGTGGACCCTGCCAGCCAGCAACCCTCCACCAGCAACCGGCGGCCAAGTGCGCTCTTGACTTTGCAATATTTTCTTGACCATGTGGAGCTTTCAGGCAGACAAGAGGACTGATTAGCATATCTTGCACTGAAGTGTAATGTTGTGATCTCAAGTGCGATCTGTGCGCAGATGGCAGCGGCTTTGCGGAGGCGGGCGGCTACAGAGGGCGGAGGAATGGCGACAGCGGCTCTGATGATGAGCACGGCAGGGACCGGCATAGAGACCGGTGAGTTGACAAATCCTGGACTGGTGCATGCTTTTGATACAAGATAACACAGTCTGCAAACAGCAGAGTGATTTGCAGACGGCCAGAGTTTGTGCGAGCTTGGTTTGTGTGCGCCAGTATGCGGGACAGCGGGAGAGAGCGGCACAGGAGCAACCGCAGGAGCCGCAGCAGGAGCCGAGACAGGGACAGCAAGCGCAGCAGGCACGCTGATGATGGCCGAAGGCGCAGGTCATAGCAGTGACTGCGCCCTGGTGGTCCCTCCACGTGGACACATCTCCAGTAGAGTGGACATTTTCAATTGTATACATGCTTATCTACGTCTAAACTGGGCCTAATGCTTAGTTCATGCTGCTGTCCCGGTGCCAATTAACAGGCATGTCTAGAACTGACATCACAAGAGCTGACTGTTTTACAGTCAAATAGGTGTTGGCTGGTTGACTGAAGGAGAACGACTGACATCCGATGAGTCCTTGTTTGAAAAATAGTTCACGTGCAGTGGTGGCTTGTAGTGCTCTGGAATGGTCGGTGAGGGATTGCAATCATTTGCAATTGAAGCAATGCAGTGGTATACCATCTTAGACTGGAATCATTCCTGACATTTGTTGAGACATATCACATGCAAGGTACATGAATAAAGAAATATCCTCCCTGGCACCCGCCTTTGCAAGTGCCACACCTGGAAACGTTTAAATTAAATTTGATAGGGTTGAGGACTGGTACTGGAGGAGTTGGAGGTTCAAGTCCCTCAGGTGGATCATTGCACAGAATAAGGATCGGCGGGTAGGAGGTCGTGCAACACCTGCGAAAAGCACTATAGTCGGGGCATCTTCTGTTCCATTTTTGGCTCGAGGTTGGGTATGACCATGTGCGTTATGATTTCTTTCAGGAATACCATCCTGTGATGGCGTCAATGTGTTGGTCCTCATTTGATAGGAGCATCATGATGGTGTTTGCTGATCAGCAAACACCATTTGCATGAGTTTCTCTAGCGTCGAGATACTGATCACTAGCTGCACGTTGGGTGGTGTATTAGTGCCAGATGGATTGTTCCTTTGAGGATCAATAGCTTCAATCTTCTTTCTGCGATCGGCGTTTCAATAAAACTTTTCCTTAAGCTGCATCTGTCCTGCAGGAAATCCGAACAACAAGGCCTCGCGCCCTCAGGATAAACCCTCTGATATTTTTAAACCCTGGAAAAGAGGATGACGCCGTGGCAAAGCGATCGTCGTCCTCAGATCGATAGAACCAGACTGTTATCGATAATTGGAAATTACTTAGATAATTGAAGACAAGAAGTGAACTCACCTCAAGAATTTATCTAGGACAGAAGCACTAAATTTGTGAAGAAAAGCATTAAGTAAAGCGCACAGATGCCGTGCCCTGGCACAGCTGGGTTGCAGGGCTCTGCAGCGCACGCTGCAGGATGTCCCATTCGTCAATCTAGGAGCACAGTGTTGCATCATGCTTTTTCAACAGCAGTGTCGCGATCCACATCTCGAACTAGACATTTGCAGGTGTGCAGCAAAATTTTCCGAGTAGTCTACCTTTGCAGAGGTGCCCCTACCGATCTAGCAATGACCTTTGTTGTTTTAGATATATAAATTGAACCAAGGGACGTTCAATGGAACAGGTCGTGGCCAAGGACTACCCAAAGCCTGCGTTTGAGACTTCAGGACCTTTCCTAGAGGCTGCAATCCTCTCAGCAAGGCTAAGAGAAGCTCCCAGACCCGAAAGGCCTCTGCGAATAGCCATTGCTGGAGCTGGTAAGTTGCAGGTTGCACAGTCCATGCTCGTTGTGCTGCGTATCACAGACCTTGGTACAGTCACAACTAGGCTCTATTCTCAGTGTTGGTGGTTGTGTGCAGGTCTAGCTGGTCTCAGCACTGCCAAGTACCTGGCGGATGCTGGCCACATCCCCATTCTCCTAGAGGCGAGGGATGTGCTGGGAGGAAAGGTGAGGAACATGGAGCATGTTTCTTTTTGCTGAGCTGCACTCACATGCATGGCAACTGGCTCGTGGCTATCATATGTGCAATGACATCATACCTTTGACCTGTTGGGTCGCCACTGTAGGTTGCTGCCTGGAAGGATGAGGATGGGGACACATATGAGACTGGTCTGCACATTTTCTTTGGGTGGGTTTGCAGATTCTGCATCAAACAACATTGCATGCAAGTGGCAGCCATAAAGCTTGCCATTGTTTCTGACAAAAGCAATGCTTTCAACACCACATGATGGCTGTGTTCTGTGCAGGGCATACCCCAATGTCCAGAACCTTTTTGCAGAACTGCAGATCACTGACAGGTTGCAGGTAACATTTTGATACTTATGCCTGAACTGCCAACCATTCTCAAGACTGAGGCCACTGTGGCATTCTCCAATCACTGGGTTAGCGTCATCGATCTGGATCTGAGGTGCGACTTATGTTTGCTGCAGTGGAAAGAGCACAGCATGATTTTTGCTTCCCGGGACATCCCAGGCCAATTCAGCAGATTTGACTTCCCACCTTGGCTCCCTGCACCCTGGTGAGTCCCCTTCAATTATAGAATCCTTCTGCTCCAGAACCCGTCTTGTTGCCAAACACTGTCAGCAAGAAGCTGTGCATGTGATAGGAGTGCGCGCTTGTAGTCGTATATTCTGTCTTATGGACTGTTGCAAGTTGGATTTGTTGTTTCTCATAGAAGATGCTTGGGACTGCAGGAACGGCATTCTTGCCATCTTGAGGAACAATGACATGCTGACCTGGCCGGAGAAGATCCGCTTCGCCATTGGCCTTTTGCCAGCAATCATTGTGCGCTCATTACCGCCCATGCATGACACTTACTAGCCCTTGACCCAGGATCATGCAACCTTCAAATTGGCTCACCACTTTGCAAGCTTGACCTGTGAGGATGGGCGTGTGATTGGTTGTTTCCTTTAGTAACAGGAGTGAAAAGGTGATTTCAACGTACACGTGTTGTGCCTCGCAGTTTGGCCAGAGGTATGTGGAAGAGCAGGATGACAAGACGGTCACAGAATGGATGGACAAACAGGTGAGCTGGCACTTCTCTCCTTGAGCTTTCTGTTCTTTTCTTTGCAGCGCTTCGCGTGCCACTCAGAATGCCTGCTTTGTTGCTGAGGGAGCATGTCTGTTGCAGGGTGTGCCGAGGCGGGTCAATGATGAGGTGTTCATTGCCATGGCAAAGGCTCTTAACTTCATCAACCCCGATGAGCTCTCCATGACATGTGCGCCCCTGCTGCTGCCCAGATCCTGTTAATTCAAGTGTTACAAGAATATGGAGCTTGACTCTTGACAAGGCGTTGCTTTGCTGTGCAATCCGAATCACAAGATTTTGTGAGGAGTCTGATCGAGTGTGTTTATTTGTGCAGGCATATTAATCGCCCTCAACCGCTTCCTACAGGTAAGACCTGGTCTGACTGATGTGCGCTTGTGCATGGATGTCGAAACATGAGTATTGTGGCTTCAATTGGTGCTTAATTGGTCCAGTGCCGTGCAGGAGACACATGGCAGCAAAATGGCTTTCCTGGATGGAGCCCCACCCGAGAGGTAATTCCATATCCATTGACCCTAATTTAAAATTCCTTCATCGTCAATCTCAACCTTATTGTCAAGTAAAGCACCTTCCAGATTGTCCATGTCTGTTCTGTGCCGTGCGCACAGCACGGGATGCATGCATGCCAAGGTTCAAATTGTGCCTGCATAGTGCTGGCTGAGCACGCAGCACATGAGGCATGCAGGGAGCCAAACATCCGCAATGGAGAAATGCTTACTAATAGGTTGCGCATGCGCGCAGGCTCTGTCAGCCGATGGTGGACTACTTCCGCGCGAAGGGTGGGGAATTCCGCTACAACTCGCGGCTGCAGGAGTTTGTGCTGGGCGCAGACGGCCGCGTGGACGGTTTCCAGCTGTCTGACGGATCCACTGTCAAGGCCGACCTCTACGTCTCCGCCATGCCTGGTAAGAGCTCTTCTGTTGCATCCCCAGTCAATGCAGTCTAATTCTCATGTTGATGGCAACGGTCACCCGTGCTTTCCCTGGTGAATTCGCGACCATTTTGAACCTTGAGGCATCGTCAATGAAAGCCGCGCTCCCAGATTCCTGAAGATCTGCTCCAGTCTCAAAGAGATCTTTGCCCCAGGCCCAGTGCATGTACTCTGCTTATCATGATGGTGGCAACGGTGTGCTTTACCTGCTGATGCGCGTGGCACTGCATTAGCCACTCACAAATTGCTTCGCAGGACAGGGACCTGTTCAGCACAGCACGTGGGAGACAATGCCTGTTCATGCAATCATGGGTATTATGAAAAAATAGAAGAAGTGTTGTGTATGAGTCGTGTGGCTGCAGTGGACCCCCTGAAGCTGCTGCTCCCACAGCCCTGGAAGGAGATGCCATACTTCACCAAGATGTCAGAACTGAAGGGCGTCCCAGTCATCAACATCCACATGTGAGCCTTCCTTCCTGCATGGCTCCTTTAAGCAGCTTGGTCTTTTATTCATTCATCCTCTGCATCGTTCATCATTCTGTCAAAGCACTCCTCATTCACTGCATACATTCCCTGATCAGGATATTTGTGGTGTGCAGCTGGTTTGACAGGAAGCTGTCAACAGTGGATCACCTGCTCTTCAGCCGCTCCGATCTGCTCTCTGTCTACGCTGACATGTCCACTTGCTGCAAGGTCTGTGGCCATTCCACATGCTCTCCTCTCCTGCATCTAGAACGACTGATTTTCCAATACCATATAACTGCTTTTCACTTTTGGACGAAGAGATGAGGTCACATTCATCGTCGGTGAGCATAACATGTTCAGCAAAGATCACAAGATGACACTTTGGTTTGTCATGCATGTGAGCCTTTTTATTTGATGACATCTGGGATTTTTTTGGAGAATCTCATGCTTGCTGGGCTGGTGTTGCTGCAGGAGTATGCAGATGAAGAGAAGAGCATGCTGGAACTGGTGTTTGCGCCGGCGGACAAGTGGATTGGGCGCAGCGATGAGGACATCATTGCAGCCACGATGACAGAGCTGGAGCGCCTATTCCCCACTGAGATTGCGGCTGATGATAGCAAGGCGCGCATCCGCAAGTACAAGGTCGTCAAGACCCCCCTCAGCGTGTGAGTCACCTCTCCTCCACCCTACATGTGATGCATGCAAGCAGCTTGCCCAGCTCTGCACCATCTGCTGCAACATGGGCGTGATCCGCTTTGTCGTGCTGATAGAGAGGGCAAGGCACCCAGTAACACGAATCGTAGATTCAGCATAGCTCTCTGCGCGAATTCTCAGTTGCTCCTGCTATCGGCTTCTGCTGAAAGTCTGGCTGCTGCCACCATAAGCTTCCTCTGAAGCTCTGTGTGGGGTGTCTTCAGGTACAAGACAGTGCCTGGCTGCGAGCTCCTGCGGCCGTCTCAGAGGAGTCCCATCTCCAACTTCTACATGGCAGGTGGGTGTTCTAAATGATATGCCACCGCAGATCCATGTGGCCTTTGCACGTTTTAAATAAAGGAAGGTTCTTTCATGAGTGTGAGTAATTTTTTCTTTGTGCAGGTGACTTCACAAAGCAGAGGTACCTTGCCAGCATGGAGGGAGCTGTGTTCTCCGGCAAGTTGGCAGCACAGGCAATTGTTGAGGTAATCTATCTCATTAACTACTTTTTGTCTGAACCATTTGAGTTCTGCATTGTGTTGCTCTGGACTGCTGCCCGGCATCTACTTTTCTTGCTGCACTGCTACAGTCAGCAGCGCTTGATTATATGCTCCTGCGGTGCAGGACTGGAATTCCAAGAAGAACCTGCCTCCCCCTGTGGATGCTGAGACCCCACAGGCTGAGCCTGTCCTGCAGAAGGCTTGAGGAAGTCTTCGTGCTCTCCCTAGCAGCAGCAATTGTCGTATTGAATGTATGCAGCTAGCAGTAATGCCAACGATGACCTATAATTTAAGTTCTTGTCTTCTCAACGTCTGCATATCTGATTCTGCATTTTCTGGGTTCCTCTCTGCGTGGACTGCACTTGCCGGACACCAGAATGCTGTGATCTGTGGTGTGACAATGGCACCTTGGTGCAAAATTGACATAGCGTAACCCCACTGCAAGGGTATGCGAGGATGGTTTTCTTTCTTTGGGTGCTTGAGTTGGTCACTAGAAAAAGCTAAGTCTCTTGAGGTCTCCCATTTGTATCATGTGAAATAATGAAGTTACAATGCATTATGGCTTTTGAAGTACATCATTACAGTCGAGCTCCGGGACAAAATTTTAACAGATTTACAAGGACCCGTTGAAACGTCACCAGAAATGTCGTTTTATGTCTGGTGCTGACAATGCCCTGGCCATGCCTTCTTGTCTTGCATTCTCTCTTCACTCAAAAGTTGTCACATGGTGCACCAGTGCAATCTGAAAAAAATCATGTGACTCACAATAGCAAAATTAAGGTGGACGGCAGCTTCCAAAAACAGCACCTCTCAACACTTCAGAATGTTAGCAGTCCCACATTGAAGACGTGCTGGATGGATCCTCCTGAATAGCTTTAATGCATCGGTCGTAGTACTGCACAGCACACAAGGACTCAGTATCTAGTCAACCCATCAACCTGATTATAGAATATCTGCCATTCATGTGCTGGTGCTGTCTGTGATTCCTCATTGTGCACAGCTCGGAATATGTGAGTGCAACTCGCCTCTGCTGCCCTTTCAAGGTCCCCAAGATCGGTGTAGAGGTCACCGATGGCACCCAGCACATCCACATCACCAGATGCTTCCTCCAGCTTGGAGGATAGCTCCAGGCTCTGCTGCAAGGCCTTGAGGCTCCGCTCCAAGTTGCCATCCTGCGCATGCAAATTCATCAAGCGCGTAGGCATCATCTTCTGCAGATCTCCTACATGAAGATTGCCTGCAACTATCAAACATATGGAGGATCACAGGCAAGGGGCGACCGAAGCATTCGGATTGTGCTGGCATATTTGACCTTGTCACTCTCACAGCGCTCATGCAAAGTGTGAGGATGCACACCGCGCGGTATCCGCGCGCCAGAAGCCGCAAGACTGCGCGCTCTGCCCTCACGTCCATCAGCTCACGAGCAATTTTCAGTGCCTGCAGACAACCACCACATCAGATCCATCTTGCCGGCAAGAGACGATCTGAAATGCCCACTGCTACTCTTGTACTCTGCACACCAAACGCAGCAATGCGACACCTTTACATCAAGCTCATGTGCACACACCTGCCTGGCTGCAAGGACAGCCTCGCCGGCATCATTTTCTCGCAGCGCCTCCTTCCCCTTGCGCAGCAGTCCTGACAGTGTCCTCCTGGCCTGCGAACAGCCCAGCGCACTCACATCGTTCTGCTCACAGCGCAACAATCCGGTCCTAAAGAGGCCTCTTGTAAGCAACATCCCATGATCTGTGCAAATGGCACCCATATCCTTGTGTTTGGAAGCGCAACAACCCAGTTCCTCAATTGGTCTCTGTTGCGCAACACCCCATGATTTGTGCAAAAGGTCTCCAAACTGCCACCAATGTTCTGTGCGTCCCGTCCCATGATCTCTGCAGTTTGCGTGCTGAATACTTGTCTTGTGAACATGGGGGTTTGACCACAGGGGAAAGAGCTGCCCACCTGCGCCATGCTCATGTTGTCGGGGCCGTAGCCCTCCATGGGGTGCGCTGCTGCCGGGGCATCGAGCGCGTTCTCCAGAGCGTTCCTGTACGCCAGCACTGCCTCCCGGTCCTCATCTGCTGAGCACACCAGCTCCTGCACAAATTTATCCGCCCGCTTTCAGCCACTGTGTCCAAAGTTTGCAGGGCATCTGGCATCGGCAGATCCTAGCTTGTGCAAATGCCAGGTGACACTGCCGAGAGAGCATCAATAGAATGCCCATGTGTCAGCCAATGCTCATAGAGTCTGGCGTCAACGCATCCTAGCATGCGCCAATGCTACCTGAGACTGCCGAGCGCGCAACAGTAATATCCAGAGAGTGATGCTCGGCGGGAGATGAGGTGGCAGACCTCGACTGAGCTGCGCTGGAGGAGCTCAGCGTTGATCTGGCGCAGGCGGTTGTTCAGCCCCTCCACCTCAATCCGCCGCCGCCTCGCCAGCGTTCCCGTCACCAGGCATCCAACCAGCGCAAACGCCTGCCAACTTAAGAATTGCAATGAGCATCTCGTATGCACCAGGTCCTCCTCCTAAAGGGACAGTCCAGCCTGAAAGGTGCATGACTTGGAAGATATATCTGCTGCAATTGGTGGCAGGCACACCTGTAGCCCAATCAGCATCCAGGCAGTGCTGTGGGGGAGGCGAGGGGGCAACAGTGGGGATGAAGGGGCTTCTACTGGAACCAGCTGCTGTGGCGTGTGAGCCTTGCCACGCCAGGCGGCATGCACAGCAGTGTGCAGAGCGCTGCGTGGGAGAATTAAGGCATCAGAAACTATCACAAATCTGATGGAAGGGGGTCTTGAACCCACAGAAACGCCAACAGCGGCTTCAGGTACATCCCATTCCACAGGAATATTTTACCGTGATTGTCGACGGCCCCTTCGGCTTAGATGCAGGAGAACGGATCCAATAACAGCACTTTCGCGTCCAGAACACGAGCATTTGCCGCTGAGCGCATCCATTTCAGTCAGATGGACTCTATAGTAAGTTTAGAGAAAGAAAAGAAAACCCAAAGCAACAGGCATGAAATGTATATGTCTTTAGAAACTCAATGTCTACCAGCAGTGAATCCGTGCGTTGAATTTTGTTGAAGATCCTAACTTTTCAAGGATACCGGCGATGTGATCTCCTCGTCAGCATTTCCTTCCGCAACGCCGTCTTCTCGGTGCGATCAATGTCCAAGACCACCATGAGAGTCACGTAGCATTCCCTGACACCAGATTTGTAGACTTCGTCGCTCAGTGAAGTGTTTAGAAGGTGAAGGAGTGCCAAACCACCGTCAAAAAAGAGTGTGTCCCACCAAACTCATACTAATTGCCTGGACTAAACAGCAAGCTTTGGAAGCCGCACGAGGAGAAGATGTCTGAGTTTTTAAAATACAGCGTGAGATTTGAGAGCAACCAGAGTGGAACGGTTGATCGCAAGCACGTTGGGGATCCCCCTGGCTATGAGCCAACTGCAAGCAGGGATGTGGTAAGAACTACTGCTGCTTTATGGCAAAGGAGGATGGAGATTACCTTAATTTCAGATCGTTACAAGACAACCAGCCCCAGTCGTTTCAAGGACGTGACAGGCATCCTTTGCAAACTTGAAGACCGGCACTCTGTGAACCTAGAGTTGATCTTGCCAAAGCGTCCCTGCAGAAATCATTGGGATGTGTTTTTGTTGTGCTACAGGCAGCCAGTACTTCGTCACAGGGCACAGCTCCAGGCTTGCTGGCAGCCAAGCAGGCAGCGCTGTACAGCAGAGCAACTGGGACAGTGAAGAATATTGGCTTCATGTGCTTCATGATGTGGATGAGCGGGAGCCAGATCCACTTATTTAGCATCATGATGACGGTATCCGGCATTTACCAGCCACTTGCAGCCATCATGAACTCGAAACAAAGTAAGTCCACCAAACCTAACCCGTTCCCATCTTCCTTTGAAACAAGAAAGTGGAACCAAGTTGATCGAAGCTGACACAAGCACAGCGGACAGAAGTTGTGTGCGCATTCATAATGCTCGGAAGCATGATCCAGCTGCTTCCTTGCTGAGCAGCATTGTTATGGCAGCATCTTATTGAGGGCAACCCATTATAGAAGAGGAGTGACAGTCGCATCTGGTGTGCAGTGTTTCCAGCGGAGGCGTCAGAGGGCGGCAAGCTAGAGGTGCTGATACCAAGGCTGCTCTACTGCCTCATCCAAGCAGGAGGGCTTGCCTTTGGGTTATGGAAGCTGAACACAATGGGTCTCCTGCCCACCCATGCCTCAGACTATGTCTCCTCCCTCAAGGTCCCAGCCAGTCAGGAGTTCTCGACCGGTGGCGTGCAGCTGCCCAGATAGCGCTGCTTGCTGGATCTGCTGAAACCTGTAGAAGGAGTACAATCGTTGATGTTGTGGACAGCCAGACACTGTGCAGTTGTTGCCAATGACAGCTGCCTTGGAATTGTGCATCATCATGATGCTTGCTTACTGCCATAGTTTCGGTAGCACACTGCACCAGTATATCTGGAATACCGTATCCTTGATCAACAAGTTGTATCACGCTGTGCCATGTGGATATTCCTTTTTTCAGCAAGAGCAGCGGCATGCAAATTCCATCCTGGATGATGCTGGCAGGCTCTTTTGTGAACACTTCCATTGAATGGAAGTTAACGTCTAGACTGAGATCTCAGGTCGATTATATATGATTCTCAAGAATTCGAGTGAATTTTGTTGTGGCAACGAGTGTGCCTTTGGGTGTCCGACAGAGTCTGTTCTAAAAATGCTCCACAGCAGTTCCTCAAACTCTAGAGCTCTCGATCGAGGTATCAGAATCCGGATGCGCAACGCGCATGCATGCAGCTGCAGATGGCAGATGCCTTGGCCAGCAGTAGCTATATCGGCAGAGTGCCAACTGCATTGGTCATTCAATGCAGTTGGCATGGAGACATGACCTGCAACATACATGTACACAGAAGCTCCGAACAGGTTCTAGCCAATCTATTGGCGCTTAAGCGCCTGGTCAAGCGGCCTAGTCGGCTGGTCCAACCGGGTGAAGTTTCCTCCCTCGGCCCTGTCACGTGATACATCAACATGAGCGCCGATATCTTGGGCGCATTAGATGCTCAACAGGAAGCCTCTGAGCAATGCCCTAAACTTTCATGATAGCGTCCTCTGGGGATACACAGATTGACGACCATGTGCGACGCTGCTAGCAACGTCGAGGAGATCAGGAAAGAGCCGTAGGAGACGCCCCGTTAGGCCTCCTGGCACACACAACCCTGCGTGAAGACTCCGGATCTGCGATCAAATGGATCGGGTGAGCGCTTACAACTGGGAATTGATTCGCTACATCAGCGCATGCATTCAAGCAAGGCCTTGTCGCGTCCACATGCGTTATGACGCACGGAATTCTGATCGCATTCTTCACGGCCTACACTATAGAAGTACCACTGATTGGCCTTGCCATTGCGTATCTTAGACATCATACTGATGTTTAGGTGCTGTTTATACCACTTGATTTTACGTCTTCGCCTTAAGGGCCCTCAGTGATGTGCTCAATGCCCTCCAGTCAATCCAACCAAATTTGTCCTGATCCAATTGCAGTCAAAGTCGAATTACGAGACTGAAGGACCCTTTTGATTTATCTTCAGGCGCAATATTGCTTGGAGATACCTAATACAGGCCTGACAGGCCCCCTTTACGTTACATGCTTCAGAATCTTGAGTGGCTTGGTCCTGCTTGCCTTCCTGCATGAGGAGAAGAGAGATGCTCTGCAGATCACCAGCACCAATCCAAGACTGCGACCGGCTTGCTGGCAAACCATTGAACCTACAATCTTGTGCAGCCCTAAGCACAAGAGGTGGGTGTGATGCAGTATGAGAAGGTGGAGAAGATTGGGGAGGGCACATATGGAGTGGTCTACAAAGCACGAGACAGGGTCAATGGGCAGACCATCGCACTGAAGAAGATCCGGCTGGAGCAGGAAGAGGAGGGCATACCCAGCACAGCCATCAGGGAAATCTCCCTTCTGAAAGAGCTGCAGCAGCGAAATGTTGTCAGGCATGTCTCTGTCACTCCTCTGCTCCTGTCGACAAGGACTATTGCTGTTCGAGGGAGTGAGGCTCAATAGGTTGCAGATGTCAGGCTGCTCCATCTATTATTTTTTGGCGGATTGCATCAAAACGGGCTGCTGCTATGCTGACGGACCACATGATGGGATGTATTCTTTAATGCAGGACAGCGATGCAAGGTTCGGGAAGGAGATGTCTCAGTACACGGAGAGCAGCAGCCTTGGACCACTGCATGACTTTGTTTAGGGATTCAGCAGTAGACATCCGTGTCTGAGATGATGGGATTTGCTGTGCAGGCTGGAGGATGTGATCCATTCTGAAAACAGGCTCTATCTGGTGTTTGAATTCCTGGACCTGGACCTGAAGAAGCATATGGACTCAAATCCAGACATCTGCAGAGATCACCGCCTTGTCAAGGTCAGCCTGATGATTCTCGGTCCTGACATATCTTCTGGGTCATGCATCAACAAGTAGCAAGCTTTGTGGCATCCAAGTCCTGGAGCTTTACACGCTTGATTACATCTGTCAATGCGTGCACATGAGAAGCCATGCACCGTTGCGCCTGTGACATGGTTGTGGTTTTTATGACAGGTCTACCTACACCAGATGCTGTTGGGCATCACATACTGCCATGCACACAGGTAAGAAACATACTTATTGCCGTTGCATGCTGGAGGAGCTCAATAGCACCCTGATCACATTGGGCACAATCTAGGTCACCACATTCTTTCTCAGTATATCTGAGGTGCTGCATGTGGCTTTGCAGAGTACTGCACAGGGACCTGAAGCCTCAGAATCTGCTCATCGACAGAAAAAACAACGCATTGAAATTGGCCGACTTTGGGCTGGCACGCGCATTCGGGCTGCCTGTCCGCGCATACACTCATGAGGTGTGTTTTGACCCGTCCCCTGATCCCTGTTATTCATGCATGCCTGCAGTCACATTGCGCAAGCCCAAATTCAGAGCTGCGTGATGTGATGAGGCACCTGCTTGGAGCATTGATGGGCGTAATCCAAGCCTGCGAGGACAACACCAGTTTTGGAATTGGTCCAATTTGTGCATGCATAAGGTACTAGATCGCAGCACAGATGCGTTTGGTGCCTGTGCAGGTCGTGACGCTGTGGTACAGGGCTCCAGAGATCCTGCTGGGCGCCAAGCACTACTCCACACCGGTCGACATCTGGTCCATCGGCTGCATCTTTGCCGAGATGATCAACCAGCGCCCGCTCTTCCCCGGTGACTCGGTGCGCTTCCTTTCTCTTCCTGCAGCTTCAATGTTGTCGGCATGCACTCCTATGAACTTTCCTGTGGCGGTCTCTATCTCTGCCTCTGGACCGAGGGCGCATCTGTGATGGCCATTTTATGGTCAGTGTTGAGCCGCAAGTGCTGTGTGGGGGCATGGAGAATGCTGACAGAGGAAGGGGGGTTCTGTGCTACAGGAGATTGATGAGATCTTCAAGATCTTCCGGACGCTGGGCACGCCGACGGAGGAGACGTGGCCGGGGGTGCATGACCTGCCAGACTTCAAGGATTCCTTCCCCAAGTGGGCACCCCGCAAGCTGGAAGAGGTGCGGATATTTCTCTGGCCATCCTTTTGGATTGCTATATAATGTATGGACCTGTTGGGAACCACCTGAGGCTGGATCGGCAGTGTTTCACTGTCCAACAGCAGTGCTTCACTGTCCAACATCAACTCAGACACTTTTTATGTGCCTGCACCTTGTATTTCCTAGCTGTTGCTCTTTTGCATCGTTCACAGCGGGTGTCGTGGCCGTTTGGCACCATTTTCCTCTTAAGGAGCGTCATGGCTTGCGCAGAGCAGCTTGCCTGTCAAGCTAGAGCTGCCTGCGCAAGAGATTGTGCCGTGGCTAGCTGCAGCATTGTTTGGTGGGATTGGTTGCAAGGCGCACAGTTGAGGATGCGTAGGTATAGGGCCTCATTGGCTGATACAAGGGCCATGTACTGCGCAGGTGGTGCCATCTCTGGATCCTGTGGGCTTGAATTTGCTGGAGCACATGCTGAGGTATGAGCCCAACAAGAGGATCACAGCCAGGGCAGCCCTGACCCACCCCTACTTTGCAGACATCGAGGAGCTCTACTCCCTGCAGCTGTCTCTCACATGAAGCACAAATCCCAATTTCCCAAAACCGGAGCGGGCGCTAGGCCTAAGGCTTGTAGCTGCAATTGTGTGAAAAAGTCTTATTTAATTTGACAGTTTATGCCTATGTTCTGGTATTTAGCTAGTCACTTGAACGATGACAACGGATGAAGCATTTTATACTGAATCAGGCTGTTGTGCTGTGCTAATACGCGGGGTGTTTGTTTCTTCTTTTTGTCGATGCCACTGTGTCTTGTGCTACAATAACTAGCGAGACTCTTGTACACTGCTATAGATAAGCCTTGACATTGTTACTTGTTCTGTAAACTTCATAATCTCCTACGTAGCTACTGAAGTACATCCCAACTTGTGAGATAATCTAACAAAATTTTGCACATGTGCCAAAATATCGCTCAGTCTCTGCGGGGACATCTTCACACAATATACGTAACATTTGGAAGCAAAACAGCATGTGTGTGACAAGCTCTGTGGCCAACAAGCATCCCTGTCCTGCTTTGCGCAAGCGACTCAGTACAAAGAGAAGCTGGCGCAGAGGATCTATCGAGATTGACAGGCAAATGCATGCACAGCGCTCTCTGGGCAAAGTCATCTCATGACGAGGGCTCTGCTGCTGGGGGCTGTGTGTCAACATAGTCATCTTTTGAGCAGGCCGCACGCAGCGCCTGAGCAAATTTGACCTGCAGTGCATGATCCGCGTTGTACGCCACAATATGGCCGATTGGCAGCCCTTGCGAGCCCTCCCCTGACAGCAAAGCTAGATCACCCTGCAACATGAATCACGCGCAAAATCAGGCGCTGCCCACACAACTCCTGACCATCCTATGTATCACGGCAAGGGACACTGAAAGACTGCAGGAGACAGAACAGCTCTCAATTACCAGCACCCTCTGCAGTTTGAATGCCCACTAATTTTAAAACAGCCAAGAAGCATGCAAATGACTGTCAGCAACAATTATATCCTTATGTCAGGTGCTGCATTCAAGTAAGAAGCCTTGCTGCATGAACCTCACAGTGTCACCTTCAAAGTATGGCGTGCACTGTTATAATAATAATGAAAGAAGGCTAGCAGAGCGCCTGTGCCTCACCGTGAGGTCCACAATCTTGTGCCGGGCCGGCTCATCTTCATAGAAGCGCGCCATGCCGTCCTCGTACCAGTCACTGCCGTACGCAATCAGCGCCGCGCCGATGGTGCCCCCCTTGATCAGGCCCCGGGAGCGCAGATTGTACACCTCCTGCAAGCGACGAGGCCATGCATCGTACATTGTGGGGCGCAGCGAGATGCCTAAATGACAAGCTTTTCATGCGAGTGGGGCCTATTAATTATTCCGACGTGATGCTGCACCCACGTCCACATCGTACAACCTCAGCCTCTCCACAAGCTGCATGAGAGAAAGCCTTGCTGCATGCATGCAATTATCATGGCACAATGCACATGTCCGATAACATTGCTCAGGCCCTTAGTAAGATGCACCAACATTCAAACCCCAGAAATCCCGAGGAGATGGGATGCCAGTTGGAATATAGTGATGCGACATCAGAGGCAATCCGAGCGCCAAAGTACGGAGCAAGGGCTGCCTCGCGGCCTCAATCAAGTGTGACTGAGCCCACAACATGAGCCCAAAAGACAAAGAGGATCAGAAGGCAGCGCGCACTTCCAAGCTGGTGTAGAAGGTGCGCGCAGGAGCGATGATCCAGCGGTAGTGCTCATCCTGGTCAGGCACCCAGGACTTCCACTGGCGGCCGATGATGGGTGCAGCCGGGCAGTCCACGCCACAGCTGATCTTCAGGGTGTTTGATGGGTACAGGCTCACAAATGCGTCCCCCTCCTGCACCGTCACCGCCTGCCCGCACATGCCAAAGTCAGCTGTCTGTCATCTGCATTGGCCAGACAAATCCCATTGGCTCTGACGGTAGGTCTCTGCAGCTCGCATTTGCTGCAAGTGCTCCAGGCGGGCAGACTCTTGCGTAAACATGCGCTCATGCTGCCCTCAGTCAACCCCCATCGCATGCTCATTAGCATCTCCCTTAATGGCATTCAAAATCACCTCGAAAGCTTACCTGAGAAGCAGTCAACCACAATGATCTGCAAAAGACTTCATCAGGGTGTTCTTTTCACGAATCCCATAAACACTGGAAGAATTCGCAAGATTGTACCCAGTATGCCACCTGCAAGACCAGAAGCTCCAGAGGAGAAAGATGCAAAGAGAACGCAGGCCAGACCTGGGTGGGTTTAAGCGCGCGCCGCTTCTCGGTGCGGCCCTTGGCGTCGCCGACCGCGTGTGCCGGCTGCAGGCCTGCAACGACGATATTGATGGCCCAGCCAATGGCCGAGCCGTCAGCCACGGGGACCTCCTCGCCGCCCTCCATCTCGATGCGCGCGTTGTCCACTCCGCAGCATTCCAGCGCCGACAGCAGCGCCTCCACGCTGTGCACGCTGGCACCAAAAACATTCAAATTAGATAGGTGCAAGTCTCAGATGATTGATGTAATGATCGCCGATCTCTGCTGTCAGCAGTAAGCAGACAGTTATGGCACGAAATATGATCAGTATGGTTGCCAGAACTATGGTGATGAGACACAATTTCACCCCCATTGAAGTCCGTTCCTGATTCTCGTTCTGTCACTTATTCCAAGTATTGAGATAGGTCCTGCACATCACTTGGTGGGTGGTCTGCCACTGTCCAACCATTGAGCAGAAGCTGCCCTTCTGCATGCGTGGCACATCTGCGGTGTGTTCCGGCAAGATGGGCAGCATTATAGAGCGGAACAGGCAAGGGTGCTCACTGGAAGTTCTTGTTGTTTGTGAGGGAGGTGAGCATGTGCTGATCCTCCACCACATTCTCCAGCGACGCCTGCAGAGCCTCCTCCTCGGCAGACCTGCTCACCGGCTGCGGACAAGCACAGCACACATCTATGATACACGCATGCAAGCCTTCACAAACCAAAGGCTTCCAATTCAGTACACTGCCCCCCAAGTAAACCGGACAGAACTGCATCAAGGCTAGTGAACAAAACACTTCATCCGCAAAGCCTTCACATCCACTCCATTGTCCTCCATGCAACACAGAGATTTCCAACCGGGCAGATATGTTTGCAGCACCGGAGATTGCAGCCCAAAGAGGCCTGAGCTCAAGACTTCCCCCTGAGCATTTCAGCGTCTCTGGGAGCCCCAAAGAGCGCCTGCATGGCAACAACGCCAGATACTTCTGCAAGGAAGACTCACTTGTTCCGGCTCCGGCTTGGGCGCGTCGAGGCGTCGGATGGCGGCCGAGAGTGCTTCGGCGCCGTAGGCTTCCCAGTGCCACTCCTCATAGCTGCCCTCGTAGCCATCGTCCTGCGCGCCCAGATACTCCATGAACCGCCGCACTGTTGTGTCCTCGTCCTCCGCGCTCATCTGCCGCAGTTGCTCTGCGCACACCAGGAGAAAGATATAGATACCATTGACCAGGCCAGGCTTGCCCTTTGAACATACCTGCTATGCATGCTGTATCAGGTAACCCCACCTAGGGGTCATCCGCTTACTAAAGGCCAGAGATTTACATCGTCACTTGTCAGAACGACCTTGAAGGTGAAGCCTTTGGGGTCATTGATGTGTCTGTTGTTGTCTGCCCCTTCTATTTACAACGCTAGACTTCTGACTATTCAATCCGCCAAGCCTTTCTGCAGAATGGCTAAATCTGAAGGTAAGACAAGGTGCACTGCAAGGAGATCAAAAAGCTGGAAAACGATGTGAGAAGAGGGCAATGGGGAGGGGAGATGGTCACCATGCTTTTCAATCTCCTCCTCTACTTCTGGCGAGCCTCCTCGTTGAAGTGTGCCTGCACCCAGCAACACACTCGAATTAGAGTCTGCTGGCCTTCTACCCAGATTGAGTTCTGACGACGCCCTCTGACCAGTGATCACAAGACATGATCGAGCAGGGATTTTGCGGCGCTCACCAAGAGGTACTCTGACGAAGTATCTCCCTTCTCCAGCAAACGCAGGCCTCACGCGAATAGCAGCTGGAAGCACACAGCACAAGTGGTGTGAGCACCTATTCTCGTATTGAAAACATGCTTGACACAGTGCTTAAAAACATCGGGATCACAACACTCACCATACTCCCCAGAGTGGAGACCAATGCCTCCCAGTGTGAAAGATCTCTTCACCGTCTGCTGGTACTCTCTTGCCTGCAACGCGCAGACTCAATTTAATATAGATTACTTTGCACTGCTTAATCTTCCAATATCCTGATTTCAGTTTGGCTGTCCAATGCTCACCACTGGCATGGGGTAATCGAAATCATCAGCCCTTGGGCGACCAGCTATGTCTCCCGGCTTTTCACGTTTCGTTTGTTTCTTGGGAGCTGTTTCACTCTGAGCTTCCTGCGCAGCTGAGACTCTGACTTGCAACCGCAGTGGCTGCTGCTTGCGTACTTGCAAGCTGTGTGCTGCATGCGATCCGCTTGGCAAATCCTTGGTTCTTGTCAAAGGTAACACGGAATATGAGCAGGATGCTGGTGCATTCCGGACACCATTGCAACTAAGGTGGGCTTGCATATTTCCAAGTTGCGGAATTCTCTGATCCACCTTTTGCAAAATCAGTACACCATGCTCTCCTAAAGCATTCTGTTTTATTTAACACTTAATTTACACTGTTTACTCTTCAAACCTGTTTAAGGAAAAATCATTCTCTGTTCCGGAACTTGCCGAGTCGGAACTTGAGATCAGGACAGTCCTCGGGCGTTCCCTCTTAATTAAGCTTCCCTTCTTTGCCATGCAGCTTCCCCATTTTTTTCTTCCCGAGTTTCTGGTTAGAGCTCAATAAATGTAAAGTTACAAGAAGTCTTGTGACCCAGCACCTGCTTTTACCTACTGCGACATAGGCCTGAGGGCCACCACATCATGATGAGAATTGTGGGCCGGCCAATTGGGCGTGCCGGCATTCGAATATTCGGCAATCGAATATTCGGCAATGCTTCAAAGTGTGAATCTGCACCCCACCAGAATACCTGCCTCATCACAGCCCTTCTACAAAGTGCCACATCTCCCAGGATACCCTAAAAAAGTTAACGCCAAGTCTGCCCAGGATCACTGCGGGCAACTTTCACCCCTTCTGCTTCAGGATGAGCTTGTCGCCGAGCGAGAGAGCAATGCCCTGTGTCTTCGACCTGCGCGGCACGGCAATACCTTGAGACGACTTTCAATAACGCAACACACACCTTTGTTCCAACCAGAGACAGATATCCTCCAAACCATGTGTTTATACCTGTTTCAGTGTGCATGGCTCCATCGTTGAGAAGACAGAGCACAAGGACCAAGCAAAGCCTTACTAAACAGGTATGCCACATGCGGCAGGCCAGCGACAGGCTGTGACATAAAGGGTGTCCTAGGATGTAAGAATCCACAATCTCCCGTGTACGCACATGGGCTCCTAAAACACAGGCATGCTTCCTAGGACAGCTTTCCAATCCAAAGTCTCCCATGTTTGCCCACGGGCTCCTGGAGTACTGGCATGCTTCCTAGGGTGTGATAGTCATTGTTCAACTCTAGTTTTTCTCATGAGCGCGCACACACGCATACTGGCCAACAGGCATGCTGCACCTTATCATGTCTACGAGGCTGTGGGCCAAAAAGGTCCAACGGTTGCTCCATCAATGGAGGGAGCGGCGGACCTGATGCGGATGTAGCCGGAGAGCTTGCCATCGGCGCCCTTCTCTACGCTGAGGTTGACCAGAGCGTCCTCGCCAAACACACTCTTGGCGTAAAGGTTGGCGGCCAGGAAGCCGCAGCTGCCGGACAGCGCGGACGGCGGCGTGAGGCACTTCATGTTGGTGCTCGTCACGATGTGGTTCAGGAACTCGTTCACGTCCGTGATCGTCGTGTTGATGGCCACCTGCGCAGCCAGTATCCTGTCAGCAGCGCCTTTCAATTGCATTATGCTATTCATGATTAGAGTTATGCACTGTCTATGCACTTTCATTCACACAGTAAGGCAGCCCTTCCTGGCCACCACTAGCACTGCCTTCATGTCCTGCATTCTCGCTTGACTGGTTATCAAGAAGGGATTGTTGATCCCAAAGCTATCTCTTGCAGGGCTCCTCTGGATCACAGCATAGGCCGCACCCCTGAGGTTATCTGCGAACGCTAGAGAGGGCTGGCAAGACAGCAGAGGAAGCCTTGCAAAGGCCCAATGTGTGTTTGCATAGGAAGCAGAGGAACGTGTGAGGGGAAGGCATGCAGAGGAGCGCGTACCTTGTTCTCCCATTCGAACTCGGCCCACATGGAGCGGAACTGGACATCGGGGCAGGAGGCGGGCGAGATGTAGTCCATGATGTCGATGTGGATGTCGTTCAGGACCACCACGCTGCGCTCCGAGTACCCTGTGGACTCGTACACGATGTTCCCAAAGATGGCGCCCGTCTCGGTCGACGACACCTTGATGTTCGCCCTGGTACAACCCGCGCAGCACTTTTGAGCTCAAAGATGCAGGAAGCTTTCTTTATTAGACTGTACAGGTACGGGCCATCAGTGCGTGTATGAGCATAATGCAATGTTGGAAACATGCATTCGATTCAGGAATGATGGGTGGGGTGCACAAAGGATGCAACTGGCTGCCCCTGGCAACTGCAAGCAAGCATGCGATGGCCACTTGCAGTGGCTGCATGGCCATGCATTGCCTAGATGATGACAAAGCTCGTATGCCCTCAAGGGGCACTGTTCGCTTAGGAAACAGTGACAGCAGGCGCCGGACCTGATGGTCTGGGTGGCGCCCGGGGAGAGGGTGTAGTTCTGGGGCCGCTCAACGAGCTTGAGGTCGCCCATGGTGGCCAGCTCCAGGCACAGGTTCTGCAGCGTGTCCCCCGTGCGGTTAATCACCGTCACGTCCAGCACGATGTCGTACTGGTGCACCGTCACATACGCCTCTGCGTACACCGGGTCAGCCAGCCCTGCACAGAACAAGGCACAAATATTATTTTGTTGTTGCTTCTATGCGGGGGGACATGCCAGTGTAAAGAAAAGAAAAATCTAAGGGTCCTGTGGAACGAGAAATCGGACATCCAAGAGGTTCCCCTCAGCCCGCCACATTGGAGGCAATGCACCCCTCGCACACAGACACGTAACAGGAGCCCAATTCACCAGCTTGCTTTCCAAAGCTTGATTTTCAAGATGCTGCATGCGGCAAGAGAGCATACAGGCAACACATATGAGGCTGGAGCGGCAGGACGCTTTGCTGGCCGGCATGGCATGCATGTGTGGAGGCCGGCTTTCTTGACAGGGCGCACCGGTGAGCTGGAGGACGCGGTTGAGGTGGGAGGAGTCGGTGGTGTGGGTGTCGACGAGGCCGGTGGCCTTCTGCAGGTCGGTGGCCACCTCGTCCTCCAGCTCCAGCTGGCTCATGCCCCGCCGCGACTTCAGGTGATGGAAGTCTATCAGCTCATCCGGCTGCGCCATCGCCTGCTTGTCCTGCCGCCAGCCACACACTCCTCCTTTAAATCATGTTCAGGGCCTTTGTCATTTTGTCCTTTTCTTTTTGCTGAATATTCAATTTCTTTGACGCACGGAGAAGGCCCCGCCCCAACACCCAGCACACTCCACTGACCAGCCCCTCCAACTTCAGACACCACATCTCCCATGTAGCCACTCATGGCATCTGCTCTTCCAGTGGACATGCCCACGAGACCCGCTGCTGTGTGGCATGTCATTTGGGGTATGCACATGTGAAGGAGGATCGAGGCTTGTAGCAAGGATGGGAGGGTACCGTGGCCTTGGCCTCCTCGGCCTCGCGGGTCTGCTTGTCCTTGATCATGGCCGCGAAGGACGAGTTGCACGCGTCCAGCCACACCTTCTCCTCCTCTTTGCCGTCCAGCTTCCCCGCCAGCACCTGACTTACACCCACACCCTCAAATACCCTCCTGAGTTCACTTGTGCAAAACACCCCAACCTCCCACAGCCCCATCCGCGCCCAAGTGCCATCTCCCTCCAGTATGACAGGGACAGGGCTCTCTTTATGACTCCAAATCTGAGGGTCGACTGCCAGATATATGCAACGCCACAGTGGTCCAGTATTCAGACTTGAAGCGCACAGGCTATCACTCATAAATAGACTACAAAGAATTTTCTCTCACAATTGAAGGAGTATAAATCGCTTTTGCATACCCACAAAGTTTGATGTGTTATCTAGACAAGAGGGGAAAGGAATTGAGGAAAGGAGGTGGGAGATAGGAGGAGGGAACGCGCCTGGAGGCAGGTGACCATGCGGTCCATGGAGTCGGCGTCGATGGGGTGGGCCATCTGGGGGGACTCGCCCAGCCGCAAGATGGCCGCCACAAAGAGCATCGCCTCTGCCGCCATCCGGTACGAAGTCTGCCCCTGCAGCTGCCGCAGCCGCAGCAGCAGCTTTGTCAGCGTGCCTGCGCGCACACCCCATACATCAACCCTCACCGGTATTGGCATCCGTCTTCTGACAAGGCTTCCAACAAGGTCTCATTCAGGTGCTCCAAGCCATTCTCATTGATCTCCACGAGCTTGGAAATCTTTTGGGTTTCAAAACTCATCGGAAATCAGTGAGAACGACTGGTAGATAACCAACAAAGAGAGTCCAGGGAGAGGCTTGGCTCAGGGGTCTGCAGTAATTGGGAGCCGGTGCGCATCTGCACTCTGGGCACGGCTAGGGAGAACATTAGGGGATCACACCTGCGACGACACCGCCGAGGAAGAAGTCTCCGCTGAGCAGAAGCGTGCGCAGGTTGGGCGCATTGGCCGCCATGGACGCCGGCAGCGCAAACGTGTCCGCCAGCGCCGTCTGTACATGCCCATAGCAGGTGGCTCAGTAAAATATTCATTTGTTCTGTGTCTGGGGACAGCTCAGGCATAGAAGAATGCAATAGCCTTTTCAAGCCAGCAAAGCTATGCTGTTTGTGCCGAATATATCTATATTGAGCAAACAGATGCCTCCAGACGGATGGCTAGGTGCTTTTGCCTGGGCACATCTCCTCTGATCCAAACCCGAGTTGTCAAGAGACCTTCCAGGCGAGCCAAGAGTCAACATGACAGCAACCGTCAGCACTGGGGTTTTGCCAACACAGGGCTGCAACACATGCTTACCTGCGTGGCATAGGAGCCATCCGGCAGCACAGCTGGCCTGTTTGAGGCAGGCATGGCAGGGGCAGGCACATCCTCCACTTCCTCCGCATCATCCTTCTCATCCTTGTCTTTAATAAACGGCATTGAGCCCAGTCCGCTGCGGATAACCTGTGTGTAACAGCAGCAATATCAAATATGAAAGCAGGCAATTCTGAATGCAAGAACACAGACAGAATCCGTGTTAATTGTGCCAGGCGCTGAGAAGACTGATTGATAGTGAAATCATGGTACGCAGCCTTGACTCGAAGGCTTTGCGTTCCATGCAGGGTTGCTGCCTGGCATAGTGCGGTGATATGGGTCAGTCACTACAGGCCATAAAGCAATTCAAGGGCCACTTGCAAAAGCCTTGCGAGACTCTTCCCTAGCAAACCACAGTGGCTGCGGCCGAGGACATGTACCTACACCATTGACAACCTGGTGTTTTTGCTGACTGAGGCAAATGTCTCAGCACGATTGTTTCCTGCGCCCCGCTTGACAGCACTGTACCAGATCAATCATTGCTGGTACCGAAGGGCGCACCTCGAGGGCGGCGTGGATGTCTTCCACGGAGGTGGAGTACTCGGAGAGGATCCAGAGCGCACAGGAGCAGACGCGCGAGGAGCGGATCTGCGAAAAGGTGTCGATCAGGCGCTCGAGGATCGTCGGCCGCAGCTTCGGGTTGGTCTCCATGATCTCCCGCACAAAGAACACCTGCCGCCCCACAGCCGCCGGTCAAGCACTGCTTCACACCGGATCTCAGGACCACTCAGTTATTACCATTGGCCAGAAGCTCCACCACCCGCAAGGAACAGACGTCCAGCCCAGCAGCTTCACCATCTGCAAGGACCGCCAAGCCAGGCACAGCTTCATGCCCTTCTCATGGGCACAAGCTTCCACCATTTCACCAGGTACTTCACCGCTTGCAAAGCCACGGGCTCTTCAATAAAAAAAAAACTCCATCATCTGAACAGGAAATGTGCTTCAGGCAAGCCCTTACACCCTTCCCAGGACCACGCAAGCCCACCATAGAGACCAGAAGCACAAGCTTCTTCAAAAGACGAGCACTTCAAGCGGATTCCACCCATCTGTGGAGTCTGACATGGACTATAGTGTGGTGCAGCTCTCACCGCGCTTGCTTTCTTGAAGCACTTGGCAGACACCAGGATTTGGACAGAGCAAGGGGGAGGGACAGCGCACCACATCGAGGGCTGAGGAGGAGTTGGTGTCGCCCAGGAAGTCCATGAGGAGGTGGATGACGTTGGCGGCGATGTCTGGGAAGTTGGCGGCGCACTCGTGAATGGCGTGCACCAGCAAGTGGCGGTACTCTGCGCCCTTCTCCAGATCCTTGTTCTGGGTCTTCATCACCTCCTTCTTCAGCACCATTACCACCTGCCACCCACCAACACAGATATTAAAGCAGGAAACCCCAATTCTCTCTCGTGGCTATGTTGACCAAGGAAGCAGGGAACCAGGTAAACTTCACTTGCATGATTTCTACAGAGGAGCTTATTGGCAGGCTAATGAGAACACGCAGCCTTGGGCACCATTTGCCACCACCCATTACACTTCATTTCCTGGCTCTATTGACCACAAAACCTGAGAAATGGGTATTTATTGTACATCCTAAACATCCCTTCATCAATGCGAGTGACCCTCAAAACCCCTACTCCGCTTCAGGGAAGTCATGCTATGAACAGAGAGGGGTATTGAAGAGGCTTGTGAGATACGCAGAGAAACGGGAGCACCCACCTCGTCGATGTTTTGCTGGGTGATGAGGTCCAGGGCGATGTCGAGGGTCTTCTTGCGGATATCCATGTTGGGCGTGGCCAGCGCGCGCAGCACATCCATAAGCATCGCCTGCATCACACTCCTGTGCCGCTCCTTGAGCTCCTGCACAGCGCCACCCCGATTCTTTTCAGATGCCTGCTGTAGTCACGTCACTGTCTTAGTATGGCTCCCCATCAGACAACCTTTGCCCGCTTCTGAACATGAATGTCTAGCTTCCACCCATGCAGGAGCTGTCATACTTGCAGCCTTGCACAGCATCACTGTCGCAATGTCATGACATGCACAACAACATGTCATCATCTTTATGAAACTAACAGTGGTCTAATCTTGCAGGAAGGCAGCAGACAAGTGCCCACTGGAGACTTTAAAGAGTGACGTGGAGAAGAAAGGGGGTGACCTGCAGGCGGTCGAGCACGATGAGCTTGACATTGTTGTCGCTCTGGCTGACGAGCATCTGGCAGTAGCAGTTGGCGGCGGCCTTGATGGCGGAGGGCGCGTTGGACAGCGACACGAGCGTGACAGCGCACTCGTACACCACTGCGCTGCTGGTGCTCTGCAGCAGCGCCAGGATGATCTTGATGTACTTGCCCTTCTCGTTGGGGTTGCTGCGGCACACCTTGCGGATGAGCTCCAGCACTGCCATCTGCAGGATGTCTCCCCAGTGCGCCACATTGTCCACCTGCGCAGCAAGGATGCAGGATCAGTAGACCGCCACATGCCTTCACTTTCGACCACTCAGCCATGCATGCAGCAGCGGTTCTATCAGCAGCAACCCCGAATTACTACAAGACGGGAATTTCTAAATTGCTGATATGTTGCGCACACAGCGCAGGTTTCTGCTTGAGGAGTGAGGGCTGGAACAGATGCAAAAAAAATGCGCAAGGTGGTGAAACAGATAGTCACCTGGGAGAGTAGGTAGTTGACTGCAAGGGGCTGGGCATGGTTGCAGAGCATTTGGAAGGCATTCCGCTTTGTGGAAAGATCCTGCTCTGACTGCAGCACCTGTGGCGCAGGTGCAAATAGTTTTTGAGCAACGGGAGTATTTCGTAGCAGGAATTCCAGTCACATTGACACAAAAGAGCTCTGCCAATCAGCGCTGCATCCACTAACAAATTTACCTTTTCTATGAGCTCAGGAGCATCCACAAGGAGCAGCTCGCCCTTGGGAAGCTTGTAGAGGGCGTTGATAGCCAGGACTGCGTTGCGGCGCACATAAGAATGCCTGTGCTCTAAGCATGCGAGAATTGAGGGTATCAAAGGCTCCAGGATTTCTTCTTCCCGGATTCGGCACAAGAAACGCAGCGTCACCCCCCGAATGTATTCGTTGGGATGCTGCAGGTTGTTTCTCAGGTTCTGGCAAATCAGGATCTGCACAAGAAGGCTCAGACTCAGTCAACGTTGCCTCCAACTGGTTTACGACTTCTGCATGCGGTAAATTATAAGAAAAGAGCAACAGTGTATCAAGACCAGGGTGCAGGCGAATGCAGCCAGGGGTGGAGTATTGACAATCCTACCATCTCGGGAAGAAGCTTTCCTGACGCATCTGTCTTCTCTATGGTTTCCTGTATAAGAAAACAAAATATGTTGAGGAAAGGATCTTTCGATACCCGTGATTTATATATATTTAGCTGGGTGATGAAGCGATCACGCACCAGATAGAGAAGAAGAAGCTTCTGAATGGTGTGGTCCTCCGAAGGCAGCACATATCGGATAATTGTGATGAAGAGCGCTGGCAATTGCTCCCCATTCAACAACATCATGATTGCTTTTTGCATGGCCTGAATCTTTGCATGCGGGTCGTTGCCTTCCAGGGCCTCCTTGATCTCTGTGGCTGAGGAGGGTTTGTCAAAGTGCACCAGCATGGTGCAGCTGCGCTCTATTGACTGCGCCATGGCTGCAAGACGGACTTACACCGCTACACTGCAAGCTTTGAACAAGTTCTTATTAAGACCCCAAGATTTGCCAATCTTCCATAGCCCTTTCTTGCATGAAAAGCTGTTTCCTCCTAAACATCACTGCTCCGAGTTGTTCTTGACCAGCAACGAGGCAATGCACAGACAGCGAGCCAGCCCAGTTCTTCACTGGAAATGTTGCCTCTTTCCATCCACGATGTTGGACGGCGTTCCATGTCATTTTGGGAGGACGACGGCTAGGTGCTGGATAATTTCCCACATTGAAGGAAACGAAGACCTGATGAACGGTCTCAAGTATTTGCAAGTGATGTATATTATCGACTTCACAATGTTGAGAGATACGGCGCAGCTTAACAATAGTTAGTATACTTTCTTTCGGAGTCCTGTTTCCGAGGGGTACAATTTCTGCAAGGGCACGATCATAATGGTATCGGATTTCAATCCAGACTTTTCCTTCGATTTTGGTGGTCCTGCGGAAGGCCCAACACAGGCAGCCTGGGAATTCAGCAGTGAGTACTCTAGCCACCTCCTAATCTGACTGTTCAGCCGACCCAGCCGCCAGATGGGGATCTCAATGCCATTATTCCTCGAGTTCCATCCAAATCTTTTGTTCATGCGGATCTGATCGTGGGCAGTCTCGAGATTTACTCCCTTCTACCGCAGGTGCACTCAAGGAGGCCCGCAAAGAAAGGGAGAATGATAAGACCACTAGCATCGATCACAAGATTGCACAGCACCTGAAAAGTAAGGAGCAGAGAGCGAGACCTGATGGCAAGGTGCTGTCCATGTCCCTGCAACGTCCTTGTCCAGTCTCCCTAGTACTGACCCCCTTTGGCATGTGCTGGATGCAACTCTCTCTGTTGTGGAGTATTGATGACAGTTTCATAAACTCACAAATGTCCTCGGTTGTGTATTTGCAGCCGTCAGGAAGGGCCGCTCCTGGGAAGGGCTCAAACGGCAGACCTGAGGCACACTCAGAGAGCAAGGACTCTGATGAGTCAGATGAAGAGGTCAGCGATGATGAGGATGCGCCTCTGCCTGGCGAAATAGACGATGATGACAGCGATGTGGCAGATGAGGACGCAGTTGACATTGACAGCGAAGAGGAGGATTTGCCAGAGGCAGATGATGATGATGATGATGCTGAAGAGTCCGATGAGCAGGAGGAGCAGCAGATAGAAGAAAGTGAGAGCGACGCCGAGGATGTGCCAAGCGCACAACCGCAGGCAAATGGCAGGAGTGCAGTGATGGCTGATGTAGATGAGGAAGAAAGCAGCGAGGGTGGGTCACTTGCACGTTTCCCCCTTCATGAGCACAGATGCTGGCTGCTGCACAGTTCCTGTGTACATGTGTCTGTGTTGGAGAGCTTTGCAACTTGTCTTGGCCTTTCAAGTGTTGGCCTTTCAAAAGCACTATATTGGTTGGTCAATGACATATCAATATCTGATGCACTGCAGATGATGAGGAAGAGGAGGAAGGGACATCGGAAGATGACGATGAAATGGACGAGGAGGCAGAAGCACAGCAGGAGCAGCGGCGCAGGAGCCACGGGGAAGCTGGCCCGGCCAGCGGCGTGCGCAGGGCTGAGTTCTATGCGCAGACCCCAGACGGCACTAAGTTCAGCGCCAGTGCCTTCAGCGACCTGCACCTGTCTCGCCCCCTGCTCAAGGCCTGCACTGCTCTGGGCTACATCAACCCCACCCCAATCCAGGTGCCGGTCACATAATCACCCATATATCTTTACACGATTCTTTATGTGTTATGTTGTGGGAAGATTTTGTGGGCTGGCCTGGTTTTCCTCATCTTGCTGCTTGCAAGTGGGCTTCATAAAATATTGGTCATCATGGTTTTTCTTATGTGGTGCTGGCAAATGATGAGGCAAGCGATTCCCCTTCGGCAGCTGCAAAGCAGTGACCGACGTAGCTTTGTCCAAGACTGATGCCCTAGCATGCACCAGTGCCATCCATGCAATCCAATCATAGACGAAAAGTGATCCTTGCTTTATCGTAAACATGATTTTTTGATGCTCAGGCAGCTTGCATCCCTCTGGCACTGGCGGGGCGAGACATTTGTGGCAGTGCCATCACAGGTGATATCTCATCCTAACTATCAGCTCTCACAGATATGCACTTGTCCTCTTACTTTGGTTTGTGTCCTTACCAGGCCGTCCGCCTCACCACAGTGCCTATTGATAGCTAAGTATGCATGAATTTCGTTGCAGGGTCTGGAAAGACTGCAGCGTTTGCACTGCCTCTCCTGGAGCGGTTGCTATTCAGGAATCGGAGGATTGCGGCCACCTATGGTCTGGTACTCACTCCCACGCGCGAGCTGGCCGTCCAGGTACAGAGCCCGCAATTCAAAGCCATGATCAGAAGTTTTTGTTGCTGAGCCACGAAATAGCTCTGTGTCACAGGCATGGTCACATCACCAATCTCCTGTCAGTTCTGGCAGCGCATACCAGTCAGCTGGAAAGCAGGGGCGCATCTGTATGCATCGTTACTAAGCACCATAATAGCTTTGTGAATAGCCCCACTTCATCCTGGCTTCATGTGCGCGGCGCAGGTGCACAGCATGATCACCAATTTGGCGCAGTTCACGGACATCCGGATTGCGCTGGTTGTGGGCGGCCTCTCTCTCCAAGTGCAGTCTGCCACGCTGCGTACCTCTCCTGAAGTCGTCGTTGCCACTCCGGTGGGCTTGCTTCCCCCCTTCCCGCCCTTTTACACAAGCTTCCCAATGGAGTGCACACAAGCATGATTGACTTGCAGGGACTGCACACTGCCAATAGTGTTTGCGCCGGATTTACCTACCTGCCAGGATCTGTCTCCTGGCTAGTTTAAAACCTGGCGCAAGATTGAAGCAGGCACGGATTTTGCGGATGGTACATCTTCCCATGATGTGCTGTCCTTTGCACACGTGTCACATCGTTGCATTCACATCCTACTCCCTCCTGACAGCAAACATCATGATTTTGGGTTTTTTAGCTGACAGAGCTCTGCATGCATACAGGGACGGCTAATCGATCATTTGCGCAACACCCAGTCAGTGGGATTGGAGGACCTGCAAGCACTGGTCCTGGACGAGGCCGACCGGCTGCTGCAGATGGGTTTCTCAGAAGAGGTGTGCTGCTCAGTGCGCCTGTTGAAGTGCTTGAGTGCGCAGCGGACAACACCTCGCAGCTAAAAACTGTGTGTTATTACTTCAGCACTGCATGATATCCGGAGTCAGATGTGGGGCATTGTTGCCATATGCCACCTGCAAGACTGAGCATGCTTAGCTCAGAAGTCTGCAAATTTGCAACTCTAGTAATGGGGAAGCAGGTGCTCCGTTGGTCCCATTATTTGGCCTCGAGGTTGGTGCGGTCACATCTTGTCTTGCAGTCTCAATATTTAACCGTGCTCTCAACACTTGTGGTCTGCAATGCGCAGATCAAGGAGGTGCTGCGGCTGACGCCGCGCAAGCGCCAGACGCTGCTGTTCAGCGCGACAATGACGGAGGAGGTGCGCGATCTGGCGGCGCTGTCGCTGCAGCGGCCGGTGCGGCTGGCGGCTGACGCGGCCGGCGCGGCGCCGCGGTCGTTGACTCAAGAGATTGTGCGGTTCAAGGGGGCGGCCGGGCCAGCCGCTAGAGAGGGAACGCTGCTCGCCCTGTGCGCGCGCTCCTTCAGGTGCTCTTATTTTTCCTTTCTGCGGCCTTCTTGTCTCTGATCTGTTGTCCGGACAGATGTTTAGTATTTCAACCTCTAAACCTACCAGGAAGCCAAATTACGCTGTTCAACAAATGGGCTTCAGCTCTGTCTTGTTTGAGCAGTTAGCATGACCCACTGTTTTTTAATGGCAAGCAGGACACGCCAGCCACCTCCAAAGCATTGGAGCTGATGTCGAACATGCACTTGTCAAGATTGCTTTCCCCTGCAAGCGGCTTGGGGCGTTGTAGCAGCTGTGTCTATATCAGGTGGAAGAGCAACTGTGCTTTGGAGCACGGTTTGATAGGTTTCGTGTCATGTGCAGATTGGGGCGGACCATAGTGTTCTTCAGCACCAAGCACAGTGCCCACAGGGCCAAGATCCTGTTCGGCCTGGCGGGGTTGCCGCCAGCCGCTGAGCTGCATGGTAACATGACGCAGGCCGCCCGCCTGGAATCCCTGGAAAAGTTCAGAAAGGTGCCCATTCCCACAACTCAATTCAGAAGCCCTCCCCATGCCTCTGGCGCTGCCACCTCCTGTGCACACTCTTGCTATATTTTGTGTTTTCTAAATGAAGCTTATTGGTCCTGTAATGCAATCTATGTTCATGTGAAGTCTACCGTTCCAGCTGACCTCACTGCAGCTGCAGCTGTGCGGGTGCTGACTGGACAGCTGACTGGTTGTGTTTCTGGGAAGCAGGGCGAGGCGGCGTTCCTGCTGGCGACTGATGTGGCGGCGCGAGGGCTGGACATTCTGGGGGTGGATGCGGTGATAAACTACGACGCGCCCCCGGCCCTGTCTGCCTACCTGCACCGCATCGGCCGCACCGCGCGCGCCGGCCGCGCCGGCCGTGCCGTCACCTTTGCCGACGACTCCACGCGCTCTCTCCTGAAGGACGTGAGTGCTCAGAGATCAGAATCAACTTGCGTGATCCTGAAAGAAGGGAAGATACTGCTTGCATGGACCTGCGCAGTGATGCCTGACTTCCTGCTCCTTGTGCCCAGATTGCCTCCAAAGAGGCCGCATGAATAGAGAGTGTGTCATATTTTGACAAGCAAGCAAGCTCCCCTGTGCGCTCAGTGGTCTCAAAGTTCTGTGCATGTGCATGCAGGTTGTGAAGAAGACGGGAGCCAAGCTGCTGATCCGCTCCGTGCAGCCGGAGATTGTTGCGCAGTGGACCCAGCGCATCCATTCCCTGGGCAGAGACATCGCTCGCATCGACCTGGTGAGCATCCTTGCTTCTGTGCCCAGCTCACTGTCTTGCCGGGTGTCTGCAGCTTGCAATGCTTGTTTAAAGCTGCACCTTCTCGAAGTGTTTGGAAGTTCTCGTTGAGGGCAAAGTGTTTTTGAGCACACCCAGGGCAGGATAGTGACTCAGGACTTTTAGCCAGAGATCTTTCAGGAGAGAAGGGGCAATACCATGCAGATTTGGTACGAGGGTGGCATGCAGGACAGGGGGCACAGGGGGAACACCGGCAGTTCATCATGCTGCTTAGTAGCTTTTAGCACCCCCTGGGGAGGAACATGTCAGGGGACTTGAAAGGCTGATGCAGTATGCCCCACGTGCAGGCGGAGCGTGAGGAGATGGAGCTGCGAAAGGCGGAGATGGAGGCACAGAAGGCTGAGAACATGGTGGCGCACGAGGCCGAGATCGCCGCTCGGCCGCCGCGCACCTGGTTCCAGACTGCCAAGGAGAAGGTTGCGTCTGTAGACAGGTCTGCCCTCTCCACAGCTGCCCACTCCTTGCTTTGCATTCATTTGATGAGCAGGATCACTGCCGAAATATGTGTTTTGATGAGCAGGACTCCCCGTCGAAACCATGCATTATCCACAAGGGGTTGTCCACAGAGGAGGCCTGTAGCAGCACTGCTCTTTATGCAGATCCATGCATGCCTTGTCCCAGGTCGAGGGTCAAGCCCCTTCCGCTGGAGTGGCTTGGCAGGTTGGTTCAGTGAGGGATTGAGAGTTTGTGCAGTTGCTTCATCATGCTTTCTCTCGGGATGTTGACAGTGTTCTCATGGGCTGCCAGGGCAAGGGCAGGGGAGCTGGGCGAGCCAGAGGGCGGAGGGGACAGAAAGGGTAAGGCAGCCAAAAAGGGGAAGGAACGCGAGGAGCGGAAACGCAAGCGCGGCGAGGCGGAGGCGGCCGCCGAGCAGCGGCGCAAGCGCAACAAGCTCGTGGAGGTGCGCTGGCCCCCAGCAATGTCTGCCTGGCAGTACTTCCATTCATCAGTGCCATGCTGCAAGTGCAGTGACTTGTGACTGCATGGGGGGGGGGGATACATAAGTAAATGCCGGGTTCCAGGACCTTTTTTAAAGGAGCAGACAAAGAGAGGCAACATGCGCTGCCTAGAGGAAGTCATCTGTGTGCCTTAGGACTCAGACAAGACTTTACTGATTCATAGGAAGGTGACAGTGCTTGGTCCACCAGACTTGCTGACTGTGATGTGTGATGTGTGATGTGTAGGAGACGGAGGGCGTGGCCGGGAAGGTGCGCGCGGCGAAGAGCCGGGAGAGCCAGCTGCGGCAGGAAGGCATGACCGGCCAGCGCGCCGGGAAGGCCGCCGTGGCCGCCGTGGCCGCCGTCAAGACCAAGAAGCAGAAGAAGAAAAAGAGCACCAAGACGTGCGCACCACCTCTCAGCTTCCGCTGTATGACTTGCGCTCAAGTCACTCCCTGCAGCAAATCTCTGTTCCATCGAGCATAGCTCGAATGCCTTTGTGGCTGGCCCAGTCTGGCTGGACGCTTGATGTTCTACTGAGGAAAGGCGCCTCCCCAAAGCTCGTTTGATGGTGCATTTCGTCAATCGAAGTGGACGAAGTTTAATTTTGATGGCCATTGCTGGACATGGGCCCTTTGTGACCTCTGTTGGCTGCATCGTGTGCAGGGGTGCCAGTGAGGAGGGTGCTGAGCCGAAGGTGCCGGCCAGGGCTAGTGTGTATCCGGGCGGCGGCCGCAGCGGCAAGATCAAGCCGCCAAAGAGTGGTCTGTCCAAGGCGCAGAAGAACAAGGCCAAGAGGCACGGCGCCGGCGTGCATGGCTTCAAGAGCAAGGCCCGCCACAAGCGCCGATGATCATAAGGAGGGGCCGCACCAAACGTATGCTGATAAATGACGTGCATGTGTAAGACAGTGAACTGAGTTTGTGACGTCTAGCCCAGAAGGACGCTGTTGTGCTGCAGGTGTATCATGCTAGGAGGTCTAACTGTATCTGCTTCTTATTGGGTATTGACCGTGGAACATAAGTGCTTACAGAGTATAAATGGAAACATAACAAACGATGCTGCTATCCAGCACAATCAACGAGCGCCTGTGCATGCCAGTGGTTGTATCATAGAGAAAAGTGCATTCAATCGCAGAGCTAGCTGCGCTGCTGTCACTCCAGTGTCAGGCACTTGAGCATCTGAAAGGCCGAATATGCACTCCCATGACTCAGTCGTGATGACTGTAAAGGTGACCGAACAAGTGTCGGCTGGTAAACGATTATTGCGCATGGAACCACCAATCTGCCAAGTGCTACAGGGGAACCGACACAGCTGCAGCTGCGCTAAGAATCAGAAACAATTGTAATGGTCAAGGCCAGGCTGACACACTAACCAATTGTCTCTCCAAGAGACTGTGCAAACGGCAATCAATTGATATCTAAAGAGGTAATGCAAGGACTCGGCAGCCACCTACACAAAGTCTTTGTTTGCAAAATTACGGCACTGATTTACATGCACAAGCACACGAAACACTTCTGTCTAGAGGCCGAGAGAGCGCAAACAGCTTTTAATCCGAAAAAGAGCATGCACTAAAAAATACATAATCTACTCGACGTGTTACCGATACAAAGTCAGCTAGTAAAGGCCACTTCTCTTTGCAGGATCCCATACAGAGTCCCCCACCGGAAAATCAGCCCTTGATAGTGGACTGCTAGCCTCTGTCAAGCTTCTTTCGCTCGAAAGAAGCTAGCTGCTCAGCGAGGCTTCGATTTCAGGCTCCCACACTGAAAGATAGCTTTGAGCGAATCCACAGGGCGTCATGTTCCAGAAGGGAGAGAAAATAGAGAAAAGTCAGCGCTCTGCACACCGTGCGGCCCTTGTCAAACCCCCCGCCGCGATATGCATGCTAGGTGATCAAGGCATGCCCTTTACAGCGAAGAGGCACAATCAGCAATTTGCAATCCCTGCAGCAATCTTGCACACCGTCATCCCATCATCTGTCCCCCACGAACCCCGTTGCATCCCTCCTGATCCCAACAGAAAGACACACTACGCAATTCAGCAAAGAAGATCTCTGTAGAAAGAGCGTCCAACATCAGCATTTCACCCAATTATGACAAGATGGGCGGTCTCACAAATCGATGAAATGGGTCGCCTCTCATCTGGAGGGCATAGCCTGCGCCATTCAGCGCCACTCATCCTTGTCTCGGTCTTGCTTTCCTCCAATTCTCGCAACCCAATCATCTCAATCCTCTTTGCAAAAGCAAGGTGACTGTGAGTAAGAGCTCTTCTTCACTCTCCCTGACGAAGAGCCCCTCAGGGGCTTCAAAATTAGCTGATTAGGAGTCCCCTGAGCCCCTCAAGATTGTAGCGTCAGCATTTCCAGTGAGAGCCATCCCAGTATTGGCCGCCGGTTTGCATGTGCATGTTTGGCACAGCGGCTCATTTGGCGGCGACAGTGGCTGCCGCGGCTGGGGCTGCAGCGGCCTTAGCGAGGCTTTCCTCGGAGGCTTCTGAGAGAGCACTGGGCCTGTCATCTGCTCCCTTTTTCGCCGCCTTTGTTGTCCTGACAACGGTTGACGGCGTAGAAGCCTTGTCGCCCATCTCCCTCCACATGTCCAGCGCCGCCTGGGTGCGCCTGTTCAGGTGATGCAACAAAATTCAAATTTGCATTATCACATCTGGTGGCTTGCTCTGTTTTCATGTCTTTTCTCTCTTGGCATAAGGCATCATGTTTTGTGTCACCCTATTCTTGCAGAATCTCAAGCGTGGATGGAACAGAGGATCCTGTGTGGGATCCACACAAATCTGCACTGCACTGCTGGTGCTAGTACACAGGGAGGTCGGGGACATGTCCAGTAACTTCAGCATCACAGGAATAAAGGCGCACTTGACCAGCCTGATCTCTCCCAAAGACCTGTCCTTGCCAGATGGGCTCGCGTCCGCGCCGTCAGCATTCCTTTCCGCATCTGCACAGACGCACACTCCCCATCGTCCATACAAGCAATCAACCACAGGTAGAAGGATAAACAAAAAAGCAGACAGGCTTTTGGAAAAGTGGCACCACCAGGACGGGGCACAGGGCATTTGCTGGAGTCAGGAGCTTGCACCGTTCAGAGAGGCTCCGTGCTCGTCAATGAGAAGCGTTTCAAGGTGCTGCTCAACATCCTTCACCAGCTGAGTGATGCGATCAGTGGAGTAGAATGGCTGCAGCACACACACAGATATAGTCTCAGCAAAAATTACTAAATCCTTCCTCTTCCAGCATGGTAAAACCGGGCAGATGGCGGTAGTGCACATTGACAACTTTGCCTAAAAATTTCTACAGCGCTAGAAGCACCTGCTGCAGCACATTTGCCAAGAAGGGCGCCCGGAGAATCACACCGGACTGTTTGTCTGCAACACAACCAGCACACCACTGTCAGACACTTGAGAGACGCACGATCCAGAAATCCGGACATTGTGGATGCAATTCCACAGAAGTACAGCCAGATCTCACCATGCTTCTTCAGTATTTTGACGACCCCCGCGTAGTTCAGCATGCTCCAATGCAAAAGCAGCACCATCTCGCCTGCGGTCACAGACAGACACGAGTGTTCCCACAAGATCATTGAAAGCTTGTTGTCTATGCTCCTGCACATACAGAGAATAGCGGCTCCACTTCATAGTGTGACAGTCATAACATGCATGTCTATGGTCTCTCACCATGCAAATCCACAAAGGCGCTGCGCAGCCTGCCCAGGAAGCCAACATCGTCCTTGTCAGCCTTCGCTAACTGCTCCTCCAGTGCCTGAGTCCTGATGATGCACTCCTCCTCCTTCTCTATGAAAAAGTCGTTGAACTGGTCGAGATCCTGCAAGCCGTGGGGTGTGGTTTATGAGGATCAGAAAATGGTTCTAGGTTTCTGCTGACGTCGAGCTGCAAAACAGTTGGCGGCACACTGGACCAAAGCACTCACCTCTTTGAGCGTCTCTATAAAAGATAGCTCCCCAGGTGTGAGTCCCTCCACGATGCTCTGCACAAGGCCAAGCATTGTTAAGACATCTATCGATATTCGGCATACCGATAACAAGATACCGAAGAACCTCTTCCACATTACACAACTGCAACATGCACCTCAGACAAAGTGATATAGCCACACTGATGCACCTGTTGTTGTTGAGAATATGCCGGCTCTGCGCCCGTTTCCAGGTTACAACTAGCGTGCTCCAGCGACTGGAACGCGTGTTCGATTTCTTTCTCATCTGTATAGGCAAGCCAGGCGCGTCAGAAAGGTGAATTCAATACCGCTAGTTTATCTCTATAGGCAGCCCATCGCGCACCTGTAGCAGTCTCAGACTTCTGTATCTGCTTGAGCTGCTTCTTCAGGGCTTTGTAACGGAGGAAATGCTCCCCCAGTCCTGTTGATCGCAAGTCATCCGCCCTTGACTGCATTAACTTCCCGAACTTCATGATGCTTTATTTTCAAGCTGCCTCTCGCCCCGCCAAGGTGTACCGGATCAAGCGTCGGCAATTTCCCGCTTTCTTGATATATCACATTCGTGGTTCTGAGGCTCACATACATTCAAGGCAGCAACGAATGGCAACAGAATCATAGCGACCATCGAATGTGAGACTAGAGCCCAGGAGTGCAAAGATTCCTTCCATCGCAGATTCCTCCACAGGGCTGAACCCTCTCAAATCCCAGATGCGAGGGGCAGTAATCAAAATAATCCTCCCAAATACGAACTCCACGCCAACTTGTCCTAAAAGTCCACCACTCTCTCAGTGCTATTGAACTCTATGCTTCATAATCTCGGAGTAGCTAGGATCGACCGCGTGGCATTATCAACAACCAGCTCTGCAGCAGCTTGTCGTGTATATTGTCCCCCTTTCGCGTGTCCGCCCCTTTTCCGACACGGTGGGTCAGACATTCTGTAGGCCTGTCAAGAGCTTGTATGCCCCTTTTTCCTACATATTGATTGTAGATGTGACATTCGAGTTATGTGCACGGATCCCCTGGCGCGATCATCGGAATTTATAGAGGTCTCAATTACTGCTGCGTTGCACCAGGTCGTCTGAGCATTATGACGAAGTCATCACCCGACGACACCATCGCAGAATTCAAGAAAGTTGTCAACATGACACCCGACGAGCTGCAGGTACGCATTCCGGCATCATCTTCACACTTGGGCCGTCAAAAGCCTGCCAATCTTTCTTTAGGATTCCTTAGCAAATTGCTGGAAGGAGGCCCATGCACACAGTACCAACTACCCCAAAGTAAATATCCTGTACTTCTGTAATAGCTCAATGACGTGCCGGGCAGGAGTTCCTGGAGTCCGATGACAGCAACAGGGTGGGATGGTCCAAGGATGGAGGGGAGAGCGTGGGGCACCAGTCAGGCAGGCGAATCGTGGAGCTGCTGCAGAAGAGCGAGGATGAGTGCGACGAGGATGACATCAGCCACATGCGCAAGGTGGTCGGCTATGTGCACCGGCATGGCGTGCAGGGGCCGTCCAAGAATGATGTGGAGCACTCCAAATGGCGCTACTCCCTCATGAACTGGTAAGTTTGTTGGGCCGTCCAGATCCATACATTTGCTAGGAAGCCGCCGTTTCTGCGCATCACGTGAATATGCAGCTGGTTTCAATGCATGCAGAGCGTTAGGTGCGTTGCTGTTTATGGCTTTGTCTGTTTTTGTGGGCAAGTGGACATGGTATGCACTGCAAGCAATGTGGTGTGCTGGGAATGGGTCTTCATGCGCTCACGAGATATCGAGTGGAACTTGCGTTTCGAGGTGGCTCTGCACCGCACATTCATTACACATGTGCACTTGCGCAAGGAGGCTGATGTTGCTGATGTTTTGCGCCGTTTTATGGGTGCAGGGGCAACGATCCACTGAAGGAGTAATGAGCAGGAACTGGGAACTGGATCTGCAGCAGATTGGTTGTGCAAGCCCAAGTCTTGCAGTCTGAGAACAACAGATGGCTTCACAGCACATCTCAGTAAGGGAGGTTGCGAACAGCAAGATTGTGCCTTTTTGCAATGCCATGACATGTACGCATATGCATATGCTCGGAGAACTTTGCAGATGTGCTCACAAGAGCACGGGCAGTGCCGGCATAATCTGTTGCCAGGTCAAAATGATGATAATCTTGAGCTCTTTCCAATGCCTGTAAAAGGATAAAAAATAATGGTGGTTAAAAATGTGTTGGCATGTCACACTGGACACAGCAAGTGGTGAAACCAGATTATCACGCCTAAAAGGGTAAATACTTCTGCAGCAAATTGTCGCAATTGCCAACTGTTGCCAAACAAGCAATGTCTTTGGACAGCTTGTCAAGGCACACTTGGAATAGCGATTTGTGGATGCAGCAATGACAAGGCCACTTTCTCAGACGAGAATTGCGTGCGACAGTGTCCCACACAAAATGGAAAGCTGCAGCACTCCTGCAAGCTCATTAATATCATGCAATCCCAGTAAGCTATTCCCCGCAAGGAGTAGTAAAAACTCCAATGTGACACCCCAAGTCAACCATTGTACATAGGAGCTCGTCACGGAGCAACCTTCATTCAAGAGCAAACCCTCCCAAAAAAATATCAGGAATAAACCAACTCATCAATCTGCAATCAGACTTTTCTCAGCCCGCACCAATAATGCCCCTGGGCCGCTTGAAATTCCAAATAGCACGAACTTCAGAGCCTCATGTGTGCTCATTTAATGCACGGGCACCCTCATAAATCTGCGGAGCTGTCTTGCGGCAGTTGCAGCTGCACTAAAATAATTCAGCACCCTTGCATCAACAGATCTGCACAGAGTGTCACAGCTGACACCAAGAGTTTCACAGCCATCAGAAAACCCACAGCCCCCTGCTGCATTCAAATCATAGAATGTGGCCTCTGATCATTCTTTCAGCCATCCTGGGACGCAAAATTGCTGACTGCATTCTGTGAAAAAGAGCACGCCTGAAATTTGACATCAGCACATGCATCTCAGCAGCACGGGCGGGTCTATTGCAGGGTGAGTTGCTTGGTAGCCGGGTATCTCGCACTTGTTGGGTCAGATCAGCGCGGTGGAAGGTCTCAGAACAGGTCTGCAAAGACGTTAAAGTTTGCAAGGTCGGCATTGATGGCCTGGATGGATCCGATTGCGCCTGCAGGCAGCCAGAGAGGAAGCTGTAAGCGGAGCAAAACAGTAATACATTGTTATTATTATTCTCATGCATTTTTCTTCCGGGGGTCACATGAGAGGCTCGCGCTGCCACCGCACAGCAGAATGGACAGCCATGCATTCATCAGACACCAAGCACCAAAACCCCGACTGGCTGACTCGTATAACTGGGCGATGTCAGGACCATTCATCAGATGGCAAGCACCGAAACCACAAAACCAACTTTGCTGACTTGTAGAAAGTGTGAGCTGTCAGGACCACTCATCAGACAGCAAACAGCCAGAACCCACAAACCCAACTTGCTGACCCCCAGAAACTGTGCACAGTCAGGATTGGAGGAATTTGAATTCAAAAGAAATAGTCACCTGCAATGGCAATGATGCTGTAGAAGACCACGATGCACCAGTTGACAATGCTGACGATGAGCGAGTGCTTGCCCACTTTCTGCCACAGGATGATCGGCAGAATGAAGTCCATTGGGGTGAAACCGATAGCTCCCACAAACGCGACAAAGTCCCTGCGCATGCACTTATCTTATTGACGCCTGCCAAGCTCCCTGAAACAGACGTCACTGCAATCTCAACAGCTGTAGGCACAGCATTCACTGCTCCAAGCATAGGAACAGCATGGCAGTAACAACCCTGCAACTCCGCCATATGCTTCTGAGTCTACAGAAGCTCAAGCCACCAGAAGAGCTCAAACCAATCAATTACAGACAGCTCAGCTTGATACAGTTATCCCCCAACCACACCCCGCAACCGAGGTTCCTGGCAAGAGAAGGGAGATAATTGCAGGGTACAGTAAACCCGAATGGGATTGTGGCAGAAAAAGGGTGAATAAAAAAGAGTGACTCACCCAAAGGGGATCATGGCAGCGATAAGGGTAATGATCACAGTGCACAGCAGACACCCACCTACAGAGGGAGGGAATCGTGGCAGCGACAAGGGTGATATACCAAAAGAGTGACTCACCCGAAGAAGGGGATCATGGCAGCAATAAGGGTGATGATGGCCATGTAGATGGTAGTCACAATGGCCCTCATCAGAACGTTGTGGAATGACCAGACGCCCTCGTAGGGCCTCAGCATGTAGTTGTAGGCAAATCCAAAGGTGGGCCTTGCATAGATCTGGTAGCAGCCAATGATCTGCAGCACGGCAAAGATGTACAGCGCTGCTAACATGCCGGAGGGCTCCTTGAAGGAGAACACCACGAACGGCGACACATCAAAGCCGAACGCCCAGTAGCCTGCGTGCAGACACAGTGCCGATTCGTTTCTTTGTCATCTGTATCCTTTGCTTGCATGTGTGCCTGACTTATGGCACTCGCAATAGGTCATTTAAAGAGACTCCCCTAGGCTGCACAGTCACATGGCAGGCTATCACTCGATTGTGTATTGCACTTCATCAGGCGCATGGCAAATACGCCTGAAACATATGTGCGGATGGTCCCTTGTACACGGCGCAACATGAGGCACTCCTGTGTTAATTCCCGAGATATTCAGTTCAGCAGTGCCACGGAGATTACTTCAGAAGCGCACCGGCGATGGCGACAACCATGTAGGATGACAGCAGGATAGCGTAGCCGCAGCTGACTCCTTTGTACATCACCTTCTTGGAGTCACCCCCAACAGTGGCCTGGACCTCTGGCAGGATGGTGTCTCCGAACGCAAAGGCAATGCTGCAGAAATGCACACAACAAGCATCAGCCTTGTTGAGCGCCTCACTCTTCAGCACACCAAAGATGCACTTCCTAGCGCAGACGAACACAATAGAGGAGCCTAATTTTCCTCAGGACGTTCACTTCAAACATAGCCATGATGAATCCGGTCATCTGTTGGCCATCTGTATCCTTGCTTACATCTCTGCTTTGTTTCAGTGGCACGAACGGCGTGTTATTCTGCAGATGCTATTTCTGTGTTTGAACAAGCTATTTCACGCTGATATACAGGGAGGCCCCGGCTGGCGGGGGGCGGAATAGTTACTGAGCACCGTGCCCACGGTTGATTGGGTCTTGCTTGGATCTGGCAAGCCCATCGAGGGGTAGGATTATGGCAGCCTTTATTTGCAGCTTGTCTGCAGGACGTACCTTGCCTTTTGGCAGGAAAAGCGTACAATATTAATAATAATAATACAGGGAGGTGAACAGAGGAGCAGCAATGCAGCGAGGCAGCTATGAGAGAGAAGGTGTTGCTCACATGCCCAGGGAGAACATGATGTTGAAGATCTTGGGCTTCGCATCTCCCTGCACATCGTAGCTGACTGTGGAACGGTCCACCTGCGTGTTTCCTGCAAACACACTCTCAACGTTCAGCAAAGCTTCAAAGCTCAAACGCCCATCACACGCTACTGCTTCTCCTGTTATCTCCTGGAGGCTGATTAACACCTACAAGCATCTTCCAGCTGTTCGAATCATGGTACATGACAGCCTTCTGTCTTAGCAAAGCATATTGCCACTGGAGCAAGCACAACAAGCATAGCCTTCCCCAGGGTTAACAGCGGGTTCCTGCTGACATGCAGCTGTGGCAGATAAAAGCAAGCAAGGGACACTGATGCTCACATGCAGCTGACGACAGAATCTGAATCCCTAAGGGGAACCAAGCGTATTTCACAATGGACCAAGCATACCACCTCAGGACCCATCGCGCCCAATTATTCAAGACTCGATTGCTAGGCTCATTAGAGATAGGAGACGTATCTATGTTTTGTGGAGATCCAGGCTCATGGAACGAGACATGTCTTATTGGACAACCAGTTCCACTGGCAGGGTCAAAGTTGGCAAGGCAGAGAAAGGGCGCACCGTTGTAGATTGACATGGCCAGGCAGCCGACAGCGAAGCAGACGGTGCAGAGGGTGCACACGAGGTTGATCTCCCTTAGGGAGGAGATGTCTGGCAGCTGGGACAGAATGAGCTGGGAGGCGCCGAAGACTGCAATCCAGGCCTGCAGGGAGATTCCGCAGGCGCCGGTTGGCTCACACTCCGGGTGGTAGAGGCGGTACAGTGCCTGCGAGACAAGCATCGCTTATGGATCAAGCGTTGTGCCCCCATGAGATTCAAACAATTTCCCCTAAGCACGCAGCCAGCTGTCACACAATTTACAAATCATGCTTCCCGCACGTGGCAGAAGGAACACATGAAGTTGAGTGGATCAAACAATTCCTCCTGAGAGCAATGGGATCAGACCGTTTGGCAGGAATACCAAGTCTATTTCCTGACTGATTCAGGAGCAGAAAGATTTTGTGTGGGTGTGCAAGAACAACACACACCATCATGAACAGTGTGGGGTGCACATTGTCATAGCAGTGCATCCAAGGCATAGATAAAAAATGTGGATTGGGGCAAGAGAGCAAGAGGGGGAGAGCTTCTCACCTTGAGGCACTGGCCAGCCACGATCTGGATGGTCAGGTTGTTGCCAATGGACGCCAGCTGCTGGAAGAAGATGACCGACCAGTAGCCGCCCTTGCCTGCAGCACATTTGCATCTCAGTCAGCCATCACAGCTCTTGCAAAAGAAGCCTCAATGTACAATGCACAAAGTACAGCTCAGAGCCATAAGCTATTCCCTGAGCAAGATCCCTTGGAAACGGTGACTGTATTTAAGACATGCTGTTAGTTTGCCCCGAGACGGAGGTAATGGGCTGATCAACTGGCTGTATAACATCCACGTCTGGACTATCAGATCAAATTCAAAAGGCGATATGGGTTCAGATTCAAATTCAAAAAGCTTCAAGAGTTGGGGAAGTACCGTAGATGGAGCCTGCCAGGTCGCAGTAGCGCGTGTGACGCTTGCCGTCGTGGCGGTCCAGGGAAGCTAGCAGCAGGGATGTGTACCAGGTGACTAACCCGGCCAGCAGCAGAAAGATGACTCCGGCCTCCCAGCCCAAGTGCGCGAAGGCAAAGGGTAGCGGCGCGTATGCTGCAGGGCAAGACAATAGAATTTTCTACACAGGGTGCAGGATGTGTCACCAAGACTCTGAGGTAATATTAGTGACGAGGACATCACTGGAATACCCCTCAAATCAGCAAGCACATTCCAAAGCAACACACCGCGGTGAGATGCAAAGGTGAAAGAGCACAATGACACTCAGCTGTGATATACAGAATCAGCAGAAGCTGAGAAATGATGTTCTGTCAGATGGAAGTTATTGATGGCAACTCTTCTGCATGTGGGGCCTCAAGATGATGTAGCAACAAGGGTGATGGCCCACATGACATAAAAATGACAGCTCGCAGGTAAACAGAACAATCCTGATTCTTGCTCACCTGCTGGTGTTGCGATGATGGTGCAAATGTGGCCGCCAGCGTGGTACCACTTGTCTGCAAGGCACAAGTGAAGTTGTGAACACCGGCAGAAGAATCGCACTTTTAAGAGCATTTACAAGCCTCAAGCCTCGTCAAATGATATCACGGAATGTACATGGATGAAGAATACCGCTTTGCAGTCGGAAACTCTCTGACTTTGCAGGTAGCAAGGGATTGGCACACTAAGCGTTGCCAGAACCCCACTTACGACAGCTTGTACAACAGGACTCGCTAGTGAACACGGTGAGCATTTCTTGAAGCCATTGAGCGCCATAATCCACCGACATGTGATCAGCATCTTCTTACGAGCAAATTGCAGCCGTCGGCACCGACATTACGAGTTGGCATGGAACAAACCATTGTGCGTGATCTCGATCAGGGGAGACGTTGATCCGTGCTTGCCGATCACTCCCTCCTCAACTTTTGAAGGCTTCCTCTCCAAGTCATTTCCGTGTGCACTGTCGTTGAGCTTCGACATCGTGTCGGTCTTTTTTCCAGCTAGGTCAGCAGCAGGAAGTCCCCGATCCGAGAATGTCAATGCTGCGAGAAGGGCAGCAAAGGCAGGACTGCAGATGATTGCGAGACGATCGCGCGGAGTTGCGGGGTGTCGACCGCTCTGTATCTGGAACCGCAATGTGGAAAACAAAATGTTGTGCTCGCGTCAAAATCAACCAGGCCTCGGACGAGAATCAGGCGACAATGCAGCGGCTTTGAAATACACTCACTTATGTTTTTACCGTCAATTGCTAGTTTGCCGATTGATGCTTTTGTTAGGATCATGTGGGCCCATCAGGTGGCTCCCACATGCTGGGTAAACTTTGGATGTGATTGGCCGAAAGGGTGGCCGTGGCCGAGTCAGATTTGGGGGGAGTTCGGCGGCCGTAAGGCGGCCGTGGGGTCCGGCCGACCCTCGAAATCCCTGGAAACCCCTTCCTCCTTGACCCCATCACTCCAAAGCCCTGCCCTTCTCGAAAACTCAAGGCAGCTTCCACGGGCTTAGATCATTCTTGATGCTTTCTTTCTCGTCACAGCGCTGGCCTCAAACATTGATCGACTCACGATTTGCGAGTTTGGATTCAATCAGGAACGCTCGATCGTTGCGGTTGCTGTAGATAAATGAGCACGGACATCGACCTGGCAATCGCGCTCTCGTTGAGTGAAGGCAGGACGTCAAACTTCGTGGACACTCGCCGTGATAGCAGCATAGCCCGCAGTATTCAGGATGAGGATATTGCACAATGGCAGTCCACCCTGGGTGAGGAAACTTCCGGTTTCGGAACTATTTTGGAAGGGGAGTCACAGTCAGCAAGAAATTGACTTCCCTTGGGAATGACTATGCCCCATCGCAGTTCCTCTTCACATACTCATCGAAGCTAGCTTGCTAAGCTGGCAGGGTGCAATCTTGAGGAGATCTGCAGTGACCTTCCGCCCTTGATATCTTCAGATGGGCTATTCAGCTTCTTTTTGCTCAGCTGTGATCATCAACCCCATCTGCACAGCCGAAAGATTGCTCATCTGCGTCAAAACCTGCCATGGCATCAATTATGCGCAATAGTGTGGTGCATTCCAATTTCCACCTAGGACACTGGCACACCAAGTCTCTCAGTAAAGATCAGGTCCCCAGCAAGCCTACAAGACCAGGAAGAGTACACTACAAGCTCTTCTACTACTACTCCTTTCAGCTACTACTGAGCTCTTCTTCTACCAAGAAGAGTTTACTAGTAACTCTTTTGCCCCTTAAAGAAAGCAGGAAGATTTCAACTCAATTGCTACTCACGTGCGTGCAGGGCCGGGGCCGCTGCCGGAGATGCATGCGGACGACCGGCAGCTGCGGCTGGAGCGCACGCTGAGCGAGCGGCTGGCGGAGAGCGGCGCGCTGACTCAACACATCCCTCGCACCAACAGTATCGAGGAGGGCCCCGGGATCGCCGACGTTGGAGAGTTCGGCGCCGAGCGGCTGCGCATGCAGGAGCGGCTCGGGCGCTACTCCCTCTGCGAGCGCGAGGTCAAGGGCGACGGCAACTGCCAGGTGCGCTGCCGTGCGTTACAAAAACAATTCTGAACAATCTTGTTCACCCTAACGAGAAATTCATGAGTACTGTAGACAGATAGCAGTGAGTCTAAAGGATCCACGCTGGAATGTGGCTGGAGGGCAGTTGCAACCCCCTGCACACTCTTTTCTGCCACCACCCAGTTTCAGAGTAGTCGCCTGTCCTGCCCAGGATGTGCTGTTCCAGTGCGTATTTCTATGCTGGCATGATGAGGCACCTACAAGGCGGTGACCTGTATTTTGGGGATGTGGGACACTTGACACTCTGCACATGTTTCTCAGGAGGGTGACGAGGAAGCTGGATCGAAGCTTTCGCTGCGCAAGTGCGCGGGTTTAAATTCAACCTCAAATTCAAATGTGTGACATGGGGCATTTTCTTCAAATGCAGTTCCGGGCGCTGAGTGATCAGCTGTACCGGGCGCCGGGGTACTATGATCAGCTGCGGCGGGTGGCGGTGGATGAGCTGCGGTCACATGCGGACAGATATTCCCCCTACGTGGCCGAAGACTGGGGGGACTACCTGCGCCAGATGGCCAAGTCTGGCACCTGGGGGGACCACCTCACCCTGCAGGTCCCACCCCTGTTGCACCTTGTAGTCCATTGGACCTTATAATTTGTTGTAGTCCACTGCAATTTATAATTATGTCCTGATCTGCAGTACATGACCAATGAAAGGCAGGGAAGCAAAGACAGTATGGGCTCAGGCAGACCGGCACAGGGAGAAGAATCTTTTCGATATGCCTGCTCAACAGCGCAACTTCAATATACTTGGTTCTTCTGGGGTTCCAGTTGCGCATTGAGCGCTTCAATCAGAGTTGAAGACAAGCATGGCTCACAGGGACGTGTATGGCATGCAGGCGATTGCAGATCACTTTGGCGTGAAGATGTACATCATCACGAGCTACAGGGAGGGGGAAATAATTCAGATCAACCCCATTGGGCGCCTGCGCAGCGAGCGCGTCCTGTATTTGAGCTTCTGGGCCGAGGTGCGGTCATTTCTGCCTCGAACAGCTGCTCGAACCCAAATCTCTCCCGATGAATGTTGTTCATCACTGCACCTTCTTTGCTGAACCTCAGGTTGATTCTTGCATCTGCCGTTTGTCAAGCAACTTCAGAGCAGTAGAGCCATGCTTTGGCACGCTTTTGCGCAAGTCAGCTAGCAGGCCACAATTGGGAATGAAGGACTCACTCACAAGCTGGTGGGCACTGCGCAGGTGCATTACAACAGCGTGTTCCCCCGAGCAGAGCCTCCACCTGTGCTGCCCAAGGACAAGACACTGGGCAGCCGCAAATTGTACCATATACTTCATGGCGAGGTGTATTGAACGCCATCTTTACAGCTTCCCATGCCCTGATCAGGTTGTCAAGAGCACTCTGCTGCGTGTACATAAATATTCTGGAGGCACAGAGCTGTGCCAGCTGTGGAACCGCCTTGACTCGAGTCGCATGGGGAGGTGTTTTGATGACCAACAACATAGCTTCCCATGCTAATGACCTGATTCAGGTCATCCAGCAGCACTTTGCTGCTCGTACATATTTTCTTTCTGGAGGCACAGAGCTGTGCCAGTTGTGCAGCTGCTCGACTTGAGTTGCACGGGGAGGTCTGTCGATGAGCATCATGCCATCATGGGCTCTCCGTGCTCTGATCAGCACCGTGAATAGCACTTTGCTGCTCGTACATAATCCTCCCTTGTGAGGCACCGTGCTGTGCCTATGCAGCGCAGCTGCGTGATTTCAATTGTAGGAACAGATGTAGGTGTCAGCCCTTCAGGCGCAAGAAGAGAGCACTGATTGAACCTGCAAGCATGCCGAATGGCATGCACTGGCGGTATCTTGTAGCTGTTTAGCTAACTCTGAATTTGGTTGAATAATTTCCTGGCTTGCCTCCGGCCAGGCGCCCGGGCGCAGTACAGTGCGCAGCGCACCACCGAATAAATCAGATGTCAACGGCGTTGTCATTGGCAGAAATGACTGCTGCAAAGCAGTCACCTCGTTTGTGATTGTGTAAAGTCGACTAGTTAAAATTACCAGAGGCCTGCAGCAGATTACAATCGTGCCTGCTGTCACCGTGTGGCACCGCTGTGACAGTGCACTACATGTGGCACTCTGGCCAGACCCGACCAGATTGCGCGCGTGCAACAATTTTAATTGGCGTGACCCTGTGCATGATGTCAACACGGCATTACACGGAAGCAGAAGAATTTCAGAGCTGCCAGCGCACATTTGACAGTCAAAGATGCCAATTTCCTGTCAGATGCAGTGCACTGAGTGCATGGCTAGAGTGTATTAGTCAGTCAATTCCACGTGCCAATACAAGGTCGACTGGGGATCCTGTCTCACTAGTAAGACAATCAAAACCGCCTTGGAGAAGGTCTTAACTCTTCCAATCGACGCTGTGACTTTGGCTTGCTTTCAACGGGGCGTATCGCTGTCCATCGATATGATCTTGAGACTTTTGCTGGCGTTTGCCAAGGATCTGACCGAACAAGCAGCACATGTGGCATGACTTCATTTACAAATTGGATTTGAGGCAGCGGGACTGCCGTGTCCTGGTAAACTCCCAGGAATTAAGTGTCCAAGGCAGGGTGCCTTGCGCTGGTACATATTGGTGGAATGATGTGCTTCAAACCTGTGGGGCCAGAAGACAAGGTCTGATTCCTGCGGAACAACATGGCATTTGGATGCTTTGGAGGTGGCCAAACCAAGCGAAAAACGCCTCGGCGCGTCACTGAGATAGCCCAGCATCGGAGTGCTCGAGGTACCTTTGCAAAGAATGAATGGCATTTGGTCGATATGAATGTCCTGTACTTGACCGTTTTGTTGGTTTTTGTTGCACTTACAAGCAGTGATCGTATTGCAATGAGAAATTATGTAAGTATACTCAGAGGATTGCACTGGCAGAGTTCTGCTGGTCAGAGATAACCCAGAAATCTATCCTGAACAAGCTCCTACTCTCCTGCAGTGGAGGCGGCTGCAATTGGGCCTTCGAGGTCGCAGCAGGTGCTGCCAGTGGGGTGCAAATACTTCACCTACAGGGAGCTGGAGGAAGCTACTGGTGACTGGGCACAGAGCAATGTGATTGGAGATGGCGGCTTTGGGCGTGTGTACAAGGGGCGACTGCGCAACGGTCTGCTCATAGCAGCAAAGCGCTTGGACCGACACGGCCTCCAGGTCACTCCTCTGCAAGCACCTAAAATGGACCACGCAGATTACTCTTGCAGCTTGTCCCGGTCTGCACTCAAATGAAGCATGTTCAAGTTTAGAATGCCATGCATGGAAGCCAGCATGCTATCAGAGGATGGTCTTCAGACTGGGCTTCCATATGGGTGAAGTTGCATCTTATTTGCAGCGCAAGGAACCATAGTTTTTGAACTTTGTGCTGGTTTGAATGGCCGTCCTTTCATGCAAAGGAGAGAAGCTGAAGTACAGAATGGCAATGGCAGGGAGACAAGGAGTTCAATGTGGAGGTTAGCATCCTGTCACGGCTGCACCACCCTGGCATTATCAAGCTGCTGGGAGTCTGCGTGGATGGTGACCAGCGCATCGCTGTCTTTGAGCTCCTCTCGCGCGGCTCCCTATCTAGCGCGCTGGGCAATTCTAATGACAGCGAGAGTGCACGGTCAGCTGGGGGCCGTGATCCAAGCAAGCAGCTGTCTCACGTGCTGACATGGCAGCAGAGAATGCAGATCGCTCTGGGGCTTGCTCAGGGCCTCTCCTACATGCACCAGGTCTGGGTTAATTCCATGCCACTGGCCAATCCCATGTTTCCTTACCCCTGCTTGTAAGGTCTCATCACTCTTGTGGGTTCCCCTGAGCAGTGAGTACTGAAAATGTCCCAGTATTGTCCTTGCATGCCTATTTGTAAAACAAGGAACTGTGTTCTTCAAAATAGCAACTTTTGAGGAGGAAGGGGGGCTCATTTGGAGTGGAGACGGTTGTGAGGGGCTTCCAGGAATTGGGCTAAAGAATTTGTGGTGTTGCCTGGCACAGGAGAGGCTCGTGCACAGGGATGTGACGTCGGGCAATGTGCTGCTGACGGAGGGCGCCCATGCGCGCATAGCCGACCTCGGCCTGGCACAGAGGCTGACCATGCCGGACTCCATTGTCATTGCTGCGCCTGTGGAGGCAGACAGCATCCTCATGGGCACCTACGGCTATGTGGCGCCAGAGTACGCCATGTCAGGTGAGCATGCTTGTCCGCTACTAAGTCCAGACCCAACCCTACTCTGCAGATATGTGATATTTAGCAACAAGTTGCACAATCGAATTGTTCTGGCAAAAATCTGCACCAGGGCCCATTCATTACACTTGTGAGGAGTCATGCGCACAAGGGCTGGTTATCTTTGGGAGCTTGGCTTGTGCAATCCAGTCGTGTGACTTGCTCAGTAAAGGTCTCATATGCAGCGTAGCTTGCATGCACTCTGGGTGGACCAGCAGGAAAAGACAGAGCCGTTCCTTGCAAATGAAGGGATAGTTGATGTTGTGATTTTGTAGACATGTCAGGTGTATGCCATTGATTGACGCAGACTCTGATGACTGCAGGCGAGCTGAGCCAGAAGACGGATGTGTATGCATTTGGCGTCGTGCTGCTGGAGATCCTGACTGCAAAGCCGGCGGTGGACGGCTCCCGCCCCCCAGGCTGCCAAATGCTGTCGGAGTGGCTGTTGCCATCCCTCAGCAGCGTGGACAGAATCTGGGTATGCACGCCGCTCTCACCGCCGCATGCACCATGCTTTGGAAAAGATATTTATGCCAGCCATGACACATTGTTGCAGGCTGCTATTGGTTGAGCTGATATGTAGCAGCCCTCATGAGACCTACATGAGCTAAAAATTTGCTTTGTGCTTCAGGAGCATCTGGATCCTGCCCTGGATATTGGCACAGTAGCTGCGCCCCAGCTTGCGACGCTAGCAGATGTTGCTCTTGCCAGCCTCTCAAAGAACCCCTCCGACAGGTGGGTGCACCAATATCATCAATTGCCGAAACTGTTTCAGTGCAGGCAATGTTTGTTTCGCATGCCCACATTGTCAGGAAGCTGTCCGCTGCATCTGTACATTTTGTGGAAATTGCACCAATGACGGACGAAATATACTCTCGAGCTCAAAATTATTCAGGATATTGTTCTGGTCTGCAGGCCGCGCATGACGGATGTGGTGCGGGTGTTGGAGACGGCAGCAGCCTTCAAGCCAGACCCCTCAGCCGCCAGTCCCAGTGCCGCAAACAGACCTGCTTTAAACCTGATCGACGCAGCTGCCGCGCCTGTGGGCCAACTGTCCGCCTTTGGGGACCCATTTGCCAGCAACCCCTTTGCTGTTGGCGCTCCGCCAGAATCCAATCTGCACGCCCCTCTGTGCACAGGCATGCCAGGTGCGCTCCCGAACACAATTCGATCCTTATGTGTTTCAGTTGGGCCGCAGGAAGATTCACTAAGGAGCTCAATTTTCTTTGCTCCACAATAACCACAACATCTTGATCGCCTGCTGGAGTCCGCCAAATGAGATCCGTCCTGGCATAGCTCTGGGCTTCAACAGTCATCTCAGCAAGTGCATGCCTGTGGCAGGAGCGACGGATCCGGGCAGGGGCCATGCAGGGGGCAGCTCCGCGGCAGCTGCCGTGACGCCGCAGCGCGGCTCTCCCGTCAGCCCGGTGCGCCATCTGGGCCACCTGTCGTCCTCTCGCGCGGCGCACGCGCTGCCCAAAGCGCAGCCGGAGGACTTTGCCAGCCCGCTGCAGTCGGGCCTGCGCTTTGGCGTCATGTCTCAGGTCTCCCCTGACGTCGGCTCTGCCTTCGGCCGCAGCTCTGCAACCGACCAGGTGATCGCACGCATCCAGCCAGTCTTCTCTTGATGTGCCAGCTTCAGTATAGTTTGAGTTCCTCTGTATGAACTTGCGGTGTGCCAGCTGCACACCAAATCCTTTGCAATTACCACACGCTACTCCGCTGTTGAAGCTTCCAAGCAAAGCAGAGCAAATGGTGAGGAATGTTGACGCCTTCTTGCTGCAGGCGGCAGGATCGGGGCGCAGCAATGACAGGGAGGTGTCATCTGTGGCCTCGTCGCCGCTCTTCGATGCCATGGCGAGCCGCCAGAGCTCCCCGGCCGCATCCTCTGGCGCGCCTCAGCAGCGTGATGAAGCAAGCCAGTCGCCCAGCCAATTGGGGAGTAACACGATAAGCTTGCTCAACTACCCCGCCGACCAATTCTGGCCCCACAGGGGTGGAAGTACAGCGGCTCCCGAGGAGCCCAGCAGCAGTGACACCGGCCCTGGCCCGCCGGTGGGATCTTCCTTCGCGGCAGCTGTGCGGCGGAAGGAGTGGCGCGTGGCCGGACCGCCGTCGGCGCCGTCTTTCGGGGACGAGCCTGCCGGCTTCAGTGGAGGCAGCGGGACCCAGAACAGGCAACGGCAGCGAGCCGGAGGGGGGGGACTTGGGGGACCACTGGCAGATTCGGTGGCGAGCCTGACAATGTCGGCAGACAGGCCCCCCGGCCGGCAGACGTATTCTCACGCTCCCGGGGAGATCTTCGGCGCGCTGCAGCCCATCGTCGATGAGGAGGCGGCCGGCCCTCCTGAGGCAGCGAAGAAGGGGGTGGAAGGGGCGGGGCTGAGCCCCTCAGTGGCGCGCAGGCGCAGCTCGGGGAACCCATTCAAGGACGAGGAGTGCAGCACGCCGCCTAATAGAAGCTCTGCTGAGCGGAGCGGCTCCGGCAACCCTTTTGCGGTGGCCGGTGGGGGAGATGTGCAGGGGCGTCCCGGGCCCTCGGATGGGGCGCAGCTGCACCTGGATAACAGCAGGGAAGCTGAGGTGCACTGGCCCTGCGCACAGCTGGACCCAGCGTTCCTGCAGCTGTCCCCAAAGCCGCTGGCAGCCTGACAGCCATTAGCTTTGTGGAGGTGTCAGTCTCAGGGGTAATCTTGATCTGTCCCGAGCAGCAGTCACGCCATCCTCATGACGCCGGATTGCAATGCATGAAGAAACAGATCTCTGTGCGACTTATCTGTGGGCTTGTGTGCATGTCTGTTTTTGTAGTCTGTACTATGTATTTTACCTTGTATGTAGTCTAGCATCAGCCGATGTGACAGCGACCTATGATGCATAATGAAAGATGTCCAGGTTTGTCTTGATTTCTTGGCATAGTACACCTACCTTTAGACGCAGAACCGTGGCTAGAAGGGAAGTGTTGAACATAAGCATGCAACGTCAATGCTGCAATTCTTTTTGAGCAGGGGCACACTTGCATATTTGTTTACCACTGGATGCTTGAGCTTATGGGTGAAGTCTGCTGGTGTTGTCTTGGAATGAGCTCGCTGGAATGAGAGGTACCTGAGTGAGATACTCATTGCTAGCATTATCTTGCTGATGTCAACAAATTCCTGCAGCCTGCATGAAATATTTGGCTAGCTAAGACCGTCCAGCTGGTCCTGCAGGGTGACCCTGCTGCCAGCAAATGCATATACATGAGATACTGGACTTCGCTCTCGGATCCGGAGTCCAGTTAGCTTGAAGCCAATCGAAGTGGAAGACCGACCAATTGTAGGCAGCTATTGCAATGATTGCCAATGGTCAATTTAATGTGTAAGCTGCCCCTCGATCCTTGAACTTCACTTCCTTGAAGGATCCTGACTCACATTTTGGAGTCACTGACAGAGTCCAGACGTCTGAATAACTAGTGCTAGCAATAGAGACATGGAATACAACTTCTAGCACACAGATATGGGATGTGAGAGTCCTGCAGACTGTGGGCCACAGCATCACAAAAAATTCATTGGTTGCCATAATGGCAGCATCATGCATCATGATGATGGCTGCTGCCGCGGCCTGAGGGCGGCCTGAGTGAAAGCTTTGTACTACAGGACTAGCTAGTACGATCTCTGTCACAGGTGGCCTTAAGTAGCAACCATGTACGAGTGGCCATGCATGCTCTGCAGGGACAAGGTCATGCAGGGAAGCTGGTGCGTTTGGATTCCAGGCCGAATTCCTCGCCGCTGCCAAGCTGCCCCTCGAAGGAAGCTTCCTGGGGCATTGGCTACAGGTTAGCTGCCAGCACCAGCTGGCCAGCAGCGCCTGATTTGGCTCCTAGTAAAGGCGCAAGGTGCTGCTGGGCGCCAGGTGTGTGTGTGAGGTCGACAACGATCCGATCAGAAAGCGACGGGCCCCCTTCGAAGCATACCTTCCGTTTTAGAGGGATCTGTGTGAGGATCGTTGGTCACATTCGCTCCCAGACACCTGAGCCTGCCGAGCTAGCCGCGTTGCGTATTGTCACCAAGGCTTGCGACCTGCCAGTGTCTAGCTGTTCGACAGCGAAGGGTCCTGGTGAAACAATTGTCGTGCATTAATTTCCCGTTGTTGGGCGTAAGATCTGCCAGATCGACGTGTCTGGAAAGGCTCGCAGTGCTCTCTGAAACAAGTGTATTGGTGATCTGCCCCGCTTTTTAGAGTCTCTTGCAAAAAAACTGTTGGCATGCGTTGGAGCCTTGAAGACAGATAGATGGTCCGTATAAGCATAGTTGGTGGTTGAAAAGCCACTCCGAGAAAGGCAGAAAAAGGACTAATAGTTGCCAGCTGTCTACAAAAGAAAGCAAGACAGGCAGCCTACTTTGTTGATTTGGATCGAAAGCAATAGAAAGCAGCTCGTAAAGAAGCACTTTTGACAGCATCGGCTCTGGGGCAGTCGCAGAGCCAATGAAAATGCCCAGAGTCAGCTCCAGAAGTGGAGGCCTGAACAGAATAAGCTCAACACAGTCCCTCGCTGGGGACGTGGAGAAACCAGAGTCACGATCTGGCTCCCTGAATGGCTGCCCGCAGCACAGGCATCCGCGCAGCGTGCTGACCATTGCAGTGTGCATGCTGCTGGCCTGCGCAGCGCTGTCAGGCTTTGTGGGATACAGCTGGAAGGCAGGACAGCTGACGGACAGGTGTGCCCGCATTTGCTGTGTTCTATACTGCATCCCTTGTCCACTCTTGATCCTTCACCTATACACTGATCTGCTTGGATGTTGAAGGACGTATACAAATGTGTGTGTCCTTAGGTGATTAGGCACAACAATGATGCAAAATTGAAGCGCTTTTCTCTCTGTGCAGGCAAGAAATAGTGGTGCGCGGTGTTGCGTACGTGCATGCAGTGCCGCAGCGAAGCATACAGCAGCTAGACTCATCAGCAAGTACGGCGATGAGCGTTGTCTCGGCGGCACCTTCCCTGGACGATGTTGACCTTGTGATGGCGAACCTTGAAGGGCTGTGCACGGAGGAGACCAGCTGGAAGTCCCAGGAGACCAACCTGGAGCAGTGTATACAGGTGGGCTGCCTCACTGGTGCAGCAGTCGGTGTTGATGACCATTTGATCGCTTTGCTCTTGAGAGCCGGAGCTTGGTCATGATGCTGTGGCAACCTTTGCAAGCCATTGACGTGGTAGGGAAGATAGCCAGCCTCATTGCGTCTTAAGCTGCAAACAACAAGAACAGCTTTCAAGCCCAGCGTTTCCTCATGATAGTCTTGTGCATGCCTGGCAGTCTGCACCTGGGCTGCACTCTCGGACAGCGGGGGACAGGCTGGCCCTCAAGAACCCAACCTTCATAAGCTTTTTCTCAAAAGTGCTGGTTGACATGCAAGTCGTTTTTCGCAGGGTCCTTGGGCGAAGAGCGAGGAGCTGCAGGGGAGTGTGGTGCGCGAGAGCGGCAGCCGGCCCTCGGGGCGCTCGCCGGCCGGCTCGCTGCAGCAGTCGCAGCCGCAGCCCACCCCAGGGCGGGGGCTGCTGGGCCTTCGCAGCGGCTTCATGCGGCGGGCGGCGCGTTCGGCGGCCGCGCGGAAGCTTAGCGAAGCTTCCGAGTGCGGCGCCGCCCTGGGCATCCCCAAAGTCGCCCTGCTCTTCCTCACGCCCGGAGACATGCCCCTCGAACAGGTGCGCCGCACCTGCGCTCCTTTCCTTCTGCTGCACCTTGACAGAGTCCTGACATTGCCAGATTGTTTTGCCCTTCTGTACATGCCAATCAGCTCCGCCGCAGACCTTGCTGCCCATCACCTGCAAATTGGACACTCTGCACAGATCAAGGTGCAATGTGGCCTTGGCTGGCGCATGGTTCGACACTAAATAGTTGACTGAAGCACAGCGGGATAGTAACTTTTGTGAATCAACTAACAAGTGTGTGGCGCTGCGCAGACGTGGGAGGCGTGGTTGCGGGCGACTGCGGGGAAGCTGCGCGTGGACTGCCTGGCAAAGCGTGTGTGCGACGCTGCGGACGAGCACGCGATGCTGACGGCAATCAATGCGGCATGCGCGCCCGGCAACTCGACGCTGAGCCACCTGTTCTCCATCTACATCCACCCCTCACCCTCCCACAAGGGCTATGACAAGCGCAGCATCTTCCACGGCCGCGAGATCTCCCCCCGAGTGAACGTGGAGTGGGCCAGCTGGGGCATTGTGGAGGTGCGCCTCTCTGCCCCACAAAGATAGTTGCTCTCTGATGCACACCTGCATTTCGGACACCTTGCACTTTGATGCACGTGTGCATGCTTTGCAACCTGATGCATATGTGCCTCTCCAAAGGATGTCTTGAAACCTGAAACGAAGCGTTGGCGCTGTTATTGTGCGATTGCTTGAAGTGACGAAGCAGTGTCTCTCGTGAGCCAGGCGCTTCCACTGAGGTGTCCTGCATCGACTGAGCTGTCCATTAAGGGTGATTTTAGTTGAGCATTAATGGAGCATTAACGAAGCTTTGATCAGTCCACTGAGGTGTGCGAGCAAATGCAGGCGGAGCGGCTGCTGCTGCGGGCGGCGCTGGAGGATCCGCTGAACCAGCGGTTTGTGTTCCTGAGCGAGGCGTGCGCACCCCTGGTGCCGGCCTCGGTGATGTATGCGCAGCTCATGAGTGAGCCCAAGTCGCGCATCAACGCCTGCACCTCCTCCGACTCGGACGCCGACACCGACCGGTGCGGCCTCATTTCCACTGTGTTTACAATGTTTTGTTCTCTGACAGAGGCTGGAGAAAGATGCCCGCACCTCCGGGGTCTTTCCATACCTCAATCTGCCTGAAGCCCTTCTAGTGTGACATGGACCCAGCCCAACACCTTCAGGCCGTTGACATGTACATGTTTTTACCACACCATTGCTTTTGTCACCTCTGATAGCAGCCGGGCACCCACCCCAAGGAGGGAGGCCACGAGTTTCCTGCACGTTATAGCTCTGCAGCAGCACGGCTGACGCTGCAGCTGGTGTGGTGTGGTCAGGTGGGAGCCGGAGATGCAGCAGGGGGAGCTGAGCCTGAAGCACTGGAGGAAGAGTGCGCAGTGGGCCTCACTCACGCGGAAGCATGCGCAGATCGTGTCGGACGATGTGGCGGTCGCGGACGTGTTTGCCAAGCACTGCCGCGTTGGCACCGACAAGAAGACCGGCCACGTCTACAAGTGCATTGCAGACGAGGTGAGCTCCTGGCTGAGTCAACCAAGAGTTATTGCTGGGTACATTGTATTCTGCTGCATGGGACTTGTCGCGTGGGACCGGATGGGACCTCTTGACTGACTGCCCCACCTGCAACACATTTGTTTCCCAAGGCTGCTGCCATGCATACGAGCGTGCTCTCTGCTCAGTGAGGCTGAGATATCTTTGGCGGGGCCCATCTTACAGTACATGTGCATGATAAGATGATGCAAGTGAAGCTATAATGTCCTGAGTTCAACATCCAGAAGCATAATCTTGGACTGGGACTGACGAGGGGATTGTGTTGATGCACGCAGCACTACATTCCGACGCTGCTGGCGCTGAAGGGGGTTGAGGCGGAGACGGACTGCTCGGGGTCGATGACGTATGTGCACTGGTGGGGCGAGGGCGACTCCATGAAGCCCGAGACCTTCGTGCGCAGCGAGGTCAGCGGCGACCTCATTGAGCAGATGCGGTGAGTCACCCCCTCAGTGAATACTGAAAGCCCTCTTGCATTCCGCGCCTGCCAGCCATACCGTATGCAAGTGCTCTTAAAAATGCCTCGCATCTGCTCTCCTCTCAGGAGTGACAAAGCAGCAGTCAGGGGATGAATTGGCCAGGTCACCTTTGACCCAGTGGGCCTTGGTGGTCTTTTTCAAGAGGGACTTGCTGCTGACACAGATGCATGCATGGGAGTGTCTTGGTGCCTTTGATATGGAAGCGCCACAATGTAAGGCTGGTGCTGAACCGCCAACGCTTCGCGCAGGATGTCGGACTTTGGGTGCGAGAACGCGGCGGCGATAGCGTCGGCGCCCAACATTCTGGCGACCATGGACGACCTGGCCACCAAGCGCTGCGATTGGCAGCCCGAGGCCGGCTACCCCTCCGGCCTGCTCGGCCCCTCCTGCCACCTGTTCGCGCGCAAGTGGGACAAGTGGACCAGCGAAGCCATGATGGACCTCCTGGAGCTCGAAGAGAGCCTCTCCATGCTGGACAGCCGGTCAGGGGCGTGCCTGCGCCCCCAGCCGCCACTGCTCTCAGACTTGTGAGGGGGGGTCTTGCACTCTGAAGAGTGCGTGCAGCTTTCAGCCATGTGAGACGCCTGAAACATGTGCTGCTCTGGGGCGTGAGGGCGTGCCCGCACCTGGAAAGCAAGGCAGCTTTCAGACCTGTGAGGCTCCTGCACGCACTGTGCAATAGTCTGCAGCTAGCGTTGGAGGGGGCTTGTTTGAGGGGGCTTGTTTCTGGTCCATCTGGGGTTGCTTTCAAGACATGACAACCGCGCAGCGTTCAGGCCTGTGAGCACACGCGAACAAAGTAGTCCTGGAGAGCAGTGCGCAGCCTTAAAAGGCTTTGTTTCTGGTCTGTTGGGGAATGGAGCGCGGCCGCTGCACATGCAGATTGGGCCCTTCCCTTCTGGTGGGACGCTGTGTTGCTCTGGCAGGGGCAACCTCGGCAAAGTCTCTTCAGAGGGACACATTGGTTTGTGCCATGTTGCCAGCTGCGCTCGTGCTTATATGCTGTTTCATGGGACTGGGCCAGAAATTACAGATTGACGCGAACAAAGGGGATTACAACGCCTGTGACTGGGGACTTCAGAGACAGTTCAGCATGGGATTTTGTGCAACTAAATTGACAGAACAATCCATGAACAGAATGAAACGTTTAGCTCAGAATAGCAAGAAGCAAGTGTGGTATTTGGCTGCACTTGTCCCAGAAAATTGATATCAGAATGGGATTTTATCTAGAGCTGCAGCTAGATATGCTGTGCTGTTTTTCCCCCATTATTGTATCCTTGGCAAGATTGAAGCAAGTAGAAACAGAGTATAGGAAACGGTTATGGGTTTTGCTACATTTCGGCATACAGCATCACTCGGAGTCTTTCCCTTTCAACATGGTATTGCCCCACCAACGCTCTGTAGTAGTTTCACCTTGAATATAGTTGAAGGCCATGGCCAGCTTGGGCAGATTTCGTTTGCTCGTTTTGCAATGAGGTTGGCTTGAACAGATTGAGGCATAGTCGTGAATGTATAGTAGCTCATGGAAGCATGCATGCTTCAGGTTGCAATTGTCAGTTGCTGTGGGTTGCTTGGAAAATGGGGGACGAATGTTATGAACTTACATGATCACGCAACAGTATTGTTGGTAAACATATATATGATGTTGACATCAGTATCATGGCCATGCTCCTCAATGAGAAGTGCGACGCAGCATAGTTAGGTAGAATTCCCTCGTGTACTAGCATGAACTCAAGAGGATGTTCAGGATGCCTATTACTCTCCTAATGTTGTCTGCTTAATCTTTAACACAGCCCTTTTCTGTCTACTCCAGCGCTTGCACTGCCTTGCATCTGTGCATTCTCGCCTCTGTGAATTAGTGAAGCAAGCACCATGTACTATAGTCAGCAAAGCAATGTTCCGTGAAAGTTTTTGCGACGTTAAGTTCTTACAGCGCTGCTCTTACTTTGACAAAGTCACACACACACAACTGTAGAGAATGAAAATATTGGTCACTAATTGTACACCTTGGACATTGGCTTCACACCAACTCCAAAACTGGGAATGGCACCCAGTTCAAAACGGATGTGCTCTACAGCGGTTTGCTCTCTCTGCAGAGATGCAAGTTCAAACCAGCGTCAAACACCGTTATAAACCACAGTCATGTACATGTACACATAGAGCACAAGGGTGCATCACACATGGCTCATCTGGCAACAGCGCAGCAGCACAGCCACTCGAGGCTCTTCAAGTTCTTAATGAATCCCCAGTCTGTGCTGAGCCTTGGGTTAGGTGCAGGCCCAGGTACTCGCATGCATACGTGCCTAAGGGCGAGTGCACAAGCCCTTAAGCAGCATGCGGATTCAGACGACTGTCCGGGACGGGCATCGACGGCCCGCCGCCGTCCCGGGGCACGTCAATGGCGAGGCCGGCGCTAGCGCTGCGCAGGGCGCTCACAGGGCTGTGCAACGCAGCATCCGGCGGCAGCGGCCCGTGGCCAGAGCGGCCGCGCGACGGCGGCGTCGCCGGGCCCTCCGGCAGGCCGCCGCTGGTCTCGCGCGGCGTTCCGGCATCCTCGCCCCCGCTGCTGCTGCCGGCTTCCTCGGCAGCTGCCGCAGCCGGCAGCGCGGGAGCCGCCGCCGGCGTCAGCTTGTAGCCGGCGGAGGTTGAGGGTGGGGACTCTGCCTGGGGGTCGTGCGTGGGGGAATCGTTTGGCTGCTGTGCAGGAGTGGTGGGCATGCAGGGGCAGCCCAGGCGCAGCGCGGTCTCCCGGATGAAATCCAGGCCCAGGTCTGGCTGGTGCGCCACCATCTGCCTGAAACTCTCCGTCTCCTGTGGTCACAGCACTCTATCTCTACCTTTCTGCCATGCGCCTTGATAGCTGGTCTTGCCACTGCGATGTCAATGCGGTCTCAGTGTCTCACAGAACGAGCGCTACACCACAAATGCAGCTTTCTGAATGCCTCACCAGAACGTCTGGCAGGCACTGCGCTGTGACGTCCACGCAGACTGCGCGCAGCTCGCCGCTGTGCCTCTCCGCAGCAACCTGCAGAGATGACAAAGGACAAAATTCAAATTAGGCACCCATCAGAGAAAAAGGTTCCCAGGCAGACAATAGTGCAAACAACATATGCAAACATGTACAAATGTTGCCTGATATAGATGGTAGTCGTAAGACTTTGATCTGCAGCACACACCTGCAGGAGCGGTGCCACCTCATCAGCGCCTGTCAGCTCGCGGAAGCTGGCCACGCACTCTTGCACCAAGCCCAGCACATCATACTTGTCCGCCGCCTTGAACAGGTCAATCACCTGCGGCCACGATCTCCCCCATTTGCCTCCCACTCTCCAACAAGCACAAAACAGTGTCACACTGACAACACAGCCTCGCAGCTAGCAAGCCCAAGGCAAAGCCAGGTTGGCAATGTCAAGCAATTCGCAGAGAGCAGCGGTGATCACCTCTGTATGGTCGGTGGGCATCTTGTGGAGGCAGCCGTAGCAGTACTGCAGCAGCAACTCCACTGTCTCTGGAGACAGGTCCGTGATAGTCACCTCGGCCGTCTCCATCTGTAGAAAACCACAAGCCACTCAGTGCTGATCTGCAGCTCAGCAAGCGCTAATCTGCTTAAAGCCCTGCCGATCCTCCCTCCACAGAACGTTTGTGAACATGCAAAAGTTTAATAGCTGGTTGCCTCTGGGAACAATGCACACTGAGAACTGATGAGCGTGCTAATCAGGTCATGTCCTTTTCGGTGTGTAATAGGCAAGGTGGGCTCCACCCATGCAAATACGAAAAGATAGCTTGTGGAAATTCAGAGGTCAAAAGTTCAACAAACAGGGTGTTACCTCGGACATGGAATTACTCCACATGCGCTCAAAGACGCGCGATTGCGGCGCCAGCACATGGCGATGAGCCGGCATGCGGCGGCCGCGCACGATCAGGCACACATCCGCCAGGTGCTCCGACCCGCAGAGGCCTCTCACACTGCCCAGCAGCGCCGCCTTGCCTGCAATATCACACCCCCGCCTCATTCCTCAGATTTCCCCAGGAAGCACTGCATTTAATTATAAGCCAATGGGCCAGTAAAAGCACAGAAAATGTCACACGGGGCACAATCCAAGGCTGCACACCTCTCTTATTTCTTCAGTTACATGCACAAGGATACTGCAGCCGCACATCCGTACTGCATCGGTGTTTGCATACGTGAATATACGTGCAGCCTTACACATCTTGTCCAGTCGTATATAATCCGGCCCCGGCTGGCAGGGCCCGGGATAGATACTGAGCACCGTCCCCGCAATTGATAGGGTCTTGCTTGGGTCTGGCGAGTCCATCAAGGGGACGGATACGTGGCAGCCTTTACAAGCAGCTTGTCTGCAGACGCACCTTGTCTCTGGCAGGAAAAGCGTGTAATAACAATAGAGAGAAGGCTCGCACCGGTGGGGGCGTGGGCCTGCGGAGGCGCGCGGTACCACAGGATTTCGACGGCGGAGGCCATGGTGTCGCAGGAGAGCGGGATGGGCTCAAAGTCGGGAATGTCCGCGCGGCCGCCCACGACCACCATGCAGTCCTGCAGCCCCAGCGCCGCCTGCCACTCGCGCGCCGCCGCCACGTCACCCTCCGCCATCAGCACCGACCACCTGCGCTTGGGAAAAAGCCTAACGCAACCAGATTGTGTGATGCTCGCCTTTGCTTGCTTTGGTGGGAGGGACCATCCTAACTGCAGCATGTCATGCAAGGCCATGGAGCTGAGTAGGGACTGCATTTATATTCTGATAACTGGAATAGTCAAGGTTCAGTCCCTCATCAGCTCAAAGCAGCCCAGCTCAACATGCTGCTTGGCAGCATACCACCAGCTTGCTACCCCAATATGCACAGGGGTGCAGATTCTGCATTGATCTATCATCCCATGAAAAGGCATGACCGGCTAGATTTCATTTGGCTAGGGCGCAGTGGAATCGACAAGTCTGGATAGGGCATTCTCCAGGAGTGCACAGGTAGCAGCGCACCTGTTTGTGGTGAAGTTGTAGACGAAGGTCTGGTTGGTGACATTGAACTTGCCGGGCCGGCGGCCGCCGTGTATGATCCATTTGTCGCCCACAACCGCCGCGCTGGAGTGTATCCGAAACGGCGGAGGGGACCCTGTTGCACCCACCCTCCGCCACCTCAGCGTCGCCAAATCAAGCTCCCTTACCTGTATCATGGAACAGGCACATGTGGACACATTAGTACATTGGAGAGAAATAATTCTTTTCAGCCGCAGTTGACTGCAGGAGTGCATGACGATGCCCACAGAATGTTACCCCCAACATGCCTGAGGCCGGCATCACAGCGCGAAGCTTTGCTGGCCTTCAAGAAGGCTACACGGGGGAGGTTTGCTTTTGTTCCCTAGGATGGCTTGCGCAATTGTGCCTGCCAGGGCAACTTGCGCCGGCCATGAAAGAGGGAACGATGGGTATCAATTAAGCTTTGCACGATATCTCATGAGGCCCTTCCTGATGACAATGAGGACCAGAGGAGGAGTGATCGTGCTCATGAGTCCTGTGCGGAACTCCATCTGGGAACCAGGGGCTAGTAAAGGAGGAACCTCTTTATTTTTCATTCTAGGAAGCGCCTCTTTATGAGACCCCTTGCTAGGAGTGCATGGATAATGTGCGCAGCGCCCCTATGGCATCTACTTTAAGCCCTTTGCGGGGAGCAGAAACGGCTTCTGAGCAGGGTCAGAGTAGGCACCTCGAGGGTGCCGATCTCGCCGCGGGGGCTGCCGACAGCGAAGATGGAGCGGCCGCGCTTGGCGGCGTGCCCAAAGGACCACGACGGCAGCACGTCCTTGCATGCGCGCGACGACCATGTGCGGCTCTCAAAGTCGAAGAAGAACGCCTTGTCCATTGTCGGGCCCCCTGCGCAACAAATACAAACGCCCCGTTAGTCTCAAAATAATATCCTTCCGCAAGACGAAGTGGCGTGTGCAAGCTGCCGGTGCTGGCAAGCATTTTAACGGATAGGGACAAAGCTCTTATCTGGACACCACCGTTAAGGTGTTAAGAAGGTTGATGTACCCCTTGCGAACAATGCAGCATGGACACAAGCTACCATACACTGTACAAAATTTTTCCTAACGACACTTCAGGAAGTCCAGGATGGCATTGCAAACTCTTGCGCAGAGCGCAATCCTGGCACAGCGCAAAAAAATAGATTTATTCACAAGGGGGCTGGGCCGTACCGACAACAACGAGTCTGCGGCCGTCCAGCATTGCATTGAGGTTGCGGCGGCAGTGTGTGTCGCTCGGGGGATCTCCAACCACCGTCCGCTCTGCCCACCTGCAATGCCACAGCCGCCTTTGACGCATGCCTTCCCAGCACAAACTCTACAATCAGGCGAGATGTGAGAAGCCCTAAACCTGTGTCGATTGCTGCTTCTTGCAGGCGTCGAGTCTTGGGGATTTGCTTGCCATCAGAATAAGTCATGCAATTGAGAGGGTTGGGTAAAGGGTGACAAGCCAGCTCTACCATCCAAAGTGGTATGCAGTCAGCTTGAGCGACATGGCAGTACGGGGAGATCTTGGGGCAGGTGGTGGAGCAAATGCTGACCATTGTCGATACATCGCAATACAATAAGTGTATACTCAGCATTAACACCATGGGCCCCATCAAGGCAAGATTCTGGCAAGCAAAGGATGAGAAAGCTGCAGGATGTCTCACCTGTATCGCAGCATGTCCAGGCAGTAGACACGGCGCATGTTGTGGTTGCGCGGCCCCGGGAACACCCACAGCTCGTTGCCATGCACCGCCGCGTAGTGCCCCGCCGTCAACTTCGCAGGCACCACCCCCCTGCGCCATGCAGCCGTTCAGTGTCACAATTCAGCGCCCTGGAGCATGCAGCATGACAAAGAATCCACGCCGTGATGAGGTGGCAGCAGGTGGGAGCCATGCGAGTTGGAAGAAGGTTCCATCGTTTTGCGGGGCGTGGAGTGGTACAGCTGAAAGCCGTGATGTCACCGACAGGCACTGTGGCATGTAAGAGCTTTCTGTATTGAATCTGTACAGCTACTGCATGCGTGGAATTCCTGGAGGTTTGTCTGCAATTGATGGGAAGCGCAAGGAGTCAAAAAGCGCTTCACACCTGTAGCTGACTGGCTCAAAGCCCTCGTCCTTGGACAGGTCCCATTTCCACATTGACATGTGCTCGCTGCGTTCATCGTCCATGCCCCCAAACACGTAGACGCTGTTGTGGTGTGTGAACATGCTGCACCCTGCCCCGATGATCTCTGCATTGCAGCAGCAGCGACAATTGCATCACTTCACAACACGGAAAAGCGCCTTGATTTTCGCACACTTGAAGAACAGATGCATGCATCAATGTGTAATCACTCAGCGGTCAGGCACAGTCCTATCAGAACCCAAAGACAGGATCTGCAGCAGCCTCGGAGGATCTGCACCTGCATGGCAGGCAGGAACCTCTCCCTGTTCCCACTCGAACTCGCAGATCTCCTCGCACAGGGCCCCTTGAAGTCTTTCGGTCAGCGACTGCTTGTCGCCGATGGAAGGGAGACCTCTGTTTTCCAGGAGGAGCTGAATGTCCTCCATTTTCAGATGTTCCAGCACAGAACTGATCATCGAACTTCCGTTGCCTGCCATCGGGCTCGAATTTCCAGGGAAATGCTATGGGATCCTTGAGATCGCTCTGTTGGGTTCCCTCCTTAGGTACTCAAAAGAGCTGATACTCTTCAGGAGCATCGTTACCATGTATGTATATGTCAGATACTCTTTTCCAATTTATGCACAGCAAGAGGCTGAGTGTCGTGATTAGATGTCCAGATCTGTTGAATGCCAAAGGCTGTTTAGAAGTACTTCCGCTGGCTTTCGGACTTGTTTAGGTCCGCATCCAAGCTGCAACGTACTATATATCACATCCAAGGCTTAGTGGGGAAGGTGCAAACACGATCCCGATCTCCTTTATCGAGGCACCCAAGCCTTGAAGGCCTCCGGGAGGGGCGCCTGATCAGGCAAGCTAGCTCGCAAGCTGGCTAGGACATGTGCCTGCTGATGGACATGCCTGTAGGCAAGGTGCTTGGACTGACCCTCACGATAGCACGCAGCAGCAGTACTGGTCATTGCAAGAGTACACCAACTGACTGCCCAGTGGCAGCATTGCACGCAAAATGCATCGCCATAGTGTCAGGCAGCAGCGCTAGCACCGAATTTCCAATAGTAAATTACACTGTAGGCAAGCATTGGTTGAGGCCTGAACGAAGGATATAGGAACACCTGCAAGTGATCCTTAGCTGCTGCTCTTCAGGACCCCCCAGCGTGCACAGCACACCCACCAGGAAATTCATTAGCATCACTGCCAGAGCTAGGGCCGTGTCAACAGGCCATTACTTCTGGGGGCGGGACACAATAACTTATGCTTGAAGTTCAAAACATATGCTGCATTCCCAACTGACTTTCAATTGCAAGAGTATACGCATAAACTACATCAGATACAAATCAATTGTCAGCAATGGTTGACAAGATGCCCAATGCTGCTCCAGTCTTCAACGCATCACCAGGCTCCAGTCATTCCTGCTGCATGCGACCTCTTCCAAACCCACGTTTAAACTCTGTCATTGAAAGGATAGACGGCTCGGATCAGCTCAGTTCAGAGGCAGTGCACCATCCCAAAACAAGTCCCTGTGATCACAGGGACAGCGCAGCCTTTTGTTGCAAACTACCTTTCGATGCTGACTTGTATCTTGCCCACAGCACAGCCTGGCAAAGCGGAAAGTGATCGGCAGAGCGACAGCACGGAAGGCACAGTAGCAACCCATGTAGGGGGCACCCAGGTGCTGCCTCTGCACATCAGCCATCGATCATCTCAGCACCTGCAGACTCAAAGCCTTTACTGCCAGTCCCTTGTGCTCACATCGAAATGTGTGCTTGCCCGGACCCTGGCACCAGCAGCAAAAGTTGCCTACAGCCAAGTCCAGCTCACCAGCTGTCAGCAAATTGCAAGCAAAAATGGAAGCATGGGATGAAGCAGAAGGTGTCTCGCCGCACACATCTGATTACTAATATAAGAGAGAGAGAGAGCCACTTCTTTCGACCAGTCCTGAATGCAGTTTTAAGATGTAAAAAGGACCATTGTCTCGGTCACTAGTGCCGCAAGAAGAGTAGCTGGGACTAAAAGCCACCAAGCCCCACAATTGCCCCTGACCTTCGCGTCGCAACGCAGCTGCAGCAAGCATACCACAGTTCAATTCCACGCTCTGTGCTGCCTCCCCAATCAAGCCATCTATGGGGATCCCTCGAAAGCTTGCCCGGCAGCATCCGGTGTCAAGAGGGGATGCCGCACGCAGCAATGTGCAGCCTCAGCACCGCTTAGATTCGGGCGGCGAGGAGAGGGATTTTGAGATATTGGTGGCGCGGTGGTGTTTGTACTGCTGCTTCAGGGCTGCGAGGACCTCAGGAACTTCCGGTCGCTGCTTGGGATCGGTGTTCCAGCAGCGCTGCATGAGCTTCAAGTAGGGTGCAGGAACGCCCTTCTCAGGGATGGGCGGCCGCTGCTGCTCCTGCACCACTGCGAAGAAGATCTGCCCCACTGTCATGCGGTCGAAGGGCACCTGCGCAGGCAGCACAAAGGCACACAAATTAATACCCGGGCATGTCTGCAGATATGAATGGGTGGCACCTGCGCAGCGCCCAAGGAGGATGCATCTGCGCAAGCGCAACAAACCCCCATGTTGAGGCATGGCTGTCTGAAAAGCTGCGATCTGAGCGACTTATGGCGACTTGATCCATAAGCGAACATTCAATGACAAGCCGCCACTGAAGGAGGAATGCCCAGCTTGCAACCACCGATCTGTGAAATCCAAAACTCAATCCGAAGCACCTGTTTGTCAATTCCTAACCAGGTCTTTGAGACGGGGGAATCGTGCGCACCTCCCCAGATATGAGCTCCCACATGAGCATGCCGAAGGAGTAGATGTCGGCGGAGCGCGTGAGGCGGCTGTCGCTGAGCAGCTCTGGCGGCATGTAGGCCACGGTGCCGTATGTCTGCGTGGATATGTGCGTGTGCTTCTCGTGGTCCAGCACGCGCGACAGCCCAAAGTCCGCCAACTGCACAAAAGGCATAATTGCACACCTTTGGAAACAGAACAGACGATGCCGACGCCTGTCGACAGAGAAAAGAGACCAGTCCTAGCTTGAGGCAGAGTTGCAAACGTTTGATACATTGAACACAGAACAGACAAAGGGGGCAATACTTGATAGATGGTGGAGACTCATCTTGGCTTGAGGATATCGAGCCGGCGCCGAGCTGTGCGGCATGCATACTGTTAAGGTGGACATGAGAAGGGCCATATTTAGAAGGCCCAAGGATGACTGCGCAGAGTTCATGTACGCACCTTGCACACAAAGCCGCGGGCATCCGTGCCGGTCGACTTCAGCAGCACATTCGCAGACTTCAGATCGCCGTGTATGAGGCCAGAGTCATGCAAGTACTCCACACCTGCACACAACCACACATCGATCAGATGTCCTGCTGCATATTTGATAGCGGATTTTATTTAAGGATTTCCCTTAATAGAAAGCTGTTTCAGCCACTAGTGGGGCGCACCAGAGGCGATATCCAGCAGACATCTGTAGATGGCCGTGAAATCATGCGTCGGAAAGCGGCCGCCCCTCAGCGCATCTGACAGGCTGCCCCTGTCCGCCAGCTCCATCAGGATCCACGTCTCCAGCAGCGATCCCGCTTCCCTGCGCACCAGTGTTTCACACTGTGCAAGATATTAAATTTGGATCGCACACGTCTAGACGTGTGCGTTTGCTTTGGGCAGGAGTGGCAACAGACACAAAAGTGGGCTTCACGCTCTTTATTAGAAAATTTTCCACGAAACATACAACCAAATTTGTGCTATGTCGCAAACACGAACCAGCCAACATCAATCGCTCCCTTACCGTGCGCTGTTGCATGAGCTGGCCACGGAGCTTGGCTCCACCTTGACACCAGTGGAGAGCCGCCGCCGCAACTCCTCCGCACTTCCCTGAGCGTCAGTCGAAAAGATTTTACTACTCTTCAGGAAGAAACGCTCACTCTTTGGGAACAATACTTTCCAAGCCTGCGGGATGGTTTTTAAATAGGTTTTTGGGGTGCGGGAGTTGCCTGCAGAAACTTAATATAAGTAAGTTGCAGCCCAACAAGCCCATTTTGCTAGTAAAGTGGGCCAAATTTGGGGTTGCAGGAACACAAGATAAGAGCTTTTTGAGCGTACAGGAGAGCCCTGCAGAACATCTTTATAATAAATGGGTATTGAAGAAGTGGGGGTTTCAGGTTGACAAGTATAAAATTGATGTCGACCGCTTGCTTCACTGGCTGGCTGTGGCATGCCAAGCCGGCTCGAGCCTTCATGGCACTCCATGGGCCCTTCTTGCCCGTGCGATTGAACACCAAATTGGCTGCAGACTCTGACATGGTCCAACAAATCTGCCGTGTGCAGGTATCAAGAAAGGCAGTGGAGCACAGGCACCCACCTCATGGGAATCCAGCGAGCCAGAGTCAGGCACATTGCCGACGCGGATGGTGCAGATTTTGTAGGTGGCTATGATGTTGGGGTGGGAGATGGATGTGCTCAGCAGCATCTCACGCGCGATCTTTGCATCGCTGCTGGTGGGATCTGACTGGGGCGACCTGTCCGGGTGGTCCTTTGGGAAGTGTGAGTGCTCCACAATCTTCACCGCCACCATTGCACTCTTCCATCGCCCTGCACATGCCAAACACATTTTTCTCTTCAAAATATCTAGCACCATCACTCTTTTGCTTCATGCAGTCCCCTACGTACTTGCATGATGGCATACTCATCGTCCTTAAGAGCAGCCGAGCAAGGAGGCAATCAGCAGTAAAATGTAGAGGAGGGCGGGTTGTGAGGCAGGGAAGGAGAGCACACCTTTGTAGACCTTGCCATAGCCGCCGCGCCCCAGCAGAGGGCCGATCTCCACCTGCTCCCCCTGCAGCGGCCCCAGCCACCGCTTCCGCCAATGCTCCGGCAACGACACCCCATCCATCACCTTCCCATCCAAACTACTCCTCGACTCCAACGAAGCAATCTTGGCACCCTGCATGCATCCTCACCTTTAGTCATGCCAACTCTGCTCCCAACAGCAGTGCGAGTAAGTGAAGCTGTGAAGGTCACTTCGGCATGGGCGTTACGAGGGAATTCCTGAGGTAAATCAAGGATGACAGTGGACACTTGAGTGCATGCTTTAGTATGCTGAGTCCGCTCGATATACCTGCATGGCCGCCAATTCCAAGGGCGCATTCTTCTCTTCCTCCTCCTTCTGCCGCCTCCTCCGGCGCAGCACCAGCATCAAGACCCCCAGACCCACCAGCAACCCCAGGGCCAAGGCCCCCAGTCCCACCACCAGCCACACCCACCACAGCCGCCGTCTCCCAGAGTTCCCTCCTGAGGCCGCAGCGCTTGCGGTCGCAGTGGCCGGCCTCGGCGCCGCCCTTGTCGGGCTCGGCAGCATCTCAAAGGCCCTGCTGCTGGGGTCCTGCACGCAGATGGCCCTGCAGTCCATGTACTGCAGCGACACGCTCCCAACTGCACACACCAGCCGGCAACAAGTCAAACAGTGCTGCTCGCAGCACCCTCATCCTCATGCGCGCCAGCAGCACTGTGTCACAGCCATCCATGGGGCAATCGTGGCTGGACAGTACAGCGGTGCAGCTCTGGCTTTCATGGACTTTTAACCTCCAGAGCTCGCTCGCGCCTTGCAGGAGGGTATCGGTGCCGCTCACCCTGGGCGCCCTGGGCGTTGTTGACTGGCAGATCGATCCCGTGCACCCCGCCGTCAAGTACGGCAATGACATTGCTCTGCAGGGTCCCCCCGTTGTCCAGGTAAAGGTTTATGGGGGACGCCCGTGGGTCGCGGGCCCAGGTGCTGCAGTCATCGTCCAGGAAGAAGGTGGTCACGTTTGTAAACTTCATCTGCAATGCACAATATGATCGTCAACTTCCTGTGCACCAGTCACTTCATCACAAGAATGCATAGGACGCTCTAAGACATTTGCTGGTGCACAAGAGCGCCGCAAATGCGCCGAATACAGCGTGACGTCAAGCAGACAGGGTCACGGTGTGGGTCCGACGGAATGCCAAGCACCTGCGCTCCCGGTTCAGCAACGATGCTGGGCCATGCTCCAAAGTTGGGTATAATGTAGTTCAGAGGCACATCCCTGTTGAGGATGTGCCTGCTGGCAAAGCCACGCATGATCATGCCGTCGATTTCCAGGAAGGAGCCCTGCTTCTGTGCAATGACGGCTGTCATTCCAGCAAAGTCCAGGGTGAGCTGCGGACCTGCGAGCACATCATCAAACTATTGTCAAGGGACGACACACCGAAATTAAGAAGTATAAAGATGAGAACAATGCTTGACATCCATGTATGTGTAATTGTCTCCAAGGCGTTGTCCCCGGTGCAAGCCAACCCGGGGCAGCTCCTCACCTGGCGCTGTGAGGCGCACACGCTGGCCAGGCCATATGTACACTGGCCCAAGCACAGCCCAATCCTTCCTGTCCAGTGTAAAATAATCTGAAGACTGTGTGACATTTGTTGCCCCCTGCAGCAGCCAAAGGTTCATTTTGATCAGCTCGATCAACAAGCTAAAGCACGAAGGAATGAAGAGTAGGTGGGGTTCACAAATTACAAATCGAATGGCTTTCATTGATTTGATCAGTGGACATCAATCGCAGCAACTTGGTGAGGTCTAGGTAAGGGTAGGCACCCAGTCGTGGAGCTGCAACAGCACAGTGGTGGAGGTTGTCTGGTTCTGAGAGTACAGCGAAGCGTTTCGAAGTGCGGCTGCTAATTCAAAACTGTCCCGAACCCGCACAAAGTCCTCTGGCTGACACCAGGCAGACAGCAAAAAGATACAAAGTATCAAGGGAACCAAAGTGGTACTACAGCCCCCGCCCATCTTCGGAGCCAGGACCCGGCCCGTGGCCAGCGATGTTCAGCGGCATTCAGGTTCCCCTGTCGAGCTCACCGCTGTACCCCTGACTCGCTGCCTAGCATCTGCCACCATACAAGTCGCTTTCAAGAGCGCGGAAAAGGGTGTATACCGAGAGCTTCTTCACCAGTACACGTCAAAGACTTCAATGTCTAAGATCGCTTCAATTCTGGCCTCTCATATTCCAAAGAAGTGCCTGATCTCAGCATGCGTCTTCGATGATCTAAGCCTCCCCAGCCGTGCGTCGACGTCAGCGTGGCACGTGGAAAGATACGGAGATGCTGCTGTCCACATGGATTTATGGATTTTTGCGGCGGGAATCTGCCTGTGTGCACAGCGCTCAGCAGCTTTATGGCGATGTGAATGCCACCATCACTGCTCACCATCATTGCGATCTTTACCATTGTTGTTAGTGCATAAAAGCAAGCTTGAGCACTTCAATTCCAGAGCTTCCGGATCCAAAGAGACATGAGAAATCTGAGATGGCACCCAGATCATCTATATAATACAGTAATGTGGAGACAACAAGGCAAGCAATTGCACACCAATCATGATCATAGTGATCACCCATCTGCCGGCCACTAGTGTACAATATTCTTGGGCATCATTCTTGACCATCATGATGTCAATATATGATGCACGTGTCAACATTCAATGGCCAATTGGCAGCTGAATCCAGCTCTTCACCAATCTCCGGAGCTCGATCTTGAGGACGTCCCTTGATCCACATCAAGCATATTCCTTGAAAAGCTCCCGGCCTATGAGCATCCTCCTGATCTCCGATCTGCATGCATGCACACTTGCAGTGAGCCAATCACAGGTCTGCAAACAGCCGTGCACTGGCCAGAAGACTCTGTACAAAGCTCCCGAAAAGAATTCAGATCCCTGGTGGCACAAGAATATAGCATCGGTGTGAGGACGCAATGCAGAACATCTGGTAATGCTAGGCAGATCATCCGTGAATGATTCGACTGCATCAGAGAGGGTTGCAGTTTACTCACGTTCCCGCCCCAATCTCATACAGCTTTGCATCGCGCAGCAGCCTCCCTGTGGGGTACTCATTGATGTACCCATTGCCTCCCAGTATCTGCTGACACCAACGCACGTTCAAGATGACAAGATTCATATCAATGAGATTTTTAGCTGGAATTGCTGCCTCACACCTGGCAACCTTTGACCACCATGACGATCAAGTGGACAACTCATCCCAAGTGATCTGTGACTTGTTTGACAGACTGCATTGCTTGACCGATGGCACAACTTCCTATCTTCTTCCTTGTGTCACTCGACTGCACGCACCTGAATAGCATCCAAAGCCATGCGTGTGGCAGTCTCTGCAGCATACAAGATGACGGCCGCGCAGTCCTTCCGATTGGCTCGCCCGGCATCCGCATCAGCCGCAGTGCGATACACAAATGCGCGAGTGGCCGCTGTTGCTGTGTACATGTCCGCAATCTTGCCTTGAATGAGCTGCGCGCCAGAAACAGCAGCGCTTCAGCTCTCTGATGTAGTACTTACCATTCATCTGCATGCAACTTGGTGGTGCAGACAAACCCGCCCAATTGGAGCTGACCTGAAAATGAATGATCGTATGCATGAGTTCTAGCTGAGATTCTCCTCGCTGAGCCTGGATGTCTGCATCCCTCTTCTCTTTATTGACACTGCCAATGCAACTGTACATGTCAAATTGCATAAGGAGAAGTGGCACCTGGAATTCGCCAATCTTCTGCCCAAATTGCTTGCGCTCGTGGATGTAGGGTAGTACTGTGTCCAGCGCAGCCTGCATCAGCCCCAGCGGCCCGGCAGACAGCACCAGCCGCTCATAGTCCAGCCCGGACATCAGCACATAGACACCCTGATCCACCTGCGGCCCACATGCACTGTCAAAGCCATCATGCAAGAGCCTCCTTCAAGTACCACATGCACTATCCACAAGCGCTCATCCACATGCGCATGTGGGCTGTAGTCTTCCCAATGCGTGCCACATGCTGAGCGCGCACTGATATTGCAACAAGACTTTGAGTGCAAAGGAAGAGGGTTTCGCACCTGTCCGAGCACATTCTCCTCTGGTACCTCGCAGTTTTCAAAGACTAGTTCGCATGTGTCACTCCCCCGCATGCCGAGCTTGTCCAGCTTCTGTGCTGTCTTGAAGCCCTGCAGTGCGCCACCACATGTTCTTTCCAGGGAAGACCAAGCAAGCCACGTTTGCCACTGGGATCTGGCGGTGAAACAATGAACCGTTGTCCTGGCACTGCTGGCTGGACAAACCTTCATGCCCTTCTCAATGAGGAAGGCAGTGATGCCGTGTGGCCCCTTGTCAGGAGCAGATTTTGCATACACCACAAGCGTGTTGGCGACGGTGCCATTGGTGCACCACATCTTGGTGCCATTCAGCACAAAGCCACCCTCCACCTTGTCTGCCCGCATGCGCATGCTCACCACATCCGACCCCGCGCCTGGCTCACTCATTGCTAGGGCACCCACATGTTCCCCTGTGGACCAGATCAGAATTCAAGAAACAATAAGGGATGTCTGACACATGATAAGGCAGTGGGTAGATAGAATGGTAACTGTGAAAGCGTGGAATTCTAGGGGCTTGCCTGTCAAGAGCTTAGGGATATACTTCTGTTTCTGCTGCTCTGTTGCGTTCCGGATGATCTGGTTGATGCACAGGTTGCTGTGTGCTCCATAGCTCAAAGCTACAGAGCCTGATGCCCGGCTTAACTCCTCCATCGCTATACAGTGCTGTTGATACCCCAGGCCCAGGCCCCCAAAGTCGGTCGGAACAGTAATGCCTGCGGGTTAGAGCCATATACATAGGATTCCAGAGTTCTACTAAATAAGTGAGACACTTTTCAGAACCTGATGAAAGACCAGGATGCTGCAGAAACATTGAGAAAGCTGTGCAGATGAAACATACCGTGAAGACCCATCTGTCCGAGTTCTGTCCATAAATTGACGCTTTGCGGAAATGCATTGGTTGTGTCGATGTCTGCAGCGTGAGGAGCCACAACACGTTGAGCAAATTCTCGTACAAGCTCTCTGAATTCCAGGGCATCGCTGTCATCGTGCTCTGCAGTATGTTGGCCTCGGTATAATTGTGGAACCACATTTCGTATGTGGAGGGACTGCTGACGTTTAAGGACTGCGTCTGTGAGCCTCCTCAGCAACATGCCGTGTCCAGTAATTTTACCAAGGACTGCGCTGCAAGGCCTCAATTCGCTTCAATATTGTCAAGAAATAACTGTATACCAGCACGCACTTGAATTTAGGAGACACTGGCAATCACAAATGCATTTGAAATGCGTCCAAGATTCGAAGATCATCCACATCAGAGGCTGACTCATCAATGGGCACATGAGCATTCCATGTGATGGCGCCCCTTAAAGGCAAGGATTCGAGTTCAGTAATTGAATTTGCTAAGAAAAACACTGATGGAGCTACTTAGATTTGCACCCAGTAGTTTGATGCGTGGGCGCTGATGTTCAGATTTGAAGCAAAGCAATTGTATAGGGATCGGCTCTGATCTCGACAAAAGAGGCATGGACAATCTCCCATTTCGTCATTTCTAAGCATTGTGAAGCAGAAATTGCGTCACTGTACAGCGTCGTTGTGTTATTTTTTTGGTCTCACAGAGCCAATTTGTCACTTACATTGAGACATCCAAGACCCCGAAAGCTCCTGTAATTTGCAGATCTCACGATGGCATGACAAGATATCAACGTCTATAGTTGTACAGAAAGTCCACAAGGCTTTATGAACTGTAGCGTGGAATTTGTCCGAGTTGCCAGTGTCGGTAAGTCAAAGTGCACTTCCCCAAGTTCTTGCTCTTCCCATCTGTATTCACTGTCTATTATATTTTCGATAGTGAGTATTTTTGCGTATTTATTTGAGGCTTCCAGATTACCTGAATCGTATACATGCATGCAGCACTATTTTGAAAGGCCAGCATGGAAATGGAACCAGCTGCAGCACTCCCTTTGCAGCGCTTTCTGGCGTGTGTTGAAGCTGCTGCAGTGTGCGATGGGACGGCTCACGAGGCTGGCGTTGTCCTCCATGAGGCACAAGATTGGCTGAAGGTGACTCATTCGTGTCGTCGTCATGCATTCTCTGCAGATGGAGAACCTGTACAGGCTTGCGTAGATTTGTGCCTCTTACATGCTCCTTATGAGGCGAGGCAAGCTCATGCTTGGCTGGATGCCTTTGATGGACGGGCGGATCTACCTTCTAAGCGCCTTCATGTCAATGCAGGAGGTAGACTGCAGCTGGCCACAGACAGCAACTAAAGAGGACGTCCTGCTGAAGGATCTTGCCACTCGGCTGCTGTCCAGTCTCAAGCGCTTGGCTGCAGAGACAGAAAGCGGCGAAGGGAACCCCCCTGCATGGCAGGCCTTAGTGGCAGGCATGCGAGCTCTGCACTCCTGTGGCACCCGACAGCAGGCTAGAGACAAGGTGACTAATTGCCACAAATGCCCTGCCCAAGCAGCCTTTCTTTTTGACAGGCTTAGATGGGTTCATACAAAGCAAACTAACTTCACCCTTGAGCTGCTTCTGACTTGCAGGCCATCATGATGCTGGATGAAGCTGAGGAGAATGCGCGCCTCGGCAAGCACCAGTATCTCAGCGGTGTCCTGCACAATGTGGCCAAAATTTTGACGAATGAGAGCGCGCCAGCTGATCCCCTTGTAGCACTACAGGACATCGGCTTCAGCTCTGGTGAGTTGCCAGACATGCAGCTACTCCAAGCATTTTTTGTGGCTAGCACATGAATTACGTGAGTTGCGTACATATTTGTAAGGGTGAAAGGCAGTTAAGTGCTCCAGTGAGTTGTAACAATCGGAGCATGTGAGAAACAGGCACATTGCTTGTCAACTGCACAGGGCTGGATCTGGATAATGAAGGACGCGCGGATGTCGAAGCGTCTGACATTGGCGATGCTCAGTCGCCCACAAAGGCGCTGGACGCCAGCAGGCCATGCAACTATCTCAGCGCCATGCTGACCTACATCGCACAGGTGGGCCTGCAAGCTCCATGTTGATGCTGCTACCTCTCCTCATGCCACCATACTGTCAACTACAGCAAAGCCCCAGAATTACAACGCCCCAGCAAGCCGATAAATCGCAGCAGCTCTGTCACTTCGGCTGCTGCAACAGTGCCCGGGTTCATGGCTTGTTGCAAGAGGCCACTGCTTGTCTGTCTCAACATGCAATAGTGTTGTTGGAGCAAACAGCCTGATCAAAGGGTCAAGCTATTGATTGCATGATTCCCTGCACCATCAGCCATGTGCAAAGCGGCATTCCACTGACAGACCACCAGACATCATAGATGTCATCTGTGATCTTGTGGCTCGCAGGTTGGGGATGAGGTGGCTGCGGCAGACCCGGCCCCGAGCGAGGCGCAGAACTACTTTGCAATGCTGCGACAGCTGCCGGACGCGCTGCTGCTGCGGCTGGTAGTCCACTGGGGCTGCGCCGATGCCACTGCCGAGCGCGTGGCCGCCCTGCTGGGCTGCAACCTGGTGAGGCTTGACATGTGCCTGCTCCGTTCACCCTTGAATATTTTTCTCAGGGGTCCTGAAATGATGAAATTTGTCATGCAGATCACACATGCAAATCAAGCTCAATGGCTGAATCGGTTATGGTGCACATGAAACCCCCTGTTTCACTCTGAGTCCATCTACTGTGAGGTGGCCTGCCTGTCCGCACAAGCCACACTTTTTGACACATGCGCATGGCCTGAGAGCGCTTATTGTGCGCCTTCCTTTCTGTGAGCCACTCCGCATTGCTGTACAGGTGGATGAGGTGCTAAGGGCTTGTCTTGACCCAGTCTGCCTTCCCACTTCGGAGACAGCCGCAGACACACAGGGTGCAGGTGGTTTTACTGGCTCTCTTCTAATTTCTGTGCAGGAGGATGCATCTCAAGGTGGCTCCAATATACAGTATGTTCTCAATATGTTGACATTAGTTGTTCGGCCCGCATAGTACAAGTTGCACTTCCTGAGGCTAGCGGCGGTGGTGTGCAGGGGAAAAACAGAGTATAGGAGATCCCGGATGCCAATGCCCATCCTGCCGTTGGGGCTTGGAATTTGCTGGTGACGCAGAGCTCCTTTGCAGGGTCCTGCCAAGGCATGCACATGCTGACGTGACAAAGATTACTGGACAATCAGCTGTGGCATCAAGTGGAGCGCCAACTATGACCCGCATAGCTGAGGAGGTGCACCATCCCCCACCATAAAACTCCACACACTCCAGCTTGCTGTTCGCCTTCTCACAATCAGGGAGATGATTGCGCAATCTGTTCTCAGTCGGACTCCACAGGTTTCATTGTCATGCATTCATCCCTTTGCTATTAACTTTGACAGCCCAGATTTTGCATACTCAGCAGGCAGAGGAGGAAGGCACAGCAGTCGGGAACATGTCAGTGCTGCCGATTCTGGGCGCATTGGGCAGCGAGTCACGCGCCCCGGCGCAGCCGTCAAAGCTGAGCATGCAGCTGCCGGCCTTCAGCGAGCTCCACCGCGTCTCCCCCCTGCGCGCCACGCTGGCAGCTGCTCTCGCTGTACTGCAGCGGCTGAACGGCCTCTCTGGGGGCTCCGCACCGCTCCTGCCGGGCAGCTTCGGGGAAGCTGCAATCGGCGCGTCGCCGGCCTCACATGGCGGTCATCATGGGGACAGCAGGGGCGCATCGCCGCCGCGTGCAGACAGCAGCCGCAACAGCAGCCCGACCGAGTCGCCGAGCTCCAGCAGCAGTGATGCAGCCAGCCAGAGCAGCCAGGCCACGTCGCATGCCTCCTCGGAGTTTGCTGCAGTCAATGGGAACGGCGCTGGTTTGCAGCGCAGAAAGAGCAGGGTGAGCATTGTGGCATGCCTTGGCCTGTATGAAACAGCTGCAATGAAGCTGCAGGTGCTGCCCGTGCGGATCAAATGGTCTCAATTCTTTGCGCACTTCTCTTGTGGAAATATGTTTCTAACTAGTGAATTTATTGTGTGCAGGTGAAGGAAGAGGAGCAGTTGCTGCTCTTTGCTCTGAAGCATGCGGAGAACCTTGAGCCGCTGGGGAGATGGATCAAGCTACAGCTGGAAACCAATCCTGCTCTGGCTTCTGTCAGCGAGGTTGCTGCCGAACATTGTATGCCCCTTGCCCCCTTGCATGCACCCCTGATGCCAGCCATTCCGCTTCCCGTTGAATCCCCAACCTGCTAACTTCGCAGTCTCAGGCTTCTGAGGGCGATGTATGTGTCTTGCTTCTGACAGGCCGCACCTCAGCAAAAGCTGCAGACCCCAGGCGGAAGGCAAACAAGCTATCTCAGGCTGGGCGCTGGAAGGAAGCCGTTGCTATGGCTGACAGGGACGGTGGTGCCTCGGATGCTCTGCTTACAGGAGTTGTAGATGGCGTGGCTCTCCAGCTCATGCAGGTGGGTTTTCCACTTACTTAAATGTTGTGAAAGGGACGCATTTTCTAAACATACATATTTTCCCTCAGTGTTGCAAGTATCTCAGGTTTTACATCATGATTAGGACAAGCAGCAGAGCTAGCAACGCATGCACAACCATGTCAATACATGGGTTCATCATGCAGTGCATTGCTGCAGGGTCGTTGCTCCCAGAATTTCAGGTTTAGGGTGATGCTGCTTTATAAAAGGCATAATTGGATATGTGCAGGACAGCATGTCAGATGGCAGGGAGAGCACTTCCAGCGCTACAATGGACGCGACTGATGACGACCAAAAATTCCTGTGGGAGTGCTGTTGTCGCATAAAGGACAGAGAGATTTCTGCAAGACTTGTGCTCCGCCATTTGGGTAAGTACTTCAACCTCCCACCTGCAGCACAAAAATTGGTATGTTGCAAGGCTCACTTTGTACACTTTTGTATATTGATTGCAGGGAACGATAGAACATGGGCATGAGTGACATATCTGCATATACTTGTGGAGGTGTCAAAAGCTTTGAGGGATTTCACACTATAAATCTGAGGATGCTTTTTGACTTTTCAGGAGTTTGGGAGCTGGAGCAGGCAATTGAGCTCCTGGTCATGTGCCAGACACACCTGCCGCAGCAGCACAGCTTGCAGCAGGAGCTGCAGGGAAAGCTGTCCTGCCTCACTTTCTGCAGGGATGTCTTGAGCCATGAAGAGGCCCGCCTGGAAATGAAGTGAGAATTTGTCTCCCAACGCTAAAACTTGTCCTGTTGGCATGTTTCTCAGGGATTAAATCCTCAGTGAAGACGTCTGTATATTCAAGTCACTTGAATTGTGTTGTATTGTGTTGCTTCATGATGACATGCGATCAGACGTGCACCACCGAGTGGGATTCTGCTGGTTATTTGGCAGGTGTTGGCAGAACATACACGAAATGTACCACTCTGATGCGCCTCTGCTGGTGCGGCGTCTGCTGACATGCGAAGCATACCAAGCAGCTGCCCAACTCGCCAGATCACATCCAGTCCCTGCTTCCCTGGCTCGCGAGGTAATCCCCCCACTGTCCGCTCTCTTGCACCCCTGGAGTTTTGCCAATGTGCATGACATCCATCAGAGAGCTTGGGATGATAGAATCCTCTGACAAATTCTGCCCGTGCAGGCATTTGCTGCACACATAAAGGTTCTCTTGGACACCCCATCACACCAAGGAGGCGGCCTTGTTAAAGTGCTCAAGTGAGAGGCAATCCTCTCCCAGCCCACCTTTTCTGTCCAGACTCAGACCCTTATGAAACGTCTTGCGCATGCATCTGCCTTGACAATGTATCTACAATCTTGTTGCTCGAAGGAATGCAGGCAAGGCAAATTGTACTTGTACTCTCTACAAAATGCCTGATATAATTATATATCCCTGCACGAGCATGAAGAAGATGTTGCACGGATTACTACAGGTTTCTGAGGAGCCTGCCGCCAGATGATGCAGCAGCAACAGCGCTGCAGGTGCTGGCATGTGCGCCAGACATGCAGCACCGGCAGGCGCTGGTCTCACTGCTCTCCACGCTGACCCCTGCCCTTTCTGGGCACGCGCAGCTTCTGGAGCAGCTGCAAGACACCCAGCTGGGCCTGGACACCCTGTCTCATATCCCCCAACCCTGGACTGATCGCCTCGCGCACCTTCTCAGTGAGTTTGATGCCCTGGGACCCTTGAGACACTCTTCTGCTGCAGTAACTCTCTGCTACAGCAAGGCTACTCCTAAGCATCTTGTCCTTGGTGCAAATGAGGCACATAATCTTTCAAGTTATTTGAGGTGCAGCTGTGTTCGGGGTATTTTTTGGAACGCAAGTCGAGAGTGCTTTTATGTCATGCAGGTTCTCCGCCGCTGATAGTGGAGTCGCTGATCATGACGCAGCAGTTTGCAATTGCCAAAGATGTGCTGGCAGCTCAGCCGAAGCTGCAGGATGATACCATGCTCCTGCACTATGCAAGGTACTATCTGCTAACCTGCACATTCTGTAAGGGCAACAAGGATGCATACCTCTAGATGCAGCCAATCCTACTGAAAAATACTTGAGATGGATTTTCTGTATGGCTGCAGGCGCGCAGTGCAGTTTGACAGATGGTACGTTGTGCCCACTTTGTCAAGGCGAGGCAGCACACCAAGCTTTGTGCCCCTCAGTCGCCGCTCCTCAACTGCCAGCATCCCCAGTGAGTCCCTCCTGCTTTTCTCATGCATCAATATCTAACAATTATTTTTATCACATGCTATTTCTGCCAGAGGCAAGGTGGGTCTGCAGACAAGCTAGCTTCTGCAGACAAGCTGCAGATTAAGGCTGCCACAAGTCCTACCCGTTGTTGGACTTGCCAGATCCAAGCAATTCCCAGTCAACCGTGGGCACGGTGCTCAGTTCCCCATCGGGGAATGATGCCTCCCTTGCAGGATAGGGCACCTCTTCGCATCCCAAGCAATAGCTTCTTGCCCCGCAAGTAATTATCCCGGTGCTCAATAATATTCCCGCCCCCCCGCCAGCCGGGGCCCATGCATCTACCAAGCTGCAATTTGCTTGCAACTCCTTTGTGGCACCCCCGAGCATCCTGACAAGCTGTGTTGCACAGGTCCTCACAGCCAAACTCCCACCCACACATTACAGGCTGCTGCGTCCAATCTGGCACAAAGATTGGGAGGTCAGGGGAATGGGTGGGGTGAAGACCCCTCCCAGCACGGGCCGCGGGGCCAGGGGGCAGGCATTGTGCCGTGGCAGGTGCTGTCTGGAGATGAGCACGCAGACGAGCAGCTCAGGTGGGTGTCTTCCAGAACAACCAAGTGTGCAGTGTCCACTCTCAGACTAGCCCTGCCCGCTGTTTGCAGGTTGTGCAGGAGTGGCTGCCTTCATGTCTTGCATGCCTGCAGATCAACACTGATGCCACACACAAAATGCTAATAGGGTATAATAGTCGCAGAGAAGCTTACAGGCGTCATCCAGGATGTTGAAGGGGTTTTACCCCCAACAAAGATGCAAAAGGATGGCATGCCTTTGACGGTGTGCTTGCATGCTCTGCAGGGAGAACCACCACTTTGTCACGGCGCCCAATGCCAGGTTGCTGCGCAAGATCCTCTCCCTGTGCTCCTCGCGCATGGTGGCGGCTGAGTCAGCGCTGGATATTGCGAGCAAGCTGGCTTCCGGGCAGCTGCGCGTGCCTTTGGAGGACCTTGCACATGATGCCACAGAGATGGAGCGGGCTCTGGAGGCGGCCAACACCCTTGTGGACGTCCTGGAGTTTGCCAGCAGCCAGCTGGACGACCTAACCAAGGCAGGCCACAAAAGGTGCGCCTCCTCAAATTTGAAGAGGTTTTTTAGAGCAAGCTGTCGTGTGACAGCCCTAACTGCAATCTTTTGTGCTCAAAACGCTGTTTGCAGAGCAACACACAAAAGGATCTAGCAATGGCTGTAAGTCAAAGAGGGTGCAAAATTAGTGCCAATCTTCACGCAGCGCCAAGGCGTCAACGGCGACGGCTGCTCTGAGGACGCGCGTGGCGTCGCTGGCGCAGAAGGCTGATATGGCACAGATTTTGCTGGGGAACCTGGTCCCTATCAATCTGGATGACATGGAGTCCAACGAACAGGTCAGCCCTTGTCCATCTGCATGTTGCTCAGGCCTGACATTGATCTCTGCTCCTGTACCTGCTTTTCAGCCACTTAATAGCCTCCATCTGGCGACGAAGATAGCAATTAGAAACATATGCCGTGCAGCATGAAGGCTACCGCCCAGAATTTTGCAAATGCCTTTCCATGGCGGAGACATTCAGCACATCAGGAAGTGACATGTGTACCATTTCAGGTCGAAGCACTGGTGGGGAGGCTGGTGCGGGAGGAGCAGTATGCGCTGGCAGCCTATGTGACTAAGCGGTGGGGCCTGGATGCCTGCGCTGTGTGGGAGCAGTGGGCGCACTCCCTCATCATGTGAGCATGGCCCTCTTCGTGCTCTTCAATAAACGAGAAGAGAGATGCAAGACATACAAGGCAGCGCAAGCGCCAAGTAGGAGGCAAGGGCTGCCTCGCGGTGTATATGCTTGATTGCATTATTTCGTTTGTTCTCGAACGAGGGTCGTCTCAGTCGCCTTTGACATCGTCAAGATCAATGCAATGTTGCTGGTTGTATTGAGGTGAGGTGTGCATCCTGCAGGTTGGCGCGTTATGAGGAGGCTGAGGGGAGGCTGTCAAACGCTCTACGGTCCCCTGGGAGCGCTGATGTGGCGCAGCGATTTGTCACCCTTCTTGAGGTCTCACTCAGCCATGCCTCTCTCGTGCCCATTGTCATGCATTGCTGTTCCCTTGCTTTGTGATCACATGTACCAGAACATGCCAACTACTTGCTGGCAACTCTGTGAAGCAGAGGTGACCAGAGCTGTCAGGATAGAAAAGGTGTACATATGTGTGAAATGCTGGTGGCAAAGGCAGGGTGCTGAGTGGTTTCTCTGGACACAGGACACCGTTCCTGTCAACCTGGCAGCGCTGCAGGACCTGTGCACTGCACTCACCTCAGCCACACTGGAGGATGGCGAAGAGTCCCTATCTGTAGCAGAGTTCCTGAAGGTGAGCCCTTTCCTTTGCCTCCTTCATCTGCAGCAATCCCTGCGGTTTTGGAATCTACTCCTAGATATGCAAAATGTCTCCTATGTCTCCTAGACGAGGCCCCGGCTGACGGGGGCCAGTACAAATACTAAGCAACGCGCCCATGGTTGATCGGCTTTTGCTTGGATCTGGCGAGTCCATCAAGTGGTAGGATATTGGGCAGTCTTCACCTGCAGCTTGTCTGCAGACGCACCTTACCTCCAGCAGGAAAAGTGTGTGATAACAATCATATTATTTAAGAAAGGGCTGGTGTGGGTGTGCGCAGATGCTGAGGACTCCACAGAGGCTGCCCTCGGCCGAGCAGGCTGCCTACAAGAGCATGCCAGAGGCGCAGATGGTGGGCAGGCGATATGCACTGGCAGAGGTATGAGGAAGTTACCTTCCTGTGAGTGTAAATATACTGGACGCTGAGATGCCATCTCGACATGCTGAACATGCGAGTACCCGGAAAGGCAGAGATGCGAGGACATGCATGGCTTTGTAAATACAGTCGAGCTCTTTCATTTGGGACCAATAAAATGTACTATTACCAGACAGCCGTTTCAATATAAAATTAGGCAGCATTGGGGTTGCGGCTTAAAGATTGTCTTTCTTTGGCTTCCCTGCAGAAGCTGCTGAGGGAGTATGCTCCTGCCAAGCTGCTGGCCTTCATGTTCAAGCATGGCCAGGCGGCAGCCGCCTGCGAGCTGCTGTACCCTCCCGCCCCCGCACCCACTCCCTCAGGAAGTCCCGCAAGCGCTGACTCATCTGGTGGCAGCAGCGAAGGCCAGCCTATCACCACCAGGTGCTGCCTTTGTCTGCGTGTCCCTGCTTCCTATCATGTTCACGTAGAGTGGCAGCTGGCTAGAGCCAAAGGGCGAGAGTGCCAAGGGTTGGACTCCTTCTTTGGCAAGTCCAGCCGCAAAGTGAATGCCAGCGGTTGCAAGCATGGAATCAGCCGTAGAATCAGAAGCTGCTTGCTGGGCTTAAGCACTGAGTTAGACAACCATTGTGTGCGACATTGTAAATCAATCAGTCTTCTTTCTTCCTAGATATTTATTTTGAATTCAAGATTGCAATTTAAGTTAGTAAGATAGAAATGGTGTTGCAAGTATTCTTCCTTCTCAGTCAGGAGCGACAAGATGGCTGTGCAGGTATGGCAACAGCACGCATCTGCTGGATCTGTGCTGCCGGCACAACGAGCTGCGCACGCAGCAGCGGACGCTGGCGGCCGGGGGTCCCAGGGGGAGGTCCGCCCTGGAACGCCTCTGCAGACGGCTCTGGCAGCAGGGAGCTGATGCGCAGGATGCTGATGCTGACGTATCGCTGCCCCTGGAAGCCCGGCTCCAGTTCGTGCAGAGGTGCCACCTGGCGCTCGGGAGGCCTGACGAAGCAGGTGAGCCTTGGATAAGATAACATCAGCCAGGGGCTTACCCTGCTCGCTTACTTGCCTGGTTGCCAGTAGGGGTAGTAGCAATTCCTGTGAGAGGATTGTCCTGCTGTGCAGCTCATGGCCCTGCTGCGTAGCTTCTGCGCACCTCAGTGGGGTGAGGGAAGGATAGACATGCGCTCACTTCAAGCTGTGGCGCTTAGGGACAAATGACCGACACCTTGCAGCTTGATGTGACTTTTCTCTTTCTTTGAGTTTGAATGGGTGAGTGAGAAATTGTCTGACCATTGGCAGGCGTGGCATGTGTGCGGCTGTCGTCTATGGCGCCGGATTTCACCACCGCCGTCCGGCTGCTGGAGAATGCAGCGGTGCACTTCCAGACCGCCCTGGAGTCTCTGCAGAACAGCACACCATCGCGTCAACAGGTGAGGCACCCCTTAGCTGTCTGCACCTTTTCTTTCCTTGCAATAGGCTTCAACAAGCAGTGAATTTATCATTCCACCATGCACAGTATTGAGCAGCACTGGGAACCCCATCCGGGCGTGCCATTGCTTTCCCCCGGCCATGCAGCGTATTGGAACAAACTGCAGTTGTAGAAAGCGATGTTTTTATTTGTGGATGTGCAGGGCGTGGCTGGGGGCATGCGCTTGAGTGCGGCGCAGCTGATGGAGCAGACAACGCAGGCGCAGCTGCAGGCTGAGGTGTACCGCTGCGTCAGCGCCATGCTGGCGTCCGAGGCGCGCGGCCGACTGGGCTTCCGGCTGCCGGGTGTCGGCCCCGCCGCCCCTGCACCGGCCGTGGCCCCGGCGCTGTACTGCCTCTACCGGGACTGCCCTGCTCCCTCTGCACCTCCAATGCAGCAGCGCAGGTGACCCACATTATTTCTCCTGCATGGGGTTGCACAAAAAAAGTGCAGCTTCATACATTACATGCAATGTAGTGCATGCGAATGACCGGCAGGTCACTTGGCTCACATTGATTTCCTCGCATGCCCTGACGCAAATCTCACAGGCGTGCTGCATTGTGAGCAAATTGCCAGAATGACAATAAAATAACCCTCCAGAGCATAAGAAATTGGGTGAGTGCAGGCTTGCAGTGGCGGAGCGGCTGCTGCCGGTCAACTTTGACCTGGCCTTCCGGGCGCTGCATGCGTTCGGCGGCGATCGGCCGGCGCGCACTTTTGCATCGGTGGCCGCCAGCCTGGCGCGCCGCGATGAGCTGGCAGCCCTGAAGAGCCTGCTGCAGAGCGTGCAGGGTACCATCACCGACGCAGAATGGGACGAGGTGCGCTGCAGTTTTGCAAGTTTTTGCTGGCATGGCTGCCTTTTCTGTGAAAATCTGTCCAGCAGGAAGGACTGGTAGAGCGCTTGCATCATGTGTTTGGGACAAGCTAGGAGGAATGTTGTGCAGCAGTCACTCAATTTATTGGTCGTGGGGGGTCTCTGCACACCTTGCTTTGGTGGGTGGGCTATGTCTTGACAGAGCCGTCCCATGGACGAGATTGTAGTAATGCTTGCCTAGAGTGGTTGAAGAGGACCAACAACAAGGGAATGATTGTCTTTGTGGTTTAAACAGGTGCTTGCAGCGGCGGTGGCTGGGCTGGCGAATGGGCAGGAGCGGCCGGTGTCGGGCAACAGCTGGGCAGCCTCCTGGGCAGGAGAGGACGACCTGACCAGCCCTGCCGAGGAACTTGTACTCTCCATGCGCTCCCATCGCTCAAAGGTGGGCCCCTAATGTGCCCTTAGGAATCTTCTGTCCCTCGTTGGATGCATGCAAGTCCCTGCGCCATGTTATACTACTCATGTTGGGTACCATCTCTCATGCTGAAACCCCACTGCATGCTTGTTTGGCAATTGTGCCCGTAGAAAGGCATGTGGCTCACGGGGGGTGGAAATGCGCATGGTGCAGGTGCAGTCTCTGCTGAAGCTGGGTTTGCTGCGGCACGCGTTTGAGGTGGCTCAGGCGGCCGGCAGCCGTGCAGATGTGCAGCTGGTGGCAGCAGACGCCGGGCGCAGGGCTAATGCAGATATTGTGGCGCTGTGCACTGCCTACCTGCAGTCAGACGGCTGAATTCGCCGGGCTGAATGACTTGCACTTTTTGGGCGATGCCTTGATTGTGAAGGGATACGATCTTGTAGCCAGACTGGAGAACTTTTGTCTGTTAGAGACATATGCGAGGGATGTGGTAGACGCATTGGTTGATATATTGATGAAAAAAGACTTGAAAATGACTGGTTTTGATACTTGACAGTTCAACTATTGGAACTATAGGAGTGCACTCATAAGATGGGAACTTTGTCCTGCCAGGGCCTGCAATTCATTTGAGACATCTGGCCTTGTGCTCAGGACTCGGAAGCCGAGGGTCTTGTACTGAACGACAGGGGGCCGAAATACTCTGCCGAGCTTTCATGTTAACAAGTAATGCATCCATACGCATACATATGTTTCCAATGGCCCCTTCCAAACCACATTTCCTGCTGCCATCCAAGGACTCATGCCCATCGCTTACTGCTCTAGCACACGAGGATGCTCCATCAAGCGTGGCGTACTCAAGATGTAAGTCAGGACATTGTGGCTGGCTGCTGTTTGGATCAGATAGCACAAGGCGCCTGGCAACGGTGATGCACATGTGGCGCCACTTGCCATCCCAGAGATCAATCCAGGCATCTTCACAGCTGATAAAGACCTTGATTGATGGCGCAAATACCTCACGCAAATGTAATGGTTGCTTAGGGGTCCAAAGACGGTACACTTGCATCAGCACCTCGGTGATGTTGCTCACTGCCTTCAGAACCTTCGAATGTTCACGGTTAGCTAAATCGCTCTTTCAGTAGGAGATGATGCTTGCTTGACAAATCCAGAGAGAGATACGCAAGGACTGGGCATGCATTGTGTGCATGAGTCCAGTAAGGAGGGAGTAGTTAAAAAGACATTTCCCCAGATCTCTGCAAACACTCAATGCATGCACCGCAGCTGCACGCATGGTCATCAAAGGACACAGGCTGGCTATTCCTTGGTCCCTTCCACATGCAAGCCTTATGTGGATTGAACAACTGTGCATACCCGTTCATCGCTAGCCAGGGGTATGTACATAGACTCCGGGCCCTGGCCGAGTCCATGGAGTATTCAAGATAAAAATCTGGGCAAAAAAAAGGCACCAACCTCTCGTCTGCACCACAATCAACCAGGTCATTTGTGGCATTGATGCAAAGGTGCTTCCATCTCCCGCCCCACACATCAACATGAGCATCATTGCAGCTGATGTGCACGACAACTGATGACATGAAAGCCTCGCGCAGATGGAGCGGCTTCTCGCTGGAGCCGGCATTGTTGACATCAAACAGTGCATGAGTGAGACCGCTTGGCGCATTCAAGAAGTCAGGTAGCTGAGGCAAGTCGTCTTCACTGCTGCACCTGACAGTGCGCAGCAATGGTAGCACGGTGACCCAGACTGGGTGATACAGATCCAAGACCTCATACAAAGTCACATGGAGCGATGCCTGGTGTGGTAATTCTAGCCTTGAGGGCACCACCCCATCCAAATGCACATGACGCAGGTGACACAGCCCGGCTAGCGACACCTCTGCATCCACGTCCCTACAAGCGACGTTGCCGAGCATCAACGTCTGCAGGTTAGCCAGCAGAGATAGATCCTGCAAGGTGGCTGTGTAGTTGAGAGTATGGTGGAACATGATGAAGTGCCGCAACTGCGGCATTGGCGGCAGTGGCATCACCATCGAAATGCTAAGGTGCAAGACGCGGAGGTTTTTGGCGTGTGCAATGAGGCAAGTCAGAAACACGACGGCAGTCATGGCATCTGCATCCCCACCGCCTCCACTCCACTGCTTCCGCCGCCAACGCACAGCCAACTGCCTCAACTCAGTGGCACTCGGCTGTGCAGCCATGAGAACCTGAGCAAACTTCCTCCTGTCTGCATCCTTAAATGATAAGCCCATAAATCGGGTGTGGCACAGTCTTGCTGCCACCCATTTTGCACCTGCAACCCATGGTCAACACTCTCAGCGCTTGAGCATGCACGCATGCCTTGATCGTTTGGCTTGCTGGGTGATGCTAACCAAAGGATCCGCATAAACGGTAATGGATGCAGATTGTGGCCTGTTTAGTCTCACCTGCTATGCCCAGATGCGCCCAGTTCCTGACCGAAAAACTTTCCAACCGAACCTTCCACGTTGCTTTGCATGTCCCCGATGCCCTCACCCAATCCTTCAATTCCATGAATTCTGCCACCCTCTGCCATATTTCCTGTGGAAACTCCACAGGAGAAGATTTGTCCTGCACAGGGGCACTTTTGTTATTCCTTTAAATATGGCATCTTGTCTCCAATCTTGTGACGAAAGCGAGACATACTCTTAGATTTGAGGAGCAATTCAAATCAAATTTATTTGTTGACTCTGCTTTCAATACTGGGGTAATCTGTGACTGTACCCTGCGATGAACAGGCATGTGAGCTCTTGTTTCTTCGTCTCGGCATGCTTCGATCACAGATTTGGAAGTCGACATCTTCGGAGACAGAGGAATTTCTTATCGATTAAGAATATTTGACGTATGTATCCCTGGCAGGGACTCCTGCACTCTAACAATTTGAAGCTGATCGGTCCAATGTTTCACAATTACTCAGCTCTGAGGTGGCAGATCTCTAGAGCTGCACTTGAGCTTCCGCGCCACCATTCGCATTGCTGTGGAGCTATTTAGCATCCTATTCTTTATGCTTGTGCAATAGAAGATCGATACTAGAGTCCGCGTCCGTTATAGTGAGTATTATGATTTACAAGGGACCTGGGTAGCAGTGAGGATGGCCGGAGACGACAGGAGCGATGGAGCAGGACCTTCGATGCGAATGAGAGGAGACGATAATGGAAATTCAGGCAACCATTTCCAGCGCAAGTACGGTCACTCTGCAATTCTGAATTAGTATGCGTACTTGTATCTCACATCTGCATCTCCCGTTTTGCTGGCAACTCCGAGTGCACTGAGACTTTCCTGCCAGCATACAAGTCTTAAATACACTTCAAATTCTGTTAGTACTCAACAGACGATGCCACAATATGTCAAATTGCCAAAGAGCACCCTGTGAGCCACCATCCCTGCTGTCCTCTAAGCAACTCGGACACAGCTCACTGAGCTCACGCCTTTTTCTGACACAGGCCCAGCCCAGGGAGGCAGTTCCTGGCAGTGCTGCACAAGAACTTCCTGCTGCAGACGCGCAGCGGCCGCTCTTTCTTTGGGGCTGGGGGATGGGTGGCGCTCCTGCTGGAGATCCTCACGCCAGCCGCCTTCTTCCTGCTGATGTGCCTACCCAAGTACTACTTCGATGTCAAGCCGCAGCCCATCCCCACGCAGCTCTTCCAGGCTATTGACCTGGACCTGCCCAACTGGGCCAACGAATACAAAGGCAAGCTCTTCTCCTCATGAAGACAACTTTAGTTGTCTTTGCACCGAAGAGGCCTGCATGTTTGTCACAGGCCCACCAGGCTGGCTGCACGGTTGTGGTGGGTCCCAGGCACACACTTTACTGCTCTAGTTGGCATTGCTGTCCCTATGACTCAATCTTGCGATTGTCTGGCCGATAGTCTCAAGATTATGAAACAAAAGGGTGGTCTATGAGTGCCAATGAGTGACTCCAACCTGCAGGGCCGGCTGCGGCGAGAGGCTACCGGGCACTGCTGCTGTTCAGCCCCAACACAAGCGAGACAGCGACAGCAGTCATGCGTAATTTTGCGCGCACAGTAGCCTGCCCGGCGGACAATCTCAAAAAATCAGCGTCCTCCCAGAGTTTCTATGCGCTGTTTCGCGACACCGCTGCCCCTGCGCAGTGCGCCGAGCAGCAGCTCTGCTTCAGCTCACAGGGCTGCTGGGACCAAGTGCTCTCTGGGAACCGGGCCAATGTGATTGGCTATGCCACAGAGGTGCCTCCCTTGTGAATGCCTCAGGAGCTGTTTCTGAGAGCATCTTGGAAGGTCAGATTCTGTGTATCAAGACAGCCAAGATGGGCTGAATTGCTATTTGCCGCAATAGGGAGAGCTCTTGCATCTCGTGTGAATTGCCACACATTTCTGATGTTTTCTAGCTGTGTCATCTTCATTGATTATGTAAATTAAAAATGTGCTATGGTGGGCAGGAGGAGGCATTGGATCGGGCTGCAGCAGAGCCAGAGACAGTGGACGCCATAATCACGTTTGACACCGGCGCGAATGACGGAGACATGTCCTACATTGTACGCGGCAATCACACAGAACTGCCCTCCACGCGCCTCACCTACAATGAGTTTGACCTGCTGCCAGATCCCCAGTACCGCATGTACTGGCTCTTTGCCAACATCCAGCAAGCGCTCGACAGGTCAGCTGTTGACCTTACACTCTGCCTTTCACCTCCCATTGTCCCATCATATACTCAATTTGCATCCACCATGGTACAAGCTAGAAGGCCTGTGCCTTTGCAGTGATTTGCACATCAAGGTGAACATTTATCTTGTGATGTTGTTCTTTTTTTGCTCGAAGAAAGGAGCAGTTGTGGTTGCTCAGGGCAATCCTGGGGCGCTCCCTGGGGGAGGGAGAGCGACCAGCAAGGGTGGATGTGGCGGTGAAGCCATTCCCCTGGCCGGCAGTGACATTCGACCCAGCCGCCATCGCCGCGGCTGCCGCTTTCAACCTGCTGCTCGTGTTTGCTTTCCTGAATCCCACGAGGGTCGCAGTGGCGACTGTTGTGCGCGAGAAGGAGCTGCGCCTGCGAGAGGGCATGCGCATCCTCGGCCTTAAGGTACGCAAGTGACAAAATGTCAAGAACCTGCAATTTGCTGCCCTGCAATTTGCCGCAGGATGCAAATGTTGCATGCATGGGCGGCATTGGTGATCTCAACAACATCAGATGCCCATTTTTGCAAGGAAGGCAGCAAGCCACAGACTCAGAGAAGTATTTTTACATGTGCAGAAGTGCATCATTGATTGTTCTCCCATCATGCGGAGAAGTACCCTGTCACCATGGAATCTGTGGTTCTAGTTGTGATTTTGCTCCCCTGCAGCAGTCCATCTGCTCAGCTCATGATGTCGAAGACAGTGCTAAAAAAGCTTTAAAACTGACATGCAGGATGCTGCATACTGGAGCGCGTGGGCGCTGACGCATTTTGCAACGATGGCGCTATCGGGGGCGCTATGTGCTGCAATCGCGCTATACCCCTTCCCGCACACAGACCCTGTGCTGATGCTGGCGCTGCTGTGGCTCACGGCTGCGGCGTTGCTGGCGTTTGCGTACTTCCTGAGTACTCTCTTTTCCAAGTCGCGCGTGGCCGGCATGGCCTCTGCCATGCTCTACGCCGTCGCCATGGTGCCCGGGTGAGTCACTTTGTACCGGCACCACCGCCTATATTCTACACTTTGGGAGAATAACTTACATTGGGTGGACAACTTCGGACTAATATACCAATTTGGCATCTCCTTTTCATGATAGCTCTGTGCACGGGACAAGTTTAAAAAAGTCGGCGCAAGTAGCGCAAGTCTTGCCCATCAAAAGTTGGGGCAGACGTTCCTGCATTGCGCACTGCGGCACGTCCATGCAGATGTCTGCTGGCTGTTGGGCCCTTGTATGTGTGCTGATCAAGGGATCACTGGCACCAAACAGCGTGTGGATGTTGTATTTTTTGTCAGAAAGGGTGCTATCAAGTAATCACTAATTTCCCCGGCTGGCGGGGGGCGGTATAAACAGTGAGCACCGTGCCCACGGTTGATTGGGTCTTGCATGGTTCTGGCGAGTCCATCAGGGGGTAAAATATTGGTAGCCCCTACCCGCAGCTTGTCTGCAGCCTCTGGCAGGAAACGCGTGCAGTAATAAAGATTACAAAAATGACAATAAATTACAACTGCCATGCTGAACAGGTACATAATGCCTACATTCCAGCCGTACGGCGGCTGGGGCTGGCCACTGGCGTGCCTGCTGCCGCCTTCGGCCATCTCGCTGTTCGCCACGGTGCTGCTGAAACTTGAGGGGTCCCAGCGGGGGGTCAGCTGGAGCACTGTCCACCTCAACATGACCTCACAGTACCCCTTCTCCGCTGCCACCGTCCTCCAGATGCTGGCTTTTGATGTCCTGCTCTACGGGCTGCTCACCTGGTACCTTGACCAGGTCCGCTGCCTACTTGAACGATTTCCTGCAAGTGCAAAGCTTGTTGTTTGTGCAGTAGCTGAGCAGCTAACAGCGGGATTGTAAGAGCACGTCGTGCTTTCTTAACACACTGCCTGGCCGCAGGCTGCAGTCAGAGCAGCAGCCATTTCGTTGACACACAGCAAAGCACAGGAGGAACACCAACATGTGCACAGGGTCCTGCGTAATAAAATATGATGCATGTCATTTGTGCCAGGGCCGTGCATAAATAGGGGCACCGTTTGCAGGTGGTTGCCAGCGGGTATGGGCAGAGCCTGCCATGGTACTTCCCATTCCTGCGATCCTACTGGCGGCCGTCAGCGCGACACAGCGGGGCCAAGTCTACCCAGGGACTAGCTATCGACGAGGCGGTAGATGCATCTGCTGGATTGGGGGATGGATCTGCCGGGGAACCAGCCGTAGCGATCAGGCACCTGTGCAAGGACTTTGCAACCACTGATGGGGCCCTGAAGCGGGCAGTTGACAATCTCACGCTGGACGTGCCGGCGCAGCAAGTCACCGCCCTGCTCGGTGAGCGCACCTTAGCATCTAGTTTTATCTGATATAGCTGCTTGCCTGTTACTGAGCTGACTAGAATGATTAAGCTTTCTGTGGCTGTGTGAGCTAGTCCAGACTACTAGCAGAAACAGCACACCACAACAGACAGCACCCTCATGGTCTTGTCCCCAGTATTAAATATCAAGGATCACCGCACTCACAGATCGCGGGGTTGATTTGATATTCTGCAGCACTATTGGTTTAATTTTGAGTTCAAACAAACATTTGAATCCATTTTCTGGGGCATGCAGGGCACAACGGGGCCGGCAAGACGACGGCGATCTCCGTCCTGACAGGCATGCTGACGCCGACAAGCGGGGATGCGCGCGTCTACGGGGCGTCCATCCTGACAGACATGCCGCGCATCCGGCAGAGCCTGGGGGTGTGCCCCCAGTTCGACATCCTGTGGCCGGAGATCAGCGTGCGCGAGCACCTTGCGCTCTACGCCGCCATCAAGGGCTACCGGGGGCACGACGCGCACACTGTAGCGGGCTCTGCTGCTCGGGACGTGGGTGAGGCCCTACTTTGCTCTTTATTTGCACTTTACTGCTCCCTTTTCCCTTCTCTTGTCACGTTTTCTCTGGTATTGTTACAGAAGGATCAAAATTTCATTGCATGAATGCCCTGGATGCTCTGTGACTCATTGCTCCTGCCACGACAGGAAGCGCAGCGCTTGACCTGATTTGTTGTCTAGGCATTCACACAGGTCTCTCTCCCACTGAAGGCTCTGGGAGTGCTTGCTCAACAGAACAAAAGGCGGCCACCGAAGGCTCTGGAACTCTGTGTCTACCAGAGAGATAGATGTGGACCCAATTATCTCTCATAATAGAGTGGCTCAAACGAGTGTCTTGAATTATCAGGGTTGGAGGAGAAGCTGGAGTCAAGGGCCGAGGAGCTTTCGGGCGGGCAGCGCCGCAAGCTGAGCGTGGCCATTGCGTTCCTGGGGGACCCCTCCATCGTCTTCCTCGACGAACCCACCTCCGGCATGGACCCCTACTCGCGCAGGTGCCCCAAGTTTGAGAGCGGCACTGGCCCTGCTGCAGGCTGTTCTGTGCATGTGTTTAGTTGCCTGCAGGTACGACCCTGGAGCTTTTAGTCTGCTGCAGGATCTGCAATGTTTGAGCCCCTCTCATTGCTCAGTACAGTTCCTTGAGAAACGGGTTCAGATGCCTCCCTGTTCTCGGAGTCATCTCTAGATTTGGCGCAGTGATGTGTCTGCGTGGGCGCGATCTCACCTTGTGCCAACGGGGGGAGTGTTGCCATCCAAGCAAGAACGTGCTGGCTGACATTTGTCGCTGTCATCAACTTTAGAGCTGATCCCGAGCATTTGAGTTACGGTGACTCGTACGATGGTATATGTGAAGCAAAAGCAGGACAAGTAGATTTGGTGCATGCCATCTTCAGCAACGCATCTAGCCTTTATGTGGCTGTTAAGGCTTACAGTCATGATCTCCATTGTCATTACTCATACATCGCAAGAATTTTGCGGTGGGGGATTTTCGCAGGACCTGGACATATTCTCTCCAGGTTATGTACATCGGAGTTTTCAAGGCAAAATTTGAGGGGAGGAGCCGCGGTGCGCGCAGGTTCACATGGGAGGTGATACGGCGCAGCCGGGCAGGCCGCGCGATAGTGCTGACGACGCACTCCATGGAGGAGGCCGATCTGCTGGCCGACCGCATCGCCATCATGGCTGCCGGCCGGCTGGTTGCGCAGGGAACGCCCCTGGACCTCAAGGCCCGCTACGGCGTCGGCTACACCCTTACGGTCGTCAAGCAGCGCGCTCCCGAGTCAGACAGGTGAGGAGTCATGGTTGTTGCTTTGTCTATATTTTGTATGCATGCCTCATGGGTCGAGTGCGCTAATTGGTCTTGTTTGCATGTAACAAAACCAACACATTAAAAATTGTGCGCTTTGCCCGAATTCTGCATCTTCACATGAAAGTGAAGCTTGTATCTCAGGAATATCGGTGACTCTTCTTTGACTTAATGCTTTTGGTGCCTTTATTTGCATGTTTCAAGAGGACAAGCCCCTGTAGTCTGTGTGTGAGCCAAGGTAGGAAGCCTTGCTTAAACATTGAGAAAGTGAGAACTCCTTGTTTGCATGCAGGGTTTCCAGCGCGAGGTCAGAGGATGGCAGGAGCAGCGTGGCGTCAATGTCGCGCGTGGTCTCCACGCGTTCCCTCTCCGATCTGTCAGAGGGCGATGCCTCCCTGGACGCCCTGATCAGGCGCCATGTGCCCCAGGCCGTCCTCGTCAGCAGAGGCCCTGCTGAGCTGGCCTTCCGCCTGCCCAAAGAGGCAACCTCACAGTGAGCACACATGCCATCTCCCTTGGCTACCTTCTTTGTCTGTTTTGGAACAGTTTATGTCTGTGCATGGCGCATGCACTTTCTATCCTGGTGGCCTGTGCACGACCTGTCTAACTCCAGCGTGCGGTTGAATCTTTGCCACCTTGTAAGATGGGTAAAAAAACTCAGTTTCTGAGGTTTAAGCCGAGATTGCTTTCTTGGAAGGTTGCGTTCCTGTTTAATTTAATAATAACGAATTTTGTATTTTTCAGGTTTCCGGCGCTGCTGCGGGAGCTGGAAGACAGCAAGGCGGACCTGGGAGTGGACAGCTATGGCCTTGAGGTGACAACCCTTGAAGAGGTCTTTCTGGCCGTTTCCGCTGCGGTGGCCGCCGACGCCAAAGCCGGCCAGCCGCGCCTGCCGGGACCAGCCGAAGATGCCCAGAAAGCAGAGCAGGAAGAGGTGGCAGTAGACGTGGATGGTCTGTCTGGCGGGGCCGGCAGCCGAATCAATGAGGCCAAGGGGAGCCAGGCATCTGTGACTCTGCTCAGGGTGTGTCCCGCTGCCTTCTGTGTATACCATCTGAGCAGAACTTTATGATGAAGGGTCTCCACTTTCATGGATAGTGACAAGCGTGCTCATGTGTTGCGACACATTTAGGGCTTGCAACATACCACCGGCAATGTTTTAGGTGTGGACCCTGATTCGTGAAGCAATCCAGGCAGTCAGCCTTTTGATCAGTGGCCTCTGTCAGTGATGTTGCGCAAGAGCTTGCCAGGGTGTGCACGGCACGCTTCGAGCCCCTTTGTCCTTGAAAATGCTACCAATTAGCAAAATATATTCCTGAACTGACATGTACATCTAATAAGAATTCGGTAAGCTGGCGCCGTATTTCAGTGGATTGCAAACGAAACATGTTACATTGCATAAGAATGTTCCATGCTGCGCAGGGCCTGCCGCTGTACGCGCAGCAGTGGCGAGCGCTGTTTGTGAAGCGGGTGGTGAGCGCGAGGAGGGACAAGCTGGCAGTAGTGATTCAGCTGCTGGTGCCCATTGCGCTCGTTCTGGTGGCCCTGTGGGCGCGCCACGCCACCGACGCATTCCCCCAGGAGCCATACCTCTCCATCTCCAGGTATATGGGGGAGGGCATGTCTTAAAGCTGTATGACTGAGCCCCATAGATGGATGTGCATAAAAAGCTAACACATCTGCTTGTATCTACGGAAAAGTATGCCCTACCTGGGCAGCTCATCCTGGGTTCAGTCTCAGGGAGCGAGGGACTCTGTCAAGTTGCTGATGCCGATGCTCTTTCTGTTTGCTTGTTTTGTATAGTTGAGCAGGAATTCATTTTTCCTCAAACATGGCTTTTATCACAGAATTTCGACAAGCTAAGCAACAAGTGCATGGAGAGGGTTGGTCACACTCCACCCTCGCATTTTCTCTGCAGGCAGGACTGCCTGAGGGACCAGCCGGCGTTGTTCGGTGCGACACCGGACATCCGCGCAAATGCAACGGCGCTGGCCGCCTTTGCTGCAGCGTACCCGGCCGACAAGCTGCGGGACACAGGCGAGCAACGGCTGTGGAACGGGCCATTTTTCGCGCCGGCAGCAGGCACTCTGGACGGCTGGCTTCTGGACCACTGGTACACTGGGACAGCGCAATATGACGCTCTCTTTGTGAACAACTTCACCAGCGCCTCTGAGGTGGGCAAAGATACCTCACCTGTGTTTCTCTCTGTCCAGTCTGATGTTGGGACTTTGTGTACGCAAGGCTGCCTGCTTTGCTGCAGGCAGCACTGTGCTGTCAGTATCCATTATGTTGTCAGTATCCATTATGTGAAATTGGCAGAGTGGAAACCAGAGGCCTTAGGCGATACATGCATCACGACTGCAGGCAACCCGCAGGGCCTACAATAACTTGCAGATAGCACTGTTCAGCACACTGCATGCATTTGGGTCGTCATGGTGTGCATGTCTGACCAATCCTAAAAAGTCCCTGTGAGGTCCCCAGTAAATTTCAAGCTCTTGCTCAGTTGGCGATATTTGTGCAGGTGCTGGCACAGGGCGGCAGCGTGTCCTACACACTGATGTTCAACACAACGGCCACGCATGGGCTGCCAGCGGCCCTCAACGCAGCCAGCAATGCGCTGCTGCGGTCTATACAGGGGCCAGAGTATCAGGGAAACATCCGCGTGGCCAATCACCCCATGCCCACCCTGCAGAACGAGGCTGCCGTCAAGTTCAGCAAGGTCGCCGGTGCGTAACCTTGCCCCTTAATCAGGGATGACCCATGTACACCGTTGGCATTTACATACTGCATGCAGCAAGTTCCCTTTCCTGCCCAAATTGGCGCCTGCCTTACCGGCTTACAGACTCTCTGTCTTCCTTGTTCAGTTCCAACTCGAGCAATATCTGTCAAGCATTACCAGAGCTGCAATCATGGTATCTTTATCCATTTGAAGCACGACCAGAGCTGTGCTAATCATGTTATCTTTATCCAGTATTATCCAGTTTACTCAATTCTCCGCTGGTGCTTCAATAGCAATGGGCCTCAGATCTTTATATTTGATACCGCACAGGCTGATTGTAATAGCAGCAGATTCTTGTCACCCGAGCTAGGTTTGGCTGCAGACACTTCCTGCTGGTGCTATGCCATCGTCGTCCAGGCTGTTCCACTCCTAGTGTGTCCGGCGTGAGCAGGCAACCTGCTGCTGCTGCTGTGCCATCATCGGTCAGGCTGGTTCACATGTGCTATGTTTGGCTGTGCAGGCGACCTGCTGCTGGTGCTGTGCCTGACGATGGCGGCGAGTGTGCTGAGCGCCAGTTTCGCGGTGTTCCTGGTGCGTGAGCGCGAGTCACACTCCAAGAGCGTCCAGGTGGTGGCCGGCGCGCCCCCCTCAGCATTCTGGGGGGCCACCTACGCCTGGGACCTCCTCAACTTCTCCATCCCAGCCCTCGGTGAATTCTCCCGCTCACTGCAGCGCTTCCCTTCCGCTTTCTTCACTGCTCTCAATTATACTTCACGTCACAGCTGTTCAGCTGCTAGGGCTCTGAAGACATGTGCAGATGTCTTGAATTGAGGACATGTGCATGTTTACAGATGTCTTGAATACTTAACATAGAGACTGCGGCTGCATGACGGCAGCTGCAGTGCAGATGCATTGTTTCAATTCAATTACCTCCAATGTGTGATGTGGGCATGATGTCATGTCCTGCGATATAGACATGGCATGTGCTCTTTTCTAGGACAATTCCTGCAGTGCTTTGGAGTTTTTGCCGGTGCTCACCTGTGGTGCCCGCTTGCGCAGGCATCATAGTGTGCTTCTTCTGCTTCGACCTGCCCCAGTTCCGCGGCGAGCGCATGGCGGCCGTCGTGGCACTGCTCTGGCTCTTCGGCGCAGCAGGCCTCGCTCTCACCTACCTCCTCAGCTTCGCCTTCTCTGTGAGCATTCATTCCCCTCTTATCATACCACCCACCTTGCCCAGATGTGCCTTGCCTTGCCTGAAACCTCTTCAGATGGTACCAGCTTGAGCTCAGAGCCTGCTGCACTCTGATATAAAAATGTGAATGTTCAAAAAATTGACCAAGTGCTGCACTTATTGTAGAGAAGTGGCACAGCTGCATTGATGACTACGCTTCCTTGGTCAAAAAAATCACTAGCGTAAAGTCTATCAACGACGGTGGGACCATTCTGAGGCTGCATGTTTGTTTGTGGAGAAGCTGCCAGACAGGGAAGGCTGGCAGGGAATTATTGACAATTTGTTGCAAAGCACCTAGCCCTATGGGCTGGAACAAACATGTACTAATAATGATTGTTGCGTGGCCACAGGATGAGATGTTGGCGCTCCAGCGCATTAACAGCTACACCTTTTTGATTGGCTACCTGGGCTTCCTGGCCACTTGGATCCTGGACACCGTCTACTCCCTCCTGCACCGCGCCGGCGTCAAAGCCACCGATGACGGCCTCAAGACCGTCCTGCGCGCAGTGTCGCCCCACTATGCCCTCGCCAGGTCAGCCGCTGTGCTCATTTCATCATTTTGTGTGTCGTATTCCCCCCACTATGCCAGGTCAGCCGCCATGCTCACTTGATGATCCCTCTGCAAAATGACATTTACATGCTAGGCAAACAAGCATGGCATCATGGTGGCTGCTCTGTCTGGCCTTGGTGGGTGTGGTCAGGGCATACCGAGATCGAGTGAAGTGTGAGCTGCTGTCTCTTTCTCAAATATCGTGCGCTGCAGTGTCTCGTACTGCTGGAACTGGGTGAGCTCTTTGGACGGTCTGTTCACCCTTGTCACAAGATCAATTCAGAAGAGGGATGCAATGCCTGCTGTGCATGCCCCCTGATGCAGAATCATGTAAGTGCAGGGGTATTTACGAGGTGACTGAGACGTACGGGGAGGAGAGAGGGGAGCCCAACACCTCCCCCTGGGTCTGGAATGCCGCTGGACAGCAAATGGCATGGATGGGCATCCAAGCCGCTGGTGCGCATCCCTTAGACCTGCAAAATTACATCTGCACATGCCCTTCAAAAGTTCAAAGTTTTCTTCCTGTATCACCAGAAAGTTTTGGCATGTGGGCTTTGGACCCTGCAAGGCAAGCTGCATTGGAACTGCGTCAGCTTGGTGTAGGACACCTGTCCGATGTGCTTGTCCTGTGTTGTCCAAAGCCCTGCCACTTGCATGCACCCATGGCGGGAAGCAAAGAGGTGCCATTGTCAGCATAATAGGTACAATATGTACAGCTTAAAGACATTCTGTGTCATGCCCAGTATACATGGTGCTCACTTTGCTGGTGGAGTCTGGCTGGCTGGGTCGCACGCATGCGTCAGCCAAGCAGCTGCTCCGGCGGTGCTGGCGCGCCGTTGGCCGCGGCAAGCGGAGGGCCGGGGCAGGCTATGACAGGCTGCAGCAGGTGTGCTGCCAACCTGGCAATACCAAGAATGAGCATCGCACAAGACCTCGTCATGTTTCATGCCATGCATAGTTTATGCGCTGTCTCGTCAACTGCCGCAATAGCTTGTGTGGCTACCAATGCAGAGTCCACTATGTCCATCGGTGGTGCGCTACCAGATTGCAGTACTTGTGTTGTTCCGGCAATGAGAAGTTTCAGAAAATGGTGTGGATGCTGCACCAGGAAGAGGAGGCGGGTTTGGAGGACGGTCTGCAGGGCTGGGATGACGAGAATGCATATGAGGATGAGGATGTCAGGGCGGAACGCATTGCCATGCAAGCAGGTGCGGGCAGCCCCACAAGATTCCAGTTAAATTATAAGCCTGGAGCAAGTTGCATAATTCAGTCTCACCCAGCACGCACAACTGGCAGTGCTTCACTCGCGCAATCTTGTTTTTGGCGAAGGTCCTTGCAAAGGATACCGGAAGGAGCCCACGCACTTACTATGGTTCGGTATCTTCAGTAGGATTGAAGTACAAGCTGTAGTGCTCAACAAAAGGACAAGATGCAGCTGTAATGCAGCTTATGCAGCTTTATTGGCTACAGCTGGAAATGCAGCAAGCTGCATGCAGCTTTAATACAGGTGCAGCTGTAGCTCCAGCGGCGTTAAGCTGCTGCAGCTGCAACTCTTGTCTTGAGCAGTGGCAAACCGGCAGACCGATGCGTGCGCAGGTGCGAGGCCGGAGGAGTGGCAGGTGCTGGTGGCGGGTCTGGAGAAGTGGTACAGCCGGGGCACATGGCAGCCCCCGCTGCGTGCGCTGCGAGGTTTGTGGCTGGGGGTTGGCGAGGGCGAGTGCTTCGGCCTGCTCGGCGTCAACGGCGCCGGCAAAACCACCGCCTTCCGACTGCTCACAGGTCCGCGATTCGACTCCTCCACCGCCAGCGTCTTTTTTCTGCTGTTTTGTTTTGATGGGTTTGAAAACGGTCGACAGCAGAGCCCATTCAAGGGCGCCCGAGCAAGGGTTGCTATTGGTGCTGTAGAGAATGAAGTGTGGCAGTGCACCTAAATGTATATACAGCTGTGAGTGAGCTTCTCAGCTGGCGCGTGCAATATGAAAAATTGTGCTGTGATACTTGCAGGCGAGCTGAGGCCGGACGAGGGTGATGCGTTCGTGGCGGGGCACTCCATCAGGACTCAGCTTGCAGCTGCGCGGCAGCAGCTGGGCTACTGCCCTCAGGTGAACTCCACCACCTAGCCCTCATTACCTGTGTGCTTAGCAAAATGCTTAGCAAAAGGCCTCGCACCTACAGGCGACGAGAGCAGACATACTGAGGTCCCGGCAGGCGATGTAAATACTGAGCACCATGGTTGATTGTGTCTTACTTGGATCTGACAAGTCCGACAAGGGGTCGAGGTTATACGTGCAGCTTATTTGCATTCGCTCGTTGCGTCTGGCACAACGCATGCACAATGACAATACTGAGGTGTTGCTGTGTTCATGTGAGCAGTTCAGCGCGCTGCCGGGGGCGCTGACTGGGCGGGAGGTGCTGCAGATGTATGCGCGTCTCAGGGGCGTTCCCTCGGACCACATCGAGCACACTGTGCAGGACCTGCTCCAGCGCATCGACCTGACAGAATACGCGGACAGGCATGCCTTGCACCGTTCTTGTGCCCACCCATATTCTCGTTCAGCTTGTCTGCTTATGCACCTTGCCTCTTGCAGGAAACGCATGTACTGCAGTTGTTAAATCTCCTTGGCTTCCAGCGCAGAGTCTGCAAAGAAGCCACTCACGATCCCTGGGCTTGCCTGAAGGTCCTCAAGGGCGCATGCTACAGCTTCTCCTGCAGACTCTACAAGGAATGAATGGTGTCTTACTGTCACTCTATGAGCTAAGAAGCCAGAATACTGTGCGCGCAGGGTGTGCGAGACGTACAGCGGGGGAAACAAGCGCAAGCTGAGCGTGGCAGTGGCGCTGGTGGGGGGCCCAGCGGTGGTGCTCATGGACGAGCCCTCCACCGGCATGGACCCGGGCGCCAAGCGGTTCCTGTGGGACCTCATTCAGAAGCAGGTCGTCGACCAGGGTGCGTGCTCCCCGCTTTACTCTTACCCTCACGTACTCTCATTCCAGACCAGGGTGCATGTACCACAGTCATGTTACCATATTCTCTTGCCCCTTCTGTTACAGCATGCGGTGCCTGCGGTGGGTGTCCCACCTTTGCAATTCTATCGAGACGTCAAGTGTCGGAATATCCAAATCCTGAAGGAGGAAGCGAACGATCAAATTTGGGGCGGCATGGGTATTGATTGATTTTATGGCATACATGGGGTGGTGAGGGGTCTTCGGGTGTCATTGCATTCTGCACACGGGTGCACCGTGTGCTGACATCAGAAGATCCATCATCATGATGGCTTTGACTGAGAAACCCTTCAGTCGAGGCGATAACGAGGTCGGCTGTGCTTCCGCGCAGGGCACACGGTGCTGCTGACGTCGCACAGCATGGAGGAGTGCGAGGCGCTCTGCAGCCGCATCGGCATTCTGTCGGCCGGCCGCCTGCGCTGCCTCGGGGCCGTGCAGCACCTGAAGAACCGCTTCGGCGCCGGCTACCTGCTCACCCTGCGCCTGAACAGGCAGCGCTCGGGTCCCCCTGCCGCCGCCGGGGGGCCAGGCCCCCCGCTGCAGCCTGTGGAGGCCGCTGCGGTGGCGTGGGTGCAGCGTGCAGCGCCTGCCGCGCAGCTGCAGCCGACAGGCGGCCGGTCGCCCGACACCCTCTGCTTCAGCATTGCGCAACAGGTGACTGTCTTCACAACCCACCATCCTCTGCCATGACATCATGTATGATGCTGCTGCTTGCGTGACTTCTAGAGATCTGAGTAACCCTCTATAGGAGTGGAAAGCTGCCGATTCCAGTGGAAGTGCTTGGCCGGTACATAAGTATGGCGATTTTTCAGTTGCTCACTTACAGATCATGTGAAATTCTGTCTAGAAGGCTTTCTCATGTCCATCAATCGCTGCGCCCATGCTGCTTTGCAGACCATGGTAGTGTCACACGGCAAGACATTCCAAAAGAGTGTGATTGGGGCTCAAGGGAATGTGCTGTTGGATGCCAAGGGCTGTGGGAGGATCATGGTGTTGAGCCAGCCGATGAGACTTGCTGTGGGTGTACAGGATTTGGACCTGCCGTCCCTGTTTGCCAGCATGGAGGCTGCGCGCGCTGAGCTGGGAGTGGAAGAGTACTCCATTTCGCAGACCACCCTGGAGCATGTCTTTGTGGCGCTGGCCGAGATCGGCACGCAGCAAGACAGCACTACTGCCATGCAGTGATGCAGTGAGTTGCATCGTAGCCGCCCAGCAGCAGCTGGCGAGTCTGACAATACTTCTGACGGAGCACTGCTGGTAACGTTGCATTGGATGTCATTGACTGATCAGTGCACCACAGTCGCTCAAGCACTCGCTCATTAGATGTTACATCGGCGCAAGCTGCTCTCAAACAGATGCCATTTACTTCGCTTTAAATCTATCAATATCTTTGGTGCAAGTTTGAGCCTGCTGCCATGTAGATTATTACCAGTTTGTAGCACAGATCTTTGGCTTTGTGTAATGGTACATGTCTGGTCATACAGTCATAGGCCTAGCGGCCCTTCAGCTATTGCCTTTTGTCGCATATTGATTAATTGCCATGTCTTTGTAAACTCTCTAAGGCAGCCACTGCTTCATCCGCCAGCTCTGTCAGGCCCCTCATTCTCAGAATCTGCATGCAATAAATACCTGTTAATCAAGACTGGTATGAACAGCTTCCTTAAAATAACCCAGCTCAACTTACTGTACACCACGGCTTTCCGGCGGACTCACCTCTACAAACGACTGCAGCTTATCACATCGCTTGATCTTGTGAATTCGCCTCTGCAGGGCCACCTCTGACATGGTGTTGATTCTGTAGAGGTTGTGCTCATCCAGCCCTCTTGCATCTGATGCCTGAGCTGAGCTGCTCTGGCCGTCCTTCTGGCAAAATGGTCTCCTGAATGATCATGTTGAAGCTTTGAAGATGTGATATGAATCTGACAAAGACTCTTCGTCACGCGAGGCCTGGACAAGGTTCCAACCAGAGAGCATTGAAGAAGCAAAAGGGTACCTGGGTTCCGGTACAAGTGCTGCTCGCAGCTCAGGAGCCTCCCCTTTGATACGTAGAGAAGCTCTGGTAGGGACATGCAGCCGCTCGGACCTTCTCGAAGGATTTTGAGGGTTGTTGTTTTCTATCTGTCGTTTCCTGCTCTTTGTTTTCACATACCGTCCTGAAGCTGCGAACGCCTCCAGCGAGCTGATTATACCCATTTCTACCAGAATCTGTTTATTTCTGGCTATCCTGTCAGCTCTCTGCCGCTCATAGTCACACATCAACTCAACTTCCAAGCCATCCTGTGTGCTTTCTGACGCAGTATCCATCCTTTCACTCCTTGTACCACGGCAAACATCAGCGACAATCGCAAAGAATACTTGCAATACTGCACCACATGTGCAGGTTGGCCGGCAACCTGCAGCTGTCCTGCCAAATTTCATACGTGGACAAATTTGAAGTAGATATACATGTACTGTACAGGCAATTTGTGATGCAATGTGGCATGTGTGCTGCTTGGTTGAAGAGGTGGAATAATGTGTATCTGAGCTGAACGTTGGAACACACTGGAAGGCAACAACTCTTGCAATTGCATGCAAGGCCCTGCGACTGGGATATGTGGCCAGCCAGTCAACTGCACTGGTTTGTGCGCATCGGGTATGGAACAATGAAAGCAAAAGATTTGGAATTTTGGATTCCAAGTGTTGATTGATGACATCTGCTGCAGCTCATCCTGCCTGTGCGCATGTTCGTATGACAAACTCCGTATGAATGCATGGATGGGAGCAGCACTGCCAGAGAATGCATCATAATCAGATCCAAGTGTTGATTGAGATTATTACAGGTTTCTTTCAGATATTGCTGTTCACAAGACAGGCTGCCAGAAACTGTTCAGACAGTTACTTTCAGTTCAGTTCGATAAGTCACGGTACAGCAAATCAGAAGCTCCTCTAAAGAATGGGTGTTTCAATGCGCTCAGAAGTTGCTCTTGGCGTCCTTGTAGGCACCTGGAGGGCAGCACAACAGCCAGTAAGCATGCTGCAATAATTTCGGGGAAAAGGATTGGACGGCAGCAGCAGCTGATAGCATGCCTGTCACTATCAGGAGGAGAGTTCCAAGAGCTGTGCTAGTCCAATATTCTTAATTATGCAGCAGCAGCAGCAGCAGGTCGTGAATTTTTGACTGGGAATATGAGCGCACCCTTGGCCTCGCCCTTAGCATCCTTGAACCTTCCCTTGAGGTCTCCCTTCACGTCCTTTGCAGCTCCCTCGATCTGCAATGAGCATCGACAGTGTCAAAACATGGAACAATCTGCCAATCCAATGGCCACAACTGACAGTATTCAAAATATTATCGGCCACGACAGCACCAGATAAAGGAAACCACAATAAATCGCACCCAAAATAATTTGTTCACCCAAATGGCATCACCCAATGCTGGTCAAGCAAGATGGTCAGTAAACTCACGGAGTCGTCGTTCTTGATGATCTTCCAAAGCACGAGGCCTCCCAGCACGGCGGCAACGCCGATCACGATTTGCTGCAGGAAATCACAGAAATAAGTCAGGGACACCTAGACTTTACGTGTGTCGCGCAATCTCCGACGCTCGCGCGTGCAAAAAGTCTTCATGCTGTGAAGAGATTTGCGCCACTGCTGTAGAAGGATACGTAGATCGTGTAGAGACGATATTTGATTCAAAGTGCAGCCGATCGATGAGGAGAGAGAACCTAACACAAGAAACAGATCGATCCTAAAAGGCACGCTGCTGACACGACACCTTTCCTAGAGAGTTCCACAGGGCCTCGTGATACGCAGGTGGGAAATCAATTAATAGATGTAGCTTCAAGCTGTGAGCAAGGCTTGCAAAAGTTTCGACCTCTCAGAATAGGAACAATCGCGATGGAACGTCCGGCATCTTCAATGTACCAGAAAGGGCACGAGCCAACACACTCCTAGATCCCTCAAACGCAAAGGATTTGGAATGAGACAGAAAGGTGTAAAAGCGGCAGAACCTGACAGGTTGCATACCCCATCAATTGTCAATTCCACCAACCACCCATCTACTGGAAGCTGTGGCGCTCGAGCATACCTTGATTGTCTGGTCGTCGGCGGCCATCTCTGCGAATTGGTTTGTTAACTTGTTGTCCGAAGAATCGAAGTTTCAGGTCGTTGAGAGTAGCAAAGAGTCTGTCAAGTGATCGAAGAAAGTGGTGGGTTTCCAGAAGGTGCGTCGCTGTATTATCCGGAGCGGAATACCTTGTTACCTCACAGCTCCACCCCAGCTTCCAAAGCCTTCAAAATGAACTTTCAAGTATGATCGCTTGGATTACGGACCCTTTCAACTGTGTATAAGTAGGCTTGATTAGGATAAACAGAACTGATGCCATGGGGGGGGATTGATTTGCATTGAAAGCTTCCTCTGCAGAGTGTAAAAGATTATCGACAGCAGTGTGTGGTGCTTCGAATGGAGTATTGAAAGGTGCGACTACGCTCTGCGTTCCTGTGGCTATACATGCTCAGATCAATCTGGGAACATATGGTCAGGAGCTTCACTCCTGAACTCTCTGTTGTGCAGGTGCATCAGTGCCTGGCCGTGCCACATTTCCAAACATTGATGCAACAACAGAAGCATCTGATGTGGATCCAGACGGATTAACAGCCAAATCTTACAAGAGATTCTGTAAACGAGGGGAGGCGATCCTGTCTTGGGCCTAGCGTGCTCAACAGCATTGAAATGATCAATGCCACCAGTGAATTCTGGGCACGTGATCTTAGCAGGGAGCCGTCCAAGGCTGCCCTTCAGGGATACAGTGGAATATTTTGCCTATGGAGCAAACATGTCAGGGCGCACCCTGCAGAAGAGGGGTGTCCACCCCATTGCAGTGGAGCCAGCTCAACTGCCAGCATCCTGGACCCTGGCTTTTGCCCACAGAGGCGGCTACGCAACTCTTATTGAAGAGCCCCTGAAATTGGGCAGAAGTGATCATGGGCCAGGACGTCTTTATTACCCCGGCCCTCATGGAGTACTGTACACTTTGACCTTGACAGAATTTGATCAAATTGCCAGCCGCGAGACTGGCTATCGCACAATTAATCTGGTAGTAGAGACATCTGTGGGCAAGCAGGTTGCAGCCAGGGCATTTCAGTCTCAGAAGCTGCTGCGACTCAGGGAAAGTCTGCCTCCCAGGCAGCAGTACCTGGATCTGATGCTGCATGGGGCCAGGGAGCATGGGCTGTGCGATGAGTACTGTCGGTGGCTTAGAGCAGTGCCCACAATAGCTTTGGGGACTCCGCTGGGCCCGGAATACTTTGAGACAGAGTCTGAGGCCCTAGCCAGGCTCGCAGCGGTGTCGCTGGCAGTTGCAGGCGGTTTCTGGGCTGCCGCGCATGGCAGCCGCTGAGTCGTGACAAGACAGCTGGCACTGCATGCCGGGCAGATTGTGGCAACTCATGACTGCTGGGCTTGAAGTCGCGCATGCAAGTGCATGTTTGCAGCCAGAGAGTGTGCCTCTGCCAAGATGGATTGAGGCCTCCCCATAGGGCCCGGGGTTAGACTTGAACAATGTTTATCCATGTGTGGCATACATTCATGAAGTAGAGCCTTCATGAGAGCTTGGTCCCTTGACGTCAAGTCGACTTGCAAGTGACTAGAGCCTCGGAAGTACATATGTATTACTCCTCAACACACGCAGTCAATTCCGAAATTGATCTCAGGAGTCCAATTATTGCAAATGATCGCCACGGTGTGCCGGCAGTGCTGGCAGCAGTACCGAAATCAATGAGGCTATAGCTAGGCTAGCTCCACTGCTTCCCATTATCGAGCGCATGTGTGCATCAGGCCTAGGTGCAGGCGCATGTCCACATGGAAAGTGGAAAGGAGGGGACGTTCCACACCCGAGGCCTTCAGGAATTTTGATACAAGAAGAGCATTGATACAAGAGAATTTCTGTAGGAGTACAAACGGGTGATAGCCTGCCTAAGACACATGCAGTAAGGGTGGATCAGCTGCAGCAGTAAACCTACCGTCAGCAGCATTGAAATCTGGCAAGCAACATGGAAGCAAACAAAGCGGATGGTATACAACTCTGGCTCAACTTCCAGGAGTCAACTTCCTTCCCCAGGTGAATCTCCTTGGCAGATGCAGCTGTCGGGCAGCTTCCCGATTGAGGAGATCCAGAGGGAAGCTGCGTCCTTTAATCTGATCTTACCTCGTTCTTTTGCCTTCGATTGAGTCTCACTTCCCGCATCTTCTAAACGCGCCAGAGCCCAGTAAAGCTTATTCATACGACGACCACTGCTTGCTGAACCCACGAAGCGTTCTCGAGACTGCACAACCATTTACCAGGTACGTGCACGGCCGGCCATGCCGCCAATTTCTGGTGAACGTGAGGCACAATGGCCAGCCCGTCGACAGCTGTGAGATTTGATGCTTTGTAGTTTTTAGAGAAATAAGAATCAGCCAAGGTCAAAGATGGAGACTTTCAGAGTGTCGAGTGACAGGTCAGCTGGGAACACCTCGGACACTGAAGTTGTAAGGATTTGAGTTTGAGTCATCTGCAGCTCTGGGTTTTAGCTTGTTTCTGACCATATCTTCTGTAAAGAAGGTGCAAGGCAGCAGGAATGGCTGTAAACTCAGCAGGAGAGGCAGATGTTGGCGGACGACCGGCTTTTGCGGTTCTGACTTCAATTTTGTGATGTTGCTGCAGGTCGTGTGAGTGAGTAGCGAAGATGACACAAGACGCTGGACAGGTGAGGAGTTGTTCTCAGTGGAGGCGAGAAGGATATTGCAAAACTTTCGAGTGCACATCTCAACGTATCACCCCCTCAGCCGTGCCCCTGGAGCGTTGACGAGGGTCTCCACAGGAAGAATCTAAACATTTGTCTGGCTTTGCAGTTCCTGCTTGCCCTTCTAGCTGGAGTTGGTGCCTTCACCGTCCTCCACATCTTGGGCTTTGGCACAATCTACAAGGTATTGCACTGTCGCCTCCTTACAATACAATGGGCCTGAGACATGCTGGCTGTGCCAGTTCTGAACTAACCGTGCTTGAATGATCTGGCTGACGTGGTGCTGATCTTTGCACAGGCCTCCTACGCCGGTTTGGCACTTGTTGGCGGTTTCTTTGCATACAAGGCTTTCAAGGGCGAGTCCTTGGACAATGCTGCTGGTGACCTGAAGGTGCGCCAATGTCATATGCCACCCACCATGAGATGATGCCTGTCAAATAGTTTGGTACAATGTTTGCTGCCCTTCCCCACGCTGTTCGTCTGGCCACTCCTTATGAATAGAGTGCGCGATCCGCTTTATAATTCCTTGCTGGTGATGTCTGAAGCTTTGAGAGTCTATTCAACTGACCTTCTGTGTGTTGCTGCAGCGCAACGTGAACAAGAACTACCGGGAAGCCAAGGGTGCCGTCGGTGATGCCTACAATGAGGCACGCAGCAAGGCCAGATAGACAAATTGTTGCCGCTTGAATGCTGAGAGTGTGCTGACTGTTCAGAAAATGATAAGCCTGCCAGAAATTTTGCACAGCTCTGTTCTGCGGGTGTACTTGTCCTGAAGGCTGCACAGACGCCAACGTGACGCCAATTTTGAACACAAGAGAAGTTTTCAAATTGCCTGTGTTGATCAACTGAGTTGAGACTGACTGAGATATGGGCTGTTCACCAATGCCAATACAGCAGGAGAAATGCCTTGTAATGATGTGTCCAATAATAATTTGTTTGGATCATCCACCTCTTGAAAGACATGCAAGGGTTGATGCAGTCCCAACAGGCCAGATGGTGGCGTATGCTTGTGCACACCCCACTGCAGTCTCCAGAAAATAAATTTACATTTAGATCAAGTGTTGTCCTTGCTTTCCATAATCCAGAAGTCTACCAATACCATACACAGGCACCTGTCACTAATTCATTAGCTAATCGTAAGGAGGGCGTCTTGAGATCTGCTATAGCTCACAGAGAGAATCATCTATCTAGCTGCCTATTCTAATCGTGCACAAAACCTGCATCTCCTTTACACATGTTATCAAATGACATTAACACTCCAACAAGTTGAATCATCATGTTCCAGTCAAGTACCCATCTGCCGCCTCCTCCTTGCGCACTGCCGGTAGATTTTACTACTGAACCCCTTTCTGCTGCACGTGTCCTAGGCAGGCTCCCACTCGTTTCTAAAAAAGTTCCGGTTCATTTAATTTCCCCCTTGCCCCAAGCTTCTGTAACCTTTGCAGCGACGCCTCTGGTCGGACCAGGCCGCGGCGGGGCCGTCCTGATCTTGGGAGGGGACGCCCCATGAGCCCTGCTCGCACAGCTGGCATGCGTGTCCATGCCGCCGTTCGACCCCGGCAGGCGGCTCATGCCGAACTGCATGGGCGATCGGAATGAGGCTGCCTCCGGCGACAGCATTTTGGGCTGTGCATTGTTTCCTGCAGACAGACAACTCCTGCCTTAGCAAGTTCGATCAGAATGTCTTTCAATTGTGCAGAGGAAGTCCTTCACATGACACAGAAGTTCATTGCTGCGGCATGTTGTTCTTCAGAACGTCCTGCAAAACACTAGCGGAGCTGCTGTTTGCATACCAACGAAGTGGATGAAAAAAGTCCCCTAGAAACAGCATCACTTTGCAAAGAGGCACGCACCGTTGATGGGGCGCAAAGGGGGCAGGGTGGGGTTGCTGAGGCTGAGACCGAGGGAGAGGGGCCCCGAGTCAACCCGCGGGCCGACCTCCTGCGCGCCCGGCTCGGCTGCGGAAATGCGCGCTATCACGCTGCGCTCGCGCTTCGACTGCGCGTTGCGCTCTGGGGACTGCGCCGCCTCCGGTGGCGCCAGCTGCACACGAAAGAAATGCTCATGTCAGACAGTCGTGCTCATTCCAGGAGCAACGCTCGTACAGACTTGCTAAGCAACACCATCTTTTTAAGAGCTCTCGCTGCGGCCGTGAGCCTGTCAGAGCAATACTCGCACCGACTGGTCAAGCAAGGTCTTCATTTCGTAATCTCTCACTTGTAGATTTAAGGCACCAAAATGCACATTTGCGTGTCCACTAAATATTGAAGGTGGCACGCAACAGCCGTGCAGCATGTCAGAGCAACGCTGCACAGGCTTGTCAAAGCAATTTCATTCCTCCTTATGAGCTCTCGCTGTGGCCCATTTGCTGGGTTGTGAATCAGATGCACCACGGTGCCTGTAAAAGCCTGCTTGTCAAAGATGGCTGAAATCATGGCACAGTCCCAGCACGGCCTGTTACACTGTTGGTCTCACTGGGTACCATCACCATGAACAGCAAGAATATTTCCCTTTTTAGGTTTGTCTCTGTTGTAATTGTACTTCCCTGTCTATTCTGCATTTAGCAGTAGCTTGGGGGCACCTGCTCGGTGGCCTGGGCGAGGGCGTCGGAGGCGAGGCGGGAGATGGTGCGGGAGGGGGCACCCGAGGGGGGCCCCCGGGGGGTCCCGGTGGGGGAGGTGGAGGGCGACATGAAGGGGCGGCCAAGGCCGGCGGTGAAGGAGGCGGCGCGGATGGTCCACCGGGGGGAATTCTTGGCCGAGCGTGGCCGCAGCGGCGCCATCGGCGACCCCGGCGCGCCAAACTTCTTGCTGACCGCCCCGATCGTCCTGCCAGGCGACAGTGTGTACATTGTTGGAATTGTCGAATGCCGAGGAATCTTATTTACAGCAAGATTCTGCATGCGGAAGGAGCATCGGAAGGCAGAAGGATTCAGCAGAGCAGCAAATAACTCATCATGCATACTTAGTGTCTTAGGGAGGTCTTAACAAGGTGCTGCCAGAGACATATTCTCCAGTCGTCCGTGCAGGCTCAGGCTCACTGCAAAAGTGCGACAAGAATCAATATTGAGGAAGCGACTGTAGCGCGCACTTGAGCTGCTTGTCGGGCAGCAGGAAGGCGGCGCGGATCTGGTCAACGGCCTCGGCCAGGGTGCCGAGCGAGCTGCCGATGAGTGCCGTGCCGCACCATGCCAGGTGGCGGTGCTTCTCCGCCTCCACGCGCGCCGCCTGCCCCGCCAGCACCCACCGCTCGCTCTCCGCCGCCTCCAACGCCTGCCGTTGCAAGTTTGCATCCCAGAATCAATACATGTATCTCGTGCGATCAAGTGAGCGCTTCTGCAACAGTCCTGCCAAGACTCAAGAAAAGAGACGCCCCTATCTGGGCATGCATGCAATTATCCGTTCGGGCGCCCCCCGTCGCAGGCTCTTCTGTGCAGAGATATATCTGATGGTTTCTATAGGTGTGCCTTCTCACTCATGTCCACAACGAGACATGCTCTGCATATTGCTCGCTTTATTGAGGAAAGGAGTGACGAGGACAATCTGACACCCGACACGCGGCACACATCAAGACCGGCACACAGTGAAGGAGACTGACCTTGGCATCGAGGTTGGTGCGTTTGAGCAGGCGGGCGACGCGTGAGGCTCTGAAGTGGCGCTGGATGACGCGCGCGGCTCCGCTGCGGCGGCGGTTGGCTTCCCAGACGGCCAGGAACGCCTGCCGAGACCGCTGCATACCCGCCAGCATCTGCTGCTCCTTCACCAGCCGACCCTTCATTTGCTGCTGAGTGTCCTGTGGCGGTCAAAATCACAGTCTTCAATGTGCCACAATACTATTGGATTGCTTAACAATGATTTTCATTGCACCTCGCTGTTTCTGCCAGCGACAAGTCGCAGGGCAAGGCTGTCAGCAACTCTGCGCCTTGAAAACTTGCCAGATTCAAGCAAGACCCAATAACCTGTGGGCATAATGTTCAGTGCCACTTACAACACCTTCACCTTCATTAACCATCAACCACAGCACAAACATTATGCAAGCAAGCACCAGGAGGCAACTGCCCAACATAATTTGGAGGATCACGGACCCACTGGAGCAGAATCAATCTTCTTTAACATTTTGGGGCTAGCCAAGCTGAGACCACACACTGTCGAGGAACAAGAGTCTGGCAAGGAGCGAGCAGCGAGCAGCGCACCTGCTGGGCCTCGAGCTCCCCCCGGAGCGCTTCCAGGCTCGACTCGGCCGCGGAATTGTCCTCCCGCAGGCGCTGCACGTCGCGCGTGAGGCCGGAGACGTCCTGGGACAGCTCTGTGATGGTGCCCTCGTACTGCGCCACCAGCTCCCGCTCCCGGCCCAGCTTCGCCGCCGCCGCCGCCTCCGCGTCTGCCAGCCGCTGCCGCCAGCGCTCCTGCGCGAATGTATGTGCACATGTTTCTACAGTGGCCTTTGAATTGCACCTATTAATGACATGGGTCTTTGGGCCTGCTAGCCATTATTATTGCAGGTTCCTCAGATCGTCTGTGGTGCCTTTGTTTGTCGTAAAGCAGCCGATGAATTTTCGAAGGCGCTCAACTCCGCGTGCTCCCTTCAGGTGCATTTTTGAGCACTATTCCTCTGGGTGTGGCTGAGACGGCTGCCTGTCACTAATCCATACATATTACACTCCGTTTGCCTGTTCATATCAAAGACCCATTGGATCTTCAAGGTCACCCCAGTATCAGGCCATCTACAGCTTTCCTGCTGTCCACTGCCGTTGCAGTTCTGATCGCTGCAAGTCACTGTCTGCTGTGCTTCCTGTTGGACTTCTCAAACGGCATACATTCCCATCAAATTGCAATTGCATTTGTGGGAAAGGGATCTTTGAGCCTGTCATCATCTCAGCTGGAGCTTCCTCGATTTGTCCATGCTGCCTGTGTTGGCCACGACACAGCCGATGCGCAAGAACCTCAATCTGCAATTGTGAGCCTATTTCTGGGTCATGGAAAATCACTGAAATTGGTCCTCGTAGGAAGTGTTGACAGGAACATGCACATGGGGCACGGGTCAACTTGCTGACCTCTGTGGTGCAAGTGTCCTCGTGCTGCTCCAGCTTGAGGCGGGCGATGTCGGTGCGCGCTTCGGCGGCGGCCTGGTCGGCCATGCGCAGCCGCTGCTGCAGGTCTGCCAGTTCCAGCTGCACTGCTCGCACCGCCCCATCCCTCTCCAGCTCCACCTGCTGCCTCAGCCGCCCCTGCCACACCCACACACGCCTCTTTTTTCTTGCTTTTTTCACTGCGAGAGCACCATCATTTCTTTTGTCTCCATATTCAAAAGTGGGTTCAACTGTGCCTTTGCAATGTGCTCCAGGGCAAGATCTCCACAAATGTACAGAAATTTTGGCTAGAAGCATCTTTAAGCGTTAGACATTTAGGTTCAGAGAAGTTGAACATTTGGTTTCAACAAATTTGAACGTGAGACACAGCACAGCATCCCACCTGCTCCATTTCGTGGGCAAGTGTGAGCCTTTGCAGCTGGGCGTCTGCCTGCCGGGCGGCCAGCTCGCTCGCGCGCGCATGCTTTGCCGCCATGCCGGCGCAGCGTGCGTCCGACTGCCGAGCAGCTTCCGCCAGCTCAGCGCCGTGCTGCGCCGTCATCGCCTCCCTCTCTGCCGCCATGCGCCTGCACAGAGTCACACTATGGCTGATCAAACGCTGATCTGAGCCTTTGCACGGGGATGCCCTGGAAGTGCGGTTTGATGTTTGTGTTCAAGAGCCTGCAAGCACTAGGCCTACCTGGACCCCTCGGACATAAATGGGCCTCTAGGGAACTTGCAAACAGTTTCACATAGGGAAAGAGAACCCAATGGATAGGCTGCAAGCAGGATCAGTTTATCAGGTCATGAGGGGGAGCAAACGCCTTACCGGGCGAACTCCTGCTCTTTTTCTGCATGCTGTTCCTGCAGCGCATGCACCTGCGCCGCGTGCCTTGTCACAGTGCCCTCCATCAGGTGTGCGTGCTGCTCCTCGGTCCGCAGCTGCGCCTCGGCCCGCGCCTGCAGGTCCTCCGCATGCTGCCTGCATGTGCCAAGACACCCTCTGTACTAAACATCCCAGTCGTGTCAAAAAAGCAAATGCTTGTAAATAACTCCAGCTCAGAGCTAATGAGGAAGGGGGGCTTCCTTGGCGTTCTATTGTAAAATTCAAGGTGCAGGTCATTGGTGCAGGTCGTGCCTGTTGAGGGCGTCAAGCTGAGCCTGGTGCTGGTCAGCCAGGGACTGCAGCTGTGCGTCTCGGCGCTGCAGGGCAGACATGTGTTGCCTGTTCAGGCTGTCCAGGCTCTCACGATGCGAGCTCGCCAACTGCTGCACCTCTTGCTCGTGCGCCAACAGTGCCGCTGCATGCTCCTGTCCAGCAGCAACAAGGTCTTCACATTGCAGCTCTAGCATACCGTACATGGGAGACACTGCAGTTCGGGGGAAAGATCTTTGAGGGATGCGAAGAAGAGTGTCACAAGGCGCAATGCAAAAAGCAGAGCTAGGCTAGGTGCACCTGCTTGGATTCGCTGAGCTTGTTCAGGGCCTGGCGCAGTGCCTGCTCAAGCTCTGCCTTCTCTCGCGCATGCCTGCTTGCCATGTCCTCTGCTTCTGCCTACAGCCACAGCCATACTGAAAATATTGACATCGCTAATCAATGTAAGACATGTACAAACCACTACACCATCATTGAGGTTGAGGGCGTGCCTGGGTCTGGCTGAGCATGGATGACAGCTTGCCATGCTCGTTCGCTAGGGCATTCCTCTCCTTCTCCAGATTCTTCATTATGTCACTGTTGCGCTGGCGCTCCTCCTGCAAGCAAACAATGCCTTCAGGTGTCTAAATTTTGGGAAAAAATCACACTCTTAGCCAGAGGGGCATTTCACTTGGCAACAACACAAGATTGCACAGGCATTGTCAGCCTTCATGGGGTGACTGGACCCATATTGTCCACACATGACATCCACCCAGCAAGCAATAATTTCCGGTGAGTCTGAGTACCGGTAAGTTCTAGAGGACATGTATATACAGACGGGCAGTTACAGGGTGACAAGTCCACGAGCCTCAGGTGGCTCCCAACAGGTCTCTGAAATGTAGTAATAATAATGATACTGATAATAATTGTAATCTCAACCATAACATCTCACAATAAGGATAAGCACCTGTTGGAGGCTGCCCAGGGCTTCCAGCTCCTCTTCCTTGGCCAGCAGAGTGGCTTCGAGCAAATGGGACTTATCTTCACGCTTGTCCAGTGCCGCAACCAGCTCCGCATTTATCACCTTGAAGTCCGTGTGCTCGTTCACCACTGCCTAAAAGCAGACGACAGCCCATGTCAGCATATTACTTAAATATTATCATTATTACACACTTTTATTGCCAAAAGGCAAGGTCCAGCAGACAAGCTGCACTAAATGGCTGGCACAAATTAACCACAGGATGGATTCGCCAGATCCAAGCAAGTCCCAGTCAACCGTCGGCGCGGTGCTCAATATCAAACCGCGTTCGCCAGCCGTGCAGTACATTCAGCCCATACACAAAAGAAAGCATACATACTGGCATTGAACGGTGAGCGGTGTTGCACAGGGCCAGTGAGGTCCTAATCCGTGCTGCATAAAGGTTTTGTATCACCCCAGCCCGGATACTGAAGGGCACCCCAACAGAGCGCTGGTGTCTATTCATGCCTCGAGCAAACACATTGCACAGGAGGTTTGAGTACATGCTGCTCATGCAAGCAAGGCAGGCAGTTGGCTCATGCTGGATCTCCTTGAGAGTTTTTGGTGGAATATATGGCGGTGTAAGTTGGCGGATAAACCTTGAATATTATTTGGTAGAGTAAATGGTGAGGTAAGTTTACTGGCCTGTGTGTGGACGCGCATGGCACGGGAGCCAAATTGCAGCGACTGAAGTGTCTCGTCTACGTGCTGCAGGGCATTCGCGACTGCAATGACCAGAGAGGTCTTGGCATTGCCGCCCAGGGACTCCTGATGCATCGATAAAAGTTCTTTTTAGCTTTTGCGTAGCAGTCATTTTATATTGCATGCAGCAATCCTTGGTCTTCCGCAGATAGCAGCTCTTCCACAGCTCAGATTGCAGCCAGTCTGTCAGTGATCTTTGTGCAGAACATCATACATGCCGCAGCAGCCCATGTGACAATATTCTGCACTGTTCTTGCACTGCATCAGGGAGGCACTCAGACTGACCTGCAGCAGGCGTGTGAGCTTGGAGTCTCTGAAGGGGACGTGGGTGGCATTGGGGTCTGCGCGCGCATTGATGCACATCCCCAGAGTGGTCAGCGACAGGTTGATGCTGACCGCCTCGCTGGCGCGCAGCCCTGCACACACCACATGCACCGGTGACTCACTCGTGCATAATTCTGCTGTCTGCCCGATGCTGTATGACAAGTCCTTCGGTAAAGACTGCGACTCTGCTGTCGTTGTTTTTTCGTTATGCAACCTGATGGCGTGCACATCATGAGAGCATGCTTCTTCCATCCTGACTGTGTATACATGGGAGTCATGCTGTGTGAGTGGACCAGGGTGACCTCTAAATGGGGCAAACCTGTTGCCTGACGTCCAAAGCATGAATATACGTGAAGACTATCCTGGCTCATTCTATGGGGCACTTGGCATCTAAAATGATGAAATCCGAAAGATGGGAAGAAATGCAACCTGCGCAAGTGCATGGTAAGTAAAAGAAGTCTAGCGGGTGTGGAGATGGGCACCTGTGGAGCGGCTCTTCTTGAGGCGCTCACTGCCGGCGAGGTCGACGAGGAAGAGCTTGCCGACCTTCACCTTCTGGCCGAGCGCGCGGTTCTGCGGCGCCGCGTTGGGCCGCTTCATGATGGTCAGCATCACGATCGCGTGGCTGCGGCTGGAGTGCGCGTTCAGTGCCGTGAATGCAAACACCCTGGGCAACAAGATATCTTATTATTCACCCACAGCATTGGACGTCACATTTTGGTTCCTAGATGTTGATCTGCTGAGCCTTACTTGATTGGTCTTGGGATATAAGAGCAGTTGTGCAGCTGTCGTGAATGCAAACACCCGGGACGCCAATCAGTACAACTAATTCACAGCATTGGAGGTCACGTCCTGAAGTCTTGACTGTTGAGCCACCGACTCTTCCTTGATGATTTTTAGAGTGCAATCACAATTATACGGCTGCAATGATCGATCTGTTCTTCCTATTTGACTTTTAGAGTGCAATCGCAGTCATGCAGCTGCAGGGATCAATCTGTTCTGTCGGCACAGATAGCACTGAATTCTGCGCATTATAATTGTGCAAGCAGGACATGCTCACTTGCTTGGAAGTTCTGGGTACAAGGGACTCTTCAAGGAAAAATCACCCTCTGACGTTGCTGGACATATATTTTAGTAGGTGGCTGGTTTGGGGACGCGCCTGTTTCGGTCGCCGATCTGGAGCAGGTGCAGGCAGTCCTCCATGTTCTTGACCTCCACCTCGTGCACACCCGCCACAAACACACCGTCCTCTCCCTCCCGGATCTGCAGGTCGTTGTTCTGGGGCTGCAGCAGATCCTGCACAGCCACAAAACACAACATATTTCACTTCAGGCAAGCTCAACAGTGTTGCCCAATTTTCTCCTCTTGAAAGTCCTGTCTCTCCCATATTCTAACACAACAAGACAAATATTGAAACATTGAACAGGTGCCCGGATTCTTCTGCCATGCATAAAGTGGGTACCAAGCACCTTGCAACACTTGAAGAGTCCAGATCTGAGCTGACGATAATAACCCATGCTGGGAAAATGGTGAATGAACTGGGTTCCAAGATGGATGGCACACCTGCAGGAGTTCCATGTAGATCTGGATGTAGGACATGACGACTGTGTAGGTGTTATCCGGATCGCCGGCGATCTCTGAGAAAACAACCGAGGCCGCCCGGGGCATCATGCCGATGGCGTCCGGCGCTATGCTGGACAGCGTGTAAGTCTTGCCGGCCCCCGTCTGGCCGTACGCCATAATTGTCCCATTGTAGCCGTTGAGCACATCCGCCACTATTGGCTGCACTGCTGCCTGGAATACATCTGCTTGGGAGGCGTCCTCTCGGAGCACCTGGAACATGACATGCAGCAAGTTTTGTCACTGCACCTTCCAGGAACTCGAGCGCCGCGCCCAGTCTTTGGGCGACATGTGCCCACACATGAGCACCCAGACATCTGCTGGCAATGCAGTGGGGAATTCACTGATTTGCTCCTGAGCATGCTTCTCGCGAGGCCCTCCTGAACCAGCCGTGAGTGGGAAGGCCTGCATCCTGTAGGATGCAGGAGATGATGCAGTTGAAGGTGCAGTGTAGGAAGCATCAAATAGGGGTATGGAGCCTCTCAAGTGGCGCACCTTGTCAAACTCAAAGCCGGACTGGGGAGCGATGCTCTGACTGCAAACAGCACACAGCTGGCGTCAGTCCAGGTGTTATGAGCCAGGCTTGGGTCTTTTGTGGTCGTGGAACATTACAGAGCAGCAAGCATGCAGGATGGTGGGTAGGTAGCGGAGCTCACTCCCTGTACAGGACAATGCCCTTGTTGTCTGGAGCAACAGTGATTGCTCCTCCTGTCTCTGTGCCTTGGGGTGGTCGCACTCGCACAACTACCTTCACCCTCTCTGCAAACAGCACGAGCCTCCTTCACGTCAAACCTTAGTGCTGTTGAAAGTGTGCACCGCCTAACCGCCTGATCAAACTTTGCAAAGAATATCTCATTTTGATCAAGGTGCTACACAAGGGAAAGGACAACTGGCATTAAAGCTGTGCCTACCTCCTGAGTGGTCAGCTGTGCTGCCAAGACTGCTCCTTCGAGGCACCGCCGGAGCTCTGCTGGTGGCATTCTGCAAAGGGGATTTTGTGGCATCGCTTGCGCTGTATCTGGGTGGGCGCCTATTGTGTGGAGCAGCAGGAATCCCTGAACTGCTCTCCTGGTCCATTGCTTTAAGTGAGCAAGGACCTACTGGTTCTTGCGGCTGCGTGCGTCAATATATGTCCTTGTAACTCGTCATCATCGAAACTGGTCTAGACCACTCGGCTGTCGCCACTTTCCTTTGTGTACAACGTCAGCCTGACAACTGTTGCACTAAGCACAGGCCTGAAAATGGCGAGCCGAGTCTATTACAATACATGCTGAAGTCTTCTGGAATCGAAATATTAATGTATGTTTGTTACTCCCCTCTCTCGCACAAGGTTTGAACCTTTCGCAGCATCATCTTGAAAACTAGTTCACGGCTCAGCACTCAGTGTTTTGCATTTAAAGGATCCAGTCCGTGGAGCGACAAGGTAGCAGCTACTAAAGACGTACGCGGGACGTTGGTGCAGCCGGATCCATTTGCAATTGGCAATGTCACTGGCTCGTGCATTTGCTGAACGGTCAGCTGTTCAGTGGCGTTGCAAGTCCACATGCATGTTCTTGAAAGTTGCTTCAGGTCTTTGAAAGACTGACTGACTGACTGACGTGGATCTAGGACATCAAATTGTTCTACAAGAGACCCGCCATTTTCAAATGGACAATCTTACATGCATGTCTGCCTGGACATCTGAAACAGCGACCCTGGTGTGTTATGCATGCATGCTTGTGCTTACCGGTGCCACATGCATGTGTTATTATTATTATCATGATAGTATTGCAGGTCGGCAAACCCAAAGCCAGAGGCCAAAAAGCATTCACGCAGGGCGTCTGCAGCCACATCTGCGGGGCCTTCATTAGTCTGCAGCCTGTATACAGCTCACTGGCAAAGGCCTTTATGATAGGTCAACTTCGTATCTTGATCGTGATGAAAAGCCAGTGAAGCTGAACTTACTGTAGACATTAATCCTGACGAACACTAGCTGTACAAGAATTCATGTCCAAGGAACCCTCTTATCGCCGTCACTTGAGAAGCCAGTTTGCAGCGTTTTGACATTTAAGTGTTTTTGCCCCTCCAGAAGCCTTTCCCAGACCCAATACTGGACTGTTACAAAATTCTCACGAGGTTCTTGCAGTGTACAGCATGTGGCAGCGATCAGTCTACCAACATTGCTGTGCTGGTTTGCTGAAGGCTGATCACCCGCTTCAGCTCTTGATTCAGCTCCTGTGAAACACCCAACTTTTGAGACCAATGAACGCGCTTTAATGCATTTTGGTGATAGTATTTCACGAACATTAAAATACCCAAAGGGAGGCGAGGAGTCCATCAGCATTCAAAAGAGAATTCCTACATGGCATCACTCTGAAGCAGCACTGCATGGCTAGGCTGTGGTAGATTTTGTGCCCAGCAAATGACCACACAGAGGGAAGCTGATGCATACCTCTTGGCGAGCCTGGTACTCTGGGCAGAATTCCACCAGGCTCAGAGCAGCCTCCATGAATTGCTGAGCTTCTGGCAGGCGCCTGTATTTGGCGTGGTGGCAGCCACGGTTCCAGGCGCTGGTGAGCAACCATGCAAGTTCCCTCCAAGGGTAGGCACCTGGCTGCAGACTGCAGAGCAGCTTTCTGGCGTCCTGAAGCAGGCTCAGCTTCTCTGCATCGCTGCCCAGTTCCATGACGCTCCTGATCGTCTGCACAGCACCAGCCCATGTTCCTCATGGTTGAAGGCAACAACACGTGCAGCGGACCTGTGATACCACACAGAATAGATGCTGCCAGACAGGGTATGCAGTTGTTGCTGCGGGTGTGGCAGCGTGCACATGACACACGAGCAGGGATTTTAATATGACTCATTGAGTTACTAGGGGTTGAGGAAAAGTGACCAGAAGAGCATCACCTGTGCCAGGATAGCCTCTTTTGATGAGCTCCCTTCTGCCAGCAGTCCTTTCAGGCCCGCCTTGAAGGCCTCTTTGGCCACGGAAGGAGCATGGTATTGAGGGCCTCTGCACAGCTTTGCCAGCTGCAGGAAATCCTCAGCCGTGAAGCCGCTTGTCGCCTTGCATTTCTCCAAGACAGACAGCTGTGAGGCTTCATCGCCTTTGCGCGTGGCAATGTCAAACTCCTGTCAATCCAGAACACCATGGCGAGATCATTTCTGGCACAGCCAGCTAGAGTGGTCCGCACGTGGGCACTTGCATGAAGAAGTCCTAGGTGTCTACCTTCCATCTATCTATGAGTTTGCGGCTGTTCCGAGCTCCCAATCCCTTATCTTTGGAGCTTGATTTGCATTCAAGCAGGCCATAACAAGGGTGGGACAGATTTGCTCTGGTGCTCCTCTAGATGGGCGGACCAACCCCTTCCAGAGAATGGGACTCACATGCAGGCTGCAAATTGAGCCGCACCATCTTGAGAAGACAGATTGAGGTCCTCCTGATGTGCTCTTCAGAGCCGGTCTTGCTAGTGTGCGGCAGAGCCTTCATTGCGTCTGCTGTTGCCTGTGCCTGCTGGAGCATGTGCTGGGCCAGACTCAGGCTGGGGCGGTGATTCGGGTGCTTCATGTGAGCTTCCAGTGCGCTGAATGTAGCCATCGCAAATGCATCCTGCACCACCCCATGTCCACTCATCAGTCACTGCGCAGCAATTTCGTGGAAAGGGAAAGGCACTGAGTGTGCCATGAACCCTCTATGAACTCAAAAGCTGCCGGTTGTGCATGTGTTCCTTGATGAAAACAGCAAGGGATATACCATTCTATTGCCAACACTGCGCGTGCTGGCAGTCCTGAAGCCGCCATAGAAGCTGCCGGCCGCGCCGAAGAGCACAGCTGCGGACATGTGATCCTCAGCTTTTGCCGCTGCCAGTCCTGCATTGAAGGCACTGTCTGCGTACCATTCCACATGTGCATTCCTGCATGACGCAACACAAGATTACTACAGTAGGGACTGATTCAACTCCAGGGAATAGGGACACAGTGACAGTCAGCTTGGGTGCTTCAAGCCTCACAGTAATGCATTGTATGGATACGTGCAAGTATTGGAAAGCGCACTCACTCATTTCCAAAAAAGCGTCCATAGCCCACTGCATCAAAGCGCTGCTCGGCCTTGCTGTAGTAAGTGCAAAGCTCTGTGTGCACGGACACAGCCTTATTTGGACCTTCCAGCTCCACCTGACCAGCCGTGATGCTGGCAGGCTGTGTGCAATTGCCACTGCCAAGATCATATCCCGCTGCATCTTCTGCAAAACCACGAAGATGCAATCATGTTGCACGCACTTTGTGGGTGATTGAATAGCTGCATGCACGTTTGGGGCAGAAAGGGAGCACTGGATCAGAAACCAAATCTCTTCAGTTTTACTTGCATGCCTGCTGTAATTTTGATGAGGTTGCGCAACACCGCGGCCTCTTCTCCTGGCTTGTGCCCCTCCTTCTGACCAGTCAATCGCTCGTAGAGGCATGACAGGGCATGCTTTGCTGCTGGTGTCACTTTTGCCGCCATGGCTTCTGTGCAGATGACCTGCAGGAATGGAGATGTCAGTTTGAGCGCTGAACAGCTGGCAAGCTGAAAATATAGGTGCTGAGAGGTGTGCGCACGCGCAAGAAGTCCAGATCGAACTCTTCGCATGCGATCATTTTCTGCATCTCATCCACAGCCTCATCAGCAGCGCCCTTCATGAGCAGGAGCTTGATCTTCACAAAAATGCTGTAGATTGACTCTGGTTCCAGCTCCAGGGCTACTGCCAAGTACTCCAAAGCCCTGTGAGCAACAGCAGTAATACATCAGAGTCACTCACTTGGTTGAAGCAATGGCTCATGGCTTCACAGTCCTAAAATATTGCTATTTTGCCAAAACTAAGACGCACAGCGGACATCATAGCCCGAAAGGCCAAGTGTTCTTCAAAATGGTTCATTTTGTCAGACTTCCTCACCGGTCAAGGTCCTGAGTGGCCATGTGGGCAAGGGCGAGCTGCCTGGCAACCACTGGTTTTGCTCCATCATCTGCATACATGAGCGCCGCTTTGTAGAAGTCTGAGCAGGCAGTGTAGGACTTCTTTGTGAAGAGGTGCGTGCCGTGATTCCACAGCATGATGTAGAGCGCCTTTCTGTGCTCCTTCGCCTGCACATCTTCCTGCAGCAGCAGCACATTTGATCAGATAGAACATGCTTGCTGTACATTAGATGATGCATGCATGCTGTCAAAGAGATTGTACATGCAATTAAGCATGGGAGAGAGAGGTTGACCCTTGTCAGCATGTCCACAACATTCTCCTCGCTGACTATCTGCAGTGCGCATTCTCCATGCTCTGTGCTCATTCCCTGCACAGCATCACCCTTGTCATGACAGTAACTCCCTGTGTATGCTAGTCTCTCTCTAACTGTTCGGCTACATGAAATTGAAATGCAGGGCTCATTGGAACTTTGAAACAGTCACTGCTGGGCTTTACTAGCCGCACCTCTCCCTTGAGGCCCATGATATTTTCCACAACCTTTACTGGCACAAATGTTTCTCCAGGAAAGCGATCTATGATTAGACTGGCGGCTGTTCTGAGGCTTTCGGCCCCACTGTTTGCGTTGATCAGTGCAGAAATGGCTTCCAGGCAAAGCTGAGAAGAAGCATCACTGTGGGCTGCCAGCGCAAGGAGCTCCTGTTCTGCCTTATCTGTCTGGCCCATCTGCACTCAACATGGCAGTCAGCACCAGAGTATGGCTGGCAAGGAATCCACTTGATCCTTCTGAATATATGGCAAAATGCATGCCATGCACATACCGCGGTGAGAGCTTGAATGGCTGTCAGGAAGACAGCAGGCTGTGACGCGTATTCTTCTTGAAGCTTGCGCAGATTGTGCACGCACTGAAGTGCTGTTGCTGCCTTGCCATTGAGCAGGTAGCCTTGGGCAAGCAATCGCAGCACCTGCCAACCCATCAATCATTGCTCAGCAAAGGGTCTAGTGGACATGACTGTCTGCAAAGCAGTGAAATCATCACCTGTGCTTGCAGATCGCAGGCATCCTTCTGATACATCTCAAAGTGTTCATCATCTTCGTCAAGTTCCTGCAAGCATGCAGAATATGATGTTTCCACATTGCAGTGCATGTAGTGTGCAGCCCCTTCAATAAACAGTATGTCCCTCCTCAAGGGCATGCTGGATGTTATCAATTACATTTGTCGTCACTCACCAGATGGCCTGTGATGAGGTTGTACGCATTGTCCAGCAGGCCGAGGGCATCTGCATCCTTGGCTTCAAGATATTTGATACCCTGCTCCACCAGTGTCACGATCACCCTCTGGCAAAGGTAGAAGCGCTGTCTGGATGGCAAGTACTGCTGCTGCGCCAGTTCTGCAGCATGCGCAAGCATGTCGACCGCCAATGCCTGCATGCAGACACCACAGCAGATTCTTAGCAGCTTTTGCGGGGTGCATATGCTGGCATGTGCTGGCATGACTTAGACAACAAAATGACTGGCAAAGAGCATGACATACCCTCTGCTGCAGCTGCCATGCGTTCTTTGCCCTGTGGATAGCCAGCAAGCAGCACTCCTCTGCATGCTCTTGGAGGAGGTCCTCTGAAGGGTTGATTTGCTGAAGGTCCTTAAGCAGGCTGACACAATACTCGTGCGCCTTCCCAAAAGATGCCTCTGCTGCTTCAAACTCCTCCAAGTCTGAATGTAAGCAGCCGATCTGCAGCAGATATCATGCACCCTCAGGGGACACAAACTGTCCATGATCAGATTCACAATTGCATGCCCATGATATTTGTGCGCATGGGAAAGCAAACAAACATGCATGCATGCATGAAAAGTCGCTTGGCATACCTTGTGGTAAAACGTTGCCTTGGTGGCCCGCTCCTCAACTGAAAGGTCTGAATCTTTGATGAGAGTGAGCAGGTCACTGCAGCCAAAGGCGTGCACTGCTCAGTGGCCGAATTTGTGCTTGGCAGGCTAAACAAGCACAGTCGTTTGGAAACACAGGATTGTCCCTCACCTGGCTGACTCTCTCAAGGAGACCATCCATTCTTCAGACTTGTTGCTCTCATTCTGCTTCACCACACACGCATTCTGCAACAACGAGACGCTCTGAAGGTTCTCTCGATGTGTCTTTTGTCTGGGACAGCTTGGCCGTTGTGTGCACAAAAGGCTTACCCACAGCTTGCAGACGATATGCCACAGATCGACCCTGTCTTGCTCAGGGAGTTCGTTGGAGGCATTGCTCCTTCCAGCGGATAAGACTGCAAAGATCACGGGATTGATGCGGTCCTCAAGGGCGCTGCTGTCGACAGCAACGTTTTCAGGCAGGTCTGGGATACACTCGTCAACAACCTCTTTCGCATGCTTGATGGAGGCAGTCAGTGGGCTGAGAATGACTGACGACATTCTGGAAATGCGTGTGCCTGCAGCGCAGTGATTTGCGTCTTGAATGAGAGCGAGTGGAACATTGCATGCAGGGAAGAGGGGCAATGAATTATTTCCAGCATACAATATTACATCTCCCCCAGACCCATGCAATCTCTTCCACTCGACAAACCACTGAAGAAGCTGAGGTCAAGCACAAGTCAGTCAATTGCATCGAGATCCTTCTGGCCAGGAAATGTCTCCCCTGGGTCATCCCCCAATCTTGTGAACCGCTCTGAAACCAGGCCGGATGTGAAGCATGCACCCATGAACTCATTGATGGCCTCTTTCTCCCCCAATTTGATGAGTGTTGTGAAGTCTGGACAGAAGTTGACTTCCAACAACTGCGGGCTGCATCTCCCAGATGGCCCTCTCACCAGGAGCACATCCATCCCATAAATAGCCCTGCTGCGCGGCCACCTTCCAATCTGTGGACATGTCAGAAACCACATCACTACATCTGAACCAGGAATGAAAAATCCCTCTGATCTGAGCAAATACAACCAAAACATGTAGCAAACCAGAAGAACTGTGAGTTTATGTGGGCAGCAAGCCAGCAATGCTTCACCTGCGCCTGTGCAGCGGTGACCAGGCTGCGAGCCATGCCACAGAGGTCCTCCTCAAATTCAGCGACATTTATGCCTTGTCCCTCCAGCTCACACACCACCTCGCTCTTTAGTACCATCAGCTGCAGATTCAGAAATATGCCTCAGACCCACTGCACCACGCCAGAACATTGGATGCTAGCCATGCATGGCACGTACCATAGCACATGCATGCGCGCTTGCATGCCCCGGGAATTGGAGTTTAGAACCAGGTGAGCATCATACGAAGGGATAGTTGGCAGATGTGGTGCAGGAATGGAAATCAAGGATGGGACTTTCTTTACCTGGGCACCACTGACAGCAGGGTCAGCATCATAGCAGGCGACAGTGAAGTGGCTCTCAAAGTCAGTCTCTGTGGCACTGACATCTGAAGGATACTCCCTGTTGGCCACCCTGGCATACCACTTGGTGTGCAAGTACGCTTCTGCATCTGCAAAGCTCCGCACTACCAGGTAGACCTGAACCAAAGCCAAAAACCTTCAAAACACATGCATGGCGTTCCCCAAGGTATACGAAAGTGCTCCGCTGCAACCTCAGCATTTCAGAGCATTATCTCCACTACTCAAAGAATCATGGCAAAGAGAGCGTGAAGAAATGAGGGCTGTGCACCCACTCGGAGGTCCATCTTGCGCCCCTTGAAGAGCACAGGCCTCTCCACGTATTTCTGCACTACTCTATCTCCACCAGGGGCTTCCCTGTATCTCACGATCAGCTCGGCAGAGTCCGTCAGGCATACATCTGTGCTGCGTGCGCCTTGCGCCAGCTTCACCACCCAATGGTTGTCCTGCCCTGCTTCTGCGCGCTGCAAATTGCACACACATTGACAATCTGGAAGCTGCTGCCGTTGAATTTAGCAGCTTGAGGCCATGATGCGGCTCGCACGCTAATAGTATCTTTCATTGTACACGCCATCAGACTATGCACAGCCACAGTCCGGGACCACACATGCTATTCAGGTCAGGAGCAAGCTCCTTCCTCCAGAGTTGTTGCCTCACCTTATTGTAATCTTGCAGGAAGAAGTGGGGCTCTGTTGCCAGGTCATAGGTGGCGGGGAACCAGGATGGGAAGGAATCTGCTGGGCTTCCAGAAGGAGCTGCGGCCTGGGGATCGGCGTCCGATGCTGCTGCATGGAATCGCCTGAGCGTCTGTGGCAGCAGGTCTTTGCGGATTAAACATGCTTCGAAGGGGAATTGATTCACCAGCTGGTTGCTGCGCATCCACAGCAAGGTGTCAGATTTGACAAGTGGCAGAAACTTTAGAATATGGTGATAAAACCTTGAAAAGTAAGTGTTCATGGTATTGATCACCCCGCACTGATATGGATACTACAGTTCACATGTGTCAGCATTGAAGCCCCAGAAGCAGCTACCTGGGCGATGTTGAGAAGTTCCTGACTGGTGTGGATGTGACAATCACATCTGCGGTATCTCTATCCTCGGTCAATTTGAAGACTGGCGCTGTCAGGTGCTCCTTTACCAGTGGGTAATCAGTCCACATTGTGATTTGCTTGTTTGACACCTGCAAGCGTAAGAACAATCTGCAATTTTGGCTGAATCGGTATCTATTGCCTTCAGCCCCTGCAAAGTATACATTTTACCACAGTATACATGTGTTTTATGCTGTGCCAATAGCAGAGATCTTACCTGTGCAGGCAGGCTTCTCTGATCACCCACCAAGGTTTTACCCGGCACTGGTGACACCCCAGGAAGAACCTGGCCGGCAACAGCACTCTCCACGGCAGCCTTCAAGCCCTCATACTCCGCATCATGCGCCCACCTGATGGGTCGCATCACCATGCACGTCAGCTGCAGCCATTGTGGTAGAAATTGAGACCCTTTGCCGCACGATCAAGGCGTCATGAAAAGGGGATCCCTTCTAATGAAAAAAGCGGGAGTTGCACTTGAAAATGGGTTTTCATTTCACCCAAGATGGTGAATAACTATCTATACCTTGCCCTCTCACTCAGCAGGAACAACAGGCATGCAGCCCTCTGCAAGCTGCGCGAGCCTGGCAGGTGATCGCGGACCAGCTCAGCGCCAGCCTTGATTGGGCGCAGTGGCCACATCATCACAGCTCCATAGGGCGCTGCGCTGCCCTCCCCAATTGTATCTGCAACCGGCTGTGGAAGGGGCACAACTGCACACCATAGTAAGGAGCGTCATCCTAGACATTAAGAGGATGGTTACTGTATTCAGAATGGCACGGAGTTTGACAATACGGGACATTGCAGTACCGATTGCATACAGTAGCACAAGACCCGTCCCCTGAGAGCGGCATCTGGTTGCTGATCTAGGCATGAGCGGGCACACTTAATAATGCTCACCAGCAATGTTGGGATCCTCCCCATGGCGTGTCCACAAGGTATCCTTTGGCTCCATGGTGAACAGTGTGACTGCCCGGGATGGGCTGCCTGCCAGCATGGTGGGCCGCAGCCACCGCCACAAGCTTGCCGGCATCTGCAACTCGTCATTACTTCCTCCTGAATACCACCAGCATGGGATGTTTGAGACCTCCACCCCTTCAGCGACACTAGCCCGTCGAGAAGGAAGTGAAACGTGACTCTTTGAATGTTTGGCAGATTGGATGACCTGATGGAAGGATCTCAGCTATGGTCTGCGTGAATGCAGAATCTGTAGAAACGAGCAGGTCCCAGTCACTCCGTGTGGCTGCACGAATGCTGGGCAGGATGAAAATGCTGTCAGTGGGCGCCAGATCCTCCTGTGCCACAAGCTTTGCATGTCCCTCATTAATTTGCACGGCCTGCACGACACTGTCAGGTGTTGGAAACAGTGAAAGGTCAGTGGTAAGTGGTAAGTGATGTGGATGATCTGGCAGTCACGAAAAGTTTGTTGACATGAAATTCGCTTTGACATCTTCAATAATCTGTAAAATTTAAGTCAGCAGTGACTTAAAAGGCCCGTATAGATTACAGGAAACAAAGCAATCTGTTTGTGAAAAGTGAAAAGTGTAGGAATGTAAACCTGGACACCTCCCTCACAGCCCACTTCTGCCCTATCAATCTTCTCTAGTAACGGCTCCCAGAGACTCTCAGGGACCTTGGAAGCCTTCAGGAAGGACACAAAGGCCAAGCCCGCCTCCTGCCCTTGTGCCATGGCCATTGGGATGAGTGAGGCACTTGAAGTATTGGTGCAAAGCGAATCACGGCATCCAGAGTACACCCCTTGTCATGCTGAATTGACGATGTGAGTCCACTCTGAGTATGAGGGACCTCTGGCCGTCAGGTCAATGCAATGAAGTCAATGGCAGCTGCTGTGTGCTGAGGTGGCAGAGGACGTGATCGGTCAGCTCTTCCGAGGCTGGCACCATGGGCTCTGCTCCTCCGCTCACATATCCTGCTATACAGAAGAACATTAAAAAGATTGTATATGTCATGTGGATGTGACGAGGAACCATGCTGGCCTGAAAGCTTTAAGATGGGGCTGAGTAGAGGCTGGTGCAAGTAACGACATGGCTGCTGAAGTCGCCTACATGCACGCCTCAAAGATTGCCAATGCTTCGGGGGCCCTCAGATATCTCAACAGGGTGGGCTCCTCGAAAGTTGCTCGTCTGGCGGACTCAGCTCCACGAGAAGTCGTGGATGATATCTTCAGCTGCGCCTTGAAAAAACAAACTGGTGGGTGGGTAGGAGACCGTGCATATTATTCAATTTAATAGTATCTTGACCGAAGGGTGTACCTCTGCTCAAGCAATGCCTGCATGGTGCATGTTATGCTTCAAGGCATGTATCCTCTTGCAATTGTGTAGTGCTGACGAGCTAGCCTTGCGTGATAAGGACAAGCAAATATCCTCCACACCATGCATTGGCTTGAACATAAGAAACAAGGTGGTGCCATGAGGCTTAGTACTGCGTGTGCTGTCTCAGGTGTCAGCCTAAAGTATATGCTGGACTTTGGGGCAAACCCCATTGAGCGCCAGCTTATTCTTTCAGCACAGTTCCTTCACAACGAGCTGCCCGTCAGGCTAGCCCACAGGGTTGCAGAGCTAGAGAACTTACCGTTTGGTCTGTCAGCAAAGTCGCCAGTGATAAAGGCACGAGCCTAGCTGTCCCTCAGCTAACGCCTTGAACCGTTTGCCCAGCTGCTAAGGGGTACACGTCTGAACACTGAATGACGTGCTGCACAGGTTCGGGACTGGTATGTGGAATCTTTCAAGGAGCTCAGACAATTCAAGCCCATCCGTGATTTGGACAGCGAGCTCAAGTTCACGGAGCTGTTGAAGCACATCTACCACAGACACAGGCATGTTGGGAGGCTGAACTCACCAAAATCTTTAAATAAGGCTACCCTGCAGCTTCCCATGATAAAGTATGTGATGATCTCATGCCACAAAGGTAATTATTCCTGGCACTGACTTTCTTCATCTTTGCAGGAATGTGGTGCCAGTCATGGCCATTGGTGTGGCAGAGTTGAAAAAGGAGTTGAGGGCGGAAGGCAATGGGCTGACAGAATTCCCAGAGATCCACCAATTTCTGGATGGCTTCTACCTCAGCCGCATTGGCATCCGTATCCTCATCGGCCAGCACATTGCCTTGCATGAACCTCAGAGGGAGAACCACATCGGTGCGTGGGCCGCACCCCACTCCCTTACCCAAACATGCAGTCATGCAAGGATGACAAAGCCTTATATAGATCCAATCTCGCCAGCCTGTTTGACGCATTGATAAGGATTTGTCTCTTCCTGCAACAGGGATGATCTGCACCAAGTGCTCGCCAGTCCAGGTGGCCAACGATGCCATTGCTGATGCGCGCTCAGTGTGCATGCGGGAGTATGCCACCGCCCCAGAGGTGTCTGTGTACGGGGACCCTCGCTTCACCTTTGCCTACGTGCCGTCACATCTTCATCACATGACCTTCGAGCTGGTGAGACTCCTCTCAAATCCCTTGCATTTCAATCTCTCCTCTTTTCAAGTGTTTGGAACATTCATGTCCAGAGTCCGTGAGCTTTCCTGAAGCAAACGGAATGGTGTGTCACAGGTGAAGAATTCCCTCAGGGCAGTAAATGACAGGTTTGAGGATGCAGACAATGAGCCGCCACCTGTGAGGGTGGTTGTGGCGGAGGGAGATGAGGATGTCACCATTAAGGTCCGCTCCTGATTCACGTGTTCCAATTCTACTCTGGCCAATACTTTTAGTGTGATTCTCTTGCAGCATTGACGACTTTTAGTACTGGGTGCCCCAAGAGGATGCACAGTGAGACAACCTTTATGCGGCATACTGGCTTGGACTGCTGGAATGCTTTGCCCGAGCACCATAAGGTTTGTGTTGTGGAGAGCTGGCTCTTGGAGCAGTGACAAGGGGCACTACAACAATGTGAGCAAAGAGATCACTGGGAGTGCTGTCAAGGACCCGGTTCCCAGCTTGCCGGACATCTTTGCGGCCCTCTCTAATGTATAAAAGAGCAAAATTAGCTGAACTGGCACGGTGCATGGTGCAGGTGTCGGACGAGGGGGGCGGCATTCCCCGGTCGGGCCTGCCGAGAATATGGACGTACCTGTACTCCACGGCGCAATCGCCGCTGCCAGACATGGACGACAGCGTGGAGGGCGCAGATGGCCCCGCGGTGCTGGCCGGCTACGGATATGGCCTGCCCATCTCCCGCCTCTACGCGCGCTACTTTGGCGGGGACCTGCAGATCACCTCCATGGAGGGCTACGGCACCGACGCCTACCTGCACCTCAACCGCCTCGGCAATGTGCAGGAGCCGCTGCCCTGAGCGGCTGCTCTACTGCTGCGGTGCTGCCTGCAGATTGCACGGCTACAGCGGCATGCCGCATAACGGGGAAGGCATGTTGCTTTGCAGCTGGCATCGTTGCTGCGGCATGGCAGACAACAGGGAAGGCAATCTGTTTGCCACTAGCATGGCTATAGCAGCGTGATACATGGCGGGAAGGCGAACAGCCGCTGAGGAGGGAGAAGATGAGCTTCCTCTTGCTGTCCACTTGGTTTAGTGATCCTGGATGTTTTCCTTCGCAAGAGAATTGCGTTTGATTTTGCTCCCGGCCTGCAATAGGCATGCTGGAGCTGGTGATGTATTCCATACCCAATTGCTTATTAGCCAAGTGTATATTGACCACAGCGTCTGTGTATCCTAGGCAGGTGCCACGTTCCTGTGGCTTTGAATTGGCAGATTTTTTGTTCTTGGCACAACCACTGGACAGTGCAGTTTCACTTTTGGTGGTAGACCGTTTGAAGTGATCTGCGTTATGACATCTCTAGGTACTGTGTTAGGACGACTCCGAGTGAACCTTTAACATGACGAGAGGGATGCGCGCCTATGAAAGAGCCCATTTTTGTGAACAGGAAAATTTGATCTGGGCCTTGTGCCGCCGAGTGTAAACTATAAAGTTTCGGGCAAGAGACACAGCTCTACATTCGTATGTATATAGACGTTGCATGCGGCATGGGGTGTTGCGGGCATGAAGGTCATTGCCATGCCACTCTGCCATTGCGGAAATTCGTCAAATCTTTGCATCAAGAATTCTACATGCCTGCTGCTGTAATTACAGAATAATGCACAGCGCTGGCGTCCTCATGAGTGATCACCGCTGCCTTGTGGCATCGCCAGGCCCAGCAGCTGCAGGAACCACCTTCCACAGTGCAAACACTCGATGGGAACTGCCGTCACGTGTAGGTGTTGGGTGCCAGCATTTGCATCAAGTTTGGGCTGGCACATGGAGGACTCACATTGCCAGGTTAGGCGCCCATCACCACGTCGTGACCAAAAGGGGCAGCGCATAATCTTCTGCATATCCTTTGATGCTCGGAAATCGAGCTCTCCAGCAAGAAAGACTTCACCCCGCGATCCAAAAGAGTGGTCCACCATGTTGTGGGCACAAGAGGTTCGGCTCCCGGAGCTAATCCCGGATATTTTCATCCCTGTGACAGCCGCTGTGGGCATCATCTTTGCTCTCTTCCTGTGGTGGCGGGTGTCTGGTATCAAGGTCCGCACTGGCCAGCGATCCACTGGCGAGGATGGTCGCACCTTCCTGCTGGAGGAGGAGCTGACCGGAGAGGATTCGGTGAGCCTCGGTGCATTGTCTGGGCAGTATGTATACTGTCAGCGAAGATCGAGCAGGCTTTCTTGTCACCGTCGGCGCGCGAGACGGAGGACACTAATTGAGGCTCCTTGAACATGCAACAGCATGGCCAAACGTATATTCCATGTCAGAATATTGAATTGCGGTGATCATTGCCTGGGTGTCGCAGATTGTCCAGAAGGTGGCGGATCTTCAGGATGCGATTTCTGAGGGAGCAACCTCCTTCCTGTTCACAGAGTACAAGTACATGGGCGTCTTCATGGTGCGGTTCTCATCGTTTCATAGTGTACCTGTCAGGAGGAGTGCCTGACTGATAGCTTCCTTGGAGGTGCTGGCCAATCACTGATGAACTCAGTGTTCATCACTAGAATAAGATTATTATAACCTTTGAAGAAATGCATCCTGGTACTTGTTTAGAACGTGTCTGCGTCTTCTGGTGTCGTAAGGCTGACTAACTGGGTGCCTCAAGAACAACGGCTTTTATTGTGTGCCCTCCGTGGAATCGAGTGTGGGACTACTGTTGCTGAAGCGTCACGTGTCTTGTACGGGCAGGCGGGCTTCTCTGTGTTCATCTTCGTCCTGCTGAGCTCCCAGGATGGGTTCTCCACCAAGTGGCACACTGACGAGGAGGGTGTCAAGCATGCGCCCGCCCTGTACAACGGCGCGTTCTCCACCATCGCGTTCCTGGTCGGTGCCGTGACCTCGATCGTCTCCGGATGGCTGGGCATGACCATTGCGACGTACGCCAACGCTCGCACTGCCCTGGAGGCTCGCAAGGGCATCGCCCCCGCTTTCATGACAGGTGTGCATCGGCATCTTCTTCTGCCTTTATCCTATGAATGGCTGCTAAGTGGCCCTATGCTGCTTGCAAGTGCTTTGAACATTGTTGAAGCCCTCAAACACTTGCCTAAAACAGCAGAAGTGGGGGTTGCGGTACCCTGCCAATTGTAAACGCTTGTCCTGAGCAGCAGCTGGCTGCGTCTGACGTGCTTGTTGTGGACTACAGCCTTCCGCTCGGGCGCTGTCATGGGCTTCCTCCTGTCCTCCAACGGCCTGCTGGTGCTCTTTATCACCATCAAGATCTTCAAGCTGGTGAGCGCTGCACCCCTTCATCACCTACCTCTAATCTAGGCCATGATTCTCTGTGGCCGCGCAAATCCTTGAATGCATCCCAATTTGCAAAGCACGACCCTGTCTCACCGCGTGACCAATCGGAGCATGTGGATCTGGCAGTACAGAAGAGGATTCTGCAGCCTCCGATGCGTCAGCAACTGCTCTGCAGGTGTACGGAGACGACTGGGAGGGCATCTACGAGGCCATTGCCGGCTACGGTCTGGGCGGCTCCTCCATCGCGCTGTTCGGCCGTGTGGGCGGCGGCATCTACACCAAGGCCGCTGATGTGGGCGCTGACCTCGTGGGCAAGGTCGAGAAGGACATCCCCGAGGACGACCCCCGCAACCCCGCCGTCATTGCCGGTGCGCATCACCCCTGCAGCAGTCACATCTGTCACGTTGAGCTCATTTGGTGCATGCATCTGTCCTCTGCAATTCTACGGGGTGCTCTGCTCGGGAGAGCATGATGCAGCCGGGGCACCAAACATGATGCATGCATGCTTCATATCACAGAGTCGTACATGATGTTCCTTCCAAGCACCCTGAGGCAGCTCCTGTGTCCTCCTTCTCTCACTCTCACACCCTTCCTTCCTGTATGTAACAGTTCTACTATGCTAGTGGTCGTGCTAAGCACTGCTTCCATGCATGTGACGCAGACAACGTGGGAGACAATGTGGGTGACATTGCCGGCATGGGCGCTGACCTGTTCGGATCCTTCGCTGAGGCCACCTGCGCCGCTCTGGTCATCTCCTCGGTGTCCTCGCTGGGTCAGGATCACTTCTACTCCTCCATGAGCTACCCGCTGCTCATCTCCGGCGCCGGCATCATCATCTGCCTGCTGACCACTTTCATCGCCACCGACCTGCGCCCCGCGCGCATGGTGTCCGAGATCGAGAACACCCTCAAGTACCAGCTCATCATCTCCACCCTTCTCGCCACCCCTGTGCGCACCCTCACCCCCTGCCTATTTTCATCAAGCGAATAATATCTTGCGGCCAAGCACACACAGTGCCTCTCCAGAAAGATATTTAGTGTATGCATGGAAAGGAATGAGAATGCGGATGGATGTCTGCATCTTGACATCTCATGAAACCCATGTTGCCTGTCCTGCACAGCACGGCACCCTGCAGGATCTTTGCATCCTCTGAAACCATCCAAGTCCATGAAGTCTGAGTGGCTGCGCATCAACAAGGTCGTGACCAGCACCGGGGCACGTCCCAGGTGTTCTGATCATGCATGAGTCAGGACAGAAGCTTTTGGAGGTTTGATCAGTGGCTGGATCAACTGTCTTCAATCTAAAGACTTGCCTGCAATTTTCAATTGTTGTGAAACACGTACTGAAGAGCCTTTGTGCGATGCATGCAGGTGGTGTTTGCGATCAGCTACTACGCGCTCCCCCCTGAGTTCACTGGCATCTTCGTCGACGAGCCCGACCGCGTGGTGAAGAACTGGTACATGTTCTTCTGCGTCGCTGTCGGCCTGTGGGGCGGCCTCATCATCGGCATTGCCACCGAGTACTTCACCTCCAACCGCTACCAGCCAGTCCAGGTGCACATCATCTGCTACCCTGCCTCAACAAGCCCTTCCATCATATAACCTAGGGAGCTGCACAACGGAGAAACACACCATTACTAGAGATGCCCTAGGAGTGCCATTTCACGGCCTACCTTGTGTCCACTTGATTCCCAATAGGCAAAGGGCTCCTGTGAGCCTAGACGGATGTGTGGCCGCGAGCTATAGAGCTCGATCACCTTATCGTCGTACTAGAGATCAATATAAGGTGATCGAGCTCTAGTGCTCGCGGCCATGCGTCCGTCCAAGCTCACAGGAGCCCTTTGCCTATTGGGATGGGCATGGCTACAAAGCTCAAGTGGACACAAGGTAGGCCGTGAAATGGCACTCCTATGGCAATTCTATTGTGTGCACATCTCATCAGCTTTGCACAAGGTACATTGGATGTCCAGAGCCTGATTTTAGCCTGATTTTAGCTCATTTGTACGTCATGCCGACGCGATGATGGTCTATCCTTCCTATGCTGAGTTGGTCTTGTCCTTGGGTCACAGGATGTGGCTGACGCTTGCCGCACTGGTGCCGCCACTGACATCATCTTTGGCCTGGCGCTGGGCTACAAGTCCACCATCATCCCCTGCTTCGTCATCGCCATCTGCATCTACGTCAGCTTCTCGCTGGCCAACATGTACGGCATCGCCTGCGCCGCCCTGGGCATGCTCACCACCATGAGCACTGGTGCGCCGCCCTCCTGCCCTGCTGTCTAAACATCTGAGCAGAGCAGAAAAGGGCATGCAGCAGCAATCTTCAAGATTGTCCTCCTGTGCTGTGATGCCTTCAAGAGGCGCTGAAACCCAGGCTTAAAAGGGAATTGCATTCCTGAAGGATTAATCTTGCAGCTTGCCTCTGCATAGGCAGCCTGCGCTCTTCGCATACGGACTGTTTTCTGGTCACATGAGCAGGTTGTTGTCAGCGAGTTCACTCATGCAAAGTCTGCAATGAACTGATTAGTTCCTAGTCATCTGGGCCTTGACTCAAGCGCACTGTGTTACCGCGCAGGCCTGGCCATCGACGCGTACGGCCCCATCTGCGATAACGCCGGAGGCATCGCCGAGATGGCGGGCATGGGCGAGGACATCCGCGAGCGCACCGACGCGCTGGACGCTGCCGGCAACACCACCGCCGCCATCGGCAAGGGCTACGCCATCGGCTCCGCCGCGCTCGTCTCCCTGGCGCTCTTCGGCGCCTACGTCACCCGCGCCGATATCACCACCAAGGACTCCTCCATCCTCGACCCCGAGGTGCGCGCGCGAGCATCAATATTCTTATTCTTGATATTATTACACACACTTCCTGCCAAGAGGCAATATTGGCGTGCTGCAGACAAGCTGCCTTAAAGGCTGCAAAATCCTGCCCCTTGTTGGACTTGCCAGATCCAAGCAAGGCCCAATTAATTGTGGGCACTGTGCTCAGTACTTGTAACGCTCCCCACCAGCCGGGGCCGGGGCTAAATGCTAGCAAGCATGCTGATCCTTTTCTTTCCACAAGAGGCCGGTGCTTTCGCATTTTGAAGGTGATAGCTTCTAGTTCTTTTGCAGACTGGACACCCCAGACTGCAAGAAAGGCATGCTGCTGTGCCATTTGGCTGCGACACCACTGGCACCTTGGCAATGGCTGGGCACTTGCTGAGTAGATGTAGCTGTCCCCATGACATTGCATGACTACACTGCTTTGCAAAATATTCTCTGGACTGGTGCTCATGTGCAGAGCAGAGGGACTCCCCTGCTTGTTACCTTTGTAATGACCATGCTATTACCATATCTTCTTAAAGTGGGGTGTACAATGTCTGCGGTGCTGACACTGCTTGCATGCTTACTGGCGCAGATCTTTGCTGGCCTGCTGGTGGGCGCGATGCTGCCGTACTGGTTCAGCGCGATGACGATGAAGAGCGTGGGCAAGGCCGCGCTGGCCATGGTTGAGGAGGTGCGCCGCCAGTTCAACACCATCCCCGGCATCATGGAGGGCACCGGCCGCCCCGACTACCGCCTCTGCGTCGAGATCTCCACCCAGGTGCTCTCCTGCGCACCTGTGGAAGTCCATGTCTAATTCTCGTCATATTTCTCTGCTTGGATGCTTGACACTCTCTTTCTTGACAGTGATTTCCCTGCAGAAAGTCCCGCAGCAACCTAGACGGCTAGTTTAGGCCGACATGCATTGCCTGCACTTACCTGGCTCTCATGCATGGTGGCGGTCTAGATGGCGGATAGGCACAGGCTGCTATTGGCCTTTTCTTATCTTGTGCATAAGATTCGGTGAAGCAGTGATGCTTAGACAGCTTTGTCTCTCCCTGTGAACGATGGTCACATATCCACCAGCATGGGCTCTACAAGGCACAGTAATTGAGCAGTCGCTTTGCTGTGCAGGCCTCCCTGAGCGAGATGATCGCCCCCGGCGCCCTGGTGCTGCTGACCCCTCTGGTGGTGGGCATCCTGTTCGGTACCCGCACCCTGGCCGGCGTGCTGGCTGGAGCTCTGGTGTCCGGCGTGCAGATGGCCGTCTCCATGTCCAACACTGGAGGCGCCTGGGACAACGCCAAGAAATACGTTGAGGTGAGCCTACTTCTTACGCAGAGCAGTTCGGTCTTTTGGTTGTGTAACAGAGAAAATCGCCCTGCATGTGTTCAGTGGGACCACAGCTACTGGGCTGTGACGTAACTCTCTTGTGGGACACTTTCTCCTACTTTTTCCTGCTGATCCCTTTCCTGCTGCACGTGTTCTAGGCAGGCTATCCTTCGTCTGTGCAATCTCCTTATGTCTTCGTCAAACACCCTCGTCCTTCTGTAGGCTGAAAGACCATTGCGGTTGCATGCACATGACTAGATTTTTAGAAGAGGATGCTTGAGAAGAATGGGACCTTTCCAGTGTGATACAAAGTCAGCCTCAAGGGACGTACTTGTGCTTACCCTGCATGAACCAGCCTCTCAAGAGTTATTGCTTGTCTGAACAGGCTCAGGCCACCGAGCACGCGCGCTCCCTGGGAGGCAAGGGCTCCGACGCGCACAAGGCGGCCGTCATCGGCGACACCGTTGGTGACCCGCTCAAGGACACCTCGGGCCCATCGCTGAACATCCTCATCAAGCTGATGGCCGTGGAGTCCCTGGTCTTTGCGCCCTTCTTCCAGGCCCACACCCCCTCTGGTGAGTGCTTCCTTGAGAATTGATGCCTCACTGGCTGCTGTTTTTTAATTTGCCACATGTTCTGTAGTCGTCACTGAGTCCACAATGAACCTGCGCCTAGGATGCAGTGGCTACTCTTCTTTATTCTGCAAAGGAATTCTTTATTCGAAGTCATCGATGAGTGTACTGTGGACTTGTCCTGAGATTGCCATGGCGATTGTGTGCAAAGCAGCATCTCGCAATGATCGGATATACACGTTTGTAGACACTGGATGGGGCCTGAAAAATCAGCGTGTGCTGTGCAGGTCTGATCTTCCAGTGGTTCCACTAGGCGTGTGGCTCTTGGGAGAGAGTAGGGGTGTGAAATACCCGCAGGTGTCGGCAGACAGAGTCATAGCTTAGCTTAGGACATGTTTTCTTGTGGTTTGATGTGGTGTGACTTGGGCAGGCTCTTGAGACTGGGCCAGACTGTCAGTATGCCTGATCTGTCAAAGGCAGGCTCCAGGTGACAGCAGTCGAAGTCTCATGTGCGTGACTAAGTTGGGACTGACATGCCTCCTTAATGAGGCTCGTCGTGACCAGCATTTTTGATGCGAGCACTGCACGGAGCAAATATCTGCGTCCCCTATTGACAAGCATGCTCATGCCAGGTGGACTGCAGGGGCTCCATAGTTTTCTCTCGTGTGCTGTGCCTGTGAGGTCTCACCGTATGGCTCACGTATGCCCAAGCGGAGTTTTTTGTGATTCTGTGGTGCAACAAAATCTATTGCCTCAATACTTGAACTATATGTATGGTGCTCAAGTGTAAGAGAGTGCCCACATCATCTATTGAAGTGTGTGATGATCAAACAATCCTGCAAGAAATTACACAAAACTGGCAGCTTAACTGTGGCCATTGGTGGTGCTTGTGGAGGCACAATTTCAGCCGCTCCTTCCTGGTGCCTTGCGGCTGCCACTGTCTGATCCGCATTATGGGTTGCGGTTGAAATCCGTCATTATTATTTGAGACAGTACGCCAATCTGCACTTCCAAGATTTACTGTGGAAGGCTTGCCTCTGGCCATGACGTGCATGAAATGCCATGTCAGCTTTCATGAGAAGGTTGGCAAAGGGGGTCTCCAACAAATTTACACCTTCTTGCAATGTATATTGATGCGAGATCTATTGTGTGCAATCACAGAAGGTGAGTCACTGGCAGCAGCTTCAGGAAACGGACCGATGGCATCTAGAAGTGCGGCAGCAGAAGCTCGGAGACAGAGAATACTTGAGAGGGGTGCCGATCGTCTGAGCAGCATAAGCATTGGTGGCATAAAAGCACCCACAGAAGCGACCAGAGGTACGTTCAGTGTCAGAATTAAGCTTGATCAATAGGGGCGATCCTCCTGGGACCGCCCCTGTGCGGGTCCCGACAATCGTCACGTGCGATGCAACATATCTTATTGAGATTGCGCAGGAACACCTGAAGCAGGCGTGGGTTCAAGCGCCGGTCATTCTAGCAGGGTTCCACCAGATGCAAGCAAGGCACAGCAGGAGCAGCAGGCTCCACCACAGGACGCCCTACCAACAGCCCAGCCAGTTGCTGATGCTGGCAACCTTGCTGAAAAGGCATCCACCAGGCCATGCAGCGATGAAGGTGCAGCAACACCTTTCACTGGTGCAGTTGAGAAAGACTCTGATGCCCAGCAGTCGACAGCGGGACCAAAGGCAAGAGCAGAACGCTGGGCTGAGTATGAGAGCCCCAGCAGCAGCACACCTGATGCAGCTGCACACCATGTCAGACCGCGTGCTGAGAGATTTGCCTTCCTTCAGGTGCCGCACACGGACCACCCTTTTGACACTGATCGCCTTTATAATGGTAGTTTGCAGTTGTGCCTTCATTCTCATATCCACAAAAGCACAAATCACTGGTTCTTGCAGGCACTCCAGTCTGCATCAGAAGCAACCCATCTCTACAGGCTCATGCTGGCACTGGTGCTCCCAGTCTTGAGCCGGAGCATGATGTGGAATCACGCCATTGGAGCGCTCACACCCGGCATCAGATCGGCACCGTTGGTGCAACTGGTGCTGCTCCAGCTATTTCTGCTTCAAGCAGCTCTCCTTACCGCAATGTTTGGCCTGGGACCCACGAAGAAGGATGCCAAGGTTCGAAAAAGTTGTCACCATTGAACATTGTTGCACCTGCAGAGTTAATAGTCTGCTTTGAACTGTGACTAGCACTTGCAAGCTCCGAAAAAGGGGTGTTCTCTGTTGCAGGGGCTGGACCCAGTAGGGAGTGGTCTGGGCGCAAAGCCTCTGGCGTTTCTGATCAAGCTGGCTGGTTTGACAGAGGTGGCTAGCCGGTTAAGGGCAGTGCTGGGAGTTGCGAGCAGCTTCGTGGATGCTTTGGCGGTGTATGTCCTGATGGCAGCATTGACCACCACGGTGGACTTGAATATGCAAGGCAGGGCCTGGTTCAATGCGCTGAAGCAATAGTTGGATAAGAGCATATTCACTAGGATTGCGCAAGTTGCACTACCGGCAACATTGTGATAAGATTAAATTGTCCCAGTATCCCGTACGGCAAGGTTGCCACCACCCTCGGGGCCATCGACAACGACATCAGCGCATGCATGTACACAGTAAACACATCTCAACTGAGTTGTACAGTGCCTGGCTTGTAGGACATTTTGGGTGAAAGACTGATGAAGAACATTGGAACACTGAAAAAAAATCAGACTGTGGATGTGATCACTTGCATCACAGGAAAGAGAGGGAAAGGAAAAAGGCACCCAAAAAAGCGAAAGAAAGGCAGCTGACTGTTCGGGGATTCAATCTCGCGCCTTCCGGGGAGCGGGTCAATTCAATGCTCGACCCGTGTTCTGCCTTTGCAGACCACGAGGTGATCTCAAGACTAGAATGCGGTAGGAGAATCGCTTGCCCTCATACCTTCTCTATGCCATTATATGAAGGGCATAGATAGACTCCCAGCTGGGATGCAGCTGAAGCTGGCACCAGCAATTTGCTGCAATTGCGATGTGTAATGGTTGTACCTGCTCACAGTGCTTGCGTTTTGCTTAATGGTTCCTTTTAACCATGTCCTGTCTCCTTGCAATTCTATAAATAGAATGGGGTTGCTAGAAACTCCTAGGTTTGAGAGACCCTCAAAGTACCGAGATTGCCGGAACGTCTGTTGGACAAGAGACTTGTGAAGACTAAGCAATATCTTCATTCTGTATTGTATCTTGGATTTATTTCAATTCGAAAAACAAATTTCATTGATAGGACTCTTCCGTCGTTTCGGTTAGTCAAGAAGCAGCCATTTCCCTGGTAGCTGAATGAGGCAGCTGCCTTCTTCCGCACGATATAACTGTTATGAAGCTCGAATGGCCCTCAGCACTGTTGCCGAAGTGTCTTACCGGTGGATTTGTTACACCTAGATATGCGAGCGATGGGGCGGGTTCTGCAAAGAAGAGGCGAGCTTTCGCAAAGGATGGATTGGAGGAGACCTGGCAGCGCTACAAGCGTCACGCTAGCTTTGACGAGTCAAATCCGTCCGCAGACCAGGCACAGTCACGCCGCATCATCCATCAATGTCATACAAGAGCAGCTTCTTTTGGTGAGGGAAAAAGTGCAGAACCACAGCAGCAAATGACTGTGTGGTGCACCTCTGCCAGGGAGAATCTGGCAAAATACCGGTTGGAAGTACTAATCCCTCTGCTAAATCGACACCCAGAGACCATAAATCGTCCAACAGCACCCCAGCCTTTGGCAAAGGGGGCTTGCAGGAGACCTGGGATTACTACCAGGACCTCGTCGGACCCAAAAATCTAGACACATTGTCTCTGGATGACAGACGGGTGAGTGCAGACAAGCGTCCAGCATCTGCAATATCATGCCTTTTCAATGCAGTGCAAAGCAGCTGCTAGGACTGGATCCATCCTGCAGCTGGTAAAGACTGCCTCTTCATGCTGTTAGGCAGTGCTCCGCCTGTTCAAGGCAGCCACAGCCGGGGATGCTGCGGAGCTGGAGAGGCTGCTGATGTCAGCTTCCAGGGCCCTAGCAAGCTATGTCAGCTGCAAGGACGAGGACAGCTGGACGCCGCTGCACCATGCAGTGGATGGAAACCACTTGGCCGCTGCCAGGGTGCTTGTCAGCCGCGGTGCAGCCGTCAACGCAGCCAACTGCACTGGAGACACACCGCTGCACCTGGCGCTGCGCTGGAATTTCTCGGAGCCTGCCCTGTTCCTGCTTGACCAGCCCGGCATCTCCATAGAAGCGCAGGTGTGCTGAACGTTTCCCCCAAGCACATCAAATCAGCATGCTGCAGTCTGATGCAGATTGGCGGAGCTTGGAGACCATGTGTGTTGGCTTTTGCAGCGCATGCATTTGCATCCAACTGAAAACCCGCCACCTGAGAGGAATATTGAAAAGTGCGTCAGTGCAGGATTTTTTTGTGCCCTAAGCAGCGCCTGTTTTTTGAGGACCCACCACCTGAGAAGAAAAAACTCTGGCAGCGCATTGTGTGACTTTATTGTGCACAATGCAGAATGAGGACGGATGGACGGCCCTGCACGAGGCGTGCTGCAGCGGGGCAGCTGAGGCGGTAGCGCCGTTGCTGGCCAAAGGGGCGGATGTGAATGCGCGCTGCAAAGACGGCAGCACACCCCTCCACAAGGCTGCTCGCTGCGGCAGCAAGGCCATCGTCAGCTCTCTGCTCAGGGCCGGGGCAGACCTGAAAGCCCGAGACAAGGCGAGCCCTGCGCAGCTTCATGTATCACCTACATCATTGATTCAGTATTTAGTAGACAGGCTAATTGAAGGTTTCTTGTCTGTTATTGCCACTGTGTCTCCACAACTTTTGGTTGATGTTATAGCATGCATGCCCCCAAGGTTGCTTGCTATCTGTGGCACCATGTCTTGGAATATTCCCAAGGATGTGACTGACTCAGGGGTGCGTTGCCTTCTCCATGCTGGAAGTCATGGTCTGCATCACATCAAGGCTTGCGGCGCAAAGATGACTGCAATCCCGTGAGGCAGCTGATCGAAAGGGGATCACTTCCAGAGTTGGGGACATTCCTGCAGATTTTTGGGGTCCAATATTTGACTTGACATGCTGTGAGGGCTCCTTCTGAGGTTTGAGTCTTGTCAATATTTGCATGTGGGCAGGATGGGATGGAGCCGGAGGACGTGGCAGTGGATGACGCCATAGTGCGAATGCTGCAGCCGCACGCTGCCAGGAGGCACAGCTTCACTCTGCCCAGGAGATCCCGCTCCACTAGAAGACAGAGCGCCAGCCTGGACTCTGACCATCCCCACGCACGGGTGCTGCCCAGCCCCTCTGATTTTAATAATTTCCTCCAATTACAGGGGGCTCAAAATCAACCACCGATCTTGGGAGTCACGTTTCTTGATCCACTTGATTTAGAGTCCCTTGCCAATTAAGCCCTTCTAGAGGTGTTGTGCATGTCTCTGGGAGCTTCTCTGATTGAGGGCAGGCACTCTTTGGCCCTCTTGGCATGGCCCCTGCTCGCCTCACGCTGCCTCTGCCTTAATAATAGGAGGAAAGACTTGGATCTGAAAAAAACAAATATGAGTAGTCTGTGGAAGCCCGGAGCTTGCTGACTCCAATTAAGGCTTATGCACTGAAGCGGACATCCAAATTCTACGCCAAAACGTGTCGATGAGTCTTGGTGCTTCAAGGGTGCGGGAGACGAGCAAGGCACAGCCGGTTGCATGTCTGCATGCAGCATGCATCTGTTTAATTTGCATATTGCAATTTGAAGTTTGGTTTGTGTGGGGTCCAACCAGGGGTAGGATTTGTGCTGCCTTTGCATGCAGCTTGTCTGCAGACGCACCTTGCCTCTGGTAGGAATAGCATGTGACAATAAATAACAATAAATATAACAATGACAATGGCAATAATCAGATTAAGACTAAGAATGTTGTGAATCTTATGAGTTCCGCAATAATGTGTGGGGTGGTGGCAGGAGTGGTCGGTGAATGGCGAGACGAGGCAGATGTACGAGAGCCGGTGGCAGCACTTTGTGAGCAGGACAAAGGGGAAGAAGACCGTGGGCAAGCTGGGCTACAAAGATGTGCCCTGGCCCGCTGAGGAGGGCTGCTCAGCTGAAGATCTGCAGGCAATTCTCTTGTCTGGAACAAAGGTAGGGATGGACAAGCAGCAGCCCTGTCATTTCCGTTATTGATATTATGTTTTTTTAGGTGATGTATTCAAAGTTTGAATACATGTAAGGTTATCAGGTGCCCGTAACAAATGTTTCCTGGACGCTCCCGGAATCGTGTAGAGTGCCAGAATATGAGATGCCATGCCTCCAAGTGCTTGCATGAACTCTAATGGGGTGAGAAGGTACCACAAGATCTTTGTCTTGCATGAAAAACATGCACTGCTTCCTCCACATGTTACAGGCTTCCAGGACCATGGCATGGATTTGCAGGCACCAGAGGAGAAGAAAAAGCGGCTGAAGGCAGAGCTGCTGAGGTGGCACCCAGACAAATTCACCGGCCACTTTGCGCACTACTTTGCTGAGTCGGACAGGCAGCGCATCCTGGCCAGGGTCCAGGGAATTTCCCAGATGCTCACTGCAGCCGGCCAGGCCATAGCTGCTGATATTTGAGTACTCAATATTTGGCGAATTCATTCTTACATTATCTTTTGACATCGGGCTCTAGAAGTTCGAGTTGGTATTGAGAGTCTAGCACATGCGCATGCATTGCACTTTGGCACATGCGGTATGCGGCAAACGTGATGGGTACATGGAGATACGTACTGCATGTTTTCTGATGCAGTTTTGGCAATATTAGAAGATCGGAAGCATGAGCACCAGTGGTTTTGTGGTGTTCTGAAGCACGTGCACGCGTGGCAACTCAGCACGCGGCGGCATGTGCCTGATACCGTTCATGCCACAAACACTGATCGACTGTTGGCGAACGCCATTAATTTGCTCTGACCCTCTTTTGTGGAGGTATTGAAGCCATCTATTAGTTCTCGAGCCGGTTTTGAGTCATTGTGCTTCATTTGGCCTTGACGACAACAGATCGATTCCGACACTGAGCAGCATGGCCCACACTTTGCGCTTGGCAGTCGTGGCTGTGGTGCTAATGCTAGCGATGCCTTCTGAAGGGTCCCGACTCAACAACACGGTCACCGACTGGGGAGATGCGATCCTGAACCAGACACGATCGCTCAACATCTCTCACCAGATCACCGCTCGCCTTTTGGCGTTGACCCATCTGGCACAGTACAAAGCGCTAGCTGCCAATGCTGATCTCCAACTAGCCGATGACAAAGCTGTGGCAGGTAAGGATTCAGCTGGAATGACACGACGATAGAAAGTGACGGCACGCGGATGCGCACCTTGTCCAGCCTTGGTTGTGTGCGTGTGTGGGTAGTATGCCGACAAGATAGGTTGTTATGCTACATTTTGTCAGGGGAGCCTATACCGGTGTATCATGCACCCACTAACTTTCTCTTCCTTTTCTGCAGCTTTCGCAGGGCACCATGTCCTATCTACCTATTACCCCAACGCCCAGTCCGGTGTATTCGACAGCCTCATTCAGAAGCAGACTGCCGGCTTGTCAGCAGATCAGTTGACTGCTGCACAGAATCTGGCAGTGCCCATTGCCTCTGCAGTAGTGAAGAGCAGGTATGCTTTGTCACCATATTTGCACCCGCATTTGCAGCATTTCTTCTTCTAACACTTCTTTGCACCAGCAGAGAAATTGCAGCCAATCAGAATTAAGCACATTTTGCTACAGGGAGAATGACGGGAGTGCTCTGTGGGCTCGTTACGCACCCAGCCCTTCAAACGGTCCTACAGGGAAGTACCAATATGTCCCCAACCAGGCAAGCCGCTCTATTCTGCTTCCAAGTTGCCTGTCTCAATGTGAAGCTGATCATAGTACATTGTTTGCATGGGGCTGCAACTCAGGTCCGAGGTTTGACATGCCAGCCGCGCATATGATTGCCAAGAACGTGCTTGCTTAAAACCTGTTGGGCTCATGAAAGCAGTACAATTTAGAGTCCACTGAGTCCACTGATGTGAATATTTCTGCGTGCAGACCTACGCGCAGTATCCTCAGCTGGGGCTCTCGACGACTCCGTTTGTCATCCCCTCAGTCAAGACCTATGCAGCGCTGACTAAGCCTTATGAGATCCCATCCAAGCAGTATGACGCCGACTACAATGAGAGCAAAGCCTACGGAAGCAAGAACAGCACTGCACGCTCCCAGTACCAGACCGACACAGGTGGGGATCCAACCTTAACTATTTTGTGCTGAACCATATCATGCGCAGTGCTTGGTTTCTCTTTCCATGTGATCCGAACATTGGGCAGAGTTGCATGACAGATCCACAAAAGTCCATGTGGCCATGCATTTGATTATGTCATCCGTTGCATATGATCAAAGCATGCTGGCTCCAGGAAAGCAGTCACTTCAATCATGGATGCTGCTGTGTTGCAGGTTACCTTTGGCTGTCCAGTACAGGTGTGAAGCGTTTCCGCCCCCCCTCAAAGCCTAGAATCCCTTATCGCACTCACAACGAAACCAATATGTCTTGATGCACACCAGATCTGCGCCAGATGTGCAATTCGATACTCTTTGTTTGCATCGTCCCATCACCGAGCCTTCCTGCAGTGAATACTTGTTGTTCATGTGCAACTTGTCAACTGGGGTCTTGCTTGGATGTGGGGAAATTAGCGAGGGGTAGGAGTTTGGTAGCCTTCAACCGCACCTTGCCTCTAGCATGAAAAGCGTGCAATGATTAATTAATATATAATGTTGACTTGTCAGGCACTTCCACCATTGTGGGTTACTGGAACCTTGTGGCGCGTGAAGTGGTGCCTTCCGACCTCTCTCTGCTGCAAACCGCCAAGTTGCTGGCCCACCTCAACGTCGCTGCATACGATGCCCAGGTCAGAATCTTCTTCAGCCGCCACTCTTCTCAACACTCCTTGCTGATTTGCTCAGCTTGCACAGCCTAGTCTGTCTTTCATCTGAAAAGCTGCAATGCTGAGAGATACCGGCTGTTGTGTGCATTGCCCATGTATTGAACATGGGCTGATTTCCTTTGCAGATTGTGGCGTTCTACCAGAAGTACACTTACCAGGTCTGGAGGCCCATCACAGGCATCAGGTGCGCTCACAGCACTTCTCCCTCGTCTCCATTCTCATCTGAGCCACTGTACTGCCTTTGGAGAAAGCCCCACATGAGCATGCTGGGTTTGCATGTGCCGCTCTCGATGGCGGGAAGCGGCTCTTTGGTTCTGTCAAAGATGAGCTGGATTTGGAGTGCAAGGCTTTGCAGACATATAATTTAAGTAATGCATCATCACCCAGGCACACCCTGGGCTAGAAGATGAGAGGGATGCGATTCTTGTTTATATTGACGGTTGAATGTGCAGGCAGGGGAGTTTCAGCAACGAGGCAGACCCAACCTGGACCCCCCTAGTGGTCACACCCTTCCACCCGGACTACCCCTCCACCCACAGCGTGGCTAGCGGCGTCGCGCAGACAGTGCTGACCCGCTGGCTGGGCACAGACAACGCCACGTACACAATCACCGCTGAGGACGGCAAGGCTCCCCCCCGGACCTTCACCAGCCTCAGCGATGGCGCCCTCGACTCCGCCAAGAGCCGGTGCGCGCAAGAGTGTTTCTGGTGTATGATTATGCTGCACTGCCAGAGCATTGGTGCTTGAGAAAGGTTCCCTGGCTGGTGTGATACCATCATGCAAGGTACTGCCTACATTGAAGCATTGCTAGCATCGCTTGGCACTGATAAAAAACATCCCAGCACAATGTGAATTTCTTGCGTGTCCCGTGGTACTGCAGTACTTGTTTGTGGAGCTGTGATGCTGGTTCCTGGCAAGAATTGAGACGATTTGTGCACACTGCAGGATCTATGTTGGCGCTCACTGGCCTCTGGCCATATATGACGGCCTCACCCTGGGCAACAAGGTGGCCGACTATGTGTTCAGCAACCTGGACAGCACTGTGGGCTGGAGCTCTGTCACCAGCAACCATGCAGGTGCCCAATAACTCACTCACCCCTCCATGGCTAATTTACAAAACACAGATTCTTCAAAGACATTTCTAAATGCCGCATTGCACCTCCCTTGTGCAAGCTTTGTCAAAAATTCCTCTCGAAAGGGATTCTCAGAGCCAAGTTGGACAGTTGCATGCATTTAAGGACTTGTGTAGAGACAAAGAATAAACTGCCCATTTGACAAGAAGGAGATGGGATGAAATGAGTGCATATTTGCATGGCTCTGTGCTTCTGTAGGCCATGGAAGCTCTGCCAGTGCGCCTGCGTCAGCCCCTCAAGGCAGCAACACCGCCGCTGCAATCGCCTCTGCACCTGCGCCGGGAGCAGTCACATCTGCATCTGTGGGGCGCCGCTTGCTGGCCGCTGACCTCAGCTGAAGGCTCCTGCAGCGACGGATACTTGAAGACGAGCACCGAAGGATTGTTCACTGCATGCATGTTCGAGATGGGAGGTTTGGGCTGCAAATGATGGTGGAATTCACTGGACCTTTCCAGCACCTGATTGAGTTGCCAGGGTGGCTTACAACCGTCCACCAATGACGTAAAATGGTCATTTGCGCAAGACTTCTGTTACTGCATTGCCGACACTGTGTCATTTCACTGCCGTGTCTAAGTTTGCAATCAAAGACTGTGAGGACTGTAATATATTGATGTGTTAGTTTTCAGGTGTCATCCCACTTTCGCCTCTTACATTGGCAGGCTTAGGGATGACTCTGCTTCACATTTCACGGTGATGAGCACAAATTTGGCTCCAGTAATATCATGTCTGGCTTAGTCGCCATAATGCATAGGCTCTGGTGTAAAGTATTGACACCAATCTTGGAAATTCTACAACCTCAGCACACCATTCATACATCGTTCGAGTCATGCTGATCACAACCATGATGAACACATGTGAATGCATGCCATGGTCTCACGCAACCTCATGGGGCTGGTTTTGCATTCGTTGTTTCTCACATCTGGTATTTTATGCCCGCGCCTTTGGCTTGGTTTCACACACATGCTTTTCATGGACACTGATTCTAATATCAACCTTGCTGGTCCGCTGCATTGCTACTGGCCACGTAAGGCCTGGTTACACAAAACAGGCTTGTCTCAGGCATCCTCCAGACCTCTGTGGAGGATAAAATAAACGGCTCATGTGCTGGGCATGTTAGTGCGCTTTTTTCAAGTTGGCACTGGTCCAAAGATGGAATGTTCTGTTGTCGGCCTAATGGCTTGGCCACGTCATGCCACCAGGATTATGGCGCTTTTTTCAGGCTAGCAGTGACCCAAAGGCATTTTCTCTTGCTGCCATCATGTGATGGGCGCATCATGCCACAATGATTACGACGGATCTGACCTGCGCTGGTCCCAAGACGGCGTTCCCTGTGGCTGTTGCTCATGTGACGGGCACGTGGGTGCGCTTCTTGCGGCCGTCGTGGCTCTTCCTGTACTTCTTTTTGTTCCTGTCCTGGTGGTCGCGCCTGCAGCCCACAGCAGGGTCCAAGTTCATTCTAAGTTCCTTTGCGTGATTGACAAACTAAAATGCCTGTCGTTTCTCCATGCATACTTGCAGTGCCTTCATGTCGTGCATTCTGTCTTGACGATACAGTTTGTTGGAAAGACTTCTCGGGTCCACCAGTCCCTTGCTGCACCTGGGCATATGGCATCCACAGCAATTGACTCTCCGCAAAGGGCTCAACACGCCCAGGTGCAGCGACAGGCATGCCATGCCTGCGCAGATCCAAATGCCACACAAGGTTCCCCATTGAAGCTTTTGCAAGAGCAACAAATGCGCGCATCTGTTGCCCCGCCAAATCCTGTTTGTACTTCCCTTGATGGCATAACAGGTTGCATCTGCAGATTAAGCTGGCCTGCCACTCCATGCATGGTGTGCAAAAAAATATTATACCAGATTTCGTCAGGCCATCCGCAACAGGGCGAAGAAGTGCACCAGTGGTCGACAATGTCTTGGGAGGGCGTTGTGGATCGGCGGAAGCTGTCCCGGTCGCGAACGCGGTCGACGTACTGCTGCACAGTGCCCATGTCCTCCGGCATCTGCCAGTTCTGCATCAGCAGAAACCAGGTGCTCTCCGCCGCCGGCCGCATCTGCGCGCCCGGCAGCGGATGTGATGTAAGTTCCATGGCAGGTGCGTGCCCCTTCCACATGAATTGGCAGTGGGCAGACTGCCCGAAGAGTGCATGGAAAATTTTGCTGCATTGTTTGTGGCCATACTGTCTGCGCAGGGTGCCGTGAATGAGTTCAAGGACGCCGGCAGGTGAAAGTGGCTATTGCATGTCTCTTCCTTGTCTTCTGCGGGTCGCTTAGATGACATCCGTAAGCACTGGTGCCACATGCATGGAGGACAGAGGCCTGCATGTATGTAATCCCAGAGCAGCGCAAGGGGTGGTCAAGCACGCAGGCATGGCACAGAAGATTTTTGGCGAAAGGTAATGAGGGCCTTCAAATGAGGCTCTGCTGACAATGCCACTGCCAGCTCACTCATTGCCCCATAGTGCTCGGTATGCAGCAAGTTCAGATTTGTGGTCTGAGCAATTGATAACCACGGTGGCAGCCTGCTGTTGTGCCAGAGGCAGTTAGAGCAACATGGTCATGGATCTTCCACAAGAGGCCGCACCTTGAGCTCGGGCAGGGCAGTCATGATGTGGTGCAGCCGGGGGACCTGCGCGTGCAATCCCAGCATTTGAGTGCATAAAGATTTTTCAAAGCACGTCACAGAATACATGTTGCAAATCTTTTGCAGAAATGTGCCAGGCATGAAGATTGCATGGAGGATGAGGCACCACTCTGAAGCCAGCTAATATTACGACTAGCTAGAACAACTTTTGCCGCATGCTTGCAGGGACATGCTTCCCAAAGAAAGGGCACAGAGCCAGAGGCGGCACCATTGGCATGCATGGCCTCAAGGCATGAGTGAAGAGTGCAAGGCAGGAAATCCGCAGTAAGCCTTAGCATTCAATTCCATGCAGTCAGAGGCAGCACTAGAGGCGGCCGAATACTTGCCTGCTGAGAATAATCTTGCCACTCGCTAGCAGGAACATGCTTTGCAAAGTTGTTGCACGGAGTCAGGGGCGGCACCAGAGCGAGGTCGGCAGCGCTGATGTTGTTCTCGCCGCGAAGGTAGCGCTTGTCGGCCAGCTCCTGCTTGACTTCAGCTGCTTCTCCAGCGCCGCCAGCTCCTGTTCGTCATCCCCCGGCGCAGCTTCCAGGTAGCTGAGGAAGGCCGACCAGAGGCCGTCCACATCCCTGCACAGCATCATACCATATCGCACAGCACCACCGAACTTCAAACAATACATGCAAGAGAATTGTTCTCTTTTGTTATTTCTCTTGCACACTGTTCCTGCCTGGAGACGGTGTGTGTCGTAGGAAAGCTGCAGGTAAAGGTTGACACAACTCCTACGCCTTGTTGGGCTCGGCAAATTCAAGCAGGACCCCATCATTTGTGTTCAGACTTTACATCTTCCCCCGCCAGCCGGGGCAGTAGATCAGTGCAGGATCAAGATCTGCAACAAGATTTCTTAACCTTCATGGGATTAATTTTATTTCGTGTACAAGAAGAGGAGGGGGCTTGCGTCTGGGGAGTTTTGCGGGAGCTGGTGTCTGCCGGTGAGCCGATGACACCCAGGGGGGTGTTAGGGTGCTGCTCCTCCAGATGCCTTGAGATGTCCGGCAGCCCCGCAAACCATCTCGCCGGATCCTCGCCCAGATCCTTGATCACTGGCATCTGGTTGCCAGCCACCTCCCTCAGCCTGCATAAAGGTACAACAGCCCGCCTTACACGAAGCACATACGGTGGGATCTGTATGGCACGCTTGATAGCAGCATCGGAGCACCCTTTTTGGGACCAGCAAGAACACACAGCGTCTGATGGGCGGCACAGGCAGGGTTTAGAAATCTCATGCGTACCAGTCCGGCCGGTTGCGTGAATCCACGAATTGGAGATTGAAGGGCAGGCCTTTCTCATCCAGCAGCAGCAGAGCAGTCTGGCAGATAGGGCCTGCAGGCAGTCGCACCGATATGCGCTGAGGATGCCGAGAATGAGTCAGCAACAAGAATGCCACTGTTGCATCGTGATGAAAGATGTCTTCAATGTGCTTGATGAGTTGTTATATCTACTGCATGCATTGTCATGACACTCACAGGGATCGAGCTGTTCCACGGCTGGCATGCCGTTGACGAAAGCATCGTACAGTGGCTTCTCCGTGGCAGCCCTTGGTGTTGCAGCTGAGCTCATTGAAATGTTCTTGGAACGATTTCTGCCAGACTGCAACAAGGTTCGCGAGGATTGGAGCGGCCATAGCGCTGGTGCGTTTGCGATTCGACTCCAGATCAGACTCAGTGGAACGCTTGCTGGCTTGCGCGTGACCGACGCAGGGCTGCCCACAGCTATCTTCATAGTGCTCAAAACCGTTTTCACAGCCGCCAAGGCCATTCTGCAGGAAAGCGATGCGATCTCGCCATCGACACCATCCTGTTCATTTGGCTAAATTAAGTCAGTTTATGGCCTGCCAATCTTACTGATTATCCAATGTCTCCTCCAAAAAAAAATCAGCCACATTAGCGACATACATGCATGCCGTGTTCTGTGCTGCCAACTGGTTTTGAAATCCATGTTAGTCAGTTACATTCTTCTAACAGGTCACGAGCACCAGATGTCAAGAGTAGTTCCCAAAGAAGTCCTCCCCGGCCTCTTCCATGGCTGCAACATGGTCTGCATAGGTGGCCATCTCCTGGGAAGAACGCTGCTGACACCGCGCAACAAAGAGCCACCTCTGGTCCTCCACTTCCTGAAGCTCGGTGTCAAATTCTCCTTCAATCCTGCCGCCCCCAAACAGGATATTAGACCCTTCCTTGACACATGCGCATGATCCTCAGGAAGGCTTCTGCTCAAAACTGAAGTGAACCTGACACAATGTGAGGGACATCCCACTTGTGGTCTCATTCTTCCTGATAAAGTCACCCATGCAAATATCTCAGAATAGATCTATGTATAGGATACAGACAAATTCAGCAATCACCTGTCAAGCTCAGTGAGCTGATGCGCAGAGATGACCCGACCAAGGAAGCCAAACTCGGCTAAGAGATCCTCTGCTGCAGAGCGGCTCATGACAGGCAGTTCCCCGGCCACAATGCTGCCAAAAGCGGCCATGTTCGCCACGTCTGTCAGCACGTTTTGCATTGCTGCCTTATCCAGTCCAAGTGCCGGCAGCCCCTGCAGATTTGGCACAATGCAACTCTTTCAAGTAGTTCAGATTGAATGAGAGAATCCCTCCAAGCTAAGGTCACGTGAGTAGATCTCCACACGTGTGTTCGCTGGTCAATATACTTGACAAGCAATTTTGATCATGCTATTTCCAATGCATGTACAACATTGTCATTGTCAAGCTTTCAGCGAGTGGAGCTGCACTATTTCTCAATAAGAAGGGGAACCCCTCTTAGTAAAGTCCTCACCTGAAGGGCCCACACGGACAGCCGATCCCCACGGAGGCCGGCCCTGCTCAGGGAGTCAGCGAAGCTGTCCTCGCTGCCCAGAGATGCGCTCACTCTGCGCAGCAGGCATGCTCTGGGCACATGCGCGCCGGCCTCCTTCAGACGCGCAGCTGCCAGCGCATGGGCTTCTGCCGCTGCCACCTCAAACAGCACCGTCCCTCCGGGCCACGGCAGCCTGCTAATTTGCAGCATCTTTAAACCTGGGTACAGTTGCTGGGCACGCAAATTTTGGGTGTTTTTGGCCGCTTAATCTAGAGGAGGACTTGAGGAAATGGGGCCAAAGAGATATGGCCTGGCCTCCAAATCGAGCAAAAACAGGGGCTGGGGAGCTCAAGACAATAGCAAAATCATTGATAGATGAAGATTAGACACCAGGTAATCTTCAAGCAAGTGCCTATGTGCGGACCGCTCTAAGTTTTGCACTATGTTCCATCCTAGGATTCACATAGGCAGGCTGCCAAGGGATTAACAGAGAGAGGGTGTGGGTCACCTGTAGGGCCTTGTGTCAAGGCCACAGCCCACGAGTACCACCTGACGAGTCTCTTGATCCAAATCCATGTTCACCAGATTTATGACTTCTAGCAGCTGGTCATCCAGGAATGCTGTGGCAAGGTTGTCAAATGCCTCATCGGCGAAAATCATCTCCGGCAGGGCATCCACCTGTTAGTAGCGTAGGAGTACTGGCCAAGTACACATGCATGCATGGAGACTAACAAGCATTGAAGATTAGACTAAAGTGAGGCCTGCATATCACGTCTTTTGGCTCTTATTGCTCAAGATATATGTTCTGCATGTTCTGCGGGAGCACCTGATCTGTCAGGGCAGCTGCATATGGATCAAGATATCTTGGGTGAGGACTCCGATGATGCCGTGCTCTGACTTCTGCAAGATGGATTCCAGCACTGACATCATCTGCTCGAAGAGCGTGCAGCCGCGATAGCAAACGCCCCTTTATGTATGCTGGGCTGCTAAGGACCAGAGGTGATCCGAACGCAGGAAGGGACGATAAGACCAATGGAAGCATAGGGAAATCTCTACAGATATTTTTTAGCTACCGTGTTCATACTTATTCGCGTTCTTGCAGCGTGATTCGAGTTGTGATCTGAAAATATGGTACTCAGATCAGGTAGACCAGAAAATATTTCTTCAGCCGACAGTTGTGATTGGAAATGATGTACTACATGTAAGAATGACAATTATATTGAATATTCAAAATGTCCAAAATTCATTCAGCACTGTTGATGATTCTTTCGGCTGGCATTGCGGTCGAGTCCCCCCTCTGACGCCTCTGAAGGCAGCATGCAATAGCAGCGGGGTGGTGGACCCTCGAGTAGTTTTCTGTTGTGCCAGCAAGCCTTCCATGTCTCAAAGCACATGATGGAGATTATGCAATCATATGCATTACTTGCGGACTGTGTCCTTTCACTTCACAGCATGGACACCATGCATGGTGCATCGCACTTGTGCGTACGACTCATTGGATGCGCCACCAGATGTCAGCGCTGCCTTTCATGCATCTAGAGCAGAATAGCTGCCTCATGATGCACTTGTCAATGCTGCGACTGAAAGTCCTGGACTGGATATCTCTCGAACTCCATGTCACTTGTTCCAACGCAAATGCGCATTGTTTGTGAGTGGAAAAGACCGCAGAACAGAAAGAAAATTCATTGAGTGGCTTCAGCTGAAAGACCGAGATTGCTCTCCTATGGTGCGCAAACCATAGGCAAGAGAGGGAGTGTTGCAATCAGTCAAAACCAATGCCACAAACTTTTCTCTCAGAAACATGCATGTCCCAGCATGCTTCAGTGCAGAACTATGAGTGCTGTCGGACGCCTTCTGCAGTTCCCCACACAGCAACCTTCTTTCAGCCGCCCTCGCTAGCACTCAGCCTTGTACAGGTAGGTTCTCATAAAATAATCTTTGGATCACCATCGTGCCCAAAATTGGGCTGCCCGCTGCCATGCAATGTTGGACATGCTGCCACACAATGTCAACAGCATGACCATTCGGGAGTGTACTCCACATTGCTGCCCAGAACAACCTTCTCCCTCTGCAGCTTGTGGTACTCGTCCAGAAGCTGCACAAAATAGCAGTCGCGGCCGCGCGCGCTCAGAAACTTCCGCGCGAATGCAGTCGCGCGCTCTACAATTTTGGCGACCTCTACCGGGTGCGCCTCAGCCCATCCGACGGCCTCCTCCAAATTGCACCAGGTCTCATTGGCGACCATGGGGATGTAGTGCTCCCAGGGCTTCAGCAGGGGGTAGTACCACTCCAGCTCCGGGCTGTCAATCTGCGTGGATGCAAACATACGTCCTGTCCTGTCTATATATACATGCAAGAGTGTCTGCGCATGCATACATTGTGACAAGTACATGTGTGTGGTCCAGATTAGGCCATGCATCAAGCAGGGCACATCTCTGGGACCCACTTCTGAGCACAGCTTTGCTGCAGGCTTGAGGAGAGCTTGCATGTAAACCCCAGAAACACAAGCACAGGAGGTGTTTGCAAGGGGTGCTGCACCTTCAGCACAGCAGCATCAGAGGCCAGCTGCAGTGCCAGCCGCACAGATGCGCAATTGCCAGGCACCCACACCAGGTATTTGTACCTGTCCACCTGGAGACAGAAGCACCTTTTTCAGGATCAATTGACTTTGCTGCGAATAAGAAGACCAAAAAGTGCATGATGCAGAGACATGGTAGAAGTAAGTCAGGTCAGGTTGAGGATAAGAGACCTGATCGCCAAAAGACATCTTTTCCTTGAGGCGGCCCCCGTCGTCCCCATATCTGGCAGGATCCCAATCCAGGACCCCAGAGTCAATGAGATCTGGCCGCTGCAGGCCTAGATTCAACAGCGCAGCGCGCCCCTTGACCAGCCCTCCAAAACCCCCCGTGCTGCCCCTCCACACCGCCTTCGGCAGCCTTGGATCCTTGGGCCCTGCAGACCCCAATAAACCACCCTCAACCCCCTCCCTTCTATATGACTTGATGAGGAGTGACAGAAACCTATCATTTGGAATCCTACAAGCATGGCAGAAGGGCATGCAATTGCTTGAGTATCCTAGAAATCGGCTTCACAAATTCCATTTCACCTCATGTATCAGGCTGCCATTTCTCTCTCATGCTGGCACCAATCATTCCCCTCAGCACATGCACCAGCCCTTGCAGAAATTGATAATCCCTGTTCTGCAAAATAGCGTGTTTTGACACAGCAATATTGGCACAGCACAAGCCAGCGCGGGACATCGGGCGGAACGCACCAAACAGGTGCGCATCCCTGAGCACATGCACCAGCCATTGCAGCAACAGACGAGGTCCCCTAGAGATCAACCAAGAAGAGGGAACGCGCCTGCGCGGGACTTGGGGCGGAAGGCGCGCTTGTCGGGGGCGCGCAGGAACACGTCGCCCTCGATCGTGTTGGGCAGCATGATGTCGCTGAAGTTGGACAGCTTGCAGAAGCTGAAAATGGGCGTTGGCGGATCCATTTCCTTCCCCAGCGGCGCCAGCGGCTCATCCCCTGTTGCACATGCACAACACCGCTTCAAATGGAGGGAAGTTGTGATGAAGATGGCGTTCGGGGCCTTTCCACAGAGCTTGGGTGGTATGCAGAGAGCAGTGACACGGTAGATTCGTTGAGATCCATATAGAGAAGGAGGAATGGAGAGAGTCATCCTGTTGTAATGCAGCTGCCTAGGCATGTGCATGGTATCAAAGAGTGTAGGCAACTTGTATTCTCGATGCACTCCTGTTTTCACAGCGGTACAGCCCTCGCTCCCTGTTTTGGCGCTCGCACTGCCTTTCATGTAATTACCCTCCTTCTTTCAACAGGACTGCTCCTAGCACATAATTGCCTAAGCTCAGGCATGCACGGGGGTATGAGGTGGCCCTACACTTGAGCTGGAGCATAATTAAGAAGGAATTAACCTGCCACAGTGTGTAGGTTCAAGAGGTGATGCCGAAAAATGCGGTGAAGTAGACAAAAAGTTGAGGATGGCGTAATGAGGCAACAGAGAGTTAGTGAGTTGTGCACCTGGGTTCAGCGGGATGACCATGTCCGGCAACTTCACTCGCAGCCTGACGCGCTGTATGAGGGAGTGGTATGTGGGTACCAGCCGCGCCCGCTCCGATCCATGGCTCAGATACACCTTGCCCTGGTACAGAATCACCTGGACAGACCAGCGCGAACGTCTGTTTACTCTCTGATATTCACATGTGGTCCTACCATGCCAACACTCCATATGGCATCATTATGTGTAATCATTGGAGGCCCAGGAAAGCTCTATCGAGACACCATTGGTCACTTTGACCGCAAGATCACACGTAGGGCCTGCACACCTTGGCATCAGTTGAGCGGTCAAGCAGGTCTTTTGTGATGCCCTTCTCCTGCCACCAGTGCAGCTCATCCCTTATCAGCGGTACGTACGTTTGCACCAGGTCCCCGCACTGCACAGCAACAATTCACTCGCTTTACATTCCCCAACATCTGCAGCACATGTGCAAAAACTTCCAGATGACGTGACAGGCGCTCAATTTTCACAAAGCATTGCAGCACAAGTGACCAAAAACTTCCAGATGACATGACAGGCGCTCGTATTCACAAAGCAACAACACATCACAACTCCATCACAAAAAGTGATTGCTCCTCAAGGATGTGAGCACCCAAGAATGGGGTGGACATTATCAGATCGTGTGCAGAGCACTGGCTCACCTCAGTCTTTAGGAACTTCTTCACGGTCTTGCGGCCAAAGAGCACGGTCCGCCACCGCCGGCCTGTGATGCCGGTCTTCTCCTTAAGCCATGGCATCCAGCCTCCCGCCTCCCTACATCCACCAAACTCAAAGTCTGACCAATTGCTCATACAAGGGCCTTTCTCCAGTGCGCCCATTCTGGGGAGGTGCTTGCCGATGTCAGGACGGCAGGATATGGCCTGCCCAAATTGACATTGAGAGATGGGAATCGAGGCTGGGGAGCTCGCAAACACTATAAACATTCACAAATTGGTGAGTGGAAGAGGCTCAGACATGTGGTTAGAGCTGATACAAGATCCAGGTGCAGGCCATCGCTAGTTCTCATGAAGACATCCCGGCAGCTAGAATGACAATTCAGGACAATAAGGGGTTTAACATTCAGATAGACAGCTGGAGACGTGCCTGCTGACATATGCATCTTCCCAGGCCTCCCAGTAGGCAGTCTCCCGCGGCTCTGATGCCATGATGACCATGCGAGGGACCAGGTCAATGAAAACAATGGCGCCAAGAAGAATGACAACGAGTACACACAGCCTTGGCAGGCTGGCTCGCCTGGCGCATCTCAGGCTGCCCAACCTTGGGATCGGCATGGCCCTCCGCCAATCCCGAACTGGTTTGCTTGTAGTAGTTGCCGTGGCAGAATAAATAAGCTATTATACCAGTCACAGTGTCGGATCCTGTCGCTGAAATGCCTGACACTTCTCCGATGATGTGACCCTCACTGTTGCGATGTGGGCCACAAACGTTGGCTGCAGACTGCTGATGTCAACAGTCCGCTCTTCAAGTACGCCACTCGAGCAGTACTTATCTCATCTGTACAGAGCCTCATGGCAATTCGCCGACCAGATCGCTTGAAACAGATGCCTCGAGATCATGTACCAAGTCTTGAAGGGGCTTTCCTCACGAATGCTGACAGGCCAGGCAAGTCCTGGAGCTAAGACGCTTTCCTACAGAAACGTAGCGGAATCAATCTGCCCACCAACTTGCTCCTTGCCACAGCTAGCAGAGATCAACGGCCTGTAGAGGATTGAACTGTATGTCGACAGATGATTGGTGGTCTTCGCAATTTGAGCAAGAAACCGCTCGCGATTAGTCTCCCATATTTTATTTTTGTCAGGCGTGTCTTCTACTGTATTGAGCCGGCAAAATTGGCCAGGGATCTCTTGATGGATCCTTTTCTGCGATGCCACTCAAGCAAAATGAAGAGAGCCAAATCTCCAATGGAGAATAGGTTTCAAGACGTTCCAAAGATGCATGAAGCTCTTGCAAATGGGGAGCATGAGCCTTCTTCTCTAGCCCGGCAGAATTTGAGCGACTGAGTCATGTCCACGTGGCAAAGGTGAAGAGCCATGCAGCACGGGGACTCATTCCCAGCCCAAGCTACACGTCCTCATTGCTTTGCTTTGCCACAAAGTAGCAGTAGATTGTGCAGAGTATACTAAAGTAGTACCAGCAGGTTCACTCGCCATGTTGCACGTCAGTCACACATGTGCAAAAACAAGTGCGGCACTCCAACTTGAAGTACTTGTGCCACTCCGATCGGTGCACCACGCCTGAGGCGCCACGCCATGCGGCGTGAGACATTGCAGGCTGCAGGAGACAAGGTTTCAATAGGGGGAAGCAGGTCATAGCAATTATAGAAACCAAATAAACCAAATTACATTACATTGATGATCACTATTTTCAACAGCTTCAAGTTGTCGCAGTACAGATCTGAGTTCTCAGGTGGAATACCTTACAAAAGTGCACTGCTGTGCCTGCAGTGCTGCCGGTTTGATCATACAACCCTTCAGTTGGTTCCCAAAAAGACTTTCCGGGATGACAATTATTTCAGCACCCAACACTTTGTCAGCATTTTGGTGCTTCAGCCTGAGCTGGAGCCTTCAGCTGCACAGTTGTGTGACATTCTTGCTCACAATGCAACAGCTATTTTGGTGTGGACTCTGCCCGTGCCAGCAGAGATCTTCCCATAGGCTCAACAAGAACAACAACAGATGAAGAATGAAGTGCTGTCTCATGAGTCCTCCCATGTCCTTCCGCCAATCTTTAGACGTCTCCACTTTCTGTGCTTTCTTCTGTAGAAACACCGCTAACTTCTCACTTTGGCGCTCCAGCTGAGGCTGTGGCTGCTGCTGCACCTGCAGCTGCCGATTTCTTTGGGTTGTGCTTCAGCAAGTATTGGCCCAGGAATTCCAGAGGGTCATCAGGCCGTTGCCGGACCACCTCCTGCACCGCCCATAACATATCCTTCAGTCCCAGCGACTCGGATTATGCACCGTTACAATGGACACTGGAGAGCAAGCACAGTGCAGCATATCCATAAATAGTGTGCATGATCATCATTCTCAAACTTATGGAACGGAAGAATCAGAATGGTGTCTGACCTGCATGCCCTTCATCAGCACTTGGACGACTGTTGCCTCCAGATATTGTCGCACATTCAGCGACTTGAGATCCGTTGGCTTTGCTGCCTTGTCTGCCGGCTTCTGCGTTGGCATTGAAGGTATATTACTATATTACTACCAGGCGTACCAGTGGATGATGAGCAGTTTGGCTTGAAGCAGCATACAGAGATGGTTACCCAACCAGCAAGGGCAGCACGGTACCTTGGGTGCCTGTGCTGATGCTGCAGGTGGTGCATTCGATGCAGCAGCTGCGTTTGAGGCAGGCTCGTTCTTCGCAGATCCCGACTGCGGCTCACTTGGAGCTCCTGATGGTGCAGGCTCGTCTCCCATGATGTACTGGTGAGGATTTCGGGATGCCTTCAATTCGTCAGCCTGAACATCCAAAATGCTACTTAGTGGGATGCATAAATACTTGGCAACCAGTCTTATCACGCTAAATGCAAAGAACAGATGAAACTCTGTTCGACAACTGTGGTACAAGTAAGCTGATACTTCTGCCAGACAGAACAAGCAGGCTATGCACTTTCAAAATAATGATGCTGTCATATGAAAGAGTTGTTCTAATTTGCCAGCACCTACTTCTCGCTAAGGATGTGGTGTTTTCAAACCGATGACATGATCACTGCTTGAAAGATTTGTGAGATACACTGCTACAAGTCCTCCCCACAAAAAGGGTTGTGCAACATTACCAGATATCACTTAAGATGTACAGATGCACATTTAAAGGAATTTGATGACCAACACCTTGGGACCGAACAGGGATGGGCTCGCACAGAAATAAGCTTTCGAAATGGTTTTGGATGATGGTGGAGTTCGCTGACAGACTCACTGTCGCCAATATGCAGAAATCGTGTGCAGTCTGTATCTGTTCGTGCAGTGAAGAAATTTGGATTAAATCAAAGAGGAAGGGTTGGGGCAGAACATAATAAATGCCTCAGCCATGGGGCCTACTTTTTGCTGCTCATGCAGGTCCCACTGATCATTCCATTTACACTAATAGGCAATATATCTTTGCAGACTTACTCGCAGCGTTTGACGCTGCGCTTCTCTGTAGTTTGGACTGAAACTGATCTGTACATTCTTCATTGAGCTGTGGCTGCCCTTCAGCATGTTAGCAAGGTAAGTCTATTGTTAAGCTATTGTGAAGTTCTTGTAAAGATCGGGATTGTTTTGAGCACTTGAGTGCAAACGGTGTTGGCAAAGTTGACACACTGCAATAATGCTGCCTCTCCAGATATGCTTGTCTTGCTTAAATGCCTTGGAGGTGTAATCGATGGGTTACTGATGTCACTCGAATTACTCTATGATGCACAGGAGTTCCAGGGCTGGCGGAAGAAACCTGCTACAGGTACTGAAAGACAGCTGCGTAAGCCAGGAATGCAGCATGCAGAGTCGAGTGATTTCGGGCGCCCTACACACAGGCAGGGCTCCTGCAGGAAGCACAGACGGTGCAGATCTGGTGACGGCTGCTGGCAGCGCAGACGGCTCACTCGGGACACTTCTGAGCTCTGGAGCTGCTAGGCTTACTGCAGGCAGTAGAGCCCATGTTATATGTGCACCAGGCAGGCCATACAGCACCACTGATGGCCCTCAGATCCGAGAAGCCCAGGCAGGAGCAGCAATGCCGGGAGGCAGCCTTTCACAGCAGCAGCCACCCCAGGCACCTGGCCCTTCTAGCAGTGAAGCACCACAAGAGCAGCGGGTCCCTTTCTCCGCCAGGCTAGGCAGCTACAGGGCAGGGCAGCGGCCGCCGCCGCCTCCCAGGAGAGACTTCGGCGGCCCTGACATGCCTCCCGCACAAGAATTTGGCTTCCAGGGCAGATCGCGGCAGCTGGTGAACCTGAAGCAGCGGCAGGTAGGACTCCACCTTCAGACAAAAAAGAGAAATGGAACCTCGTAGGCAAGCCAGCACCAAAAATGAAGGGAAATTTCCTCTACTGACTGGGTTAAGCAATACCTTGGAAAGTGCATCTCTCCGCATGTCTGCACTGTGTTTGGAAGCAGCATTGCTGCAGGTGAGGGTTACAAAATTCCTGTGCCGGGAGGTGTCTGCATTGCTGATACACCCTGTGACACCTGCGAGGCAGCCCTTCCTCCCTTCCCCGGCGCTCGCTCTGCCTTGATTTTTGCATTTTCTCTTGGCTTAAAATCGAGTTTGTGCCATTGCAGGTTGGGGTGATGACTGTGCTGAGCACCAACAATAACACAATCATCACTCTGTCAGACTTGGAGGGCCGTGTTCAGGCGTGGGCCTCGGGGGGCACCCTGGGTTTCACCAACGCTCGCAAGTCCACAACCCACGCCGCTGAAGCCGTGGCCGCCCACATGGGCGAGAAGGTGACCATCACGCTGTCTGCAACATTCCTATTCTTGTCCCAAGCGCACTGATTAGCCTGATACATCACATTGTGATCACCGTGGACTTGAAACATAATTTCTTTTAGAAGATTGCCGCTGCTTGCATGGAGAATCAGGTGCCACCGACACAGGGGTGCTGTTGGATGGCATCATACAGTCGGCGTGCCTTTCTTGTGACAAGGAATTTTTGTTCGGGAGAAGAGGGATACAGACGTCAGAGAAAAAGGGAGACAGACATTGGGCAAAGCTCAAGAGAGATTTAGTCGTTTGCAGAAGGCGATTTCTATTCAAACAGCTGAGCGCTGACTCCGCGTGTGTCATGCTGGCGCAGGCGCGCAACTTGGGATTCACGACGGTGACGGTGCGGGTGAAGGGGATGGGGTACGGCAAGCAGAAGGCGGTGCGCGTTCTGCACTCGTCCGGCCTGCGCGTGACCAGCATCGAGGAGCGCACCCCCGTGCCCCACAACGGCTGCCGCCTGCCGCGAAAACGCCGCACCTGAGTGTTGCTGCACTGGGTTGGCAAGGCCATGGCTGGGCTTGCATTGTTAGACGATTTGCGGTCTTGCAGTGAGGCAACTAGCCCAGGCAACTTTCCGCAGGACAAGGCCTTCTCGGCAGCGCCAGCATAAACACCAGTGGGCTGACGACCAGCTTGAAGTCTGTCCACCTTCGCACGCTGCCACTAGGTTTCAGAAAGACAACTTCCCAATAAAAAGTATCATTTGGTGTTGCTGTGCGATTGACTTGTCAAGCATAACAGTCATCAGCTCTTGAACTGCCCACTTAGTGAACTGAAGGATTTTGTAATGATGAAAAGGCTGGAGTTTGTGGCCGTTGTTGAGGATGCTGGAACGGTTGTTTCTAGTAGAGTTTGTGTCTGCAGGATTCCTGCTGTCCGCAGTAGAACAACTACTGCAACATTACATGTGTAAAACTGCATTGAAGTGCGGGTTTGACTTCCCTTCAACTGAGGGATTATTATCGCATGTTCTCGACAGTCACACTTTAAGGCATTTTTGTGAAATGCTGGCCTAACTTGTCAAAACAGTGCTACTTGTCACGGCGGAAAACAGTCAGTGCGTTCAAATAATATATAGCGCAAGCGCAGAATCATATCATTTGGCAGAGCAGCTGACACACTGCCTTAGACATTGGCTCTTCTGCGCCAAGCATCAACGCCAAAAACTTGGCAAACTTTTACTGCAGGCCCTTGCCAGCACCCCATTGGGCAGCTATAAGGTCCTATGTCTTGCTTCTCTTTGCATGCTTCGTGCGTGAGCTCACCGCCACTTGATTCCTTGACATCAAGTTGATACCTCGAGTGGGACATTAAGGCTGTCTTAAATCACCTCAGAAATGTTGTGATGTATGTCAGTGCTGCCAGTCACAGGTCTCAGGGCAGTGACCTTGGCTCACAACCGCTCGTGCACGGTGCGTGCCACCTCGAAGAAGTGTGCGACGGAGTCTTCAGGCGTTCCCACAAGGACACCGTGGCCCAGGTTCATGACGTGGCGGGTGCCCTGCGCGGCGCGCACGGTGTCCAGTATCCGCTGCTCAATCACATCCCTGGAGCCGAACAGCACGCCGGGGTCCATGTTGCCCTGCGCAACATCACAAAACAGTTGTCACACACTTGATCATCACAATCATCTTCTATTGCACAGCACTGTGCTCGGGGCGGCGTGGTATTACGTCTGTTTAGTCTGGTTGAAGTAGTAAGCTTGGGTGAGATCAAAGGGATCTAGGTTCATGATGCCTGCTTCAATCCTTTGCATACAGTACTTGCCTATTTGAGCAAAGATTTGCTGAGAGAGCATGCTTTGCAGCTCTAATGCAGCCATCGCAGTCAGTTCGACCCAATCTTCCTTCGATCCTTGTCAATGCATCACTCTGGGCAGGGAGAGCGGGCGCAAGCGGTGACCCCGAGTGATGTCACACACCTCGCTTATCTCTCATCTCAATTATCTCTCATCTGCACACACTCTGTGTCGGCGATATGGTAGTAAGCAGTGAGTAAGCGCTGACCTGGACGGCGAAGTCTGGGCCGATGCGCGCGATGGCATCGCGGAGGTCGACGTGCTGATCGATGGACATGATGTCCGGCTGGCAGGCAGCCATGCGCTCCAGCAGGCCCCCGCTGCCGCTGATGTACAGGATCAGCTTCAGCTGCGGGTGCGTCTGCACAGCCGCCACACCACAGCCCCGTCAGCAAAAAGACGCAAGACGATTGAATGCGGAAACAAATGCATAACCTTCCCAGATTTGCTCCTGGCGTCAGCAACACCAAATGCACACGCGTTGAAGCACACGTGATGCAATCCACGTGGCGTGTGGCGCTTGCACGCACCATGCATGCATGAGCGCACAGCTGCATGGCCTTTTCTCCTGGCCTCAACAAGCAGGATGAATCCGGAGCATGTTGTAGTGCAAAGTTGTATGTGCTCTGCAGAGAGATACCTGGGGAACATACAGGGGAGTAAACTGGAGACAGGAGAAGAATGACTGGGGCCAAAAGCTATGCATGTGTGCTGAGTGATCTTGTATGGAGTCATTGGCACAAGCTGTTCACCTTGCGCACGTCGGCGATGATCTGCTTGATGTAGGGAGCGGAGAAGACCTCAAAGTCCTGAGGCGAAAGCTGCGAAGCCCACGAGTCAAAGATCTGCACCACCTGTGCCCCTGCATCCGCCTGCAGCAGCAACCACCCAACCCACACTCAGCACACTGCACCATGCCTCTTATTCATCACTGACACAGGCCCTTGCCGTGTCCCTTCAAATTTGGTACTGGTCACATATCCACAGCAAATCAAGTGAAGAGAGAAATGCAAGACATGGAGGAAATGCGAGCGCCAAAGGAAGCCTCATTATTCTGACAGAAGCATCCAATGGTACAGACATCTTGCAAGTCATAAGCTCATCTGAATGTCTTTGCAAGTATTCTTCAGTGATTTGCAAGGTCCAGCACCATACACACTTTGCATATAGGCATCTTCGAAAACAACCTAAGAGCCCCTCAAATCTCTGCGCACTCAAATCTCTGCAGTCTCTGCGCACCTGGTAGCGGATGTAGTCGGCCACGTTGTCGGCCAGCTTGCTGAGCAGCGCATGCAGCACGGCCGGCTGCGTGAATGCCAGGCGCTTGATGTGGGTGTAGTTCTTGCTGGAGCCTCCCTCCACTATGTACGACGCCAGCGTGAACGGCGCGCCCACAAACCTGTGCATGCATGCCACACAGAGGCTCAGTAAAATGTCTGTTTCTGGTATGAGCCCACTTCCCTGCGGAAGAGCTGCCACCTATCTTGTAGCCCCTCCTAGAGGTTAGCTGCTGAGAAAAGGCCAGGCAATAGATTTTGTAATCACTCCCTGCCCAGATTGTCCAGCTTGTATGGTTCAGCATATGATTCTGAACGTTAGGCCATGCCTTGTCATATGCAGACCACGCAGAGGAAGGTCACATCAGATCACAGGGGTGAGTGCATGCCGGCAGGAGGATACGAGATACAACAGTATGGGATCCCTCTGATGCCGGCAGGTGAGGGTGAATGTGTTAAGCAGCTGAAGGCGCACCCGAGCACTGCAGCCTCGTTGCCGACCTCGGCCCGTAGCGCCCGCAGCGCCTCCCCGACGTAGGGCGTTGCCTCCTCGGCCTCTAACCTCGTCACCTGGTTCACTTGCTGCAAACACGAACAAAGTCCTTTCAGACTTTTGCCCACATCGGCGGCATGGCCTGGTCTCACCTCTTCTGGATGCCTTAAGAGCCACAGAGAAGTCAACCCCACAAAGTGTCCTTCCTCACGACGGACATTTGCGCATGCATTAGCTAGAACCCAATGTTCTTACTGATGACCCAGGCCAGCGTTTGTCACCTCCATGGTGCGGATGGGGTCGTGGATGATGGGTCCCCTGCCAGTGTCGATGTCAAAGGGGATGTTCATGCCCGTGAGGGGGGTCAGGATGTCCGAGAACAGGATGACTCCGTCCGGCTTGAAGGCCCTCCAAGGCTGCAGGGACACCTCCACCTGCGCGCAGCTTCCTGCTTAGTCATCGCATTGTCACCCCACAGCTGCCCTTAAGCGTCCCTGCTCTGCATGTCTTGTAACAGATTGCCCCCTTAGAGGTCATCTGCAGCCTTACGGCCCACATTAAAACAGTGCCTGTGCCTTTACATGCGCAATCATGGCTGCAAGAGCAGCACAACCTGCTTCAATCCTGAGGGGTCCCATCAGTGACAAAAAGGGCTCCTGAGAAGCTACTGATATGTGCAGAGATGCCGCAGAGCTCTCACCGCAAGGTCTGTGTTCTCTGATCGTTCCCTGAAGGTGGGGTGCTTCTTGCACAGGTCCTGGTACACCTGCAAGGAAATAAATTCAAGTGGATGTTAGCCATATTGGGGGGTCTCCCTTAAGCGCGATTTTGAGCCTAGCGGGAGCCTGTAAACATTTCCTTGCTGGGTATCAGATGCAATCTGCTCAAGGGCAGCCGGATAGGTTGGAGCAATATGTCACGCCGAGAGACAGACAGCTCAAAAGGCCCTGAACGCCCACCTTCATGTAGCGGCCTGCCTGGCGCATCATCCACACAGGCGGCCTGTGCACTGGTACTCCATTCAAGGCTTGCAGCAGCAGGGGCTCCTGTGTGCCGCTTTGGGCCTGCGCACAGGGCAATCACACATCACTTCAATTGCAAAACATGCGGAGAGGTGAAATTCTACTTGTTGACATTGTCCAGTGCTCAGATGTGTGGCCGAGTTGGTCTGCAGGTGCAAAGTCTGACATGCACCTGACCAACAGGGGCTGCGGTTGGCGCTTCCACGGTCGCTGCAGCAACAGCGATCCTCGGCGAGCATCTGAGCGGTGCCCTGTGGGGCACTGTAGTGCCCTTGGCCTGCACACCAACAGGATTTCTCAAAACGAAAGGAAAATATTTTGTCCAGATGGATCAAATTCGGTTTCTCTGGCTTGTCCTCAAAAGGTGAAACTTCAGATTGGCCATCAAATCAGAAAGTAGAGACAACAATTTAGTACCAGCAGTCTTGAACTATTGCAGATGTGCATTCTGGAGTCGAGGCTCCTCACGGCAATCGTGGAATGCTCTACCAGCGACATCGTCGCCATATTAATGTTTAGATCTAGACACTATTGCTATTTTGCGAAGATTTCTATTTCGCTTCCAGCAGGACGAGATTGGATAGGATCAAAGATTGGGTGACGTCAGTCCTTCTAAGCTTGCCAGCTCACCTTCCAAGAATCTTGGCCATCCATGTGGGTGCGATCGCAAGCTCCAGCTCTTGCCTCCTGTAGATGTTTGGGGTGCTGTGAATGGCTAGGATGGAGGGCGCAAAGTTGAGTTGTGCAGGTCTGAGCAGTCCTATTGGTTCCAGGCTCCTGTGCAGACGCTTGATATTTTCTCGTCAACGTTTCGGCAGCAGCAGGCAAGCAGTGTTGCCTTTCTAAGGATGTCATCGAAGGAATGTTGCATTCTTTGCTTCGAATATTGTGATCAAGTGCACTCCTTCTGATCTTGTGCAAGGCTCTCTTATGAAACATCTTTGCCTCTGAGCAGGTCACGAGGGACAAATCGAACACAGGCGTTGTTCGGCTGGTGAGTTACAGAATGAGTTACAGAAAGATAGACCTGATGCACACTCTGACTCTGATTCATCGAGCATGCCAAGAGCCATTGCTCACAACGTATCCTGGGGAGTATCCGGGTTGGTGATTCTTGGTGATTCTTATATGTGGCAGGGGAGGCGACAAAGAGGAGCAGGAGTGGAAGCGCCAGGAGAAAGAGGATGCTTATCGAGCTCAGCAGGATGTCCTCAGAAGGAGGCGAGAAGGGAGCTGGCAGAAGGTGAAATGTACAACAACGCCATCTCCTTGTGCAGGCGATCAGCAATGTTACGTCCGAATTCCATTTGCTCACGAGGATTTCGGTTGGAAGCATGGCAGACCTGGGGTCTTGTAGAGTGTCAACATCTGTATGGTGGGCCAGGATGTGAACGCTCGGAGGGCCAAGGTGAAGAAGTACAACACCGACCCAGAATACAAGAAGAAGATCGATGAGGACAAGCGCGCCAGGGCCCTTGCAGAGCGACCCCCTGACCCGATCGTCAACGCTTTTAACATTATCATTCCCCTGGCACCCTTCGGCATCCCAGGTGGGTGCAGTGACGCTCTTGCTGTACCGAATAGGCCCGGCTGTTGGCTTCCTGTGACCCTATAGTGGGGAAATCTCTACAAGTAGTTGCAATGCAAGAGCGTTGCTTGGAGCACTGAAAGGCATCTTATGGGGCGGTAATGCAAGGTACTTGAAGCCGTGAAGTTCGTTATTATTGGCCTGTAAAGCCAAGTAATTGGAGCATTGAAGCGGCCGTTGCTAGCCTGGGAAGCAAGGTAGTACGGGCACTGAAGAGTCCTTTTGCGGGGGCAGAGTATGACCAAGGAGAGCGGTTTGACCTGAAGGCAAAGTACTGCGACAATGGCTGGGTGGATGAGGAGGCCGAGTTTGGAAAGCAGGTCAAGCGCTTCTTTGGCATGGGCAAGAAGAAATCTGACGATGAAAGCGAGGAAGGCCCTACAGACAAGCGCGGAAAGAAGCGCTGATTGAGTCTCGAGGGGTATCTGATGCTTCAGCTACCCGAGCATTCGGTGCATTTTCTGTAGTTTGTGAAGAATTTGAGATTGGAGTGAGAGCGTGGTGAACAGAGAGCGGAGAAGTGCAGTACAGACTAAAGGTTCAAATATTGGGTTGGCCGGACAGCGTTATGCTGAATGCTTGCCAGAAAGGGGCCTATTGATCATCAATCATGCAACTTGCCTTGCACACTGCAAGGCGCTGCATGCCTCAAAGGCTGCCAGAAACAGGTTGGAGAGGTGCTAAATGTGGAGTGAACTTCTCAAATGTGGAGGAACGTTCCAGAGCAGTTACATTTGTTATTGTTGATTGGCGGATTGGCTGTGCAACACATTGTGAGATCTTGAGTGTTCTCTTTGACAGCAGCCCTTGAGGAGATCAGATGAACAATAGTAGTGTGGTAGTTTGTTCTGTTCAAAGCTGGTGTAAAACATAAATTCCGGGAGATAATTTACAGAGGGCCCATGCACTCGGCATGTGGAACCTTGTGGATCTGACATGGAAACAAAACACATCCAGGGTGTCCAAATGAGTTTGAATACCTCACAAAGAAGACTGCTGTCAATGTGGTGCATCTCACAAAATAACAAGTAATCACTGCGGTACAGGGCGATATATGTCTCACCGCAGGGACATCATGTTTAATGCTCTAGACACCTGAACCACGTGGTCCTAACAGCATCACTGCATTGGGTGCAGTAAGCGGGCAGGGCATGTCTTCATTGAGCTCCTGCAAGTATACACACCCACACCCAGTAGCCCACTGGGCCTGAATGTCAGGAAGAATGGGACTGTCACCTTCCCAGGAAGATGGCAGTGGACGCAAGCACTCTCTCAGAACAGATGCTGTCTCTCAATCAATGTCACAGCCCAGTGCAACTAAATAACTGACCTACTGCGCACGTATGCACAAAAAAGACGCTAGAATGACCTAGTCCTAAGGAAACAAGAGGTGCCAAAAGCTGCAGAGGGACTGCTTGTCTTGGGGGAGATCACAAAAGAAGCCTTCTCTTGTCCTCCTGGAAGTTCAGTCTGCTGCTGGGAAACCAAGGTACAGCCCAGATTGCAGCGAGAGTACTTGGCCAAGTACTTTCATGGCTACAGTTCTCGGGACGGATAGCTCTGAGGGCATTCATGCCACAAGTACCTTGGCAGACTCCCTGTTCCAAACCTCTTCCAGAGCCCATCCAGCAGCGCTGCAGCGCCAGCAATGAACAATGGCGGACACAGACTGACCGCTTGCCCCCTTGAGGCTGATTCGAGACGCAAGCCTTGAGGTGCATAGCAACGGTTTCTCAACCGTGTAGGGGAACCATTGCGATCTTGTCCTCGACGAAAAATCCAGCATCCGTTCAGCCACTGCTGCTGCTTCAGAACTCCAAAACCGCCATGAATACTGCAGAGCTGCAAGGTCCTGCACCTTCACCTGCTTTTCAAAATCTCCTGGCTGGCCGCCTCTGCCCTGATGTCCTTCACTCCATTCTCCTTGGAGCTCTTTTCCTGCAGCTCGCCCCTCACATTGCGCCTGTCTGTACACCGGTTCACAGCCGGCACCTGCGCTGTGCTGACCTGCTTCTTGCTCCTCTTCACCAGCCGCCTCCTGATGCTCAACCAGAACATGCCTGCGCGCATGCAATACATCCTTTTCAATACGATACAATAGGGAAGGCTGGTCACCAGATTGCATCAGATGGGCTTGCCGAGACGCGCTACACAGCCTCCTTGTGTGCCACAAAACAGTGTGGACAAGTCATCTTGCCCACATGCAGCCTCACAAATGCAAGCCCTGCTGAACAGCTTGCCGAGGTACATAGAGTACCCACACAGAGCATCGTTAGGGGGTGAGGAGTCGCACCGTAGTTGAAACAGCAGAGCAGGAATTGGCACAGCACCACCGGCAGGCGCTCATACAAGGGGAACTCGTCCAGAACCACCCAGAACCTCACAAGCATGTATGGGTACAGTATGAGCCGCATCGGTATGAATGATATCCAGTAGGCACTGCACAGCACACAGGCGAGGCATGTTGGTATAGAGTTTTGCAGCACACAAAATGTTATATGCATTGTTTAACCAATACAGGTATCAGCTAAGAGTTGCTCCTGTACTCTTAAGACTAAGCATCATTTGACCTAAGGGGAACACTTTGCTAGGGTGCATGCGACACATTGCTGACAGCTACAGGGGAAGGGGCTTACTAGTGCAAGGGCTTGTACAGAGCTGGGAATTGTCGCCGTGCTATCAAGAAGAAGGTGTTGATCTCAGTGATGCCGTCCCAGCAGGTGAAGCGAGCAAAGGCCGGATATCTGTATGGGAAGAGAAGAAGCAGGAGCGTGACAACATGATGCCCCAGGATGACTTGATGTAGCGATGGCAAAGTCTCTGGCTGGAAATAGATCCACAAGAAGTCTGCAATGATGTACAAGAGGAAGACATTGGTGACCTGCAACCAGACAGGGACTTCCATCAATTGGCAGGCTCACATGCACAGCACTGGCACTGCATAACCGTGGCCAGATCCTTAAGGACTACACTTTCTGTACTCCAAGATTACCCCCTTCACGTTGTGGGGATTTGCAACAGTGCAACCCGACAGAGGTGATCAGGCTGTTGGATCTACTCTGTTAAAAGCTTGCAAGAATTGCGTAACTCGTCAATGACAGCATAGTGATGTGTATTAAAGTAATATTGCGAGTAAGGGCATTCTGGACGCCTACTAATGGGCAGCTGAACTTCTTTGGGGCAGCAAGCACTGCTGTCATGCACCAGACACCACAATTACCTTCTTGCTGGCAGGACAGGACATATATTTTCAAGCAAGATCATAGTTGATGGTGCATAGAATTCATGTACCTTGGCTCCTTCATAGTACCCCAGAAGTGACAATGCACACAGCCCCCCCAGAACTGGAAGAGCAGCTATGTTGACTTTGTCGTGCAATTCCAGGGCCCATGGCTGCTTCCGCTCGCCGTTCATACCGTTGTATGGTTTGGCGTCTTGCGCCAGCACGCTAACCATGAGCGTTCTCCTGTCACAGAAAATGAGATTCCTGGCATCAAACGCCTAAACTAAACTGTGCACAGGCGTTCCCTGATAGTGTGCACGTGCCCAGAAGCTCTATCTTTCGGTGGATTACGACAGCGGTGCTGTGTTGATGGGGCCCAACAGGGTGTTTAAGAATGCCACTTACCTTTGATTCAAAGGCAATTTGCAAATCAGGAGGTGCTGCGCTGATTATTCTGAATTTATATGATCTCGCACGGGATCCGGTGCGTGAATCGATTCTAGTCCAGCACGGAATCAATAAATTGGATAGTTGATCCTTCTATCGGCAATTTAGCTGGAATTCTTTGGTTTGGATCAATTTTGGAAGGAAATGGGCTGCCAGTTTCGTGACGGAATTTACCACGAGGTGATCCAGCACATGTAATGACACGCTCCACTTGAAATTGAGTTGGGGCCCCATACGCAATGGTGCAGAAGGGAAAGCACATGCATTCAGTGAACCAATGCCTCAAGCTACATTCTGTATGTGATGCAATCCTGCGCAGGCTTGAAGTGCACTCTTGACATATCCCATGTAGAGGCATTGGTGCTTCTATCATGGTCAGCCAGACTCGGAGCCTGATCGGATCAGCCCAGAGTTCCTGACCCCTGGAGGGCCCAAGGCTAGGACATCATGCGTGAGGCCATTTCATCCTTAACAGATATGAGAGCCTGAGGTCTCTGAGCCCTGTCAGTGGTGTGCTACATGTCTTACACTTACCCAGCACCGCCATTAAGCAATTACGCTTCAGACGCACCCAACAAGTGCTCCGCCAGGGAGTTCAGACACCCTTTCAACTGTGTCAAAGTGATGCTTACGACAACTGAAAGCCCCTGAAGACTTCCTTTGCATTGATGACCACAATGGCAATCAGTCATCCCCACAAGTCGCATACTTCAATCGCTCCAGCAGTTCCTCCACCTTGCCTTCCTTCTCAGCATCGGCCAGCATCTCCCGTTTTATGAGCAGCGAGTCTGCTCCTGCTGCATGCGCCTTCACTGCCTCTTCTATGCTGGTCACACCAACCAAAGAGGAAGCTCCCTGCATGCAGATAAATGCAGGTTTCTGATTGAACAGCCACAGAGCTCAGGCATACTGTAATCGAGCGCTGCAGAGCTGCGCGCATGGAGCATGCAGATGTTTGCTGCGACGACGGCAGATAAGTCCCACAACCTTCACCAAAATATGACCTGGCGATGATGGCGTCATCAACACCTTGCAGCTTCAGATACTGAACCAAAGCTCAAATTATCTGCGAAATATTTGAAAAAGCCTCACCTGTGGAAGGGCACCAAGAAGGCCTTTGGTGATGTCGCTCTTGAAGCCTGGAAGCGCAAGGGAGAGCCCCACGGCTAAGTTGATGCCAAAGAATGGCACCCCCACGCTCGCCATAGCTTCCACTTCCATCTTATTGACAACCTGCTCCACGCAGAATGGCAGTCTGAGCTTCTTTCACAACTAGAAAGCCTCTGATCATACCAATCATTTCAGACCTAACAAAGGGGGAGAACCTTACACTAAATCGAATGCATGGGGCCCCCTGATAAGTCAATATAAATACCCCAGGGCACTATTACCAGTCCTCCAGCAGTGTTTGTGAAGCAGCTGGCAGGGTGCTACCTCCACTGGAGCATCAAGTCCCACGGCTGCAGCAAAGGACGACAGCACCGGTGTCGCTCGCACGCTCACGCTAGCAATTGTGCCCAGCACGCCACCTGCTCCAGCCTCCTTTGCATCCACTATCTGCCAGCACAGCAGTAAAGAACTGCAGTTGAGAGAAAAGTTTCCTGGTGCCATGTCATTGGGACCCTTGCAGTCGTAGCGGCATGTGTTCCGACACAGTCCAGGCAATACTGTCCAGCAGATAAACTTCATGAAATCAACTTAGATGTGGGGATTGCCTCCCTGATCCTAACAAGACCGGGGGTTCAATGCATGTCTCTGAATGGGAAACAAATATTGTTCTGCTGGATTGACCTGCAGGGGGTGCAAAACCCAGTCGCGCTGCAACACAGGCACTTTCGCAGCTCTGCAGGCTGCCACAAGGTCTGCATAGCCGCTGGACGTTGCCTCCAAGTCTGTCAGGACTGCTAGTGCGTCTGCGCCCCAGCCTGCATACTGCACACCCCTTGTTGAAGCCATGCCGTTGCCTTGCAGCTGCGCACCCACACCGCATGCATGACAGAACCACATGGAGATGCGTCAGATGGCATTTGGTGTACAGAGGCGGAACATGTGCTACATGCTGGTGACTAAAGTTGCATGGGAGCAGGGTTGCATACTTGCTTAGCCAGGCGGCCGACATCCTCCGGGGTGGAAGAGGGGGAGGGCTGCGCTATCTCCACTACAAGCACTGGTCTCCCCTTCTGCAGCCGGATCTCCTGTTGGGGGCAGCATGGTCAGCCAAGATCTCTCTATTGAACTCCTTGGAAGTGTGAGAGTGATGCCTTTTCAGCTTAGTGCCAGAATTTGCCGGAGTCACAGAGGAAGTGCTAGGCGAGCACCTGTATGAGACTTGACAGTGGGTACGGAGGCCGGGCTGGCACTTGGGCGGCGCTTTCAAGCCTGTCTTGAAGCGCTTCCATCCCGAGCTCATGGATCTGCGCCTCTATCTGGGCTTTCTTCCGCCTGGCCTGGCCAGGACAGACATGGTGTGACAAGCGCCATGCAACATTGCCAAACCATTCATTGAGGGCCACAGAGAAGTCCTTATTGGGAGAAGATCACACCGTATTGTTGCACTAAGCTGATTATCCCTGGCAGACTTTGGAGCAGACCCATCGTCTTCGCCTCCTTGGCTGCAATACACTCTGGATGCAGGCGGCTTCAACCGCCGTTGACTCGTTCCATTGGATGTGCAGATGAAAGGTGTTCTGACAAAATCATTCAGGATGTGTTTCATGACTGTTAGAAGAATCAATGAAGCACATGAGGAGGATCGGATGTCTGGCGTTCACACACCGCCATTACAGAGCAGCGTGCAATGCAGTGTTCTGTAGATGGTCGATGACGATTTACTCTCAGCATAACCAGCAATTGGTGTCCCTGCGCATTTGCAAGTCTCGCCAGGTGGACTTCTGCACGTCAGCCTTTATTGGCATTCTAACCGATCCTTTGATCTTGGTGCAGAATTTGTGCTGACTCTGCCCCCCTCAATTCAGTCTCGGATTGCATATTTTCAGTAACACAGCATAGGTGATTCATTCAAAATTCTGGGATAGATAGATTTATGTTAACAAGCTGAGAACGGTGCCCGGCATGAAGCGCGTTTGCGGGCAGACTCAAGCACTCAGCGTGCCATTTTCGAGCCATAAATGCACCCTGAGGCCACCTCGTAGGGCATACAAAAAAATTAACAATGCGCCAAGGGCCGCACAACAATCTTCGGGGGTACGTTCTCCTGTGTCGCCGACCTGATCCGCACTTGCATCTGCACCCTTACTCTGTCCAGACGTTATGATTGCATGCACATAAACTCGGGATGGTAAGTTAGTGTAATGACCATCTTTTCGATGGTACACAAGGTTTGCTATTGCGCGAGCTTCATCCAGTTGTACCAGCTGCTAGGGATGCTAGTCCAGTGTCATCGTCACCCTGGAAGCACTGAGATGCAGTGTTCTGAGAATCATTTTGTGATTTCAGGCTGATGATCTGATTAGGGAAGCGGATAACCTGCTGGCACAGATGGCCAAGGGCCAGGTGAAGAAGAAGGCACAGAGTATTGAAGAGTCCACCTTGGACAACGGGGAACGACCTGGCTTCCAGCTGCAGTGCGACGTGAATGGATGCACCATCGTCCCAGTCTCACAACTGGATGCTGCCAGAAGTCCTGCAGGTGCTGCTTTGCGGACCCTGACATTTTCATTTGGGGTGTCTTGAGAGTAGAGATTCTGAAGTGCTTAGCTTTGTGATCGCTTATCTGCAGGTAGCTTTGTGGGCACCAGTGGCAGCATGGCATCTGGGTCCGAGCCCAGTGACTTTGTGCTGGCAGAGGGCCGTGGGTGGAAATTGGGCTATGACAGAAGCCCATCAGATCCCAAGGGCTACACCGCCATAATTGCCTCTGACACTTGGTCCATGGCAGTCACCAAGTCAGAGTATGATGACTTCGTCAAGGTGTGCAGACAATCTTATGATTTTGATCTACACCCGGATGTAATACTGATTGACTGATAAAGAAGGGGAGTGAAGGATTCTGGATAGCTCAACATTATAATGGCATGGAAGACTGTAAAGTCCAGTGCGCTGCATCTGAAGAGACAGCTGCCACAGGCTCTGATGCTGGCAATGAGCTTGCAGACATTTGTCATGCCAAGCGTCCAGTCATCCTTGTGCTTACAAATTCATTTGGTTGCGCAGCTGTTGAAGAATCTTCGGCGGAGCGTTGCAACGCTGCAGATCTGCGGGGAATGGCGATCAGAAAACGACGAGGATGCGATGTTGGAGATGTCCACTCAGCGTGTGTGGATGCAGGGCCGCGCACCGCAGAAGCGGCTCACTGCTCTGCAGGTGAGCTCTCCAGTCTGACCCATAAGTCTCACAACATGCCGAAGGCATTTGTCTTCACTGAGTGCTCTGAGGACAACAGGACTTCTTCCCTCCAGCCAGGGGACAATATGTGTTGGGTTGCTTTTTTGCCTTCTGCAATCCCTAACATTGCATATGCGCGTGTTGTGAGTTGCTGGCAAAAGGGCTTAAGCATGGCTTTGCTCGTATTGTGCAGGAGATCTGGAACCGTGGCAGAGGCAATCATGAGCAGGAAGCCTTCTCACTGCGTTTCATCATAATGGCCCCTGATCGCAGAGAGGTGATTGGCCTGTTGAATTGATCGGTACCCCATTGAGATATGCTTGCTACGCTGAAACAAAGTCACATGCCACTCAGCAATTTGCATGAGAGGCATTTTCTTTTGAAGGGGTTCAGGAACTACTTTTGGAAAGTTAAGTGTCATGTTGAGGCGTCAAGTTGCGATGACATTTCTGCCAAACGGGTAGCAAGTGTAACTTTGGGTGTTTCGTGTTAAGGTGGAGGGAAACTGGAGCGCTGAGGTGGTTATGCAAGTGCTGCGCCACTTGGATGGTGAGCTGGACTCTGCAGACCAGTCAGCTCCGGCCAATCAGACTGTCAACGAGGCAGTCCCCGCATAGTGCTCTGTGCGTGTCAGGTGTGAGAGATTTTGGTACTGCGGAGAAGATGCAAGACTGTGAGTCTGTCATCATCTAACTAGGAGAAGATGCAAGGCTGTGAGTCTCTGGTGCAAGGTTCATGATTTATTCCTGACACTTCTGGACACAGCAACTTAAAGCAGCAGGGTGCTCCTCTGAGGCAGAGTTGCAATGGACGTCTGATCCAATGTCAGAGAGTAGAGATCCACACAGCAAGATTTAAGTGGACCTTGTCAGAGTTGGAGATTTTTGTGGTATCCATGAGGTCCACCAGGTACCCTTTGGGTACAGAGCTAAGTGGATGAAGATGCATCAATGGTGGGATGAGAGGAGCCGCCTCTGTTGCTGATCAGTCAAGGGCTCACATTGACAGTCCGAGAAGAAAATTTGAGGTGTGTTGAGTGGCAGCTGAAACTTATTTGAAGCAAGGCAATGAAACGGGAGAGGAAGTCAAATTGTATTATCACATTAATAGAGGTCCCTCAACCTCAACCTTAGGCTAAGCCAGTTGGGTTTGAGGGACGCATTGATCGACAAGACGCTGTCAAGCGCCTAATTTATATCAATATTCCTACTGTCTCGGTTGACCATGGCTGTTCTGACGCTTGAGTGGCAGGCTGTACCGCAGTTGCTGTTTGTCTCATGATGAAGATTTGAGATGCCAAGTGCCAGCTAGAGCCAGCAGGTAATCGGAGAGACAATCGTGTGACTCCATAACATCTGTATATCCCAAGAGGTGTCAAATTGCAATGAGCATGCTATTGCGCCCATGCATGCAAGACCGTGGGTAACACTGTTCACATGGAGGTTTCGTGATCATGTGCATCAATGATGCAGCTGCAGAGACAGCTTGTATGCATATTCGGCTTGCCTTCCATATCATCATCATCATGCATGCTTGCAGTGTCGCTGCATCCTGCTTGCCCCCAGTATGTGGGTTTGCTAAGGACACATTAGGCTACTATGCCGTGACTATGCCGTGACTTGGCAAAGTTGGCATTGCCAACAGGCTCTACCTTGCATGCATCTTGCCTGCATCGGTGATCATTGCTAGTCCTAGGACTAAGTCGCCTCTGCAAATAGAGATATCGCAGCTGCTAGTGTCGATCTGCCTCCAGATATAGGTGTATTCAGCCTGAGCAGGTTATAATGGGCAGACAAAGATCCATCAGATCTGGAAAATCATGGGTAGGAAACACTTCGCAGCGACATAAGATCGGAAATTATCTACAATCTCCAAGATTTTGTTAATTTCACTTGACGTGATCTTAGACAATATCCAATTTTTCAATCTCTGAGCTTCTATGCAGAAGGGGCTTGCGCGGGGTGTCGAATTGAGTCTTCCAGAGGACGTATGGAGGAATGTGGCGTCCCATATGACATTGAGGGAGTGGGCGAGGGTGTCCGGGCTGTGCAAATCCACTTGGAAGCTTGACCTGCATTCCATCTTGGTGCCAGAGCAAGGCAGCCTGGGTGTGCAAGGTTAGGCAGCTCCCACCTGTTACATTGATGATTGTTCCAGGATAATCTGTCATTGCCACTTGCCAAGACTATAATCCACGTGCTATGCACACCTGTCCCACAGGGACCACAACAAGCAATGACTTCTCCAATCCACCTGTGCTTTGAGATTGCATTTTTAATGAGAAAGCCTCTGCATCTCATCCACTGAGGACTACATTCATGTTGGACAGGCGCAAGGTGGATGGCCGCAAGGTGGCGCAAAGCTCGACATCTTTCCCTTTGCCTTTGGGGTGAAGGGAAAGTGGAGGACGCGTATGCCATGATGGCCGCACAGCCTTGTGCCAAGGAGGTGACGCAGCTGCAGCTGGAGTGGATCACCGACCGGATGGACAGCATGATGGACACCACTGGCCTTGCCCTTTTGACCTGGCTGATCGCATGCTGCACATTTGCGCTCACTCCGCCTCAGATTTGAGCGCCTTCCCACAATGCCATCGCTGCCGCACTTGCAGCACCTCATCCTGGAGCCCGCAAAGTCGTGTTCAATCAGACCGCTCATGCATGTCTTGCCGCTCTTCACAAGCGTGCAGACGCTGTGCCTAGGCAACAGCTTTAGCTGGCGTGGTGATGAGAAGCTACCGGACATGGACCTTAGCAGTCTCAGACACCTGCGGAGTGTCAACCTGACAGGCGCGGTGCCAAGCGCACTCTCGCTGCCGCCTGATGCAGAGTTGCATGTGAGCGCACGTTGGAGCTTGTGTGACCCAGTCTGGCTGAGCGTGCTGCCCCAATTGCGCACCTTCAGGTGCGAGTGGGGTGGAAATCTCGAGGAGCTGCCTGAATTGCTGCGAGTGCCCAGCGGCCTGACACTTGTGGCTTTGTCTATGACAGACCTCGGTTCTAGCAAGCAGCCCCTGCGCCTGTGCCACTTATGCGCAGATTTGATTATTGACATCTGCTGCCGACACGCATGGGTAGATCTGCGGGGTGGGATGTGGAAAGACCTGAGTATCTTCGCTACCAAGAGCCTGCAACTAGCTAGCCCGCTCCCAACCCTGTTGCAGTGCCCACAATTCTCCTTCTGCCACCCCTGTGAGCATGAAAGAAGAAAAATGCCCGCTTGCGTTGTGCCGCCTAGCATCTGGCAATATTGGCCAGGCGGGAGGAGGACATACCTGATGAAGCACGTGAAAGGCCAGCAAATATATTCCCAGGTTCAAACATGCAAATGCAGGGCCTGCATGAGGTGCCTGGTGGGCTCCGGGGCGATGCCACGCCATGGTTATATTGAAAAAGCTTAAGGGTCTCGTTTGATTTTAGCCATCGATCAGTCCAGAGTGGTGGCTTGCGATGACTCTCCAAGCTCCATTTTCCATGTTGTCAGGGCTATGGTTAGCACGAAAATGCTCACTGATATTAGGGTTATATATTGGTTCTGTTTGAGGGGTTGCTGGCATTTGGGCAATTGCCGTGTGCAGTCTATGAGGTGTATCCATGATATTGCCTTTAAAGGCAAATTTGTAAGTCTCGGTAAGTGTGGCACTTGCGGCACCTCAGGTGGCAGACTGCACGTTCACGCTGAACAACTCTTTGCCATTTTTCATGAATGTCAGCTCATTTTACGTATGGAACGCATGGGCACTGATATTGCACCTTTTGTCATTCCCTCTCACAAGATAGATATCGCTGCACACATAATACAAGAGCATCCACCATCGAGTGCGCGCAATACCATGCGAAGCATACCAAGCAAGCCACCTCTGCAAGCTTAACCTACACAAGTCCTGATCCTTGAGAGCTCCAGTCATCCTCACGTCTTGTATGCATCCCGGTTTTAAACACAATCATTGAGAGCTCATGTACTCTCGGCGACAGGAACGTCAGGATTGTCAATTGCCCCACACTCCACTAGACACTTCCCGCAAGCACCACAGATGCATTCGACGTTGTCAAAACTCACAGGTTGACATGGGGCAGGCCCTTTCCACATGCAAGCCCTGCCATTGGCCAATCCCTGATGCCCATCACAAGCCTCCAGAGCACGGGAAGAAACCCCCTTGAGTGCATGGTACTCAAGGTAGAAGTCTGGGCAGCATAGGATGCAGCGCAGAGAGCTGTAGGAGCTAGACAGCATCAGATTTTCCTCTGCCGTGATGCACAGGTGGCGCCATGCACCGCCCCACAGGTCCACCCAGGCATCCTGACAACTGATGAAGACTCTGGCAGCCTGCAGAAAGAGCTCGCCCAGATGCAGCGGTTCCCGATCGGAACCAATCTTATGCATCCGCAGGCATACCTGTGTAAGGCTGTTCGGCGCCTTCAAGACCCCAGGAATATGAGTCATCGAGCTGTCATGCCAAAAATCCCACAGAAAGGAGCGCAGCATTGGCAGCACGCCGACCCACACCCGGCGCTGCGCTTGAGAGTCTGTGTACACACCAGCATGAAGCGCTACTTCAGGCAGCAGTGACATCCTCGAGGGGGCAATGTCCACCAGCCTCACAATGCGCAAATGCTGGAGGGTGGTCAAGACAGACAGATCCGTGTGCGAGTATGCCTGATCGTTGCCGGACATGAACAGGGTCTGCAAGCCTGTGATGAGGGATAGATGGGAATACACCGGCAAAGGCGGAAATGCTAAGGGGTGGGACACGAAATGCAGCATCAAGTGCCGCAGATTCACCAGCGGTGGCAGTGCATGCAGCTCGTAGACGCATAGGCAGAGCGACCGGACGCTCATCGCATGTGCCGTCAGCCACGTCAGCAGCACACGGCAAGTAGCGGCATTTTCCCTTTCACTTTCTCTCAAATTCGCATTTGGGTCAATATCTTCCTCAGGTTCTTCATTGTCCAAGTCATCCCACTCAAGATACACTTGCATCAGCTCGGTGGCCCTTGGCTTTGCAGCCATGATTGCATGAGCAAGGTCCCTCCGTGCAGAGTTACTCAATTTGGGCACAATCAGGCTTAGCTTGTCTGCGTGGCGCCACCGTTTTGCCATCCAGCGTACACCTATATGACCATGGCTATTTGTTGGAATGGACAGCCCACCAGACAGCCTGAGCGGGCTAGCGCAGGCAGTAGGTACAGAACCATATGGCAAAGGCAATCAGGACGCTCTCACCATGGGAATGTATCAGATTTGCTGTGCTTCAATTTCATCTGCTCACCTGAGACACCCAGGTTGCTCTTTTGCGTAATCTTGACGGAGGACAGTTGAAGTTGCCAAGTGGTCCTGCACAAGCCTGACACCCTCGCCCAGTCTCGCACGTCCATAAAACCGGCCACCCTCTGCCAGATATCCTCTGTGAGGGTCCATGGAAAGGCTGAAGAACATCCATCCTGCACCCGCTCAAGATTAGAACACTAAAAAAATAGGATGTTCTCACACCGGTTCTAGAACTTTACTGTATGAGTGGATAGAGTAAGGCACTAACACCACTCAGAGAGATTCAATGAATCATACCAGTCTACTTACATCCATCAATGAATTTCGGTCTCGTATTCAAGTTCGTCGATTTGCACCACATTCTGGGATGCCTTTCACTATGGGCAAGCAGGCGAAGATTTAAAGCCTGTCTTCATGTAAATTACAAGTGTCCCTCACTTGAAAAATTCCTCTTTATTTTTGTCAGCTATAGTATCCTTATATGATTTCGAGCCATAATCAACATCTTGAAGTGTCGGCCAGTCCAAGGGATGCCAGCTGGACCAGTTGATGGGGAGCTGTCATGCAGTTTATGGATATGGCAACTTGCGGCGTCGGAAACAAGGTCTCCCCCTTGATTGACCTGCAGAAATTCGATCCAAGGGGCCCACAGCGTTTCCAGCATGGCTCGGCACTGTGACTTCGTGTTCGTGGTGGCCGTGACTTGCCTCCTACGGCTTGCTTTTGGGCAGGAGCAGATTCTGCTGCAGAACGCCAAGCAGAATAACCTGGTCGACATTCAGTTCTTTGCTGACAGCAACTTCCAGCAGACAAGGACGCCTTTTGCCTATTTCGACTTCCCTGCGATCCAGCAGGGTTCCTGCACACAGTGCGAGGACTTCCAAGTGTGCTCTAGCTATCTTTCTGTCCTTCTCAGCCTTGGACTGTAATTCATACTTGCCCTCATTTTACTTCTGGCGATCTGTCCTTAGATTTTTCGATCAGATCTGGAGCAGTGTGAGCAAAGAATGCTGCAAAATTCTGTCTGCCCCAAGGAAGTTGATTACCCAATGTCCTGGGATCAGGAGCTCCTCTCGAGACCGGATACTGATCCGTGACGGAAAGGCTTGAAATTGCACGGTTGCCCGCAGGATGCTCCACTTACATGGGGATCTGCTGTCATCGCCTACTCACCCACTGGAGGGGAGGTCATGAACCTGTACCAGGCTGCAGAGTGCAATGGAGAGCCCATGACAACTGGCGCCTCCGCCCCGGCCATGCCCTCAAACTTCCAGGCCAAGTCCTTCAAGCTCTGCCGCACAGGATGAGGGCACCCAGTTGAGCACCCTGACAGAGGTCAAAAGACAACAACCTAGCAGTGTCTGGAAGGATCCAGGCCTGCTGTGTGCAACGATTAAACTGTGGTTGGCAAGTGACATAGGTGGTGGAAACAGAGGCACTGCTAGAGCGCTGGGAGTTCCAAGTTGACTTATTAAAATTACAACATGGCAATTGCTAGTGTCGTCTAGCAGTCACAGCATCTTGCACAGTGCATTCAATGAAAGTTTCAATGGAAATGCTCCAGGTCAGCGTAATTCCAGAGTATCGTGTTCCTATATTACGTAAATATGTGCATTTCTTTCTGTCATGAACATGAGGCGTGTGGAAGTGCCATTCCAACAGTGTGCACACATATGTAAATCAGCTGTCTGCATGAGAATTCTTTGCTTTGAGGATTTCAGAAGTCCAGATGCTACAGTCACAGTGTCGCAGTTCGATTTCAATTCAGAGTCTCCTAGCAGATCCTGCTTGTTGAAAGCTTCTAGAAAAGCCACCCCTTATCTTCCAAGTAGATCAGCAATAACGCAGTCACCACAAGAGCACATGCTGAGCTCCAATGTGGCACCGGAATGGCTTCACAGACTCTTTCGACCAAAGAATTCCTTCAACATTGTGCACTCATGGGCGCACAAGCACAGGCTCAAGCTGCTCCGTGAGGCGCAGCAGGGCTTCATCTGAGCCACGGGGACCAATCAAGCCCAGCCCGACTGGGCACCCTTCAACTTTTGCCACCGGCAGGCTGACCTGCACTCAGACAGTGCTGACATCAGCTGTGCTGCATCATGTTGCCTCGAACCCTGTTACTCACAAGCAGCTCACTTCCACAATATCCTGACTGCTGGGACAAGAATGATGCATGCATGGCCTGCTTGGGGAACAGCACTGGCTGCTCAAGTTAAATTCTCAGATGTCCACAGATGACCAACAGGATGAAGTAGGCAGAGAGAGATAGCAAAAGATAGGAAAACAAACCTGAGGGAGGCCGCTGAGGCCAGCGATGCAGGTGAGGGAGATGAGACGCTTCCTGAAGGTATCTAAGTCCTGCTGAGGGGTGTTTAAGAAGGGGGCGGGGCCGGGTGCAGACGGCACCGCCAGAACACCATCCTCTCCCAGCAGTTGCTCCAGATGCTGTGTGATTCTGGCCCGGAGCTCATTTGCGCGAGCCACCTTCAGCAACATGAATTGTTTCTGTCACTGTCGAGAAAAGGCCCAAAAAACACTCGACCGGCGCGATCTGACCTTTTCGGTGAAAGGAGTACACCACGTACTCTCGCATCACAAGCAGCTTGTTCAATGCTGGGTCTAAATGGAATTTCATGCACCAGATTTCACACCATTTTGGAAGCTGCACAAAAGGGCAAGCACTTGAGCAGGCTAGTGGCTTCTCTGCTCTGCCCCAGCACAGCTCTGCTCCTCTCCAAAATGAGCTCAGAGCACCAGATTCTCTGTCATGAGATGCGAACAGCAGCGCACCTCCTCTGTAGTCAGCTGGGAGGCCATCTCGAAGCGCTCCTTGGTGCCTGGGCCCAGCTGCGGCTGAGCTGACTGGACCCACTCCCCCAGCGCTTCCCACACTTCCGCCCCTTGGGACACCCTGAAAACACAGCACGCTACTCACGCAAATATGTCGGTGAATACAATGTAGAATGATGTCCACTTGCGAGGCAGCCCTTCCTCTTATCCCTGGCGCTTGCTCTGCCTCGACATCTGCACATCTCTATTCCCGATGTAGAAGTCTGCCAGCATGCCAACAAGAACACAAACACATATCCTCTGCCTGTGCATTGACATGAGCCAACATGTCTTAGCACTTGCAAAGTGATCTGCCCGAGTTCAAATTTCAATTGAAGCAATAAGAAACAACCTGATCATCACCTGAAGATGTTGTTCCAATCAGCCAAGGGCCCCGCCCCTTCCACATCTGCTACTGTCACCTCCTGAGGCTCCCCAAGCAGGGCCTTCACCCCAGGGAGTCCCCTCTGAAAAGCCTGCATGCAGATCAGCCACAGATCAGCACATTCAAAGCCCTCTGAGCACGAAGCAGTCTTGGTCGTGCATGCAACAGGCAGACTAAATCTGTGATAAGAATCTAGGAAGACCAGGTCTATGAGGCCCACCCGAAAGATGGCTTCACTAGTGGCGTCATCAGCCAGATCAAATGCATCCTTGGCCACTAGCCATCGCTTGAACTGGACATCCGAGCGGGTCGCAGGGTCCAACAAAACATCCCCTGCTCTTCTCAGCAGCTCCGCGTTTCTGGCAAAGAAGCCACCTGCAGGGAACGAAACCCACCTGACTGCTTCGTTGAGCACACATCCATGCAAGTGACTGCAACCCTTTCTATTTTGGGGATGTCTCTTGGCTTTCGCATGATGTCAGGTGGCAAGTATTTTTTTCTTATAATGATGAGATTTTTTTTAATCATTATTACACGTTTTCCAGTCCTGAAGAACTAGGTAAGTCAAGCAACACCTGTATCATTGCTATCTAGTCTTCTCGATCTGCAGAGTGTGCAGAGAGAAGATGAGTGGGGTGCACACAGGACTCACCTGTGTCGTATGAGGCAGCCAGTGTGCATGCTCCTTCCAGTGACACCCTGCCATGAGTGGGTCTGATGCCCCACGCGCCACAGTAGCTGGCCGGAACTCGCACACTGCCGCCCGTGTCGCTGCCCAATGCAATGTCCACAGATTCATTGGCCACGGCCACCTTGTGAAGCATGAAAGATCAATTTGCCATTGCATGTCGGCATCAACCAGCTGTCACCGCCACATGCCGGCAAGCAGAGTTGTCTACAGATCAACCAATGCAGTGGATAACAGGCAGAAGATCTTTTAAGTGCCAGTTCTTACCACTGACCCGGATGACGAGCCCCCAGGGATGCGATCAGGGCAGGCTGGGTTGACGGGGGTGCCATAGTGAAAGTTTTCTCCATTCAGGCTGTACGCCAGCTCATCCATGTGTGTCTTGCCCACAAGGCTCGCTCCCGCTGATAGGAGGGCCTGCAGGCAAGTACTCCTCAGCAGTTTGGCAGTTGCTTGATGATTAGATTTTACTGATTGAAAATTAGCAGGTGTGAAGCTGCCTTCAGCTACAGGTGCGCGGAAGGGCTCCATGCATGGTTTCCATATATGTGCTTTATCCAGGTCAGCTGGGGTGCACCTGAACAGCAGGTGCTGTAGCTGTTGCAGGCTCATGTGTTTCCTTCCAAGTAGGATTTCCAAAGCCGGTCACATAGTTCTCGACCTGCAATGGGACAGTGTATGTCAAGACTGCTATCTCTCCGCCTGGAAATGTCTCAAAGCAATCTGTCCAGAATGTTGATCTGCATCTGCATCTGCATGACTGACTAGCGCATCAGAGGTTCATTTACTCTGCAATGAAGACTATGAGCCCCTGTAGCACAGGCGGTTGCATAAATCAACAGTAGAAGGCCCTCACGTCGTACAAGTCCTTGGCGGCAAAGGTCAGGCCCTGGAGGGGACCCTCAGCAGCACCAGTAATCTCTGGCCCATCTGGAAGAAAGGCATTGCTGCTGTCTCTGGACATGGCGCTCATTGCTCCTGATTTTTTGGCTGTAAGTAGTCCTTGGGGGTTCAGAGTCCTACAGAACAGACCTGTGCCAGGATATATACATCGAGACTCTGAGTTCCATTCCAATGCAGCAGCATTGGAGCACATGATCTGCGATCGATTGGAATGCCAAGCATTCCAGCGCAACATTCCAGCTCATCTGGGAACAATCGTATGTTTTCACCTTTCACTGAATAAGAGGATGCAGGCAGCGATGCTTCAGCTGGTGACCATTGCATGTGTCGAGCTGAACATGGCGTTCTGATGCTCGATGCAATATACCTCAGGCCACTGTTCATCATATCTGGACGGTCATGTCACTACAATACTTCTACAATTTGATTCTCAGTCAATAGTTGCTGGCACCTCTCGATATCACACAGGCATGTCTAGTAAGAGAGCATCTATCTGCCTCATAACTTAGGACTAAGAGGGGCGGTGCTTGTCATTGTAACAACAAATAATATTTGTGGATCCACATAGTTATTTCTAACAAAGCTGAACAGTATGCCGAGAGGTCAATTTGCATGCAGACCCGTTACGTAACGGGTCAAGTCCATCGTGGAGATCAAAGATGATTCAGATCTTGGCAGTTGTAAGTTTAAGTTGTTTTGCAATCTTAAATTCATTATCGTTTCTAGATGTGCTGATGATGGCTCTCCAAGGATAATTATGATGGGTGAGAAGTGACAACAGTTTCGGCGCGTCTCACTTATTGTCGCGTCTGGACTTCAGTGAGGAGGTCGGGACAATAAAGTACTGATACTGTTAGCAGTACTGTCCGCTCATCGCGTTGTCCGGCAGTGATCAATATGCCAGGTCCAAGGAAGGAAGAATTTGCAGGTATATTTCCTGATGGCTGGCTGACGCAGCCTCATTGACCAGATCCATTCCCTTCCAGACAATAAGATTTAAAAAAATAAACGATAAAGTGGGCTGAAAACAGAGCTGTTACTCGATTTAGTCATTATAATTGATAGTCAACCGTATCTGGCAGCTGGCTGGCTGGAGACCCGTGGTTTGATCTGCCTATCATCCCCATGTGCACGACCAGTCCATTTCCAATTGGCAATCCAACTTTGCTGAATTACTGAAACGGCAGGGAGCAGCAGCCAGCTTGGCGCCTTGTCGCCACAGCCAGACAGCCTAGCAGAAGCTGAGGTGCCTCTGCTTGGGCTGGAGGACAAGAGGATATGCAGAGCCTCCTGGCCGGTGACCGTGGCCATGCTGCTGTCTCTGCAGCTGGGCTGGGGTCTCTGGCTGACCCCAGCAGACTTTGCCAGGTGATCACTGTTCGTCACACCCTCTCCTTGCAGACATTATTGGGAGGTTGTGCCCCTCAATGCAAATGCAATGTGTCCTGTCTATTATAAGAAATGCTGCCAGGATGTAACATCTGGTTGCCTTGCAGGTTGGGCTGGCTGCCAGCTGGAGCTGCGATTGTGGTGCTGACACTGTCTACCATATACTCTGGACAGCTGCTGCTGCGCCTGTACCAGGCCGTGCCGGACGCCGTGCTCTTTGGGGACATCGGCGAGGCCGCCGCGGGATGCAGGGTAAAACCAGACACTTGCCCACCAGACTTTCAATTCACTGATGGCAGGTTGCCATGCGTATAGCTGCATCAGGCAGCTCTATAGTCGGCCCAATAGTGGTGAGGTGCTTGCCAATGTCAGGGCGCCAGGACATGGCCTGCCCAAATCAAAATGGCTCAGCAAAGCAGCAGTTGGGCTGCACGATACATAATAGCGTTCACAGATGTCAATAGGTGAAGAAAACACAGTCACATATGATTCATTGAATCCCTACGGGCAGACCATCTCTACTTGCATGGTGATGTGCTGATGTGTGCAGGGGCGCTCTCTGGTGTACTGGACAGTGTACTCTTTGGATGCAACTCGCTGCATCATTCTGCACCTGGCAGCCACTCAGTCGCTGCAGCATGCAGCCAACAGGTCCGACTGCCTCCTCTGTGGCGCCATCGTGGCTGTTATAGCCCTCATCCTCGGCCAGGCATGCCCCCCTTCCTTGCGTTGACGACCTCCTTTGCACTACCCACATGGTGGAGTGCATTTTGCTGCCTTGGAAAGGTTGGATTCTCTGCATCTGTAAAGTCTGCATGCTGTCATACTTCCTGTTCGGTTGAAGTTTGTTTCCTCAGGAGAACAGAACGTGTGTGATCAAGCATATTGACACGAGGATGAGTTCGCTCGTGCAGGTAAAATCGCTGGCGGACATGGGCTGGTTTCTGAGCATGGGAACAGCAGCGCAGCTGTTTGCATTGGTCATCGTTGTGGTGAAGCTGATCATGGTACCTCTGGACGGCGCCACCACAGAGCTCATCCACACCAACGATGCAGCTGTCTCCATCGTGGCCGTCATGAACCTGATCTTTGCGTGAGTCAAGATTTCTGCCATCCAGTCACTGCCTGGTTTTATGCATGCTACCGGTCCATCGTGTTTTTCTCAATATTCCACAGTCCTATACATTGCTTCTGCACCTCATGACTGTTTGCAGAGGCTTGCTACTGATCAGCACTGCATGGGCAGATAATTGCTATTCTGAAAAGCATGGGCCAGCAGCAGGGGAAAAACATTCAGATTAGAACCTAGGGTTGGCGTGCAGGTACGGAGGCCAATTTGCGTATGTGGAGATAATCAACTCCATGAAGAAGCCGGCGAGGTTCACGTCTGCGGTGGCGTTGTCAACCCCCATCATGTCGGTGGCGTACCTCTCTCTGGGCGTGATTGGCTACTGGTCGCGCGGCCGCGGCGTGCAGGAGATCATCATCTTTGGCACTGGCATGGATGTCTGGTCGCGCGTAGCTGCAGGCGCCATCCTCTTCCAGGCATGCGCCTTACTGGCTTCTTTCTTTGCGACAGTAACAAAACACTGTGGCACGCTCACGTGGCTGGCACAGACTACTGTGACAAGCAAGTGCCAATGTTGATAAGGCAATCAACATTCCGGCATGGTGATTGATAGGAGCATATGCGGAGCACAGATACATGTTAGATTGTCAGACTCTTGTCTAGATTGTGCGTTGCTTAATGGGTCCTAACTAGCTAAACGGCATTTGAGAGCCTAATGTTGAATAATCTTGTCCTGCAGGCGCTGGCGCAGTACCTGGTGAACCTGAACGTGTGGACGCACAACGTGCTCACCATCCTCGCGCGCAGAAAGGCGCTCCAGAGCTCTTCCCGCTGTAACGTGCAGCACGCAGGTGCGCTGCCTTCCCCCTTGCTTCCTCGCTTTCTACCCAAGTCTTGCCCTTTTCTGCTGTCTTTGTAAGGCTTGTGTACCAGTGCCAAAAGATCGGTTCTAAACTTACTAGAACAAAATCTGGAAAGGGAAAAGGCACCAAAAGACTGTTGTTGACAGATGTCGTGAAGCAGAGCATCCTTTGAATGTGCTGACAAGGCTGGCCTCTTTTTTCCAGCTGGTTTCCTTCTGTGTACTTTCTATGAGCGGCCATATTACTCCAGCTTGCTAAGCTGGGAGGGTATCTGCGGTTGCGCAGGCGACCACAGCCGACTGCCGTGGCTGCTGGCGTCGGCATGCATCATCGCTTACTCATTTGGCATCTCAGTTTCTCTCCCCTTCTTCAGCACGCTCGTGGGCCTGGTCACCAGCGTGACATACCTGACCTGCGCGTACACAATCCCCTGCTGGTTCACGCTGCGTCTGCTGGGCGACAGCATTAGTAAGGCTGAGTACGCGCTGTGCTGGGCGCTCGTGCCGCTGTCCCTTGTCTTCAGCTGCGTCGGCTTTGCCGCCTCGGTCATGGCCCTGCTTGATAATCTGGGTACCGGGGAGCTGTGAAAATGGACAGGAAAGCTATTTCTGGAGCAGTGAACCTGCCGTCAGCTTTGGGAGAGGGCGCTGAGAAAATTGAGCCTGCCTAGCATTGCACACCGCAGCTGCGGCTAGGGAAGGTTTCTGAGGTGTGAGCGGCGCTGTGTTGAGCCACTCTTTGCGTGTCGACACTCTTTTCTTGTGTTTGGCTGGCCAACTGGTGCCCCAAGACTAGAGGTTAGCTTGCTCGGGGAAGTGGCCTGATCTTAAACCTCTCTGCACTTTGTTACTAGATCTTAAAGTTGAGTGGGCTAGGGTAAATTTCATTCTGCTGCGGCTCATTGATTGATGCCAATAATGTCAATCTAGACGAACATTGCTTGAATAGATCTGAACGATAGGCCTTTCAGTCGACAACCTCAAACGCTACCTCGTTTGCTGCTGCCCATAGACTGAGCAGGTGACCGTGATTATGGGCTGCTTTGAGTGGGCATGTAACCCAGGATGGATTCATGGAGAAGAGAAATTTCGTTTTGTAAACATTGCTGGCATGAGTGCTGTGATCTCTGGCTCTGAGATGTACATGTGCTGCTACGGCTGCATGCAATATCAAGTGTGCGAGCCTGATTGCCGTAATGCTATGATTTAGAGCATGGGCACAGGTCGGCCATTGATAGTGGTTTAGTATTTTAAGCTTCTGTGCAACAGATTTTTGGCTCCTGGACGCAGCACTGTTTGAGTTCTGATGCGCTGATAAGGGCTGCGAAAGACTGTGTAATAACATCTGCAGAAAAGAGAAGAAAGTTATGCAATATGGGCATCAAGGCTTGCATCAGCACATGCGCCTCTGACACTTGCAATCCTTCTCATGCTCACCAGAAGAACTCAGATCCAAGCTCGCGCAGGCTTACAGGGTTGCTGTTTCGCACTTGCAAGTCGTGGCATTCAGGGTCATGCCACGAGTTTGACAGCACATTCAAATGCCTCCCAGGCAACAAGCAGTCGTAGTACAGGGAGTGTACAATTTGTAAGAGGACCTCTCTCCTCCCATGAAGGTCAACACACAAAGAAAGAACGCTTTTTGTACTTCAAGCAACCTACAATCTGCTGTGTCCTACGTTCCTAGCTACCTAATTCATGCATTTTGATGGCAATGCAACCACTCGCTGGTGGCATCACTTGCTGCTTGGGCTGCAGACAAGCAGATGTTCCCACCTCAAGAGCAAAATTCCACAAGACATGTGGACAATGGAGATTTCATGGGACGCAGAGTGCGCCAATTGGATGAGAATGGCAATGCATGTCCAACAGCATGACGCTAGCAATGCCACTTCAATGCAACAGGACGGCGCAAGGATACAGGCGTTCAATGCAGTAGTATGGATTCTATGCCTATCCTAACAGATGAAAAGTTCCAATCTGCGTTCATGCGTCCTCAAGAGTGGCTTCACAGTCTCTACGCATCTATCACTCCTCATCTTCTTTTTCCCAGCTCTCTACAGATGCTTGAATGCCGCTCACATCTGCTCCATTGGAGCTGGTATCAGCCGGGCCCTATTCTGACCGCTTGCCTTCCCTACCTAGCGCACACTCAATTGCATACCTCTGCTCGCTCTGGGTGAGGAAGATCTTGCTCTGCGGGGATGAGAACTACCTTGATTTCTTGGCCTCTAGGGCGGGCTCGCACCAAAATTCTCCATCTTTGCTGCTCTAGCTCATATGACCTCAGGATGATGCCTCTAAAGTGCAGTCAACTCCCACTCGCATGCACGCTCGGGGCATCTGCTGTGACTGCCTAAGGCTAGGGAACCTAACTGTTTGATCAAGCTCCCCGCTGAGGACAGGGGTGTCTATATCTTCATCTACTGAGATAAAGATCTCTCCCAGACCAGAGCAATACATACAGACTGAGTGCCCCCATGACCGAGCCAGGCCTGTCTTTGCATCCTGCCCTTCCTACCAGGTGCTTAATGAATAGCAGGTCAAGCTGGCGCCTTAGGGTCCAGTGGATTACATATAGAGCAAGTGATGGTATTTCTGCCCATGTCCTGTCCCTCAATGCTCAAATGTCTGGAGTGCCCCTTTGCCCGAGCCATGCCTGTCTTTTACGCATCCCTGCTATGCATGCTGTAATAGGGTGCCCCATCTAGAGGTCCTCTGGTTACTAATGACCAGAGGCACACTTGTAGACTTCTCTCTGCTGGGGCGGCCCTAGGGGGTGACGAAAGGGTCGCGCTCTCGCGGCTCGGGGTCTTCGTCCGGGCAGGCCATCATCTCGTGGCGCATGGTGATGTCTGTGAGGTGGTGGTAGGTGGCTGCGTTGGGCTGGCAGCCGTGCTTCATCGCCTGCGCCACCAGCTGCTCCGCTTCCTTGATACACGGATCCCCCTTCACGCGGCAGAACGACCTGTGGCAGCCATGCATGCTTCCTCAGCGCAGAATTTCACTGAGCACACAGTTGATCGGGTCTTGCTTGGGTCTGGCGAGTCCAACATGGGTAGCACTTTGGCAGCATTTGGATGCAGCTTGTCTGCATCCGCACCTTGCCTTCAGCAGGACAGCATATAACAATTTCAACAGCGGTAAACATCATCTAGACACAGGCAATGATGACCGCACATGTGCAATTTACGATTGTGGGGTGGCTTCTATCCTCCTGCGCACTGTTGTGCTGCAGGGCAGGCTTACGCATGCACTCGAAAACCGTCTGGAGGCAAATAGGGCAGCTTGGCGGTTTCACTGTAGTTCAAGGTTGTGACTCCCTGCTGTAGGAAGCACGGCCAAGGTAACCCCTTTCTTAGCTCGCACAGGTGTTGCACAATGGTGTGTTTTGTGTGAGCAAGCATGGGGGGGAGGGGGCAGCTATATATTGGGCTATGTCTGAGGGTAATCTGTGTGGCTCACTTCAGGAGGGCGTTGAGGGTATCAATGTCTGGCTGCACATCGCCAGTGTGCACCTGCTGCCATGCCTGCCCCACCAGGTCCACATCCCCATTCACCACCGCCTACAGCCCACAACCGAAGACCCTTCAAGCCCCTTAAAGTGAACTCCTTGAAGCCCCTGTGTTAGATACTGAACGCTAAGGCCCCTGCTTGACCTCTGGGTGGGGCAATCTCTTGCCTGCCATGGTGCGCATTTCAGCTGCATGCCCATATTGCCACTGTCCTGCGCTTGATTCTAAAACCAATGCGACATGATATGATCTGATCTGTAAATGTGAGATGCCATGCAGGGGTAGCTCGGTCTCGGGATACACTCCTGAGGTCAGCAAAACTTGCAGAAGTCCCTGAGGATGGCTTCTAGAGTGTTTGAGACTGAAATTGACAGGCGTCCTAGAATGCCCGTACACCATATGTGCGGTGCTCATGGCTGCAAACGCTTGGCGTCTGGTGTCAGAGGAGATCAGTCATCCCACCTCATGCAGGCGGTCATTGAAGGTGGCGAGCTTGCCGTTGCTCACTGCATCCTTCACCGTGGAGGACCCAGGAGGCTTCTTGGGCGCCAGGTCGCCATTGCTGGCCTGCAACACCTATTCCTGGAGGCTTTCAGAAAGCAGCAATCTCGCATGCAGACACGGTTGCTCATTCGACTTGCCTACATTTACTTTCGGTGCAAATAAGTCGTGATGGCCGAACTGGGCGCTGTCTGGCCAATGATAACAGTGGGCTATGCATGTGCTCATGCCACGGGTGGCTATCATGGGTTATATCCTCTATAGTAGAGAGTCTGCAGTGAGAGTGACTTTAGAAATTATTATTATTATTTTTCTGCCAAGATGCAAGGTGCCTCCTGCAGACAAGCTGCGGATAAAGGCTGCCACAATCCTACCAATGGTTAGACTTGCCAGATTCAAGCAAGACCCAATCAAACCGTGGGTACGGCGCTCAGTATTTATGCCGTCCCCCGCCAGCCGGGGCCTAAATATACCAGTACGGTATTTGGTGGGTGACACTGTTTGACTGAGGGCACATGCCAGCACATGCATGCCGGCACAGCGCACCTGGCTGCAGGTGAAGCCATGCTCATCAGGGGCAGGGGGCGCTGGAGTGCCCGCGGCAAAGGGGCTGAATGTCTCGGCCAGTTTGTCACCGGTGATCATCAGCATGGACCCCGGTGACGCCACATCCCCAGACATCAGCAATCTGCGGAATACAGAAAGTGCATTACACTCACCTGTGGAAAGAGCTCGAGAGAGATGTCCTACCCACAGGAGAGATGCATTGCTTCAGCCTGACACGCCTGAAGGATGATCTTCTCCTGCCTCTGACTTCTTCTCTCGCCCCAGGAAATTGAGATGTGTAGGTTCTGCTGTGCGCTTAGCCATGTACCACATCAGCCTAGGCAGGTGCCTGGCCTCGATTGTTGTGATGTACAGGAAAGACATGCAAAGGCAGAACATCGGAGACAGCACGTGGGGGCGGTGAGTCACCCTGACAGCTTTGTGCGGCAGACAGTCATGTCGCGCGAGTCTTCAGAGGAGCAGGGTGACATGTTTGCTCTGGGCTCCAAAAATGATCCTGCAGGCCAGCAATTCCTTGTGAACGCAGTGCTCCTGCCGAGGTGGCCCCACTTTTGCAAGTTACCATTGGAGAATTGCATCAGTGCCATGAACATCACAGAGTAAGGTGCCAATTTAACAGCCTTCAATTTGCCCTGGCCACACAATAGATGTTTTTGCTTCCTTAGCAAGAAAGTTGTGACATGTACCATGGGAACCAAAATGTTGCATGCTCTGGTGCACAGCACAGCTTTGATTTAACATGTTAACATTAATACGGCGGGCATTGCACCAGTGGATGACAACTCAAAGGCGGTGAATTTCACTGGGAGAACATGTGTCAGTCGGCGCACCTCCTGATGAGGTGCTTGAAGATGTACAATGCTGCCCCCGCTGCATCTCCATCTGCCACTGCAGCACCTGCGATGTGCCGCCAGCCACACCGCCATGCTGCACCTGCTGCAGCCATGCATAGTCCTTTGATGACTTGATTCCCTTGCCTACGACATAAAATGCAAGATACAATTTACTGTTTCTGAGCTGCACAGAAATACCTCCTTTCAAACATGCAGCAACACAGCCGCGAGGCAACAGTCTTTTTGCAGACTGCGTACAAGGAGCAGATCCCATGCAAAGCTTGGCAGATGTCTCTATTCTGCATGAGTAGCAGCTTGTGAGCCGTGAACGTTGAAGTACATACAGTAGGGGTATACCAGCTGCGTGAAGCTGCCTGAGACGCGCGTGCCGTCTATTGTCGCGTCCAGAGTGGACATCTCCATCACAGCATGCAGCCTACCCAGCCGAGTCGGCTGAACATCAATCTGCATCGGCGAGCACCCGGGAGCCTGCGCATAACCCCCATCCAACACCTCAGCCAATGAGCGCACTTCACTTACTGTCCACGACTCTTGCGCTGCCCTGCCGAGTGATAGGACTGCAGGCTCTCATTTGATGCACAAGTTCTCAAGAATGTGTGGACTGAGCGCCGCATGCCTTTCTGCCATTTCAGGGGTCTGCAGGCTCTCAAATTGAGTCTCAAATGCTGCACAAGCATGAATTGACAGTGAGCTACCTGCCAGGCGCTCCCTGGGCTTTGCAGCATCCCAGGCCCTGCTCTGCTCACTTCCATCATCGGGCTGCGCTGAGGCCGCTGCTGCTCTTCTGATGCCGGGCCCCGGCCGCCGCAGCTGTGGCCGCCGCACCGGGCCCGGCCGCGCGCGCGGCCGCCGTCCTTCGCATACGCCGTTCCCTCCACCACCGTGCGCATGGCCGCATGATTTGCATACCTTGGGACATTCTCGCCGGCCGCCACAAACTCCCCGGCATGCTCCTCCTTCCCTGAGGGCTGCTTCTGCCACGGCTGTCTGGCGGGGTTGGGTGTGTCGCAGCCGCCCGGTGAACACACCCCGCTGATATGCCGGCCGAGCGGCTGCATGTCGGGGTCGGCGGCGCCGGCATGCATCACGGGGCTCTGGGTGGACTGCCTCGCCGCCCGCCGCAGCCGCTGCAGCGACGCTGGCCACAGCAGCTGTGCGTGCCTGGCCTGAGGAGTTACGTCACTTCCTCCGCCGCTGCCGCACACCTCCATCGCTTCTACTGCCCCGCCGCTGCCCGGCCGCATCTGCTGCGCCGCTTCCTGGTTCACGTGCCCGCGCTGGCGCTGATGATCCTGGTTTGGCGTGCTGGCCTCCGGCAGGGGGCTCGCCGCAGCTGCAGTGGGGGAGTCTTGCAGCAGGTGCGCGTCCGGGAGGCTGGTGCTGAAGCGCTGCACGCCGGCGGCCAGCGGGCCGTGCTCGCCGAACGCGAACGGCTCGGCATCGGCCTCCGGCCGCCGCCGCGCGCCAAAATAGAACGCCGCCTGGAATGCCGGGCGCCGCGCGGCCACGCTGGCAAAATCGGTAGAGCAGGAGTCCGGCATGAGGGGATCCACCGGGGGGCCCCCGGCAATGGGGAAGTCGCAGGATTGTGCCTTCACCTCTCCATAGCTCGCGCCGCTCTGATCCCGGGCTGCGCCGCTGCCGCCGCGGCCGGAGGTGCCCGGCTGCGCGCACTGCTGCTGCGTGTCGCTGGCGCCCGCGTGGATGGCTGCAAAAGGGTCGCAGGTGAAGCCGCGCTGCATGGCTGCTGTCGCATCATGCCCCCTTGGCGCTTCTAGGATCACGCCTGCTGAAGATGGCCTGCGCGCGACCTGCCCGGCCGCGCAGTCTCTGTGCGCCTCGAGCGGCGGAACGCTGCGCGGGTGCTTATCCCGTGGGGCGCTGCCCACATCTTTGCGCAAATTGAAGCCCTGAATGTGGCAAAAGACTTTGTATTAGTGGCCTGAGCCTCGTGTTCTGCGGCAATTGATGGCTTCTGTGTACAGAGATTGTGATGGGCATTCACTGCGGCATGCAAGGCTCTTCAGAGCGCCAGCTGGCATCTCTGTTCCATTCCCCATGTCAAACCCTATTAGAGGCGTGATTGACCAGTAGGAGCATTTGCGCGACACAACTAATAGAAAGGATGCACTCCGATAAGTCAAATATTCCTGTAGTGGTGCGGTGAGCACACACCTGTGCGCATTCTCCTCCTAGATTCCCGCCATGCGCAGGCTCGGCAGCGCTCCGGGACGGAAAAGTTCCATGCATACCAGCATGGGAGAAAACGTCCAGGTTGACCGCTATGAAGCGCGGCTTCAGATCTTGCTGCTGTTGCGAGTCTTTGCCTGTGTCCGACATTCACCAATCTCAGGCATTCCGCAATAAAAACGTAGGTGGCAAATGGAACCTACCAACGCTTATTTGTGCATTTCTACCATTAGACATGATATTGTCAATATTAGCGTATTCGTAGCATTGGAAACGCCCTGAACACTGGCCCATGGAAGTCATGCTGGCGAGGCAAGAACGCCTGGTGTCTCATCTAAAAGGACGCTACCATGCTGATGAGATTGCTGAGATTCGTCTACGTCTGGCAGTGAATGGTCGTATGTGCTCCTCTTCTTCTTCTTGTCCCGAGGCGCTGTCCATGGAGAGTGCTTCTCCTTTATGCCCCTCTGTTCAGGTGTTCTCTCCAGGACGCTGGGCTTTGGCAGCTTCATCATGCAGTCAAATAATGCTCCCAAAGACTACTGGCAGCAGAGAGTGCCCCCTAACAACCCACTCCCAAAAGATCATCTGACGTTTGGCAATTTGAGATTTCCCAGGAAGGGGGAGGGAAGAACCGTGGCCGTCTACGGGCAATGTCCCAATATTGGCGGTGCCGCCTCTTCCATTCTGTTTCTTCCTTCTGTCTTTTGAGACACTTCAGACTTGTATAAGCTGCGCCCATCACTGCATGCAGATGAATTCTCAGTGATGGCCCGATACACCAGGAACAATCGTAATTAAATCGATCATTTCAGATTGAATTTCCGGTGCCGGTGTCCAGAGACATTGCTGGCGTCCCCACCTCTATGCATGGTGCCATCTTGCTTAAGGAGTTGAATCAGCAGACCCTTGATTGTGTGTGGTGGCGGCGCATTATCAAGTTCTGGAACAATTTGGCTGCCTTGCCTGCAAATAATTTTCACAGGCAAGTGGCCCTTGATGATTGTTGGGATGCCATAACCCGTAATGTTAAGAATTGGGCTTGGGCCTTCATGCGGGGCTTGCGCCGGATTGGGTATGAGTTTGTTATTCGGTTTGACACCCTTGTTCCTGTGGAAGTTGATGCTGTGATGCAGCTGCTAGATGCGCAAGCACTGCAGGTTTGGGATGACATTGACATTTGCCCTAGGACCTGCCCGTCCAGCAATGCCACCTTGTGTACATATCACAGATGGTTTGCTAGGCCAGCTTGTGTGCGCCACCCTTGCCAGCTCTTACAGCAGCCTTTGAGTGCCCGTTGCTTGCGTATACTGTTGAAGTTCAGGATGGGTTGTCATAGTCTGCCCAATGTCTCGGGCCGCTGGGCAAGGATTCCCCGGCCCCAGCGTTTGTGCATGCGTTGTGCCCAGCAGGTTATTGGGGATGAGCGCCACCTTGTGTTTGAGTGCCCTGCCTTGCAATCTGGTCGGGACAGATATCCTGGGCTGTTTGGTGCAGCCATTGTGACGATGCAGCAATTCATGTGGCAGTTGGACATTGTTGGTGTTGCACATTTTGTGATGGATTGTTTTGATTATTTGGATGCTGCCAGTTCATCCAATCAGCCCTAGGCGGCTGGAGTGATGTAATCTTCCTTCCTTCCTTCCTTCCTTCCAGAGGGCACTTGCAGTCCCTCATGCTTGCGCGCTGTGTGCGCACAAAGTATGCATGTGTCCAAAGCCCTCAAAGTTGGCTGCAATAACGGGCATCTAGGATAACCATGCATCCGTGTGTAAATGACATTAAGTAGAGGACTGCCTGAGCACATGCAGAGTGTACACATCCATGTCATATGTGTGTTCATGAATCAGCTGCAGCGCAACAACCGTTACATTGCCAATGAGATCTACTGGACATACTATGTCAGTAACTTCAGTAAACTGGGCTTTCCTTACACTTGACAAGCAGTCAAAATTGACAGACAAGACTACGTGTACCCCAGGCTTTGCCCACAGATGAGTACACGCCTTTGCATTCAACTTGATTCAAGTCCTTCCAAATGCCCATAAGGGCAGCAGTCAAAGTTCATCATGGTGTTGGCAGCTTGCTGCAAGTCCATGCGCAGCACACGATGAAAGGCCACACATGCAAAACCTTGTCAGATCTAGAGAGTCAATACCATTCAAAATCAGCTTCTCCAATAATGGTGACCACTGCATGGCACGAGGAATATGACTTGGACACACAACTGGCAATATAATAAAACCTTTCATATCCCTTTCTGTGGAAGCCTCTCGGCTGCTCTGCACAGGTCCTCATGGACAATTCCAAGCCCCACCTTTGATCCTCCTTGTGTAAGCAGCCGAACGCCAGAAAGACGCGCCAAATCGCAAGTGTTGTCCAAGGAACAGCACATATTATGGACCTGGACCATGACCATTGTTTCCTCTCTCTGAAGTCCAACAGGCCTCTTGAAGGTTTCAGCCCTTGGAGGCTGGCTGTGAGCACAGAAAGCTGGAAGAAGAGAGTCCAAATAAATATGCATGGCCCGGTAAAATCCTGAAGGGTGGGATCCCCCGTTAAAAGTCCTGCAATAATTCCATCGACAGGCCAAAACCTGCTGACCGCCCAAGGCTGGCAGTTTACGGCAGCCACGACAGGCAGACAACCAATCTCAGCTCGGCGAGGAGATTGGTGTGTTCTTCACCACCACATGTCATCTTGCTTGCCATAAGCGCCTACCGGCTTCATTTTATAGCTCATAGCCGCCATGCAGACACTGTACAAAGATAGACCCTTTGAAGCCCCAACAAGCCCAGTTTGTCAATCAGGTGAGAGCATCATCCATCAGGTGAGAAAACCTCCCTGTCATTAGTCAAATCCCATCCTCGTATCATAGACCCCGGAAGTCTATACCGCGTCATTCTTTTGAGCAGTGATGTCTATCGGTCACATGAAACAAGCTCCAATGGCGGAGGAAGGTGCCTCTCAGCCAGCAGCTGCTGCTGAAGGCATAAGTACAGCGAAGGCACCCACAAAGTTCCTGCAAAGGATGCCTTGTTGGCAGCAGAAAAGGCTTCCTGCTGTCGGTAAAGGCTTTCACTATGGTGACAGTCCTCAAAAGAAAGTGCCGCGCTAGTGGTGGTACATAAGAGAAAAGAGAGAGACTCCCGCTTGTTGGCATGTGCAGCCCTGTGTCCTACGCTGCACTCATCACAATACATGACAGTGCTGCTTTCTTCTAAGTCATATCCCCCCTTGGTAGCGTGATTTCCCCGGTGCCACCTCTTAAAGGCACTGCTGTGCCGATGGCTGCCAGCTAACTCAGGCTCTCAGGGCAGGTTGAACATGACTTTAATGGCGCGTGTCTCAGCAGAGCGCGCGGCGCAGTCGAATGCAGCTGCCACGTCCTCTGGGCTGAAGCCAAAGCGGTGAGTTATGAGCGGCATCACATCCACCTTCTTGCTGGCCATCAGGTTGAGGCACAGCGGGTACTGCGAATCACCACTGACACCCACGTCAGCCACTACCCACAGGCCATGTTGATCAGTACTAAGTAGAGCAGTGTTAGGGCAGCTGGAGGCCTCCAAACACAATTGTCAGCAGCCAGCCATAGACCATGATGCTGGACAGAAAAGCAGGACCCCTGAAGGCCTGCAGAAACATAAGAGAGCAAAGGAGCACAAATTTCCTTCCTTCAGCACAAGGCATAGCTTTCATGGAAGATGCTGAATGCGGAAATAATTGGGCTGTGTTGTACTGTTGTGAGAGGCTTGATGGTGATGACAGAACATGCAGGAGGACCATAGGCAGGAGCTGACCGTGTTGGCGTAGCGGAAGGAGCCCATGAGGTCGATCTCCTTGCAGTTGATGGTGGACAGGGGCAGGTGCGCATGATCGCAGCCCATGCCCACCGAGATGACCTTGCCTCCCGAGATCACAGAGTAGATTGAGGCCTGCGCCCCACGAAATCCCCAGAACATTGGACACAGAGGCCAACACACCGTCTGAGGAGAAGTGCTTGGGCCAAATTGAACAGCCTCCGAGCAAGTGTGCACTACCACATGTATGGCATATTATAATTGCTTCACAGATGCCAGAGCATCACAATCTTATGTCATGATGCCACACGCAAAAACTTGCAGCCCCACCTGCAAGTTCTCGTGTCACATCACGGCAGAAGAAATTGATGCAGGCCTCTCTACGTATCATTCAACCCGTCTACAAAGAGCAGCAGTCAGCGCGATGGGTGCAGCACAGTATATAAGGGAGGAATAGGGGATGCTGCACCTGCAGAGTGGGCTCAAAGCCGGCGCAGTCGATGACAATGTCAGGTCCGTTGGGCGGCAGGGCGGCGCGCATCCAGGTGGCAACTTCCTGCGGCGCGGCGTCGCGGTCGGGGTTAAGCGCCACGTCAGCGCCCAGCTTCATGGCCAGGTCCAGATTGTCGCGCTTGATGTCCGTGATTGCCACCGCGTCCGCGCCAAACGCCTTCACTGCCATCAGCGTCATCAGCCCTGCAGTTGGCACCATGCACGACTTGTTAGGATATCTGTGCATGCTGACGAGCGCGCTTAACACGCACTGCAGCATGTGAGTGGCTTGCGCAGCACCCGCTGCCCCATGACGAATCTACCATAAGTTCAGGATCACCGTCTTCATGTGTTTTTGAAGCCTGTCTTTGTCATGCTTCAAAGAATCCGTTGAAGAAACTGCCAAGCAGCCACTGTGTACTCAGAGCAGATGGTGAAGAGTGTGCATTCATGTCATCGCAAGAGCACCACAGAGCATTCGCTGACATTGCCCAGTGATGCAGAAAGACAAGGGGCGCGCACCAATGGGGCCGGCGCCCATGATGGCGACAGTCTTGCCGGGAGAGACGCCGGCGCGGCGCACAGCATGCACGCCCACAGACAGCGGTTCCACCATCGCGCCCTCCTCGTGTGTCAGGTGCTCTGGCAAACGGAAGCAGAAGTCTGCTGGGTGGTCCACGAACTGCAGCATAACACCGCCAACAATCGGCCGACACTCATGGTTTCACAGCCACTTAGAAGACATTGCCCACAACACAAAGTGCAGTATCTTTCAGGGGATGGGACTATACACAGGTTCTCAATGTACCCAGCAGGGATTTGATTGATAGCGTGGACGATGCTAAGCTTGTCATGAAATTGAGATTGAATGTCGAGCAGTTCACCTGTGCAAGGGAGCCGTGGTGTGGCGGAGTGGCAAAGAAGCGGATGTCTGGGTCAAGGTTGTATCTTCCTTCCCTGCAGACACAGGCAGAAAATCAGCTTCATTGCGGCAAAGGATGGCGCGCGCGCAAGAGGGTGAGAACAGTAGCGATCAGACAGTGGTGTTGGCACAAGTGCATTGATCAAAAGGGTGACATTCCAAATGCACATAGGTCTTGAACTCTAGCTGAGCACCACTTGCTTCCTATATCACTAGACAGCGCGACTCACCTACAGGCAGGGTTGGACCAACAGGGCACCCCTGGCTCTAAAGCAACACGATCTCCCACTTTTAATCGCGTCACATCATCGCCAACCTCCACAACAGTCCTGCATCAGCTCTGCAATGGTCAGGGTACGTAATCTGGTGACGACCTTAATGAGGGTAACAGCACGCAGAAACTCTCCGTAGAATCAAAGAAACGCACGACAACAAACGGTTTTGAATGGTTGACTGCACAATGTAATCTCTGCAAGTCACAGGCCAGTGAGGATATTCTCATGAGATATCAATCACAAAGCCGTACAGACTCACCCAGCAGACTCGTGACCGATCACCATGGGATCCGTCAGCACAAAATCCGCTATGCGACCCTGCATGACACATAGGGGCACCAGTCAACAACTCGCCTTTTGGGGGGGATGGTTGGGATCCCTCTTCCTTGGCAAGGTCATAAACACGGACACACAGGCAAGGCACGCGGGGCGTTGACAGTCCTTCACATGGAAGGCCTGAACAGACTGTTATGTAGCGCCAGCTCCCTGGGCACAGACGGCTACCCTTGTTCAAAAGGAAAATATCGTCTCGGCAGTCAGGGCAAACCCACGAGCACACCGGACGGTCATCCAATTCAGTATATCTGGATACATGCCTCATTAAATTTCACTTCAAGACTATGCAGCGGGTCCATCAGCTGAGGGTCAGAAAGACGAGCAAAGATGGTTTCACCTTTCGCCAGTAGTGAACGTCGCTCCCACAAATTCCCACGGCCTTGATCTCCACCCTCACATTCCCCGGAGGTGTTCTGTCTGGCAGGGGGAAGTTTTCGAAGCGCATGTCGTTCACGCCGTGAAGCACAGCCGCAGAGTTGGTCCATGGTGCGGGCTCTGGGACCAGGACGTCAGAGATTTCAGGAACGACGGCTGGGGCGGCTGCAAATTGCCGCAATCCCAGCAATCCCCGCTTACCGACGGAGGTCAACGCTTGCCGCAACATCATGTTGCTATCTCATGAATGCTGCCGTTTCTGTTTGCACGGGATGTCCTGTGCGTAGGACATTGCGCTGTGTGAATGTTGCCTGTTCAGGTGCATGGCTTCCACCACTGCAGCTGCTGCCATTTGGCAGAGCTAGCTAACTTTGAATGTGTCAAGGCACTCCCAAGTGAAGTCCCGTGAAGCCCTGTTATGAAGTTCCTCAAGCCAGCTCAGTCACACAGACCAGAGCGGGAATCCCAGTGTAGTTGATCACGATGCATCATGCATGGCTGAGTCAGCGGTACGGTACCGGCCAGTGACTGCCAGTGACTGTGAAGAAACCTATGACCGGGTCACAGTGATCAGGCATGCTGCCGTCTTGATGCCTGATAGCAGTGCGCACTCAAAGACTCATGTGCATGGTGGTGATCTTGTGCGTACTCACACAGGGCTTCTGATGCGGTAGCTAGTCATGACCGCCTAAAGCTATTCTTTATGAGTTGTCCTAACACTTACATCTTGCCCACATTTATGCCATGGCATTTGCACTGCTGTCATGTTTGAACTTCTAGATCCCTATCGCGCTGCAGCTCCATGCCCCACATGGATCCCATTGTACATTGCTAATCGCCTTCGTTGCTAAATGACTTCACCTCATAACCGTCATACACTTCCGCTGGTTTCATTCAGACACTTAATAATACACAAGTGCAGGCTTTGTCCAGCTACTGGGCCCTTGAAACAGCACCAGCTTGCACGAAAAGGCACAAAGTCCATACTGCAGCCAAGGGACCCCAAAATGTACAAATAGCAAAGCAGATCCGAGTGTACAAAACGAGCAGCTCTGGTCAGGAGTAAAACCCAGAACACCTCTGCCCCCCTCCCATCATCATCTCAGGCCAAAGCCCTCTGCATTGTTGATCGCGGTCTCCAGCCGATTTTGCAGGATGGCCTTGTCCTGCACATGGGATCACAAGGGAACCAGTCAGATATGACATCCCTCTGAAGCATGCATCCCACTTCTGATCCCCCCTGCACCCTGGAAATCGGCGAACCTTGTATCCTTCAACAGACTCAACAAGACAGTTTGCAAGAGGCAAGCCTGCCCCACTTTGTTTTCAGGTCCATACAAGCGTGCTGAAGAGTAGATATGAAACATCTGCCCGCTTGAATGCTTCTTTCCCCAGCCAACAACTCGTAAGAAAGGAAGATGCCAAGAAACCTGATATTATCATGAAACAAAAAAATGGAATTTCGCGCACGTCATAGGCTGGCAGCAGGAGGTGGTTGAAGCAGGTGTGGGCAGTAGGCAGGCGGTTGGAGGAAGGGCCGTTGCGCGAGATGACAAAGGGCGGCTGCAGCGATGCGAGCCCCTTGATGGGCACGCGATCCGAGCCTGTCACGAAGAACAGCAGCCGCTTCTTCTGCTCCTCGCTGAAGCAGTGCACCACCTCCCAGAACCAGGTCACCACCTGTGTTCCAGTACAAGGGAACGCCTCAAGATGTGCAGCAAACATGCAACATGTGCAGGTGGCTCCTTTTGACCTTCTGGCATGGCAATGCATGTCTGTGCATACAAGGCACCAGCACGACGGTAATAGAACCAAGATGATTGCAGAGAAGTTATGAACTCTTGATAGGACTCGAGGCCAAAGATGCTCACTGTGACAGAAATGAAATGTCTCCCTTAAGGTAAGAAACAAATGACCATACCTCATGCACAAAGCATGCAGACAGACAGCGGGGAGTGGTGGAAGATGGCAGGTGAACAATTAGCTCACCTGCGATTTGTCATCAAAGCCGTCCTCGTAATGCACAGCGCTCTCCAGCGCTGCAAAGTCCAGTTCAGTGCTGCCGCAGATGAGGCACTCCAGCTCCTCCGGCTGGAAGAGCTTGAACACCAGATCCTTGCTCCACAGCTGCAGCCACACCCTTTCTTTGGTCGCGAAGGGGGTACAAAATCCTCATCTGGCCAGGGATTGTCAGACCAGTGGCCATAGGCACGCTGCAGCCAAACACTCGGCTGATTGTTTCTAAGCTCCAGGGACATGCTCACGCAACACTGTGCAGAAAAGTGATGCAACTTGGAATTGTATCTCAGTCCACGGCAATGAACATAGACACACTCCCCCCCTCTCCTGTGGGGAGAGGACACTTCTCCCCACAGGTCTCACAGCCTGCACTCTCCCCACTCTCTCCATACGTCTGCATGTTCTTGACTGCTCACATTGCTTCTTCTGCTTGGCCTCTTCTCCTTAGGACGACTAATGGATGTGTGATTCTTCCGCAGCACTGATGAAGTTCTCTGAAAGATCTCTGTGATTCCTTTGAGTGAGAGGTCAGGTGCAAGGCTGCCGTGCCAGCCGCACCTTCTTGAAGCCCTTGCAGAAGGCCTGGCTCTGCCGCTTCACAGACTTGACCAGCAGGTGCTGCATGTAGGCGGTCACATATTGCTTCCGATTCTCAGCCGTCACCGGTACGTCCCCGCCATTGGGTATGAGGTCCACCACCAGATTAGGCTCCCCAAAATCCGCCTCCTGCTCCACCTGGAGGATGACATAAGGAACGGCAGATCAGATCTCAGCTCTGCCTTTGATCGCGGGCCTCATAGCTGATCCACCATTCCCAGGGAGAGCAGAGCGGTACAGAGATGACAATGAGGTAGATGAGTACAAGTGGCAGGGAGAGAGCCTCTGGGAAATACTCATGCATAGTCTAGTGTCATGTGATACTGTATAGAGACATGACATTTACGCAATGCTCTCCAGAAGATGTTGATGGCTATCAAAGAATTTTTAGAAGGGAGCGCTACACACCTGAAAGATCAAGCCTAGCTCTGAGACATCGCCCTCATAGGCCAGCAGCTTCTTCAGGCTGGAGTACACATCCGGGCTGACATCCTTCAGATCCTCAAACCCAACGTCCCTGCCCATCAGCATCCTGCCAGAATACAGTCGCAGTCAAATCTCAAATGCCTGATTGGCACAGTCATCACATACTTTTAGATCTGCTGAATGCAAGCAAAGCAATTTAACATGGGGAAATCACCATAGTTCTGTGTTGATGAGACTGCATGCTGCAGCTGTCATGCTTGTGGGGGCAATGTTCACAAGCGAAGAGTGAGACAGGCAATAATCATTGACCAGTGAAATTTACCCAGTCAAGCACAGGGAGACAAGAGTATTGCAGGTTATGTCAGGACCAGGGGCGTGGCGCAAATATGGGGCAGCAGACTTCGAGGATATACTGGGGTATCAGAAAGGTCCAAGCTATGGCTGCCTTATTACCCAGTCCAGCACAGGGAGACAAGACAATTGCAGGCAGGTCAGGAAGAGCGGTGCGGCGCACTTGTAGACAACCATGGGGAAGGAGACTTCGAGGATGTGGTTGTTGTAGATGGCCAGCGCCAGCAGCAGGCCCACCAACTCAAATTCCATGGCCAGGTCCAGGCTGGACGCGCGGAACCAAAAGGTGCGCAGCTCCGGATCCATGCGGAACATGCCAAAGTTGGCGTCAAACAGCTCGCGCATCAGCAGCTGGAAGAACTCCTGCACATGCATGCATAACTAATCAGCTACACTGTCTTCTCTTGTCTGTCACTGGGTAGTCATCCTGTTGGGTACATATCCCTTTGCATGTTTCGTTCTACTGGCGTTGCGAGATTGCATCTCCATGAATGTCACACATATAGCGCTGCATTGAGCCACACTCGTGGCAGCGACCTGTCACGAGAGAAGTACGTTGTGGCAGATGATGAGGTGCCGCTGGCCAAGCATGCATGCAGTGCCTGCTCGGATCAAATCCTCCTATGGTCTCTCAATTGCATGCACGCATGCATGCCATGCCCATATGATTTCAAAGATCCTGTACATGATGTCTCACCTTCTGCACGCCGCCCTCGTCCACGCCCTCCTCGCCAATGAACTGCACCTTGAGCGGCCGTCGGATGGCCGACCCCGCGTTCTGTATCTGCAGCAGCGTGTCATGCACCAGATGCTCCCCACGCCGTACCTGCGTGCAGCAAACCACATTCATATATGTTCTTGTGGACTTCTAGTGCGGATTAGGGGCCTTGAAACATGGTAATTTGGCCATGGCCGCCATCTTTTTCGGCATCAAAGTCGTCTGCACCCTTGATTTTATGCGTGCTGATTTAGAATTTGAATTGATTTTGGATTTGGATTTCAAGACTATGCAGCCTTGCCAAATCTTAGCAAGCCGGCACCCAGCCATCATCACATGACTGTCCTGCCAGAGTGCCCCACAATCATGCTGTGCACAAAAGGGCAGCCGGCACAGAAGAGCCTCTGCAAGGGAGCATGGCAATGTGATTCATTGGGAGAATATGCAAAGGAGGCCTCCGCAAAACAGGGCCCTTTCCAAAGGATTTGCAGCGCGCACCCGCAGCACGAGGAAGGGAACAGCAGCGCCGCCGCCCCATGACATGGACTCGCGCAGCGCGTCGTGGAATTCGCCCATTTGGGTGCTGAAGTTACTCATGCCCAGGATGGTCGATTTTGCTGCCGGCTCATATACAAAGGGGTAAGTGCAGAGGCTGAAGGCCTGCGTGGACCTGCTGGGCCCATTGCTCCACACCGTGTAGTCCTTCCTCAGGTTCTCTGCCAGGAACTCCTCGTCGTTCACTGCGCATGACCCTCGCAGTGCCGTCACCTTGGCTGCAATACTCAGAAAGATGGCCATGCAATCCATGCGCTATATCAAGGACTTGCAGCCAACTTTACTGTTTCACATTTGTGCTGTGTCACAATATATGCATGCCATGCATGGACCAGGCATTCCAGCTCTCACACCTGGAAAGATGGCTGACACAGCCTCATAGAAAGCTCATGAAAGGAGGTGCAATCAATCTTGCTCTGTGAGAAACAAACCTGCGTCATTGTAGAACTCTCCGATGGGGAGGAGCCTGGCTTTCAGGTTCACTTTGAAGAGGATCTGCATGAATTTGAGGGCAGTGTGCAGTTTGGCATCCATCGCATTATCCAAGATGCCCAGGGTGACGATCTGCTGGGCCTTCTGAAGAAGCCCCTGCAGCAGCCACAACAACTCAGTCGCTGCAGTGGTATGATGTCTCTGTCTTAACAGCATGCTTAAAGCATATCCAGCAGGATGCATGTAGCATGCTCGTGAGCACGCACCTGGAAGCGCTCTTTGGGGTATGAGAGTAGCATGGCTGTGAGCTCCTTTTTGTAGCCCTTGTCCCAGCCCAAGATGACCTCATACAGGAATGTCAGCATCCTGCACATGATAAAACCCATCAGATACCCCACCAGCAAGTGCCCCTCAATACATTTGCATCCCTGTTGTATTATTACTATTATTACACGCTTTTCCTGCCAGAAGCAAGGTGCGTCTGCAGACAAGCTGCAGTAAAGGCTGCCAAAATCCTACCCCTTGGTAAAAAAGCCTTGATGGACTCGCCAGATCCAAGCAAGTATACCACCTGATGTACACCACCTGATAATACTGTTCTTCAAAGGCATTCCACCAACCTTTTTCTCAGTCCATAAAAACGATCTGTGATGGATCATCCCGATTCATCCTGCAGGAGAAGAATAGAAACATCTGGGAGGCCTAGACAGTCCAGGAAGGAAGCTGGGCCAGCAACGCTTACTCATCATACTCCGGGTCTTCGAAGAGAGGATTCTGTAGCAGGGCGCATGCGGCCTGGATGGTGACTGCTCCGGGAGGCGCATTTTCCAACTTCTCTGCAATTGACTGACAACCCTCCACAAACTCGTCCAGGAGGCCCCTAAAGAGGCAGCACACATTACATGAGGGTTTGTCACAATCAACTGGTGTTTGTTTTGTCTTCTGACGAGCAGAACAATGGCAGCACACATTACACGAGGCACTGTCACGTGGCTTTGTACATCTTTTGTCTTGTGATGAGCAGGACACTGCTGATGTGGGATGATTGGTGCACACATCATATGCATGACATGCTGAGGCGATAAGCAATGGGAAGTGTCCTGGTAGAGGCTGCTCACGCATTGTCAGATCGCACTATGGCAGTGAACACCTCGTCCAGCTTTGCAAAGTCCAGCTCCAGTGCATGCTGCACAACAGAAGATATTCAGGCGGTGTCCATTGCTGCACAATCACAGCATTACTGCTGCACGCATAGAGTGTCCCGTCACAAGCAACGAATACTGCATGGAAAATTAGCAGCGACTTGAGTGCACTGGGTATCCCACCTGGGCAGAATCATTTTTGGCCTTCCCTGACGCTGATTGGGCAGCCACTCCAAAAGATGCAACAAACACATCTCGGGACGAGAACAGCGCAGTCAGCTCTGCATACTTTTTGGTACCATTGCTATCCCACTGTTCGCCTGTAGCTGCTTTAGCGATGGCAAGCAGCCTGGCTGGATCTACAAGGCTGTCCACTGCACAAGCCACACCAGGAATGCCTCTCAGGTTGGCACCACTGAATGATCCTGAAATATCAACAATTATGAAAGACGATAGGCGGTTCCCCGAGCAGTCCATCAAGTTGGAGTCGGTTTCGCGACCAGCTTCCCTGCAGTCCACTTACTGACGACGGTGAGACAACTCATGACGGGGACGCACCTTGAGCGCTGGCCAGCTGCAGTGAATAGGCAGCCGCCTGATTCGATGACAAACTCCTTTGTGTAAGTTGCGAAAATAACCTGCGAAATCGTGCACAAGGCTGTCAGGCTTTGCGATCACTACAAGGATAATGCAGGATCGCATGGCGCAAGCGTGAAAAACAATGAAAAGCTAGATTGAAAACCTTTCGAAACAACAGTGCAATACATACCTGTCCACCCTCTCCTTAAAGTCCAGCTTCACATCCAAGAATTTTGGCTTTGATGATACCTCGTCCGTGATGGTCATTACCAGATGCTAGTTTGACTGACTCGAAGCTATCTTGATGATGCGTATGCGGGAACTACACTTGATTAAGAAGTGGGGCGTCCCTCGTGCGGTTTCCCTCGTTCAGATTACGTGAGATGACTGATGCTGACTACCTCCTCCAAAGCTTGTTGGGGAGAGCTAGTCTGAGAGATCGCATCGTACTTCTCTCGGTCGCATCAGCAACAAAACATTCGATTCAAGGAGTTACAGTCGCCGTTGAGGGGGAACCCTTTAGTAGTTTGACGAATTCAGGTGTCTTTAAGGAGAGGCCGAGGCTTGATCGTTGTTGAATTACTCGCCTCTCGATCATCTCGTTTCGCATTCGAGAAGTCACCTCATGAAATTTGGTATTTTTCATGCATAGGCCAAGAGGTAAGAGGCCTCGTTCTATCTTGGGCAACCTTGTCCGTTCACGGACCCTGTTTGTTCGGTCCTACTTGGAAGGACAAAATGTAGCTTTCTTTTATTATTTGATGGGTTCATATAGCAACGCACCGACGAAAATGAGTATTTTGTGATCATCGCGAGCCTGACCTTCGAGAAATAGCCTGCAACTCGTTTCGGAAAGTTAGTTTAGGTGCATATCTTGAAGTCCTCTTTATCTGCGCAGGAATCTGCCAGGGCTCTTGTAATCTCCCCAGAGATACATTTGATCTGGGTGGGCCAGACAACTGATCTGTGTACCCTAGGAGACCGTAGCAAGGAGTCCAGCTGAGGCCACCCAGAATGGGGCAGGGGGCTCTAGCCTAGCAAGCCAGTGATTTTCGACAGCTCCTACATCCTATCGATAGCAACCGCCGGAGGCCAGTGCAGCGAGGAGCTTGTCACCACAGAACACCACAGTCATTGAATAGAGACATGCGAGGCCGCGGCGTCGTGCAGTCACACGATGCAGAGTCGCAGAGCAGCTTTGGGCACAGAGCAAGCGAGCAGGAGCGCGCATTTGACCTGCGGGACCCCTACAAGCTCAACAGGGCCCCCCTGCTGCGCGGCGGCAAGCGGCGCCTCTCGGGCTTGCCCAGCTATGCAGCGGTCATGATCAGTGCAGCCGCCCTCGTCGGCCTTGGTGTGTATGTCGGCCGCGAGCTTGTCCGGCCCCCACAGCGCCCATGGGAAGGTGCTATTCTCTCCCCAAATATCACTACTATTGTTATCACCCGATTTCCCTGCCAGAGGCAAGGTGCGTTTGCAGACAAGCTGCACGTGAAGGCTACCAAGATGCTACATCGTTTTGGACTCGCCCAATTCAAGCACAACCCCATCAGCCGCAGGCATGGTGCTTGGTATTCATACTGGCCCCCCATTGTACCGAGGAATCTGGGCTGCTCTTGCGTGAGAGACCAGCCAATTGCTCATCCTCCAGTGTGAGCTCTTTATGGCAGCTGTCGCTCACCAGAGTTTTTGAGTCCTTCATGCTCAGCCTGGTATGAGAATGCTAGCTAGCTAGCTTCTATTTCACAAGTCATTTTCTGTCCTGTAATACCGCAAGGCTACAACCCAAGGGTACGACTCATTTTGTGTGCTGTGGTGTGGCCAGGGTTGGACCCGGCCAGGGAGCCGAGGCACATAACAGAGATGCGCTCGGTACAGACCGGGCTCAGAAGCAACCAGCAGCGGCCCGGCTACTCCAGCTTTGCCTGCACCGGGCACAAGTGGGAGGATGACTACCTGTACCACTCCTGCAGGTGCACACCTTATTCCTCAGCATGTATTGTGGCAAGGCATGATTAATATTGCATTGTTCTCTTCATGCACCACCCATTGAATACCTTGGACTCAAAAGAAGGATTTGTGCCTAAGGATACTGCTGAGGGATGACAGGTTCTTAGAAAGGGATTTTAATTGAGGGTGCAATTGTATCTCACCGGCCGCTTGAAAGGCACAAGTGACGGTTTGTTAGCTGCAGATCTTGCGACTCAGAAACAGCATGCCAGCAACTTAGCCAAGTGAGGGACCACATATTGCATCATCAATCAGTGCTTGTTGAGCACCTCCTGCAGCGAGTGAGCAGGGATGCTTGTCCGTGAAGCATTCTAATGATCTTCTGTGATTGCAGGTTCCATGATGTCTGCCTGAACCACACAAGCATGGAGTTCCAGTACTATGTGGACCCAGCAGAGGCCGAGACACCTCTCTTCTACCATTACCTCAATGGGCACCCCCACTACACCTTCCCCAGTGACTTCATCATGACTGGACACGTCCACATCCTTCCATACACCCCCTGGGCCCCCAAGGTGAGACTCTCACTCCCCATGCAATATATTCATCACCGCTTCTAAAGAGTCTGTCACCATCTTTCCACCACTGCAAGCCATCAAAATGCAGCACTGCGCAGTGTTGTTCCTCAACAGAATGCAGCTTGAATGGGACACATCAAGAGACTGCGTCCCATAGTTCAGTTGCATACCCTGCCTGTATTGAAACTGTCCTTTACCACCATGTCTTGTCTAGCCGGACTCGAGTCTATTCTTCACTTTGTCTAGCCGGGCATAGAGTATTTTCTCCTCCTGTCTAGCCAGGCTCGAGTCTCTAAAAGATTATCTTGAAAGCGAAACTGCTTCACCTGTCTAGCCGTGCATAGAATATTTACCTACCTGTCCAGCCAGGCAAAGAGTATTTTCTCCACCTGTCTAGCCAGGTTGAGTCTTTGGAATATCCTCTTGAACGTGAGTTTGCTGTCTCCATCGTGCACAGGTGCTGCACGGGCGGATACCCGAGAGGCACCCCTACTCACCGGCGCCGGTGGCCGTGTATCATTCGCTGAATGACTTTGTGGGCAGCTTCCGCCACGCCATGTTCGACTTCATCCTGCCGGTCTTCAACCTGCTGCAGCTCTTCCGCATGTACACCCCAGACTTCCTGCTGCTTGAAGCCCAGCACCAGGTGCGCATGCATGCAGCTTCCTTGCTCCATTCCTGCACATTTTCCTCCAGCTTGGACTTGGAGCTTTGTGACCATCCCAGAGATTGGGGATCCTTCATGAAACAGGAACTGCCTGCGACATGCAAGATAGCTGCATTGAGGGTGATATATGCACTCATGCAACAGGACTTTTGTCACTTCAACTCCCCATGGGGCCGGGTGCAAACCGCTTGCATGCCATGCACAGACTGTTCCACAAAATGCCCAATTCCTGTCATGAGTTCGAAATTCAATATTCAACATTTGAATTTGAAACTTGAAATCTGAATATTGAAATTGGCGCAGGGCCACGACCCGGACGCGGCGCGCTTCCTGCTGAAACCGGACGACCCAGCGCGCAGCCTGACGCGGCTGATCAGCCAGAACAAGGTTGCCACTCCCAGGGACGTTGTTCGCGCCGCGCCCGCCACGAGCGACGCCACCTGCTTCCACACCGTCCTCGCTGGCTCCGGCCACCTGCAGGCGCGCACCCCTCACTTGACCGTACCATATCCGTGGTATACTTAGGGGTGGTTGGCCATTGGTATACTTGGCCATAGGTGGGTGTGTACTTTGCACAGCCACTGACTACCTGCTCACCATCTCCAAGTCGCTTGATTCAAGGTTGACCTCGGCTTGTAAGGTTACTTTGTCCGCATGTTTAGCGGCAATAGCGTCTTTCACAACGTACAGCAGTATGTTTTGCTGGCGCATGTGTATGTTTTGCTGGCGCATGTGCTTCTCTGCTCGATGTGTATCCAAGGACACGGTTTGTTCCGCAGGGCCCACATTCCTTTGCGAGGGCAAACTGCCTGTGTGTCAGGGTTCAAGGTATTGCCGTGCGAGGAGGATTGAGTCTGTGCATTTTTCATCTGCTCAGGCATCGGAGGCGCGAGTGAGGACATCCACGTTCTGGGCGGCGGCGATAGCCAATTTGGGAGTGGAGGTTCCGGCGGCACCGGCGAGGCCGGTGGTGACGGTGATTACCAAGAAGGGGCGGCGCGCGATCGAGAACGCGGCCGAGATCGCCGACGCTCTGCGGCAGCGCTTCATGGGTGCTGACGTGCAGCTGCTGGACGGCAATAGCCTCAACTCGATCTCCGTCAAGGCCCGGGTGAGCGTTGCTTTGTGCACACTCTTGTCCTGCCCTTGCAGTCAAAGCAAGATATTTTAGGGGGTGAGTCGCTGACCGGCACATGATCTGAAAGGAAAGCCAAGGGGCATCGTGGTCAAAGACCAGGGTGAGCCCCTGGAAGCCACAGATGTCTGCTGCCTTTGCAGTCACTTCTCGCTATGTGGCAGCTTGTCTGTTGCATGAATTAATGACCCACCTGCTTATGATGGTGCATGAATTAATGACCCACCTGCTTATGATGGGAAAGCTGGCGAAGGAGCATCTGATCTTGTGAGGTGCCTGCTGCTCATTCAGCAGATGATCACTGTCCAGTCACCTTTGAGCTCGCACGCATCACATTGCTGAGCAGCATACCTTGTTCACTTATTGATAATGGTTGTCCCTCGAGGAACCCAAGTGTGCCATAGCCACACCTTCTGAACAGTCTTGGTGGATCGCTACTTCCACACACAAAACAAAAAGGGGGGTTGCTAATTCAGGTGGAGGCTCTGGTGCGCACGACTGTGCTGGTGACCCCCTGCGGGAGCCTGGCTGCTCTGGCGTACCTCCTCCCGCCGGGCGCCACAGCCGTGGTCATGAACTTCTACCATGCCGAGACGGGGGCCAACGTTCAGTTGGACGACGCCGCCTTCTGGAATATCGACCACATCACTCTCGCCTACTACCCTGTCGGCCCAGAGGACTATGAGGGCACCTCGGTGGGTCCCCCTCCCCATAGCCCAGCAGTGTGCAGATTTGGTGCCATCCCAAGAAGGCGCTTTGCATTGCATTTTAGTGCATTATGTGCAACGCCGTTGGACTGCCATGCCAGGGCAACTGATACCTCTCAGCATGTGAGGGCCGTCAGGCATTGCACTATGATCTGCAAGAGAGGACGCAATGCAGGTTGCACTCATCACTGGCGATTGTGGTACCCAGCTGCGTTCAGATGTGCAGCACATGCGCAGCTTCAACATATCTGAGAGCACCTCCCAGATGACCTCGTGTGCTGGGCCATGGGGTTGCTGCATACCTGTTCACTATCAAAGAGGATCTGGGAGCTGATTGCTCGCATGGATTGCAATGCAGGACCGGCCGGGGTGTCAGAAGCAGAAGGGCGATCCTCAATATGAGGAGGAGGGGGCGCTGGTGAACTGCAATGTGAGAATCGCTGACGTGGAGCGCATGGAGCATGTGGTTGGGCAGGCCATAAGGCGCTGGTATGCAGAGTTTGGCGACGGCGGCAGCGCCTTTGGCATGCAATGAGCGGCGAGCAATCTGCATACATTACGCAATACATACATTACATAACTGTGCTTTAGTAAGGCAGAGAAATTAATGCATGTGGATAGAATTTGACATGTTAGGGCTTCTCAAGGCAGTAGCAAAGATGAGTGCAGACATTAAGGCAGTGCTTAGCACAACAATTAGCAGCTCGGCTAGAAGTTGTATACTGTGTGGGCCCGCCTGGAAGACTGAGCCCAAAGTTTGATCAAGTGTGAAGGTAAATGGTGAGCGGTCAACGCCGTGGCCTGATTGTAAAAATGAATTCCAGTTGGGGAGTAGCAGTGCAATCGATGCAGCTGTGCTATGCATTGTGGCCCATGTCAGCATTGCCTCTTTACAGTCTTGTTGTGATTGACAATTGTGATGTATTGGATTGAATCCATATATCTGTCTCTGGCAACAGAGGCCTCCTCACAACAAAAATCCCTCGCAGAATCTAGAACTGGCGAAATCACCAACCTTCCTCAATCAAGTGGAACCAAATTCATACGTTCTGTAAACTGTTATTGATACTACTCTTACCTACCCACAATTTGAACAAACGCATGCAGCATGCAGCAGGACTGCCTTGCTGCTGAAAGAATGAGTACCTAACAAATTTCTTGAGCATGCGTAATTTCAGTGACCTTCAAACACCCCAGACATCCATACAGTGCTTCACCTAATTTGGGGGAAGCTAGTATACAGGTGAGTACACAGCTGTAATCAGTATTGCGACTGCTATCTAATCAATGAGCCTTCTGATCTAGAGCAGGGCGCCCCCGTTGACCCACTCTGAGGCCAAAAGGGCGGCAAAGCCGAGCATGGCGATGCGGCCGTTCAGGAGCTCTGCACGGGGGTTGAATGGGCCCACGCTCTTGTCCAGCTTGGCACCCTTCAGGATGGGGATCTGCAGAAATCATGCACATGCCACTAGTCAGCCCTAGTTTGCATGAAACACTTAGTACTCAATACCTAATAACAGCCCTGATTATCTTGACAGCAGGAATGTCATGCATGCTGCCTGCATGTCGCTATTGACTCAGGAATGCCAGGCAGCCGCTGGAAAATGTTTATCAAGCAGCACTGCTTGATGTGCAATGCATGCAAGGTAACAGCTGCACTGGTGCTGAGCAAGCTTCTTACCAGGCTGGCAGCAGAGAAGAGGAAGAAGGTGATGCCGATGAGGATGGGAGCCTCCTTGAGCTGGGCGGCCACTGGAGCGCCGGATGCCAGCTCAGCGCCGGCGGCAGCAACAAAGGCCAACATGGCCAGTCTGCATGCAAGAAAATACCATTCAGTGGAGCTCAGCTGGGATAAGATTTACGCAAGGTGATGCATGCAAGCGGGAACCCATCAGTGAGCTCAGATGAGCTGGGATTGCAGCAGACTGATGATGGAACATCTTTCAGAAGTTGTCAGTGAAAAAATTGAAGCAAGGCAGGTACACACCTGCCGTTGATAACCTCGGGACCTGGGCCGCTGAAAGCCATGGCATCTGCAATTACGAAAAGAAACGGGTCAGGCAACTGAGCGTGTCGACGATCCAGCAGGTGCCTCACAAAGGACAGGCCACGCAGTTCGGAGCAAGCGTTAAGAAGACCTTGCATTTCCGATGGCAGCAATCACTCGCAAGACCTTCACATTCACAAGTCACAAGAGGGCCAAGCTTTCTGATCGGGAGAATGATCTGCGTGGCACGCGCTTGGCAACGCATGGAACGAGCTCGTTGGAATGCAGGCGCACCTCCGAAACTAGGCGCCTTTGCAGGTTCCACAGGAGCCCTAGCTGCTTGCTCAACATTGTTGACGGCAGCTGAGGTGGTCTGCGCAGCACATTTCAAACGTCAGTGTCTACGTAGCTTCTCGACGCTCCGCGGCATGAGCAACCAGCAAGCGCACAGCAAAGCAACTACCAGAACCACACGACCCTCCTATCGAAATCTTTTCATGCTTGCGTGCTCCAATGTCAGTGTAAGCATGCAAAGACCTTCAGACCGTGCACAAACGAATCATAGGCAGTCTTCAAGTGTCCTCACCTCTGCAATTGTCTGCTCGGCCTCCTTCAGGGTCTGCTGTGCGTCTCCGAGTGGGCTCTGCTCGGCCCTCACGAGCTGAGAGATGCGACGGGGAGCTGCAACACGGGCCTTGGCGAACCGGGTGTTCGGCGTGAGGGCGACAGTGCGGGGAGCGAATGAAGCAGTGGACATTGCGAAAGCCATTGTGATCGTCTGTTGGGTGGATGCGAGTATGACAGCTTTTCTTGTCTTATTGTTGCGCGTAGGAGCTTAGCTTGCCAGTATTGTATGCTACTAGAACATCCAGGCTACTTCAAGTGCATTCGAACGTCGATTGCCACGGTAACGACTGACGTGGGCCGGTCTGAGCCGGTCATTTGCGCAAGTCCTGTTTAGCTTCGATTCGGGGGATCCCGGGAGCCAAATCTGTCTTCGGTCAAGGATAAATTCCTCGATCAAAATTTGGTATCAATCTGTTGCAGAGGACGCCGTGCATCACCTGAACACATAAAAAGAGAAGAAAGATCTTTTGATTGAAGGCTCAATTGCACATCAGTCCAATATGATATGTGCAGCAGGCGTGCTAGGCACACCTACAGCACGCGTGTCTCGATCCTCTCGAAGGGACAGGCGTGCCTGCAGAGTGAGAGCAGCCCATGACAAGGTAATCTCATGCTGACAACTCCCAGACAGAACTTGCCAGATGATGAATCATTCTTCGCCTTCCATCCACCAGATCACCAGAGATCACTTGCGTTTGGGAGCACTTGATTTCATTGTCGACTGAAGTCAATCGCATACCATTAATGACATGGAGAAAAATTTGATGAAATCTTCCTTGAAGCGCTGTGATTCTTTGGGCAGAATGGAGACAGCAAGCACCATGGGCGACCCATGCAGGCGCTCCAAGGCGCGGTCCTTGCAGCTGTGCTGACAGCTGGCCTGGGCCTCGCCCTGCCACAGGACTACATGCCGGCAGCGCACGCAGACAACAGCTTTGTCTCGGCAGCAGAGCGCAGGAGGCAAGAGGCGCTGCAGAGGAAAGAGCTCCTGACAAAAGCGTAAGCATTTTACATGATCCTGCTTCGTCCACACAACGCTCTTGGATCTGCAAGATGTGGTGACAGGTGCACCTGTGCTGGTGGCGGGTCCCACCTTGACTGCAGTGCACGCCATGCATGGGATGTAAATTTGAATTTGAATTTGACAGGCGTGAGGAGGCGCTGAGGAAGGGCGGCGTTGACCCATCGAGCACTGAGTCCGCTCCAGAGCTTGCCACACCAGCGGCTGATGCCAAGGTGCTGCGCAGAGATTTTGGGACCACCAGTAGCCATCATCCTGGAAACCCTTTTGGCACTGGAATGCAAACTGTCTGACAACAATCCAGATCCTGCCGATATGGCCTTGCATGAGACTAGCAGTAGACAGCTCTTATTCCCCACCAGCAGAGACTGCCCATGTCCAAAACGCAATTTGGTGGCTTCTAATCGATTGAGAATCGGTAATTGGAGCTGACAGATGGGCGTATTTGGGGTTGGCAGGTGGAGGCAGCCAATGCAGAGGTGGAGGCCAGCAACAAGGAGCGGGAAGGCCTGTCCAGCTCAATGCTTGCACGCCTCAAGAAGGCTGCCGGCGACTACGAGGTCTGTACTGAACACTGTGACTACAAAAGCCTGTGAATGACTGTGAGTGACTGTGAAGGCTAGGGAAGACTCAACTCCCACAGAAGAGGCCATAGTGTCCCTCATGTCAGGGCGAAAGCAGTGCCTGATGATTCTCCTGACATTTTATTACGTTTGTGAATATTCCATTCACATTTGATACCAAAGCGCCGAGACTTTGTGATTAAGAGTCCGGGCTCTGACGAGCTCGAGGTGATGTCCTGTGCTACAGAAGACAGCGGGCAGCGGGCCAAAGCTGCCAAAGGAGGAGCCTTCTGGAGGACCCAGCTGGTCCTCCCTCTTCCAGGTATGCCTGCCGCTCGAGACACTGACCACCGTATCCTTCTCTCAATGCTATTTCGCACCTGTGCCTGGATTGCTTTTTAGAATAACAACCACTAAGCAGCCATCTTTTGATCAGCAGCAGAAGACCGGTTCAAAGCTGCTACAGAAATTCAGGCATTGTGTCCCTATACGGTACTATCTGCCACCTGTGCAGTCTCAGATCTGTTCAATAGTTGCCACTCGTGCAGTCTCAGGAGCCTGAAAAGGCGGACAGCCCGGCTGCACCGAGCGCCGCTCCCACCCCAGCCCCTGCAGCAGCCCCACAGAAGCCCTCGCTGCCCTTCCAGATGCCCAAGCTGGAGAAGCCATCCTTCAATATGCCCAAGTTTGAGGCGCCCAAGTTTGAGAAGGTACAGGTTCCCAGCTTTGGCACCAAGCAGGAACCGGCCTCGGCCCCTGTTGCACCCCCCAGTCCTCCCCCGGCCCCTGCTGCAAAGGTGCTCCTCTCTACCTCCTCCAAGTCAATTGTTTTGCAAGGAGCAGTTGCCACTTGTCAAATATTCGCTTGCTGGAGATGTGCAGGCTGCAAATGAGAAACTCAATGTTGTCGAGATGTTGTATAAGCTTGAGTCAATAGACTTTGGACTCCACTGCTTGGATAGAACACTACAAGTGTATTGCAGCTAGGTAGCACTTTCTACTTGCTGGATGTGTCTCCATCGGAAAAGTTCAGCCAGAAAGTACATGAAACGCGCTAACGTAGTGAGCACAGTTCCGTTCTCTTGATGTTGAAGTTTGCAGAGTGTGATTGCTGCAGGTTGTCCCACCGCCGCCACCGCCGCCGGCGCAGGTGCCGGCTCCTGCTCGGAAGGTGGAGCTGCCAGCCCCTTCACCAGCTGCCAGCACAGATGAAGACTCCTCCGGGACCGGCGCTTGGTTCAAATCCCTGACTGAGGGGCCCACTAAAACGGTGCGACTTCTGCGGAAACTTTTCCAAATCCAGAAGCAGAGAGGAAATACTTCTTCCAAATTATTTGAAGCATAACTGGGGCTGTTGCACTATGCAGCAAGACTACATTGGGGTGTTTGGGCAACTGTAAGAATGATTTTGCCAAGTAACACGCACTGATCATTTTGTCTGGATGAATGCAGTCGGTGCCTGAATTAGCGGCTCCCAAGGCAGAGGCCAAGAAGACACCCGCACCTCAGACTGTCATCAAGCCCCTACCAAGCAGATCAGAACCAGCTGAGAAGGTGAGATTATCCTTTTGTTGCCCTTTTCTTGCACAGTCCTGAAGCCCTGAAGAGGCCTAAATAAAGCCCTATAAGGATCCTGCAGGACCCCAAAAATTGTAATCCGCAACCCTGGAAAGCACTGTGTACTCTACCTACGCGGGTGACCGCAGACAGGGGTTGTAAATTGTGTGCATGTGGTGTTCCACAGGAGGCTCCTGCAAAGAAGCCGGTGAAGGCTGCTGCCGTGGTCAGCAAGCCCGGCAAGAGGCAAGGGCCGCTGCCACTGTGGCTGGCCGAGCTGCTGGTCATCTTTGGACTTGCTGGAATCCTATATTCTGTTGTCAGATGGTGCGTCGAGCCTCTCACTCTGATACTGGCCATCCCACCGCTGCATGACAGTCTGTGAAGAAAATTTATTGCGATCTGGTATTGCTGCATGCTACCTTTGGTGACTTCTGTGTGCAAGTTGGGGGATGACCTGACTGCTTTGAGTTGGTCACACAGGAGTGAGCAAATTGCGGTGTACTGGGGAAAGCTTGGAGCGCAGCTTGAGACCGTGTATGAGAAGATTGACAAGAGGGCAGCATCCCCTCCCAAGGCATGAGCTACGTGGCAGTTTTGCAGGATATGAGATATGTCTCCAAAGGAGAGTTTTGGACAAGATTTGCTACTGTGAGTGGAACAACTTTCTCTTTGCTTTTAATTTGGTTTCTGCGTTCATTAGGCAATTTTGGTATCACTTGGTTGCTTCCTTTCTTTAGCAAATGTTGATATGGAGTGTTGGCTCTCCGAGAGTCTGTTTTTGTAAAAGAGATAGCAGAAGTGCATTGACCGTTTTGTGATGTCGACCGATTGTGTGAGTGCATATTTTCTTTTTTATCCAAGCACCGTACTGTCATACTGGAGCGCCGCAGACTTGTGCACTACATTACACACCAGATCAACAAGGACAGATCCAGAACAACAATGGAATCCTCTTCTTCAGCACACGTGTGCCTCAACGTCTGCCAGACAGAACTAACCTGCGCGAACAGTGCCTGTACTGCTATGTGGACTATTCTGTAATTTATGCTATTTTGTGCATGTGGCCCAATCTCACTCAGGCGACGTCCTCATCCTCATCAGGCACGTCCTTCTGCTGAAAGAGCCAGAAGGAGAGCGCAATGCCCAAGGCAATCACTGCATGGAACACAAAGCCTTCAGCATCATGTTCATATACTAGTATATATCCAACACTCTGCAGCTGAATATTGCCATCCCGTGTGCATCAGCTGTGAGCTAACGCTGAGAGGATGCATCCTGATAAAGATCAAGCTTTCTTCACGGCATAACCTGCTCTTCTTTGAGCTCATGGACATCTATGACCCCAGAGGTGGCCTGTCGATGTTCCCATCTGGAGCAAATGGGAGCTGTGTGCGGTTCTGTGACATCGAGTGCGGTTCCTTTGTTCGTCCAAAACAGGAGCACCTTGAACCGAGCGAGTTTCGTCACGTATTTCAGTGAGATGCTGTGGAGAGGGAGAGGGGCTCACCGCCAAAGAGGGCGTTGGAGAAAGGATTGCCGGGCAAGAAATAGGACTCGGGAGCGCCGGCCACGCCGCTGAGCATCTCGCGCTCACGCACTGTGTACTTATTTGCCGGCAGCTTGATCACCTGCGCCGCTGCACAGCCCCACCACCAGCCCTGTCAAATTTCTTTTGCAGGCGCTGTGCTCCCTTTACTTGCCAAGACCGCTCCTTTTCCATTTTGTATCATAACTACTACATGCTATTCCGGCCCTAGGGCAAGGTGCATCTGCTGGCAAGCTGCATGTAGAGGATGCATGTTCCTACCCCTTCTTGGACTCGCCGGATACAAGCAAGACCCAATCAACTGTGGGCATCTTTGCTTTTGCTAGGACAAACTCCGACTTCCATTGTTTCAGAGGCATGTTTAATGCCCAATACACTTTATATATTTGCTGGCACCGCCAGTCTCCAAGCAATTTTTGTGACTCCTAAAGTTGCCATTGCCCGAAAACCTCTAGGTGAGGCTTTGCCTTAGAAGCTTTAAAGGTGTGGCATTGTTGACAGGTTGAAAAACTTTCTATCGCATCAAAAGCCCTTCATGACACAATCGTGGGCAAATGGAGCGTCTACGTCATGAAAATAAGAGACCTGTTTTTGGGAGTGACTCCAATCAGAAGTGGCAGGAAGGCAAGGCAGGCTATAAGAGCGTACATGCAAGCTTGTCCAGGTTGACCTCGGGGTTGAGCGCGTCCACCTCAGCGCGGGTGATGTTCCGCTTACTAATGATGTCCTTGATGCTCTCGCCGGCGCGCACCGGGTAGGTCCGGTATGTGCCCCTCCCAATGCCTGCGTGAAAATATGTTTCATGCAGAAAGTTCGGGGAAATGTCCAGCCACTTAGGTCGGTCCATGCAGGAAGTTCAGGCAAATGTCATGCCGGTCAGGCCGGTTCATGCAGAAAGTTCAGGCAAATGTCCTGCCATTCAGGCTGGTCCATGCAGAGAGTTCAGGGATACGTCCTGCCATTAAGGCCGGTCCATGCACCGATTCTCTCAGGGCATTCTTTTGCTCTGCTGCTGGCGCTGTCGGTGTTTGGTGGCACCTAATTGAAGAGTACAACACCAGGCAAGGGTAAGATATTGACCTGCCAAAATCTCCTTGTCTCTGGAGGAGAGCTTGCCACCGGGGATGAGGATGGTTTGCTTCTCCTCGACCTTGTTTGGGTCGATGCCGAGATTCAGCGCAATGATCTCCTTTACAGTTACATCTGCAAGAGAGAACGCAGCACTCAAGAGACACGCCTCTGCTTGATGGGCATTGAAAACCTGAATGTACCAAATTATCCGCAAGAAAGTTAACAGTCCACAATCTAGATTAGAGTGTGGGCAAAGCAAACAGCGTCACCCAGGTATGCTGCCAGAAGCGCTCACCTCGCTTCTGTGCAATAGACTCAAGGGTGTCCCCCTTGCGGGCAGTATAGGGCCTAACTGTGAGGGTTGCAATTGTAATGGGGCGGCCTGCACTTCTAGCCGTGGCAGGCTTTGCAGAAACCTGCAAAATAGGACAATCCCTTACTTGGCAACTAGAAAGGTCAGGGCAAAGATTCTGATGCTGCATCGAACCTGACATCCAAAAGAGGACAACACACATGGGCAAGGTGCGAGAGAATGTTGTTTCCTGGCTCGTGTCGATGCTCTGTGACTTGGGGATCTGGTGAAGTACTGTCATGTCTTGATGGGCGGTACAGCGGTCCAGACACAGGAAATCTTCCAACGTGAATGCTATTCTGGGTGTAAATAGGCGTTGCACACCTGCAGACATTGCCCAAAGAAGGCAGCTTTGCCACACGCCAGGCTTTGAGCAACCATGTCCTTTCAACGCCTGACCACTCTCGCGCTCAGGGAGGGCTGAGCCCTCAAAACTTCAACCCCGCACGCAGGTCGCCCCTTTTCTACCAAAAAAACCCTACTCCAGCCCCTTCAGTGAAGGCCAGTGTCCCTTTGCTCGTTTTCTCCGAATAGATGAGACTCGAATGCGTGAATTTTGGGCGTTTCTGTTTGGATTGCCTCCCTCGGCCCGCAGGGTGTTGAAAACCGCAGCCATAGGGCTACCAAAGCACAGCACGTCCTTCGTCTCAAAGTCCCGAGACTTCAGATCCGTTCACCTGCATGAGAAGGACAGGGTGTTGGTGTCTTGCCAAGGTGGAATCAGCAGCCGTAAGTCAATGTTGCGTTGATTCCTGCGAAAGACTTGTCGGTGCATAAGTCGACTCCTCAGCTGCACCACAGGGTGGCATTTAATTCATTAGCGACAGATCTGAAATGGCTGACTACGACTACAATGCAGATGACGTTGATGCCGAGGAGGAAGGATTCGAAAGGGTACGATTTTGTGAGGGTTATTGGTGACTCAGATCAAAGCCCAGATTGCGAGCCGTGCTGGAATGATCATTTTGATGTGCACAACAGGAGTTCATTCCAACCAGGGACAACGTCATCTTCCTCATCGACGTGCAGCATTCCATGTTTGAGGGCGCGGGCCTTAAAGACACAGAGGTGCAATGCCGATCCTCTATGCCTTCCAGTAGAAGTAAACTTGAAGAAATCCTGCACCAACCTGATACAAAATACTGAAGGAATGTATGACACGGCCCCGCAGGGTTTTGAGGAATCAGATACATGGTTCGATGTGGCCTTGAGGGTGGCTCGGGAATTTCTGAAGATGCACATCATATCTTCAGACAGCGACAAGATTGCCATTGCCTTCTATGGCACGGTATGCTCCTATGCCACATGCCGACTGCTTGCGCGCATGTGCAGGGATGCACCTCATCTAAGCGCTTTGCCCACTGCATTGCTCAGTGTCTGACAACATTCTTTGTGTTGGCAGAGGGTGACGCAGAACGCCAACAATTTTGAGAACGTCTACACGCTGCAAGACTTGGATGAGCCGACCGCTCAGCGCATCCGAGACCTTGACAGCATCAGAGGTAAAATGCCCTCAAGGCAACATGCAGAGACTGTTTATTTTGCGACCTCCACTGACTGCCAAAACCTGCAGCGATGTCTCTGCACAAGAAGAAGGGACAGCGTTCTGTCTGAAGCCCCTGCTGCTATGTAAGCGTTCTCGTTGACTGTTTTAAGCATTGGCATTGGCTCTGCGCAGAGCAAGAATTTGAGGAGAGAGTGGGCAGCGCACCAGAGAAGAGCCCCGATCACCTGAAGAATGGCCTGTGGGCAGCGCAGCAGCTGCTGAACAGCGGCTCGTCCAAGGCTTACAAGCGGGTCCTCATCTTCACCAATGACCCCCATCCTGAAGGCTCCGGCAAGCAGGCCGACACCTTCAGGCAAGCCCTGCTCTCATTCTGCACCATTATCTAAATGATTATAGTGCAGTCAGTATCAGCCATGTTGATGGTCTCTTGTGTGTCCACCGAGTGGAAGCACAGTCCATGCATTTTTTCCCCAGCTGGCTTACAAGCACAGCAGTATACACATTACCAGGATTGAGGCCGTGATGTGCGAAGTGCACAAGAATAATGCATGCCTTTCTCGGATGTGCAATGCAGGCTTTAGTTCTCATTTTCCGAGCGTAAAGCTGTCCAATATAATGCCGGTCCAAAACAGACTTTATTTTAGCATGCACCCCTGCTTAGGGAGTTGATCGTGGCGCGTGCCACGACGCTGCACGAGGCCAACGTGACGGTGGAGGTGTTTCCGCTGATCAAGCCGGAGCGCAGCTTTGCAATGGGCTTCTGGAACCACATCGTGCACGCCGGAGAGGATGCTGAGACCGGCACCAGCTTCAGCGAGGGCGCTGACACCCTCTACCGCCTCCAGGTGCGCTGTTCCCACTAGCATGCGCTCATGCCTCTCATTGCAGATATCCTCTTCGGCACTCAACCCTGAAATGCTCTATTTGGTGTTTGAATTCTCGGAAAGCGCTAAGGCTTGTTCAATTTGTTGAATCGGAAATCTTCGCTCCAAATTGCAGCTATCTTCAGAAAGGAATCGGGCAGTCTGCTCCTCTGCCATTTAGATGAATACAGGCAGTTCCACGACAATTTTGTAGGCGCTGTGGAAATGCAAGATGTGTGCGCCAGGACATGGGTATCGGTGGACTTTGTCATTGCATCAGCCATGCACATTTTATGGCTGCCTCAATAATTACTTCCACATTGACCACATGCTGTCACCTTACTGCAGATGTTCTTATAGTAACCTTCCCAAAAGCAATGCACTTGCCGTGTGACAGATATTTGCATGCTGTTTTGCAGAGCCTGCCGGGCCTGCTGAGGCACCGGGGCTATCGTAAGCGCACAGCGGGCAGAGCGCGGCTGGTGTTCCCCGAGGGCTTCCAGCTGGCAGTGGCCATGTACGCGCTGATTCAGCCCGCCACCAAGAGCAGCCCCGTCTATCTGCACGCCGTCAAGAACGAGCCGCTGCGCATCGAGTCTGCCCTCATCTGCCAGGACACCGGTGAGCGCTGGCTGGCAGTGTTCCTGGCATTCTTTGTGTGTGATGATCAGCTTTGGTTGTTTCTTCTCAAGGCCACCATCTCTAGGAACTGACTGCTGTATAGCAAGGCATTATGATGTCTCAATGAATGCATTCTGACAATGCAAGCAGTGCAGCTCCTGAAGATTTTGGTGCTGAGGAGCAACAGAGCTCCTTCAGAAAGGCGATCAAACACTCCAAATAGTGACGCATGCGACTGCAAGTAGACATGGCAAAAAAGGCTATTGACTGTTTCTCCAAGGGGATGACAAGCACCAGATGGCAGGATTATTGCCACATGTGGAAAAATGAGCTTCAGAGCAAGCCCTTGAATCTGGTGGATTCATAATGTAAAGATATGAGGTCGTTATAGGGTTATAGGCCGAGGCTTGAACACTCGTGGTGGCTTGCAGGTGCCATTCTGACGGAGGTGCCCAAGCGCATGTTCCCCAAGAAGGCAGACGCCGAGAAGCTTGCCGGCCGCATTCCCCCAGTCGTCATCAGCACCCAGGAACTCCGAGAGCTCAAAATTGTCAAAGACCCAGGTGAGTGGGTGTCAAGCTCTTCCTTTGTACCAACTCTCCACTCTTTTCTTCCTTGTACACAACTCTTGGAAGCATCCCTGTCCCCTCTTGTTGTCCTCGAGCATGAAGGCTGCATGTGTCCTGCTTCTTAGCTGTGCCGTTGATATACTGGATGCTGATACCATCGTTGTTGACTTGACACCTCTCTGGCATACATGTGGTGTCAAGAAGCATGTGCCAGAAAGCTGTCAGCTCAATAAATGTCTTCAGCACTCATGGACCAAACCGTTTGTCTTGACTCAAACGTGCAGAGGAATGTAAATGTCGTGTGCGCAGGGCTGTACCTGCTGGGGTTCAAGGCGCGCAGCTGCCTGCGCTCGTGGCACACGTGGCGGCAGAGCACCTTCGTCTACCCGGACGAGCACTCCATGCCCGGCTCCACCACAGCCTTCATCGCCCTGCACGAGGCCATGCTGCAGGCCGACAGGTGCCCGCACCCGCTGGCATGTGCTCTGGGATTTTTGTTGCTGGATATTGCCAGAGGGGCTTCATCACCTGTTTGCAAGTTTCTCTGCTCTCTGACATGCACGGAGTACGTCATGGTGGAAGAGAAAGGTGGATATAGGTGCTAAGCCCGGATTTTCTGATGTGTTGGAAATGTGTCTGATACACTTGCAAGCAAGAATTTGCTCCCGAAACAGCTGCTCAGCTGCGATACGCTTCAGTGTCCATGAGATTGGAGTCCTTATGGCTCTTGGAATATGTGCATGGCAGGATAGCGGTGTGCACCTACGTGCGCACGCGCAACTCGGAGCCGCGGCTGGTGGCGCTGATGGCAGCGCAGGAGGAGAAGGATGACTACGGCGAGCAGGTGCGTAGCAGAACCTTCCTCATACTCACGCACTGTACTTTGTGCTGATCAGTTGGAGCATTGCTTTTGAAAAGATAACTGTGGCCTGCTCCTGTAGCGGCCTGCATGCGGATTAGGACTCTGCCCAAACGGCTGAACTCAAAGTGGACATCGACCAGAAATTTAACAGGTGCAACTACAAATGTCATGCATGTGATGACATGGGTGCTCCAGATGCTGAATGGAAGATTATGGCACAGGTGGCGCCACCTGGCATGCACATGTTGCACCTGTGCTTTGCGGACGACATCCGCACGCCAGAGTCAGACCCAAACCTGGTAGGCACCTCCTTCCCCGAGGCCAGTGAAGATCAGATCGCAGCCGCAGAGGCGATGATTGACAAGCTCAGCATGGGCGACAGCGCCTATGTAGGCATGTTCCAGAACCCCATGCTGCAGCGGCATTACCAGGTGTAGCCTCATTCTTGCAGACTCTGCCATCCATGTTCTGCCTAACAAATAGTGCAGCAGTCCATAAACTTCTTCACAAGCAGGGTTGCTGTGCATGGCTGATCTGCGGCTTTAAAATGAAAAAACACATGTGGTTCTGGACCCTAACTGTCATGACCCACTGAGCCAGCATCCTCTGGCTTGTGAGAGAGGTTCCCAAATAATGTCAGCTTGCTCCGAGGCTGATGTTATGTGGTCCCTCTGCAGCAGTAAGTCTTAACAAGATGTGATTGAGTACGGGCAAACGCATACAGAGGATTTTGCTGATCTGTGATTGTGTCGGTGCCCTTAACAGGTGCTGGAGGCCCTTGCCCTGGGCGAGCTGCCTCCAGAGTTTGAGGACAAGTTGCAGCCAGACATCCAGGGGATGCAAGGGGTGGGCGGGGCAGCAATCGACGCCTTCAGAGTAAGCTTCCCCACCCTGCTTCACATTGTTGTCCATGCTTTCCTAAGTGCAATCTGATGCTTTGCATTGACCTGTCACCAAGCATTTGGTCACTTACAGCTGACATCATATATACCTGGAACAGCCATGAGGCTGCAGCTCTGAAAGAGAGACAACCTGTTTCTTGGTTCTTGAAAGTGCAAACTGAGAGTCACAAAGCCCTTTGCTCCGCATGCGGACGTGATGTACAGATGATGACAAAGAGCGCTGATGCATAAAAGTTGTCGCAGACATCGGTGTATGGAAATAGCTACGATGAGCCGGGCTTTGGGGCCAAGAGGCCGACTGCTGGCAAGAAGCGCCCAAATCCTGAGGAAGAGGCCGTGCTCAAAGAGGCCATGGCAGACTTTGATTACCAGGTAGGATGATCTTCCTCTCATCTCCCTTACATTTGCCTTAGATAAGGGAGCTTGTTGGGAGGCTTGCTGGCCTGCTTTGCAGCATAGAGAGGTTGTCTGGTTTTCGACCTTTTCAAGGAGCCAATCGTTCTTTTTTTTTATGTAAAGGATCTTTTTTCAAGAATATCTAGGGATGCATCTCTTTGCACATTCTGAGATGGAATGTTTGTTGTTGGACAGGGTCTGGCGGCAAAGGGGACGCTTGGCAAGCTGAAAGTGGACGAACTGAAGAAGTACCTCAAGGCAAATGGCCTGAAGCTGACCGGCAAGAAAGATGAACTCATACAAAGGATTACAGAACACATCGAGAAGGGCAAGGCTTGAGAGTGTCTGCGCCGCATTGTGAAACCTCCTATTGACAACCTGAACACGCAACCTAGAACCTACTAGAGACACAGCTGAATAACATTGGCTAGCGAGTTACCTATCAAACGCATGTACAGCTGCAAGAATCAAAGCAATGGTTTTACTACATCCTAAGACTTCCTAGCAGTCTTACCAAAATTGTGCAGCTAATTGCAGCTGCAGCCAAAATTCTGTCAAGGACTAGGGTAGCAAAAAAGCGTCCTGGAACCCGAGCACCCTCAATACCATTACCATTCGTGATTGCATACATGCAAAATCGTTGACAGTAGAGCTTGACTCAACCAGCCCCTATTGCTTCAATGTGTCCTCTTGATGTGAAGCTCTGCAGTTGCTCAGTCAAAGGCAGGTCCAATGAGCTCGCCCTGGTTGTCAACCTTGTTGTACTTCTCCCAGTCAACCGCAATGGGAGCCGCCACCAGGTGAGAGGGGATGCCAAAGGAGTCTATGATGCGCTGACTAGACGGAGCCAGCTCAGCACACAACGCCCTGCACATACCAAGACCCCTTCAAAAATGAGCAAGCATCGTTTGCATTGCTCCGGTGACCAAACGCATGTTTCCGCACGCTTGGTCCTGAACCTGCCCTGATACCTGACCCCCCTCCTATCATCTGGCGTCTGAGAAATTCAAGTGCCAGAGCAAGGTTCCATAGCAAAAATAATGCTATTTGAGGAATGGAGAAGCAATGGCCCTGCGCGTGCAACAGCACAGCAGCGCACCTGATCTCGTTGGGGATGCCGCGGGCTGCTTCCAGTGACAGGATGCCCTCAGTGAGCAGCCACCCCTGGTCTGCCTCGAGCCGGCGCAGCGCATGCAGGTTTGTCAGCGCCCGCAGAATGCTGGCCACGCTCCCAGGAGCCTGCATGTTGCAGCCATACGCATTCCTTCAGGCATCAATGCAGCCAGCGTCCGGATCGGCTATTGGACAGTAGAAGTAACACACTCCCAGCTCACTTGCTTTCATGCAGATCAACTGGCTATGTGTTGGGAGCAGCCAGCCAAACAAAATTACAACAATGATTGTCATTGGCTGATTGCAACAGAATTAGCCCATATCCCTCCTGGATCTGCAGGCAGTTATGACAGCAGTTGCAAAGAAACAGTGCAGGGGATGGTGACCCTGCATGCACACATCATGTAAGGCTAGGAGCTGTGCTGAGTCAGCGGGCACGCACCTGCTGGCAGGCGCGCTGGCAGGCGTCGATGACCTCGCGCTCGGCATAGGCCAGAGCGGTCGCTTGCACCAAGTCGCTCTCACGCTTCATCCAGGTGTCAAACACCGCCTCGCCGCTGACGCCGCGCATCTTGGCCGCCAGCGCTCCCAGCAGCCGCCCCTCGCGCGCCACAAACACCCCCCGCAGCGCATTAACGTCCCTCAGCTGCCCGCCTGCACATGCGCGCACATGCATTTGCTTCAGCCTGCTGACGACGGAACAAATTGGCTGAATGGCTCCAAGGACATGACCACCTCGTTGAGTCTATGTGGCGCAGAAGCTTGCTCTCTGTGGTGCTGTGCATGGGATAAGCAAGTTCATTGCGATGGAATATCGAGGCACCTGGTGCTGCTCCAATGCATGCGTCAGTGCCGCAACTTGGCATGCACCCTCACTCATCTCCAAACTTCCATGTTCATTGCAAACAATGACTCAGTGTGAGCGTGGGAAGAGTAAGGTGCCGCCAAAAAACGAGAGAGCCAATGGGCTCACCCGAAACATGGGGCAGGAGTATTTCTTTGCGTTTGCAACACTCGCTGCGGTTTGTACAACTAGCAGAGGTGCCAGTGGGCTCACCGGAGAGGTTGGGCGGGCTGGATCCAGCGCGGAGGCGGTCGCGCACTTGGGCCTGGTCCAGAGTGGACAGGTACTCCTTGGCCACCTTCTGCATGAGCACGCGGTTGTCGCCCTCGGCCGTCATGCCCGCGTGCGCAAAGCCGATGATCGCGCCAAACTTGTTCACGCTCAGGTAGCCCTGCCCGCCGCACCGCTCGCGGCATGTTGTCCCCGTCTCCTGCACGCACGTGCATGAAAGCTCGTGAGGAAATGATGCATGGCGTAACGTGCATTTCTAGCTTGAATGCACCTTCCAGGGAATGCTGGCCCTCTGGAACATGCAAGTGCCCCTTACTGCCCTGTTGGGAATTAGCTGAGAATCGCTTCTTCAACACACGTCCAGCGCCCTTCGGATCAGCTGCAGGTGTTGAACAGTTGATTCACTTCTGCTTGGACAATTTACAAGACCAGCCATGGCTCGTCATCGATGGCTAACATGTGATTCTTCACCTGGCCATTGCTCTCCTGCTTCCTGGCAGAAGGGGCACACATTGATATTGAATGAGATAACTGCCAGGGCAATATGAGCACACCTGGGCGTTCCAGGCGCAGAGCGGCTTGATTGCGCAGCAGAGCATGATGACCTCTCGCGCGACGGACGGATCCACCATGACTTCGTCAAAGCCGCTGGCCGCAGCCCAGCGGTCCTTGACATAGTTGAGGCCCAGGTTGAGGCACACCGTCTGCGCCAGCAGCGGCAGCAGCGCGCGCTGCTGTAACTGGTAGTCCAGGATCGGCGTGTCGCTCTTGCCCCTGTGAACATGGACATCATTGATTCTCCAAGCATTTACGGTCCTAGTTGCCAAATACAGTAGTGCTACGAACAAGGCATGTGCCAGCTCCTTGCGGCATGAACACACAAGGCAGTCTCAAGTCGAAATGGATTTTTCTAGCTGCTTTAAGTTGCAGCTCAGCTAGTGGCCGCAATAGATGTCTGGTACACTACTGCTCGTGAAGATTTTGCACTTGACCAGCCAAGAAACTCTTTGACAGGTCCAGTGCGGCGCCTCACGCAGCAGTAGCACATCAGAACAACCATTGAAACTGACTCCAACTTCACTGAGAAAAAGTAAGGAGTCACTCCTTCAGCAAAGTAGCATGCAGCTCTGGAACAATACAAACATAATCGCCGTAGTAGAATCATGCTGATTGTCGCGGTGCTGCATCAAATACGATAAAAAATCAACGTTCCATCAAAGTATCAGGGCAGGTGCGCGCGGCCGCACCGGGACCCGACGGCGAGGCGGGTGGCGGCGTAGCGGAAGGCGATCAGCAGAGCCATCTTGGAGCCGGACTGCATCATGGACGCGATGCAGATGCGCCCCGACAGCAGCTGGTCCGCCACGCGCAGGAACCGGTCGCGCGGCCGCGCCACGGTGCTGCGGAAGCTGCCGTCCGCGCCCACGTTGCTCGACGCGTTCAGCAGCGCCCACCGCTTCACGCGCACATCTGCGCGCGATTGCACACCACTTTGGTAACCACTTAGTTGGTCGATGGTGCATTGAGAACTGATATAGCTTTAAGTTGGGGCCAGAGGGGAAGATGGGAACAGGGCGAGCTGCCAGGGAAGCCTGACAATGACATTTGCAGGATTCACAAGGCTGCCATTGCTGCATGATGGCCACGGACTTGGGGGCTCCCAGAGGTCAGGTGCGCAAGGATGGAAGAGACTCCATTTGTGTGTAACGGCATCTACATGGAATCATGGGCTTATGGAGACTCACGATCAAACCAGAGCTTGCCGTTGTCCACGCCGTTGCAGCCCATCTTGTGGCCCATGTCCTCGATGCGCACGCCTGGCACCACCGACATGTCCTGCAGCAAAATCATGACATCATCAAATCACAGCATTCCATCCAAACAAAGCAAGCAACACCAGCCGCAAACAGCAGGCAATGCAGCGCAGTTGCCACAGCATGCACAAGCCACATCCCCCTGCAGGCCTGCTTGGCACTTCTGCACGTCGGTGGCCGCAGCGTCAAATTGCACTCAACCGCCATGCGCATGGCTCGCATGGAAGATTCTTCATCAAACAAACGTGCAGAGAAACCACGCAGCATTCCAGAAGAGCTATGCTATTACCTTGCAAGCTCTAACGCGCGGACATTCATCCCGGTAAAAGTCCACGATAGGTCCAGATATTCCATCAGAACAACCAAATACGTGTGCACATATCTGGAGATTGAGGCACTATCAAGTGCCATAACAATACCACTACATTGCACACAGAGGCCATGGGCCTGGCACGCATGCAGGGTCTAACACAAACATATAGGACAAAATCCTTGAAACCACCGCACGTCATGGTAAACCTGGAGATGTTATCGCAATCTCCGCAAGCAACATCACGCTCCTTAGAGAGAGCCTAGAAGAGAGATCCAGGGAGCTCCAAATCTTGAAGGGACATCAATCCCCAGCTTGGGGTTTGATGGAACCAGCGAGCTTGCGCACCTCGTTGCGAATGCGCACGAGGAAACCGTGGATGCCCTCGTTGCGGCCGCCAATGAGCAGTTGCGCAAAGACGACGGCCCACTTGGCGTGGACTGCCGAGTTGGTGATCCAGTACTTCTGCGCCAGCGTGGTCGGCGTGTGGATTATAAACTCGTCTGCGCCCTGGTCGTACTGCGCCGTCGTCTGCATCTCCACCGCGTTGTTGCCTGCAGGCCGCACGACGTAATGCTGACTACGAATTTATTCCCTGCTGATGTCTGCGGCTTGACAGATGTCAAGTGCTGTCCAGATCAGACATGCCGTTAGTAGGCAGCATGCTGAGAATCTACAGGAGTTAGCAAGGCAGGCATCAAGGGGAAGCCACACAAGAGAGCAGATTGAAGGTTGGCACAACCATTGCAACTTGTGCTGTCCATGCCAGGTGAAAAGGCAAGGGGAAATGTGAGGGCCAGGTACACACCAAAGCCCAGCTCTGTCAGTGCAAAGCAGCCTGTGGCGTCCAGGCTGTCAATGGGCCCCAGCAGCACATCGTGATGCTGCCTCGTCCCCAGCTTCAGCACGGTCCCTGCCAGCATCAGATTTATCAGCCCAATATTGAGATACAAGAGTGATGGACTGTACCAGGGAAAAGAGAGCATGCAAGCCTCCCTGATGTAAACCCCCCATCAACCCCAACATCTACTGGGAGTCAGGCTGAGCAAAGCGGCACATCCATGCAAGATCAGTCCGCACCTCCAAACAGGTTGAAATGCACCGTCATCTTCGTCGCCACAGATGGATCAGCAAAGCCGGTGATCTCATGCGCCGCAAAGATGTTCAGAGGGTTGTGCCTGCGCATGCGGCAAGGGGTCAAGACACTCTCTGAGAAGCACAAAAAATTGACCAAGGCTCAAGAAGACGAATTGGCTGTCTCAAGAAGCACAGTGAAAATCTGTTCACCTGAAGTCCGTGATGGACACAAGGCCAGACTGGCAGATGCGCAACAGCCTTTGGAAAGCCAACTCACGCTCTTCGCGCAGGTCCATGTCATACCGCCTGAGAATAATGCCCAGAGTCAGCTCATCATTAATCATGATAAAGCACGAGGATCACACAGAAGCTTGAGCCTACCAACAGGATCAGGATGATGTACAGGCATCCTAGAGCTGTGGTTGGGCGATCCTTAAGGGACAGTCATCTAGTAAAAGGCAGAAAAGTACTGAAACAGAAACGGGACTCACGGGACAAACAAATCGTCTTTCATCAGGTCCTTCATGGCACGGCGTGTTTCATGGTTGTCATGATCCAAGATCCGCTGAAGTGCCTCTGGATCGAAAGCTATGCCTCCCAAACCTCCCCTGGCTGGCTGCTGTGCGGACACATCGAAGTGCCCGTGCAGCATCACAATCCGCCTCTGAGCTGTCCCCTGCATTGTTCTTTGATTGGTGGCAGGCCTGATACAAGCTTGATGAAGAAGTTGAACAGGTTAGGAGACCAAAAGTGAAAGTAGGTGCAGTCTTGACTTGGGGTTAGGAGCTTGCTACGAGCAGTATATCGACGTGGAACTTTGTTAAAGCTACAAGAATGGATTTCAATTCATTCAATGCTTGTCGTCGCGACAATTGCATTTATTTTCCGAGACTACGGCCACATCACCTGACCCCGTGATCTGACTCGGACGTTCAATCTGTTTCCGCCCAACCCTTCCATCATTACCCCCACAACCCTCGAGTCCTGGCTGAAAGACCACATCTCCTAAGCAACTCTTTGAGCATGAACAGCCCTGAAATGTCTAGCAAAACTTCGCAGTTGGAATTGATTCTTCTAGATCACACTGAATTCATCAGTGTTCCACTGGAGTCTCCGACCTCGAGCTCGCAACGTTTCACTACTTAGTGCTATAGCAGTCTCGTATATAGTGATATATCAGGGGACTCCAGCGGATGACATAAACATTCACGCGAGCGCATGCAAAGCCGGGGTGAGGAGAAACTGAGGCGTTGACCCTGCTTAGATCATCAGAACCTAGGTCCACCAAACATGTCATCATCCTCTTCATCATCCCAGCCGCTATTGCCACCCATGCCCTCCCCAAACGCCTCAGTCGCTCTCATCTGCTCCGCATGCATGCTTGGAGCGCTGGAGGCTGGCTGCAAGTTTGCCTGCTGCTCTCTACGACCATTCATTCGTTCCAAGACCTACGTTTGCGTGGGGGGAATGTCAGTAACTCCCCACAGAGGGCAGCACGCAGCAAGGCTAGGTAGTCCAGAGGGTGACAGCGCTTCTCAGTACTCATTCAGCTGGCGCATCGAACATGTGCAGCAAAGATGACGCGGGTTTGGTAAGTGTCGCAGGAGTGAGCCTCACCATTTCAGCAGCTGCTGTCTGCCCCAGGTACTTGGCGGCTGACATCAGCGTGCCCCATGTGGCCACGTCTGGCACCACTCCTTCATCCTCCATCACATCTACCAAGTGCAGCGCCTGCATGCCACGACCACAGCGCTCTCAAGGGCCTAAAATCTTTACGTAGCACACCCCGCGATTTATCGCAATTTCCTCCAGCTAAGGTTGCATATCAATCTATTGAATTTATCTCAAACCACAAAGCCGTTTAGTAAGATTCTTTTTAGGTGGAGAAATCTGAGAAAAGTATTACTGGACGTACCTACATCCCTCAGATGTGGAAAATGTGTGATATTTATATTAAGTGGAGGCAGAAGGTCGGTCTCACCTGGGTGAAATTGCCGACATGGCACTCTGCCTTGATCAGCGCATTGTAGGTGTACACGTTGGGCCGGAGGGCATGCTGGCGCATCTCCTCAAACTGCACCATTTGCGAGTGGACTTTAGAGAAATGGCAAATCAGCACAGCGACTGTGCCAGTGGTAGAGGGCCATATGCAGTGGTCAAGGTAAGTCCACACAAAGCATCAACAAGTGCAGCATGCAAACTGGCTCGAGTATGGAGCGCTCACCAGCTCATAAGCGAGCGCAGGCTGCCTGGTGTATGCACACCCGCCAATGAGTGAGGTGTATGTGTACATGTCAGCGGCCAGCCCCCCCCTCTCCTGGATTACACACACAAATTATTTGAGAGTGGAAGTGAGGCCCATTCATGACTCGAGAGGATCTCAAGTGCATGTACAGACTGCACAGCATGTCTGACAGGGACAGAAGGGCAGTCCTGTACCCTTGGTGATAGGGCAAGAATGTCCTCGACATCAGTCACCCAATACAAACAGAACAAGCACATCAACAATTGCAGAAGGGAAAACCGGTCTTACCATGTCCTTGTAGAGGGCCATGGCCTCCTCAAGGCGGCCCACGCGCGCGCATGCAGCGATGGCCGCGTTGCAGGCGTAGATGCTGGGCCTGGGCAGGTCTGGGGCGTTCCATGCCTCCCCGATGAGATCCAGCATGGGCTCAATGAGGCATGTGTGCCCAAGCGCCTGCAGCACAGCAGAATTTTCTAAGCGCTTGCTATCCCTGCCTCTATGATCCTGATAACTTCTTGACTGGTTCTTTGTGACCTTTCTTGTGACCTCAAATCCTCGATTCTGATCTTAACATCCTGTTTCCAGGCCAGATGCAAGCCTCCCAGTCATGCCAGAAATCTTACACTTCACATGATCTACAGAAATGCCCAATGCTTCCACCTCCTGCAGGACTTTGTGTGCACGATCTGTCATTAGTAGCTGTGCTGATCATCGTCATCTGTCAGGACAAAGACTGAATGGGGAGAACTTTGGGGAGAGAACCTGGACGAGGGCGGTGAGGGACTGGGGGGTGTGGGGTACGCCGGAGGCCTCAAAGTCCTGCAGCCAGTTGTGCAGCAGGTCGGCTGCGTTCGCGCGCGCGTTACCCCGCATGTGGTACAGCAGCGACGCGCCGCCGCCGTCCTGGGCGGCCGCCGCTGCCGACGCCGGTGCCTCCAGCGGTCCCTGGGCTTTCACCGCCTGTGGCCACACATTAGATTGCGCTCATATCGCAAGCGCCAGCAGTTCTGCAAGGATCTGCTGTTTCCTAAAGAACGAGCGAGCCCAAGGCACGAGAGGCCTGCAGTTCTGCAACATGGCGAGACGTGCAGGCCTACTGACTGATTCGAGCGGGCTGCACTAGACCACTCAGAAAGATGGGGAATACTGTTTTGCAGTAGGTGAGATTTAAGCAAGAGTGGGTTGCATTGCCTTGCATGCAGCGGTCTTGTCTTGTTTGGCAGGTGCCTCTGAAGTATCAGAAGGTTGGAGTAGTCTCGTGTGCCTCGAGATTCCCATGTCTTGGACAAGGTCTGCAGCACACATCAGCAGGTGCATCATACAAATGGCGGCTTCGATTGGGAGATTGGAGCAGACCTGGAATAGGGCAATGAAGGTGCAGATGTCTGGAGCGATTCGGCGCTGCGCCATAGTGTCATACACCTTGGACGCCCCCTCCAAGCTGCCCGCCGCTGCATGCGCCTCCAGGAGCGCGTTGAACGTGAATCGGTCTGGGGTGATCCCTGCCAACAAAAGCACTCACAAGGTTCAGGACTGCAAGTTGAGACTGGCTTCCAGCCATGCAATCAAAAAAAGATTCCAACTCAGCATTTGTTGCAAGATGAACACTGATATGTCCTGTCTCTGTCAGCGCATGCTGAAACACAATCCAAGCTTGCATCTTCCTGCATCCAAGAGTCACTTACAAATAACAGTGCTTGAGGTAACAAAGTCATGGATTCGCACCATCCTGCAGCATGCGCTGCATGACGCTCATGGCGCCAGACAGATCGCCATCACTGCCACATGCTCGCAGCAGCAGGAAGTAGGAGCGGCGGTCCAGGGGGATACCCCGCACCCCCATCTCAGTCACCACCGCCTCGAGCCCGGTCGGGCCGCCGCCGTCTGCCGCCACCAGCCGCAGGATGCTGTTGTAGATTGCTGTGTCCGCGCGGACGCCCGCCTGCACAGCCAGAGGAGGCTGCAGTTCAGAACCAAGCAATTGGATTCTACAGTAAGCGCACCACCCTGGCAAAGTTGGGCGGACCCTTGACCGATAAAAATGCCTAGAAAGCAAGCACGATAGCACGCAGAGCTGTATGAAGGTGAGAGCACAAGTGCAGATGCTTGCACTATCAAAATTCTGACACGCCCAAGTAGCCCAACTGTTAGAATTTCAGTGTTCAGGGATTGGGCTTTAGGTGTGGGTGTAGGGCTATTCCAAGAAGACAAACTCTCAAGATTTTTGTGGAGAAGACGCTGTCACCTTATGCATGGCCAGCACCACTCGGTGCGCGAGCTCCGCGTCACGTGCGCGCTCGGCAGCATGGATGACCTGGTGGCAGGCCTGCGCCGCCGCCCTCGCAGCGTCCCTCCAGACGTCCACCGTTCCCTCCTCCGCGCCGGCGCTCGTCTTCCGCGCATTCCCTTCTACAGGCGCCCTGCCAGATTCTTCTGTCTGCTCGGCTGGCGTCTGCGCTGTCACCGGCCCTGCATATGAAGATGTCTGTCTTGCAAATGCGCCTCAATAACGGCATGCGACCTGGTGAGTTGCTACCGTGCACATATCTCACTCATTTCAGCTTCAAGAGTTGCACTTTCGGGGAGCAGATGCACAGTTTGCTTGCTTACCTTGACTGTCATAAGGAGATGTCCTCTGCGCTGACCCTCTAGCCGAGGGATCTCCATCGCTGCCGTACGCAACAGCATAGAGGCTGAGGAGCTCCTGCAGCGCGGCGGCTGCGGCTTCCAGCCGGCCGCAGGCGCACAGCGCGCAGACCGCGGCTGAGCGCACGGAGATGCTGCCGCGCGTTCCCTCCTCCACCTGCTGCCACAGCGCTTCCACCGCTTCTGCATCCCCTGCCGACCCCTGCACCCAAGAAATCCATTTTACAACCACACACTCTATGATATAGCAGCATAGGAAGAGGGTGGAAGGGCAAAAGATTTTAAATTTCCCTGTTATTCTAATTCTTCAGCAGCTGAACGACCACTGCACCGGGGACAATCATTTTACCACCAGCAACACTGTATGATATAGCAGCATAGGAAGAGGGTGGAAGGGCAATTATAATAATGTTATTCTAGTTCTTCAGCAGCCTGAAAGTGCTGTAGATAAGCTTATAGAGCGCTTTAATATTCGCTTATTATCCTACTTTTCAGCAGTTGAGGGTGACTTAAAAGAAGGCATACAAGGGTGTGGTGATTGGTTACCAGGGAGCGAAAGACATGGACCCACGTCTGAGCATCCCGGGGCACTCCATTCTCCACCATAATTTCCAGGGCCTTGGCGCTGACGGCGGCCTTGCCGTGGTGCTGTGCGGAGCTCAGAATGGTGTTGTACATTATGGTGCTCTGCGAGCTGCTCGGTACCTCTGCTGCAAGATAGGCCAGAGCCGCCTGCAACAGGACATCAGACATATCAATTTCGGTCCAATTTGCTAGAAGTTTCTGATGCGCAACTGAGGCCATGTTCAAGATGTAGATACACTAGTTGCATGCATCCCACTGTTCACATGCCTCCCACAAGGAGGCTGATCACCAGCTGTTGAAGCTGAGGGACACTCACGAGGACACACACTCCTCTAATTCTCTCTTCACTGCTACGTGAGCAAGGACAGCACCCCCGCCTTTGTAGCCGCCACTTCACTGGCTCAACACACACCCAAGGAAATAATACGTTCACTCACCTCGTGGCCGCCGGCCATGCAGAGCGCGCGCAGCACGCAGCCGTGCGCGACGTAGCCCACGGGGATGCCCAGCCCGCGCATGGACTGCGCCACCTGTACCGCCAGCTCAGCCTCCGCCAGCCGCGCGCATGCCTCCAGCAGCTTGTCGCACACGTCCGCTGCCACTATGGGGTTCACCTGCAAGCATGAAGAGGCACCATCACCATCTAGTCGGAGTGATTGGTCAGAGCTTTGTACAGGTGCAGTTTCTCTGCAGAGACAATGAATGCAAGCATACCATTGGCATTAGCATTGACAGGTTCAACAGCAATGTTGAATACGGATAGGATCTCAGACACACTCCGAGGAGTGCTCACAATCGACACTCATCAAAGGATTCAGTCCGCCCGTCGATCAATATGTCATCACAGATCCTTCCTATTTCCGCATTTTGATTGCATGAAACCACTTGCAATTTCATTGGTGTATAAACAACCTGCAAAGAGGAAAATGGCAAGGAGACATTCTTACGTGCAGCAGGAAAGAAGGGTCGAAGAGCTGTGCGGCGGCGGCGTGGTCCCCTCTGCGCATGGCGGCCTTCATCTGCGTGCTGACCTCCCACGCAGTGCTGGCATGCAGGCCCGGCAGCTGCGCGGCAGCCGCTACTGCTGAGTCAGCACCGGCCGACGGCCCCGACAGGCCCCGCTCGGCCAGCCGGCGCCGCAGCCGCTCCACTATCGCGGCCCTCTCCTCAGGCGAGGCCGCGCCGCCCGGGCGCTCGGCTCTGCTGGAGAGCTGCGCCTGCAGCCTAACAAAGTCTGCATGGCTGCACGCAGCAGGCGGGCCGCTCAGCAGGCTCAGTTGCGGAGGCAACGCCCCCTTGCTGCTCAGCACGGCCGCCTGTACGTCGCAGGTGAATAGCCGGCGGCTCTGCACCGCTGCGCCGCGGCCCGCCCCCGGGGCCGGCGCGCCGGAGGGAACTCCGCCCGTCGCCTGCCGTGCCCCTGGCGCCTGTCTTGGCGCAGCATCTCCTGTGCACCATGGGATGGCGGCTGCACGGCAGGTCAGGCCGGGAAAGAGCCCTGAAGCCGCCCAGGAGCCCTCTCGCTTCACAGCTGCATCTGCCGCCTGGGCCAGGCGAGCCTGGGCCGCAGCGACCGGTCCACGGAGCATTTGAATTATTGGAACAAAGGGAGATTCACTCCATGTCCTCCAGGTCAGAGGGGTCTCCCTCCTCCCAGCCGGCGGTCGACTCAACCTCCATCCTGCGCAGTTCCTGCTCTGCTGCCAGCGCCTCCATTGCCTTCTTCTTTGATGCTGCGTCTACGATCTTGATTCCCTGTACAGAATGTTGCTCCCCTCAGCTTGGCTTTCGTACGGCTGCTGCTGGGCGAGCGTTCCATCATTCCCACCAGCCATGGAGCACTCATAAGCTCCCACTGCAGAGGTCAGGCCTCACACAAACAATAACTTGTTCTGCAATGGAAGTGCTCACCTTGACACGTGCTCCCTTCCGGATGCGGATTCCTTTCAGCTTTTTCTTTGGCTTGGCTGGGCTGGCTGTCTGCTTCTTATCCTTCTTTTGCACCTTCAGCTGCTTCTTGACAACATCAAGCTTTTCACCTGCGCAATACAACTGTGATCATTTGGAAAGGTCAAGAAACAGTAGGGTGCAGTAGGGTGAGTGTGTGGGCATTCTGAGGTTCTGAGGTTCTGAGCAGAGCAATGCGCTTTTGCGGAATGCTTCTACATAATGCTACAGGGCGAAACACTTCCAATATGTAGATTCTTATCTGAAGACTCACGCTGCAGATCAAATGCATGCCGGTTCCTCTGAGTGGACTTCTTGTTCTTTTTAGACATCTCGCCTCCTAGGCTCCTGAAAGCACATAGCACGTTCAATTTCAAGAACACCTGAACATCCAAGATATTCTTCACAGATTACCATGATCAATGCAAGGTTGGACAAGTGAAGAACAAGAGGCGACTCACTACAAATTGTCTTTATCTTCTGCAGATAAGTCGACTCGATGGAATTGTAGATCTTTGGCTAATGTTCAACTTGTATATCGTTCGCAGGCAATATCCCAGATCACCGCAGAAGCGGACTTTGTTACATCTGCCTGGCAGAGAGAGGGTGCAGCCGCTGGAGACAAGGAACGCCCGGCAACGGCTGTGGCAAGCATCATTCGTTTTCCAATTTGCTGTTTTCAGTTGCCTTGTCTGGATCGATCATATTGAAGACTTTGCTGATCTATAGCATCTATTGAATTGTTCCCAATTGAACGCTTTGCAGCGCGATTGTCATACTAAGGTTGTGTACTAGGCTTCTGAGTGGGCATTTTCCTCTAGGAAGCGTCACCTGCTATCGTCAAAAGGAGTTCGATTCTACCAAAATTATATCCAAAAGATTGGTTTGGATAGTTAGTACTGTATTCGAGTGGGGGTGCAGCCATGGTCCTGCACAAGGAGCAGGCCCTTGGGGCGCCACCTCCCTGCATTACTGACGGCGATCTCGTCATTGTGTACGAACAATTCGACGCTATGAAGGCAGTGTATGTGGACGCAAAGCAGAACATCCAAAGCCGCTTTGGATGCTTCCCCATGAAGGTCAGCACCTCGTCCCAGTGTGTACAAACTCCCAACAACACAGCTTGCATCGAATGACACATGTGACGTCTGATGCAGGATTGGGTGGGCAAGCCATATGGAAGCCGAGTGTGCGCCAAGGGCAAGAGCCAGGGGTGGGTACACATCCTAGCGCCTACGCCAGAGCTCTGGACGCAGGTGCTCAAGCATCGGACGCAGATCCTCTATGCCGCTGACATAGCCATGATCTGCTCATTCCTGGAGCTGCGGCCCGGCTGCACAGGCAAGGATCTCCTATCCCGAGCCACACAGCTTGGTATGTCATCGGCATGCAGGGACCTGTGAGGCATGCATGAAATAAATCGCCATCCACGATGGCAGTGCATTACTCGGGTTGATATGTGCAGCTTGCTGTTGGTTTCTTGTAGCTATCATGTGTTGGCGCTTGTGCTTTTGCTGCAAGGCAAGCTTGTCAGCATTATGCCCAGCTTGCATTGTCAGGGTGGCAGGATTGGAACCTTTTGCCCCCAGGTTTAGGAAGCTTTGGGCGCCTGTTCTGGCCTCTCATCTGATCTTACAAGTTCAAATTGTGGACTGTGCAGTGCTGGAGAGCGGGACGGGCAGCGGTTCGCTGACGCACTCGCTGGCGCGTGCCGTGGCGCCGAGCGGCCACGTGCACACATTCGATTTTCACCAAAAGCGCGCAGAGGAGGCGGCCGCTGAATTCGCACGCCACGGCCTCGGCCAACTAGTCACCGTCCAGCACCGAAACATCGAGGCGCACGGCTTCCCAGAGGACCTCCATGGCTCGGCCGACGCGCTCTTCCTCGACCTTCCTGGGCCCTGGAATGTGAGAGGCCCCTGCTCTCCTGCATCAAGCAGTCATTGGCAGTATGTGACCTGCCTGCACCATGCAAGACATTGCTGGACAACTTACAGTTGGTCTCAGCTGCTGCTTTGATCAATCCGATCACCAAGCAAGTTCCTGTACAGTGGCACAGTGATCTGACATATAGACAAGACACCGTTGGCCCAACTGAGCCCGGGGCTCAGCGCTCCCTATTTTATGACCTTTCATGACCCTATCTTCAGATCTGACCCGTTCCTTGGCAGTGCACCCCAACTCTGCAACCTGCCAGGCATATTTGGATGAATTCAGGCACTAGGAGATTGACAAGCAGATCATGTATGCGCAGGTGGTCGCATCAGCGGCGGCTTGCCTACGGCCGGACGGGGTGTTCTGCTCCTTCAGCCCCTGCATAGAGCAGGTGCAGCGAACATGCGTGGCGTTATCTGACGGCGGCTTCACAGCGCCGCGCACGATGGAGTGCCTGCTGCGCTCCTACGAGGTGCACAGCCAGCGCATCACCTGCGATCTGGACAAGGCTGACGCCGCAGCCGCGGCCGCCGCAGAGTCCAAGAAGCGCAAGCGCGACGGCGGTGGAGGGCCCGCTGAAGGTGCATTGGCTGCTTTGCAGCCAGCAGCGCTCATTGTGCAGCATTGAGGGTTTTTGCTTCTGTGCATGTCTTTTCCTTACTGGAAGGGGCAAGTTTTCTTTGAATGCAAGTAGGTGAACGCTGATGTGTGAGAACGTGTGGTTGCGTGGAAGTGTCTAGGTGATGTGCATTTTTTGTCTGAGAAAATTGGGCAGTGCTGATTACTGTATAGCTCAGTTTCTGTGGTGGTTGTGCAGGGAGGCAGCGGGGAGGATATGTGAGTGAGGGTGATGGAAAGAGCACTTTCATAGCAGCATATCCAACAGCTGAGACGCGGGGCCACACAGGATATCTCACCTTTGCTCGGAAACTAGTCAGCCCCATTCAGGAAGCTGGCGTGGACGAGGGCTCAGCTGAGGTTGTTGGACCCCCTATAACAGTCACTGTCACCACAGTAGAGGGCACTTGAGCAAGTGATGTATAGCTGGTACTGGATTCAAGCGAGCCACTGAGTGTGGTCAGAGAGTGTTGTGTGGCAGCATCGTATAGTTGTCATCATGCACCAGAACAATAATTGAACTGTTTCTGCTTCGCTCTTGGCTGTTGGAACAAGGGACCTCGGCTGTTGGAATGAGGGTCCCCCTACGATAGGGCTTGACATTTACAGCGCACGGTAATCCAATCACACATTCAGCTCCGCAAAATGGATTTTCATAAAAGCATAGAAGTGCTTTTGCTTCTGCCTTTGTCACTGCCTACTGATGGCTTCTCAGGATAATTGCCGATCAGTGATACTGAGCACACCATCAAGGTCACCATTTCCTAGATTCTGTTTCCAACATTCCCAAACAGTACCTCCTCTTCAGTGGCCCTACAATAGGTGAGGTGAATATGCGTTGCGTCGCAAAATTTGTCATGTTCAATGTGTTCCATTTCCTCTTCTCAAGGTGACTGTGCAATCCCGTTTTGCCCTCTCTCTCAGATCCTCTCAAAAAAGTCTTAACTAGCTTCATTTAGTGCCCTCAAAACACAGCATAATTCTCTGCTCACTTCTGGCCAGTGGCCTTCTTGGCAGCATCTGCCACCTTGTCTGCTGCATCCTTCACACCCTCTTTCACATTGTCTGCTGCGTCCTTCACGCCCTCTGTGAACTTGTTGACCTGCAAATTCACAAATGCTCGTCAATACATACGCACAGGCAGCCTGCATGGGCAGAATGCTGTGTTCACTGCACAATGAGGAAAGTCAGAGTTGCAACATGCAAATATGGGCCTGCCAAAGTGTGCACAAATGAGTGTCTAAGAGTACATCACCTCTTGCTCATCCTTCATCTGCTTTGACTGCTTGCCAAAGCCCTCGCGCGACAGTGTGGTCTTCTCCAAGGGGTTGTTGTTCTTGGGCTCTGCCCAAACGCTGTCGTGGTCCTGCAACGAAGACGGGAATAATATACGTTATCTCAGCGTTTGATGAAGTTGGTTACACAGGAATGTTACAATACTATTCCTATAGCAAAGGGCATGCCGCACTGCACATAACTAGTGAGAGGCCGAGTCACGTCACGCAATTTGCTGCATTACTAGTAAAATTCATAAGAATTTGATATGCGAGACTGCGATGCATCCAAAATGGAGAGTTCAAGCTGCTGTAAAAGTACACCACATCTGCCAACGCGATGATAAGGATGGGCTCGGCTGCGAAAGCGTCCTACGGCCCCTTAAACCAATGCAGACTTGCAAGACAATTAAATCAAGATTAATCACCTTCTTCTCCTTGTTCTTCTTGGTCTTCTCGGGATCGTTGACCTCGCCGATGAAGGGGTTCGCCCGCAGAGGAGCAAGCCTCCTTGGGGCCGGTCGCTGCACGCCCGGACGGGCAACGCTGGGGCGTGTGCTCAGGAGCACCGAGGTCGACATCGCTGAAATGGAAGCCATTTTGATCAGGTTGATTCTCGATCTGGGAAATTATGCTGGCGACGAGGCAGCTGCACAGAACTATTTGAAGGAGCTGGATCTTTTGGGCAGGCCATGATCACCAAGCTTATCTGACGGTCGAGTCGCCCAAGAAATGGCCCAATTCATTTTGAAGGACAATTGTTGTTTATCTACAATTTGCTGTAGCTTGCAGAGGAAGGATTTGGGAGTTCTGCTTTCCTTGCCCACAAGCATCCTGTAAACCGGTCCAAGCAGCAAGCAGGATGCATCCTCCTCCCCAGGGGCCTCAGCCAATCCCTGGCATCCGTGTCCGACCACCCCTGGTGGCTCCGATGCAAGGACAAGTTGTCACGCATTACGAAACATTCACTCCTCAGGTGGGTAGACTTCCTTTCTTGCTGCAATATGGTGGATTTCCGATAGAAAAGGTCGCAAGCCCAGCGCGCTTCTAATATATATGATACTTTTCAAAAAAATGCAATCTCAGCAACTGCGGTCAAGTTCCCACGCAGTTTGTCAGTCGGAGATTGATGCCAGCTAAGCATGATCGTGACGCTCACCTGAGGTGAAGCTCTTGGGTGCCCACAGTCAGGATGTTGCAAGTGCGAAGGGATGACGCAAACGGGTTACATTTCCGTTATCCTTCTCGTCCTGTTTTTCTGGCCGCTGGCATTCCTCCCCTGCGTGATGCAGGAGTGTTTCGAGGTGAGCCCTGCAGGCTCTGACGACACCTGTGCAATGATCTATGGCCTTTCAAATTGAAGCTGTACCCATCTTTTCTAAATATTTGAACCTGCAATTGTTGGTTGCCTTATTAGAACTGTCCTGGTATTGAGACCTTGTGCAACTTTTGCAGCCCCAGCAGCGCCCAGTCTTCGGCTATGGTCCAGGCCAGAACCCCATCCCAGTGGCTGAGCCCGTCCAAGGACAGCCAGTGTACACCAAGGCCACCGAACCCCCCGTTTGATTGGTTTTAAATAGTCAGCGCCAAGGGGACGGGACTTCTGGGGTTTTATTGTGCTTGGAGGGTTACAAGGAGCTGCATGCTGCGTGGAAGGATGCAACACTCGGTCGCATGCAAATGTGCCGCAGCTGTTGTTGTGCGAGCATGATTGACCAGCGCTCTTGCTCGGTAAGGAAGTGAGGTAGCGTTGCTTTGTTGTATGCTGGGAGTACTGACCATCTCGTTTTGACAGCTGATAAGAAAGGCAAAAGGTGTCTGTGCGCATCTTTGACAACGAACGCCACGGTGATGGATGTAATGCACAAAAGAACGCCATCCTGTTGTCGTGCTTTCTGTACTGCTTTTCACTTCCATAGCAGTACTGTCTGAGACTGCCTCCTGTTTATGATCGGTCAGCCTGCAGCCCTGTTGCTTAGGAGTACAGAGAAGAGTGCAGAGCTGACCTTCTTGCCGAATACTCCACAGTGACAGATCGCGCATATTCTGGCATTCGGAGACGTGTCGGGACCAGAAGGAGCACTTCGATTTGTTCTTACAATTGCCACACGCATATTCTGAAATACCCTTACTGAATAGCCATGTAAGGCATCCTTCTCAATTGGATTGCACTTACAAATTTTCCATTGCACAATGTCTGCAGCTTTGCATGCATTCCACTTGTGTGGCACCGCATGCCATGCATGCAGTCCACAATGTGCTCAGCGCTGTCTGTTGTAACAAAATTCCTTGATATCAATTCATAACGGCAGTGCATGACAGAGTGGATCATGAATGGCGTTCCCACTGCTGAGAGACTGCAATCTTCAGGCCACACACCTAGATGGAATGTAGAGTGAACTCATCATGGTGCCTGCAAGGATCGCAGGCATCTTGTATTCAGCGCCCAATGTTGAGAGCTTGACAGCAGGCTGTCCCTTGTTTGCTCCTAATATTTTCTGTGATCCACCCTGAGCTGGTGCACAATTGCTGTGTGGCTAAAATTGAAACCTTGAAACGCTTCTGGCCTTGAATGGTAGGAGAAGCATGTCATACAGATATCAACACTGAAACGCTGGGTGCGTTCAGCGAGGATCTGCTCGCTGCAGTGATCTCTCCGACCTCTGATATTGCCCCATTTCTGCATTTTAATAATTAATCTCCCATCAGCGCAAAACTTTGTCCCAAGCTGCAACCACCTCTGGACTCCCATACCACGGCAGGCCATAAAATGGAAAGATGTTCATGTGCCGCACATCTGGAAGTATGATGACTCCTGCAGCTCCTGGCAGTATAGCCAAGCATGTTGGCGCCACACCATCTCCAACTGCTCCGCTCTGTCTGAGAGACACCTGCGCAACAGCCAAGGTAAAGGTTCTCGAGGGTGCTTAGCCACGCTCCCGTCATCTCTCCTCTGAAGCTACCTCATGGGTGCTCTGCCTCTGAAACTCGCTTACAGAACTGCAGTTGGCGCTGCAAGCATGTCAACCCTCCAAAGCAGATGCCGTGCAATGTGGGAACCCAGAGTTTGGTGATGAACGGGTGATTTACCTTGTAAGAGACTGCCGAGTACACTGCATATATCCAGTCTCTCATCTGCTCCACTCCCCAGCCTTTCAAGTGGCTCCCCTGCAGGCAGCAACCTTGACTGCTGATAAGTGCTGGAACACAGACCTGTCGAGAGCGCAGATGACTGTAGAACTCTATGAACAGAATTGCTGGACAGTGAAGTGATCTGCACTTGCATGCCGTCATGAGCATCGCAAACCCTAAGAGGGGAAAGACCTGGCAGCATCCGGCCACGCAGGTGATGCGCGTGCCAGGAAGCTGGGTAGCGTCACGGTAGTAATAATTAGTAAACGCCAAGCTGTTTGTCCTGATCAGGTGCGCCTCCTGGGATGGCAGATCTGGAGGCAAAGGCACCTCGTTGGAACGTTGCTCCTGTTACAAAAGCTTGCAACAGTCAACACAGCCCCAGAAATTGTGCTCCCCACCTATCACCTGAATGGATGATGCTGAGTTTATTAGAGACTTGAAGGGAAAGTAAGCACTGAAACATTAGTGCAGCCGTGCTCGTCTGATTGCTCAAGTTACCTTCAAGCTGAAAAGAAATTTGAAGGGATACTTCTCTGCAGAAGTGAAGCCGGTGCCCAAAGTCACCAGCAATTCTGCCTTTGTGGCTCCATTGTATATTACACCTGCACATAGCACGTCTGGGATTTGAGCTTATTTAACTGCACTTTTGACAGGCAGAGCAGAAGCAAGAAATCTTTGCACGTCCGAAATCTCGCAGGATGGAATTCACACCATCTCACGCTGGAGATGGTTGCTAGTGCTCAAGGCATGACTCGCAAGCTGATCCAGGGAGATCCACAGCTTACCATCATAAGGCTGACTTCCGAGCAGGATTAAAGCAAGAACTCCTCCCTGGGAGTGTGCTACTAAAGAGACCAAGCCATGCCTTTCAAAGAGCCTGTCCAGCTGAGTGAGCACACGAGACAGATACCAGGCAAAAGATTGGCCGGCAAACACGTTTGGCAGCCACTCGTGCGTGCTCACTGGAACCACCGTCACTGCAAGAACACAGATTGCCTCCTTAATGACTCTGGCATACATGCATCCCTAAGATGGATAGGATTGTACATGCCTGTGAGACAAGTGCACGTGCGCTAGATTTCACCAGCGTGAGGGTCACTGTGTCAGACCTTCCGGGTGGCCTTGACTGCGCAGAGCTGTTGCCATATCGCTGTAGAGACCAGACCAGCCTCCAAAGCCGGGAACGATCAAGACAGCGCTCCGCTGATTGTCTCCTGAGGGTGCAAATGGCTCAGCTGCAACACGAGTTCCAGCAGGATGTGCACTTTCACGTCTGTCGTTTGTGCAGAAGGGGCACCCCAGACAAGGACACACCTGAATGGACAATAGGCGCCGTATTTGGTTTGTCATCTAGACAGCGGTCGGCCCCATAGCCCTGCAGCTACTAATCTGTCGATCAATCGCAATGGTCAATTTGATAGTCCTGTGTCAGTGGGTTCATCAGGCCAGAAAAAACTGCAGAGGCGACGGAGGGCTGTGCTCACCTGTTCACCTCTAGACAATGTTTCTGCAGTTTCCAAAAGGAAGTAGAGTCAACGCAAACGCGAAGCAAAGTGGTCAAGTGGTGCGAAATATGAGAAACGTCACGTCCATCGTGGGTCACACAAACAGGCGACACCTGATGCGTAGAAGGTGTTGGGGCACTTCTTTATCTTCCTAAACCCTTTTTTAAACGCGAAAAGATTGCTGGTTGTCCACGACAGTGATGCTGGCAGCAATCCACTGAGAAAATTTGGCTTCATGGCTTCTTGACGAGGAAGCAGTCAGTTTTGAATCAACCCTCAATTCCTGCTTAAGCATTTCAGATATTGTACATGATTGCGTAAGAGACTTGAGCCAGACTCAACGGAGACAACTGCCGCAAAGTTGTGTGGGTTTGTCAATGTTGCATCTCCAAGGACTAATACTGCAATATTCTGCAAATTGCCTAAAAGCATTGGGGCTAATTCATTGAGGTGTGGCCCATGTGCGTACACTCTACTTGCTGCTATGCTTGAAAGTCCGGGCGAAGAGCTGCTTCCAACCTGATCGAGAATCCAACAGGATGTTGAGTCAGGTTGAGCGGAAGCTTCCATGGCCTTATCGTACTAATATTCGAAGGCTAGGTTCTAAATCTTCGTCCTAGGTCTCAATTTCCCCGAACAGACGAACCCTTTCAGCATTTTTTGATTCAAGAGCTGCAGTCATTCGCAAAGTGTGCAGCATGATTAAGAAGACGCTTGTTATCGGCGTGGAGAACACCAAGGTGAGGACTCTACGCTGATGTCGCCTTTGCGCAACACCGAAGCTTGTTGCAGCGAGAGAGCTGCCGAGAGTGTACGCCTTCTACAAAGTTTCAGTCATCGACTGTCGGCACGGCTTTGCCTCATTCCTTTGCGCTTCGGATTGCAGGAGTGTCTCAAAGCCGTGGACTTCGCGATCGAGCACTTCCCCACCGGTAAACGTCCTTTATATCACACCATGTTTTTGCCGTTTCAAGTGTCATCGAGCAAGCAAACTGCGATGACTTCATACCTCAAAGTGCAACACCAGGCCGGCCCTGCGCAACACTCAAACAGTTGTCCAAGGTTCTTCTGCTGTGTCAGCAGGATACGTGTACCATGTGCTGCACGTTCAGTCGCGCCCTCTCGCAACCTCCATCGTCGCGAGCGCTGCCGCGGCTGAGTTTGCCTACGAGAACACTGAAGCCATCGGGAAAGAGATGGTACACCTTGAATGTCCTGGTGTCCTGCAACAACAAATATTTTCAACAATTATCTTGCCTGTGCTACATGGCGTCCCTTTCATGATGTGCCCCTAAATGCTCAGTTCTAATTGCAGCTTCCTTTGTATTCTATAAACAGAAATGCGTGCAACAGCTGATGCGATTGCCGTTGCTGTGAGATGCAGGTCGCTGCCTCAGGGCACTTCATGCACGAAGTCTTCGCACCAAGGGCACAGAGTGCAGGAGCTGAGGTCCTCGCAGTGGTGGAGACTTCCAATGGCAACAGCGGTGCTGTCATCTGTGAGTTGATCTGGATTACTAATCTGAAGCCTCCACAGTGCGATGCCAGGTGCATGCTCATTAAATATAAAAATTTGCTCAGTAAACATGCGTGACTTCACTTTTCTTCAAAAGCAATTGCAAAGTGTACTTCCAAATGTGCAATTTGTGATGTCATGAAACACTATCTTACAATCTGCAGTCTGAGCACTCGCATGGCGTTGCACCATAATAGTTTGATACATGCAGCCCTGTTCAGACTTGCATGTACCCAACAAGCCTAGACTCGATATCGCTCATGATCATTCATTTACACTGCCAGTGACATCACATCATCATCATCAGCTCTAAGAATAGCATGATAATGATGATGGTTCGGAAGGCTTTTTCCCTGCTTGTCAGTCAGGCCTGAGGATGACATGTGAAAGCGGGGATTTTGTTGTCGCTGGCACCAGCATCCACTTATATTGATATGAGATGGTGCATGCGCATGCTTTCCACCCACTACAACAGAGTCTGTGAGTCTTATGATAATGGCGTGCATGCTGCACTTTGGCAGACCGTATTGCCTGACAAAGAACAATATAGCATTCATATTGGTGGCAAAAGGTAGGCTTTATCTAATCAACATCTGATGATGATGACTCATCAAACTAAATAAGCATCAAATCTTCGCCTCTGGTGGATTCGCAACTTTATCGACAGGCAGTTCATTGGACTAGTCTTGAGTGCAGACGGCCATCCATCGAGCACAGTAGTGGGTCTTGCAAATGGCTGTCAATTGATCATGCAAAGTACTCGCCCGGTCCAGGGGTGTCGCTGAAGTTGCTGGTGGCTCCCTTGGCGGTACCAAAGCCCCAGGCAGGCATGCTTCTGTGGGTGGACAGCTGCTGTCGCCCAATGCCTCTGGACGGCGCGGCCGTGCCGGGCCCGGGGGAACCCACCCCGTAGTTGCTCTTCTCGTGATCCGGGGAGATGTACATCTGGCGCAGGGGCAAGCAGTCGATGTTTAGCCCTCACATTCACTTGCAGACCATAGTCGCTCTTCTCATGGTGAAAGAGATGTACACTTTGCACAAGGGCAAGCGGTCGACATTCACAACCAGTCCTCACACCAAAACACAGACGTGCACAGTCTCTGCCGCAAAAGTGCAAAAGATTAGATGCCTCAGCAGGCACTCTGCATGGCACACTGTCTGGCACTGCCAGACTGGCAGACACAATACTGCTGCTCAATCCAGAGGAGCAGTTCATTCAACTGACTATTGCGATAAAGGATAATACATATCGGCATGACACTGCTTTTGCCCTCAGGATCCAGGCTGTGAAAGCAGCTGCAGCGCAAGGGGATCTGGTGAGTTAGAAGTGTTCAGGGCAAGCGGGCTGGAGTTGTGCACACCTTTTTGCTGGCGTCCCGCTGTGCCTTGGGGAAGCCAACGATGGGCTTGTTGGGTCTGGTGGATACTGGCTGGGGGCGGCCGACCGAGACGGGCAAAGAATAGTGCCCGGGGCCGGGCAGCCCGGCCGCCGCCTTGGCGGCCGGGTCGCTGAAGCGCGGCCCACCCTTCAGCGTCAGAGGGGAAGAGCCCTTTTTCAGGAGGCTGCTGCCCACGTTGTAGGCAGACGGCCCTGCAGGCAGCACGAACAAAATAATACTGGGTGCATAATGCACTATACATGTTCTATAGACGAAAATGCTGCCTCTCAAGGGAGTCTATTCATGTGTCAGAGGGGAGGACCCCCTTTTGAAAAGGCTGCTGCCCGCATTGTAGGCAAATGGCCGCAAGTAAGAAACACAAAATTCTTGGCTGCATACGCATCTGGGACTGGATGCTGCTACGGGAGAGTCCAGACTTATCCTTCTCTTTTGCTCTGACATGATGAGTCTTTAAGATACCCAAGCATGAAGCCCGCAATATGGGGCAAGGTGGCGCAGGAGTGTCGCTGCTAGATGAACTACTTTGCAACACATGATCCTGGCATGAAAACAGCAGAGGGCAGGGTGCATAAGTGGGATGTTGCAGATTTTCTTGCTGCTCACCAGGGGACTCCTTCCCAAAACCGCTCTTCTCATGCTCCAGGGAGATGAAGATCTTCTCTGCTGCATCCCTCTGAGCCCCTGGGAAATGCACGACCGCCGCGCTGGCCTTGGTCGACTCATACTGGCTGCCTGCGCCCATGCATAATGGCTGTCTCAAGCAACAAGCATGCACCATTCGTGCACCAGCGCAGCTCCAGGCATGCAATGATCGATCAGCACCTTTTGTTGTGCAGTCACACTTATGATAACATTGAAGTGTTACCTAGCGCTGGCTTGAGCTTGTAGGCTCCAGGGCCGGGGGCTGCGGCCTTCTGTGCCATGCTGGGTCTCTTGGCAGACCCAAAGCCAAGGTTGGGCGCAGTAGTCATTGTTGACAGACACTGCTTTCCAAGGGCAGCCTGCATTCTCACATGCTTGCTTGCTGTGTCTGTGGTGAGAATTTAATAAGTGGTGACACGTTTAGAATGATTCGTGGCCTACGCACATCTATGTTGGCATGAGCTATTTGTGTGAGGAGTGGGTGATTTTAAGGCGCACCGGTACTTTGTAGATGGGACCCTGGGAATTATTGCCTCCCTGGGATTTGCACAGGGCCCTGTCCGCCTCTGGAGATATGTAAGTCTGCGCACAGCAGTGCTACCTCACGGCTTCACGAGAGCAGTGTGTCCACTGAGAAACAAGGTGTTAAGTGACAAATTGGCAACCTGCAAGCTCACCTTGGAACCTGCTTCTCGGATTGAGCTGCCAAAGCCGCAGGCTGGAGCTGTGTGCAGAGACGCCAGGCACTGCATCCCAAACGCGCTCCTTAAGCTCTTTGCCTTCCAGACATCTTTGCTCCTGTACTGTGAGTGGCCCACAGCCATCACCTCTCGTCAGGAGGTCTGTCCGTAGGAGATAGATAAATCTGCGAGTTCATCAAGCCGGATTGTGATGCGAAGTACACCTTCAGTCATTCCATGTCATGTGCCCTCTTTTTCTGTCACTTCCATACAGGCATCGGAGAAGCTTACTGGTAATTTTGACGGCGGAGTGTGCTGCAAATCCACAGCGTCTGACCCGTACTCAGGCTAACTGTTGTATTCCTGACGTCGTTTCATGAGTGAACATGGAGCAGAGTCTTCCTGTGCTGGATCGTCCTCGTAGCACACCCTGTAACCTGCATAATTAATTATAAATCTTTGAGTGAAGACGTGTATACGGAGTTGCTGCTGCGCATAGACATCAGGATTTGCTCGTAACATGGAGTGCCAGAAATAGAAGCCCTAAAATTCTTCCCCCTGCTTGACCCTTGAGATGTCGTACTTCAAACCGTTGTACAACAGCTTCCCACCAAAGAAGCATGCAACAGAGATATCCAGAAAATCACACCGGCTCAACGTCTAGGAGGAAGACGTCTTGCATTGTACAGCAAGAAGCCTGATTTCAATATGTGCAAGGAAACTCCACATGGTCAGGGATCTTCATATTCCAAGAAGTTGTCAGATTCAGGGGTGATGTGAAGGCTGGTGATTCATGAATACCGGACATTTACCTGGTCAAGGGGTCGCAAGCCGCACTTCGACGCCCAAAAAGAGCGGAGATGACACCAAACAACCTGGCATTGGACGTGGCCAGATTGTTGTAACAGGACCTGGCCTGGTCCTATGTGCACCTAGAGCATCCACCAGCTTCAATGTCAGCAGCACAGACGGAAGAAAACTCAAGGCATGCAACAGGATCAACCTGAGGAAAGGATTGCACGAAGAACAATCTTTAAAATAAATATTCTTGGAGTAAAGCCGCTTCATTACCTGATTTGATTCCGAATGATTGAAAACCTCCTGCAGGCAGCCGACCTGAAGATTACAATAAAGGGGAGCGCAGCAGTCAAGCACGAAGTCAAGGAGCGCCAGGATGGGTCCCTGGACATCTCCTATGCAGCTCCCATGTCTGGCGAGTACAGGATCACGATGGCCTTGGGCAGCTTCCCAGTGCCAGGATCTCCCTTCAGAGTCCCCTGCCAGCAGCCCAGGCCCTGCGAAGTGCTCAGCAGGGTGCATTATGGGAGCGGGCAGGCTTTCTCTGGCGAGCGCTACTCCACCAGAGTCACTGTGCTGGACCAGTTTAGCCAAAGAGTGGCTGGGGACCCCAGGTGTGCAGTGATCCTGACCCAATTGAATGCTCAGTCCCACAGTCACAGATGCACGATTTGATTTGAGGTATGATTATCCCTGGGAGGTACTCCTTCTCTGAGGGGGACAAATGCCTGCCGCTTGGCTCTGTTCTGGACATGCAGGCGAGTAAATATCTCCACACTCACTACAAGCACGCAGCAATCAACTTGAAAATATCAAACTTTGTACCAGCTGAGCTGAAATGTTTCAAGTGCCTTGCAACCTAATGCATGCATGCACCGTGCATCAGGCTGACAGCAAACGTGATGGACGGAGAGACAGTGCTCTTCGCCGCGGACGTGACACCGACAGACAGCGTTGGGGACTGGATGGTCTCGTTCACCCCCACCATCTCTGGCACCTACCAGCTGGTTCTGGCGTTTGAGGGGAACCGGGCGCTGACTGGCACCCCGCACAGAGTGCGCGTGAAGACCGATGAGACAGTGGCGGGGAATTGCAAGCTGTACGGAGCCGGCCTGACCAGGGCCATCGCTGGGGAGCGCACCTCTTTCAGCATCAAAGGTGAATCACAGCCGGCAAATGCTGAGCCTCTAGGGCTTCCAGAAAATGTCAGATCCGTACTGGACAAATTGGATCCATCTCCAGGACTTGCCTGTCCTGGGAGGGCTGGATCGGGTTGTTTGCTGAGTCAAGTGTCAGCCTGCAAAGTAGCGGATTGCTGAGGGATCAGCTGCAGCGCTCATTTCAAGACAATGCATTATCTTGAAGAATCACTCACTACAGAGGTTGAGGCATCAGTTGCATGCAAGGCATGGGGTGAACAGATTGCATGCTGTCTCTGCAGCGGTGGATGGCAAGAATAACGCCAGGCTGGTCGGTGGCGACGAATTCCAGGTGGAGATCGTGGGGCCGGGCAACGCCTCTGCCAAGCCAGACATCGTGGACAACAATGACGGGTGAGGCCCTGCCTACTGCCCCACTGCTCCATTTCGATTTGCCCGTGCACTGTTCGGTGCTCTGAAACTCTTGCCCGCATCATATTCAATTCCTCTCGATTTTCAATCTGCTGAGCTGCTGTGCAACAATATCATCATCAAGTGCTCCTTGTTCAAATCCCGGATGAGGAATCAGTGCTTGATGCGCTACAGCGAAAATCACAGGCTATTCCTGAGCGAAGTGCCCACCAGGAGGATCCATATCTAGCCTAAGTAGTGACCACTTTGATATTGATATAGGTCCACCTGTGCCCGATTTGATTACAGGGAATCTTACTGCATTGTGTGGATGCCTGCAGGACGTACACAGTGCACTGGGTGACGGAGAGGGCAGGGGACTATCTGATCACCGGTTGGCTGGAGGGAGCCACCGTCGGCGGTTGCGCTAAGGCTTGTGCGGTGCAGCCGGCCGAGCTGGACGCCTCTCGCTGCTCCTGCGCCGGTGAGGGCCTCGGCCGAGCCGTCGCCGGCATCCCCGCTACCTTCACCGTCACTGCCTGTGACAGGTGCGCCCCCCCCTGAGTGTGGCCACGGAGATGTGGGACAGTGCATTGATCAGCATGTGCAACTCCAAGCTAGGGGACCACTCTTTCATCGTGCAATTGCTCCCTTGCTTTAAAACTTCAATGGTATTTGTTGAAATGTCGAAAGACCCAGTGCATCTTGGAGAAGTGGCGTTTGTAATGACCCTAGTTGGTTGCATGAAACAGAAAATCGCAATTGGATCGTTGACTAACAGGTCTTGTGCGAGGCAGGTTTGGGAACAAGCAGACGGCGGGCGGCGATGACATCAGTGTGCGCGTAATGTGCATCGGCGGCGGCCGCTCCGGCAGCGTTGCCGGAAAGGTCGAGGACGCAGGCCGCGCCCTTTACAAGGTACTTAATCAAGAATTCAATTTGGAGAGGGTCTGAAGGGTCCTCTTTTACCTGGAAAGCATTTTTATTGTTGCAAGGCAAGCTCCAAATGATGAAATAGGCTCTGCATCACACCTTCATGGGCCGCAACCATCTTGATCACATACACCCTCAGGACCCTTGCTCTTCGTGCCATAAAGCTTGGTCTGCTGCTGCAACTGACCCAAGATTGCATAGCACCACAAGGGGATATAATTCAGGGCACTGACATGCCTCAATCTGACAGGTGGCATATACCGTAAGTACCGCAGGACAGCATGAGGTGGCGGTGCTGGCTGGCGGCCGGCCCGTACCGGGCAGCCCGTTCCGGGCCGAGGTCGCCCCCGGGCAGGTGTCCGCGGGCGCCTGCAGGCGAGCTTTCCTTCCTGCTTCCCGCCGGATATCCATCGATTGGATTCTTAAATTCCCCCAAAATGATCAAACTCCGTGCATTCCTTTAAAATGCCACCCGGCCTGATGAGGCACTGGTAGTGGTTTTGATGCGCAAGGAGCTCTTTTTGGCAGAGTCAATCATTCTTGGCGCGCGCAGGCTGTTTGGGCCGGGGCTGTCGGCCATCCAGCTTGGCCGCGACATGCGCATCTTCGTGGCGCTGGCCGATGCATTCGGCAACGCCATCACCGAGGCTGGCAGCATTGAGCCCGCCAATGTCAAGGTGCTTAGCTCCTTCCCCCTCACCTCACATAATACCTTGCTGGACTCTCATGGGACAGGGTAGCGCCTGAAAGCTCTTGCTCTTCACTCCAGACAAACCTTATTTTCTGTTGCCTGCTGGCTGGCTTGCATTGATCACCACATCCAGGAAATCTGCAAGTCAAGAGGCTGCATGGAACATTATGGCAAGGGCCTCAGAGCACATTTGCATGCCAACAGCTTGTCAGCAGCTTGCCAGAAGCTTTTGAGCACTTCATGGTTGCTCCCAGGTGTACTAAACAAGCAGTGGGACTGTGCAGGGGCTGGCGGTGACGATGTAATTCAGATAGAACTGATGCCCCGTGCATTCTCCAGGTGGCGCTTGAGGGGCCAGCAGAAACCCATGTGCGGAGGGGCCCGGTGGAGTCAGACGGCAGCCATGCATTCTCCTACAGCACAAAGACCCCCGGGGATTACGTCATCGCCGCCACGGTGGCCGGCGCTCACATGCAGGTAATTTTGTTCCTGCCCATGTCCTGTCTGTCTGAACAATCCAATGTCTGGAGTGCCCCTTACCTGAGCCAGGCCTGATTTCAGCACAATCCTGTACATGCTGTAATTGGATGCCCCACCTACAGCCCTTGGTCCGCTCTGGGTACTAAACGGTTACTAGCGAGGTTAGTGACGACTCATTACAGATGACCATACAAAAATTTCACATGCAGGGAAGCCCGGCCCCCGTCACAGCCTCCATCGCCGAAGCGCACGCACCGCTCTGTGAAGTTGTGGGGACGCCGCTGCACCTCTCCACCGTGGCAGGTATGGGACCATCACTGCTTGCGTACCCGTCATGATATTATTGAGCTCGATGCTCCAGCCAGCTCACTTATTCTATTCCTGATGGTCGCGTGGTGCGCGCACGCCGCTTAATTCCATTCCTGTTTGCCATTTTCGAGCGGTCTCGCAGCAACACATTGGCAAAGTCTGCGATCTAATAGCTATACTTGTTGGGAGCAAAAGCACCAGACTCCCAGCCAAGGGTTTCAGACACCTAGATCAATCTGCGGCACCTAGACAAGGAAATGAGCACGATTTCAATGCTGTGGACATGTGGCCAAGAGGGCTGGTGATTGCGGTGCAGGTCAGAGCGCGGATGTGACATTTGTGGCGAAGGATGCCAAGGGGTTCCAGAAGTCTCTGGGCGGCGATGTGTTCACCGTCTCCTGGCAGCGCCTGGGCCAAGATGATGAGCCTGCCACCACCGGTACAATGCCCTCAATTGCATAATCCGTCGTCCGTTGGGGGTATTAATATAAAGTATACTATTTGCAGCGATCCAGCTCCCACCTGCCTGATGTATGTTTCCCGGTGATCCTTTTCTTCGATCTATTGGCCTCCTTAATCTGCAGGGTCATGGGCTTTGCATGAGCATGGTTGCGAGCAAGTGGGCCCTCCTCTCTGCGGGCTATGTCCTCGAAGATCTGATTCTCTCTGCAACAGATCACTTGTGCAAGTTGAGGCTCTGGCAGCACCAGCACAATTTCCAACGTCACGTGTTCCATCGGACATGTGTCCCTGATGCTTGTGTTGTGAGAATATGGCTGTGCGCGCATGATTGCATGCAAATATTATTTTTTGTCCAGGGGTGAATGCAGTACTTGTCTGCAGACGCTAGTCTGCTTACCTGCAGCTTGGCTCAAACAAATGAGCATGAGCATGTGATAATATTGCACTAATACTGATAGTGAGACTGGGGTTCTGTGCGCGGGCAGGCAAGGTGGAGGATCTGGGCACCGGGGAGTACCGAGCGCGGTTTGCGGCCATGGCGGCCGGCACGCATTCGGTGTGGGTGCAGCACAAGGGGCACAACATCGCCGGCAGCCCCTTTACCGCGGAGGTCGAGCACGCCGCCATCGCCGCGGACTGCAGCTACGTTGTGCAAGAGGGGCTCGAACGCGGCGTCAGCGGCGCGCAGGTCCGTTACTTCGTGCTGTATCACTTGAGGGTGGCTTGAATGCTCTCAAAAAAAAATGTCTTGCAAGGGAAAGCCAATCTAGGAACTCAAAAGGGCTGGGTGCCCCGCAGAGTGCGCATGCCTTCCTTCATACTGTGTAATGGGGTGCCCCACTGAGAGGTCAGATCAGGCCTTGTCTAGGGCCATACAATCATCCAGCCTCTGTACAATGGGTGATCGCTACTGGGATACCCATGCCTCCTGGTCAGATAGGTATGCTCTTTGCTGTGACATGAGAGTAAGTGCTGGATGACAATTAGGGCCGCTTGTGTGCGCAGGTGTGCTTCCGGGTGCGCGCGATGGACAAGTACCTGAATCTGGTGCGGCTGCCGCTGAATGACTCGGAGGCGGTCGGGCCCAAGGGATTCCAGGCCATGCTGCTCGGCCCAGGCAACAATGAACAGGTGCAGCCGTCATTTCAAGGGATTTGTGTGCATGGGCAGAGGCAGAGTTCTTGCCCACCTGCATGAAATTCGTTGCTTGCCCTGATTGAGCAGCACCATTTTGGGTTTGTATTCTTCGAAAGATTAGAAATAATGTTGAGGAAAGGTGGTGCGCATGAGGTCTGAGGTCCCAGGCAAAGATTTGAGATTCTTGATTTTGGTCTTAAGTCGTGCCTGACCCACGAGTAGCCGTCTGCCTGCATGATATTACCCTGCTCTTGCTCCTCAGAATATGGAGCAGGAGGGACAGTGCTCTGTACAAGGTGCGGGAGTTCTGAGACCTTTGAGATGGGGTGCGCGCAGAGTTTGGAGCTGGTGCCCAACCGAGCGAGCAGCGGCGGCTGCGAGCTGTCCGGCAGTTTTGTGCCCCGGGGTGCCGGCCTGGCCGCGCTGGCCGTCACCTACCAGGGCCACCACATCAAGGGCTCCCCCTGGCAGGTGTGTATCATCTCAAGACACCATACGCATGCACAAAGCTTCCTGCATTGCAGCAATGCCTTACACACCCTCTTACACTATAATCAACGCTCACAGGACAATGCGCGTTCCACCAGGGCGCTGGCGGAGACTTTCTCACCTTATTACATTGTTTGTTTGCTGTGTTGCACTTGCCCAGATGTTTAGGATGATACTCCCTATTGAGAAACTCTCGCGTCTCTATTGACATGAGACCATGGCCTTGGCAGCAATGCAGCCCTTGCCTTTCCTCGTTACCTCGGCGCACCTCGTCGCCTCGTTGTGCTAGAGCGCCTGTAGGCAGTCTTTCACGAGCATCCTATAATATGGCTGGCATATGACCGCGCCAGGTCACCATCACGTGCGCCCTTGCGTGGGCAAGGAAGTTGGCGCTCAAGCCCTGCTCACGCCTTGTTCTTTTCCAACAAGCCTATCAGGGATTTTCACCCATGTCCAGTACAGCAGCATTTTGGGAATTTGGGTTTGGTTCCCACCAGACGTCACAGTCACTTTGGTCTGTGCATTGTTGTCAATGCTAACTTAGCTTTTGCGTGCCTGCGGCAGGTGACGATAACTTGCGGCCCGGCGTGCGCGAGGAAGTCGGCGTTGGTGGGCATGCCGCAGCACCTGGTGGCAGGCGTTCCCCGTGCGCTGACTGTGTACGCGCGCGACGCCAGCGGCTGCCCGACCGAGGGCCGCGACACAGTCAGCATCACTGTCGACAGCGTGTCCGAGGGCGTGCGTGTCCTGAGCATCAAGGTGCAAAATTCGCCAGTTCCTGCTGCTAGCCGCCATTGGCCCCTTGCCCCAATATGTACTTGCCATGCCATCTGAAAGGAAACGAGTGTGGGAGGTGGTCAATTCTTGCACTATATCTGAGGACGTTCCATCCCTTGCCGGAAGATGTCTGCATGCAAGCTTTTCAGCTGCATGCATCCAGTAATTCTGTTTGGCCTGGGGTTGAAGGCAGCATCAAGATGGGCCCGTGCGCGCCCTCAGCATCAGGGTGGGCCCTGCCTTTGACTGCTGCGCGCAGCCATTATTTTCCCCTCTTATTGCCTGAAAAGGGTGACTCTCCACAGCACGTTGCCACTCTGCAGGAAATGTGCCTTGCATTCCATTCTCACTGTTCTTAAGTCCTCGTATGCGCTGGCGTGGCAACATCGCTTGCGTCAATCACGTGAAGCAAAGTCGTGTCACCTTGATCCGGTGTCTCTCCAGAAAACTTGGCCACTTGGCTAGGAAAATTGCGAACTGCTGTGTTTAGGACGCTGTTTGTTCTCGAATGTGCTGGACAAGGAATAACAGCAAACACTGCAGGGGCAGCAAATGCATGCAAGCTTTACACTGGCATGCTTGCTTTCTTTTCTAACTTCTGATCGCTGCCACGCTATTCTTGGGTGGCGGGCTGGCTATGAGAGGGCTTCTCTGACTACTTGACAGTAGCCTGTGTTTTAACTTGGAATTGTCTGGAGTAATGAGGGAGAAGCTGCTTCTGACTGGTGCAGGACTGTCGGGACGGCACATACACAGCGCCCATCAGGCTTGAGAAAATCGGGCTGGTCAGCATATCCGCCCAGATCAGCGGCCAGCCGCTCGGCCTGCCCGTCACCCTCAGGGTGCTCGCTGCAGAGCTGCACAGCCTCGAGCTCATCTCGCCACAAAACCCCCAGGTCATTGCAGGTTGTTTTTCTTTTTCTCACTGTTGTTTTGTTTGTTTTTCTCACCCAGGTGTTGCATGGAATTTAATGCCCATTAACCTACCGCACGCTGTTTATTTCATGCGGATTTATTGAGCAGAATGGGGTTTCACCCCTTTCTTCGGCACCATAGTGCAATCACGTGCACCTTTAGTGGATCAATGAGTCGCTGGGGCACTCAACAGTGTGATCTCCAGGTGCAAATGGTTCGAGAACCCATTTATGAGGGTGATGGCAGGCCTTGTGGGTTTGCATACCCAACATCTGTCATTGAAATGTCAAATCTGAGCGCTGCTGTTCGCTCTGAATTGGCACCACACATGTGCAACACAGATGCACGGCATTGACTGCATTACAAATAGTAATCCAGAACTCACCTCTGAATTGAATTATTTTGAATTGCAGGTGAGCCAGCATTTGTGGCAGTGAGGGGCCGGGACGCATTCATGAACCCGATCCAGAGCGGCGGCGCAAGATTAAGTGCGCAGCTGCGCAGGTTCTGCAGCGCTGAGGTGGCAAAGGCTGACGTGGCAGCTGCTGAGATCAGGGACCGCGGCGATGGCATCTATGAGATCGACTGCGCCCTGAAGACGGCCTGTGACTTTGAGGTTCGCCACTCTGCTTCCGAATTTGGTGCAAGGAAAGCTAAAGCCAAGAGAACCTAAGGTGCCATGTATACTGCCACCGAAGAAGAACCTGCACATTCTGGAAGCACAGTCTTCCACTTAAATCTGATATGTACATTGCAAAGAGGAGACCACCTTTGTCAGACACTTGATCACAGTCATTCAAGTGGCAATGACTATCTATGGCAAACGTTACAAACAAATACGGCATAAACACTGGCTGTCTTGAATCTCCCAGCTAATGAGGAGCTGTCCTCTGTGCAGGTTTCTGTGCATGTGGAGGATTTACCTGAGACGAAGGTGACATGTGCCGGCATGTGCCGCCCGGCCGCCACCTGCCCGGCCCGGTGCGACCTGCCCGCGCTGCCCGCCTCGCTGCCCGCTGCCCAGCCGGGCAGCCTCGCCACCTGGCGGTTCGACCGCTTTGGTAACCGGATCACTTCATGCGTCGGGGAGGCGCCTTTTCTGGCAACCGCCACTGGCCCCGGCGAGCTGAAGACCAAGGTGCTCGAGAAAGGGGACGGTAGTGTCGAAATCAGGTGACTACTAAAATCAATAATTGTCCTTACCGACCCCTTTAAACCATATCATAGAGACATGCCCGGGTATTGCATCCCTGTCTTGAATCCATGCATTCTCGACTCTGACAGTACGGAGGTGCTAAAAGAATGCCGCACAGCCAGGCAGATAGGAAGTGTTTAATGCACTGGTGTATGCACTTCTTCAGCACTACTTCAGATATACCTCCTACACAGAGAGCAGGGCTTGATGCTCATGCATGCATGCTCAGGTACTGCGCGTCCAAAATTGGCTCCTACTCGCTGGCAGTGACCAGCTCGCGCGACGGCGAGCCCCTTGCCGGCAGCCCCTTCCAATTTGACGTGACCTCCGGACAGCTGTCTCCCTGCCACTGCACCGCCGAGCTGGCCGCTCCGACCCTGGTCGCCGGTCAGAAGGCCGCCATTGTCATCGACGCCAAGGACATACATGGCAACCAGGTGGGTGGCACTGTGGACATGAGCATGAGCATTTCCTCCTTTTCACCCTATCATCCCCAAATTGCCGTACTCTTGGTGTTTATCTGCAAAAGGAACCAAAAATTAACATTATATCTGGGCGCAGCTTGCAGTTATTGCCCTGGCGCTTGGCTCAATTCGATGCCTTATCGTGTAGGACCGCCGAGGAGCTTTTTTACCCCTGACCAGTATACAGCCTAATCTTTGTCAATAAGACTAAGACTTGCAACTCAGCTGGACCTGGTTGTTTGTGGCCGGCCCACCTCGCCTTGTGGCCCAAGCCAGAGCAGTTGCCCATAGGCCTGCTCTCACAGGGGCAGGGGCCCGGTGCAAGGGCGAAACGCTGAATCCCCCTGCCTACATTTCAGAGTTCATGTGTGAACAAAAGAAGCAATGTCTGCAGGTTGACTGCATGGAAGGCCACGACGTGGCGGTGCACGTGCAAGGCCCCTGCGCAGTGGCATTTGCTCAGGAGGGCGGCAGCCAGGGCAGCTACACGGCGGTGGTGCCCGTCTCCGGAACGTACCTTGCACATGTGCAGATCAATGGGCACACCCTCGGCGGCTGGCCCAAGCCCCTGCATGTGGCAGCCGCCGCAAGCGATGCCTCCAGGTGGGTCCTGCTGTGAAATCATTTGCCACCATAGCAATGTGCCCACTTCTGTAGATGACCCGCCTCTCGCCAGGTGCTGTTTTCCATGCAAGGATACCCCACAATATTTGGATTCCTGCGTTTTGAATGTTTAGCCCATATTTATGATTTGTGTATTACTCACCTGGCTCATTTTCTCGTGGACACCTGTAAAAGGTGATAAAAAGCTTATTCGTGACGGTGCCGAGGAAGAAGGTAGCTAGCTGTCTCTCCCAAAAGTCAGGACGACAGCTCAGCATCTCACAACATGTGTTTTGATCGCTAGGTGCACTTTCCTGGGGCGTTTCCTGGCGGGCGGCGCGCACATCATCGGGGAGCCGTGGCGCTTTGCGCTGCACACCGCGGACGGCTACGGCAACGTACGCGCGGCCGGCGGCGAGGCCGTCACCGTCGAGGTGGCCGGCTCGAATCTCTAATATTTTTCACTTTTTGCTTGTTTTTCTTGCCGCACAGGTAGCCACTTCATGTTGTATCCTTGGGAATGATGCAAGTCAGTCCAGAACAGTTATTTAGTTAATGATCGCCCATGACAACAGGTGGCCGGCCCTGCCGGCAGCGCCGTACGAGCCGCTGCCGTCACCGACCGCGGCAATGGCTGCTATGCTGTCGCATTCGAACCTGACTGCGCCGGCCGCTGGGTGCTCACTCCCAGGTGCGCCAGGCTCTTGTTCAAAACAATGTGAGGCCAGTACCCACTTTGCTCCCGGGCTGAGTTCAATTCACTTGCAGGACCCCCATTTATGCAGTTTGCAAAAGCTTGCTGCACAGCTGATGTCTGCAGAGCACGATCTTTCTGCCTGCTCAATTAATCTGCGTGAACAGACATGTCTATTTTGCTTTCTGACAAGAAAATTGGCTGCGTCATGAACATGTCATGTTTGCTGGTCTGACGGAACTTGTACAATTCATGCATCGCACTGGGGGTGTGTGCAGGGTGAACGGGCAGGCGATAAGGGAGGGAGGCTTCGAGGTGCATGCGGCGTACGGCGCGGCAGCAGCACACGAGTGCGCGGTGGCGGGGCTATCCGAGACCGGCGATCACACCTGCGGCGCCGCCACCGAGCTGCGCGTTGTGCCGGCCGGAAAACATGCCGCCGGCCGCGCTTTCCTCGGCACAGAAGTCGTCCACGCGCACCTCACTGGTACAGCATATTCCACCCTGCTAATGTGCAAATTTCCATCCTCTTCTCATGTGACAAACTGAGCAGTTGTCCCTCTATAAGCAATGAGGTCTGGAATTCTGCGAGCCAAACATGCACATGCTTCCCGCTCAATGACAGAAACCTGCCACCTGCCTGATTCGACACATGCCTTCAGTCCTTTACCCCTGGCAACTCGTGCTCGCTAACAATTATCTGCATCACAGGAGCATCGGGGGCGCGCAAGCGAGTAGTGGCCACGCTGGCGGAGGACGGCCGTGCCTGGAAATTGGCGCTGCCGTGGTTCGAGCCGGGCAGCCACGCTGTGGCCGTCTCGGTCAACGGCGCGCGCGTTCCCTCCGGCGCGTTCTCTGCTGAAATACAGATTCCACATATAAAATACAATAAATTTGTTGCAATACCATAGGCTCCCTTCCATGTGCCATGCAGTCATGCATTGGCATACACTTGACAGAGTCACAATAGGATCCGCGCATTGCACAATCCTTGAAATATACTTCTTTTTCAGTCGTGGCACTTCCATTATGGCGGCCCATGGATCACGAGGACTGTGCGCATGTATCAGAGGTTTCCAAATGGCCTAAAGCCGACTCTGTAGCTGCTGCCGTCTGCCGCAGGCGCGTTCTCGGCGGAGGCAGCGCCGCGAGATAAGTGCCTGGCGGCCAGCGCGTTCGCCGGACCGGGCCTCGACGGCTGCACCGCGGGCGAGCCGGCGCGGTTCGAGATCCGGTCCCGGGACGCGCGCGGCCACGCGGTTCCGGGCGGCGAGGCGGCGTTCGTTGTTGAGGTGTTTGCCGGGGAAGAGCGCGTCACCGGTACGCGCCTTGCCGTCTAATACCCATGGGAATGTATTGTACGGCATACAGTCTACATTGTTCTTATCTTCCAATCTACTTACTTTTAGTTTGTTGTACCACCAAAACTCCATACGACCGCACACCATCGGCAGGCAGTGCAGCTTGCAATTTAAGCACACAGCCTCACAGCATCCATGAGTTTTTTTTTTGCTGCTTTTGTGGCGATTCTTTGACTTAAGACAGCCGCTCAGGAATGGTGAATTAGGCACCTGTACTGCAGTCTTTGGCGCAAGTCACTTGTGAGGTTGCAAGGTGCAGCAGGTGAGATTGACTGCTTGGCTGCTGTTCTGTGACGCAGGGGACGTCCAATTTGAGGGCGATGGGCTTTCCACGGTAACATACACAGTCACGCAGGCCGGCCCTGTTCGCATCGCAGCCTCTCTGGTGGGAGGGGCTGCCACGCGCGCATTTGAAACCGTTTGCAGGCCCGGCCCGCTCGCGCTCTCCAAGTGCACCATCCTGGAGCACAGCGCATCCGTCGCTGTGGGCGAGAAGGCCCGGCTGCTCATCAAGCAGGCTGACAGGTATGCAGCAATTCAAGCACTCCTTCTTTTGTGGTTGCCTGCCACGAGAGCCCCATTGAGAGCACAATTGTAGCATGCTGGACTCTGTTGCATCTTGGTTGCTGCCTGCAGCTTGTCGCTGGATGCATACAGCTGTGCACAATTCCTGCTGACTTGTGGAATGTCGACCGCGTTGCATCTTGGCTGCTGCCTGCAGCTTGCACTGTATGTGCCATCCCCTGGCTTGGATACATACAGCACATTGAGATAGTGAAGAGAGGCTTTGTTTGGGTTCCTGACCCAGCCATGCACTGACAGAGATTGCAGTGGGCAATAAGGTGCCGGAGATTTGGATTCTGTTGCCCACAGGTTTGGCAACGCGTCAGAGAGCCACCTGGACCAGCTGAGGTTTGAGCTGAAGCCGACCGGCCCAGGGCCCCTCTCGCACTGGTGGGAGCACGGGGAAGACAACGCCATCTGCCTGGCATACTCTGCCGAACGCTCGGGTATAGCACTCCACACCTCATAAAACCCATATCTTCGTTTTCATGTCCCAAGACACCCTGCACACTGCTTGCCCCTCTGCAAAAGGCTGGCTCCTGTCCTCTGCATGCCTGAATTGCTGCAAATGGAGCTGTTGGTGGGGGGCAGCGTAAATACTGAGCACTGTGCAGTATTGGGTTTTTCTTGGACCCGATAAGTCCATCGGGGGGTAGGTTGTGTTGCAGCCTATACCTTTAGCTTCTCTGCAATTGCGGCTTGCCTCTGGCAGGAACAGCCTCTAATGATAAATAAAATATACGGTAATACTCATTAATGTTGTGCTTTGATGGTTCTGACAGGGACGTATCAGCTGAGCATCAAGGATGCAAAGACAAAAGAGATGCTGCCAGGCAGCCCCTTCACAGTCGCCATGGAGGCGGCTGCCCCGGTGGCGAGTCACAGCACCGCCAGATTTGGCGCGGGGGTCGATAAAGCGGGCGTGGCGGTAGCAGGGCAGGCTCTCACAATCTGCGCATCCCTCAACGATAAGTTTGGCAACAGCACAAGTGGTAAGACAACCCAAAGCCTGCATGCGTCTGTGCATAAGAATGCCTCTGCATTGCGTTGGAAACTGATTTCCAACAAGCTTGTTGGCACGTACTGTCCAAATGCTGTGCTTCTCTTACTTCCTGAAGGGATGAGCTGTAATATCTGCAGTGCATGCATGCATGATGTGCAGTGTCTACTTGACTCTTCAGCCAGCCTTTCTTTGGTCCGCACAAGTCTGGGAAAAACTGTTAACGATTGGGGTGTTTGCAGGAGAGGCTGCTCTGCGGGTATGGGCTGCTGGCCCGGCGGATGTGGAGATGGAAAGGACGGGTGCCTCAGAGTACATGGCCATGCTCACCGCTGCAGGCACCTACACCATCAAGGCCACCTTGGACGGCGCCATGCTGCCAGGTCAGCCCCTTCTTGACCACTATCCACACTTCCCATGATTGCTTATTGCAAGGCCTATTTGCATGGTGAAGATTCCATTGCAACAGCAAGCCGGCTCAGACTGGCGGGGTGACACTGAGAGGGAGGTGCTGCTTATGTGCCCGATAGGCTGTGTTCGTGAACAGCATTGGGGCACGTCTGGGCTTGATTGAGCCAAGTTTCAGATTATGCAAATTATGGTTAGTACTTCCACTTGTTGGCGCAGCAGGATGCTGAGAGAGGAGAGGTACTTAGAAAAGGCCGTTTGCAAGGGTAGAGTACTATCTCTTCGGCAGCGTGAGGGACCATGCGCCATTCTGTACAGATTTGCTCTGACAAACACTTGTTCTTGTTTGGCGGTGCAGAGTGGCCGAAGACAGTGGTTGTGACAGCCAGTCCCAGCGGCGCTGCCAGCTGTAGGCTCCGCGGCCACGTGCTGACCGGCATCACCTGCAAAGCGCTGCACACCCTCTCCCTCGCCGTCTACGACTCCTTTGACAACCCCCGGTACACCCCTTGATATATATGGACCCTGGCACCCAGATGAGCCCTATATCATCCCCAGTCTGACATCACATGCTGGCATGGCTGCACCTGATCTGCTGTGTACTTTGCCACTGTTAGCCGCACCAACCCACCCTGTGTATGAAGGCTAATAGAACCTGTAAGATCCAGAATATTGCTGTCATATGTCTGACACAAGTAGTGTCATGCACCTCCTGGTTTGCCCTGCAACCTCTGCGTGTCCTTCAGGGCAAACTACAAAGAACGTCAGATTCCCTTTAAATCTTAAATTAACCCATTCTGCGGTGACTTGTAATAGTGGCATGGGATTGTGGGATCTTTGCAGGACGTCCGGTGGTGACAAGGTGGAGGCGTGGCTGTGCGGCCCGGAGGAGGCGCTCGTGCCGGCGACCGTTACGGACTTGAAGAATGGCAGCTACTCCGTAGAATTTTGCGTCGCGCGCGCCGGTGCCTGGACGCTCAAGCCCCGGGTGCATGCCCTACCTTTTTCTTCACTCACTTTAGAGTAGGTTTTAGAGGGAATGAATTTAGGGTTGAGGGTCGGTGTGTGCCTCAGCTTACTGGGAGTAATGGTTAGTCACTTGGACCATGCGCCTCTTCCCATGTCAGCTGAGACACAGAACTGCTGCCAATAAAGAGAATAACCTGTAAAAACACCCAGTACCCAAGATACTGCTAGAGAGTCCCATTCTGCTTCTCCCTGCGCAGTCAAACTAGACAGGCACACCAAAACAATAAATGGAAAGTGTGTTGTTTTGACGGAGGATGGCATGTTGCTCAGGTAAACGGCGAGTCGCTGGAGGCTGCGCAGAGGACGCTGCATGCCACCTACGGCCCAGTCAGCGCCAGTGACTGCCAGGTGGCCTGGGCGGCAGAGCCAGTATTGGACTGCGGCGCCCCCAACAAACTCTGCCTCTACCCCAAGGGCCTCGAAGACGGTGTGCTCCAGCCAAAATCGCTACAGACGCCCCATACTAAAACTCTGTAATGCCATTGATAAAGCACAGCCAGGTGCCCGTTGAAGATTTACCCATGCAGGCTGGTGGTATTAGTCATTGTCAGCTGCAGGTGTCAGGATAGTATCACAGGATTTGGGGACATGTTTTGCGTTGCGCAATGTATGTTCGTAAGGTGTGAGGCAAGTTGGGAGCCTTGGGTTGACTGTGCTATGCTGCCCATCATGAGGTTAGAGGCATCTTGCTGCATGCACACGCTAAAATCCGCTGCATGCCGATGAGTGAGTGGTGATCTGCAATTCAAATCGTGCGTGCAGGTTGGAAGATGACAGGGCATGAGACTGCCGGGGTGGTTCTGCACACGACGGGGGGAGTTCCCTTGGTCCAGCCACTCAGCTTCAACCAGGAGGGCGGCTACTATGAAGCCACCATCATCGCTGTGGAGGTGCCTGCCCTGGTCCTGCATCACTTCTTCTTTCTGGACATTTCCTCTGGCTGTGAAATAGTGCATGGCAGCATGGATGGTACGAACTTAATCCAATGCGCAGTCGCACTTTTGCAGACCAAAGCCAATAAACTTGATGCTGGCAAGGATCCTGGGCCCAAATTATGTACAAAGTCAATCCCTGCCCGCGCATGGGGCAGTGTTGCAGTTTATGCATAATGCATGTTTATCCTGAAGCTGCTGAAGGTGTTGAAGGCTGACTGCTTGTGGGGTTGAGGCTGGTCTGCACACAATATACACTCACACAGACAACGAGGCAGTCCTGCGGTGCACAACATGATGCGATTTCATCCTGCACCTGTCAGGATTTGGAGAATCTATTTCATTCTCTTTAGATTTGATAATGACTGTTGGTGGGGTCTCAGGCGGGGCTGCACACGATTTACACGCACATGGACCACGAAGCTGTGCTGCGGAAAACAGCAAGACGTGATTTCATCCTGCAGCTGTCAGCTATAACATGTATATAAGAGGGAGTGATTGTTGAATACAGGCGGGGCTGCACACAATCTACGCGCACATAGACCACGAGGCGGTGGATGGGAGTCCCCTGGTGCTTGACGCCAAACCAGGCGCGCCCTGCCTGGCGGCCAGCCGGATAAATGAGTCAGCGCTGACCTCAGCCGTCGCCGGCGAGCACTGCTCCGTTCTGCTCACCGCCTTCAACGAGTTTGGAGACCCCATCACATGTGGCAGCGCTGCCATCACGGCCGCGCTCATGTCCCACGGTAGCACCTCCTCCCATTGTAGTGGAAATTGATTCAAGTTTTACAATGCACAGTGCAAAATGTGGTTTGACTCGCTGCTTCACCTTTTTGTAAGTGCGTCGGGAGGACACAGTGGAAACACAATGTTGACCATGCATGTGGGTGTCTTTGTGCACTCTTTCCTCAGCAAAAGATGCAGGACATGACAATATCCTCCTGGGCATGGCATTACCTGGTGTGCACACATGACACCCATTTGCCCAACCGCTGGGAGACATTTCTTCAGGCACACCAGCTTTGCATGTTGTGTACTGGGGTACCCCACTTGAAGCACGTCTGGGACTCGGGGTCCAGAGGAAGAACTCCTTGTCTCGAATTTCGGTCACTGACGGTTGCGGCCCTCTTGCGACGACAGGTGCAGGGAGCGCAGTGGATGTGGAGGATAACGGCGATGGCACGTACGGGCTCTGCTTTGCGCCGACAGAGGCGGGCCCATTCGAGCTGGTGGTGTCTCTGGAGAAGCCCGGCCACGCCGCCTCCAAGGCCCTGCGCAGGTTTGTCTGCCCTGCCCGTGTACAGAGGTCTAAACATGATGAAGAAGTGCACGTTATGATGCTCTTACAATAATACAAACGGGGTCCACGTTTGGGGTCGGCATCAGGTGTGACACCTAGCCACTGTGAGCTCGCAATCAAATTTCCACATGTCCCTTCTCCCCCCAGGACTTCCCTGACCGTTACTGTAATGACCACAGATGTTGAGGCCAGGTCTACCATGCACCCTTTGGCAGAGTGGAAGCCTTTGTCGCCAGTCAGGTACTCAAAACAGACTCTCTTTGTGCATCGGGAACAGGCGCAATTTCGCGGGTGTTTGCGCGGCCGGCACAACGGCGGCGCAGTGCTGTGTGGCAACCACGCCCTCCTGCCAGCTGGATGCCGGCGAGTCAGGGAGCATGCTGCTCAGGCGCGCTGACAGGTGGGGCTTCTGAAAGCTACATGGGTGACTCTTACTTTCAGACAACTTGCCCTGGTCAGAGATTTAGTTCTATGCTGGCCCCCAAGTTGCTTCTGCATCAGCTCATTATATGCAAGCCAGCCAGTTCGAGCCTCAGGACTTTTCACATTGATGTGTTTGGCAGGGCCCAAATGTTCTAGCGCCAAAGGGGTCTTGTTATCAGCCCTGCTCTCTTGTGTTGGAAACAACTACCCATTTAAGATAAGCGGTTGAGGTCTGTATGCGGTGCCAGATTTGGCAACGAGGTGCTGAGCAGCATCGGAGAGGCGCCCTTTGTGCTGTCGGCGTCGGGCCCCGGTACCATGCAGCACGCCATCAGGGAAATGGGCGACGGCCAATCCGAGCTGTGCTACTCAGCCACCGTCGCTGGCAGCTACACCCTCTCCGTCAGGTGCTTTTTATCCCTACATTTCTGCTTCCTTGAGGGTATTTGTGCAACCCCCTGGTCTATGTTGTGTGTTTTAATGGACCCTAAGGGTTCATATTTTCTTGAAGTTGGGCGATCTAATACAAGACATGCAAAGCAGGGACGATTGATGACACTCTTGGCTCGGCCTGTAGGGCCACTTAGTCTCTTGGAGTTCTGAAAGACAAGAGAATGGGATATTTTGCACCTTGTGTGGTCCTGTGATTCACTGGTCCGTCAGGTGTCAGCTTGACATGGAAGCACCTGGTAGGAAAGGCAGGTCTGGCTCGGTCATGCCTGGCTTCTTCTCTTGCTGACCTTGACCTGACCTTGCGTTTGAGTGCAGTGTCAACGTGCTCTGGCTTTGTGGACACAGCAGCGCCTGCTAAGGGCATGCAAATATTCAAGGGCTTTGTGGGTTGGATGCAGGTGCCTCAACAGCAACTCCTCGGTACAGGGCACGCCGCTGCCTGTCCAAGTCAGTGCAGCGCCCGTCTCTGCTGCCAAATCCAAGGTTGGCCCTTCGACCTCTCCATAAGTCAGCAAGTGTGACTTCAAAATGCTGTTTTGTCACAGGCTGCATGCGATATTCCTGATCCTAAACTTTGGGTGTCCCTTCCTTGTTCATGGTGCTGTTGCAAGCTGAATGCAAAGGTTGCAGTACAATATGGGCACAGCGTTAAAATTCCACCACAACAAGAGTTGTATGGATGCCCCATTAGGACATAAATTGGCGCCCAAGCCATTTTTCCCACATTCTTTGCTGTGTTGTGATCAGATACAAAGCAAAACAGCCCTTGTTACGATATCTTCAAACTATATTTTGAAATCGAATTTGAGTGTAGGCCCAGCTGAGCGGACGGGCGCCCAACAGCCTGGTGCCAGCTGGCGAGGACGTGGAGGTGTTAGTCACCCTGCGCGACGCGTACGGCAACCCCAGCGACAAGCTGACTGGACGCCAAGTGGACATCCGCGCGACCGGCCCTGAACTTGTCTCCTTCTCGGCTACAGCCTCCAACCGCTTCAGGTGCGCCCATGTGACCTCAGCTCAAAGGCAGCTATCAATTTTTAACGTGGTCAAGACTCATCTGGTCTCAATGCCTCAGAGGCCCAGGATCCAAATGAATATCAATTACATGAGATCACATGAAAGACAGGGACGCAGAGACAAGCATGGCTCGGTCCATGGGGTGAATCTTTGCAGCTGCATGCAAGGGGAATCTTGGGAGGGTAGCAGACTGGAGATCTATGATTCTGATTGACTGAGGAGAGCTGTCATGATGTTATCCTGTAACGGATGCTGGCCTGCAGTGCGACGCTGACACTGGCGGGGAGCTACGCCATCAGCGCGTGCATCGGCAATCAGATGCTGCCGGGCTGGCCGCTCGCGGTGCATGTGCAACCGGCCGCATGCTGTGCTACCAAATGCTGGCTCTCTGGCCCGGCCATGCAGGTGTGGTTCTCATTCCCGGAGTGCATGTCATCTCACTGTGTAGTTGCAAATTTCGCATGTGCAATCTCATGTGCTTGAGCAATCGTCCTCACTGCTGCCGCTGCCTTGCAACAGCAGTTACTACATTTTATCATTGGCACAAGATATCCTGGGGCAAGGCCTCAACGGGCTCCTTCGTTTGTCAGCATATGATGATAAGAGAACTGCAGCCCTGCAATTGGCGGCTGCATCATATTGGCTTAATAGTAATCAGTAATGATGACTACTGATGGCATGACATTATGGCGCGCAGTCGGTGGTGTGCGGGCAGCTGAGCACGGTGACGCTACACGCCGCGGACCGTTACGGGAACGCCCACGTCAGCGGCGGCGAGGAAGTCACCGCGCAGCTGCGCGGCGGCCCCTCTCGCGGCATTCCCTCCACCGTCAAGGTCCCTTTCCCAATCTTGGCATGTTGCCTGGTGTAAGCAACACAATAGTACACCACAAACACACGCTTAAACAGCCTGCCTGCTTGTATGAGAAGGCCTGCCTTCCCATACAGAGGACTGTCCAGCATGAGCTGCCAGATTAGTTTTTTCCCAACCTCTACACGTGCATCGTTGCATACAATTAGATGCCATCCTTTGCATTTTGCATGCAGACACACCCTGCAAGGCAGCTGATCTCCCAAGCTTGCAGCCTGTTATTCTCGAATTTCGGTCCGGTATTCTCATGTTCTTGAATTAATCAATCGAACATGTGCGCAGGCAAATGCGGTGGACAATTGGGACGGCACGTACGCGCTGCAGTTCGCGCTGCCGATAGAGGGCGAGTGGGAGCTGAGCGCGGCCGTGGGCGGCGAGGGCGTTCCCTGCGCGGCGGCCGCCTCCGTGCGCGCGGAGTACGGACCCCTGACAGCCGAGGAGTGCGAAATCGAAAACGTCGATGGCATGGTCGCCTGCGGCACCTCTGACCCCATCTTCATTCAGGTGCCGTCACTGCATTGCTGCGAAGAACCATACGCTATGTATGAGCTCAATAGTCTGGGTGCCCCAATGCCCGAGCAGGCCCCACATGCCCCTTTGCATCCCTGTGTGATAAAGTATGCCCTGAGGCACCTCTGACCCATCATTCACTCAGATGCCGCCAGCAATTTGCTCTGCTGCAACCTGCCCATGTGCTATATTTCAATGCTCGAATATGAGTGCCCCCATGCACGAGCCTGTCTTGGCATTCCTGTCTTTCATATCAGGTGCCTGCATGTGTAGCAGGTTGGGCAGGCACCTAGATTCCAACGAGTAAACAGGTCGCCCTGTGATGGGCGGCCTACCAGATCCAGTCTGAAGGCGCACTTATCTATCTCCTCAGTGCAAGCGATGTGAAGCAGTGCGTTGTTATATGCCTTCGCACAGCACGCAAAACAATCATGCTACTCAAAAGGATTGGTCAAACAATGTCTTGGTGCATCAGAGAGGTGGCGCCTTCAGAGAAATTGATCGGTCACCGGTGACTAACAAGCACATGCTGCGCATGCGTCAGGCGGCGGGCGGCCGCAGGATGACAGGGCACGAGGCGGTCAGCTGCACGGTCACTGCTCCCAACGGCACCGTCCATGCGGTGCCTGTGACACTTGCAGACGGAGGCGGCCATTTCCAAGCCACGCTGCACTGGATGCAAGTCGGCGTGCACAAGGTATGCGCTGCCTTCCTACAAAACTCTTGCCGATGAGTGAGGCCTATCAGTGAGTTGCATTGTGGGGGCCAGCAAGCAGAAACATCTGCACTACACTGCAGATAGAATCATCAATTTCACAGCTACTGTTTGCAAAAGACAGAGAATCCCTCTCAAGATTCTGTTTATGGGCAAGCATAGAAAAGCGCAGCAACAAACTCCTCGGTATCCACCTGTGGATGTTGTTGGCCTCAAGGCAGAAGAGAAAACGAACTAAACCATCTCAGACATAATAATCTGAAAAATCCTGACCCCATAAAAGGCGCTGACGGCTCGGCTGTGCGCGGCAGATTACTGCATATCTGGAGGGAAGAGTCATACCGTCGACGCCCATCAATGTGAAGGTGGGCCCGGCAGGCATCCATGCACCGGCTTGCCTGGTCCGGGGCCTCACGGACACGCCGGACTTTGGCATGCTCGAGTTTGAGGTGCACGGCCGCGACCCCTTTGGCAACATGCTCGAGCTCCTGCCCAGGCAAGCACCTCCTCCTGGCTTGAATTTGATTTTTAAACTTGCTGACGTGCTTGCATGCTTCCGAATCAGTGGTGCTCAGCGTCCGGTGCAAGCAATGCACCAGGGAGGCACGTGATCTCTCAACGAGGTTGGGTGACTGAAGACTCCTGCACACTCTGCAGCCTTCATGCATGCCAGCTGGATATCTCAAAATGGGCAGACACCTTGTGGGATTTGTCGAGCACATGCAGCGAGATAAGAAGAAGGACGGCGGATCGCTACACGTCAGTGCAAGCCTGCTTGCCCTGATGTCAACATCCTGGTTGTCACAATGGCATGCAGCATCTCTATCTGGACTGACCTACACCCTGGTTTAGCTTATCGAAAAATGTCCCCATCACAAAGAGACCATGTGGGCTGCGCAGTATTCAATGAGGATCTTGGACAATTCATTGCAAGGAGATGAGTTTGGTGCGTGCAGGATGATCGAGGTTTGGTCAGAGCCGGCTAACGCACTCACAGATCTGGCCATGGCTCAGTGGGAGGAAGCCTCAGTCATCACCGTTCGCGCCAATGTCGCTGCTGCAGGCATGATACCCTTTGCACATAGCACGTGCTCACAATGATTTGCCCTCCCCTTGACAGAATTTTGCTACCTGTGCTGCATCAGTTGTTGCGGTGGGTGAAGACTTGTAGTCTTTTTAGTATCCAGTACGTATTGCCTTGCACCTTGGTGATGAAAATTGGCAGGGTATGCAATGTGCATGCTGAGGCATCGGCCACATTATGGTGCCATGTCAATACGATGGACTTGAAGAAGCTTTCTCTAATCCACTAGTTGAGATCATGCTCTGCAATACAGTCAATCCCCCGATATCATTTTGTGGGGCGCAATTGCTGCAGGCAAGCTGCATGTGAAGGTCAACGGCAAACCGGTGGTGCCGGGTGGGCATCCGTTGCTCGCGGCCCCCAGCGAGACCTCCCTGCTGGCATTTGTGGCGCCGGCCGTCGCCTGCCGCGCCGGGGAGCGCGCCACGGTCCTGCTGCAGCTGCAGGACGCACGCGGCAGCAGCCTGCCGGTAAGGCGCCGGCCCCTAACAAATAAATAAAATATCTCTGATAGGTTACTATTACCACACAATGTTCCTGCCACGGCGGGGCAAGAAGCACTTTGTATACGTGCTGCCGCAAAATGGCTACAAGACGTAGCCAATCCCACGCAACATGCGACAAAGGGCCATTGACTGGCAACAATGATAAGGGCCTTACATGGAGGACGTTGTGTCGGTCCTGCGAGGGCTGGCAGACAGCAATTCTGTGCTGCATTCGTGCAGCATTCAGCAGGATGCCAGGCCTGTAGTTTGAGGCCAATGCAGCTGAATGCGATGGCGCAGCATCTTATGCGCCACCGCATGCGCGCAAGAGAAGGCCTTGCCGCCTGTAGCGGTGTAATTGGCATGTCATTCCCATTCGTGTGGTCAAAAGAGCTGCTGTGATGCAGGCTGGTGGGGACGTTGTCAGCGCCGTTCTGACGCACAAGGATGCCGGGGAGGATTCTCTGCCGAGTGTGGAGGTAATAGACAGGGGCACAGGCCTCTACGAGTTGCACTTCACCATCACCAAGGCACGCTTCTTCCTCTACTGCAATCAGATCTAGTTGCTCTCAATTCCAATGCTCCAATTGATTTTCAGAATGTCCATCTGCTTGCAATTCAAATTTGATCTCTATCTGCCCGGAACGTCTGATCATATGCTTGCATCAAAATTTCCAAATCTCCCTTCTCTGTCCAGGACTTCCAGGATCATAGAAGTGTGCTGCAAGTTGCTGTGTAATCGAGTAAAAACCGGTAGAAGTCACACTGCACAAGCCCAACTCTGGGTGCGTTCCCAACACGATTCAACAGCCAAGTCTCCCGCTATCAGGATGCAACCAAAGATGGCAGGTGGGATTGCAGGCGGGAGAGTATGCTCTGACAGCTCAGCTGAGAGGCAGCAGCACGGCAGCCGCGGCCTGCGCAGTGACGGTCGCACCGGGGCCCACATCAGCGCTGCACAGCCGATCTGACATGACCGGCCTCTGTAAGTGGCGCGCGGGGGAGCCCGGCACGCTGCTAATTTTCAGGAAGGACAGGTGCGTGCGGCTGTCGCTTTCTGCATAAATTTACTTCGCAGATATACTTCGAAGCCCCAACAACCTCATGCCACAGAGTGTCAGGAGCCTGTTCTGCTGTCTTCTTGGCAGTCTGATCTTCACAGGTACAATTAGTAACGAGATGGCCCATGCAAACGCCCGTGCGTCAGTCCAGGCGCACATTTTGGGTTTCATTGTCATTTGGGCATGACGGCTCTTAAAAGTTACTTGCCATTGCCGGTTGTCATCACCCACCATCATAGAGTGTCTCCAGCGTCTGCATAAAGAGGTTAAGAGTGCATTGTGTGGAGATCCAGACAGCAGCTGACCATGCCGGCTCTCTTGCTCGCAGCGCTCCGTCGTCGGTAGGAAAAAGACAGGACATGAATAAAAAGAGAAAGAAATGCATGGACGCAGGCACAGGAACGCAGTCGCAGACGCGGCCGGGGAGCCGCCGCTTGGCGCAAGCCTCACGGGTCCCGGCCCGGCCGATGCGGTGGTGCGCGAGGGAGGCAACGCTGCTCAGACCGGCTCCGAGCCGGAGGCGGCGGCTGCGGCGGTGGAGGTTCTGTGCTCTGCGCGCACGGCCGGAGACTATGTGCTGTCGGTGTTCCACCTGGATACTGGGGAGCGGCTGTTCGGCAGCCCCTTTGCGGTGGGTGCATTTTCTTCTCAAACTTTACAAGGAAAAATTCTGAACCTTCTCAAAGAAGGCTCCAAGGCTGATGATAAGACCTGGCTGGCATTCTTTGGTTGCACCTCGTGCTGAGGATATTTGAAACAGACAGAAGAGCTTTAGTTTTAACATTTTATCTGCTGTTAGAATAAATGGAGAGATCCACCTTGGAAGCATCCTTGGAAGAAAAGAGATGCTCTTGGCAACCTGATTGGATCTAGGCCTGCATGGGTAGGTGGTATGGGCTCAAAATGATAGAAATGGCATGACCTGAGACGACCATGTAAGAGACATATTCTTTAATGCAGGTGCAGCTGAGGCCGGGTGCGATCATGGCAGCGGCGAGCAGCTACCGGGTGACGGGCTCGACGGAGGATGCCGACCCATGCATGAGCGCGGGGCAGGAGGTCGAAATCGCGCTGGCCGCCCGGGATGCCTATGGGAACGCTGTTGTAGACATGGAGCCTGGCGCTCTCCGCGCCGCCGCCACCGGCGCCTCCGGCGCCGTCCGCTTCCAAGCAGTTGAGGTGAGACCTCCTGCTCATACAGATCCATACACACAAGAACATGCCATCTGTCTTTAGCGGTGTATAGATAGGTGCGACGAGAAAAACTTGTTTTTGGCGTCGACAAGCCTGATTGACGCCTCCGGCGCTGTCTGCTTTCAAGCCGTGGAGGTGGGCACTCAAGCTTTGCCGTTCCTCATTTCGAATCATTCACCGTGGATCCTGCCATTTGCCTTGAGCACCCACTTAGCCTTTGAAAGGAACCCACCTTTTTGCTACCGTCCAGAAGCCTCCTTAATTGTCGGCATTGGGCTGCTTGACAGTCTCTGTGCCTTAGTGCGAGCGAGTGGGCCTACTGAGAGCTCGTGCAGCAAAAAGGAGTCTAGCATCAAAGCTAGGCATTCGGTGCCTGGTGGATCCGCAGGACCACCTGCTGACGAGGGCATACAAAGAAGAGTGAGTTCATGCGTGCAGGCAAGCAACTCGGGCCGGCAGCATTACCTGAGGGCGGTGTTCACGCGGGCGGGCGTGTATGACATCGCGGTGAGCGTCACCGATCCCGTTACGGGGGAGGCGCTGCAGATACCCTCTCAGGCTGCCTCGCAGCGCCTGCGCATCACTCCCGGCGCACTCGACCTCGCTCGCACGCAGATCGCCGACCTCCCCTCTGTGCTCACAGCAGGTGCGTGAACATTGTTTGCTTTCTGCCAGGGTCATCTTCATCTTTTGAGACTTAGATCAGCCCAACCTCTAAGTATCAAAAGGTGTTCAGATAAGCTGGTCGCCAACCTTCCCTCTGTCCTGACAGCCGGTGCGTTAACATCTTCTACACTCTGCTTGGGGTCAACCATATTTGTCCTGGACTCTATCAATCCACCTCCTAACCCCTAAAAAAGACAGGGAGAAGCTGTCTAAAAACACAAGCTGCCACTTCCTTGGCCCTGTAGGAGCATGTATCTGGACATGGGCTTGTAGGATTTGGGAGAGGAGCATGCAAAGTGTCATGAACGGATCCAAAGCTGGTGAAGTGTACATTGATGCTTATGGAGGGCGCGTTGGCATAATTCGGTGAGCCAGATGGATTTGAAGTAACATGAGGTGAGGATATAATGCAGGAGCGCCGGCAAACTTCGTTATCACGCCGTTCGACGCGCACGGCAACGCGGGCGCCAGCGGTGGCCGATTTGCGGCGGAGCTCATTCAGGTGGCCGAGCCTGCCGCGGAGGGATCGCCGCGATCCATGGAATGCGACGTGACAGAAACCTCATCAGGTGCGAAGAATACCTCTGTCGATTCTTACGCACTGGTGCCTTAAACTGAGCCCATTGCAGGCATCAGTCTCCAAGATGTTTTCCTGCGCTTGTCTATGCTCAGGTCTCCTCAGAGATTGCAGCAAGATCCCCCATGCCTTTTGTTGCTCATAGAGCGTCCTGGAATATTTGTATCAATACCAGGGGTAAAAAACCAGCGGCTGTTGCACTGAAGGAGACTCAAGGAGTTTTTGTGTCTCTGCAGGCACCCGCACCGCGGTGGTGGCGTTACAGGCGCAGACGGCCGGGGCGTACATACTGCGCATCCTGCTGTTCCCAGATGCGAGCCTGCACAAGGAGAACCGGCAGCCGGAGGTGCTGCGGGAGAGCAGAGTGGCCGTGCGCGAGGCCGGCGCCAGCTCAGCGCGAAGCTTCCTCACCGGCTTCTGGCCGCAGCAGGGCGCCGTCGCCGGCGTGCCCGCCGGCTTTGTCATCCAGGTGAGTCACCCCTACATGACCTACATCACATTACTACCACACCAGTACTACCATGCACCACGACACAACACCGGGATCATTTCTGCGTCCCACTTCTTGCTATATGACACACGTTCCTGGAGTGGGTACCGTGGCATGAAATCTGGGGCATTGGCATGCATTCGCGGGCACAGCCTGCTACTAAATTAAAGCGTCAGCAACCTTTGACACCCGCCATTCTAGCAAAGTCGGCGGCCTGGGGCCAGCGCATCAATGCAAGGATATTAGAGGTTTTGCGTTGTGCGCAGGCGTGCGACGAATTTGGCAACGCGCGCAAGAGGGGCGGCGACCGCTTCAAGGCGGCGATACGGGGCCTGGACGGCGACGCGGTGGCCGTAACGGACCGCGGCGACGGCAGCTACGGCTTGAGGTACACCGCGCCCAGCGAGGGCACCTTCAGCCTGGCTGTCACCGGCGCCGACGGCTGCGATGTGGGCGGAAGCCCAGCCACTCTCACTGTCTTCAGGTCCGCACCTGTCCCTGGAGCTTCCCTCGCACAGATTGCTGGGCAACCAGCCCTATAATAGGTACCATTATTTTCATGCTGAAAGGTTGTCATGGGATCGGCTTGCTGCAGTTCTGTGCACCGTGGGTAGGGCATGTAAGTTTTCAAAGCAGCACATGGAAAATATGCCATGGAACACCCAGACACAACGCTCCTGGAATAACACATTTGGGGGTTTCCAAGGATTTCTGAGGAAATGTGAAGCTGCAAAAAAATCTGTTAATGTGCAGCAATGCTCCTGCGCCGTCTTCCCTGGCATTTTACATGCAACGAAAAGCGCCTCGAGGAGCCTTATTGGACTGTACACATCATTATTGTACAACCGCAGGGACGTGAATGCAATGGCGGCGGCAGAGATGCAGCGGCGCCTTGCGGCCGGGATGATGGGGCTGCGGCGGGGCCTGTCTGCCGCGCGTTCCCTGCACTCCAGCCTGCGCTCGGAGGCCACCGCGCTCGAGTCCTTCATCCCCGTCATCGTGGAGGGCGCCAGATCTGGCATGCAGCAGGCCCTGCAGAACCAGGTGTGCTTCCCTTTCATATTGCATTTTCTGATCATTTCCGGAAGGTTTGTGAGTAAATGATCACATTGATGGCATGCTTGGCTGATGGCATGCTTGGCTGTGCTCTAGAAGCAATTGTGGCAATTTGGGATCCTTGTCATGCTAAGAATCCAGAATCATTTAAAAATCAGGATTGACCAGGATCTGATCATCTCCAAGGTTAAGGACAAGTGTCTCCCAAGTGACAATAAAGAGATGCGACGGATGTGAAATATCGGGTAATATTGACTGTCTGCAAGGCAACGGCCCCGCTCTTCTCCTTATTTGAAAAGTATGAGAGCGTGCAACTCAACGCCAGGTTTACCTCAATATAACACAAATCCAAGTCGAAGGTAGTTTTGCAGGAGGCGCTGCTGGCGGACCAGCTTTTCAGTCTTTGCAAGGCGAAGGACCCGCTCTGTTTGACAAGTGCAAGAGGACACAACTCAACACTATTCATATCCAGTTCTCCAAATTCTCTCAACTTGAACGTAAATTGATGGCCTGTTTGTAGGAGGCGGTGCTTGCGGAGAGCAGGGCGGCGTTGAGCCGGGAATCGGCGGCGCGGCGGCGGCTGCACAACATGGTGCAGGAGCTTCGGGGCAACATCCGCGTGTTTGTGCGCGTCAAGCCGTCGGAGCCAGCCGGCCGCAGCGGCGCGCCGGTGCTCGCGTGCGAAGACAGCCACCGGATCTCCTGCACCGCCGCCGGATCCACCAAGGTGAGGCCATGCCTGGTTCGGGAGTGTAGCAATTGGCACATATTAGTGATGAAGTGTCCTGGGATTTACAAAAGATATGTATGATGTGTGCCCCTTCTGCCTCTTAATATCTTGTCAATATGAAGGAGACTGGTCTGGAGGTCTGAAAGGTTGCTGAGGTCAGGTAGTCTACAAGGATCCGATATAACTTAATAGCTGCAATGGGGGAAATCAGACGTTTAAGGGACCAATTGCTGGCCTTGCTTCTGATAAGTTGTTATTGGAAGCTCATAAATGTCGGTGACATTTTTGTTCTTTATGTCCTTGCGGTGCTGGGTTGCAGGCGTTTGAGTTTGACAGGGTGTTTGGGCCGGAGAGCAGCCAGGAGCAGATCTTTGGCGAGGTCTCTCAGCTCATCACCTCAGCGCTGGACGGCTACAATGTCTGCATCTTTGCCTATGGCCAGACAGGTGCAGCCAAAACTCAGGAGCTTACAAATCTTGCCTGCCCTAACACCAGTCCTCACTATTCATGGCTGCCTTCCCACAAAGATATCACAGTGTGTAGCAAAGAAGAGGAAGTAAATCTGCCAGAGGATTTACTTTTTTTTTTAAGAGAAAGGGTATCTAATTGCAGGGGCGGGCAAGACATACACAATGGAGGGCACCAGGCAGGACCCAGGCATCAACTACCGCACCATGAAGGAACTCTTCAGGTGGGTTTTGCCCCCTCTGCTCAGATCTTTGAGCTCCCCCTCAAACAGCAAATTGTGTCGGGCCCCATCGCATGCCTTGCATGCGGCTGCCTTGCCATCCTCAGGCGCAAGCAATGGAAGACTCGGAAGTTGCAAGTTTTAATTTTGAAAATTCAAATTTAAATACGGGGAGTGTGCACGCAGGTGCATCAAGGAGGACCGAGAGGGGGGCACCACCTATGACATCACCACATCCATCGTGGAGCTCTACAATGAACAGGTGCGGCCGCATGCTGCCCACTGCTTCCTGTCTAGGCTCAAGAGTGTCATGTGATGAGATGCTAGGGAAAGAAAGGCACTGTATCAGAGCCACAGCAAATGGGTGGACTTATTGCACATTGAATTACTGGCCTCTTCTTTCACATCAAGTTATACCATGTCATTTTTTCAAGGCATCATAGGGTAGCCCTTCTGCTTGGGCATGACTGCTAGCCATGCAATATGCTTCCTCTTCTGTGTGTGCTGACATTTTCAACTACTTCAGAAGGGCAACAAATGCAACCTCAGGTAGTGCAATTAGGAAGTGGCCCAAGACAAAGCATCGAGGCATCCAGAGGTAACAAAAATGGAACGGGAGTGTAGGTGTGGGACCTACTGGCGGAGTCTGGCAAGAAGGAAGTGGAACTGGTCAAGGCCACCTCTGGCGCAGGCTTCAACGTCCCAGACCTCACACAAGTCGGTGAGTCCCTTCCCTCTTCCACACAGTATCTATCCCGATACCAAATCTGCCTGCCCCGCGCTCGTCGTGAAGTGCTTGTGCTTGCTTGTGTGCTTGTGCTTGTGCGTCTATCCAGGTCGTTGCTCATGAGTGAGTGAACAGCTGCCGCAGCATAACTTCTGTCCAGGAATTGTATACACATACACGTCGTTAATGCTGCACTAATGCAGAAGAGCATGCTGCCTGCTGGCCTCGCCAGTGTACCCCTCTTGTGAGACAGGGTTGCTCAATTGACATGCGCATGCATTTGCAGCGGTGACATCGCCGGAGCAGATTCTGGACATCATGGCTCGCGGCTTTGAGCAGCGCGCAACCGGCTGCCACGACATCAACGCCCACTCCAGCCGGTAAAGACCCTGCCACCCTTTAAACAGGGGGTATCAAAGGCCACTTTAGTCTTTTGTACTCCCTGTTAATGATGACAAAGCCACTGCCGCTCTGTGGCCTTTGGCATGCAAGGGCGACCCACTCCTGATGCCCACAAGCCAGAGCCCATGATTGAGTGCATGCGAGTATTGTCTCCATAGAACATTGCTTCCTTCAGACCCCTGATAAGGACGGGATCATGGTGGAGCCCTCTGCCGTGGTAGAGAGCCCTGCTCATGCATTCTTAGTGCCCAAGAGAGATTACCCCTTGGCTCCATAATACGATGATAAGATGTTGTCGTACCCCGAGAAATTCCACGCCGATTTGCAACTTGCTCGGGGACGCAACACAGCGTCAGCGTTAGATTCTTGGTCTGAGACCAGTGCTTACTGCTGTGCAGATCGCACTGCCTGCTGATTGTGCATGCGGCGACCACTGATCCGGCAACAGGCGTCCGCAGCGTCGGCAAACTGACTCTGTGCGACCTGGCCGGCAGCGAGCGCATCAACAAGACCGGGGCCAGCGGTGGGTCATCCATGCTTCCCGTGTCTTCTGTGTCCCCATGGCATTAGGGCTCCTGATACTTGTGCAACCTCGACCCTATCTGGGTAACACTATCATATGCCGCGCAATGCAAGGATGCTTGAAGTCCTTGAAACATAGTCATGAACTGCTTTGTGGGGCTCTCATTTCTTCTTGCAAGTTATTCATCTGAGAATTGCTCAGAATGAGCGCTTTGTGCTGCTTTTCGAATCGATACTCAGACAAACACAGAGTCTCGGCTTTAGCTGTGTGTATTAATGTGCAGGTCTGACGCTAACGGAGGCGCAGAACATCAACCGCTCCCTGCTGGAATTGGGCAATGTCATCTCTGCGCTCATGCAGCAGTCCTCCCACGTACCCTACAGGCACGACTGAACCCCTTCCACCTGCAACCCCAGGAAATTTCACAGTAAAATATTTCACAGTCCCCTGTTCAGCCATCCGCACACCAACCTCACATTGTTGGGATGTCTTGTGGCTGTTTGGCTTCACAGCCTGCATGCTCCACTTGAACATTGCAAATGTGTGCCAGGTCACATGGATATAGAAACGTCTCAAGAAACTACTTTCTCTAGCGCCGCAAATGTTCTATCGGCTGTGGTTGTGTGCAAAATTGAGTTCTAGGCTAATGCACTTGATTGATATCTAATGAACTTGATTGCGCGCAGGAACTCCAAGCTGACGATGCTGCTGCAAGACTCGCTGGGCGGCAATGCAAAGGCGCTGATGGTCGCCAACCTGGCGCCCTCCCCAGCCCACGCATCAGAGACCCTCTCCTCCCTCGCCTTCGCCTCCAAGGTGCCCCTCTGTCCTGTCAGCAGATCTGCAACGTTCTGCCTTTGAGACACATGCAACTTGCCTGTGCCCTGCGTGAGACAATTGTGGCCCTGATGAGCCCTGGACGTGCATTGTGATGTGATGGATTCCGCATATGTGCTGGGGCTTGCGGTGCCTGAGGTGTCAAGACAAGGACTTATTCGTGACATGCCGGCACATGGGTCGGTGCAAAACTGTGTTTCAGTAAGCCTGGAGGCAACCACAAGCCTTTGATGGAGACAGCACAACAGAGAGCATGCATGGTACGGGGCTTCAGGTGGCGAATGTGGTGTTGAAGACCCCACAGCGCAAGTTCGAGGACGTGCCCACAGCAGGCGAGGGCCCCCCGGCGGTGGGGAAGGCCGGGGGAACCCAATCGTTGGCCGCCAGATCAGGCGCCCTGCGTTCAAACCTGTCAGCGGACAGGCCGCGTCTGCGCGCCGCGCAGCCGAGCGGCCCTGCGGCAGGTTCCAAGCTCAAGACCTTCGGCCCATGAGGGGCAGTTAGTCAGCGCTTCAACTGGCGTTGACCTGTGCATGGCTGCAGAAGACAGGCAGTGATGGCGATCATAGCTTGCAGAGAGGAGAAACACAGGGAGTACTAAAGACTACTTTAGTGCCCCCTGAGGAATATAGTGCTAGGGTCAATGTTGGGATGTCCATCAATGGTGGTGGGGTGAGCAGGCCAATTAGCACAGTGAACATAGAAACAAAGATCAGCTGCAAGCTCTATTGACTGCTGCAGTTTTGTTGCTTTTGGCCGGCTGGCTAAGGACATCTATGCATCACCATGACAGGCTGCACTCTGCAGCATAGCCACCTACACACAGGTTGTTTCTTTATCCTTAGCGCAGGATCTTTTCAAATCATGGGTTCAGGCATGGCTACATTGTTTTGCCAACCTTGCAAGGCCCCAGGGGGTAACAATGGAAAGCTGCTAGTCCGGAATGAGACTTGAAGGACTGGACAAAGTTGAGACATCGTGCTTTCAAGTGATCATGAGGCATTCGCCATGCATGCGACACTTGAAATCCTGTATGTGTTGCCTGATTAAGGTTAAGTTCAGGTCCTAACTGCTCAGGATGAAGCTGGAGGTTTGAAAGTTGCTGATAATGAACTGTACATTCGCATGCGTTGCCACCCGGCACTGTCACAGCTAGCAGAATTCCATTGGCTCGTATTGATTCATTCCTGATTTTTGGTGCTCATGAGCACTATTTGGGACTCTGTTCGTTATCATTGGGCAGACCTCTGCAGCTAGCAAAATCCATGAGAGAATCTCGTTCAGTATGAAGCGCATGCGGGTATGCTACATGGTTTGGGGGGTGCGTTGGTCTGTTGGCGCTTGGGAAATCTGTGACTTGAAATGTTTGCACTGTAAATCGATTACACGTTCGGGTGACCTTGTGGCCCCAGAATCAGCATATAATTGTCACTACATGCGAGGCAGAACTGCACAGGACAATGCCCTGCAACAATGTCCTGGAGCTGCCATTCAATATCACACTTCATGCAAAGTACACACCCAAGAATGGGTGTGCAAGGCAGAGCCTGGCGCTCAGTATTTATTCCAATTGTACATGTGCAAATGAATGGCTTGTATTACCCCGTCATACTCATACTCATCACCATCAGCTTCATTACTGTCTACTGTTCTGTACCTTCTGAGCTGGCCATGGAGGCCAACCTGACTTCATTGGTAAATTTTTCTTTGATCCTACTGATGAAACAAAGGAATGTCCAGGCACCCTTTTCATTCTCAAATAAATTAATCTGAACTACCATATAATAATATGCCTGCTGCATTCTTTGCAGGCCCGTGCAAGCCTGCTCTGCCGGAGTCATGCTGCTTCCTGAGGTTCACTTGTTCCCCTGCGTGCTTGTTTGTACAAAGTTGCACCATTTCAAGCAGTGCCGGTGGTATGGGAGGCACCCAATGTGCCATCCTACTTGCCCCAGCCATAATTGCTGCCCCAGCCGCTGTTCCAGCCGCGGCTGCCAGAGCCAGATCCCCAGCCGGATCCACCCCAGCCGGATCCACCCCAGCCAGACCCGCTGCCCCACCTGAGCATGCACACAGAACCTGGGTTCAGTCACTGGACGCTGCAGATGTCATCTGCTTTCAACACCTGCCCTTTTGTCACAGAAGACACTCATAATGCATAAGGATAAAGCCAGGACTGCCAGACTCCAATGCAAAGGATGCTTTTTCCAACAGATACACTTGGCTGCAACTTGCCTCCAGCAGGACATGCATCAAGAAACAAAACAAAATTTATCACTTGCTTGGCTGCAGTATCAATTATGACACACTTCTGGTAAAGAGCTGAGGCGCTGATCATGAAGCACACAGACAGCACAGTGTGACATCACTGACACGCAGGGAAAAAGAGGGCGTCTGGTGCAGAGCAGCTCAAACCCCCGTACTTGGTCTCGGCGATGGGCTTGAGGGACTCGCGGTTCTGGTCGATGAAGAGAGCGACGTCATTCCACACCGCACTCGGCTGCACCGCCTCGGTCAGGGGGGTGCCCACGTTGTTGGCGTGCTCCATCACAAGCTCGTTGGTCACGCCGCGCGCCGTCTTGAGTGCAGCCTCGTCCGCAGGCAGCACGGCGATGTTGAAGGTCACGGTCTGCACGGCACAACACACAGCTTGACACCTTTGAATTTATGCTGACCAGAAAATTGTGAAGGTACAGTATGCCTCAAGGACAGGACAGGCCCATTTGCAGGCTTTGCTCCTCAAAAGTTGTTAAGCATGCACATGCAGCAGCAATGCCACAGAACGCCGCTAATAATCTTGCAGAAGTGGAAAACCCCACAGTGCCATGGCGCAATTTATCTGGGCGCACACCTTGTCTTCCTTGTTGTAGATGGGATCTTGCAGGGAGATCAGGATGGCCTTGTTGCTGCTGCCGCTGGTCGCAAATAGAACGGCGTCAGGCACGTTCAGCCACTCGCCATTGCTGGCCACGTACTCAGCCCCTGCCGAGCCGTTGGTGAATACTGAGGTGGAGATCAGTCCGGCCTTGGCACCTGCAAGCAGTGCAGGATTCGATCATAATTGGATCAGTCTAATCTTTTGTCCGAAGGTACAATACAAGTCGATCTTGGGAGCACCCTGTTCCACACTGGTGTATGCACTGGCAGTCACACTTGGTGGCTTCTAGCCTGGTTTTCATGAGCCAGTACCAGAATCGCATGAGGGTGTCTTTTTGTAACCAAACAAATTTGCTGTATGCAGGGACAGATCAAAAATCTCACCTGCTCCGTAGTACTGGGCGGTGGAGCTGACGCCCTGCAGCTGCAGGGTGGTCGAGGTGGGGAAGCTGGCCTGCACGGGATCCATCGTACGAAGTCAAGTATTGCAGATCGCTGTGTGATCGGGGATTTTCATGCGACGCAAAGAAGGCAAGGCCAGTGAGCTTAGTCGTGGTGGGCAACACGAGAGTCCGGGGGAGGCGCACCTTCTCGGCGGAGAGCGTGAAGACAAGGTCGGCGATGGGCTTGGACATAGCAGGAGCCGGAGCAGAAGCTGGTGGCAGGTCGCGAGCTCCTGCGAGTAGAATACCAAATTCAGGCTGTAAAGGCCAGACAGCGCAAACTGAAAGGCCCACGAAATGAGACGCGAAGCAATATTACTCAAAGCACGTTCAGGGAAAAATTGTACACGATAATCTTGTGAAAGCTCACCTGCTGCTGCGATGAGGGCCACTAGGACCGCGATGCAGGCAATTGTCCTCATTGCAGGCGACTCTTGGCTGTCGACCTGCGCACAGGGGTCACCCAGAACAGATTACGTGCTGTACAGGCCGTCAGTGTGCACAGTAAATCACAAGTAAGTGCTAATAATAGGTGCTAATAAGTGCTATATCGAGAAAAATATATAGCAGAATTGCATAGGAATGAACAAGGTTGGGTGATGCTTCCAGCATGTACCGGCATTGCCCCGCCAATATGTTCACAGGATAGAAATGACAACTTGTCACAGCGTTGAGTGCCTTCAGTCATTAGAATCCTTCTCTGCATTCCGTAAAACTAATAAATTGCAGAAGGCAGAATGCGCGAAGGCCGACGGGCCAATGCCAGGGGAATGCCGTTGGCTCACCTTGTTCGCTGTCGAGCGGTTGATGCTCGGTCGGGCGGGTGGGTGTGCGGCGAGAAGATCAGAAGGATAGGTGTGAATCTCAGAATGTTTTGCTGGATGCTCGGAGTCTTGCAGCCTTTGAAGGGCTTGTCCTGCTTACGTTGTTACCACACTGGCAACTGCAGCAGAAGTTGATGGGGAACCTCGACTGTACGGACGCGCCTTACGTCAGGAAGAATATCCTTGACTAAAGATTCCATATTATCATAGATACCTTCCAAACAGCAGAATACTGAAGCAAGCAATACCATCAGAGCATCAGAGTGTCAAACCAGAGGACCAATGGCCACGTGGTGCACCACTGTCATAGAACACCTTGCTGGACCGTCCAGTGACTGCATTGTACCCCAGCCTTGATGATTTCCATGCCCCTCACATCAGGACTGTTTGTAAAGACCTCTCTTGTCTAGCGGCTAAGTCCAAGACGCAGATCAGCTAGATACCAAGACTTCTGATATAAGGTATCGAAGTGCAAGTTGAGAGCAAATCTGCAGTGCACAGACTCTTCAGCTGATATTGCTTTCAGCAAAATGATCAAAGATGGCATGGCATGTGCGACCACGCATGGCAAATGTCACCACAAATCAGAGAATTATGTTTCATTCTTTTGTGTGTGCATCCTCTCCTAGTCTAGATTCGCCTATCTTTTGGAGCACGCTCTGCCTTGATGACTGCATTTCTACTTTTCTGATTCAATCTGTAGCCATGCTCAAGCCTGTCGCGCAGCAGGAACTGCCAGCACTTCACCATTGTCAGCAGCTGCGGTCAGCTCCTGGCTGACTTCCCATAGCTTCCGCGCCACATCTGTGTCATAGGAGGCCTTGCTGGACGCCTTGGGCTGGCAGTCAACCCAGTACTTGGAGCTCACACCCTCCACCTCAGGGGAGGAGGCTAGGTAGATACTGGTGGCTGCTCCCTGTACTGGAGTCTTTAGAAAGACACTGGCTGCCTTTAGCAAAGGCACCTGCCACCAGGGCACCGGGTCTGGGACAAGGTACCTGCATTTGCGCATCCATGCCACCCAATCAGCCTCCCTTTTGAAGTTCATGCATGCATATACTCCCAAGTGTTTCTTTTCACATTCAAGACATTTCTCAGGCCTCCGTGATTACTAGAAATAGAACTGCATGCAGGCGCGGACATGCGAGCAAGATGCTCAGCAGTGCTGCGAAGGAAAAGGGGAAATGTTGGGAGTTTACCTTTGGAGCTCTGTCTGCACAACACCAGGGTGAAGTGCGTTGACTGTCACATTTGCATCCAGCGGCAGCCGCCTGGCCAGCTCATATGTGAAGAGCACATTTGCCAGCTTGGACCTGCGCACACACCCAAAACAGTTGGACCTCAGCACGTATCAGAGTGAACGATTAAGCGCCAACCATTGCACTGCCCTCACTCAAATGTCATATGTGGGAGAGAGAGCCTCAGCGGCAATTATGCATCCACAAGAGTGTTCCCAGGCTCAAGCATGCAAGCAAACATGACTGTGATGCTTGACGCAACTTGTCACAGTGACTGGCTGCAGAGCATTATTTGAGGATACAATGCAGGTTTTTTAAAAAATTTGGATGACATTGAAGACTCACTGGCCATATGCAACCCAGGGCTGGTACTTCTGCCGGCTCTGCAGGTCCTCAAAGTTTATGCGCCCAAACATGTGGGCGGACGACGACACATTCACTATCCTGGACGGCCTGCACAGCACACATGCCATCACAATTGCAATTCCAAATTCGTGCGTGCAGACTGAAGTCCAGATATGGGCTGTGAGTTATCTCCTGTGCTAAGGCATTCCTCACGCAAGCCTGAGGTGTGTCTCGTAAGGCAAAATTTCCAGTTTGAGCCTCCCGTGAGACAAAAACCAAGTCTCTATGTGGAAATTTCCTCTGGGGGTCACCTGGAGGGATCTGTGAGCAGGGGAAGGAGCATGGTGGTGAGCAGGAAGTGGCCCAGGTGGTTGGTCCCCAGCTGCAACTCAAACCCATCCTTTGTGCGCAGCTCAGGTGTCGCCATGACACCTGCATGCATGCACCGTACATCACCCCAGCAACAAATGAATGTCCAGACCCCTGCTCAGGTCGCTCGGAGCAGTCAACCTCCAAGGGAGTAGAGTGAACTTCTCTGTTCCATCTCTATTAGCCCAGGAAAGAGAAAGCCCATCCTCAAGCAGCCATCGGGTGTGGGCCCATAGATGCTTGTGCAATTTGCTTTGCCTGCAGCCAAGATACAGGGTACGAGGAGCATGCCTGCATTGTTCACAAGGACATCCAGTGGCCTGCCTCCATCCAAGGCCTTCGTGGCAAAGCTGCGGATGGTTGACAGATCTGCCAGGTCCAGCGAGACTGCTTCCACCTTTGCCCCAGGCAGCCCTGCCCTGCAGTTTGGTATCCCTGTCAATGTGCGGATTGCATCACCTTACGATACGATCATTTCAAGCTTTTGCCATATGCTGAAATACAGTGTGCCAGATGTTTTGAGCACACTTGATCTTGTCCCTCGCAGCCCGCCCTTTATTGATGTCTCGGCATGCCAGCACCGTGGCGTACCCCTGGGATGCGAGTGAATTGGCTGTTTCAAACCCAATGCCGGTGTTGGCTCCTGCAGACAAAGCATACCAGGGTGGCTTGATGCCTTGAATTCTAATGGAGGCATCTATGCCATTGTCGCATCTAGGCTTATTGAGGGATACTTCGGTAGGGTCAAAACAATGCACACCTGTGATCAAAGCGCTCTTTCCGTTGAATGTGACTGCACTGCATGCTACCCCAGAGTATCGCCTTCTCGAGGAGCATGTGAACTGTCTTCTGGAGGTGAACAGGTGGGCAGAGTGACCCGTAAAGGATCGGCCTTGTTGCAACGACATCAATCGCATATATTCTACAGTTCAACTTCTCTGAATACGAGCTTTCTGGCAAAAAATAACCAGGATCTGACCAGATGTTCTTTTCTGGTGAAGCAAGTTTTGTCGTCCCCTCGTTGATGCAGATCTGTCGCAGCTCCTACCCTTGTATTCTGAACTTCTTGTAAGAAAATTGAGTTCCAAATTTGCTCTAATAGAAAGGTTTGCCAGCATGTCCCCACGTGGGTGCATGTGACTGTATACGTCATTGGCTTCCACGGTTTGCTCGTCTTTGCAAGCGCATTGCAACCGCTTTGGTGGGATTCGATATACGATGCATTTCATTGGGGTCTAATACATCGATTCTGTGTCCAGATCGGTGGCCTTGGTCTCCTTCGAATGGCCTTGTCAAACCCCAATGGAAGGCAATCGCCAGCAGCAGGTAAGGCGGTTTAAGATGCTCTTGGCTTACCTACGATGTACAATCTTAAAAATATCATGGACACCCAGCAATGAATCTGATGACACTACCTGGCAGGTAAATATTGCATTCTGATGTGTGGCCACATGCCGCCTAAAGTGGAGGAATGGTAGGACGCAAGCCAAATTTGAGAGACCTATTCTAATTTTCTAACAATTTGTGCGTCCCTGTTATGCGTAATCTGTTATATCCCAGCATACTCTGAGAGAGAGATGCCTACAGCTATGGGCACTTTGGAGACATGTTTGAGGCTTTGCTGAAGGATGAGCCAGCCAGCGAACATTGGGACACGTTCTTCGTCGTTGACGATCACTGGCCTGCACAGGGCTGCCTGGAAACATACGAGGTGCACGCCAAGCACTGCTCCAGCACCCATACATTCTCCATGGGCCCACTCAAGTATGGTAGTCATTGCGCACATTTTGGCACTCTGGTAAATTTCTGGTGATAATAGTCGCGTGTGTACAGGGTATTGTGGTGACAGGGAGTGCGTCCGACTCGTTTGGGACAGATCCATGGATAGTGCGGCTCCGAGATGAGCTGGCAGCGGCCGTGCGCCGAAAGCAGAAGATCCTTGGAGTCTGCTTCGGCTGCCAGATCATGGCCATAGTCCTGGGCGGCTCCGCCGGTGAGCCACAGAACTGCCAAAGATCCTGCAGTAGCAAATAACAAGTGATGGACTCTGCTCTCTTTACTGCTTGGCAACCAGACTGACATTAGCCCTGTGCTGTGTGCAAAAATGTGTGCAGAAAGAAGTGTGTAAAGTGTGCAGGAATGCCGATCCTGCTATGCATCAAGAAAATATTCTGCATGCAGATGCAAGGGCCTGCATTGGCTTTGAAGGAGCTTTGTGAGCTTCAAGGGAGCTTCCCTGTCATGCAGGCAGGGCACTGGTAGGACTGGAGATAGGCACGTGCAGGATAGTCTTCCAGCAGCTGCCAGATCTGGCCAGAGGCCTGCCCTGGGGACACGCCTTACCAGAAGATGGGAGCATAATTGTCCATGAAATCCACCAGGACTGCGTGCTGGAGCTACCAAAGGATGCCACGCTGCTGGCGTCTTCGCCCAAGACCAGGGTGGAAGTGTGGGCGTATGACAACCACGTCCTATGCATACAGGGTGAGTCACCCACTGTCTGTGTATGCGTGCGTCCAGAAAGTTGACAGATGTTCTTTCTTTTCACCAGGTCTCCTGCAACCAGGGCTGTAACGAGCGTAATGAGCAAGACAGGGAACCAGGAACACTGATAGGGGGAATATAGCGTGTGCTTCTGCTAATTCTCATGACTACCCACCTTTCCTGTGACACAGATGTCACATGATGATGCTGTGGTGAGAGCGCACTTGAGCGCGAGAACCTATTGCTAATTTGCATCGTACTGCATTTTGAGTGCGAGGATTTGTCTGGCTCGGCATTGCGAGGCCCCTCAGAGTACTGTATTGAGGAGTGTCTGTCGTGCATGTGCAGGGCACCCAGAGTTCTCGAGGGACTTCATGGACACCCTGATCAGGTGGAGGACAGCCAATGCCCCAGAAGCACTGCCGCAGTCCCAGGCAGATCAGGCACTCGCACAGCTAACTGATCAGCCTGTCACTGCCACAGATCAGGCTGCCTTGCAGCGTTTGTGTCATGCCTTCATTGCAGAACGCACATGATTCCGTGCATGTGGTGTTCTTGTCCAAGTCCTGCTTGGGCTGCTGATGTTGAACAAATTGCCAAGGATACTTTAAGTATGTAAATCCAATTGCAAGTGAAATGGTGGCATTGTCTAGTCCCGCTCTAATTGATGTCTGCATGCTGACCGGAACACCACACGCCGTGAGTCAATGAGCTTGCCGTTTTCTTCTGAAGGATGTCGAATGTCAAATAAACAGTCAGCCGCTGCTTGCGCAAGTTGCTATAGCAACTAGCAGGCACCAGCACACAGCTGGCCTTCTGCCTGATGTGGAAAGCGTGGAAAAAGACTCGGTACATTGCAGCCAGCAAGGTGTAAAATGACACAGGATGTGCGGACAGTGTGGTATTGTCTACTCCCTCTGGTCTGGACTTCTGGAGTACTCTGCTGGACTAGTCATGCTCTGCTTGTGTCGTCTTCTACTCAATTTATGCCATTCTCATGTCATGAAGATGTCAGCCACCATATTATGGCATCTTTATTAAAGAGATATTCTTCCTGACGTAAGGCGCGTCCGTACAGCCAGTCAAGGTTCCAGAGCAAGTTCTGCTGCAGTTGCCAGTGTGGTAACGACGTATGCAGGACAAGCCCCTCAAAGGCTGCAAGACTCTGGAGCATCCATCAAAAAGTTCTGAGATTAACGCCTATCCTTCTGATCTTCTCACCGCACACCGTCCCGACCAAGCACCAACTGCTCGACAGCGAACAAGGTGAGCCAACGGAATTCCCCTGGCATTCAAAGATTGGTACTTCCGCCTTCACGCATATTCTGCCTTTGACGAGTAATACAATGATTCTACGGGATGCAAAGAAGGAGTTTCAAAAATGAAGGCCCTTAGCGCTGTTACACACTGTCATTTCTATCCTGTCAACATGTCAGGCGGGGCAATGCCGGTACATGTAGGAAGCATCACCCGACCTTGTGCAGTTCATGCTAGTTTTCATCTCAACATTGCAGCTACTACTTAATTATTGTGTACATTGACGGCCTTGACAGCACCGGCACATGTTCTGAGTGACCCCTGTGCGCAGGTCGACAGCCAAGATTCGCCGACAATGAAGACTTTTGCCTACGTCGCGGTCCTTGCGGCCCTGATCGCAGCAGCAGGTGCATATGCCATAACAGTTTGCCCGAATGTGGCCAAAATTGCGCCGATGATGCCCTTACAAGATTTGCTCCGCATCACATCCCGTGTGCCAGTCAGTGTGCGTCGTTTGAGTGTGAGCCTTCAAAGCATGAAATTTATGTTCATCTATGTAGGCGCTCTCGACTTGCCACCAACTTCCGCTCCTGCTCTCTCTCCTGCGATGCCCAGGCCCATCGCCGACCTTGTCTTCACGATATCCGCCGAGAAGGTGCGCCTCCCCGGATCACTCGTGTTGCCCACCACAACCAAGCTCAATGATCTTGTTTTCTTTGCGTCGCAAGATAATTCTGAATCACGTAGCAACCTGCAAGAATTGACTCGGTACGATCGATCCCGTGCAGGCCAGCTTCCCCACCTCGACCACCCTGCAGCTGCAGGGCGTCAGCTCCACCGCCCAGTACTACGGAGCAGGTGAGATTTTGATCTGTCCCTGCATACAGCAAATTTGTTTGGTTACATAAAGACACCCTCATGCATTTCTGGTGCTGGCTAGAAGCCACCAAGTGTGACTGCCAGTGCATACACCACTGTGGAACAGGGTGCTCCCAAAATCGACTTGTATTGTACCTTCGGACAAAACATTCAGAGAGATCCAATTATAAACGAATCCTGCACTGCTTGCAGGTGCCAAGGCCGGACTGATCTCCACCCCAGTATTCACCAACGGCTCGGCAGGGGCTGAGTACGTGGCCAGCAATGGCAAGTGGCTGAACGTGCCTGACGCTGTGCTCTTTGCCAACAGCGGCAGCAGCAACAAGGCCATCCTGATCTCCCTGCAGGAGCCCATCTACAATGAAGATGACGATGTGCGCATGATAATTCCATGCATGCATTGATTCAAAAGATATGCACACGAGAGTTTGCACAAAGACTCTTTTGCCTGTTTTTCCCAGCTTGAGGCAAATATCTGCGGTGCTCCTGCTGCTGCATGTGCAAGCCATGACAGAGTGTAGGGAGAAGAGCCACCCGATAAGCAAAGCACATGCCTGATCTTCTCAGAAGTTCTGACTTGCAGCTTCCTGGTAAGTTGTTGCAGAGATCACTGTCTCAAGCTGTGTGTTGTGCCACGCAGACCGTGACCTTCAACATTGCCGTGCTGCCTGCCGACGAGGCTGCACTTAAGACGGCGCGCGGCGTGGCCAACGAGCTTGTGATGGAGCACGCAAACAACGTGGGCACACCCCTGACCGAGGCGGTGCAGCCGAGCGCGGTGTGGAAGGACGTGGCTCTCTTCATCGACCAGAACCGCGACTCTCTCAAGCCCATCGCCGAGACCAAGTACCAGAGGTGAGCCGCCCTGCAACAGACGCTCTCCTTTCCCTGTATGTCATGTGATACCGTTTTGCTGTCTGTGTGCTTCTTGAACAGCGCGTCAGCTGCTCAGTACTTCTTTCCTCTTGATGCTTGACTCAGGATGTGTGTCAGAGCGGCTTTAGTCATGGGCGTCTGCTTGAAGCTATATTGTAACACCCAGCCGTCTGGTTCGTTACAGCCTTTGGCAATCCCTGCTGGTCACTGGCATATGGTAGGCATACGATGTGGCATACGATGAATTTCATCACCCAGCTGCCTAAGACCAGAGTGGACATGATGCTATACTTGTCTTTGTAGAAGAATTGAAACCCGCCTTCCTTGATGACAATTGAAAGGTGGCATTTCTGTGCTCCTACGGATGCCTGCTGCATGTTGTTAGGTTAGGCCTGTGTGATGATCGGGCGCAAGTCTGTCTAGTATTTGACATCCGCAGCTTCCCAGTGGGTCAACCCAGGTTGTGTGCATGCTCAGGTGGGGCAGTGGGTCTGACTGGGGTGGATCCGGCTGGGGCTCTGGCAGCCGCGGTTGGAACAGCGGCTTGGGCAGCAGCTATGGCTGGGGCAAGTAGGATGGCACATCGGGTGCCTCCCATGCAACCGGCACTGCTTTGAAGCCCATGATGCAGCCTTGTACAAACAGCCAGGCAGGGGAACAAGTGAAGCTCAGGAAGCTGCCTGGCTCTGGCAGAGCAGGCCAGCGCGGCCCAAGCAAAGAAGTTCTTTGAACGAACGCAGCAGGAAATTGTTGATTATAATTCGTTTGAGATAGAAAAATTTGCCCAAGTATTCATTTGTTTCATCGGTAGGATCAAAGAAAAAAAAATGAGTCAGGTCGGGCTTCAGTTTGGAACTTCCAAGGTACTGTTGACAATATGGCAGCGCAGCAAATTTGCGGAGCACAAGCAAGGAATGTACAGTATTCTACGAAGCGTGCACTTAGTAGCACTGGAAAGTACATGGCATTCTCTGTTTTGCTGTCTTGGTGGGATCAAGAGTGGACTCAAGAATTTAGTCAAGGCTCAATGAACATGGCATGGAGGTTTCTCCTTGGCAGAGAATTGTACTACAGCTGAGGGTGGACGATTATGATCTTGTTTTTCATGATGTCTGAACATGCAACTTTACAATAATAAGTGACCGCAAGGATGCTCTTGCAGCTCAAGTCTGGGTGTATAGCCTGTAAGGAATAAAGCTGTTCTAAGATGTGTCATTGATGATCACCACACGCTCAGCTCCATGGAAGAATGCGCAGTAGGCCGCCAAAATGCCAACTGGCCAGATAATCACGAATACGTCAGCACACATCATATTATTTCACACGCTGTTCCTGCCAGAGGAAGGTGCATCCGCAGACAAGCTGCAGGTGCAGGCTCCTGAGTTAATTCTACCGGCAGCCAAGTGCTGACCGGGTCACCCTGTCAGGATTCTCGGAATGTGCATTTCAAGCAGAAAGTGTTACATGTGTGTGTGTGTGTCATAACAGTACTTGTTGGCCTCAATGCCCACTCTTTGAGGCAACTGTGCTCTTCACTTCGAAGAATTGGCAACATCTGACTTGCATTCCTATGCCAACTTGGTTGAACTTTATGCATACAAACAACCGGCAGTGCATGCCAGACTTGAAAAGCTAGCTAGCTATAGGTCGGGAAGCCAACACCATTACAGAAATAGGACAGCGCAAGTCTGGATGCATGCTTTGTTGCATCAGGCAGATTTTGGCAAATCTGGATCTTTAACAGGTGAATTTTGAACCAGATTTCTGACGAGAGGCAGATCCCCAGCTTCCTGGGCAGCTGCACATGAGGTAAGGACGTAAGCACACGCACTGATAGCGTAAAGTTCTCCATCGGGCTCGAAATACTGCAAACTCCAAGAAGCAACACTAAAATCTCCAAGCAACGCATCATCTGGTGGTATATTACCTGACAAATCTCACGCACGACCAACCATCAAGGATCTACTGACCGAAAAGGTGAGCATCGAGCTTGCCCCAGGCATTGCCCTTCCCGCCTTCACACATCCTACCTTCTCTACCTTCTTACGTTGAGGTGTAGACGATTATTGAGTGAAATGTCATCTTTTAAGGACTCAAAGCACGACATCGCACTGTCGCAAGGAATCTTGCGAAGGTCTGTTCAGGCCATGCCGGTACAAGCACACGCGCCTCAGCGTTGGGTATCATATCCTTGGAGCTGTTTGCTATGAGTACCTTAAGGAAACGCAGACCTCGCACCCGCGCTTACGATCGTCACCTTCACGTTGAGATGGCTTGCCTGGCACCTCTGCGCAGGCTTGCAACGGGTGTGGAGGCTTAGTCATACGGAATGAAGACACTTGCGTACGCCGGGGTCCTTCTGGCCCTGTTTGTAGCAGCAGGTGAGTTTCAAGGCGGATTCTTTCACTAATTTCACCGAGAAATTCAAGTTTTAACGAGAAATTCAGGTTTACGGTAATGCTTCGTCACCGCATCTCAACCAGAGTCACCGTAGAACACACTCCTTGAGTAAGGCAGCGTGGCGATATGCGTACAGGAGCTCGTGACTTGCAGCAAGCATCCGCTCCCGCCCCCGCAACGTCCAAGCCCATCGCCGATCTCGTCTTCGTGCTTTCTGCCGAAAAGGTGCGCCTCCTTTTTTGTCCGTCATCCTGCCCACCACGAACAAGCTCAGTGTCTTACATCTATTGTGTGGAATCAACCAAAGTCTCTTCAAGATCGCTGCACAACGTTGACTTGGTCAGACTCTCCCACTGCAGGCCAGCTTCCCTTCCTCTAGCACCCTGCAGCTCAAGGAGGTCAGCTCCACCGTCCAGTTCTATGGAGCAGGTGAGCAAAGTGCCTTTCCCCGTGCAATCACTTGCGACCAGCGCTTGTTGTGATTCCACCCTACTGCGCTGGCGCAAGTCAATTGACCCGGCACTGCGCCGCAGATCATAGCAGATATTTGATCGAGCTCAAGACCAGGTTACACTATTACTTGTCATCGTGTGGACCATGCAGAGGCAAGCCGTAGTATATCTGTTCCCATGTTCATACTAGCAGACCCCAGAAGATCTACTTGAATTGTGTCGTGACCTCATGCTCTGCAGGTGCCAGGGCCGGACTGATCTCCACCCCGGTGTTTTCCAACAGCTCGGCAGGCGCAGAGTACGTGGCCAGCAACGGCGAGTGGCTGAACGTGCCTGACGCCGTTCTGTTTGCCAACAGCGGCAGCAGCAACCAAGCCATCCTTCTCTCCCTCCAAGACCCCATGTACAATGAAGATGACGAGGTGTGCCCCAAATACCTTCAATGCCCGGGTGATCACATTCCAGTTGGCTGTCTGTGCATTTGTTGCTTGCGCTCTACAAGTTGATCAGGCAGGGTGTGCGTGGCCCTTGTCTCATGCAAAGGTGCCATTTCCTGTGAGCACAAACTAGACACATGCCACAAGACTACTTGCCCTTGCCAGTGCAAAAGGGCACTGAATTCTCCATTCTGGAGTGATGGATGACTAAAGGCCCTGTGTCAAATCCCTGTGCAGACCGTGACCTTCAGCATCGCCGTGCTGCCTGCGGACGAGGCCGCACTCAAGACGGCGCGCGGCGTGACCAACGAGCTTGTGATGGAGCACGCCAACAACGTGGGCACCCCCCTGACCGAGGCGGTGCAGCCGGGTGCGGTGTGGAAGGACGTGGCGCTCTTCATCGACCAGAACCGCGAGTCCCTCAAGCCCATCGCTGAGACCAAGACCTGGTGGTGGTGAGCTGCTTTGCATCCTCTCCCCTGGATCATTTCCCCCTGCTTATAAACCCTGGCAGACGCACCTTGCCTCTAGCAGGAAAGTGTTTATAAGAACACTAAGAAACCCCGCTGCCCGGAGGACATGTGAAAAGCTTCACCTGTGCGGTTGCTTGCTTGCTAGCCGCAGTGGTTTCAAGCGCATCTTCTCTGCTTTGTCTTTCCTAGTTCTTGTTCTCTGCAGCGGCAACTGTAATGCAGCCAGTACAGTACTTGGGCTTTGTGCAAGTGCACCCTCTGCCAGATATGTCTATTTGCTCATGAGCGCTCAAGGCCAGTGTAGCTTGCTTTTGTACTTGTTGTCAGCAGGCGAAAATAAGGAGAACTACTTGTAGAACTAGTTTATTTTTGTTAATCCCCCTGTTGTCAGGGGACCATCACGGTGCACACAGCCTTTCTGTGTTGCCGCTCAAGCGTGCGCTTGATCGGCAGATCCGGTGTGGAAAGCAGGAATACTTCAATTTCTCTCATTTACTTGTCTACCTTCTTCTGATGAGCACTGTGCCTAATCAGGTGGGGCCCTGGCTGGGGCGGGGGCTGGGGCGGCCGCGGATATAACCGCGGCTGGGGCGGCTGGGGCTGGGGCAAGTGAGTCACCTGCCAGCATGACAAATGACTCATCTGCCAGCTCAGCTGCGGTTATGGCTGGGGCTCCGGGCATGTGAGCACTTGACTGCTGCTGTGGTGCAAGCTGCTGACAAAGCTGTGGACCAAACAGTGCAAGCTTCAGAGCAAGGCAAACTCCCAAGATGGACTCAGCACTGCAAGCATCAAGCGAAAGGCAAATACTCAAGAATATGGACAATAAAGCTCTGAAGGGCTGACCCAAATCCATGCGGATAGATTTGATGTAGGGTAGATTTTGTTTGCAGGGCATGCGGCAAGTAGACTGTAGGATTTGACATCTGTAAATTCGTGTATTTTATTACTTGAGGAACCTTCAAGACAACCAAGGCTACCAAGACAAGAACCAGGAAGATCGTATGAACTTAAGAGTTGAAGGTCAGGTTCATGAAGTGGAACAAGGTGATGTGATGTATGGTGTCAGCGCCCACACAAGGCCCAGTTCGTCCAGGAGAAATTACAATTTTGTTCGAATCCATTCTGGTGTTTAAAGCCATTCAAGAAACAGAAAATGATGAGTCTTTACTGGCCGTGCGCAGATGAACACATTGCTGGATTTCAGACAGGTTTTGATTGTAATGATTTGATTTGAAACCCACATCTACACTGCTGCTCACGCGGCACTAGAGCTGTGCCTGGGGGACTTGCATGCATGCTTCTAGCTAGAGCTCTTACTGTGCCAATCTGGGTACATGCCCTTACATCAGGCTGCGAACAGTCTGGGGCCACACAGGAAGAAATGAGCGGTTAGGAAACGCGTTACTGACTCTGGCTCAAGCTTGCAGCACAAACACGAATCTTAGTTGGGCTGTAGTTCTGCTCTGTAGTCTGAACAAATCGGTGGCCTCAACATGCAACAGTCCAGCAATCCCCTCAGGCCAAATCATAAACGGTGATACTGAACTGATTTTGGCTAGCTAAATCTAACGTGCACTCCTGAGCCAGAGGAGATGAATGCCGTCAGTTGTGCTATCACAGTCTCTGACTGTCAAACACGGCGGTTGGCAGTATGTCTGCAAGCATTTATCTACAAGAAGGACCCTCGTGTGTCCCAGATGCGTGTGTGCCCAGAAAGGCCAGCATGCAGCCCACGGCTTCTGTGCATGGCACACTGCATGCAGAATACTTGAGCTCTCACCACCAAGAATGGTACTATTCCCAGGGCATGAGTAATCACTGACATTGCCCTCTGGTAACTTCAGGCGTTTGCCGCGCAATCTGCAACATGCGGTGCGCTGCATAGCATTGACATACCAGAAAAGGGTGCATGTTCCTCTCTGCATGACACGTCCAAGCGTAGCCAGCATGCTTCCTGGCCATTGCCTCGCATGGGATGTCACTTATTGCAAGATGCCCACAACCACAGAACCAGAAAGTCAATTCCGCCCAATGCACCGGCCGGTGGTCCACCAGTAGATGAATCTCAGGTGGTCGTCACAGGCTTTTGATGTTCATTTTGCTACGTGCAGACAGTGCTTAGGGCTGCCCAGCCTGTCAAAAGACTTCTGGGATACCCCGTCTGATAGAATATTTGTGGGAATCTTTGGATGCTTGCGCACCATGCGAACCCAAAATCTTTGGCTTCCCCGCCCCTTCCGCCCAACATTACGTACAGGATGAAAGAGGTTTACGAGACGGCCGATATGAAGCTTCACGAGCCGTTCATTCAAACATGACGACACACTTCCACTGATCTACTGATCTTGAGCTAGCTGGCGGTATAGAACACCTGATTTGCAGACTCAAGGCATCTCCACACGCGCCACCGCGAAACAACTCACCACTGCAGGTATTGCTCCATGCTAGGTGTTGCTCCATGCCGTGCGTTTCCTACCATTGCTGGGCCGGTAGAGCTAGCTTTTTACCCCATCCACCACATACTGGTGGTAATTTCATCTCTTTGAGCTGCCTTTTGAGCTCCAAAGAGCCGGTAGAGCAGTTATTCAGCACAGCTGTGTGTGTCTCTACCGTGCCAATCGTTTCATGACAATGCAGAGCAGCAGCGCTGCCGGAGGAGCTGCATTTGAGCCAAGATGAGTTCAAAAATGGCTTTGTTGACGTTTGCGGTACTCTTCGTCGCTGCTGGTGAGTGTCGTACAACTTCGAAACTGAATCAGAAGCTGATTGACCGTTTCTAATGCGCCGTTTCTTTGGGAGAGTGTCTTTCACTAGCGCTGATTTAGACTTGAGCAGTTACACCAAACTTTAGTGGGGCATTTACGAGCGGGCTTGGGCGCGCTTTGCAGCGATCTGGAGTAGCATCGGAACGGACGTGCTTTGTCACGCCATGCTTTCCTAGTCACCGTTTCTTGTGGGAGTGCCTGTTTGTACTTAAAAATGTGTGATGGCAGTAGTGTAGGGGTCTCTAAAGCTATTCAGGACGTGGTGCTTGCCATTTCGCTGTTTTTCTATGGAGCTTCAACGGTCGTAATGGGCGCAGGTGCACGCAACTTGCAGCAGGCTCCCGCCGCCGCGCCAGCCTCCAGTGGCAAGCCCGTGGCGGATCTTCTCTTCGTTTTGTCTGCTGATAGCGTGAGTGTGCCCCCCTTGCCAGCTTACCCGAGGACAAGTCTAGAGCACGGGCCCATGACTTCCAAGGTTTTGGCCGCCTCAGCAGATGCCTTCAGCAGGATTGTTGCCCAGTCGATGACTGACATGATGGGTCGTTGGGACTGCGCAGGCATCATTCACAAGCCCAACAACCTTGCAGCTCGAGGGAGCAACATCGTCCGTTCAGTTCTATGGATCAGGTACGCCCGCCGCCGTTGCTTACTTTCGACCTGCGAGTAGAGCTCCGTCATACTGGATATATCCTTGTACGCCAGTTTTCGGATGCAGACATATCGGTCGCATCGTGTCCCAGCTATTCAGAGCACCTGGCGTCTGGTAATGTTTTGCAGGGGCCCGCTGATAAGAGCATGGCAGGCTGACATTGCTATGCTGTGCTCCTGCAACAGGCGCGCGCGCAGGAGTCATCCTGACCCCTAAGTTCCTCAACTCCAGCGCGGGAGCAACCTATGTGGCTGCAGATGGCAGCTGGCTGGATGCACCAGATGCTGCTCTGCATGGCACTTTCAACGGCTCGCACAGGGCCGTACTGCTGTCTCTCTCAAGCCCGCAGTATGATCCTGCAACATGGGTACGCCTGTATCCGGCAGTTTTTTACTGTTGCTCAGGTGCATGGCTGAATATTAACAGGGTACAGCTGCCTGAGATAGTTTGCATTAGCGGGAACTGCCACTGTTGATCACATGCAAGGGAACTTTCTGGCATCGCAACGCATGCAAATCTGCGATCGGTGCTGTCTTGCATTGATTGAGGATAATTTGTGCTGCTCCTGCCTCTGCGCGTAGATGTGTACCCCTAAGGTACTACCTTATGCTTGGGTAGTAGATTTGCTTTGAAAATATACAAATTTAGTTTAGGCTTGCTGAGATGTGCATTTGCATGCATGCAGACTGCCACCTTTAATGTGAAAGTGCTGGAGGCTGCTGAGAGCGGCCTGCGCGTCTCCAAGGGCGTTGTCAACGAGCTTGTGGCTGAGTCAGCCGCCGGCAGCGGACAGATCATCCCTGTGATCCAGGCACGCACTCATTTAATTTGCTGGTAAAAATGGTGTAGGGGATTCTTCCTTCTCAAAATCTTAATTTGCCTCTGCGCTCAGCCCAACTACTGAAAATGTCTTGAACAATCTGGTTTGCTTGGGCAGCGAGCTCTACTGGGTTTCATGCTGCCAGTCTAGCAGGTCAAGCAGAGCCTGCAATTGGGGCATCTTTCTGGGCGCATGTTGTGTGATCACCAGATGCCGCCGCAGAGATACCGGACATCATGCTATCTGTACCACCTAGCTGCAGTTCGAGAGGGGCAGCAGCATGGATGTGTTTCCAGGGGCGTGTCATGCTGAGGGGTGTGTCTGTCTGGGTAATACAGGAGGGATCGGTGTTGACAGACGTGGCGCTGTTCATTGACCAGAACAAGGATTCGCTGCAGCCCATCGCCGAGACCAAGGTCTGGTGGTGGTGGTGGGGACGGTGAGTGCCATCAAATTGTTCTGCCCTTCAAGTTTCTGAAGTTCTCTGCCATATCCAAATTTACTCTATGGAACATTCCCCTTTTGGGGCTTGTTTCCAGTGAACTCAGCAATCGACTGAAATTTTGTTGCGTAAAAGTCCCTGGTAGTGTCCTGCATGGAAGGATGTGCAAGCCTGTGTCTGATGCATCAGGCTTTCTGCCTTGAGATTACAGAATTTTGCCCGCCAGATACAATCGCCCTGTGATACTGCCCTGCATGCCTGCTGATGCTGCTCTGCAGCTTAACAGGGCTGTCGGCCCTTTACGAGGCATTTGTGGACTCTTTTTCTGATACTCATGAGGAGTTCAGAGCGAATTTCGCACTCATGCGGCTGTCATGCCTATTGTGGTATATCTTGTGGGGGTGAGGCAAAGTTGAGAGGGTACATTTGGTGTTGTGTGCAGGCCCACCTACTACTATCCGTACTACGGGAATGGCTGCGGATATTACGGGTGCGGCTGGGGCTGGGGCAAGTGATTATATGCCAGCTCAGGTATTACATCACCTGCCAGCTCAGCAAGTGAGTCACCAGCCAGCTCAGCCGTGAGGGCTGCCCAACCCACCAAATGCTAGCAGCAATACGGCCTTGCAACAGGCAGCAAGTTGGGCAAGTGCAAGAAGTAATCTCTGTAAGGGTGCAATTCTATCGCTAGAAATCTGCAGGGAGTCGAAGCAATTGAATTCCTGCATTGGGAAGGCTGGCTGCCCTCGGTGCTTGGCACTGTATTCAAGGCCCCACGATGGTCAAGAAGTGGCTTCATCAGTAGATTTTGCCTCAGAAGCTTGCGATGCCTATCTGACAGGCGGGATGAATGAAAGCCTGCACTTTGATGTGTGTGTGCCTTGCGCCACCTGTGCAAAAGAAGTGTGGCGTGCATTGCAGCAGCGCAGGTCAAGAAGTAAATTCAGAAAGCAGCACTGGTTGCTGTTGACGCCGTTGCACAATCTTGCAACGCCTCAAGCCTTTGCAATGGGACATAGTCTTTGGACATGCCTGATGTTGTTTTATTTAATTTATGTGAGTGGTGTTATATGCTGCGAGAGCATTTCATTCAAAAGCCAGGATGCCTAGCGTGCTTTCCTTTGCATTCTTCCTGCGACAAGGAATGATGAGCGATGGGACTTTTTCCGCTGCTTTGGCCAACTGTGGCATGTCGACTGATTGACAGGTTTTCCAGTGTGTAATATTTAATTTATCAACTCCGTAGACTGATCATTCCCGCGCATGGCACATTCCTGCAGCCGCCAAAGACAGCGGACGTTCAACCACTCACCTAAATCACCTCTTTTTCTTCAGTGCACACTATTGTGATAAGAAGTCATGGCATTACAGATGCACACGTGGATATAAATTGACAGGGACACCTCGCTAAAACAGTCATTGTCTGGTGTAGCGGGTGCGCTGTGCACCTTCAACAAACTTGGTATTGGCAAGACAAATATCATTCTCAGCCCCGCACACACCCTCAAAACAGCCATCTCAAAACATCATCATGCAATTGGGCTTCTGCACTGGCAGGTGCAATCATCAATGAGCAATACAATTTCAGCAGCTGCATCACAAGCTCACAGGCATTCCATCCCAGCCACAGTGGGAATCATTCATTCCCTGCTTGATAGATTTCTAAATTTGAAACCTCCCTCATTCGCCCTAAATACCCACGTCGTTTCTACTTTCATTGCCCCTACAAAACTGGTGTCGTTGGTTCATTGACAGCACAATGCAGTTCCTCTGGTGGGGCCAGTCAATGCCTCCATTCTGTTGATCCCTGGTGTCATTAATCCAACTGGCATTTGTCAGGAGTTGCCTGGTTTGAGCATGTCAAGGGACGGCCTTCAACCACTATATCATGGAGACACGATGAATGCCACGACAGCCCCGTTCTACCTCTTGCTCTTCAGCAGCAGCGAAATCCGCCGCACAGATCACAGTTAGACTTCTGTCAGGCTTGTCTATATTGTGCAGACCCGGCCTCACAGCTACATGTCACAGCCCCAATGCCGACTCTTCCGCAGCATGGCTCTGTTCTGTCCTGCAGAACAGACCATCTGCCTGACCCATGACTGAAGCTGCTGCATCCCTTGATAAAGGCTGCAGGGATTCTTGAAAGCCACCTGGTGCTTTAGACCTGTCAATCCCATCTTCCAGCATTTGAAGCCCCGACGCCCACTGTGATTGTCGTTCCCCTTGTGTTGCTTGAAGCCCCCACAGGAGCCTGCGCTACATTCTTCCAGGGCAGGAAAGCCCACAATTTTGTCTTGAAGCTCAATACAAGCTGCACTCTCTGGCAGGGCATAAGGAGCTCACAAGTTTTGACTTGAAGGGGGCTGCTCAGTCTTGCTTGACGCCTTCCACAGCCTCGGGCATGTTGTAGATGGAGTAGAGGAAGGCTGTGCTCCAGGCCGTCAGCAGCACCGGGCCGATGGGGCCAGCGTTGCCTGCACAACACAGAGTTTTGGCATAGTGAATAAACTTGGGGTGGCACTCATCTGACGGGCAATGGCCAATGCACAGCAGCCATCGCCCACCAGATGAGATGAAGTCTCGTCTTGAAAGATTTGTGATTTGATCCCAATTTAAATGAGGAAGGGTGCTGTGCAGTGTTTGCTCTCACAAGGTTCTCTCTGAAGAACTCATCAGGAGTTGCTGAACAGATGGACTATACAGGGCCCTCCTGCCGGTGCTGATATTTCCAACCCTTCAGGGCAAGATCTGCAAAATCCACTGCCAAGCGAATGCAGGTGACTCGACAGAGGGGAGGCACCTGTGAGGGCGGCCGTGGTCAGCACGATGACGTGGACGAAGGCAACGATGAAGAGGATGGAGTTCTGGATGAAGTGAGTCAGCGTCGCCAGCTGGCGCGCATCCGCCGTGCTCTGCACGCACCCAACAATGCACCCCTCACAAACACCCCTTGCAAAGACACCCCTCAAGCCTCACATGACGTTCTGCAGTTTCATGTGTGTCTCTACAAATGGCATGCAGTCCTGAGCATCATGTAGAGCTCTGCAGCTTCATGTAGGAGCTCTGACAATGGCATGCAGGCTCACACTGACCCTCACAGCATTGCAAAGACCCATGAAGGCATATTTGGATCTGCTTGGAGTCTGGAGACAGATATGCAAACAGTGGTATTTCAAACTCTCAGTATATGATGTGATCCAAGCAAGGGATAAACGCACACATGGCACATGCACAGGATAAGGAGGGTGCAGGCTTCTGAGGAATCTGTGATGCATGCATGCGGACGAATGTGGGCAAAGGTTGCACCTTGAGGTTGTAGGTGGCCACTGGCACGATGATGTGCGCGCTGGCCGCAACCAGCTCCCACAGCAGGACTGCAACCTGACTAGGCACCCGGTTGGTCGCCGCCTGCATGCATGCAAATTTACAACTCAGTCTCAGTTATGCAGGCGTCTTTGTGTGACATGCTTCTTCTACAGGGGCATTTCAAGCCCTGGCACACTGATGCAGTGCTAACAGCAAAGTCAGACTTCCAAAGGACGAGCTTTCCCTGCCAAGAGGGCAAGGTGCGCCTGCAGAGTAGCTGCAGGCGAAGGCAGACAGTATAATCATGTTCACATTTTGTACAAATCCTTGTACAGATCCTTCCAGATGCATGACCATTGTTGGTTTAAGAGTACCACTCCTACTCGAAGCGATGGCAGCATTCAGCCATCACCCACGTCGGCTCTTTCATGCTTCGAGCATGACCCTGTGTCGAGGCATGGCATGAAAGGCATGGGATTCTATGTTTTGGTAGAACACTATTGGTAGGGTAGGAGAAAGGACACGGGGGCCACCTTGAGGGTCTCCGAAGGGAAGAGCAGGATGAGGACCCCTTCCACGAAGAAGAAGGTTGCGTATGCGAGGTAGATGCCTCCGCGGCGGGTGCGCACGTTGCGGCTGTCCGACGCGATGTCGCACAGCACGCCCGCCGGATTCTGCTGCGCCAGCACCGGCCCCGTGGCCGCCAGCGTGTTTGCCAGCACCGCGCCCCACGCCCTGCGCAGGATTAGGACAGTCTCGCATGTTGTAGAAGCTCGATTGCAGTGCAAGAACAGAATTTAAGTCCAAGCTCTGCTCTGTCGGCAAACTGATTGCAGTGTTGGATCAATGTGTTTGCGGCAACCCTCTCAGGGCATCCCCAGTTTGAATTACCGGAACCTGAAGAAAGGTTAGATCTATCACTCAGACTCCTTCACAACCATCTGCCCCCTGGACATCCTCATTAAATAAGTGTGTTGGCCACAGCACAGGATTTTTTGGGAGTTGCAGAGCTGCTTGCCTTACCGAGGCTGGTACCCAAGATGGTCGAATGAAGCAATCTTGTGTGGAGCAAGAGAGGAACAGGGCAGATCAGGGCAATGATGGGTGGCGGCTCACATGAGGGCGGTGCGCTGGAAGAGGCCCTGGTTGAGCAGGGAGAGGATGAGGGACAGCGCCGCCCATGCAGCCAAGCCCAGGTTCAGCCTCGCGTACACCTTGGCATTCAGCACATTCGCTGCCGCGGCTCTCTGCGCGAAAACAAGCCCATGCACGCTCACAGTCCCTCACTTGCAGCAGCACAATGAGAAGAGAGTTGCCTGGCTGTTGTGACGAAACAGAGGTACCATCCACCACGATCACACACAGGTATTTTCTATTACAAGCTCCATGGGAAGGTGACTTGACAACAGAAAGTTGATGTCAGGTCATGTACGCTCAGTGCAAAGCTGCATGCAAGTGCTTGAAGCAAACTGGGGTCTTTAAGCCCTCTGATTGCTGCATGCATGCGGGGACAGGACCACATGAAAGGACAGCCTTGTGACGTATCTTGCATGATGCGTGTAACACATGAAGTTCTAAGGGCAGGCCAGAAAATGCACGCCTGCAGGAGGTACGAAGCCAGAGAGGCGCCGAGGAGGGCAGCCCCAATGATGCCCAACTCCACCAAGTAGACTGGGTCCAGCTTGTATTCTGGGATGCCCATGAATGACTGGGGGCGCAGGGAAATCTCTGGGATCTCCCCACGCTTCACCTGTGATGAGGTCACACCAGTCATATTACACCGCTTCCAGCCAAAGTAGGGCCCCTCTGATTCAGTGCCTGACTCTGATTTTCAAGGTGAGCGCCGTGCCTCACATGCAGTCACTCGGTCACATTGCATCGCATCGAGCTAGGACTCATCCAATGACTCTGATTCTGGAAGTCAGCCCCCAGCATGACATGCAAGCACTTGGAAATATCTTTGCCACACTTACAGAGCAAACTGCCAGAAGTGCTGCATCATAGAAGGGCAATAACCGAAATTGTTACTGATATGTATATCACCTGCTCCGCTGCATCCTTCATGGCGTTTTTGGTGGACTCCCCTGGCTGCAGCACGCCGTTGCCAAATGCCAGGTACGCCACCTGAGACACAATTGTGAAAGAGTCATATATCTAACAATACTGAGACGATCTGCTTACCACATGCTCCCTTGGTAGCAGAGTGTCCATTTTGTGTTGGCCATTTGCTTAGCTTAGACGAAGTTTTCATGTGTGCACTTACACCAGGTACTTGAGGCTGCACGGTAGGCAGACATGCATGAAGTGCCTGAAAATTGGCAAGCACTTGCACATGAACCTGCACATGCTGCATCAAGGGCCATGCATGCGTCAGCTGAGGCTTGACAGGGAGCACCTTCTCAGGGAAGGCCAGGATTGAGGCGCCCAGGAGTGCAGTGGTGAGACTGACACTGGCATAGGCAAGGGCCACCCTCTTGTTCCGCGCATCATCTGAAGTCGTTGCCCTCCGTGCCTGCGAGCAATGCACAGCACCACTGAGCCTTGGTTTTCCACGGAGCTTCCGGCCAATGACTGGTCCTGTTGTGCGCTGACTATTTGCCTAAAAGCCGGCGAAGAATGCCGCCGGAACGTTGGCTGGGATGTAGCACATTATGCAAGACATGCTGTAATACTGATCCTGGAAAGGACTGAAAGCTGCTGACGTGCAAGGGACAGTGAAGAGACAATGCATGCAAAGGCAACCTCGTCTTTGTATGAGCCGTGACCCCCGCGCCACTTCTTGGGATCGATCTTGTCAGATTCAAGACTTTCCTCTGACTCCTCACGCTCGCTCTTCTCCCGTTGCTGAGAGCAAGGACAGATAACAGGTCACAGGTCATTTTTCTATCCTTCAGGGCACAAAAGTGGTCGGGAAGGGATGCGATGCTGGACGGAGCAGTGCAAATACCTCGCTAGCTTCTGCCGCCATGATGTACCTTCTTCCTTTCCCTGCATCCACTAAACCACGTCAAACGCATTGCAGGTGCAGGTGGATCGCGGCGGATCACACATGCGTCAGGACAGATTGTTCGGTAAGTGCAGACCACGTCAATGCAAATTGTTTTGCAGGAATATCATGATGCACAAACATATTAATCGGACTGATCACTGCTCGATCTGGATTTCGGACGACGGAAGCCAACCTTGTCACTCACAGCCAACTGATCTGCTAAACTATACGACTGCGACACGCAAAGCTCGCGCAGCAAAACAGATTGGTGATGCCGTAGCCTTCGCAAACTTTCAACCAAAATCGGCAGAGGCACGATTGCGTCCTCGAGGAACAACACTCATCTATTTTTGGACAATTGAGTTTTTTGTGGACCCCTAGCTAGGGGCCTGCTCGAGGGGAAAGCCCTTGAACGAACCCTTAAATCTAATCATCGGATCAAGGCCCGTTTGACTGGAGTTCTTGGTGTGTGAATAGGAACTAGATTCACTGAATCCTGAAAAGCACTCCTGCGAGCAAGCCAGTCCTTGACGCAGAGCTTAAAACAGAGTCTGCCTCGAATACTATTGTATCGATCACTTTCATCATTGGTCCAAAATGGCAGATGAACTGAACTAATTACAGCAGAAATTCGAGTAAAAATATGAATCTTCTACACAGGAACTTGAATCCTTGCAATGGTACATTTCTGAGCCACTCTCATCATTGTCACTTGGTGAGTCATAGTACAAGGAAGGCATTCCACAAAAGCAGCCACACACAGCGACAGCCATGGTCGCTAAGCAACAGCACTAGAAGGTGAGCAAGCTGTCGCTTAGCAATGCTTCAAGGGAGTCTACTTTCGTCATGATTCTAAATAGTGATGCCATGCAGGAGGGCCCCCTGTCTACATGCTTCTGATGACAACTCAGAGAGTGAGACGAGCAAGGTAATCACCATCTCCTGTCTTCAGTCACCCTCTGGCTGCCTGCAGGATCCTCTCAATACAAATTGGACGCATGCACTCTTTCATGCCATGCGCAGGCACCAGCGAGCACAGAGGAGCCACGGCAGGACAGGAACCTGCAGCTGCCCAGTGAGGTCATTCAGCGGCTCAGAAACGTCATCTTTGGCTTTGACTTTTTTGTGACCAAAGTGGAGAACTACCAGGCCAATGGTGTCATCTTCAAAGGCAACCTCAGAGGCAATCCAGCCACCGCATATGACCGCATTGCTGCCCGCTTGAAGGTACTCCCTGTGTGGCTATGACACCTTGCAAGTCTCCATAGTTGCTCCAGCTGCTTAGATGCAACGAAAGTACAACCAAGGACAATTGATTGGCCGTGTGCTGGTGCTGCAATATTCCACATGACCCATTATCACATCAAGGAACGCTCCCTGTCTACTGCCAGTTGACTCTACCTCCTCGAGCTGCTTAGCACAACTGTGTGACTGCAGTCACTGAAATTCTCATCTGACATGGCAGTGATTCATGCATGCGCACTGCCACAGGGTGAGCTTGGGGAGGAGTATGTGCTGTACCTGCTGGAAGACCAGGAAGAGCAGCCAGTGGCTGTCATCTTGCCCAAGGACGCGGCAGAGCAGCCACTGCCTGCCACACAAGAGGTGCTCATCTCTATCAACTTTTTCAATGTAATTGCAGGCTTTTCCTGCCAGAGGCAAGGTGCGTCTGCAGACAAGCTGCAGTAAGAGGCTACCCCTTGCAAACTCGCCAGATCCGAGCAAGCCCAACCAACCTTGGGCATGGTGCTCGGTATTGATACCTGCCCCAGCCAGCCGGGGCCGCTATTTACATTTATCACAAATTCTGCTTGGTGCTATTATCCACATGTGGGGATGCCTTGACGGGGAGTATGGCCAGGAATGATAAACAAGTTGTGCTTGGTTGCAGGCCCTGTTGAGCGCTGCATTTGGCCTTGCAACTCTGGTGACCCTCCTCAACGCCAATGGGCTGCTGCTGCTGCAGCCTGATCAGCTTGACCTTAGCCCCGGCAGTGTCCTGTCTGCCCTGCCTGGCACTATCCTCTTCTTCCTTCTGCTCGGTATGACACAGCCACCTCTAAGCATGCTCTTTTGTGCATATAACCACCTGCATACAACGAACATGTATCCATGCATGCATGCCCAGGATGCAGAGACGCATGAAAGCCAAGCATACCAGCCTGAATCCTATATGATATGAGATGATTTGTTGTCTTTGTAGCACTCAGTGAAGCAATTCCCCTTTCTAATGCCTATTTTTCTTGGTATGCGCAGCGGCGCACGAGGCAGGTCACAGGGTGGCAGCAAAGCAGGAGGGAGTGGAGCTAGGCACCCCGCTCTTCGTGCCGGCCGGCCTGGGCTTTTTGGGCTCCTTCGGTGCGATCACATCCTTCAGGAGCACGGTGCCGGACAGGGCGACGCTGCTGCATGTGGCCGCATATGGCCCGGCGTTTGGCGCAGCCGCCTCCTTAGCCATGCTGCTTGCCGGGCTCGCGCTGTCCGCTGCCGGCGTCGGCGACGGGGAACTGCAGCCGGCCGCCTTCCAGGACAGCCTCCTCGTGGGCGTTTTAGGTTTGATTACTGCCGATGTACCTCTTTTTTGTTTTTTTTACGATTGTGGCCGTGTGCGCTTGCAATATCATGTGCAGGCTTGAGTGGAGGGCGTTTCAGCAGATTACAAGCCAGCATTGTCATTCAATGCTGTGCGTGTAGTTGCTGAGCTGTCCTCGTCTTCAAGTCTGCTCAAGACAGTGATACAAGCATGCATTTGGATGCCTTGTGATTTCATCAAGTGCGCTTGGTACAGTGGTGAGCGGTTGATGTTGCATGTGCAGGTCAGCTGTTTGTGGGGTCGAAGCTTGCACAGGGCGCCACAGTGAGTCTCAACCCGCTCCTGGCCGCAGGCTGGGCCGGCCTCCTGGCCAATGCACTCAACTGCATCCCAGTCGGTGCGCCTCAGACATTCACCCTGCCTCTAGTATCTTTGCCATCAACCATTGTCTTGCCTGTATGGGCGCTGAATCATTCAGCCTCAATGTGCCTGTCATGCGCAGATTCTTGCGTGTGCGGCGTTTTCTGCAAAGAAAGCATCAGCATATATTTTCAAGAAAGGACTACAACTGGATCATGATCCTCAGATGGGCATAGTGCATGCATGCACACCAGTACCTGGACAAGCCTGAATTGAGTGAGAAGATCAATTTGTAGGTGTGTTGGATGGCGGCAGAATAGCACATGGGCTGTGGGGCAGGAGGAATGCTGGCAGGCTGAACATCATCGGCCTCTTCCTTCTGGGAGTTACTGGCATATTCGACACGTTGTCGCTGTTCTGGGTTCTCTTTGTCATCTTTCTGCAGCGTGGGCCCATCTCCCCACAGCGGGAGGAGCTGAGTCAGCCTGAGTCTCAGCAAGACAGGGTGCTCGGCCTGTGCCTGCTGGGTCTGTCTCTGCTGGTGCTGCTGCCTTATCCTGGTGCAATCATTCCAGAGACTGTATTCTGAGAGAGACGCTGCCCTTGCATGTTAGAGAGCATTGGAGAGGTGTTGAGATTTTGAGAGATTGCTGAGGAGGAAGGTTATCCTCTGTCAGGTTCTGTGTGGTGCAAGATAATGAGGAGGTGAGAATGGTCAGTGAACTCTGTCAACCCAAAACTGGTTTAAACTATTTGTTTAATGAGTGGAAGATGTTTCTGGTGATTGGGCAAGGCACAAAGCTGCATGCTTTGGCCATTTGTAGAATGGTGCATGCATTCACAGATGAGATCAAGCATGCCCAACCATATGCAGAAAATGCCTGCAGTGATATTACATCCGTGGTACTTCATACATTCGTTCCCCATCGACATGGGGCACTACCCTCAGCTGCCTGGTGCACTAAGCTGCAAATGCTGAAGTGAAAAGAGATCATGGCAATAGCTGACCTATCCTAATCTTCCCAAGCCTTTCTGAGGTTCAGTCACATCCCGATTTAGCCACGCTGGGCTGGGCTTCAAACTACGTCTTGGCACTTCATCTCAACAGCCTCTGTCCTCCCAAATATACAACATGATGCGCAGCAGTGCCTGATTATCACAACTCAACTCAGCCCAGCTGGATTGACACACTGCCTCGGGAGTTCACAGAAACAGTCTCTGTCCTCCCAACTCGCTGACATGAGATGCGAGGACTCTACTATGCCGGCTGCGCAGCTGGCTGCCTCTGCTTGTCCCAGGGCGCGCGGCAGTGGTTGCCGATTTGCAAGTCTGATCTCCCATCTCAGTTCAGCCCACATAGTTTGACACCCTGCCTCGGACTTCACACAAACAGTCTTTGTCCTCCCAACTCATCAAGCTGATTTTGAGGCATGCAACTAGGCCGGCTGTGCTGCTGGCTGCCGCTGATTGGCGCTCTGCTTGTCCCGGGGCGCTCGGCTGTGGCTGCCGTTCTGCGAGTCTGCCACGGTGTGCATGCTGCTGAGAAGGCGCTGCCGCTGCCTCTCTTCCCAGTCTGCTATCAAGTGCTGCGGCAGATGGTCCTCCACCGCCCATGAGTCTGGGTAGTCATCCTTCCACCTGAGGAAAAATGTAGTCTCCCGTCTCAAGAAACTTCTCTTTTTGGTTTCACAGGAACATGAAGAATTTGCAAATTATAGTCTCCCATCTTTATACGCTTGTTCACTTGATCACTGAGTGATATCAACGGAGGGGTTTGAACCGATTGCACTGTTGAAAAGTGTCAGTAATGAGCTGCACACGATGCAGCACACATGCACAGAAGCATGCATGATTCTCAAAGAGCGCCCTCTTTGTAGCCCTGTCCCGGCAATTGCAAGAGAGAACCTGTTCAAAACACAGGAAGTGGGAAAATTCTGTAAGCGGGTTCAGGGTGACTCACTGCACTAGATATTCCCGCGTGTCGCCGCGCTGCACAGACTTGAGTATGCGCTCTGCTTCTCCATATTCCAGCCCAGCATCAAAATCCTCCACCACGTCATTCGCCACATTCCATTGGGGCACCTGCGCAAGCACCACCCAACATTCACACACCACTCCCCTCTTTGTGCGGACTCCTGTATGATTATATAAATTCTGTACCCTCGAACCCTAAAAAATTAGAAAAATAAAATAAAAAATAAACCTTCAGTGCAGACTCCCAGAGCCAGAAGACACATGCAATCAGAGCTCCCAGAACAGTCATTCAGTCATGTAGATCACCTCAAAGATGAATGCATGGCGCTGCAGAGGATTGATCTGAGCAGTGACAGGTTTCTTGGACATGGAACAGGACAAAGAGGAGAGTTAAAAGGATGCCAGTGCGTACCCACGAGTCTTCTGTGCCATCGCTCCACTTTACCAGGAAGTCCCGAGTCCCATTCTCGTTCTTCCTGGCCTTCAGCACTGCCACCGGCTCCACCTCTTCAAACAAGTTGTCTGCAAGGCAGTGCCACATTTCTGAAGTCCGAGCCAAAGGCAGGGTAATTATGAACAGGATGTCGTCATTCCTGTCTTGCGGCTTGGCAACATTACCCTCAAGCTCCAGATAATTTGATGAAGTCCAGCACTGCTGCCACCATCTTTATAACCAAAGGCAGCACGCAGCAGAGGGCACTGGTATATAATACTCATGCTCCTGAGAACCCATCTGCCTCTTTCAGAGCCACGCAGTATAGTTCCCCGACTGACCTGCAAGCAGGCCGGTGACTTGCTCGAGGGCCATGCGGGGGCCCATGTACTCTGGCGCGACCGGCATCTTGTCGCGGATTGACTCCACGAGTGCGATCACATCGCGGCTCTGCCTGTCCTGCATCTCGGGATCGGCACCTGCCTCTAAGAGTGCGGCCACCGTCGCCACATGGGAATAGCCCACCGCCATGTGCAGCGGTGTGTAGCCTGCGCAGGAAACATACCTCAATTGGATATACTTCAAATAGACCCACAATTACCTGAGTAAAGTGTGAATATGAATGTGAAAGCTCTTGTGGGTCAGAGGATGCATGGCGTAAGTGAACACTTGCAGGGAATGCGGGGCAACCAACGGTGGTTCCAATGCAGCTTGACAAGACGGGGAAGGCAGCTGTCAGCTCATGAAAAAGCGACAGATTACTCGTCGCTGGTGGGATAGACTGTAGCAATGCAATTTGCTCACCTTCTTTGTCGCCGAGGTTCAGATCAGCACCCGCTTGGCAGAACATCTTTGTGCAGGGTACGTTGCCAGTAGCCGCCACAAAGTGCAAGCCACTGCACACACACAAGGTGGCTTTACTGACTATAGGATCTGTACATGTCGTCAGCTGAAGATAAGCAGTGCAATATAGGAGGTACGCTTGGTGATATGAGTGGCACCTTCGTCTATTCTCATCCACTATGTTTGCCAGGACACGGCCGCTGGTGGACAGCAGCTTTTTGAGCTTTGCCTCGTCACCCTGCACATCCAGGCCAACACATGAGACCTGGCTATGTCTCTGTCTGGCAGACACGTCATCGTCATCCATGCATGTCTCATGATTATCAAAAGCATGCGGATGTGTTCCTATATCGTCCCTTCATTCCTTATTGAGGCAAGCAGCTACCTCTCGGCAGGCTGTCCACCACATAGCTTCAAAGTCTCGCAATAAGTTGTCCGCCAGGTTTGCTTCGGGCTCCCTGAAAGAATCCAAAAAAGGATGTCGAGCCCACTCCGACGACCGTGACATTTGATACAGGTGAGGCTTCTGAGAAGCAAAGCAGGCAAGGAAATGATGGGATGACTCACCAGGTGTTAGGAGCACCGTCCTGCAAAGCAGCCAAGAATATGAAAGTCAGCAAGCTGGGAATCGAGACTGCAGGTAATGACACCCCTTTAATAATCAAATCACTCTCACCTTCCATTTGATCAAATACTCCACCATGGGCCTGTTTTGCTCGTCCATAAGGACCCTGATGCCCTCTATTTCCTCCACATCGGCAACTTCACCCTGAGCGATCACTTCCACCTGTGGCGTCGCATATGCGATACTCCTACTTCTCTGTCGACTAGATCTTTGCAAATGTACAGGATTGGGCCTCTTTCCTGCTTCCTTTTCTCTACTCGGGCTGGCACGTGCTGCTTCACCCAAAAATTTGCCTCGATATGAATTCTGGCGCAACGAGATTCGTACGAATGCTGCTGGTCTGTGTGAGCTATGTGCGCAATTTTCTGCGCTCGACATCGGGGCATGGAGGCCACTGCAAGAAGCCTCCATGGCTACCTAAAAAAAAGAGAAGCTCTTGCCCGCTTTTAAGACTTGTTACTAAGAAGGAGTCAATGTGATAGTTCAGTCTGATCAAATCTTTTGTGCAGGTGACTTTTACAACTCTACAATAATAACAAACATATCGATTGCAAGATCTCAGCTTATCATGAAAGCACGCCGCTCGAGACAAGAATGTTGGTCCCATGCAGTCAAATTTGGCACCCCAGTCAACTGAACTCCACTTTCTGAAGCGTTTGGGCATATAGTTGGCTTTTGGTGAAGTCTTCTAACCTAATACTGGTAGGAGTCATTCATTGAAGTTATTTTGAATGTAGAGTCGTTCCTGGTGTGAGGAAGGACGCCAGCATGGCGGTTAGATTGAGGTAAATTCCTGATTGAGCAAGACGGTCTTTTTGACGACTGAGTGATAAAGAGCAAACGACAGTTCGACAATTTGTCACGGTTTACTGCAAATAATTTTCATTTGAAACCTATTATGTGAAGTCCTTCTCGCTACCGACATCTTGGAAGAATTCTGATGTCCATTAGAGGAACAGGGGTTGGGTCTGCTCGCATACGGCATTGATGAGACATCATGATGTGCAGGGAACTGATCAGGAGCGTCAGGCAGTGCAAGACAGCAGCCGAGGAACGCAACGTTATTGCGAAAGAAAGTGCTGCCCTCAGAAATGCGTTTCAGGAGCAGGACGTCACTTACAGACACAGAAATGTGGCCAAGCTCATGTACATACATATGCTTGGATACCCTACGCATTTCGGCCAGATGGAGACCCTGAAGCTGATTGCAGCGACCGGCTTTGCTGAGAAGGCAGGTCACCCTGAGCTCTTCCTGGCCATGCAATACAGATCCACGATGCCATATCCATTCTGTATGTGTGTTTCAGTATCAGAGTAACCTTGGCTAGGCCCAGCGTATATGCTCAACATCTCAGAAAGGCGCACTTGGGTGATGGATTGTGGTGATGCCTGCCAACGATCCAGCTATAAGATCCTCAGGCACATAAACGAAAGCTTTGTGCAGCGTCGTGATAACAACTGGCCCTTGATGTCTGCAGAGGATGGGCTACCTGGGGCTTATGATCCTGCTGGACGAGAGGCAGGAGGTGTTGATGCTCGTAACAAACTCCCTGAAGAACGATCTGAACGCGCGAAACCAGTACATTGTGGGCCTGGCATTGTGCGCACTAGGCAACATCTGCTCGGCGGAGATGGCTCGGGACCTGACGCCAGAGATCGAGCGCCTGCTGCAGAGCAGCAACTCCTACATCAGGAAAAAGGCCGCCCTGTGCTGCACACGGTACACCCCCCTCCCTTCTCTGCCATGCATGCCACGTCCTTGCTCTCTTTCCTCTGACTGTCCCAGCATACAGAGCTGCAGTAAGATTAGAAGTGTGGAAGGCATGCTCAGCTTAGAAGAGCATGTGGAAGGCATCGATATGGCAAGGCTTGCATGAGGTCTTTCATAAATTTGCCGCACTTGAGGGCACATGGAGATGTGCTCTATCATGGCCTACGAGTCTATAGTGATTAGATCACCATGTGCATGAGCAGGATCATCCGCAAGGTGCCGGACGCAGTGGAGGCATTCCAGGACGCTGCAGCCAAGCTGCTGGCCGACAGGCACCACGGCGTCCTCCTCACAGGCGTAACGCTGATGCTGGAGATCTGCGCTGTGGAGCCTGCGGCTGTGGATGCGTACCGGCGGCAGGTGCCGTCGCTGTGCAAGATCCTGCGCAGCCTGCTCATGAGCGGGTTTGCGCCGGAGCACGATGTCAGCGGCATCACCGACCCCTTCCTGCAGATCCAGGTGCGCAGAATGGATGACACGGCAGTATTTTTTGTGTGCACGTTTGCCGTAAGCATTCTTGCAGAACTGCGCTTGTCAACCTGCTGTTCTACCCGCCCAGGACAATCCTACTTGTAGAGTAGTCTGGCATGGCCACGTGCAAGTCTGAATGTCATGGTTGGTGTACACGGCAGCTTGCCTATCTGTACGATAGCAATGAAGCTGCTGTACATATATGCCGCTGAGAAGAGACCTCGTACCACCCCTGCTGCAGATGACTCTTTTCAGACCGAGGTAAAGGTTGTTGCCTGAATACACTTTTGAAGCAGAAGTGGCATAATGGCTGTTAGGACATCTGTTCCTCGTGCGTGCAGGTGCTGCGGCTGCTGCGGGTGCTGGGCGCGGGCAATGCGGCGGCCAGCGATGCGATGAGCGACATCCTGGCGCAGGTGGCGACCAACACGGAGGGAACGCGCAACGCTGGCAATGCCATCCTCTACGAGTGCGTCCAGACCATCATGGGCGTCGAGTCCTCCGGCGGCCTCCGCGTCCTCGCCATTAACATCCTTGGCCGGTGCGCCAAATTTCCTCTTTTATCTTCCTTCCGCCTGACACACCCAACATGTCTGCACGGTGCAACGCATGCATGAACGTGTGGGTGGTTCCCCGAAGCATGCAAGCCCCAAAGCACATTATGAGTGATGATTTCAGAGCATAGCCCACATAATGACGGGCCTGCACTTTCATGACTCTTGGCGTCCTGATGCTTGCCAAGCTTGCAAAAGTAGCATGTTTCAGTGCTGCAGCTCACAGGAAAAAACTCCTCCAAAATGCGCAATTGTCACGCTACCAGCTTATTTTGCAAGGCCTGAGCTGGCCCCCGGGGCTGCCGCGCAGGTTTCTGGCGAACAAGGACAACAACATTCTGTACGTGGCGCTGAATATTCTGGCACGAGTGGTGAGCGTGGATCTGCAGGCCGTGCAGCGCCACCGCTCCACCGTCGTCGAATGCGTCAAGGACGCTGACGTGTCCATCCGCAGGTGAGCGCCAGCTTTCGCCCTGTCTTTTTAGGAGGACAACTCGACGCAAGGGGCGCTTGGTGGATTAAGAAAGACGTGTCCCTGCGGTTACTGCAATGCAGCAATGCATGCCAGATACAGATGGGGTGGAGGTGGATGCAAGCTCCATCCAAGTAGCGTTTGTTCTCTTGACCGCGAGGATCGGGAATCCATGGAATTTTTATGCCCTCAAGGCCAAGGGACTGGCTGAAGTCCAGAGAATGAGCCATGCATCCCCGTACTCACGGGTATGAGAACAGTTGATATTTGCTCACGCCCTTATTAAGAGGAGTCCATCCAATCATGCAAGCGAGGTTGCCAGTTGAGCTGTTCACAGGAGGGCGCTGGACCTGGTGTATGCGCTGGTGAACGAGGGCAACATAACAGCGCTGACTAAGGAGCTGCTGGATTACCTCAAGGTGGCCGACGCCGAGTTCAAGCCCGACCTCACCGCCAAGATCGCAGCGCTCGTGCAGCGCTTCGCCCCCGACAAGAGATGGCACTTTGACTCCCTCCTACAGGCGCGCTGCGCGCTCCTTTTGGCGCCGCATTGCTTTCCCTTGCAGGGATCCTGGGTGGACTCAGTGCTAGGCCCAGTAAGCTAGGGTCTTAAGATAAGTGCATCACACAAGGCCGACATGGTGCATGTTGGCATCCGTGAGTACCATGTATCCCTGCATGCACACACTGTTGTTCTGAGAGTAGTGGGCCCTTCATCTAGTGAACAAGGCTCAGACCAGATGCATATGACTGGTTCTGGTCTGACCTATGCCTGTTTGCCTAGAAAGAGGACGCCACTGCTGCCAGAGCAATGTCTCGGGCAGATCCTCTGTCAAGACATTGGCGAGGGAGGCATGGGCAACCTGCTGACATCAGCGCCGTGCTGGCCGCAGGTGATGACTCAGGCGGGCGGCGACGTGAAGGAGGAGGTCTGGCGTGCGTTCATAGTGCTGCTGACCAACGCACCTGAGCTGCACGCGTACGCGGCACGCAGCCTGTTCCGCAGCCTGCGAGAGCACCTGGCATCGGCCGAGCTCAGCCTGCTCGCCACCGCCACCTGGTACATCGGTGCGCGCACTGCCGTCTTTGCAGGCCGTCTGAAGGCTGGTGCTCGTGACATGATCACCAGGCAATACAGCATGGTAGACACACTTGCATGCATCCTACTGGCTCTTGATTGTGAGAGCCTGTTGTGGAGAGGCAAGAAAAACGGAGGCGCGGTAAATCGCTCTTGTCCTGGATCTAGCATGCACCTATCATTGCCCGCCCATCGTCAACTGTTCTTGCATTATAGAAAAGCACACCCCTGGCATCCCTGCCCAGTTTCTTCCTAGCCATTTTGTATGGTCTTACTACACTACCCTTTGCAAAGTGATATACATGTATCGGCCCTTGAACTGCCCTGATGATCCGTGTTGCGCCAGGCGAGTATGGGGAGCTGCTGGTAAGGGGAGGTGCCTTACTGGAGAGGGAGGATGCGCTGTCAGTGGGGCCGGCCGAGGTGGTGGGCTTGTTAGAGGCGGTGCTGCAGCGGCCGGGGCTGCAGCCGCAGTGCCGCAACTACTTGCTCACCGCGCTCATGAAGCTCTCCACGCGCTTCCCCGACCAGGCCGACCGCATCAAGGTGTGCTTGATTTTTGTACAGAGGGCTGTGTCTCTCTTGCATACGGGCTGAGGATCCAAAATTTGGGGGGAACGCGAGAGGTGTGCTGCCGCTGCTGGTGTGCATGGCAGGTGGTTGGCAGGGTGCATGTGATGCTTGCGTGGCTGCTGATGTCACACGTCAATATTCTTGGCCCGTCAGACAGCAGAATAATTGGTTGTATGGGGGGCTGTTTTTTGCTTACAAGTGTCCGCCAGAGGTTTGCAACAAGTTCCCATGATTGTCTGGCAAGGATAGCTGCAAGCGCGCAGATTGCTTATTCCCTGCCAGCTGCATATATAACTGCTGCACATGGCGCGGTGCAGCAGCAGTTGTAAATGTCACCGGCGTAGACGAGGCCATCTGAGGAGCAACTTCACTTTGCACAAGCTTTCTTGAACGTTGTTTATGCTTTGGGGCTTCATGTCTGAGTGGAGTTGTCTTAATTATTTGCAGGGGCTGCTGGCGCAGCACAAGGGCAGCGCGCAGCTGGAGTCGCAGGCGCGCGCGGTGGAGTACGGGCAGATCTTCCAGTACGGCGAACTACGGAACCAGCTGCTGGAGCATATGCCCCCGCTCGACCCCGCCGCCTACGCGCGCTCCGTCGCCGCTGCCGGCACCCTCAACTCTGCCCCCCCCACCCTGGTGCGCCTGCAACTGTTTTGTTTCTGTGCTGGGCAAATCAAGGTCCCAAGTCTGCCTCTCGTGAGTACTGCATGGATCACCAGCGGCTCTTGTTGATTGTTTGTTGTAAGCCATGTGTCTGATTCTTGTGCCTGGTTCTCAAGGTCTGTCATTGTGTCAATTCTGGATATAGAGATACTTAAGAGAATTCCTCATCGGGTGCGGTGCAGGCCCCCACAAATGGCAACGTGGTGAAGGACCTGCTGAGCCTCGACGACGACGATGACATCACGCCGGCCCCATCGGCCCAGGCCTCTTTCGCCGATGATCTGCTGGGCCTCTCGGCAGCGCCGGCTGCCGCGCCCGGCGGGACGGTTGCACAGGCCGCCTCGCCGCTCGACCTGCTCAGCCTTCTGGATGATCCTGCCCCCGTTGCATCGACCTCCGGCGCAGCGTCGCAGCCACCGCCGGTGAGGCTGCTACCCGACCGGCTTTGGCATATTGCCCCGCTGTCCCCTGTAAAAAAAACCCTCTGTAAAGGGTGGCTGCAGCACTGACGCCATATCATCTGTGCGACCCCTGTGTATGTTACGAGCAGTCTGCAGTCACCATTTTCTTGGGACAGGGCATTTACAGTGGACAGGGCAGGGGCGTAACTTGACCCTCTTTTCACTGATGGCACTACAGGATTTTCCTTTAAATAAACCGAAGAAGCATGCATTTAGGTGTGCTGTGGGGTTGCAGGATCTGTTTGGTCTCGGGGACGCGCAGGCGCCGGCCGCGGCGGCCGCCTCAGACCCACTGGCCGACCTCGGCTTTGGCGCGCCGGCCGCGCCAGCTGCCGCCCCGGCCTTCCAGCCGATCACGGTGTTTGACAAGGACGGCGTGCGCGTCGGCTTTGCCTTCACCAAACCTCCTGGGCAGCCAGGCCTCACAGACATCAGCGCAATCTTCTCCAACTCCGGCGCTGCCCCTGTTACCGGCTTCTCGCTGCAGGCGCGTGGCTTGCATCTGAGGATTGTTATGATGTCTGCATGTTAAATGCTGCATCTGTGTGAGTATGAGCTACAGCACACACTCTGAAGAGGAAAAGCTCAGCAAGCCTTCACGTGCTTAACAGGAAAGTACTTCGGTACAGTCTAGTATTCCAGAGGCAACGTGTGTTGGAATATGATATGTTTGATATGGCGTCTGCATGTGGGCCACGGCTCCTCCTTCTCCATGCAGCTGGCTCATTTCCCTATCGGATCCTCTTGCATTTGTATTGTATGACAATATTGGGTGGTTGTGGGGATATGCAGGCAGCGGTGCCAAAGTTTATGCAGCTGAAGCTGGACTCAGCCTCCGGCTCCACGCTGCCGCCAATGGGCGGAGGCAACGCCACGCAACAGCTGCACGTCAACAACAGCATGCACGGCCAGAAACCGCTGGTCATGCGTCTGCGCATTGCGTACACTCTTGGTGGCGAGAACAAACTTGAGCAGGTGGAGGTCAAGAACTTCCCTGCCGGCTTGTGATCAGCAGTCCGATCGCAGGCTATTGCAGCAGTGCTCTTGGTGAGAGGAGTTTTCTACTGTGCTCTTTGGCCATTTCCAGCACCGTAAAACGTTTTCTTTGTGGGTTTAGAAACTCAATCTCAGTAAAACGATCTTGGAGTGCGGTGCGTTGTAATTTCTGGTCGTCTATTGGGGATTTTATCCTTGCCAGATAGAATGTAATACAACGAGGGAAGCTTTACAACGATTCAAATGTGCCAGCATTAAGTCCAACTCACAGGCCGCTAGCAAAGCCGCGCCCTGGACCTAACTGTGTGCGGCCAAAACAACCAGTTGGAATTGCTGGATTTCCCCTGTGATCTCCCTGTTACTGCTTACCAATATCCAAGTCCCTAAGAGTCAGAATCCTGGGAGCATAGCAAAATTGACAATGCCAGAGGGCAGTGCTGCGATGTCCTTGAGCAGCGCCAGCCTGCTGTGCCGCACTGCCTCGTCATCGCACATGACAAAGACCTGCTCAAAATAGGCGTCCACCGGCTCCACAAGGGCCTCTGCCACCTGTCAACAATACACCAAGCCATTTTTCAAACTGCCAAATACTCAAACACTGCACCTGAAGCATGCAACACTGACAGGGCATGGGACCCATTGGGTGCTGCGTGCCAGTGCCCAGCCAAATCCTTTCTTATGATTGGCTCACCCTCAAGGATTTCCTTCAACACAAACCTCTCAAACTGAAGCAACGCAACGATCATAATTATTGGCATACCTGGAGGAAGTCTGGGATGCTCATGTCGGGCCGTATCTGCCCGGCAACTGCCCGGAAGGCTGCCCAAAGGGCGCGCTCCTCCTCCAGCTCAAACTTTGACTCGTCCACGGCCCAGGCTGCATCCACCTCCTTGCCGCGCACGATGCGCGTCGGCCGCGCGAAGGCGGCCATCACCCGCGGCAGCCGCCCGGCCTCGCCCTCGCTACTGCAAGCCTGCACACGCCAAAACCGCCTCCATGTGATTTGAATCAATGCCAGGTGCCACATGATAATCTGAAGAGCCTTTACACAGAGCGCACGAAATACCGCTTGCCAACTGCAAGCGGTGATTTGATACTGCAAAAGCAAAGCAGCTTCACAGATGTACCCACATCCTGCAATTAAGGAGTACGCTTGCTAGCTTCACTCTGCCTCTCCACCTCAGTCTGGGATGCAAGCTCAGTACAAAGACGATATTTTTGAAAGTACCCATGCATCAAACAGACACATGCAAAGCAAAGACCCTCACTAGAAAATCACGGTCAAGAGCGTGCCGGCTTGCCTGCAGATCGCGCGCCGATTGGGCCGCTGCGTAGGGGTCCGCCCCCCGCTCAGACAGCACAGCGCGCACAACTTCTGCGCCGCAGCCGCCGTCGACAAGAAGCTGCTCCAGCCGCCGCGTGACAAACTCCAGCACGCCGGCGACCACCGTCTCGTCGGCCGGGATCGGCTGCGCCACTGCGGCTGCCGCCAGCGCCGCTCTCAGGTCCACACGCACCTCGTTGCTCACCAGCGCCTGAAGTATCCAATCAACATAAGTGGTGGTCGAAGTACTGTGTCTAGGATCTGTTGGACCCAGGGATCTGTGGGACCCAAGGCTCTTGCAACAGGGGCAAATTTTGGAAAGGGGACCATTTGAGCTGGTCAAAGAACTTGCCAAACCTGAGTTCACCCCAAATACACTTTCAACTGCTCGTGCAGCCGTGAAGAAAAGATGGCAAACTCTCTGCGGTGGACAGTACATGCACAGTCAAAGCGAGGCTTAAAAAATTGCTGCGTGCTGGAGACAGATCCACGTTGAACTGAGGGGAAAAAGGGAAACACCTCGAGCATGCCGTAAGCGCTGCGGCGCAGAGCGAAGGGGTCGGCGGAGGCGGACGGCGCGGCGCCGGCCGCGAAGAGACCCACGAGGCTGTCTAGGCGGTCGGCCACGGCCACCAGAATGCCGGCCGGTGTGCGCGGCAGAGCGTCCCCCGCGTGCCTCGGCAGCACCGCCTCGAATATCGCCTGCGCAAGGAGACACCCCTGAAACATTGAAGCCAAAGCAAGCCATGGTGCTGGGAGGTAACTCTTTCAGCTTGCTGGTGCACAGTGGGGAGTGGATCGACGACTGTGCACAGGTCATGGGCATATTTCAAATGTGAGATGCCTGCAGTATTTTGCGGCTTCAGAGGATCCAATGTCTTCCAAGGCTGAACCTGGGGAGTGCCAAAAACCCAGTACCCTCACACTCAACGCTGTCCTGGGGCAGGCTGCGAGCATACTCCACAGCGATGCATGTTGAGGGGCTGGTGTCCAAAGCGCTCCCACAGCGCATCAGAGGAAGATAACGTGCCCTTACTCGCCAACAAGGGAAAGTGGACACTGTCTTCTAGCACCCCGATACTATCTGCATCATGTGCCTTTAGAGCCGAGATCAAAATAGAAGAGCACCTCAGCCACATCGGGGGCGGTGCCGCACTGCAGCGCGTAGTGGCGCCCCATCGTGCCGGCCAGTCCAGTCATCTCCGTGACAAGCGACGTCGCCAGGTCGGCCCTCGCCAGCCGCGCGGCCGCCTCTGCCACCTCAGCAGCTTCTGTGCAGATGACACTCATCAACTTCTGTTATGATGATAGCCGTGCAGAGCTGAAAAGTTGTTGCTTCTGCAGCAGCTGGAAGGCCACTGCCAGAACCACCGACGACCACTGAAGAATTGAGCTCTGACAATACGTGAGCCAAACGAGCCTTGCCATCAGAAAATCAACGCATCCTCTCTGGGACACATTAAGCCATTACCACAGCCCCTCCGTGGGAAAGCAGCAGACAACGGTGGAGGCAGAGTACAGTAAGTTGCAGACACACAAGCCTCCACATGACAAAGGGAGCAATGCTCTACACCATCAGCGCCAATGCGCAATGAAGGAGCGGGTGTTCAATGCAATAGATTCTCTTAAGGTAAGATGAATGTGATTAAAGGTGGAGTAAGCAAAGTACCTGTGAGCCCGGTGAGCTGTGCGAGAGGGCGGATGAGGCCGGCAGTGCGCTCAGACTTCTGCAGCAGATTGCCGAGCGTCTTGTGGAATTGCGTGCCGGCCAGCTTGGGCAGGAACGCCTCCAACGGCTGCCGCAGATCCGCCGAATAAAAGAACTGCGCGTCCTCGAACCGCGCCCGCAGCACCGCCTCGTTGCCTGCGCAGTTGCAGTACGGGTACCTTAGCCGCTCTTCTTCGTTGCGCCAAAATAGGTTCATTCCCTCTTATCATATTGCATACTTGGTGGGGAGCAGTTTGTGCCATCACGCATCACTTATGGGCAGCAGAGATTCTGCCCTCAGCATGCCTCTGCAGCCGCATAATCTGTATCTCAGCGCCCTGTGCTGTCTGTGCCATGCAAGCTCTAGATGTTCTGAGCAGATTGCAGGTTTGGTGGGCATGATGGTGTTTTCGCTGCAACATCGCAATGCTGCGGTGGCAAAAATTGATGAAGGCAGGCTGTCTGGCGCAGATTGCAGCCTTGGTTAGCTTGCGCAATTCTGTGCCATGCATGACCCGCTGACAATGAGTGAGGGGTCTCTTGTCAAGTAAGCCGACACAGAAGCACTCTATACCACATGCAACAGCAGCATACAAGAAACCTATTGCCTGCGCCATACATCCAAAAGATGAGTCGGGCTCCAGTGAGAAGAAACACACCTGTGCGCACTGTGGGCACGTCTATCTGCCCGTTGGCGACGGTGATAAAGTGCGGCAGCAGCGCCTCTCCAGAGGCCTTGTAGACCGGGAAGTAGCGCTGGTGCTTGCGCATCACCATCACCAGAACCTCCCTGCATGCCAGCATGTCAATTTCCAAACACTTCTAAAACACAGGGGATCTGACACGTCAGCTGAGGTGATCATCAATATAATTGGAAGGACATTCGTCTGATACCTGTGCATTATGTCCCAGTGACACGGATCCTTCCAATTTGATGGTTAACAAATCATGTAAGCTGATATGCCAGTCATGACTGTGGTTAGCAACAACATGTCTGGTCAAAAAACCTTCATTGCAAGGGCATGTGACAGGGAAGAGGGTCAATTTCATTTTGCACCTGGGGAGCTGCAGGAAGTCTGGGCTGAAGTCCCCCCGCACAACGGTGGGGGCCTCCACGAGGTGAGTCACCTCCTGCAGCAGCGCCTCCCGCGCAGACTCCGGTATGATTCCCCCTGCCTCGGCCGCCGCGGCCGTCGCGTCGCGCCAAATCAGGTCGGAGCGCTGACTCACCGCCAGCTGGATCCCCGCCGCCTCCAGCGCGGCCGCGTATTCAGACGCTGACGCGACTTCCATCTCTGGCTGCGCCCCATTCCTGAGACCCCTAGTGGTCCGGCCTGCAGAACAAAGCTCTCTGAGTATCACTCCTTGCCAACAATGTATCACAGCAGCCAGATAGCCAATCCTGTTCATTCAGAAGGCCTGTGAAATTGGATCCCAGGCCAATTCCATATGAGGTGCATATTGACTCCACCAGACAATGCCAAAAAAATGTGAGGCATGCTGGCCCGTGCAAAGGTGGAAATCTTACGGTTGCGCCTCAAGAATAGACTAAAAGCTCTGCAGTAACGAATACTACATCATGAACGTACCTGCTTGCAGGCCTGCAAAGGAGAAGGGGAGGGAAGCCGCGCCGTGCAGGCCAAAAAGCCACCGCACCGGCCGCGAGAAAGCGGCGTTCGTTCCGTTCCAGCGCATGGACTTGCCAAACGACAGGCCCGCCACAAGCGCCCCCAGCTCCTCCGTCAACACCTGTGACAATGCATGCCAATCCTTTTGCTTATTACTTAGTACAAATGATCTGTCCTAGCCTGCTTGACGTGCGCTCTGAAAACATGCATATCGTAGTGTTGCTGGCTTCAGAGACATCAAGTTTACAGACACTGCACCCGTCATTCGCTACCAAGCTCCCCTTGAGCATGAAGTCTGACCTGTTGTTGAGTTGTGAAAAAAATCAGCGAGATGAAAACCCCTGAGAAGGAGAGTGATACACACGATACTGTGAAGATACAGGTCCAAAAACAGCAGCAAACCATCATCAGAGCAGGGCTGCAGGGGCAAGGGCGAAGGCTCACCTCTGCTGCGTGGCGGCCGGCCTGTCTCCGCACCGCCCACACGTACTCCGTGCCCTTGCTGTCCGCCTCCCGCGTCACCTCCTCAATGGAAACGCCGTTCTTCGCCGCAAAGCCCATTAGCGCCTTTGTCGGCTGCCCGTCCGGCCCATATGCGGCCTGCCCAGAATTTCACAGTAAAGTCAAGAAGCAAGCTTACGACGCAGCATGCCACCGTTGTGATACACACGTATGAATCAGGATCATAATTTCTATGTTCATTTCGTGCCCGATGGGAGTCTTAGAAAGACCTACAGATGCACAGCAGTGAGAAGACGAGGATGCTCTCACGCACTTGACACCAGGATAGTGCTCTGTCCAAATTTCACCGCTGCAGTGCCACTGATGCAAGGGTGGTCTCTGGGAGAGCAGAACCCCAGCCTTGCATGCACAAGCCACCCTCGTTTCCTCACTGACCCTCTCGCATGGCAGAAACCAAGGTCAGGACAGCTTTGCAATAGCAGCACCTTGGCTGGCGGCCCTCGGATCTTCTCCTCGACGTCGGGCTGCGAGCAGCTGACACCGTGCACGATGACGGCCAGCCGCCGCGGAGTCGTCTCCACCGACACATCCCCGTGCGCCAGCCGCAGCCTCTGCAGCAGCGCCGGCACCGACTGCCTGCATAGTGATGACAACTTGTCCCATGATTCTTCTTTGGTCTAGCAGTTTAGCAAAGTCGAGGAGGTTTCGAAGGGCATGATTCCCTGGGAAGAATGCTTGACGTTCAGGCTAACTTGCTGCAAAAATCATGGAGCAATTTAGTGTGAATATCAGGCACAATTCCGGGGAATTTATGATTTGCATGCCAGATAAAGACCGAGGGGTGACATGTCAATCAAGCGTTACATAAGGCTCACAGCTTTTCAGAGTCTTGCTGAGACAGCACGGCGATGCAGTGCATCAACGCTGAAAAGGGCCACAGTATAACATGTTCACATCAATGACATCGTGTTAGTTCAGCCGTAAGCTCGAAGAATGAGGGGGAAAGTGGACCCGAGCTGTGCAGCAGCGGCGGTAGCTTCAGCGGGCGGCAGCTCCTCGCAGCCGATCTCCACGACCAAGTCGGCAGGGCCGGTGGCCAGCTCGCCCTGAGGCGCTCCCTGCTGTGGCGGCTGCAGTGCTTCTACCTGGCCTAGTGGGTGGCCCAGCTCCTCCCTCCTCTTCATCCAAAGCCCTGCCAGGCGCACACAGAATCCTAGTGAGATACCCACAATTTGAGCATGCTACTACGTGAAGAACCAACACATGTAGTGCTCTCTGCAATGACAAAAATTGTGACAAAAAGTGACACCAGCAGGGTTTCTAGTGAGACCGGGCACTCAGGTAGGTTGCAGTCAAAACTGTCAATGATGTGTTGCCACTGATCTCACCGTGGCACATTCTTCCTGAACAGTGCGAGTTCAAACAGAAGAACGATTGCATCAAGGTCTGCAGGGCTGCCAAGTCTTGAATGCCATTGCCACGGCAACAAAGCCCTCCCTGTCGATGAAGAATGTGCAACAATGTTTCTGGTGGAAAAGCACCACGCAGACATGTATGTTCTTATCAGGCCCACAGCTAGATCTAGAGCCTAAAACTGATGATGGCTCTGGCCAGATATCCTGCTGCAAATATGAAGCCATGACCTTCATATGGGTGCATCAGCGGTTTCCTTGCAAGCGGACTCCAACACCCAAAGTGCTGCCTTGCTGCTGCAGCTGGCAGCTGCCACCTAAGGGCAGGACCTCCGCTGACACAAATCATGCATTGCATGAACAGCGCGCACCTGCAATCTGGCGGGCGAGCGTGCGCATGGCGCCAAAGCAGGCGGCGCGGTCGGTGACGCCCACGGCTCCGCGCGCGTCCAGAATGTTGAACGCGTGGCTCAGCTTCAGCAGCTGCCCATACGCTGGAATGGGCAGCCCGGCCTCCACCAGCCGCTGCGCCTCCTGCGCTCACACCGCGCGCTCGTTTTTCTGTCTCGGTTGAATGCACATTACAAATTTATGCACGCCGGGCGCTCAATATTTTGTCTAGACTAGATGCACATCTCAAGCTGCACTCCCCAGGGGCTCAGGTTTATGTCTTATTAAAAGCACATTACAAAGCTATGCAACAACAGGCACTCGACTCGCGGTCTAGGCAACATACACAATATGAGTCTGCGATGTGAATGCACAGAAAATGGGTTTCAGGGTGTTCCTGGAGTGCACATGGCCCAAGAAAGCTAGCATGCAAGATCAATCTTTGCTGAACCACAAGCAGCCCTAGTTGCACCGTGAAGCTCACGATTATATTAACAAGCAGCACGCCGTTACCCTCTAGATCAAACCTGCAGGCGGTATCAACACCTCATGAAGCAAAAGAGGGAATTGGGGCCAGAGGCGGCATCTGCTCCGCGCATTGATCAGGAGGCTTTCAGGAGGTGAGCCAAAAGTGGCGTTAAAGCAAGATAGTAGGCAGTGGGGAGGCTGACCTGCTGGTGCAGCTGGAAGAGCTGCTGCTGGGAGGGCACATGAGCGCTGTCGAGGTTGTAGCAGCTCATCTCATACTCATTCTGCAGCAGCATCTCGCCGTATGTCAGCGTCGGCGTGTAGCGAATATCCTTGAAGTGCTTCACGCCCTGCGCATGCATTCGTTATCTCAACCAAATGAGCAGGACAAAAGTAGAAGGAGAGCCTCATACTGTCTCTGTGCGCCCTTGTGGCGAAATGAACGGAGCTTCCACGGCTGGGATGCCCCTACTTTGCCCTGCAGGGAGGTTTGTGTTTTGCTGCACGAAGGCCATGCACGAGCAGAATTTGCGGTCGCCATTGTGCACTGCAAATCCAAGGCAACTGGCTTAAGTTTTGCTGAGGACCTGCACCTGAAGTGCTGTAAGGATGCGTTCGAGGCCGTATGTGATCTCCACACTGGGCACTGGGAGCGCCTGGCCAGCTGCTTGCTGGAAGTAGGTGTACTGAGTCACCTCCTGGCCTGCATGCCCACACACATATTATTACCGCTCTTTTCTGCATGACATGGCAGCAGCAAGAAGCACAAGAGTAGAATGGCATGCGTGTATCACAGTTGAGTAGAGTTGTGCATGGTAGCAGATATCACAAGGAATCCCCTCCTGACATGCAACAGCATCGCGTGCATGCATGGTCTTCCACAAGCAATAGAGTACGTGTGGCAAATCCTTATCTTTATTTCTAGCACACAAGAAGTGGAGTATAGCCAGTAGAAAGATTGGGGAGCAGGCACGCACCGTCCATCCAGATCTCCCAGCCGAGGCCCCAAGCGCCCAGAGTGGGGTTTTCCCAGTTATCCTCCACAAACCTCACATCATGCGCGCGCACATCGATGCCCAGAGCCTCCAGGCTGCCCAGGTACAGCTCCTGCGGCCTGCCCGGGTCCGGCTTGAGGATCACCTAACCGCGACATAACCGCCCCGTCAGCACGCCGCGCCGGCACGGCCGTCCACTGCTGAAACGCGCTTGGAGGCTGGTTGGTGCCAGTCTGCTAGCTCATGCACACATGCCATGCACCCCTTGCCTTAGGAGCGCATGCATCCTACATGGCTGTTTGAGCATCAGGAGCAGCCTATCCATGCATGTGGGGTACACAGGGAAACAATGTCCTCTGCTTCTCTGTAACATGGCAAGCAAAGGGTCCGTATGCACAGCGTGTGATACATCTTGTGTAATACCAGGCAGGCATGGTGTCCGTGCCTGGAACTGGGTGTGTTGCTGCAGGCGGTTGGGGTTGTCCCCATAGCGGCTGTCGTCCGGCCGCACCGATGGCTCCACATAACACACTCGCCACGGCTCCGGGCCGAGCACGCGCAGAAATGTCGCCGGGTTCATTGTCCCTGCGCCCACCTGCGCGCACGGCCGGCATATGTCACAGTCATGCGAAAGGCATCCGTTGTCTTCCGTTTCGTGCGGTCCCGCCCACAGAGCATCCATGTTGACTCCAAGCTTGCATGAAGAGACGCTGACAGAACACCTCTTTAGCGACGTTGGTCCTGACTCTGTCTGCACGAGGTGAACTCTTCGGGAGGTAATGTGACAGGATGCCCAGCATGTGAAGGTATCTGATTTAGAAAATACTTAATCTAGTGGGGAGTGTCTAGTCAGTGGAGGACCTCTGAGTTGAAGGGCTGCCACACAGCGCAGCCCACAGAGGCCCAGTACTCCTGCAGGCGCGCCACCGCCTCCTGGAATGTCAGCGCAGCCGCCTTGGCCCGCGGTGAAGCCCCGTTGCTGCTGCCACTAGCGCTGCTCATCTGCCGGTCCTGTTCAGAGGCAGCCGGTGCCTCTGCCGCTGGCACGCTGGCTGCTGCCCTGCAGATGCCCCTCAGAGGCACATGCGGGCACCTGCAGCAGCGAGAATGTCCTTTTGGTACTGGTCTCCAATTGCTTGCCTCGAGAATGGTCACCGCTGAAGGGGAAGTGGTTTTGAAGACAACAGCACGCTCCAGGGAAGATGCTATTGAGCATGGCACCCAACCAGTCATGTGCAAGGTCAAAAACTCTCCCAACAGCACTGATCTGGATTCAGATGAGAAGGGGGTCATGCCTATGGGATTGACGGCCCAAAGGAGGTGGAGTCCTGCCATCGATGCATCTGGAGCTGTTGAGATTGCGCTTTGCAAGCCCAACGTATGGCCGTCTACAGAGGACGGACATGTGTTGTAGACAATAAGGCATGTGAAGCCGCTGGCCCAACATCTTACACGTTATCATAATCGGTAGGGCTGTATCACTGGGTCTGCAGCACACTCGAGATCTGCAGTAAAGATAGACCTGAAGTAGTCATCCTGCTCCTTGCCTGATAACTAAACAACAAGATAAATCACCCCAAAATCTGCTGATTGTCCGCGGATTGTAACTCTAGCTGTGAGGATTCCAAGAAAGGGATGCCTGAGCTAGCTCAAGGAAGCCCTACAACAGACTGGCGACTACTGGGCTTGGAAGGTGAAAGTCTATACGATGTATGATTTTATATGGACGATTAAAGCAAGTACAAAGACAAATCTCCGGACCACGGGCAGAATGGGAATGAGAGATCTGTCTGGGCAAGTCAATTGTTTAGGCTACCACGCCTTTAACCGCAAAATATTACTTTGTACAAAGAGATCTCGGTAAAAGTTATCTGAATGCAAAGCATTTTCTGCGCAATTCCTCCAGCCCACTGGTCGTCATGCGATCCAAATGTGGCACGTGGACAGCGCAATGAAAAGTCAAAGTCCCGGAGTCCGAAGTTGACCAGTCTCCCGCAGCTGATAAGCACAGAGCTACAAGCGACCCTGCCTTGACAGCTGACAGAGCTCAGAGGCACGAAGAGGGCTGAACGTTGCAGAATTTGAGCCGGAGTGCATGGGAAAGCAAAGGTGCGGTTTGTCAGCGCCCCAACAAGCGGGCGGAATGTGCTCCGCTTGATCTGGACTGAAATACAGTGCAAGAAGGGCCTTTTGAGTGGAGCGAACATTGTTAGGTTTCCTTTGCACTTTCAGCACATTTCTATAGAGCCATGGAGCCCAGCTGTGCGAGTTTGTTGGCCTCACAGTCCAAGTAGTGCTCAAGAATAAAACGTTGGAGTAGGCATTTTGGCCACATTGGAGGCTCTGAGAATGTACAGAAGGTCTAATAGCATTAATAAAGCAGTATGACACAAGATCCGTACAGTTGGCGGGCTTAATTTGTTCCTGCAAGGAAACCAGGGAAGAAGTGACTCTCAGGGCCATGCCAGCAGCTTTTGGTCTTATCCGGGTGTTGGACTCAATCTCTTGAGCCTAACACAGCGCAACGCAGCATTTATTCTAAAACATATTGGAGGCTGGAGGACACGGGTGAGCGCTGCGGGACGAGAGCGCAGCTTGTTTATTACGGCAGTCTCGGAACAGAACCCTTCTGTATTGCAGCCGTGCAGCCGAGCATCGTGAGTAGCTGAGAGGATCAAAAAGTGTTGGAAAAGAGTCTGGACGGTTCAAGGATCCGGGGAATGAGTGCTATCGGGCAAGCTTCACCTATAGCTTATGTCGACCGTACCTTGATGCAAGTCTCTAACGTAACGTGTGTATCTCGTGCGTCTTGCAGAAGCAGCACAATGTTCGGAAGCTGTTTTACCCCCAAGCCGGCACATACGGGAGCCCCCATGGCGCAGCTCAGGGTGGTGGACGCGAGTCCCTACAAGATCGTGGAGAGCTTCGAGCCGAAGGAGGAGGACGTTGCACAGAAGGGAAGCGCCCCACACGCAAGCAAGAGGAGTGGACGCGCATCGCTCCAACCCGCACAGGCGCTCGTGCGCAAGCTGACCGAGAGCGCTGAGAAGAGGTGGAGATCTCCTTGCCGATGGACAGATCTGGTCTACAAGTCACTGCCTTGGCTGCTCTACGGAATATTACTGCAAGGCTAAACATATTTTTGAGGTGCTGTCATTTTAAGGACCCGATTCCATCCGCCCCGGCCCTCAGATCGTCGTATTTTCATGGAAAAGTTTCCAAGATGTATGCACCATCCCTGCAGGTCTATGCTGGCAAACCTGCTGAAGGAGCACTGCCTGGTGGAGGGCGGCGACGCCAACGTGGCCCAATGGCTCAAGGACGAGGGCATCAACGCCCCTATTGGATCTGTCCTCAAGGTGATCACTCGGCCCAGGCCCGTCGCCAAACAGCTCTACTTGAACACCTTCACAGATATGCCTGCTTTTCCCCAGCTGAAGGCTGCCTTCTCTAGCGGTATCAATGCCCAACTAACACGGCTTCCAGCACAGCAGTGCTCACTTTAAAGACCAAAGCTTGTCCCATGCAGAGAGGCCCCAAACTCAGGCACGGAAGTCCCACCCTGTGCCGGGGCTAAGATGGGAATGCGCAGAGGCGGAGATGCAACACAATTCGACCGCAATATGCATAATGTCACAGGCATTGGGACACATCAGAAGTTTGTGGATGAAGAATGCACAGTGAACTGACCGCCCATAAGACCAGTGAGCCTCAGGTGGCTCCCAGCAGGTCTCCGAACTGTCATGCAAATCACCAGAGCTGCTAAAACTGACATGTGACGCTCCTCTCCGTTCCTGTGCAGGCTCTGGAGGAGGCGCAGAGCAAGGACCTGCTATTCTGGGCGTCACGCTACCACCTGTTTGTGACCTGGTCTCCCGACCGTTCCCACCCCTGGGATTCTCTCCCTGCCGCCGGCCAGTACTCCACCCTGGAGATCGGCGTTCAGCGCGGTGCTGACGACAAGGTGCGCCCTCAATCAGAGAAAATCGTAAGCACTCCTCAATATCTTCATTGGAAGCAGTGCTTGGCAGGGGGTTGGGTCCGTTGCCAGGCAGTGTATAGCTCCCTTTAGGCATGCAGCCATCGGCTTTGGCTGCAAGAATTACAAATCAAATTCTAGGACATCACAGCTCCGGTACAAGCACAATTTTCTTCTGTAAACTTGACAGTCTCAAAGAGAACCTGCTACCATTCTGATTGAATTAAGCCTGTCACGAAAGTCCTACATTGCAATGCTTACACTGCGCCGCTGCAGAGCTGCATGCATGCAGCCGTCACTAAACAGTGTTATTCCTACCTTTGCCCTCTCTGTTGAGGGCTTCAAGGCCGGTGGGGCAGGATGGGAGAGCTAGGCTCTCAGGGACGGATGGTTCATGTGCACAGAGAGATCCATCCTGGGATGCAGCAGGCTGATACTATGCAGAGAGGGGGAGGGTCCAGTGCAAGTGGGATGATGGGGGCTCTGCAACGTGTGTACACTGGTGGCTGATGTGGGGTGTGTGGTGGGTGTGTGCAGCTGGTGGTGCTCCTGGATGGCAAGGCAGTCACCGATTACACAATGCACAACTCTGTCCTCAAGACCACGTGCGCAGTCTCCTCTACCGCTCTCTCATAGGTTTTCATGCATGCTCTTAAGTGTGCCCTTCAATGTGCACAACCTCCTGTGGTGCTGCCTTTTGCCTGAAAGCTAAAGGCTTGCCCTGCTGTATTCAAGACCAAGCTCAAACGTGCTCACTAAATCGCAAATTGATATGGCCTGCCAAGCAACGGCGACGCCGTGGTGCTAGGCAAGGAGGCCTCATCCTTCCGTGCCCACGCATGTAGCAGAGCACGTACTTCTGGAGCTCAAAGGAGCCCTGGTACTATTATCATTATCATTACAGGCTGGCAAATCCAAAGCCAAAGGCCATGGGACATACTCGCAGGGCATCTGCAGCCACATCTGCGGGGCCTACAGAAGTTTGCAGCCTGTCATTGATCCTGTAAAGTAATATCCCGGCACTGAGAAAAGCATGCATGCATGCGCGCAGGTCGCCGATCGAGTGGGAGACGCCGAGCGGCCAGATCGCGCGCGTGAACCTGCAGCTGCAGTTCAGCAGCTTCTTCGGCTACGCGGGCGCCGACACCGACGCGGGCTACCTGGGCCTGCAGTGCCACGGCTGCCTCTGGCCCGTCAACGACGCCGACCTGCCGCACTACTGGCCCATCGCGCCCCCCATCGTCTCCGGCAAGGTGCGCGCGTTTGCCGCATCCACCCTTCAAACCCTCACCCACCAGGGGTAGCGACGAGAAGCATTAGCACCGTTGCGTGGTGTAAAGTCGTACGGTGTATCGGTGATGCTCGGGGAACAAACGAAGAAGAGGTCTCCCGGAATGGAAAGGGAAGATACCTGCACTTTCTTGCCCCCGCCGTTTGTATAGAGCTGTGCGGACAGACACAATAAGCGCTACCTCCGCCTGAAGAGTGCCCCATCGGCGCTGACCGGCGGCAGTACTTTCTTGTCTTCTTGCGTGTCCATCTGCTTTGCTGCGCTGACAGAGGGACCTTGAGAATGTAGTCTCATGTTACAAGAATGCTCGCCATTGGCTACCGGCAGCGGCAGTGCTCTGTTGTCTTGCTGCTGACTCATCCATGCACAGTGGCTGCGCGGTTTCTAGGGCCTCAAAACTGTCAGACCGTGTCCCAAACAGTCCCACCGGATGATGGCCAACGGCGGGTGCGCGCAGGTGAACACGGCGGGCCGCGACTCAGCGGTGTCGCCCGGCAACTCGGACAGCCTGGCGGCGTTTGCCGGCACGTATGCGACGCACCTTCTGCCGGCCGACGAGGCCGCGCAGGTCACCACCGGCGCCGAGATCGCCATCAACGTCAACTCCCAGGGTGAGCCTGGCGTGCAACTAGGAACCTTTGGGTGATTAGAAGGATTGATGGAGAATGGCTTCGAAAACGTTATTCAAGGGAGGGCCTGGAAGTGAAGATTCGTGCGCAGCTGAACACATCAGGTCAATCTAGTTATGATGCCTACGTGAGACAGTCGAGGAATGTATGGTTGCAATGGTCTAGGATGCCCATTGATAGTCAACAGAGGCGATCACCCTGCAGTTGTTCTGGCTCCTGGTGAACACAGCTGTGGACCAAGCGCATGCATTGAAGGGACAGTGGGAAGACTACTGCATAAGGCAGAGCTTTGGGGAAAGGATGACGTGCATGCAAAAGGCCTAAACTTTGGCGGATGAAATCAAACTGAGACTGCGTGCGTTATGGCAATGCAGGCCTGCCGGAGGTGGCAGTGGGCGGTCGCGACCTGTCCTTCTGGACCTTTGACGCCAACAACGTGCTGGCGTGGGCTGACGAGGCCGGCTACACCGCGTGGCTCCAGTTCACCGTGCTGCCCGGCGGCCCGGTCTTCATGGGCACCCTGCACCCATCGGGCGGTGACGCCGCTGATGTGGAGGCCGGTGAGTCACACCTCACCTCACCACCCCTGCACGCCCCATGCTAGGGAGCTTGAAATGCCTAAAGACTTGAGATTTGAATTGAGAGTTTCAAGCTGCATGCATGCGCCCCTGACACTGCGCAGCGTTTCCGGGCACTTGTGAAGTGTTGCATGCAAGTCGGGAAAGAATCGAAAGACTGATGACCGTGTTTGACAGCACTGGGTTGTGCAACACAGCCGCCACGAGGACTGAGCGACAGTTGGAGCCAAATGTTATTTAAATACTAGTTTATGTTGGAGGATGAGGTTAGGAAATATAGAAATCTACTGGTGGCATGCGTGAAGAGGGTCTGTGCTGGCATGCAACAGGCACCTTCAGCGTGTTCGGCGAGCTGCTGAGTCAGCCGAGCCGGCTGGCGCCCAACGCCGCGGTAGACGCGACCGTGGGCCAGATGGTCGCCGTCGGCCTCGCCACTTCAGCCACAGTTCTGTGCACCTCCCTCCTCCGCTCCGCCACCAAGTGAGCCACTTTCCCTTTTACCCCTCAGGCCTGCCACTTTCTGCGCGCAGAACGTAGTCTTTGCTCAGCGCATCTATGTAAAGTGGCTGAAAATCACTACACCCTCTCTCTATATAGAGTTGAGTAGCGTTTTGAGTAACATTCGAGTAGTGAGTAGCACATCTATGGTTTGCTGTGACCGGTATAGCACCTCTAGTGCTCCAAAGTGAGGGTTTCATTTGCAATTTCATTTGCCAGCAAACCACTGACAATGATGAGGGAAGGACACTCGAGGTCTCTTTCGCTTGGTGGGGATGCACTCTTGATTTGGCTATTGGGCACATGCACGGTCAGTACAAGCAGGGGACTTTATACAGGGTTCAGCGAGACAATTGGAAGGGGATAATGCGGGGGTGAGTGACAAGGGTGTTTTTTGCGCAGGTGCTGGGCGCTACTGCGCAGCGGTATGGGAGCTGAGGACGTGCTGATGGAGGAAGAGATCATGCTGCAGGGGATGCGCCGCAACTTCGAGTCGCTGGAGCGCGTGCACGCGGCGCACAAGGCGGCAGCCGCCGCGTTCCCGGCAGCCGCCGGCGCGGCCGCGGCCAAGGAGATGGCCCCGGCCGCCGCCGAGGCCGCCATAGCCGCCGAGAGTGAGGCCGCCGACCACGCGCAGGTTCGTCGCTGTTCTCTTTTTCTGGACTGCTCAATTTGATGCCTGGTGTCCCCTTTTTACTGCCACCAACTGCTGCATCAAGGAGTGTCCCACCGGACTTCAGACATGGAGCCTTGATGAGATGCTGTAAAGTTCACGCTGCTCAGTTTCCTGCGCACTCTTGTGCAAAGATTGTGCGTCGCTGCCATGATACATGTCCAGTGTCCCGGGCTGGGAAGATGCTTGTGAAACAGGACAGTTACTGTACCAAAAAGTGGGTGTGCTCATAACACTGCTCTGTGTTGTGCGCAGGCCGCTCGCGTGAGCGCGGACGCCGTGGCAGCCGCGGTGACACTGACCAATGACTGCATCAAGGACGGGAACGCCGTTGAGGCAACCTCCAAGGCCTCCGCCTCCGCCTGGCGCTCCAGCCAGGTGCTTTTGATTTTCAGCCCCACAATCCAATTCTTTGACAGTTCACCAGGAGTCAAACATATGGTTCACCTTCTGGGCAGACAGCACTTGGCTTGCATTCAGTACGAACTGGTCATAGTAAAGTGCAAAGCAATGATGCCTTTATGTGGGGTGTGATCATACAGCGCTTTGGGCACCATTTATTTAGGCATCAGTTGCTACATTCTGCATGTCAAAGAAAGCAACCAACAGCGTGTTTGTGGTTGCTACAGGCCGCGTCTGCCGCTGCGCATGCGGAGGAGAGCGCGCTGCTGGCCGCCAAGAAGGCCGCCGAGGCCAACACGTGTGCCGCCCGTGCCGCAGCCGTCTCCGCCGCCCAGTCCTACAATCTGGTGCGAAACTTCTTACCCTCTTTCTGTTTATATATACCAAAAAGCTTTAGAAACAGGGAAGTATTGTCTTTAGGACAACACCTGGTATGAAGGGCATGCTTAGTCAGTACCAGCCGCCAGATGTCAGGGCCAATTGCCCTCACAGTATTCATTCTTTAGAAATGCTTGAAGACCAAATGCTGGACACCCGTCTCCTAGTGGAAATGCAAGTCTTTCACTATTTGACATCAGGAAGTACTGCCTTGCGCTGAGCATTGTCAGGGCTGCTAGGTATTTTTTGGTACCCCCTGAATTGTTATTTATGGGGGTAATGCAATGGACCTGCACTAAGAATGCGTGTGCAGATCAGAGCGCCAAAACCCTTCCCTCCTTGTAAATTTCTGTCACTAGACCACTAATGGCATCGATAATCGGACATGTCATGCCTGACCGGTTAAATGGCACAGGCCCGCGAGTCGGCGCTGGCCGCAGCACGCGCTGAAGCAGCGGCTGCGAGCAACGCGCTCAAGACGGTTGAGACGGGCATCAACTACTACGCCGCGCGCAAGGAGTACATCAAGCTCAAGGACATTGCCGAAGCCTCCGACGTTGCCGGGAAGGTGCGCGCCTCACCGCCCCTTTTATTTCCCCTTCCTCTGCCCATGCCTGCTCAGATATGTGTAGCGATGCGCATGTCATAGTATGCTCGCCATGCTATTGTCATGCTGAGGCCTGTTCAAACACTGCCTGTTGCGAACTCTTACTGCGATTTCACCTTCACCATGCAAGACAGTGGTGGATGATGTTCCTTTGTTGCTTCTCCTCCATAGTGCTTCTCACCAATGTGCCATCCACACGTCTTGTGCATGAGCGGTGCATCTTCTTGCTCATTATGCGCAAGTCTGAGCAGCGGGCTGCAATGTGCAGGCGCTCAAGTTTGCCAAGGAGGCGGTGGAGGGGTATGAGGTGAGCACGGCCGCCAGCCGCGAGGCCGCGCTCGACGCCACGCGCCAGGCCGCCGACTTCTCGCAGCTCGCGCACAAGCTCATGCGCGCCGTCTACAAGGCCAAGTGAGCGCGCGCCCGGGGTGTTCCCTGCGTGGCACGCGCCAAATTTGGCGCTCCGCTGACCGGACCGCGCGCACAGCGGCGTTCCCTCTTTCAGACGGCCGCCAAAAGTGGCGCTGACTGGACCGGGCGCGTACGAAGGCGTTGACTGTTCTGGGCGGCCGCCAAAAGGACCACCCTGTCTCTCCTGGGTGGATTGGTGGGCGGGGACAACTGTCTTATCTTCAACAGGAACACCCGCATGGACTCATGGATGTAGGATGTGTCAGATCATGGGCACAGTTGGGCAGTGTAGGGGGTTAAAACAGGAATAATCTTTGCTGAGTAGGCATTAGACGTCAGCTGAATGGCAGAAGAGGACAAAACCCACAGCCTTGACATTTCAGCCATGCAGCTTCTCACTGCGCACCCCAAGCGCTAGAAAAGTCTGGATTCAAAAAAGTCTGGATTGATGCCCTCTTAGGGATGGGAATAATTATATCACGGTGTCCTACTATATCATGGGCCAAATCAAAAGCTCTCAATTTTCATGTATGCAGGAAAATAAGCAGCAATGCACGGCAATATTTTGCACTGAATAGGGAATTGTCGTCCAAATGGGACAGGCATAAATCCGAGAGGCGCAATGCGTTTGGTTGGACAGGAGGTGAAAAAAAGATACCAACGGTTCTGTGTCATGCCATGGAACAGCAATATGATGCGGGTGGCGACAGATTTGGCTGAAACGATGCCAATGAAGGAGGGGGATTCTTTCTACACACGATGCAACTGGAGCTAGGCATGCAGACAGATAGACACTGCTAGGCACTGAGGTTTTTGTGGCTGGTCGCACAGTTCTGCCAGGCTCATCATACCTTTTATAGACGTTGGATCGATGATGTGTGTTGTGTGCAGTGTGTTGGCTTTCATTCTCAGGAAGGCACCACACATGTGTGGCATTTGTGACCACTGCACAGCAGCATTCAGGCTGGCTGCAGATTTGTATAGCTAGGATATTATTCAGATTGGTGTAGTGTGTCTGGTGGCGTGCATTCAAGTTATGCGCCGTGCTGAGGAGATTCAGACACGCATGCGGTCTATTGATCAGTGACATCATTGCTAAAAGTTTGGATGATGCTTCCTGTGTCCCTGATAAACCCTCATGGCTTCTCAGTCGGCCTGGGAAAAGTGCTTGACAAATGAGTTTGGAGATCTATTTCTGCTTCTTTTGAGTGTCACCTGTTTTAGCTTTTGCGTTGCGTGTAACCCTCTTTCTCCCATACACGAGCTCAAAGTATTTGGCATGCATGCATGCTGGCATCCAAGAATCTTCTTACTCATGAGCACACAGCCACTGCTGTCTCTTCTTCAACATCACTAGTGTACGGTCCGAACCACCTCAGCTATCCTTCCAGTTTCATCTCACAAGTTTGAGCAATCAGAAACATGCTTCGGAAAGCACATGCACACTCTCTGCAAGGGACTTTTTCAGGTGTTGGTGCGCATGTTGCTTTCATTTTTGAAACAAATACAGCGGTCCGATTTTTCCTTCTATATCCAAAAGTGAATATGCGTCAGTCCCACTTGGGTATGCGGGGAACGCCGATGGACACTGCTGCCAGATTCCAGGGCTTCTTCAGCTCTATGCTGCCATCCTTCCCATGCAACAGCACAACGTCACCCACCTGCACCCATATTTGCAGTTATTTAGAATATTGCACTTTAAGTTATCGTAATTTTGAAGCCGGGCGGACATGCCTCTGATATGCAAAAGAGCTTGACAGCTCTTAGAGGGCGGTTGCTTTGAGTCTTTGCTCTCAGAGAACAGCTTCGAGCCCAAATCTAAGAGCGCTGAATTCTCCATGTAGACCGCATGTAAGACGGGGCAATGGAGGTCAAATATGGTCAGGGCTGGCATGCAAAGAATGACCTGGACGAGAGGCACGGCAGTGACATCGATGATTGTGACGCGCATGCTGTTGCCCAGATCCACTCTCTGGCACAGCTTGCCCCTCACCGCCACCTCATCCACCTGGAACCTGCAATTCCACATCACCGTAGTCACCGGTCTAATCCCCGCAGAAAAAAAATGATTTCGACCAAATACCAAATTCGCAAAGCTCTCGACAAGCCCAATCCAATGGATCAAGCCCCTGGTGATGAAAATGTCTGGAAGACCCCTGATTGTAGCCTTGTAAAATTTTTCCGCACCGCCGGGGGTGCGGGGTTAAGAGTGACCACTACGAGATACACCGCTCGCAGCCTGCATTAAACTTTCCTTTGCCTAATTGTGCTAATGCATTTGTTTACCCCCTTTTGCTGAAGCCCTCCGGGACAATCAGGAGTTCTCTGAACAGGGCAACTGTCCATAAAGACCATGCCCAACTCTTCTTACTTGCATGCAACAGGGATGAACTGCATTTCCTGCACATGACCACACACTGTTGCATCTGCTGCTCGTGTTCTTATTGTTTTTATAAATTTTTTCTGCCAAGAGGCAAGCATCTGCTGCTATGGAGACTTGGGCATATTCTGACTCATATGCCAAAATTAAAAAACTCACGCATCGGTGTAGCCCTGGTAGATGACTGCCACGGTCATGTCCCTCTTGGCGTGGTGGCCCTCGTGCAGCATATCGCCCGCCTTCACCTGCTCGCACCCACATCACCTCAGACCGCATCACACCAGACATTCTGACGCCACTGGCTGTACTTCTAACTCAGAAGTTCAAAGGCCCTTCTGAAGGCCTGCTTGCATGCGCTATCATCTGCCTCGCCAAAATAAGCAGGGAGCGTAAAGGCTAGCTCTCCCGCAAAATCTCAGATAAAACAGTGCTGGACATCAGAAGCCCAGTGTAGCTGCATCAGACCATGGGAAGGGTCACATCTAATTTTACATATAATGCACTCCTCAGCCGGTAATCACGAGTAAGATTGCAAAGAAATTGCCTTTTTGAGGGTGGCGATGCGGGTGAGCCATCGGGCAGCCGAGCGCGTGCCCGGCACGATCTCCTGCTGCCCGTAGAGGGCAGCGCTGACGTGGACGATGCCCGTAGTCCCGTAGGCCTCCTTGTCCCGTAGCATCTTCGGGCTGGCTGCCACCCCCGTAACGCCAAACTTGGCCCCAGCCACTCGCAGCTTCTCTGCAAATACCTCCAGCTCCTGCATTTCAATATCAGCGTTTGAACTTCACACTTCAGACCACCCCCGTTTCATCAGTTTCAGCCCTTCAAATTCTTTTGAATTTTAGTGTCTCCCCCCACCTTCAAAGCAATTTCCTAACAGCAAACCTTGGTCGCAGCCGCCTTTACGTACCAAGTTTGCATGCAGGCAAAGTAGAGTCTCTTCTAAAAGTTACTAGCGGTCAAATCTGGGCAGAACTGAATGAGTAGTAAAGCCGGGCCATTCCCCAAAGGCAATAGCTGAGATAGGCTTTTCAGAACAATTCAGGACGGTCTTCCTTGAGGGTAAGATCGTATCTATCCGGCAGCACAAGGGACCACAGCTGCAGAATTTTATGCCATTCAGATCGACCATTCTCTAGGAATATGAAAGGGTGCCAGGACTGACCTTGGGCTCGGCATGCTCGGTGGTGATGCCTCGCAGCTGCAGGCTGCTGCAGGTATTGATGTACTCTATGAGCTCCATTGCCTCTTCCAAGCTGCTCACCCCTTGCACCGCCGCTCCAAGCGCCGCCTTCACATGCACCTGCAACCCCGGCCATTTTGTCCACGCTTAATTTTATACAATACTTTAGTACATTTCAGAGACCTGTTGAGAGCGCCTCTGGCTCGTTGGTCTTGTAGGCAGGTGATAGGCGGTCGCAGTGATAACATCTGAAGCATTGTCGCTGGGAGCATTTTGAGAGTACACTGGAGACTCTTGGGAGGGAAAGTTGAAATATAGACAATGAGTGCCACTTGCTGCGTAAAAAATTGGCGCCCCTTTTTGTCACGTGCGTCTCAATTGAATCTACTCTGCTTGCAGCCCGCAAAGGCGCTGCATGCGGACACATTGTGAGGCCTGGTGCCCCCAGCATATTTGAAGTGCTCTCTGGTGTGCGCATCTTGAGGCGGTAGCTCTTTTGAAAAGTGGGAAGGGTGCAAAATAAATTATGACAGGATGAGTCACCTAAGGATGAGTCACCTGCATGGGCGCCTCGCGCTTGACTGCCGTGGTCTCCTCGCAGAGAACGCGCGCAAAGCTTAGGTCCTCAATGTACACCTCCACATTTTCCAGGGCCATCACTCGCGCCGTCAGGAAGTCCGGCTGATAGATTATGTGGATGGGCACCTCCACGCCCTCCTGCAGCAACACAAGACAACCCCGGTGTGAGCTTCTGACTCCCGAGGCCGGGGCTGCAGCTTTCAGACGCAGTGATTTTGATAAACGCGGTGCCTGCCAGGTTTTAGGAATTGCGACATGCAGTCCATTGGTCAGTCAAGGCAACATCCTCCTACAGGCAATTTCCTACAGGCGGGCACTATCAATACCAGGGGCATTTCCGGCTTGTTTTGATCACAATTCCGGCTGTCAATGTGGTTTTTTCGGCTTGAACCGGCCCCATCTGGCCGCCAATTAAACTCCGAAACAAGCCCCTTTTATTCATAGTGAGGGGTAGAAAGAGCAGTGTAAGATGTGGCACCAGGACTTGTTACGGTGCTTGGAGTTTGGTTCATATAGACTTATTGGGTTTGCACAATATCTTGCACAATATCTTGCACAAGGATGCTGCAGAGTGCTTTGCAGTCATAATTAGTCACTGTGCCGCACCTGACGCAGTGTGATGGCTTCGTTGATGTCGGCAACCCCCAGTTCCTTGAAGCCCGCCCCCAGAAACGCCTTTGCCACTGTGTCAAGCCCTGCACGCCATTTACTCCTCATCTCAAATTTCACAGATGTGATTCTTTGTACCTGATGCTTAGTACTTCAAGTCCTTGTACCTGATGCTTGCACAAGGAATTAAACAGCTCTTCACTGCAGTCAGCGACAGCATGGGTGCCTTTGTGATAGCTTTAATGTCTTTGATATATGTAATTGGCAAGGGGTGGGGATTTGAATTGGCGAAATGTCTAGCTGGCTGTGCATTATGCAGGTTGATTTGAAGGTCGCACCGTGGCCGTAACCATTTCCCTGAACAATGGCCAAGGGGATGACATCCGGGCCGAGCTGATATAGCACCTTGCCGGCATTGTGTGTGAGATCTGAGTAGCTCACTTCAATCCAGGACTGGGATACTGTGTATGTGCGTGTGGGGCCCAGCACTCTGAACCTCTGCCTTTCGCCAGGTACTTGGCCTGCAAAGGAGTTCTCTTCGTCAGCTGAGGTCATTTGCAGGAACACTTTTGGACAGAAGCTGGTGAAACAACAAACTCTCGTGGTTTCTCTCGTGGTGCGCAGGGATACCCACCGAAATCGGCTTGCAGTGAAGCGAAAACTGTCAGCGTCATGGTGCTCAGCAAGATAGTGATGCATCGCAGCATCTTAGCTCCTTGTGTCGTCCCCAGCTGGATTTCTGCACCTTCAGCTGCAACAGAAATCAGAGAAGCACAATGGTGAATCTATTGGCCCTGTTGTACAGAAATAATACGATAGCTACTGATGGGAAAATGGAAGGTGTTTATTGCCTAGCTATCGGGATTAAAATTCCAAAATATAATCGTATTTCAGTACATGCCGGGCGATCTGGTGGGGGCAGCTCACCAATTGTGTATCACCTCACCTTATTGGACTGCTACAGATGTTACTAATGAGCGATAGTCAATAATCGCATTGGCTTTTGATAGTCCAAGAGCTTCGAAACTCAGAACTGGTACATCGGAGCATCTCCTCGTGTACTCTTCCCTCGCTCGGTAAGGCAAGAACCCCTTCGTAGACTTCTAATCGCCCTGATCTCGGATATATATTCAGAATGCTGCTTTATCCCGAGTCATATGTCCGGCGGAGTGACCATCGCCTGCAGAGGGGGATGTGGGCCGGACCCAAAGACAATGGGAGCCAGATCTGGCGACCCACATGACTTCAAGGTTGGGGATGTGGCATGCAAGTTACATTTTGGTGCTATATCTGAGATGGCATGCTCGCCATTATGCAGCAGGACGTCAGCCTCTGCAGAGACGCAGGATTGCCCAACATAATAGAATTTCCCAACCCCAATTTACAGATCTGCAGAAGACAGTGATCTACAATAATGCAGTAAAGCCTGCTTCTGGCGTAAGCTCGGCTTTGAATTTGTGCAGGAAAAGCAAACTGCAGTTCCAAGTGTTCAGCAAACGCAAACCCTGACATCCTGATATTTTGAACACCTTGCTCTCACCACACAAATTGTACAGCAATCCATAGGACCCCAAACAATTGCTCAAACAAACAATCATCTTAAACACCGTGTCACATGACCATTTCAGCATAACCACACAATGTCATTCTTGTCAATTTAAGCTTATTGAGAAACCGCACACTGGTGCGGGTATCTGCAGTTATGAACAGAAGCTTGAGAGCTTGCCCATGCGGGAGGCCAAAACATTATCATTCTTGATTATTGCATTCCACCCACAGCTCATTTGGTTCAATATTAAAATTCCTATTTATTTTGCTGCCTGCACAATGCATCCAGCAACGGGTGCACGAGCTTAAATCATGCGCGCTGCAATTTTGTGCAGCACCGATTGATCAATCATCAAAAGCAATATTGCGCGCATCTGCGCAGCATTGTTTTAGACGCATGCATAAATGTTCCTTCCAAATCTTTCAACCCTGGCCGCCTCCAGGGGGAACAAGAAAAAGTCCCCCATTCTTTTGCTCCCCCTGGCGCCACGTTGGCTCCTAGCCAGCATCCTGAAGTGCTGGCAATTGGTGAATATGCACCAAAAGATCTTGAATAGGGGTCACATGTAAGCACGAACGTGCTCGCCGGTGCATTTTATGTCACTGCACCCCGATGACGCATCATCAGTCACAACCCCTTATTCATGACCCGCAGTCATGGCTGCGAGAGAACAGCTCAGGCGGTGTGCACCAGGCGCAGGTGCTTGTAGGTCTGCTGCGCGAAATCGGCGGCCTGCTGAGTCGACTCGATGGCGGCCTTGCGGCTGTCCGCGGTGTCCGCCTCCCAGCCGGCCTCTGCCTCTTCGGCCGCCTTGAGCGCCTGTGAAGTGACACAATATACATGTTCAGCCTCATGCATTCTCCGGTGCGAAGCCCTCGCCCACATCAGAATGCTATCTTTGCACCGCTCTGCACCCTTGAAGTGGCAGCCCAGCATGGCTGCCCCAGCCCTAGTGCTCACGCAAGGTGACAGCCTTATTCACCCAAACGCTGCATGCGGTCTGGCATTGTATCCAAAAATTGAAGCTTGCCAGATGTACAGGGAAGACTGCGCAGGGAAATCTTGTTAGCTGACTTTGGATTAGCTGGGACCTGACAAGCACAACCTGACAACAACGCAACAGCAAGGAATATTGTGAGATGGCAGAAAAGAGATCTAAGACAGATACAAAAAGTGACTATTTCACCAATTTCTGAGGCCCAGCCGGTGCCGTGTCCGTTCCTGAAGTGCAGAGAGTGGTCAAAACAAAACGTGCCTGGCCGGCGACGGCGGATGCTTCGGCCATGTCCTTGAGGCGCATGTAGTCGCGCGTCTCCACAAAGAGCTGCACGCTCGCCTCAACGCTCTGCAGCGCCAGACCCGCGCTCTCTCCCGCAGCGCGCACAGCAGCCATCGCGAATTCCTTGGCCTGCGCATGCATGAATCGTTGTATCAGTCTCCGTACTTTGGACAGGGGCTTGAAATTCACCGAGGAGGACATTGTTACCGAGGACCTTGTCTAAAGGGGACCAGGAGCTTTTTGTCAGAGCAAAGTGTTTATACATGATGCAGGCAGCAGAACAAGTCTCAGCCGGGCATGCTTGGCATTATTTAAAGTCAGGTTCGATTGGATCTAAGCCGCCGCAGGACCGTGCACTGTTCTCAAAGTTGTACACAGATTGCACGCACCCGGTATACGAGACCATCGCAATTTCAACAGTACAGGACGCATGTGTGCTGGAAAAGGTTCATTGGGAGAAATGAATACGCGCACCTGGTTGTAGGACTGCGCGGCGACCATGGCGGCGCGAAGGGCGGCCTGCGTGCGGGCGGCGCGTGCCAGGCTGGCGGCTGACACAGCGCTCTCCTCAGCCACAAGAGCGGCCTTGCCGGCCTGAACACACAACCACCACACACTGCTTCAGGACAAGAATGCAGCGCTGCATGCGCATACAGCACCCTCCTAACAACGCCTGGGCAGCCGGCTAACTGATGTCCGGACCCAATCCCTGGCATGGAACGGATGAAAGTCAGGTTCCTTGCAGGAGGCGCAGAAATCTTGCCCATTCAGATCCTGCAAAACAGTTTGAGAACCATCGTGGACCTGACATAGATGCTGGTGAAGCTCCATGCTTCGGGAATCCTTTGCCGAGTTACAGTACTGTGGTGGTCATTCTAAGACCCGCAATAAGTATTTATTTTTGGCCAAAAAGGGTGGAGAAATGAACCTATCTCCCAAGTTATAAATCATTTGATGATTTTGAGACCAGATCCAGAAGTTCTCGACAAGCCCAGTTGAACGGAGCATGACCCCGGTGTTTTTGAAGTCAGGAAGACCTCCAAAATCTGCTGTGAAAACTCTCCTGCACCGCCGGGGGTGCGGGCTTTAGAATGAGTGCTTCAATATTTTGTGCGCACCGAGTGGGCGCGGTAGGCGGCGGTGGACGACTTCTGAGCGGCCTCCAGAATGTTCTTGCCCTTCAGTGCGTCGCGCACGCCCTCAGCATTCTCCAATGCGGCCGCACACGCCGTCTTGGCCGACTGCACGCAAATTTCAAACTTGAAGATTAATACACCCTCCGGCCGACTCTACTTTGACCACAACAAACAAGCTCCAGAATGTACTCTTTGAGAGCTTGGTCCTGCAGCAATAAGTCAACCGGGTCTGACGACCGGGAAGCCTTGCTTGCATTTTTTCGCGCTTGTAATGGAGCTCAAATGCAACATTTTAAACGGCAGCAGCAGTAGATAGACAGGAGATCACCTGGGCGGCCTCGAAGGCCTCCTGCTGCGCGGCTTCGGCACCCTTGCCGGCGGCGGGGTCCAGAACGCGAACGTCGGCGCCGTACGGGAATGCGTCCTCCGTGGCAGCGTTCACGGCCGCCACCTGGATCAGAAAGTCGCCATAAATTAGTAACGATCAGTAACCTCTCAATCGATCGTGCTCAGAAGCTCTGCAATTCACAAGAAGCTGCCTGGCAAAGTCCATGACACCGGATCATTCTGCAAGGAAGTGCATGCAATTGGGTCAACCCAGGCAAGGAGACCATCAGGGGTTCATCAGGTGACGCCCCAAACCCTAAATTCTAGACCCTAAAAACTTTAGAAATATATTAGCATGTGAATAGGTATTTTTTCTAAGGTGAGAGATGACATGGTCACCTTGTCGGCCAGCTCCAGGTATGCGTCCATGGCGGCGTCGGTGGTGCCACCGCGCTTGGCCTTCTTCTCGGCCTTGTTGGACCACATCCTGCGCGCACATTACTAATATCAGCACATTAGTAACTTCAGCACGTCAGTAATGTCAGCAAAGCCATTCGTCTTCATGTTATCGGCCTGCCTCTATTCTGCTCACCACAAGATATCAGAATCAGGTTTCTGCATTCATCACATGCAGCTACATCTATCAACTGCGAATCATTCTCAGGCTGCTGAGATCAGAAGGTCAGTCTGTTGCTGCAAAGCAGCCAGCGGTGACAAGCAGCAAGACGCCCATTGAAATGTCTGGTAACGTTGACAAACTGGCAGGTAAATTTTCAAGCATGCATCTGAAAGCCTGAAGCAATGCACTTGCTTCAAGCGCTTGCTCCTGGAAGACTGCAAAACAGAGGCCAGAGGTATGACACTAAATTCTGAAGTAGTGCTGTATTTTATAGTACCTTACCGGTCACTCTGAACCCCGGACAAAACAGTTTTTCTTTTGCCAAAAGGGTTGATGATTTAGAACCTATCTCCCAAAATATAATTTCTATGACAGTTTGAGACCAGAATCGGGAAGCTCTCCACCAGCCCGATCCAAAGCAGCAAGCTCTTTGTTTGAAAAAATGCCAGGAAAACCCCTAAACGTTGCCTTGAAAAGTTTCCCGCACCGCCGGGGAGGTGCGGGGTTTCGAGCGACCAGTACAGTATTTAGGACCCCCTGGTTACAACAGGGAAAGGGAGGCGAAGGGTCCTCACTCGAGGGCGGAGGAGAGCACGTTGCCCAGAACGACGATGGAAGCGGTGGCGAGGCCGGCCGCCACCTGCTGCCCCACAAAGTTGTCCAGGGTTGAGTCCGGTGCGATCTGAGATGACTGCCCGCTGCGCTCTCCCACCACGTCGATGGCTGCGTGCATGTGCAGGCACATGTCAGTGTAAATCCAGATGGGTGAATTCTGCAGCTGGGTGAATGCAGGGTGAGTTCTGCAGCTGTCAAGGTTACAAAGTGAGCAGTACATCCAATGGGTCCACAGAGGGACGGGAGGGAGGGACTGTTGCAAGAACTGCGTGGCGATGGAGGCAGTCTCCAAGGCAGCAAAGCACGGCGCAGTGAAACAAATGCGCTGAGCTCAGAAGCCTCTAGCAGAGCATGGCACGGGCCATCAACATGACTTGCATGCAGGGGACGCCACCAGAGCGCCGTCACTCAACAGCCACAGCATCAACACAACCAAAATTGTGATCAATTTCTAAAGACAGAACACCGCAAAACTGCAGCGCGCACCCTCGTAGGCATCGCCGTTGGTGATCTTGCCGACGAAGACCGGGCCGCCGGGCAGCACGAGGCACTGCAGCCATGCGCTGTAGCCCGCCTCGTCAGCCCAGGCCAGAACATTGTTGTAGTCGAAGGTCCATGCGACCAGCGCCTGCCCGTTGACAGTCACCACGGGGCGGCCTGCGCATGTGAAGAATTACTTCAAATTTAAATTTGAATTGTTATGTGGTGCGGTACTTGAATGTCCAGAACGGCCAGCACTGCTGTGGGTGCCGTGCCTCAAGCTGGGGATCTGCTGCCTTTACAGGCAAGTACCATTGAGGCTTATTACCGGCATTTGACTCGTGATCCTGTGCTTTGGCAGGTTCTGGAACAGAATTTATAACACCATGCAAAAGTTCGAGCCTTCTGGGCAACCATGGCAGCGTGAACCTCTGAACGCTCCTCTTGTACAACGTCATGCCATGGCAAGTGACGGGACAACAGAGACCAGGACTATTATTATGTATTAGCACACCCGCATGCTGTCAAGAGGCAGGGTGCGTCCTGCAGACAAATGCAGATGAAGGCAGCCACAGACCAGGGTAGGGCACAGTAGTTCTCTGGAATTATAAGCATTGATAGGGGTTGGCGCACCATTGTGGGAGGAGATGGCGACCTCCACGGGGCCAAGGGGGGTCTTGGTATTGAGGGGCGCAAGCAGATAAGTGCCCTCGAAGGAAGACATGCCGTCGATTGCTCCGGGGGCCAGCGCTGCGTCGCGCGTCGCCACATTCACCTGTCGAGACCACAGCAAATCTTAGATTCAAGTTTGTATTTGCATCGTCTGGCAGAGCGCGGATGTTGGCTCTACATGCATGCACCGTTGTAAGCCGTAGCAAGAACACTTTTGTGCTATACCACCTCGTTTTAAGAAAGCACTGGTGAAACCATCCGATGCACAACTAGGAATGCTTGCTTGCCGAACTGCTTGTGCAAAGAAAATCCTTGGCACACCATCAACCTGAAGAAACATGGTGCATGAAACCCTCGAGGCAGGGTCCTGTGGTTTCAAGCCCAGGCTTAGAAGCCCACAACACGACCAGAGATTTGAATAATATCGTGAATTTGCACTTCAAAGAGCTCGCACCTTGGCGGAGACGACGGGAGGAGTTACGGGCCAAATGGCGGGAGCGGTGGCGCCGGCTGCGGGCCACAGGATTCCGTGGGCCTGAACTCCCAGGTAGGATGACAGGAAGCCGGCCTCGCCGTAGCCGCTGAAGACACTGAACTGCAGGTGCAGGTTCACCTGCGCACACATGGGGTTGCCTCAAACTCTGTCACACGAGGCAATGCTTGCATTCTGAAAGCAGTGACTTATTGCTCAGCCGAGAAAACTTACAGCCGACAAGGCAATGCTTGTGATAGGCAGGAAGCGCATATGGATTGCACTAAAAGCCGCAGGAGTGTAGCTCACATTGAAGAGCTATTTGCTGGCGTTCTGACCTCGGTTGCCTGCGTGGGTGTCTTTTGGTCTCATGAAGGCTTGGGTGCATTCCGTAAACCGATGCCTTAATTTTTGCAAAAAACAAAAGAGCCCCCAAGCAGCACGGTGTCTATGAACTATTTTCAGAATCGGGGTGTACATTGGTGACATGTGTGGGGTGGATCACCTGGGCGGTCTCGCCGGAGGGGGTGGTCCATGCGATGGGGGAGGTGGTACGGAATGTGCTGTTGGCAAACGTGAACTCCGTAACGGGCTTGCCGTCCAGCAGCACAACCGCCTGCGCACGCCATTACTGATATTAGTGATCAGACAGACAAGGCTGCAAGCATGTCTTTAGGCGGTTCGCAATCTTTATAGCCTCATCCCACGGCACTCCTATTTTCTTGCTTCTACTTCTCCTGCTTACATCCTCAGACAGCAGGACTGTGCATGTTATTCTGAAGAATTTACAAAATGCCCCTTGTTGGTACGCAAAGGCAATCTGCACCGGTCTGGTGGAATAATGGCCCGTTGTCTTGCATTAAACAGGTGCTTGCACAACGTACGCCTCTTGCAACTTTCAGCTGATTGCAGCTCAGTCATGCAAGGAGACTCGCACGCAAATGAACTTGCTTTACATAAGCTTGCTATGAAACGGAGTTTGCAGCTTGCAAGAAGTGCTGGCATTTGTTGCGGCAGAGTGGGAAACAGTAAAACAGCGCACCTCGTTGTCGGAGTCGCGCAACTTTCCAATCTCCAGGGTGCAGGCGGCGGTGTTGGCCTTGGGGAGTTTGTCCCAGGGGTGGCTGCGGTTGGTGGACCAGTGCACAAACAGGTTGTAGCTTGACGCCCAGAACATCAGGTCGCTCGCTTTTGCCTCGTTCAGGGCCTGCGCATGCATACAAACAGTTGAAACGCTGAGATAACATTGGCATGTCTCACTTGCGGGAGCTCTCTGAATGTTAGGAAGCACATGCTTGAGCTTTTGAGAACTGCTGACGCCAGGCTGGGTGTATATAACAAGAAGATGCCTCAAAAGTAGAAGCAAAGGTGAGTCGACGGAGGGGAGAGTCTGAGATGATGAAGACTTGGGCATTGTCTTCTGGTACTTAGCGACATTCAGAAAGCCCAGGCGCGACTGCAAGCATGCGTGGCGCCGGGGCCTGAATAATCATATACAATCCTGGTTCAGGAGGTGCAGGATGCGAGGGGACTGTTCACCTGCACGACGGAGCGCACAGACGTCTGGAAGCCCTCCTCTTTGAGCCAGCTGGTCAGCTGACGGTCACCGCCATCCACATGGCGCAGATCCTTGAGGTGTGCAGCCAGGGCGTTCCTGCAAGCAAAGGATCGCCCAGGTCAAGATCTGGTGCCTTTTGCGGAGATTTTGGGAGCTTTTGTTTCCATGAGTGGCTAGAAATCCGGTTGTAGAAAGTTCCAGGCGTCAGCGATGGTCCGAGAACCAATGGACCAAGAGAAAGGGCAGACTTCGACTCAGATGATGATGCCGGATTCTGGTGGACGGCGCAACACACACCTGGTCTCTGCTTTGTGGGCGAGCTGCACAAGGAAGGCCTTGGCGGGGCCCTTCTTGCTGGTGCCGTCGACCTTGGCCTCCGGGCTCAGCAGCTTGTTGATGAAGTCATTGTCGGGGGTAATCCCGTCGATTCCCTTCTCGGGCATCATGGCAGTCATTCTGTCTGCTGCTTATGTGAAGCTCAAGCAGGTGTCCCCTGCGCATCAGGAGAGCCGTGTTGGACATCGCGGAGTAGACTCTCCCGGGTGCACACAAGACCTTGCAGGGCACGGTCTTTTCGCTACCACGAGCGTAATGTCGCATCCTCTATACTTCACATACACTGATGCACGTGTACTAATTCTGCACCGAGTCCCAACGGCCAAAAAGTTGGACGATAAACGCAACCACAGTGCCTGCTCGATGATACATACTTCTGTCTGGCGCGCCAGAGATGCGGCCTAAGGGACACTAGACCCCCAATCTACTATTGTTATTGCTTCCTACTGCAAAGCATTCATCAGCACTGTTTTGGGACCGTATCAGAGCAAAGTGGTAGACATTCCGTCCGTGCATGAACCCCTCTGCACACCTCAAATCCCAACCAAGAACATGCTATAGGGCGTGACTGACCTGTTCAGTCTTGAAGTAATCCTGCTCTGGGCTCCAAGATGCCTGCAGCGCTGCGATGTGAAATGCGAAGCGATTTGCCCCATGGACAATTTCTCGGAAGGGAGATGCCGGCGATTGGAGCCTGCCGGGCGCCCGTCGCCAACTTTGGCTCAGCGGGGGCGTCATCAATGTTCCCACGATTGGGCTCCCAACAGGACGAAGCAACTCAACCAGGAGGCGACTTAGAGCACAGCTAAAACCAGGCGATATCAGAGAAGACTACATCTGGAACAGGTGCGTGGCATGGAGCTTGTGCTGCACAGGCAAAGGGGGAAAGGGCAAGGGGTGCTAGTCGTTTCGGAAGTGAAGATCTGAGGGTCTGCAGCCAAGCCCAGCGCAAACTGACAGCATTCAGGACAGTTTAGGGGCATACCGGAGGTCTAAACTGCCTGGATACGGGCACCATCAAGCCAATTTGCCTATCTACGAAGCCTGTGCGCTTTCCGGCAGTGTAGATCTGCAACTTAGATATTCCCTTTTGCGGAAGCCAGAATACTAAAGGCTGGGCATATATGTCATAGAGAGGAATTATAGGCTAGGATTACACAATAGAGTGAGGCGCAGGCTGTTTGCCCCTTCGTGGCACTAATAAATTCTCACGGAATGTGCCCTCCTGGGTTTATGACCTGCAGCCGTGGTGGCCGTCTGGCAATGCTGACTGACCGTTTATGGATGCCGCGTAGTGGTTGCATTGATGATTATTCGTCAGATAGGGCTTTTTCTGATCCACGTGAACATGTCTGCTCGCAGATCAGGTGCAAGTCATCCCGGTCGTCAGAGCACGATGGGCTTGTTTTCCTGTTTCTCGCGCGCCAAGACGGTAGATGCCATCGATGGCGGAGACATCATGTACAACATGGATGGCCTGGAGCTCAAGGAGGGCACGTCACCGGGCGGCAGCCCCGGCAGGAACCGCCGAGCACCAGGATCAGACAGCTTGAACAGCTCCCCACGTAAGCGCATCGACTACGACGCCCTTGTCAAGGCCAAGCACATGCCCGGTACTAACGTGCACGCCGTCGCCACCGCCAGCAGCGGAGCGGGCGGCCAGGGCAACGTCGAGCTGGCCAACGCCCGTGCCCTTGTGCGTGCCCTTGCTCGCAAGCCAGAGTCCAGGCAAGTCGAGTCCCTTGTCCGCTGCTCCTTGTGCCATACACTGTCATTCTGAAAGCGACGCAAAGAATCCGCTCTGGACTTTCGCATGCCTCCTTCTTCTATTGGCAGCACCACAGAAGGCTTGGCGTGTGATGTGGTGTTTGGATGTTGGGGAAAGGCTGAAATGCGATGATATCAATTGGGTTTTGCTGCAGGAGGCACCTGTCAAGGCTTCTGGTGCTGGACGGCCGTGAAAAGCTCGAGATGTGGTGGGTCGAGGAGGGGTACCTGACTGACCTCACCTCCGTGCTCCTGGTGCGCCTTTCCCACATAGTTGGGCCCTTGAAATGATGAATCTTTCATGGGAATGAAATCATCATACTTATACCCTCTTCAGATAGGCACCTGTGAAAGATTGCCCAAGGAACGCAGTTGGCTTCTGTTACACCATGCCAGCTCTTTCAGCCGTGCCTTGGAGTCGAGGTCCCAAATATTGGAAACCATCAGAGGCCAATCATAGTCAAGCACTGCAGCATTCAGATTGGCGTTCTTGACATCAGAATCCTCTGCACGCAGGCTCTGGAGGAGTCCAAGACCCGTGACCGGCTCTACATCCCCTCCCGCTACCAGCTGTTCACCCTCAACCAAGTCCGCCAGGTAAGGCATTTTGTTTTATTTGTTCCAGCTCAGGATATTGCACCCTAAATTTTACTTGCATAACTCTGGCCATACGCCTGCATTTGCATTTGAAGTCTCGGCTCATATTTGCAACGTTGCATCGGCCTTGTACTCCGGGGTATGCGCAGGTCTTGATGAAGTTGCAGATGCATAAGAGCGCATCAGAATCATATGGATAACCAAGACTCGAGTGAGATGTGTTCTGTGCACTGGCAGGGTGTGAAGGCGTCAGAAGACGCAGCACTGCAGGCGGCAGCAGCTGCGCAGGCCGCAGAGTCCGGCAGCAACGCCGTTGAGACAACTTCCAAGGCCGCCCTTTCTGCCCTCAGATGCTCCCAGGTGACTACTTAACCACCTGTTCCCATTCCAAGCCAGCATCTGCCTGCCATGCTCCCATACGAAAATCCTGTCAAGCAAATAGTTAAGATGTCACCCTGCAGAGCAGCACTAGCGGAGTCATGCCTGTGCACTGCATCAAAAGTGCCGGCAACGCCAATCGAGCCATCTTTGATGCGTGCACAGGGACTTGTGATGTAGCCATGTGGCCACTGGCAAAGATAATCCAGAAAATTGCTCAAACGCAGCTTAGTTCTTGCGCAAGAAAGTACACTCACAGGAGATGTTTGTGCAATGCGCAGGCAGCCAACGCGGCGGCGGCTGCGGAGGGCAACGCGATGGGAAGTGCCAACCACGCTCGCATCGAGCAGTCCATGGCCTCGCTCGCAGCCGCCATGGCCGCCATGGCGCTCTTCGAGCAGGTAACCGCCCAACCCCACAGCCGCCACATCTGAAACTTTTGTCAGACACTTTCCATTCCTAGGATGGCTACGTGATCTTCAGGACATTGCTGTCCGCCTGGTCGGCAAAGCCTCAGCATATCCCCCTGCTGTGACATTTTCGCGTGCGAGGAAGCTCAGCATGCATCTGGACTCTCAGAGCTGCGTGCAGCCACTGCTGTGCAGTGGCATCTTTGTTGCATGCAAGCACCGTGTGTACATTTCTGCCCGTGCTGATCAGTTTTGCATGGCAAAGAACGTTCAGAGTGCTGAAATCAATTTCTTTGGGTGTTATAGGCGAAGGAGTCTGCGCAGAATGCTGCGCTGTCCGCCAACAAGGCGGCCAGCGCCACCTGGTTGGCCCTGGAGCGCGTGAGTGCCCTGTACACCAGCACTCGCCAGTACTACATGCTCGATGACCTCGTCGATGCCTCAGCAGCCGCCAAGCGGGTGCGTTCCCTTTTCAACTTCCCAGCACATCAGCAGGGCCTCAAGCCCTGCAAGCCAACTTGGGGAAGCCTGTTCTCATATGCTACGCCGATGGGGACTATGCAGTGGTTGTCTCGCGCAATGGTATAATTAGGCCCAAGCTGGTACAATTCAATTTGGGATGCAGAACCAGAGTAATTCGTGCGCACCAAATGCAAGCATATTCCCTATTGTGCTGCCAAGTGTCAAAGAGAATTCCTCACGATACAAATGCGTTGTTATTGCAAGAAGAAGTCCTGGTGCTATCTGTCATACCAATAACCACAATGCACATCTAGGCCACCTCCTGACAAGGCAGTCCTGTAGGCCTCCGCATCAGGGAATCTTGGGGGATTGCCTTGGCCCTGATGCTCATTCTGTCCAATCTCAATCTGTTTTGATTTTCCTGATGTGTTTTGCCTTTCTTCCCACAGGCGATGGCGCTGACAAAGCAGGCCAACATGGGGTGGGCCGCTGGGTCAATGCAAGGGCGGCAGACGGCGCTGGCAGCATGCAAGGCCGCAGCTGACGCAGCAGATCTTTGCCACAAGGAGCTTGTCAACATGTTCAAGCTCAACACCTAATTTTACGCATATGCAATTGCCCACCTATTGTGGGGGCCTGACTATCCCCCGACATAACTGCAACTACCTGGCAGGAATTTGCCTGTCACCGGTGCAGCAAATAAGGAACACGTGTTGCCGAATGGGCACATAATGCAGCGTTGGCGTTCTTAGTCATATGCACGGGGATGACCATGTGCCAGAAATGGCAGCAGTGAAGGGGCTGTGCTGAGTGTGCTTGCTCTGGGCACTGTGGTATAGCTTTCATACACGCTGCAATGAAGAGCTTAGAACTCAGGCTCAGGATAGTGCATGTGCAGCTGTGCACAAGCATCCTGGCAGGGTAGGGGTCCCTGCAGGACAGAGTTAAGTGGAAAGGTTTTCAGATTCGAAAGCAGAGTGCCGAGCAGAACAAGGTCTGGAAATTCGCTTTGCTCCAATCTTGCAATTGGGACAGGAGGGCAGATGGAGTGGTGCCCATTTGGGCAGTCCTAAGGGAACTAGCTTGCATTTTAGGCATTTATTGGCATGCGGGCAGACCTGCAGCACAAGCTTGTGGAAAAAGTGTCCCTGCTGCAGGTGGTGAAACATGTGCATGCTCATTATCGTTTCCGCAGTGTAGGCGGCCTGCTTGAGGTCATAGCAGATGGACGTAGAGGTCTCAAATAAATAAGTCACTTGTCTGGTCATGCACTGCATCAGGGCAGACTTGCTGACAATAAAGTCAAAGTGGGATTTTGATGCATCTTGGTGACGGATATTGAAGGTCCAAGATGCAAGTGGTGCATCTCTTTTCCTTTCGCATCGTGCTTTCATGGCTTTTTGGACAAAATTGGTTGTAGCTGTTTGTTGTGTGAGAACATCTGCTGATGTGGGCGGTGTGAATATCAATCTCCATGCAATGCATCAGACGGGCATTTGCGTGTCCTGATGACCCATGGATATTGTCAGGGTTAGTCAACGATTTGTTGTCTTGCGCTGTCCCTGAGCGCATGCCCTGCTACTATGTTTTGCGTTTGCTTGCAAATAAGGTACCACTTGCACATTACTTCGTTCGGTTTTGTTTGATGAAATCACTGATCACTGATTCCAAGGCGGCCAGTGGTGTAATACTGCAGCCGTTACTCAGCAGTCCAGTTGGCAGATCATGCACAATCCTTGTGACCAAACAATGTCGCTGCAGCATTGCAGCACAGTGCATGCCATCACTGCCAGGATTTGCATTGGGAGTGGCAGCCTGCGGAGTGAAAACTGTGACACTCCCGGCCGGGTAAATAGTTGAATCGGCAGTGCATGCGAATGCAGTCCCACTTCATGCGCGCTTTGATCAACAGAGACTCCCATCTTGAGCCCATGCTGTTGCAATTCACAACGCCACAATGTCCAAATATTGAAATGGCAACCAGAGGAAACACTGGAGGCAGAGGAAGGCGGTGAGGTGAGGGGTGACGTTAGCTGCAGGCTGCTGAAAAACACAGGGACCTTTGGAAAGCACAGATTCAGAAGAGAGACATGCGCTATGCGATAGCGGTATCAATCGCGCCTTAGGTGCACCTGTCGTGACTCAAATCTCTTTTGGGCAGGAGAACCGCGAGGGTTGAGTTTAATCATGGGAGCCGCCGAGAGACCACTGCTTTCTTATTTCGAGAAGGCCCCACCATTGGCTGCGATCGCGGTAGCAACGTTGGCCGGTGTGCACGTCGAGATCAAGGCTGACCCCAAGTTCACAAAGGACAGCCTGCCAGCCCTTTCTATTCCAGGAGGGTGAGCAGCCTGATTTTGAGCCATTTACTCTGCCCTAATTTCCTTGTGCGTTTCCTTTCTTTTGGACCCCATTGACTCCGCAATATATAAGGGTCTTACCGCTAAAGGCAGCGGCACGACAGGAGAACGTTTGTCAGGTTGCAGAACTTTTGGAGATCTGGCAGCCTTCTTTTGCATCGTGCGTCTAGCTAACATCCACGGCCTGTGCGATTACTGAAATCATGTTGGTTTTGTCGTAGGGAACAGCTTGTGGGCTTGACCCCCATCCTGCGCTACTTCTCGAGGCTTCAGGATCCGCTGTATGGAGGCTCTGCTTTCACATCGGTTCAAGTGAGAGGCCCTTTCTTCGCCGAAACCTTCCAAAAAATCATCAATTGCCCTATTTTCATCATCTTTTAGCCTTCAATACCAATGACTGGATTGCACGGTGAGGAGTGCTGCACGATTGGCTGATCTTCATCAGAATTAGCTTCAGTGTGTGTTGGTGAGGAATGCTGCACGATTGGCCGATCTCCATCAGAACAAGCTTCAGTAATCGTTGATGCAATGCAGGTGGACCAGTGGCTGGAATTTGCGCCCCATCTGGTCACAGGCGGCGGTCTGGAGCCAGCCTGCGCAACACTCAATGAGGCCCTTGCCCTGCGCACCTACCTGGTGGGCTACAGCCTCTCCCCTGCAGACGTCGCCGTCTGGGGCCAGCTGCAGGGTGAGCTTGCCATACATTGAAGCCTGCCCTCCCTCTTTGAGTGTTGTGTGTCAAAATGTTTCAAAAAGTGGCAATCAATCAACTCGCACCAGGCTCTTTGATGCCTGTCTCCCGGTCCTTAGCCTTTAGAAGTGTCTTGCGGACTCCCATAGCTTCTTCAAAGATGCCTAGACCTTGATCAAACTCAGTGCATGTCATTGCTAGTACTGACACAGGGAAACATGCATTTTGCCATTTGTTTGGGCTGTCACGTCGTTGCACAGAGAAGCTGTGGGTGCTGTGTTTTAGGCAAATTCTGAAAGACTCTGATCAGGGACATCATCTGCCAGGTAAACATTAAAAAAGCGCTGGAACTCATCTCGGGTGGTGATTCTTCTGCACCGAGGCTGAGGGAGTGCGTGCTGTGTAGTGACGTTGCAGTGGGACAAGCTGCGGAGGAGCGGCTCGCTGCCGCACCTGGGCCGCTGGTTTGAGCTAGTCAGCACAGAGGCGCTGTTGAAGGAGGTTGCTGACAAGTATGGCCCCAAGAAGCCCAGCTCGCGCACAGAGTTCCGGAAAGAGCTGGCCGCTGCCGGCATGGGCGGTGGAGGTGAGACTGTTTCTGTTGCACCAGCTACCCTGTTTTTACGAAATGCAATTTTGCATTATGACGAGAATGCGTTGCTCTGATCTACGAGTGCATTGCCCAGCGTGTGCAGTGCTCTGGATGCGGTGCCTCTTCTATGATCAGCCAGCTGTGTTCGCCTTCAAGTTCTTTTTGTCTATCTGCACATCTGCATGCTGGTTTGTACACAAGCACAGCTGGCTGCATGACTGATGCAACAACTGACTATACCCAATGATCAATGCTGGCAGTCAGCACTGATCTCATACTTCGCGGGCTGAACTGTGTGCTGAGCTGTGTGCTTGTTGTTCTGCGCAGACACCGGGTCCTTCAAAATCGATCTGCGCAACGTGGTGAAGGGGGCGGTGAAGACTCGGTTCCCCCCGGAGCCGTCAGGCTACATGCACATAGGGCATGCCAAGGCGGCTCTGCTCAACTACCACATTGCCACGCTGCATGGCGGCCACATGGCCATCCGCTTCGATGACACCAACCCCTCCAAGGTGGGTGGGGAGCTTTTGATGTGCCTAGCCACGTCTGCCTCTATTCCCTTGAAAATGTGAATCAGATTTCTATATATTGTGCATTCATCGTGATGGCACTTTCTCCACCGATGCAATGGGAAAATGTTGATGCTGCAGAGGTAGTCGGTGTGGGGATTTTGTTCATTTCTAGATCTGTGCATATGACTTGTAGAAGCATCCTGGCATTTGCAGTGGCTGGGTTGGTGTCCTACCTGCAATACATGGAAATGACTGCATTCTGCCGCCTGGCCAATTTGTGAACTTGCTTGCTTGGAGCAGATGTGGCGTGTGAGAGTGAAATAATTCAACATACATTACAATTGCTGATCTGCGTGCATCGCTGTTGTGTGTGCAGGAGAACACGGAGTACGTTGACGCCATCATCGCAGACGTGGAGCGGTTGGGGCTGAAGTTCAAGGGGCCCATAACCTACACTTCGGATTACTTTCCCCAGATGCTGGACCTGGCCGAGCGCCTGATCAAGGCCGGCATCCTGTACGCGGATGACACCCCCGTCGAACAGATGCGCGCGGTGAGACATCTCTTCTGCACTACTCACTACACTTCCTCCTTTTCCCTGTCAATCCAATGTTTGGATTGTAGGAAGCTGTAAAGACGGTGATAATATCCCAATTGTAAATTCTAAATGCAATTGAAGAGGACACGGTCATTGGCTTCTTCCGGCTCGGCTGAACCCCAACACTCTCTGAGAGGAAATACTGATATTATCTCCGAATTCTAGAGCAGATGCACATAAAGGTGATGAACTCTGGTCTGTCTAGATTAAAGGCAATGAAGGGAGACATCCTCATGTGTTCTCTTGCTTTGCTGAATTAAAAAGTTAGAATCAAACATTATTGGCCGTGCAGGAGCGAATGGAGGGGATTGAGTCTCAGAGGAGGAATCGATCAGTAGATGAGACCTTGGCGGTGTGGAAGGAGATGGTCCAGGGAACGCCTGAGGGCAGAAAGAATTGCATCCGCTTCAAAATCGACATGAAGGAGAACAACGCCGCACTCAGGGACCCTGTGGCCTTCCGCTGCAATGATACCCCCCACTGGCGCACTGGCACGAAGTACAAGGCGCGCACCTGCCTCCCTCTCTTGCAGCTTGTGAGACTTTCGTGAGCAATATTAAAATGTTTTGTGTTTTGATGCGCTCCCCTTTTCTTGTACTCCCCTTGTCTTGTTCTTTCGTTTGGTTTCTCTGATGAAACACCCCACATAGGTGCATGTCATATGTCATGCAAGATGGACTGGCAGAAGCCAGATGGAGGCAGATTAGTGTGTTTATGTCTTGGAACCCTGGTGAAAAGCAGAGGCTGATACCGCTCCTTGCGATGACCTGGTCTCTCGTTAACATCAGGAACAGTAATCTGCTCGGCAAGTGGGCTGGGTGATTCCCCATGATCCGCGGCTCAATCCACTGCAGCTACATTCCCCCTTTATCCCACATTTTCCATCCTGCATCAGCGGAGGACAGGTCCTAGTCTGGCCCAGCCACATAGGCCCAGGCAGGTGCCTGGCAGATTTTGGTACCCTGCCCTTTTTCGCAGCATTGAGACATGCTTGCATGGCAAAGAGCTCGGCCTGAAAAGTACTAGTGCTTTGCTTTGGCATGCAGGTGTATCCGACGTACGACTGCGCGTGCCCCTTTGTGGATTCTCTGGAGGGGGTGACTCACGCGCTGCGCACGAGCGAGTACAAGGACCGCGAAGCCCAGTTCTACTGGGTGCTCAAGGCGCAGCAGAAGGTGCGTGCACAGCCTTTAACCCATCACCTTTGTGAAAATGCGCGATTTTGGCCGTCGCGTAAGGGTACCTGCCTGGTCACATAGAGTCTGCATCCACCAACGCAGCCCATTGTTTGTGGCAGTGGTGAGCGTCTCTTTCCATGGACGTCAGTTGCTGGCAGTCTTACGAAGCCTCTGCCGCATAAGTACCATTTATGAGACCAATGCGTGCTGCTGGCAGTGGCCGCAGGCGCAATCATGTGCAAGCAGAAGTTTATAGTCTTATGTCTGTCTGTGCAGGTATGGCCGGGGCTGCCGGACGTGCAGATCTGGGACTACTCCCGCCTGTCGCTGGTCAACACCGTGCTGAGCAAGCGCAAGCTGACCTGGTTCGTGGAGGCCGGGAAGGTCGATGGCTGGGACGACCCGCGAATGCCTACCGTGCAGGTGACTATCTTCTCTTTTCCCCTCTCGTTTTTTCTTTCTCGTTTATGAGTTCTCCTCTAGGAAGCCGCATCTGTGGATCGTGTTGACTTGTCCCTGGTGAGAAATGTCCATGCAATTGTTGGAATTAGCTGATCCCCAGGAATGGACAGTACACCGTTCTGATTGTGTCAGATGCGATGGAGCTGTTGGCACTGCTGTGGAGTTTCAGCCTTGCATCAGTGCCCACGGCTCCCGCAGTCTGATGCCAAGATGTTCTTTAGGCCCCTTGAAATGCCACAAAGCAACGCTTCATAGTGCAATTGCTTTGCCTGGTGAGGTATCGGGGTGGCTTCTCTTAACCAGCAGGTGCTGTGTTCTTGCAGGGTGTCTTCCGGCGGGGTCTGCAGCTGGAGGCACTGAAGGAGTTCATCCTGTCCCAGGGCGCCTCCAAGAACGTCACACTGCAGGCAAGCACCCAACCCACACCTTACTGTACCCATCCTACGCATGTACAGCGGCAAGGGGCGTGCAGATCCGTTTGCGAATTTCACAAACGGTGCTGCTGGCTATTGCAACACGATGAGCATGCCTCTGCCTGTCCATTTTGTGCAGGAACAGCATTAAGTTACCAAGCGTACGCGTACTTGTATGAGATTCCTTGCAAGGCTGGCTTATTAGGATCTCCATACTGCGCGCAGGAGTGGGACAAGCTGTGGTCGACAAACAAGCGCATCATTGACCCCGTGTGCCCGCGCCACGTGGCTGTCAAGTCCGATGGCCGCGTGAAGCTGCGCCTCAACAACGGCCCGGCCGAGCCGGAGGTTGTCAGCGTTCCTAAGCACAAGAAAAACGCGGACGTGGGCACCAAAGCCACCACTCGCACAAAGGTGGGCGCTGTCTATATCTGGCCATTCTTATCACACTGGCCCTTGGAGAGTTGTCAAGTCTGAGCAAATGCATCTGTTTTTATTAGGCAGAAGTCAGACCAGCCTTAGCACAGCAGATTTTATTGCACAGCAGAGTGTAATCAAATCAAAAGTTGCGTTACAAAAGTTGCATTGCGCGTTGCAAAGATTTGAACTTCAACGCAACCCTTGACTTGATTGCTTTGCCATCATTTCTGGGTCATGCAGTCTCTTCCATTTCTACTGTGCTACATGCAATCTATGCAAGGCAAAGAATCTCAGCACTGCAGTGTCTGATGTGTTATTATTTGTGTGTGGACAGGAAGTCTGGCTGGAGCAAGAGGATGCGCAGGCCATCAGCGAGGGCGAAGAGGTCACCCTCATGGACTGGGGGAACGCCATTGTGCAGGTGCGCACCCTCCTTCAAAATGATTTTTTTTATATCTGCATTACCATGCAATGACAGACATTTTGTCCCTATCCAAATAGAGTGCATTCATGTTTTGGGCAATGTCATGTGCAAACTAGAGTTAAGGCCCATGAGGGTGAGTTCTTGGAATGGGACGAGGGGCATCGTGCAAGATACCCAGCAAGGCATCCAGTGTCTGCACGTCGCAAATTCGAATTTGTGTTTTGGGGTTTAGGGTCATGCAGAGGGTGTCAAATGACAAGGCGGGGGTTTGAATTCTAGAATTTTTGTCAACGCAGAGGGTGTCGAAGGACGAGTCAGGGGCGGCGACGGGGTTGGAAGGCGTCCTTCACCTGGAGGGCAGCGTGAAAACCACAAAGCTGAAGCTGACGTGGCTGCCTGACATCAGCACGCTGACGCCGCTGCGCCTGGTGGAGCTCGACCACCTCATCACAAAGAAGAAGCCCGAGGAGGAGGACAAGATCGAGGACCTTGTCAACCCCAATTCGGTGCGCGCGCGCATTGCTTTCCCTGACCGTCATCGATGCCTGACAGCCGGGCAGCATATACAATAAACAGTCAATGAGAAGTCAAGGGAATTCAGACAGATGTTCCCTTTTGCGCTAGAACAACAGTGGTCAGTGCCCATAGGCGAGTCTGCTGAGGCCATTCTCCTGGCCCAATCTTAGATTCATTCTGAACATGAGGAACTTCGGCGGGCCCGCCAAGACTTGCCTGTTGCCATAAGCACAGCGCTTCATGTTGTCTATGCTCGACGTAAGTAGCAATTTTGTTATGTGACGTTCGCAGACGATGAATCTGGCACTCACTGGGATGCATGTTCTGTGCAGAGGACCGAGTGCTTGGCGTGGGGTGACGCCAACATGGGCGAGCTGCGCAAGGGGGAAGTGCTGCAGCTGGAGCGCAAGGGTTACTACATTGTGGACGTGCCCGCTGCCCAGGGTGGGCAGCCAGCGGTCCTGTTTGCCATCCCGGACGGCCATCAGAAAAAGGTTGCGCAGCCGGCGCCGGCCGCAACCGCCGCCACCGTGGCCGCTCCGGCCGGCAAGGCCAGACAGCCGAAGGGCATCAGCAAGGCTGTCTCCTTCAAGTGGGTTTCTGCTCCTCTTTCATGTGTGCTGAAGACTGTCTGCTGAGAGAGCGAGTGTATATCCTTGGCTGTCTGTCTCCTGGGCGTGCGAATTTTAGCTGCAGGCTGCTCTTTGTCTGCGTGAAGCAGTGTGTCTTGGAGACTCACGCTCATGCAGAATTTTGCAAGAAGCAGGCCTCTGCATTCTGGTCAGTATCCTGGACGCACTACTTGTCCAGGAACCTGGCAATTACATTTCCAGTATATTTTGGGTAGCCATGACATTTGATTGCCAATGCTTGCAGCATGCCTTTGACATATCTGACCTGACATGGCTCTCTGGGGTCGGGAGTGCAAGAATCAAGCGCAGCGAATTGCAGCTACACAGGCGCTCCTGTCCGTTTGGTTGCCTCAGGACTGGAAAGCAACTAATGAAAGAAATTAACATGTTTCTTCCTGCTGCAGGGTGCCCCCCACGCCTCACAACAGCTGCGTGCTACCAGAGCTCCACCCGCAGGACTGCAAGCAGCAGGACGTCTCCTCCGCCCTGCAGAATGCCAGCAACACTTTGGCAGACGGCGTACCTCCGCCGCGCCACACCTCCAGCTCAGCATCGCTCACCCCCTCAGACAGCTCCTAGGGCCTTGTTTTCGGAAAACTCAGGTTGTGGGCCTACCACTGCTGTCTTTTGAGCCTGCCAGGATTCTGGCAGATGGCTGTGAGAGTTAGCAGTCTGCTGCGAGCCCCGTCTGTAAATTTTCAGGGACTTCAGTGTTGCTGCTTGTATTGATTGGTTGTGGGGGCAGGCCGATACTCTCTGCGGCTTTGGATTCTGCGCCATATCCACCCTTGGTGGCATTTCTGGGGTGGAGCGGGACAAGATTGGAAGCAAAGCCGTCATTGCAGAGTGTGGGATCCCCCTGGGACCGTGGGCCTCAGCCCTGCTCTGGGTATTGTCATGCGTGTCTGCTGCCCAGACACTTTAGAACCAGTAGTGGCTGATTAGTCTTGTGGAACTTGATTGGAACAAACTTTGAACTCTGCGCAAATTACGAGACTGGTTGTGAGACTGGTTCTGCGTTGTACGTGTCCCCTGTTATCTGCTTTGGGTGTCTCGGACTTGTTCTGCCAGATGGCGTGGCGTCAGTGTATGGCATGTGCCCTGCCTGCACGATTTACAAGGGCATTGTTTTGTTGACCGGAATCGAAGTCCTCGATTGGATTTGGCTGTGCCTTTTAACATGCTTGGAACAAATTTTAGCACAAAGCGTGTAATATGCCTCCGGGCGGTATCGAGGCAAATGCCATGTAGGTGTGACGCTGACAGTCTGACATGATGACTTGTGCCCATACCTCTTGTGCTTGAATCTTAAAGATAGTTGCCTTTACACTCCTTTTGTATGTACAGGTTTGCCCAAGGAACCCCTTGAGATCTGTGCTAGCTGGTTCTAGCAATCCCTGTCAAATGCCAGGCGCTGAAATAACTGCGCCGTGACCTAAGAAAAACACTATACATATGTCTCCGAGCCAGAAGGGGTTAATCGAATTCAGCTCCAAATAGAGTGCAAGCCTGCTGCACCCCTTTCAACGAGAGACAGATATGCAGCAGTGCCCGCCTGAAACCTTGGCTGAAAGAATATACACACCAAAGAATGACTGCCCTCTCCCACTCCCCACCTTATAAATAGTCGATTACAGTACCAAGAGATAAATGCAGCAGCTAAAGCAACGTGTCAAACAACACACCAAGACACTATCTGAATGGAAGTTCAAACCAACTAGTTTTCAGCTTAAAATTCCCCCCGCTGATTTACGGCTGTCCTTCACTTGAGCAATTCAGCATCTCCTTCCTCGAAGGTGGTTTCAAATATGAGTTGGCCAGACTCCTCCCTTTGCTGCCTCCAGCCCTTACCGGCACAACAACTTGCATCCCCTCGTGCCAAGTACCAACAGAAATACACAGTTTATTACCCGGAATACAGCGACAAGTGCTGTGCTGCCTGCATGGAATAGATCCTAGCCTACCCTTCAAACTACCCATCAGCGAAGTCAATTGACAGCCAGATCAGACGCCAATACGAGCCAAATTGCTCCCTGCAGCTGTTGCAGCAAGTCTTGTCTTGATTCTGTCTTGATTGGATTCCAGTATTCTCATGCATGCAGGAATGCAATCCCAAAGGTTCTTGTTTGCCTCCTGGGTGCCCACAGCTTAGACTTATTCTTATTTGAGTTCAAGGCCTGTTTGATAAAGAGGCAGCCCCCAAATGGGCATGCACCTGGATATTTTTGCCAGGTGAACAACATTGCAATCCCTTCGAATCTTCTTTTTCAGCCCGTCAACTGCGGGGCGCCATGCGCGGCAGTGCCGGCATTGATATAATATTGTTGATACTCCGGCGCCCCCCGCCTCGGGGGTGGATGTCACGTTGCACGGGAGCCAGAACAGGCGCTGACATGCGCAGCCAGATCAGGCGCGGCGCCAGACTTTCAGGTTCAAATTCAGGCCTTGGTGGTCATGTTGCGCATGAACTTGTGGCACAGCTGCGAGGCCTCGGACGCGTCCTTGGATGCCTCAATGGCCGCCGCGCGGCTCTCCACTGTGTTGGCGTTCCAGCCCTCGACTGCCAGCTGGGCGCTTGTGACGGCCTGCGCACACAAATGCTCCCCTAAGATGAAACTGTGCTACTCTTTTGGGGCGAGGATACTTTCTCTGGGTGGCTGCAAAAGACCCTGTCAAGAGCAGATTCCTCCCGCGCGGACCCTCGATAAGCTGTGTGCATCCAAATTTCTTGGGAACAACGACACCCCTTCACACAATTATCTGAGAAATGCAAGACCATGCCAGACCTCTGATAAAGCGTTTGGCTTGCACGCATGCCTGAAACTGGCTTGTACTGCTGCATGCAAGGGGATGCATCATTCACAGAAGAAATACAAAAGTTGGATGCGCGCACCTTTGCGGCCAGCCCGGAGGCCTCGGCGGTCTCCTTGAGCTTTCCGTAGTCGCGGTTGGTCGCGTGCAGCTGGATGCCGTCCTCCACCGCCTTGAGTGATGCGTTGGCCGCGCGCATCTGCGCCATAGCGGCCTCGATCGCCATTGACTTTGCCTGCACGCGTGCATTTAATAAGGACGCTTGATTTCAAGATAAAAAATTCAGGTTTGCAGCGCATTCCCACAGAGAAGCTCACCCCTCAATATGTGATCACCAGGTTGCATATGAGGCTCCTGCATGCATGTCAGCATGCTAAGGATGCAGGGTACTTGAAGCAGTGTACTTAATTGTTTTGGGCCTGTAAGGCAAGATCTTTGGGAGCATTGAAGCGAGGCTTGCTGCACATTCTTGCCATCATAGGTATGCACGGGGGCCTAATTCTGCTTCTAGACTGCAGCACTCCCCATCACGAGGGCCGCTGCACATGCCAGCCTTCCAATGCATGGCAGCCGATGCGCAGGCTTCAATAGTGAGAGCTAGCGAGTGGGGATGCGAGACAAAGCGCACCTGGTTGTATGCCTGGGAGGCAGAGATGGCGGCGGCCAGGGCGGCCTTGGTGTGAGCTGAGCGGGACAGCTGCGCAGCGTTGAGCGCCACTGCCTCGGCCTTGCCTGCGGCCTCACCGGCCTGCGCAGACCACACATCAACATCTAGAACCCACCGAGCTGTTGACGTGGCCGTTATTGACGCTGTGCCCTAGTCCCTCAAGCTGCTGCTTTAAACGCTAGGGGATGTTTTTGACTTGAAAAAGCTGTGGGCCCACAGAAATACCCACCATTTCAGACCTTGTGGGCTTTGTATGTGCACGATTACACCCACTTTTACCAGGTCTCAACACGCTGGCTACCCCCGCGCGTGTTGAAGACATGGCATAACTAGCCAGCAGCGCAGCTGTGGCATGCAGGAAAGGAAGGAAAAAAAGAGTTATTACCTGTGCGGAGCGCCATGCGGCGACGGCGGCCTTGGCGGTGGCCTCGAGAGTGTTGCCCTCCTTGAAGCCCTCCTCTGCGGCGGCCACTGCTGACTCCACCTGCTCGCTCGCCAGGCGCCCGGCCTGCAACCCAGTGACATTTCACCTTCAAAACCAGGCAGGAGGGAGAGCAACAGGAAAGAAGAGGCTGCCGAAGCGCGCAGCGGTGCTCCGTCCTGCTCACGGTGAAGCTTCCTGCAAGCACTTGCGCCAAAATAGGCACGTCACGACAGGCCCACTGGGGCGCAACTACTCATGGAGCCCAGAAAAGTATTTGTAGCACAGGGGTGACCGATTAGGGCTCAGGGTGAATACTTTCATGAGGGAACCTCAGATCCAGGACTAACCAAGAATAGGCACTTGCATGCGCACTAGGGCGATCCTTGGCGGCCCTTCTCATGAGGCCTATAGCCAGAGCAGACGCATAGATCCGCACCATGACTATACTGGCAGCCTGATAGAGACCTTGAGCTCAAAAGGTAAGTGGTAAAAGCGCACCAGGGCAATGTCCCTGTGTATTCCAAAAGGAACATGGAGCCAGAACAGGCGCAGATACAAGACATGCATGCAGCCAGAACAAGACTTCATGCATGCATGCGCACCAGGGCGATGTTGGCGGCGGTGGCGGCTGCGGCGACGGCCTCTGAGGAGGCGGCGGGATCCATGGTCTTGATGTCAGACTCGAGAGGGAACGCCGCCTGGAACGCATCGGCAGCCTTCTGCAGGCGCTTGAGCGCGCGGAAGGCCGCCTCCATCCCGGCCAGCAGCTCGTCCTGCTCGCTGGCGAGCAGGTCCGGGCTGGCTCCCTTGCGCAGCTCCTCCCAGATCCTGCATCCAAGGCAATTTATTTCAAAATTTTGGATTTGAAAATTTGAAAATTGGGATTTGAAATCAATCAAGGTGCTGCACCCTCGACAGCGCACTGCCAAATCCTGTTGTTGAGGCAACCTAGGGCAGCTCAAGCAACTGGCTACCGGCTCCGCAGGTCAAAACATGCACAGAGATATCTGAATGAGCAAAGTGTTCATGGGAAAAAGATGGTACCATTGAGGACCTGCAAAAAATGCATAACCACAGCGGTTGAGACCCTATTGTCAATCAAGCAGCCCCGAACTCCTGCCTTGAAGGGTACTTTTCTGCATGCAACCTCACAGGCAGAGGCCCCCTCGACAGAGGTGTTGACAGGAAGGAGAGAGCAGGGCACTCACAGTGCGGCGCCCTTGAGCAGGTGTGCGAAGAGAATGGCGGATGCAGCGCCCATGCCCACTCCTGCCAGCTGGCCCATCGTGTTGTCCATGGAACCGTCCGGCAGCGCGCGGCTGGCCTGGCCCCTGGGCTCGCCAAACACCTGCGCCGACCAGTCAACGTGCCCCTCAAAACACGCTGCAAACCGCCTTTCCATTGTGTCTCTTGCCATCTGCATTGAGACATGGATTGTGGTTCCTCATGCAGAATGTCTTTTCAGCAGACTTGCACGCACAGCACATGAAATGCAGATCTGCCGACACATGCAACATAACCTGTGCTTGAAGCAAGCGCACATCCCAGTGCAAAGGAAAGCTCAGCAAGAAAGAGGTGGTCCATTGCCACCCAGCATGGCATGAAACATGCATCGTCCTCAACACGTCAGAAATTCCCACGGTCTTACTGAGGTAAATTCTATTGATTTCCATCTGAAGAACAAACCTGGAATTCGACGTCGGAGACATAGCCCTCTGCGTTGGAGGGCGCCACGGTGCCCATGAAGAGGGGGCCGCCGGGCAGCACAGTGAACTGCAGCCACGCGCTGTAGCCGGCCTGGTGCTCGAACGCCAGCACATTGTTGGCGTCAAAGGTCCATCCGGACACCTTGTTGCCGTTCAGGGCCACCACCGGGCGGCCTGCGGCAGGATGCACACAGCAAGATCAGCTCCAATGCTTTGTGGCGGTGAAGAGAATTACACGGCCCTGAGTGTCATGTGCAGCAGACACATTAGCCATGCGAGGAGTCCACACAGGAATGCACACAGCAAGTTCAGCTCCAATGCTTGAAGGGAATGGAGAAACGTTCAGCCCACCAAGTGTCATGCGAAGCACCGAGCCAAGGACAGCACAAACATATCAGGTATGTTGATGCGATGCTGCTGGATTCTGGTTGCCCTAATTGTGGTCAGATGTGTGGAAAGGACAGCAAGGCAAGTCTAATGATTTTGAACGCTGACCGCAAGCAGCACTTCACGCCGGCATGATTGGCATGTCTTGCAAGGGCGACCGCCAACACCAGCAGAGAAGGCTCCATGGAGAAGGCTCCAGGGTGAAAAATGGAGAATTCAAAAGTTAGTTCAAGAGCAGATTCGGCGCACCGGACTTGGAGGATGAGATGGTGAGCTCAATGTTGCGCGGAGCGTTGCCGTTGGCGGCCGGCAGGAACACCGTCGAATAGACGCCGCTGTACTCCGCCAGGCTGTCAATCGCAGCCGGCACCGCCGCCGCCTCGCGCGATGCGATGTTCACCTGAAGCACTTGCGCAGGTAAATCAGTTTAAAGAAACGCCTGCCGTAGCGTGGAATGACCATTTCAAGAGTAAAGGTACACGGGAGCCCATTGCAGCTGCATCAGGCGGCAAAGCCTTCAAGGCTGATGCCATATGAGAAAAACAAACGCCCAGCAAAGCCGCTTCCTTGTTTTGATAGCGCGTGCTTCTGTGTTGTGAGACACACTTCAGCAAGTGCTTCTGCTCTCTCAAACAGCATGTTGCGTCACGCATGCATGCCCCTCTGCAGGGTTCCTCAGGACAGACCTCTTTCAAGGTACAGGAGCATATGCAGTGCAAGTGCGCGCACCTTGCCGGAGACTATTGGGGGAGCGATGGGCCATGCGGCGGGCAGGGCAGAGATCTCAGGCCACATGACGCCGTGGCACTGGGTGCCGAGGTAGGTGGAGGTCTCGGCGCTCTCATATCCGCTGAAAGAGCTCATCTGCAGCTCCAGGTTGACCGGCACCGCCGCGCCCGTGGGGCAATCGAAGACCACCGGGGTGCTGCGCGCATGCATCAATATTCGAAATCAAATTCACACTTCAAGTTGCAGGAAAACTTGCTGCCCAAATGCGCCAAGGGCAGCAGCACGAGTTGGGTCCCTGGTCATATTCTCCCAGGTGTTCAGATACAACCTGCTTTTGGCGAGAAGTGCAGATGCAAGGACAGGAAATTTCTTGTAACAGGAGGAAACATGCGCAAGTTGCAAGGGGGAGAGGCAATGGACAGAGGGGCCCCACGTGGTGCGGAAGATGCCGTTGGCAAAGGAGTAGTCCTTGATCTCCTGGCCATTGATCAGCACCACAGTCTGCGCAGCACAAGTCAAAACTAAATTTGCAACTAGCCTGTCATGCCGTCAACTCCCCATGCTTGTCGGTCTTTATGGTTGCATGGACTGAGCTGCCTTGGCGTGCAAGAAGCCTAGAGCAGCTTGTGAACTTCAGTGATAAGGGCCGGGCCGCGCCGTGAGGTGTGTGCACACACCTTGTTGGTGCCGCGCAGCGAGCCGATCTCCAGGGTGGCGGCGGGCTTGCTGGCGTTGGAGACGTTGTCCCAAGGGTGCTGGCCGTTGACGGACCAGGTCACGAACAGGTTGTAGCTGGACGCCCAGAACATCAGGTCGTTGGCCTTGTCGTGCTCCAGAGCCTGCAATGCGGTTGATTCAGTACCTTCCGAACTGACGAGTCGTCCTGCGCACTCCGTGCTGCAACTTCCACGGACTGAGCTGCGAATTCCCAGGGACCCACCTTGATGACGTTCGAGATGCCGGTCTGGAAGCCCTGCTCGCGGAAGAAGCACTTGACGTTCTCGTCGCCTCCCGAGGTCAGGTAGTTCTCGTGCAGCAGCTGCTCGAGCTGGCTCCTGCGTGCACCAACCAGCGGAATTATTTACAATGTCAAAAATGGGGATTCGACTGTGCAGGATCCATTGCGCTACTACTCTTCGACGTACGGCAAGTCGAATGGACATGCATCGGTCTCGGAGTGCTATACAGAGACAACATGTTTGATCAAAGCTGTGCACATGTCAATGAGATGCACTGTGGCTGAGCACAGCTAACTCAAAGTAAACAAGCACCCACAAAATGAGCTCCGACAACGGTCATGAGGGGCAGCTCAGATACTTTCAGCAGGAGCAGAACATTGAAGGTCCAGGATCTTTTCACCGCACCTGGCATCGGCCGTGTGGATGAGGTGGCGGACGAAAGAGTGCGCCTGGCTGCCACCGGTGCTCTTGTGGGTCTTGTGGGGGACATCGTCCTTGTGCGCCTCTTCCTTGTGGCCGACCACCCCAACGACCTTGCTCTTGATGTCGGCGCCCTTCTTCATGATGGCTTCATCCATTGGAGCCACAGCCACCTGGCCGTTGCTCATGCAGAAGCAGCTCATGGCGGCGACTTCTGCAACACACCAGACCTTCACGGCTGAGAGATCCCGTTTATGTGGTTGAACTGCTATATTTTTCTCCCTAGTCCTTAGATAACGCCATCTTCGCATACAATAAATTACTTAGTTCCATTGTCAACTCCAGTTCGGCTCGCCAACAGATGGGATGAGGGGGTCGTGCTCGGACTCTCCTACGGCATGCTTGTCCGGGAGGCCAGTGCATTGCGTTTATATGCCACTCGATTGCGCCTCCACAGATAACATGACAGCTTCATATAATAACACACAATAACAGTATTCAAGGCAATAATTCCCTCGGCGCATGCTGAAATAGCCTCGCCATGCCAAGTAGCAGAAAACGACCCACCTTTTCCGGGATGGCGTGAAGGCGTCAATACAGCTGTGGAGGTGCGTCAGACAGCCCTGTTGCAAAAGGGTCTTGTGAGCGGTATAGCAAAATCGCGGTGTGCGAGTGCTTTTGAATCTGCGATCAACTGCACAACGGACCACTGGTCGTAATGAGGGTTTTAATATGCCGCAACCCCCGCATCGCCCCCCTGGAATAGAGAGCATGCATGCTGAACATTCAGGTTTACAAAGAGGCTATTCTCTGCCTGACACTTTAGGTAGGGAGCATTTGCAGCCTCACAGCCCTGGAATCCCATGCTGCCTGCTTTTGGCAGATGCCTTGCAACCGTTGAGTTTTAAGATTGGAGCTACTATTGCGAGTAACTACTAGCAATGTCAACGGCCTGTCTGAGACAGTCACTGACGATCACTATACATCTCTTTATATTATATATTCTGAAGTTGTTCCAGACAACCTGGCAAGAGTAATGACAGTGCGTGCAATAAGGAACCATTAAGTCACTCAGCCCTAGAAGACTTTCGAAAGTCTGTATACTATGTAGTACATGTACATTGTATCAGCAACTTGGAAGAGAGAAACCCATCTTTTTCCCAAAGCATACATATGTGCCATACAAACACCTGTTCACCACGCAAGATGCGCAGCTCAAAGGGCTGATCGGTTCTGACTTTGTACATACTCTGACCTGTACGTACTCTGACCTCAGCTCTGTTGAGAGCTCAAATGACTCACAGCTCACAGGCTCTTCAAAAATCTTGTCTGCTGTGTGGGGGCTTGCACTCCGGCCACAAACTCACTTGCACAGTGGCGCCAGCAGCCGCTCAAAGCCTGCTGGCCGCCAGGCCTGCTCGCACGGCACCGGCTCGCCCCGAAGGCTGAGGCAGGGAAAGCAGGCGCCGCACAAGCAGTGCCTTAGGGCAAACATATCACCCTCTGAGAAAGGGGAGTAATTCCCAGGGCACCGAGCCTCCCAAACACCATCCCCTTCTATCAGCTCCAACTCAGAGCACCTGGCCCCCATGCTAAGATACATCAAGAATTTTCTGAGTTCCTCCGAAAAGTTGGCTTTGGACTGCAAGAAGATTGATAGCAACGAGGACTCGAGCCACTCCCCCTCTGCTGTAATCTCAATAGGCCCCACAGCCACTGCAGCCAGTGCCATCAACTCTATTCCTCTTGTGAAATGCATGTGCAGGCCACAGGGAACGTCCACATCCAACTCCTCCAGGTTGGGGGTGGTCATGCAATCAATTCGCAGGCGAAGCGTCCGATGCTGGCCTGCTCCACCGCTCACGCCAGGGAAGCAGGTATCCTCCAACACAATGCGCAGCTCAACCAGATTGGCCAGCTTCATAAGAATGAACATGTTTGGCCCATCCCATGCGTTCACGGACTCTGCTCGTAAATTCCGGGCACTGCTGCGGATCAAGAGAGCTTCCACCGAGGGGATCACTTGTCTTGAACTGAAGCGCAGGTTCCCGGCATATTTCTCCATGGTCATACTGCACTTCTCTGGCAACTGCAGAGATTCTGTGAATAGCACACCCTTGATGCCCATGCGCAACAGGTGCACACAATGCCTCAGATCAACAGGGACTGAGACCTCCACAGAGTCTGCTTCCACATACAGAGTGCGCAGGGACTGCAGGCTGGCAATTGCCGAGAAAGTCTGCGTGTTTCTGTTGGATATGAGTGGTGCTGTCATTGCCAATGTGCAGCACCAGAATCCGCAGATCCTCAAACACAGGGAAGTGTGCAATGGTGGGGGCATGAATGCTGAGGATCTCAATTGTGCTGCACAGCTCCCTCAGGAGAAAGACTTCCACGCTTTGAGAGTCAATGCAGCGCGGACTGATCATGTGCACTTTGTGCAGAGCGCAGCTGCTGGGAAGGGCAGGCACAGATGCTCCTTTCCATCCCTCACTGGACTGGTCGAAGTCCTCGGTGTTCACGAAGAGCGACTGGCACAACGGCCACTTGTCGAAAGCCCACTGTGACTCCCGCTCGGCAGCAGTGTCTTCCCAGCTGCGAGGTTTGGCGCATGCAATTACTCGGCGGGCTGCAAAGGTGGCATGGCTTGTGCAGCACGCTCTGCCCCATTCCTTCTCGGACATGAAGCGCGCGATGTGAGCCCAGATGGGCGTCGGGAGTTCCATGGCCTGCGTTCAGTGAGGAAGGGAGTGGTTGGACAGTGGACTTGCAGCCCTCAAGCAGGATGCTCAAGGGTATAGATTTCAGTCTTCCGCACCGAGTAACGCGGCTCTCACTGGATGTCACAACAATTTATGAAGGCACGACAATGGCAGACACAATCGAGACGTGAAAACAGGCTAGAAAATTCAAAGATCAAGGACCCATCCATCTTGCCAAAGACCCTGCAATTCATAACAGATCTCTGAAGAATATGATCTCTGTAAACACAGAATGATTTATCCGTTGTCCCACGCTTACAAACGGCGTTTGTTCTTAGCTTGCCTTCACTGCCAGTCCAAAACCTTGGCTCAATGTACATTGCCAGCCCTTCTGAACAATGACTGTGCAGATCGATGTGCGCACCTCGGGAAGCCCTTCAGATTCCTTCAAGACGGCGGACGCAAAGCAGATGTATCTGGACGATCTCTCACTGTGACTCTAAGATGATGTTGACCTAGATCCTGAGTGTGGCAAGGCAATTTGGAAGCTACGCGCTGAAGGTGCATGAAGGTTGCAGAGCACTGGTAAGGAGAATGAGCTCCAGCGGTGGCGACCGCTAAGGGGTCGATGATAAGCTAAATCTCGATCTCGGACAAATTCGCCTTCGTCCGATCAGAAAAATCACAACAGAGTACCCGTTGTTATCAGTAGTGTCTATGGGATGGTCTGGCACGAATCTGGGGCTGTGTTGATGGCTGGAAGTTGAAGGATGGGGCTGCCGATGGGCTCACCGGAAACCCAGTATTGACCTGCACAAATGTGACGCTAATACCACCGGTCCACAAGAGCGTCAAATATAACTTCTCTACTCTGCAAATGAGCTTTTAAACAGCGTGATGGCGAAGGAATTGGGCGAATGTTGAAATTGTAAATTTATGCCCTCCCGAGCGCGAGCTCATTCTCCTTACCGGTGCTCTTGCAACTGTTTCAAATTGCCCTCGACTCCTATGCAAAGATCCAAGCTCTTGTGTCTGAGGCAACCAGACTAGGTGTTGCAAAACGTGCATTCATGAATCTACAAATCATCTGATATCTCATCAACAGACCAGGCCTGTACAGCAGTCCTACTGTTAGTAACTGCGCAGTCACGGTACCGGTGCAGTGCACGCACGCTGAGAGTTGAGTTGGCTTGCCAAGTTGTGGGCTTCAATTGAGTCAGCATCATGCACATAATGTGTATGCGCACGGTGTTGCGTGTTGTGTAAGCCATGTGTAAGCCATGCATGTTGAGATTCATCACATAAGCATGAGGTGTTGGGATGACGTGCACGTCTGGCAGAACTTGCCGCAAAGGATCTCGAGAGATAATGAATCAGTTTGCATCTTTCGTCGCCAACCATCCGTGGCAATGGCTTCTACCGTGATGAGTCAGTCACAATGACATCAACGAATGTGGACCGGTCCATGGTACCATGCCATGATTGCCACAGGCTGCAGCCTTCCAAAGCAACTATAATCAGCAAGCTAGCAAGCGCCTCACAGTGGGCCCGTTTCAACTGACAACCCTAGACTGCGGCCTCAGACAAAGAAATGTAGGACACGCCAGCAATGCACACTTACTGCCAAGCGAAAGGTCTGCCTTCCTTCCAGCGCTGTTGCCGACATTTTGTGGCTGTCGGCACTGCCAGCCCTGCTGCCTGTTGTTCTACTTGCATCAGCTATGCACAACAAAGCAGCGCAGATTGGGAAAGAGCTGCTTTAGCCTAGCTCTGCATCACCACATCAGGCGCATCACTCAATAACGAAATATGAAAGGGATACAGTCTGTGCACATGCTTGGAAAAGGTCTTAAAACTGTCCAGAAGTACAGCTTCTGATCTGCCAGGTACTAACTACCAAACATGCCACCGCTGGTGACATGCAGACTTGCTTCAATCTGTACAGTCAGCACGGCACAAATCATTCCTCGTACAATCACCCAGAGAAGCTACATGCACCCAGCAGGGCTCGGCGCACCTGTCATGCTGCACAATGCCGGTGCAGCCGCTTGTGTCCAGTGTGTGCAGCGACTCACTGCAGCTTTCTGCCAGGGCCTGTATGGCAGCGTCTGTGACTCCTCGGATGCCATGCAGAGAGAGTGACTCCAGTTTGCGGCACCCTTGTCCCAGCGCGCAGATGCCGGCGTCTGTCAGCTGTATGCACCAGGTCAGATTGACCTCCCTAAGCTCGTGGCACGCCCCCAAAGCCCCGACCGCCGCATCTGCGCCAGCACAAGCTTGTATTGTCAGACAGGTTGCAGTTGAACCGTGAGAAAATTGAAGAGGAGGGACATGATGGCATGGGCTGTGTGTGAGTCAGCTTGGTCAGCTTCTGTCAGATATTCCCAGACTTGCTCCTCCCAAAAGCATGCCCTGCTATTTCTCAATCAAATGGCAGATCCCTTGCGGGCAGTGCATGCAAGGATTAGCACGGCACAAGCCCGCCCGGCACTCCCAGTTGCCATAATGGCAGAACCCAGAACAAAAGGATTGGATGGCTCCAGCCGCTCACCAGAAAAGAGAGAAATTGTCGATAAGTGTAAAGAGAAAGTGTCAATTCTGCAGCAAAGTCGACAAAACAGGGAATACCTGTAGCGGCGTGTGCGCCGCAGAGATCGATGACTCGCAGGTGACTAAGCGCGCCGCAGCCCTGGATGGCCAGCGCGCTCGGCATGCTTGCATACATCCGCAGCACCTCGATGTTGGGGCAGTGTTTCGCCAGCGCTGTGTATGCTGTGTCTCCCAGCCGCGTGCACCTGAGCCCCCAACTTAGCATTACCCTTCTGACGACAACTTCCTTATCCCAACATAGCTGCCCCTGCATCACCTCAAGGCCAGAATCTTGCCACAATGATGCTGCCACAAGCTTGCAGTATCCAGTCATTTTCTGCATGCTGCTATCCGAATGAAGGGCAGTGCTGGTACACATACAGTTGAAGCTCATAACCCTGTACCCACTCCATGTGTCATTCAAATTTCACTCCAACCGCGCTTTGTAGAGGCATGCCAGAATGGGGGAAATGGGATCCCCACCGGGTGAGGTCCACGTGGGTTAGCTGGGGACAGCCCTGTGCCAGCTGCACAATACCCAGGTCAGTGACGGCCTTGCAGCCGCTCAGATTCACCTGGCTCAGCCGCGGGCAGGCCTCTGAAAGGGCCTTGAGAGTCTCCACGCCCACATTGAGGTTCCAGTACAGCGAGATGGCTGTTAGGGACGGGCAGGCTCTCACAAGTTCTGCCACCCCTCTGTCTGTCACCCTAAAATATCAATGAGACTCTTCAGATAGCCGGCATTTGATGCTGGTGCATTTCGCCATGTGCAAGCATCAGGATGAGGACAGCACTGCATCAGGCTCTCAGGATTGTAGAGATGTCTTCTTTTCAGGAGACGGTGCACAGAAGTTGGTCGTCATGATGACAGATGCTCACTTCTGACATCCATTGAGATTAATTTCTTCCAGGTTGTACCGCTCCAGCTGCTGCAGGTGACGATCTTCGATGCCAACGGCAAATTCTAGGACGACATTTCTTAGAGCCTCTGCAGCAACATGGCTGTCACTGATATGCTGGAGAGCCGGCTCAGGATTTTGAGAGCCTCGTAAATCAAGGGAATTCCACAAAGAAGGATGCTGTAGGATTTGATGCCATGCCTGCAGACAAAACTGGGTAAGATCACTTCTTTGCTAGGATGAACGCTTACAGCTGAGATCAAACATAGCTTGATGAAGAGCAGTAACTGCAACAACTCGCAACGAATATTGGAAAATGAGAAACAACAACATGGCACCTTGCAGACAAGCTCCTCTGGCTCTGTCCTTTAATGTCATGTGCCGAAACACATGAAGAATGGGTACAGCGGGGTCCGGCATTCTGCCGATGTTGCAGCTTGACCTCAAACAAATTGATCCAGAAAGTGTGGTTTCCAGACTGCGTGGAATGGGCCCGATAAAGAGGATTCTCATAAATGGTTACTAATCATCCACGTGTTTTTCTCCACTTCAGCAGCATCCACCCGAATAGAGACATGGTGCCCTGTTTCTGGTTACAAGAAGAATCCAACGACCTTAGAGTAGCACTTGTTGGACAAGGTAGGAGAATCGAAGTGCTAAAACTTCCATAGATCCTCATGCACTTTCGTTCGTCTATGCTGTCACATGACAGGCACGTGCCATCAAGAGTTCGACGAGAGGAACGAAAGCTGGATTCTCACAATGGAACTAGACCAAACTGTCTCTATCTGAGGCGTTAGGAGTGTACCTTGCCAGATCGTGCCCTGTTTACCTCTAGTTTTGATTTTCTCGGATGCAAGATCGTCATACTGTAGAGCGTATTGATAGACGAAGATCAGTCAGCACGTCCGCTTTTGGAAGTCTGAAAATAATTCATTAGTGTCTAATTGCGTTTTGACATGATCCAGCCCGAAAAGGCGCCCTCCAGCGCGAGGTATTTGTTGAGGACGAAGACGTGCAGATCCTGTGCACAGCCGCTCTTGGTAGATGGCAAGGAAGAGTCCTTCCCCGTGTCTGGCGTGGGTACCATGCACAATCGCTGCGCACTCAGCTACTGCCAGCAGCGTGGCCTCACGCTAGAGCAAGCCACACCAGTCTGCAAGCACTGGCGCTCCAGGGGCTTCTGCATCTATGAGGCAAGCTTACAGGCCTCCTGCACGATCTTATGCCTCTTCTAAGCACCTTTAACCCTCAACCATCTGCAGCCTCCTTTCTCTGCGTACAGCACTCCTGGTGTCAGACTCATCTGAAGACTTGTGGATCTTGTTGTCAAGGATTTATATTCCCTACAATACAGAGCTCAATGCATACTCTTGCCGCTGCAGAGCACATGCTTCTACAAGCATCCACCAGAGGCCAGAGGAGCCCCCAAGCCGCCACCAGGCCAGCCCACAGCAGCCGACATCGCAGCCAAGGCGGCAGCGTGGCGAGCCATCAATGCAGCATCCCTGCAGGGACAGAGTAGCCCTGCCAGCCGCGCCGATGCCGCAGCGCCGCCGACAGCTGTGGACATCTCAAATGGCTTTTCCTATGCACCGGCAGAGAAAGCACCCTCCAGCCATGCTGACCAGGCCGCCACAGATTCCGCAGAAGCTCCAGCCTGGGGGGACGAGGCAGCAGCGCAGAGCGCACGCCCAAACGGCACTTCCTGTAGCAATAGCTGCAACAGGAGTGAGGAGGTGTATCAGCAGCCGGCTGCTGCCGGAGAAGACGGTGCACCACTGGGGGCAGAGCGAGCCAGATCTGGCGTCTTGGAAGAGATTGCCAGATCAAGCGCCACTGGAGATGTTGCCAGATCTGGCGTCTGTGCAGGGGGAGCCAGATCAGGCGAAAGTGGGCAAATTGCCAGATCTGGCGTCCGTGCGTCGCCTGATCTGGCGGCAATGCATGCGGCCAGCTACGCGGCGCGCGCGGTCCGCCGGGGCCCTGCCAAACGCAACAAAGTCAAGAACCGATTCCGCGCCGGAGTTTTCCGCAGGTTCCCTCCTCTCAGCCCTGTCCTCCTCGCTCTCGCCACATGCAACGCCCTTAATATAGAACTTCATAGGCACAGTTGGCTTTGCTTCATGGAGCTTGGATCTCTCGTTTAAGTGGGTATGTGCTTGGTTGAGGGCTGCAAGCCGCATCTGGCTGGGTAACATTGCGGGTGTGCCGATTCATCGATGGCAAGATTTGTTGTGGGATGCTGTCCTAGATACTATGAGCGCCACTCATACTCCAACCTTTCTGATCTGCAGTGTTAAATGGGTGCAGGTTTCTGCTGGACACCTTTGGGAGGGAACGCCTGGCGTCGGGCTCAGGCGTGCTGGACATCGCCGGGGGCAAGGGTGAGCTGGCGTTTGAGTTGGTCAATCTCAACAACATCCCAGCCACTGTTGTGGAGCCCCGGCCTCTCAAGCTGGCCAAGCAAGAGCTCTGGCTCAAGGTGTGTCTTCTCTGCATCACAACACCCCTTGTGGCGTCTCTGCATTGGATACATTGCCGCTCCTAACTGAATAAGGCCCTATGAGGCACCTCCATGCAGCACAGGGGTGAAATAGCAAGCTAGTATGGGTAATTTGCTGCTGCTAGGGAGTTGCTCAATGTTCTTGGCTGGAAAGGAACCTCCATTTCTTACTCCTTGCGTTCACATACTCACTTCTTCACTGCCAGCAAGTCCTGAACATTGCCATTGAATGCAAATACTGAAGCCTGACACCCTCTATTCCTGTATGCGAGGGGGGCTTCTACCACCGGAACAGCATTTTCCAGCGCTACGTGGACGTCCCATTAGAAAAGTTCCTGGAAGCCGGAGCCGTAACTCCTCCGCAGCTGCGCATGGTGGTCAGCGAAGCCCTCTGCGCTGGCATTGCCGCCGCTGACATCAGCAGCACTGACATCAGCGCCGGCGACGTCAGCGCCGGTGACGTCAGCCGCGCCGCCCCGGCCGCCGCTGACATCAGTGGCACATCTGGCGCCGCACCAGAAGACCTCATGGCCGGACACGCTGATAGCCCAATGGCTGGTGATCATGCCAGGCTTGATGGCGGCACAGAAGACAGCACCAGGGGCTCGGCTGACGCCACAGGCTCCCACAGAGAGGGGTGCATAGGGGTAAAGGCTGTGAGTGAGAATGGGATGGGCCACGCTAGCTGCAGAGGCGCAGACAGCCAGAATGATAGCTGTACATCTGATGGTGCCAGAGCAGATGCTGCAGAGGACAGCAGCGGCCACAGCAGCACTGCAGCCATCGTGCGGACGGACAGATGTGGAGATGAGGGGAGTGATGAAGGGAGGTCCAACCCCTTGAAGGCAATGCTGGAGGAGTCCTTCCGCCTGGCAATGGACACCAGGTACCTTCCTTCGTTTTATCCAAACCAGTTTTTGCCTTTGTCGTCTTATCACCTGTGCAGCATTGAAGGGACTCTCGCTGTGAGTCACGAGTGTGAAAGGAGGCTTCTGTCTGGATTACATGCCTTCCTGGCAGCTTTTATTTTTGCCTGATGTTGCCAGATTAGTCTGCATGCTTCGCGAGCTCTGCCACAGAAGTTGTAAGCCAATGTGTGCCCCTTTGCATTGGCCATTTGCAAAAAGGGAATGAGCCCAATATTCTGCAGTGCTTCTGCGCCCAAAAGACACTCCTTTGGCATCAGAGGACCTTCTGCCCTCCTGCTGGTCAGCAAAGTCTCCTATGCTGCGCTTGCATACAGAGCATAATTTATAACCCCGTGGGATGCTCCTCTGTGCCAGGTGGACGCACAAAGGGGTGGAGCATGAGGGCAACAGCGCCAGGGTGTTTGCTGATGTGGCAGCGGATGACTCAGAAGATGAGTCAGAGGCGTTCCCTGACACCGACGCAGTCACCACTGAGTCAGCGGAAATATTAAAGACATGCGTGCCTGATCTGGAGCGGGTGATTGACACCTGGCAGCGCAGCTCCATCCTCGTTGGCATGCATCCTGATCAGGCGCGCTCTGCTGTCCTTCAATGCCCCAGATATCACATCAGTGCGCATAAGATTTCCCAAAAGCCTCCAAGGCAGCATGCAGGAGCTGGCATTTGGCCTGGAAAGAGCAGATTTTTGGCAATAACAAGGAAGGGAACAAGCTCCCAGATTTACGGGGATTGGTCTGTTGCAATTCTGTCTTTCTCTTTTCTCTGGGCATCTAGCAATGCAACATGATACTCTTGCCTATTAGAGAAAGCTCAAAGCGTCTGTCACATCTCTAATGCTATACAGCTGCTCTAGCAAAGGGCTTTCCTAAGACAGCCCACGACCTATCCTCAGACTCTCTTAAGGATGTTCCCCTAATATCGGTGGTATGCTGCGCAGGCGACAGAGGTCATTGTGGATTTTGCGCAACGCATGCGCAAGCCATTTGCAGTGGTGCCCTGCTGTGTCTACGCGGCCGAATTTCCCCAGCGGCAGCTGTTGGGGGGCACGCCCGTGCGGACGCACGATGACCTCATTGCTTACATCATCGCCAGGGACCCGGCGGCCGTGCGCGTGCGCGAGCTCCCGTTCGAGGGCCGCAACAAAGTCGTCTATGTGGTCGAGTGGAGCGCCAACGACCGTGTCAGCAGCAGTGCGGCTGCCAATTTGGCGGACGTGGAGTCAAGCTAAGTGAATAAAGACATGCAAGGCAGTGCGAGCGCCACATGAAAAGCACGGGCTGCCTCGCAGTTTTATGCAATGCACGCATGCAACATATAGGACACCTCGAATGCGGAGCCAGAGTTGTCGGATGCGGATTAGCTTTGAGGCAGGGGAGGTTTAATGTACACTTAAATTTCTGTCCTCTGTTTGTAAGCAACAGAGGGGCATATGCTAAGTTGCATGAAGAACTGCCTTTAGGATCTTTGCCGAGTTGGGTCAGGATGCAGATTTGGGGTTGATGGCCTCGGAAAAGAAGGTCATAACAGATCATTTTCAGTATCATCACTGCATGACCTCAAAGGCGCACTATGAGAATTACAAGGAAACAGCAGGATTCAAGCTACTCATGATCATGATCTATGGACAGCCTGAGGCACCACCAAAGTCACCGGACCACACATGAATGCAACGGGACATGCTGCTCTGACAAGGAGACAGACTTCTCCACTAGTGCAGATTTGAAGACAGTGGACTGTAGCCAAACAGTTGCAACTTCAGAAAAATACAGCAGTCATGACAAAACTGCTACAAAACCCACTGAAACCACCCTCACTCTCCGGATGTGACTTTCTCACGTCAGAACAGTCCATTGCACATCAACACAAGCAGAAACACAAGCAGACAGGTGTTTGCAATCCGTTCGCACATCACAACCTGTGTTGATTTCTTTGTTTCTGTCTTAGGCACAGCGCTGCACTCCTAGCAAAGGCTCTAGCATGAGTGCCAGACAGGTCACACCTACAACAATAAAGAATAGGGCAGCCCCGCGTTAGCTTGCATCTATGGCTTGTGTCCCCATGCATGCAAGCCAAGGCGGGGACTGCACCACTCGATCAAGCTCCTCTCATAGGATGCCCGCTGCAATACCAGCGCTAAAAGAGGCCCCAGCAGGCAATCATAGCTAGGCTCACGTCGCACAACCAACCTCTAGCAACACGTTGTCGGGTCCTCAACAGGCAAGACAAGTCAAATAATTGGCTCGGCAGCATCAACTTTTCTCACTTCACAGGGCCTCTAGCTGTTCCTTGCACTAGTCTACCCTGCAAGGACTGACCAAATGCAATGCCCTTTCTTCCTTAGGTGCCCAGAACCGCCTACAGACTTCTTGGACAGAAACTCCATGCGCCAAGCTTTGCGCAAGGATCCTTCACAAGTGTCCAACATGTCCCCAACTTGGTCAAACACCTCTATGGTCCTTTCTCAGGTGCCATCTTTGCTCCTCGGCAAGCTTGTCAGGCCGCTGCAAGGGGCGTCATCTCAGTGCCGGTGTGAATCAGCAGCCGCCGCCATTTATCCTTGACATCAGCCCTTTTGTGCAGCAGCTACCGCTTAAGCCAGGATAAAGAAGTCTGCTTGTTGCTGTGTCACATATGCGCACAACAACAACAAAAAAACACTGTTGCTAAGAGGACTCGCCTCGGCACTTCGAGACATGCGTGCAGCCCGGGAGCAGGCTAGCGAGCAAAGAAAAAAACAAACGCAGGTTTTGCCGCAGGGTGGTGGTGCAAGTACTAAGATGAGCGAGTATGCAAGGGATCAGAGTTCAGCACCACAAGGCCACAGAGGGGCACCAAAGTTGCTGCAAGAATGAACTCCACGCTCGAAGAATTCCCAAAACAAGTGCCCCAACACAAAAGAGCACCAGACAGGCCAGCGTGGCCGCTTGTTCAACACCCGCCAATAAATTCTAGGCAGGCAATGGCCAACACCCATAGTGCTGTGGGCCAGTCCGCCACATATTCCCCCTCTGATGCATACCCACCACAACTTCCTCTAATACCGTTAAGGTGCCACGCAGCTCTGACAATACTCTGCTCATGTCCCAAAGCGCTCTCCGCCTGACCCCCAACTCCTTAGTACCTCCTCTGGAGACAGACAGCCAAAGGCGCCCAAAGCACAGAATGCTGCAGCAACGCCGGCTGCCTCAAACAACCACGCCCCTTTCTTGAAAGGGGCCGCCAGGCACGCCAGCATGCGAGAGTGCACCTGGACACTGCCTGCAGGAAGCTGCCAATCGCTCGCAACACTGCAGCAGCCTACAGGTGGCGTGACGTCTGCAGTGCATGTGAGCGGCGTAGATCCCTCTCTCCAGAGCTCAGCCCTGCCATCCTCATGAAATGGCGCCCAGCAGCGCCGGCACTGGCTGAGTCCGGCCCAATCCCATCACTACAGCACTAGTCAGCCGCGCCCAATTGCACTCTGCCTGTCGGCTGCCTCGAGGAATCCACGACTGAGTGCACACGCCCGCGCACAGCTTCGAGGAAGCTTCCTGCGGCGGATGCGCGGAAAAGCGCGGGCGGAACCTGCAAGAAATTGCGCCTGCCGCCGCCTCCCGAGCAAGGCGTGGCGCGCGGCTCCCAAATTCCCACGGGAGGGGCGCGGTGCAGTAAATCATGACGGCGGGGCTTAAGAGCTGCGAAGAGGCATTGGCGCCTGTATTACGACACATCCATGTCGTCCACGTCGTGCAGGGTGTAGTCAACATCCTTGCGCAGAATGATGACCTGTCAAATTCAGCATAAGCCTCAGTATCGCACATGTTGAGCCACAACAGCGTCCTGATAGTGTCATCTGCTAGGATGCATGACCAGGACAGTCTTCAAGCAGCCCTGCAGCATAGTGGGTGTTGCACATAAAAAGGTCATCTGAGGCCGCAGGGTCCAAACGAGATATATTGGCCAGGATTCCTGGCACGAGATCTCACGCATGAATGCATGAAAAAGGGGTGGTGTCTGACCTTCACACGCTGCGGCCGGGCACTCTTCAGCGCTTTGAGCAGCTTGTTGAGGGCTGTGTCGGCCGCCTGCGTTGCCGCGGTGCAGCCGTGCAGGCTCACCATCTTCAGCGCCGGCAGCTCTGCCAGCCCCACCAGCCCAGTCGTCACCTGCAAGAACAGTCATGGACAGGAAATCACGCCAGGGCATAATATGACTGAGTCCGTCCATGTCATCTGTGAGCATGGTCTTGTGCTGTGCTCCACAAGAGCGTGGTTACGGAGCAATTGACTTGTGGCCAGCGAATTTCTCAGAGCAAGGATGTTGGCGTCCGGGATTGAGCAGTAAGCGAGCCGGCAAACCTTTTGCGTTGATGACATGACATGACGGAACGGACATCTGACTAAAACAATGACTCTTCCACTGCAACTATACTCTGGGGTAACAACATACCAAATGTACACCTGCTTAAACTTGGGGATTGCCTGCAACTCAAATTGGTGCCAGAGCATAAGTCTAAGACTTGCTTTCAAGAGGGTAAGTCAGTAGAAGGCACGCACGCGCAGGTGGCGGCACTCGGATAGGTTGAGGGAGAGAGAGAGAGAGATGCATCGTGACCGACGTATGCTCATACAATTCCCAACAGGGGATTCTGAATGAACGTTGCATTTACCAGTGCAAGAATATAGCTGGATCTGATGTGCATCCCCTGTTACCCATACAACAGGGGGAAAAACGCACGCGCAGGTGGCGGCACTCGGATAGGTCGAGGGAGCGCAGGGCGGTCATGCCGGCCCAGGGAATGTCGTCGCGCACGTCCAGCTCGCGGTTGCGCGACAGGTCCAGCCGTCGCAGCGCCCCAAACATCGCCACCTCAGCCGTCAGCTTGCGCAGGCCGCTCGCGCGGATTGCCAACAGCCGCAGGCCCGTCAGTGCAAACACCGCCTGCGCCGGGAACACCGGCATCAAACTGGCACAATGAACTGTTTCCATGAAGCAGCCTCGCATGAGCATATGACTGTCAGTCATGACGGGCACCCTTCCGCGCCCTCTGGGTAGAGCCCAGACCATTAGATCAAGAAATCCACCAAGCTGAAGGCAACTTGATCTTTCAGTGGACTCATTGGGACAAGTGTTGGAGCCCAGCCCAACAGTGTCCATGAGCTCAAAAAGTACCCATTTACGTGAGCTAGCACAAAAACCCCGACTACTCGTCTGGTATGCTGCAGCCACACAGCGCGGCCACACACAGACAGCCAACGTCAGGGTGTACCGTTGATTACTAGCAGGAGGCCCAGCAATACACCAGGACCCTCAACAGCACTGCCTCAGTGAAGAGCTTGTGGGACCCTGCACATGGACCTAGACTGACTACATCGCCATATTTAGAGTCCCCTGGACTGCTTATCTACCCGGGCTGCACCTGTGGGATGGCGGGCCAATCGGTGCACTCCAGCACAAGCTCGGTGAGAGTGGCGCCAAGATTGGCAAAGCCAGGGGGAAGCAGCAGCGGCGCAAACTGCTTGGACACGACCCGCAGCAGCTTCAGGCGGCGCAGGGACACCAGCTCCGTTACGGGCGGAGGTATCACTAGCCCGAAATTGCGCGGCGCAAGGAAACTCAAGCTGCGAGCCGGCACAGAGAACGCGTCAAAGGTGGGCACCTTTCACAACTGCTGAACGCTATCATGACACACTCATTGGCCTGCCTTGGGCCGGTGAAGTTGCATATCAAGAGCATGCAATCAGCAAAATCGGCTCCGAGAAGTCCCCATCCTGCTGTGAAACGTGTATACATATATATAATATAAATAGTAACAGCAGGAAGAACAGCCGCAGGTGGCTTATCAGGTGTCAGGCATCGGCCGCAAGGTCGAATGAGGCCACTTTGCTTTAGGCATTTTGGGCGCACCTAGTAAGGCTGGTGAGCCCCGACAAGGATGGGCACCAAGACTGCTGCTGCTGCGCTGCGCTCAGATCCAGACTCATCCTGGCACACAAAAGGTGACTCATCAGTGAGTCAGCCCGGAATAGAAGTACCTTAAATGAACCCCATAGGCACACTTGGCCCTTCAACTGCAGAAAGTCCATGCCCAGTGACCCTTTGAGCGAGATCCGCAGCAGTCTTTTGAGCAGCCTGACACGTCACATCAAAGGATCTGCAGCAAATCTCAACCTCTGGGTTTGTCGCAAAATCAGTTTAAGAAGACGCGCGGTCAGGCACTCACTCGCAGGCATTTAATTCCAGTTCTTTCAGGCTCCCCAGCTGGCCCAAACCTCCCTGTATCCTCAGCCCTCGTGCGCCGACAATCTCCAATACCTCTAGATCCTGCAGCGAGGATACAGCATCCTGCACAAGAAGAAAAAGAAAGGTTAAATCTCATGAAAAGACCAGACCAAAGGGGTGGCCACCCCTTGTTTCAAAGACGCCCTCTTGCTTGAGGTGCGCCATTGCCCATGCGGGCAGCCTCACCCTGCTTACGATGTCAATGTATGCATTTGGAGCAACCTGGAGAGAAGCGCACATTCTGAGCTTGCAGCAGCATGCCATGCAGCACCGGTTCTTGGACAATTCCACTGCACCGGAGAAGCAGTGCAGATTCGTTCTGAGGTGTATTGCAGGGTGGCCCAGGTCTATTGATATTTCACTGGCCTGTTCCAGTGCAGACAACCACTTGTGCATCAGGTGGGCACACGTGGTGGGGCGTTACCTGGATGAGATTCAGGCCGAGCGCTCGCATGGAAAGCTCCCGCAGCGAGGTTACTGTGAGGACGGCTGGGGGAATGGGGTAGCGCACAGGGTCGTTGAAGCTGGTGATCTGCAGCAGCTGCAGCTTCTGCAGCAGCGACAGCGGGCTGAGATCGCGCGTCATCACCCCGTCTGATGTCAGCTCCAGCCGTTCCAATCCTGCTCCACACATGCGCGGAATGTTAGGCGGCTGACTGGCAGTCATTGAGAATCGACACACTGTCTCGCAGGTTCAGAGGAAGTGACGAGCACTGTGAGGAATAAGAGGCGCAGGGCATGCAGGTGCACAGCATCGCATGCCAAATGATGCATTTGCCAGGGCTGCTCTGCAGCAGGCAACCGCCTTGCACACTGGGAAGTGCTGTTTGTGCTCTGTCTAGCGATCGTGCATGTCGAGCGGTCGTGCAATCGTGTGATCCACGACAAGAGGGAGTCTACAGATTGCGACGCAGTGGGCGCGCACCGGTGCAGTATCCGATGAGGTTGATGGTCGGCTGCTGCAGCGGGACGGCGCCGTGGCAGCCCGGGCTGAGCCCAAGGGTGCGCAGAGAGACCCCAAACAAGCCTACCAGCACCTGAAATTTCATCGCCTGGTGGTGATTCGTGAAGCGCACTGTGAGTTCCCTCACACCAGCTGCGCGCGGCAGCGCCCACGCGACAAAGCTCGCCAGCCGCGGACCCTCCTGCAGCCTGCGCAATGAATAAGCCAGTCTCCTCATCCCAGATCATCGTGATTACTAAAGTCGCATCCAATGTTGGGTCTGAGTCACCAAAGTTGCTATTGTTGCGTGTATTCCAGGTCCTTGAGATCCAGGATCCAGGTGCGTCAAGGAGTGCGAACATTGATATTCTCCAGTCTGCAAGGTTTCAGAGGTTCCTCCACCCATGCATCCTGTCTAAACTGTAAAGGACCTTAAGATCAAGATAGGAGACAAGAACCCTTGCTGGTGGGACATCTTGGTTGGTGCCGCACAGATGCAGTCAGAGTGGATCATCGTAGACATGACAGGGGCGCAATGATTTTCACGCATGCATCTGCAGAGGCACAGTTGGTCCAAGGCTGCTTTGGCAGATGGGAGGCTGGGAGCTTGCCTGGGCAGGGAGAGCAGCATAACGTTCCAGAGCACGCTGGGCTGCCTCAGCACGCCAGCAAACTTATTGCAGACGAGCGAGAGCCCGAACAGCAAGCGGCGGTCGTAGGGGGAAGGGCAGGCCTTTGCAAAGATGTTTATGAGAACGTTGGACGGAAAGTCCTGCAGCCCCACGCTCTCTGCCAGACTGTTTGCCTGCCTCCTGTCATCCACTTCCATGCAGGCCTGGCAAGAAGCACCAGGACAAGCCAAAAGGTCAACACAGGTCTGCAAGTCTGCGACTATACGGCTGCCATCTGCAAAGATCGCACAGTAGAACGATTAAAGGACTACCACAGAGACTATAACATGCATCAGGGCTTCCAACATTGAGCAACACAGGCGAACTAGGCTCACATTAATCTTGACTCATCCAACAACGCAGGGCAACTGGTATCCCGTGGAAAGAAAGTGCATGGCGCGCTACAGACATTCTAGACGTAGACTACTGTCTCTGAAGAGAGCGTGATGAACTATATCTTCGATAAACGCACCAGCTCATCTGCAACATCTCCGGCACAGGCTACGGTTCGAGAGCTCGTCATACTGCAGTCAGTCCCAAGCGACGACCCAGACTTTGTGAGATCTACATGTGTTGCTATGTCTCTGTACATAGTGTGCACCAGGCGTGCAGATTAAACGTTGTCGTACAAGGCGTTGAGCCTTCACACATCACACATCCCTCACTGTCTGCCAGGATTTTCGCTCCAACAAGCGAGATGGGCCATCCATGACCTTCCGACTGGTGACGGGGTCAGTACTGTGGGTGGAGAGATTAGTGACAATGGGGTCACCTCTCGAGAGTACAGGTTCGTTGGGTTTTGGGCAAACCCCTGTGAGGCCACATCAGCGTCAGTAAATACACAACGTCACGCACGTGCAGTTTAACACTTCTTCTTCTGCAATTTCTCCGATCCTGAGGACAGAACACTCACAACTAATGCAATTGGACTGAGAATATTCGTAGACTCCAATCCCAAGGTCGTGCGGCATTCCGAGAGTACAAAGTCGCGATCTGACAAATTCATCTGTGTTCTCGTCTCTTTGATGGAGGATTACAACAGGCTATAATTGCACTTTATTATACTGGTGTTCTTATTGAAATTACATGCAAGCGCTAAGATGCGCTGCGGGCAGGTATGTGCGCCACACAAGTTGCTGCATTCTGTCTCCAGGTTCTTTGTAGCCTTCAATTATATAAATGTTACATGATTGCAGGCTCAACATGAAGCGACACACTATGGGCCTCGTGTATTCAAGGGCAGCCGACCTGATCACACTCCGCGGCTTTGCCAGCGACCCATGCCGCAGTTGTGTGATGGTCCACCCTCGCGCCCAGCCACCGCCCTATGTGCAGGTGAGGCCTAATGCTTCCTGAGCTCTCAGTAAACCTGACTATCTCGCCGGCCTCCCAGCCAAGAAGTGTAATCCCAGCTTTCTTGTGCACGCAACTGTCGTGGCTGTGATATCTGGAAGAGCAAGAGCAGGCATTTGTCTTCTGACTGATGCCGGACTACATCATGGACGTTGCAGGAGGCAATGAGGCTGGCAGAGAGCTATGCGGGCGCGCATTGTAAGAGCATCGCCGTGGGGCCGTCCCGGGGATCCCCCCCAACATCAGCAGCCTTCTTCGGCTCTGGAGCAGTGGAGTCCCTGAAGGGCCAACTTGCAGCCCTTGACCCCCACACGTGCGCATGCTCCGCTGCTGTTTCCTTGCCCACTTACCATGCAATTTTGTCAAACACCCATGACATTGGCATCTAAATGTTGGCTCCCACACTCTTGCTGGACGTGCTTTCAGGCGCCTTCATGTTGTACCTGACGGGCCAGTTGGGTGCGCAGTCTTGGATAGTCTACAGCCATGTGACAGGGAAATGTGATTGATCGGCCTGCTGCAGGGTGTTTGTGAATTGCATGCTGAGCGGAGTGCAGCAGCGGAACCTGGAGGCGGCCTGGCAGCGTCCCGTAACGGACAGGGTCGGCCTTATCATCAAGATCTTTGCCCAGCGCGCTCGCACACGAGAAGCCCGCCTGCAGGTGAGAACAGTAATTTGCCACACACAGCATGGCAAGAGTATCTGCAGTAGCATTGGTTCTGGCTGGCTCCACTGATTGACATCTCCTGCAAGTAGCTTGCACCAAGTCAACCATGCTGTATCAGCTTTGAAGGGTACATGCACAGCGAATTCAGCAAATTGTGTTGCTGTATACATGCGTAGTACTGGCAAATGGACGAGGGCAGTGTGCATGATGCCACCCCTTGCCCTTCTATCCTTTCTGACTGGCTTATGTCGGAGTGGCAAGCTACAACTTATGCAGTTGCTGATTTGTGTTTCAGGTGGAAATGGCGTCTCTGGACTACAAGGTGTCCCGGCTGGTGCGCTCGGTGGATGCAGCCACCGGGCAGCGGGCGGGCTTCGGAGAGGGGGGCCTCACAGAGGTTGTCAGTGCAAGGTGCGCGCTTGAGGGATAGAACAGCTGCAGAGCAATTCAGCATATTTGCGGAGGCGCATCAATGATATCAAGTGGGATTCAATGCAACAAATTCATCCCACGGAACAGCGCTGCACGTTGCTCCACCTGAAAAATGCGCTGTCCTGCCACCTCTGCAGCAGGGCAGCAACAGTAAAGCTGGTGCTGCGAATGTGCTGCTCTATGCGATGTACTTGCTGAGAAATGTTCCTCCAGTCCTTTTTGCCAGAAGGCCATTCGGGCATCTTCACTGATGCTGATGCATGGCACACTTGTAGATCAGCTCATAAACTCCAGGATGACTGTGGATTATCTTTGATTGTGAGAATCACAAAACGCTTTTGCACCCTGTGGACGTGACACTTGTGGTGATCAGTTCATCCCGGTGTCGCCATTGTTTCAAGATGTGACATACTTGCTCTGGGCACAGGGAGAGGGGAAGGAGCGGGGGGACCTCGGGGGGTCTGGGTGGATCGGCAGGTGGCGGAGAGACGGAGTTGCAGCTGCAGCGGCGGCGCATCAGAGCGCGCATCAAAGCCCTGAAGCGCCAGCTGGCAGAGGTGCGATGCACGTGACTGATCTCATTTTGCTGCCTCTTCGCTATCTCTGGACCTGCACCATTGGCACTGTGCCCTTCCCCCAGCCATCATGCATGAGGTGCAGGGGCAAGGTAAGTTCTACACCTCAATAGCTCAGCGGAAAAAATGTGTTGACACATTCGCAAGGCTCTGCACCCTGAGTCTGTCAGGCCGGTGTCGTTGGACCTTGCTTGATTTTGGGTAGCTCATGTTGGGCAGGTGAGGCAGACGCGGGTGACTCAGCGGGCAGGCAGGCTCCGCGCGGGCAAGCCGGTCTGCGCGGTCGTGGGATATACGAATGCCGGAAAGTCGTCGCTGGTGTCAGCGCTGTCAGGGGATGATGTCGGCGTGCAGGACAGGTGCGCGCTGCATGCCGCTTATGTAACCGATGCACATGTCTCAGCACTGACATGCGCTGTGCAAATGTCACTTTCGATGCGCACGTCATAAAATTGGAACCCCAGAGTCCCGAGTCACACTCACCCCAAGCGACGCATGCATCACAGCTAAGCTAGCAGGTCTGGACTGATCAATGGAAAACAAAGGCATTAAGAGCTGCCTGGAGAGAGAGTGCATCATGTGAATCTTCTGTGCTGCTGGAAAAGAAACAGCCCTTTACTGAGGGCTGTAAGGCAGTGCTTCCATGCATTGCGCCCACGTCCTTGTTCCAAGTCAGCAAATCGAGTCCTGGGGAGGACTACTCCAGCAATGGCGCCTCGCACACACGCAGCTTGACAAGCGGAGTTCTTATGTTCAATTTGTGATGTGCAGGCTGTTTGAGACGCTGGACCCCACAATGCGCCAAGTGATGCTGCCCTCGGGCAGGGGCGCCATCCTGTCAGACACCGTCGGCTTCATCTCCGACCTGCCTCCCTCGCTCATCAAGGCCTTCCAGGCAAGCAACCTCACTCTTTATAACATCAGAATTCTTTGTCCAGTCCTTGTCCTCATCATCCTATGCATGAAAGCCTCTATTGCAAGAGCCCATTCTGTCTGATCAAATAAATGAGGCGTGTGAGACCGTTTAATAGCCTCATAAGAGTGTTTCCTCCCTGTCAGTGGACCTGCCAAATGTACAAATGGATACCGATGCTTCCTGAGCGCCATTCCATGCTGCGCTGGGTGACTGTTGCCTGATAGTGCCGTGAGAATCAGTCAATGCAAAAGATAAAAGCCAGTCTGTGGCTGGCCCGGCAGGCCACGCTGTGCTGGGGGCACGGAGCCTCCACACGTGGCCTCCACACGCTCTAGAGACATCAGGAAATACAGAAGATGAGAGCTTTCTTAATGACTGGCCTGGCAGGCAACGCTGGAGGAGGTGGTGGAAGCAGATCTGCTGCTGCATGTCATGGACGGCAGCAGCGAGCAGATGCTGCAGCAGCGCGACGCCGTGCTGGCCGTCCTGCGGCGCCTCGGCGTGTCGGAGATGCGCCTGCAGAAGAGCCTCATCGAGGTCGTCAACAAGTCGGATATCTTCCCTGGCACAGCTTCCCAGTCGCCAGACGATACTGACCTATCAGCGCCTGATGTGGCCGAGCCAGATTTGGCAGCGCCTGATTTGGCAGAGCCTGATTTGGAGGCGTCTAAATTGGATACACCCTCCAGCAGCTGTGGGGCTCCTGAAGAGGCTGGGGAGGTAGAGGGGCCATGGCTGCACGGGGGCGAGGTGCCCTCTGCAAAAGGGAGCGCAGACACCCAAGCGCTGTCAGACGGGAGCGTGGAAAAGCAGGACAGCGGCGCAGATGCCTCATGCAGTGGGCAGCAAGAGGCAGGATCCCTCAGCAAAAAAACCAGCAGTGGTGAGACGGCCGATAGGGAATTGGGCATGCAGCGGGAAAAGAGCAGGGGTGGATTTTGTGGGCGGGGGGTGGAGAAGGAGGGAACGTGTCGAGAGACAGACGGCCACAGCGCTGCGCTGGACTGGGCGCGCGGCCGGGCCGGCCGCCAGCCGAGCGTGGTGGTGACATCAGCGGTCACAGGGGACGGCCTGGATGACCTGCTGCTAGAGATGGACAAAAAGGTGTGTGGCTCGCTCACTGTAATTTGGATTGTTTCAATGCACTATACTTTCACCGCAAGGCAGCCGTTCCTGCCTTCGAGAAATTCTTTGCGCTCGGATCGCATTTACCTTGGTATGTAATTTCCTGTACAATGTCATATGCATTGCTTTGTGAGTTGCATCCATCTTCCAGGTGCATTTCTGGGCATTTAAGCTTTGATAGCTAGCTGCGGTGCGTACAAGCTTCACCTGCCAAGTGTCACATGGAACTTGTGGTAGGCAAAATGCCTTGTGACATCAGGTGAGAGCATGTTGAATCATTTGTGGGTGCAGGTGAGTCTGAAGTTTGCAATGAGGGAGCTGAGCGAGGGGGCGATCCGAATGGGGCCACGCGTGTTGACTGAAAACATTGTGGGCCCAGTTGTACCGGGGGTGACCCAGGCCCGCGGCTCAAGATTGCAGCATTCTTGGATATGACTTCAAGTGACGATTGCCGCATATATGTCTAGGCCAAAGTCAGCTGTGCGCACGATTTCAGGCGTGCCATCGATCCGCAGGGGGCCTTTGTCAGTATTTTTGTACGCTGTGCAATTGAAGATGTCAAGTGGCCAGCATATCTGATTATGCGAGGACGCTATCAATCACTATGCATTCAATTGCAATCACAATCCAAGTTGGCTCACGATGCGCACTGCGTGGCATGCCTGCAATCTGATTACTTAATACACATGCTGCCGGCGCCTGCGATACCTCAAGTATTTTTTGTACGTTTTATTATGTACATTTCGAGGCCACACTCTCAGGCCCTTCATCTGACCTCATCGTGCATGCATGGCATGCCTCCCATGTGACCGATCACGTGCACCGAGAAAGGCTCGGTACCCTTCCATGAGCACTCGCGATGCTGGCAATCGGGAGAAGAACAAGACATTAAGAACATGATCAGTAGGTGGCTCTCATTCAGGTACGAGTGGTCACGAGTTGCCGAGAGCTTAAAAGGGGTCCAGATCACCCACGCCAAACCGATGCCTGTGAGATGTTAGAACTGTGGTTGGAAGTCCTGTGTTGTCACATCTGGAAAATGCTCGTTCAATTTCATCATGTAATTTCAATCAGGGTCCTAAGAAGCGTTCTCTGCACATTTCAGGTGGTTCAATCTGAAGGACGACAGGTCAACACATCGCACTCGGCCTCTAGAATGGCGAGACAACGGTAGCAATCCGTACAACGTCACGTTAGTTCTCGACATAGTGCAGCAGCTGCTTGATGCTGAGCCAGTGAACCATCAACACACCTGGATCACTGTCCTAGCGAACACTCCAGCAGTGCGCCTGGCAAGGCTAGGCGATCCCGATGGCAGCGTCACCCTCAGAGTCCAAGGAACGCCATACGATCATTTGGTCTGCCGCTGCCTCATGCCTCTTTGCTTAAGTCTCTGTGGATTGTCAGCTTCACTTTTTCTTGAGTTGGTTGTGAGGCTGACTGTGTTTTAGCGCAGGCGAGGATGGTATACAATGCTCCATTGCACAGAACAGAGCAGTGGTTGAGGTATCTTGTGAAGGAGCATTGGATCACTCTGCACTGGGTGATCCTATGGGTGGCCCTTTCTGCCATACGTCTCGAGTATGTTGCCACTAAGAAGGACACAGGGTTCCAGACAAATATAGCTGCCACTGCCATCTACTACATGCTCTGGGGAGTTCTTGCAGTAAGGAACAATATGAATTCACTGCATACAAAGATTGCCACATGCTTTGATATTGTGCAGCTCAAATTTCTGTTGCGATCTTACGAATGGGCAAGCTGTGCAAAGTAAAATAATTCCCAAGGAGGGCGTCTTGCTGTGCACAGATTGGCAGCACAGCTGTGGAGATGTGGCTCTTTCCAGAGATTGCATATGGAGTCGAGAGACTGGCTGCAATGTACCATGTGAGAGCCTCAGCTTAATGCCGAATATACTGATTCCAATGATTCAAAGTACTGCACACCAAGTATGCTACCTTCAGCGCAGATGGCATGCGGATGTGAGTGAATGCCGATTGTGCAGGAGGCAGAATTTGCTCGATTATGGGATCAAAAGAGGTCCAGAGGAGTGACGCTCTTGCGCCAGGCAGCAGCCAGGCAATGGAACTGCTCAGAGGCAGATGTGATCGCCCAACAGCTGCAGTGCGGGCCTTCCCCCGCCTTTGCTAGCATCACATGTGATCCTGCAGGCTATTGTTTCCTTCATGTCGAGTGTAGAGTGCAGCGGTGTCTGTGACATGGCAGGCAGAGACTGAGGAGTATGCTAGTATACTATATTATATGAGTAATTATATACAGATTTTTTTCCTATGTAATACTGGAATACAGGAGTATTTGCATTTGCTGCAGCATCCGGACGTCATTCTCGGTGGTGAGGACGATAGCCAACATGCTGAGGGAGGAGAAGGGGAGAGTGGAAGATGCACTGTTAGCGCTGGACATGCGCCTGCCCCTCTTGCAGAACCTTACAAGCACATCCCAGGCATGGGCTTCTCCAGAACCTGGATGCCGGCAATGCAATGCGGCTGAGAGAGTGCTTATTTGCCTCTGGACACTTTCGCTTTCCTGAGCGCCTCAGAGGCAGGGTGTGTTGTACCCTAGCAATGTTGACAAGGCGCCTTGCGCTGAGAATGCATGCTTATGCGTGGCATTTCGATGCGACTTACTGGAAATTCCTCAGCTTGCATTGCTGCTGCAGTGAAGGGCGGTCAGGGACAGTTGTGAGTGCGCAGGTTGTTTGGCTGCGTCGATGAATGTGCATGTGTGGTGGCAGGCAGAGCAGGAGCTGAAGCTGATAGTCCATGTGGAGCACGAGGTTCGGAGGGGCTTCTGGCAGAGGATACACTTGTCTCACAGCTCCTTTGCAGCCACAGGCAGCATCAGCTGGTGAGCTCTGTTCTGGTGCCATCAGGCCACTTAGTAGAATGCTCCCAATCACTCACATGCATGCCGCATCTCGTCTTTTGCAGTGATGAATCACACAAGTTCAATAGCTCCTTTTGTAATGGGGCGGGGAATTTTATCATCAGAAGCACAGCAGGCTGCAGTGAACATCAGTCCAGACCCCTCTTGCAGATCCAATTCTGCTAGTTGCATGATGGATCTAATCATAATTCAACGGGGTTTGGGGGTTGCAGGAGGCAGGGTGTGTGCCTGAAGAGGCCAGGGGAATTGGACCTGGCGAGACAGGCAGGGGAGAATTCCTCGCCCTCTCGTGCCCCCGCCAGCACAGAGGGAAGTATGCGAAGAGACAGCCGGGCCGCGGTTTATGAGGACGCCGGCAGCTCCCCAACCTCCCACAAGGCAGACCCTCAGGGGGTGGGTTCACAGGGTACATCCACTGGTGACAACGCCGTCTGACCTGGCCTGCACTGAGTCAGCTGGGGTGGCACGTTGTGACCGTCTTTTGGAGCGCAAGCTACTGTATGCCGGCCATGGATGAGAGAAAACAGAAACCTTATGTAACTGATATGTATTCTATGCAAACCTGGCGCTTATTCACCGGTGGGACCAGATGACTGATTGTATAATGCCTCGGCGAGAGCTAGAGCTGCTGCAGCGATTTAAGAGCTACTGTACAGAAGTATGCCTTTGCTAGGAGTCCACTGCCAGTGGATATGGCATACTGTGCGGTTGAAGTGCCACTGGCCCGGGGTGCAAGTCTCCAGGAGTTTGTTGTACCGTGTGACTTGTACCAAAGACAGTAGTACCAGATATGTGGCATCACAGCCACACTTGTATACGCGTGAACTTGTATGTAGATCGAGCTCAGCTGCATGCACACTCAGCTGCGCAGATCTCTAGAGCCAGAAATTGCAATTGCCTGGCTAGCTGGCCGGCCGCGGCTGTAGTGGCCGTCCAGCAAATGGATGATTTTTTGAGTGTTTGCCCAGCACAGATACTGTAGTCGTTGTCAAGTAGAGAACACCTGTAGTCTTAGGCTATCTGGCCGTCATGAACGGCTCCAAATGGTCTGCCAGCAGGGATGGCACCTTCCTTGTAGATCCTAATATAGGAACGCCATCGAAAGGGTGCGATATCTCCAGCAGGAAAGAGAGAACACATGATCACTTGAACATTCTGATATCTTGTACTGGACGTTAATCTTCTTATTATTGAATGGTGATGTGTTCGTGCACGTGGATATAGCGTGACACCGGCATATGGCTGCAGTGATCGATCCCTGTCTTGAGAGACCAGAGCCTAAGCTATTTGGCAGAGCAGCGTCCGTCAGCAACATATTCCCACAATTGCTGTTAGAATTGGAGAGCGATGACAAGCAACGTCGATTGCTTGCAGCTCAAGACCTCGTAGCGTACGAAGAGCACTTGCAAATCTCTCACTTTGAACGACTCATACCGAACTTCAAGGACTTTCTTTTCGCCGATCTCGACGATGAGGATGATGCTGCGCTGTGCGCAGCAGCAGCACAATTCTTCACGCCTTTCGCTGAGGTGTACACTCTCACCAATGGCTTTCTGTGAACGCTACAAGGTTTGCTTTTGCCACCAGAATAACATGCCTGTGGTCGATATTGACTCTTCGCGTGTCACAGGCCGAGACAGGCAGCGTGTCGCATCCATTAGACAGCGTGAACGAGGCAATCCTTGAAAGCAAGCCTGCCATTGGTTGGGTTCCCACTTTACTGGACTGGGGTGCTGTCCCTCGTCTCATCTCCCTCCTAGCGTGGCCCAACCAGGCAGATACGAGACCTTGGCCTGGAGCATATGCTGCAGCAGGTGCTTTATGTGCTGGTTCTCGAAAAGGTCAAGTGTGCAGCAGATCCTGACCTGGCAAAGTGGCATCGCTGGTGGCACCTGGGCTCTGCGTTACCTTGCAGGACCTAATCACCGGAATCAAGAGTCATCAAAAATTACTTCATACTCCAATGTCAGACCCCAGCAGAAAATGTGGCTGAACAACTGCTACGACGATTGACCAAGAAGTGACTTTGCACGCCAGGAGGGCGCTTATTGTGTGCGTTGGCAGCTCATCAGAATGTACGCGCGCACAAGGAGCTGCTGCAACAGTCTGAGGCTGTGCCTGCGCTGCTGCATGCACTGGAGGAGGTCTGGCTCAACACCTGCTCGGCAGAAATCCTCTTCTACCTTGCTGACAGGTGGGCCTTGCAACATCCGTAGCCTAGCCTCATCCCCCTGTGATTTTTACATCAAGAATTACCTCTAGTTTATCTCCCAGAGCGACTGGGGCCAAGGTGTCAGGAATTCTCACGTTACGTTATATCACATGCCCCGAGGAGAGGCAGATTGCAGGAAGTGCCGGGTATTGGCAAGTAGGCTTTGCCAGACATCATGACTCTCCTGCCTCCAAGATGAACGGTTCAAGAGTGAGTTCAGTGATACCGAGCTTGTCTCAGCTAAAGCAGGCATGAGAGGCATTTCTAAGGTCATTATTGGAGGTGTCTCAGAGGTATTTTAGAGGTCTTTTTAAACAGATTTTCATTATTAGTTGCAGTTCTGTGAGCCGTCTTGCCGGCGCAGCCCGGTGCCTGGCGGTCTCGATCGACTGCGCATGAGCGACGGGGCGGCGATACTCGTCTCCTACATCACGCGGAACATTCAGAATCGACGCAAGCGCATGCGAAGCTACGGGCCGACTGCTGCAGAGTACCCCCCTTTCCACGAGGTGGCAGCCATCTACTATGCTGTGCAGCTGCTCATACTGCTCGCTGTGCGGCCGGACGGGTGCGCACCTGACCTCCTTTTTGCCTATTTGCACAAAGCCCTACTTTGGCACTTGCATGCGCTTATCTTGGTGAACGGAGGATGCAGACCTGCATGCAGATGGGTGCGTCAGAGATGAGCTAAGGTTCCCAAACAGAGCGCAACAGTGCAGGGACAAAGTGTCCAATATTGAACCATCATGCAGCCATGATAATCACCTCCAAGTAAGGAATACGCAGCATGTGAGCTGCAGGACGAGAATGGGTGACAATTGAATGTGCGGTGCGCTGTGCAGTGGTGGGGATGACTCCGAGGACGATGCGCTGAAGCTAGGTGGGCGTTTTTGCCTTCTGCAGACGAGTAATAAAAGTGCTGGCTGATATCTGCGCATCTGCCTTTTCAATGCTAGCTCATGGCAAGCGGCCTCACACAAGGCAGACTCATCTCATTGCACCCGCAGAAATTTTCAAGACACACCCTGCATGGAAACTTGGTAATAACTTGCGCAGGCATTCCTTGGTGTGGTCCTTGGCTATAATAGAGTTCCCATGCAAACATGCATGTCTCATGTAGAAACATGATCCCAGAGTCTTGGCTGTTTGGTGTGCAGGGCTGCCAGTGCCCACTCAGGACATAGTGGAATTGGTGCAGACTGTTCTCGGTCTAATGCCTCCGGCCAAACTGGCCGCGGCTGTGCAAAAGCTCGTGAACTGCTGCCCCGAGGCGCGCGCAGCACTAGAAGAACAAGTGCTCTCTCAGGACAGTCGTGGAACCGGTGTGTACTTCACCTAACCTTTATACAGCACGAAATGTCGTACAGTCTGCTTTTGGGCGGCTCAACTCTGGTGAAAAGCTTGGGGACAAAATCTGGGAATGTCTAACTTTGGGTGGCCTTGAGCGTGTCAGATGATTATTTTTTGGAGATTTGCCAATAGTCACGTGACCCTTGATGGCTGACTGACTTGTCAGCTCACCAGAATGTAGTATCAAACAGCAGGAAGACAAGACTCCTGTGATCAAGTTGATCATGCTCTGGCAAGGGCAGCTGGCTGGGTGAATGTGCACTCAAGAATTGAGTGGGTGTGTTTGCAGGGTGCTTTTCCATTGCATGGGCCTTCATGAAAAAGGCGATGGAGGATCCGCGGGAAACACCTCTGGCCAAGAGCGAAAAGGCTGTATAATACAGAATGTTAGATATGGTGCTCATGAGGTCAAATGAGCCATGCAGCCAAAGCCAGCATAGCAGCAACGTGAGAGGAAGAACAGTTGTACTTATATTTACTGATGGTGAGTCACGTGTTCAATGATGCCTTATGGAAATTTGTACCAGTAGATAGGGCGGGATGCGAGAAGCAGTACCAACGCTTGGTACTGTTGTTGAAGATTGTACTGCCGGCCATTACTTGTTTAGTAGCCCTGGTTGAGTATATACCACTAACAGCCTGCGACATTCAGGCAAAAGTTTGCAATGTATCACAGGCACAATGGGCACAAATGGTGTTTCCAGCTTGCCGTTGGAGTGTTACGATACATATCACAATATCATTCTTTCCTAGAGCAAAGTCATGAGGAGTATTGTAAGAGCCAAACATTCTGAAAGGTTCTCAAACATTCCAAACAGTGTATCCTATCCATGTGCCACGGGGCGCATTCTACCATTGTATCATTCACAATCTTGCAGTCTTGACTTACTAATTGTTGAGTTAATCTGCTTCGTCCAGGACATTTGCCACAATTCTTACGACCCCGTGACCAAAAGCTAGAAACTGATTAAAAACACAGTAGACAGGGCCGCAAACGGCCTGAACAGGACAGAGGCCAAACTGAGCACCACCTTGGCAAATACAAACGCTTCAGTCAAATAGAAGCCTAACTTGCCTCATGAGTCAGTTTCTGACTCAGATGAGATTCTGACTGGACACCTACACATTGCTTGGGCACCACATCAAAATTACCTGATGACCTAACACTGCCACGCATGCATTCACCTAAAACTAGACTATCATTGCTGCCAAAATTGTTACGCTGCAGTGTGCAGCAACATTGATATCACCTAAATCAGAAAAGTGGTTGCTGTTGGAGGCATGCATAGAGATCAGTATTGTACAAAGCTTTCCCTAGAAGATGTCATCTGCATCTCTGCAGAGGTTCAGATTGTGCCTAACACTTCTGACGCTTTGTAGGAGAAGCCCCTTTCTAAGACAGTAGACCGAGCTCAGCCCCTTCAGTTGAGACTGTCAATATTGGTGATGGATGGCTTGGCCCACTTGTGATGCGTCTCAATCATGCGCACTGCACAAGACACAGATCCTCTGTCAACCAAAGACAACATCGAACAGCTCACACTATCGCCACACTTAATGTTGCAATCACCATAGCAGACTGCGAACAGAGGGCTGAGCATAGTATGCACAGCAGCAATTTTAATTAATCTCTTTGAAGTGCAGTTGTATCAATAGAAATGCTTGCGAGACTGGCATTTCTCACAAGCCAGCCTCCTTGAAGTACTCTGTGTGCAGCCTATGTGCAGGCTTTAGAATGTGTATGTGCCCTCTTTGTGGAGCCTCCTCAGTAAACCTTGGATAGTTGCCGAGAGCCAGCCTTGAGGGCTTACCTGTGCCTGAAGAGGCGCGCATGACAATGGAGTTGGTCGAAGCTCCGCCCGAGAAATAGCGCACGCCGCGCAGCAGGTCCCCGTCAGACACCCCGGTCGCTGCAAAGAACACCTGTTGCACAAACGCAATGTCAGCACCTTGCAACGGGTCTTTCTGGCGAGATGGCCTGCTGAATCCACCATAGGCGGACTTTGTCATCTCCACAAATGTGCGGGTCCACAGGTGAGCAGGCTCAATACCCAGGAGACCACCAGGCCTTGAACTACTGCCTACAGAAGCCTGACCTTCTGCGCATTTAAGCAGCCTCCATAAAAGCTTACCTCCCGAATTCACTGGGAGAAGCCACGCATGCACGATGAACCCAATGACATGTGCTTTGCAACCCCTTGGTCATTCCTGCATCATAGAGAATCCCGGACTATTAAGTAATGATGGAATGCGGCAGCAAAAGCGGCATGTGCGCGCACCTGCTCGCCCTTGCACAGGTCGTCCTGGTACAGGATGGCGGAGATGTCCAGGCCGGCCGCCTCCGCCCGGCGCCGCTCCTCCTCGTTGCGCGGCCACAGCCGCGCCTGCAGCGAGCCCCCCATGCACTTTAGCGCCGCCGCTGCGATCACGCCTGCGCAAACCACCCGTCACATCACACGTTCGCAAATGCAAAACGTCTTCCCAGCTTAAATAACATAGGAAAGTGGAGGGAAGAACACCTGCTCATTGAATGTCAGGTGATATTTATATAGAGGTAAAGAGTCATGAAGACAGAGCATTTAGAGCGCTCCTCGGCTCAATGATAGGATTTTAGTATACAAAAGATTGCAACCAAAGCAAGGTTTAACACAGGGCACGCAACACCTTCTGCCATTCAGATGAACTCAGATACCAACCCCAAGGCATGCTGCAGCAACAATTGCAGTCAGGACTGCCTTGCTGCAGAGAACGTACGCCCGCTACAGTCAGATACCATAGCCGTCATCTGAGGGCAAGGGACATACATTATCTGCAGTAATGGTTCAGTTGTGCAGATAAGGCAGCATGGGTGACTCACCCTCTGGCGTGCCACCGATGCCCAGCATGACATCCACGGGCGACCCCTGCTTCGCAACCTCGATAGCACCTGCAGTTAATGCAGCAGATCACACCTTAGACTGTGCATATGCATGCTACATTCCAATTGTCAGAATATTGCAAGATAGCTGTACTTATAGGAGAGATGGGCTGTCAAATGCTATCAAATAGGCAAATTGTGCCCAAGCTGATCATCCCAGCCCGAGGGTGCGCCGATTTTACATGGGCAAGAAAAACACCCGAATAGCCCAAATGGCTAGCTGGTTAGTTTCTTTGCGCCCACAAAAGAGAGCAGCCGTTCCAACCCACAGGATGTGAAAATTAAACAACAGCATGCTTGCAGGAACCCAAGACAGCAATGGCGGAATTTGACTAGGTGCAGCAAGCATGGAAACATGCTGCTAACACAGCGCAGCGCGCAACAATCTGAAGACACACATAGAAGGACGTGTCAGGCAGCGGCGTGCACTCACACACTGTTCTCATGATCAGTCACTGGACGGTGACCAATGCATGTGCATATAATTTGAGGACAGGGAACGCGGGAGACGCGCACCTGCCACGTCACCATCGCTGAGGAGGCGGATGCGAGCGCCAGCCTGGCGGCACTGTGCAATCAGGTCCGCGTGGCGCGGCCGGTCCAAGATGCACACCGTAACATCTCTGCGCATGCATGTGTACAAGTGCGCCTGAGAATGGTTTCACCGGGCATCAGTGCATCCTAAGCAAGTGGAAGGAAGACAGCTTTCAATCATGCAGAAATTGCTGGGGTGTCGGTAGCGATGCAAGTCACACTGCTGAAAGAAGGCTGACCGACGCACGCCGCTCACTGAATGAAATCCGGCATCCATACATTTGTGACTGGAATGTGAGAATGCCGAAATACACTCATGGCAGCCTGACCATCAGCAGGCCATCTTGAAGCAATGGACCTTTGTTGAAATATCAACAACCTGCATCTCTTTCCTCCGGCCAGCATCCCACAGCACCGCTAAGTGCACGCGGTATTGGCCCCAGCAGAACCAGGCCCTTGGCCGGCATGCCCATCCAACACTAAGAACACCAGCATGTATGCACCGCGGAGACAATAGTTGTTTTTTTGCTTATACTGAAATATGGCCCCGGCTGGCAGGGGCCGGGTTAAATACTGAGTACTGTGCCCACGGTTGATTGGGTCTTGCTTGGATCTGGGGAGTCCATCCAGGGGGTAGGATGCGTGGCAGCCTCTACTTGCACCTCGTCTGCAGGCGCACATTGCCTCTGACAAAAAGAGTGTAATACAACCAATAAAATGGTATACAGCGCGCACCTGACAGGCTTATTGAGTGCCACAGCGACAGCCTTGAGGTTGCGCTCGACAGGGTACAGCAGCGACACCATGTGCGGGTTCACCTCCGGGCCCACTGCGCGCATGCATGCACAAAGCACCCTCAGCCAAATCCCTGCGCGAACTACACAGGCAGCAGCCGATCATCTCTGTGGAGTGGACAGTCCACTCCATAACCCAGAGACCTTATCCTCTATGCATGTTTGGGGACTAGTTGGCATGCACAAAGCACCGCAGGAGGCACTTGTTTCTTTACTACAAGCGTGCTGACAGCCATTTGATGAACACCGCTCGCCATATGGATCTCCTCGGCGTTAATGTCCCCGAATACAACTACTTAGGTTGAAACTGTCTTTCTGATCTTCAAGGCTGAGTCAGCGCACCTGCCAGCTTCTCCATGTACATGCACGGGCCGGGGTCAAACAGCGCCCCCCGTTCCGCCATAGCGATGACCGAGATGGCTCCATTGCGGCCCTGCACAGTAAAAAAAATATGCATCAGAACTCAGTGACGGCCACCGGATTTTGACATGCAGCGTAACAAAGGCGAGATGGCCTTAGGTAGTCTGAAATTCCTGCTGCACATTACAGTAGGTTGGGAGGTGAGCTGCGCGGGCCTTTCACGAGAGAGAGACCATCAGGCAGGCTGCTCGTAGCATGCCCTCTGTCTGCTCGTCTCTGCCAATCTCTGCCACATGGATGCCGGTTCACCATTGATGTGATCATAAAAGGGATGGGTATTAAGGTTTGCTGCGCACCTGGGAGACCAGTGTGGTGCCATCCAGCGGGTCCACAGCAATGTCCACCTACAAAGGAGAAAAGGCCGCTTGAGCGCCGGCACGCATTGAACACGAAAATCTCTAGTCCACACCGTTGTCTTTGCCCAAACTTCACCATTCAAAGCAACACCACAGTCTGCAGGGTATGAAATTGATGGAAAGCACATGCACTTCAGCTCAGTACTCGTGCTAATTAGCATTCTGAGATGACTGGATGTGCGCTCACCATTGGCTCCTGTCCTGTTCCAATCTGCTCCCCGCAATACAGCATCGGCGCCTCCTGCGCACAGTCAGCACCCCATTTCAAGACCTCCAGAACTTTCCGCTGATTTATTTCAAGGTTACTAAAGTGTTCCTCCAGGAGACAACCACATCCCGAGCAACAACAGCAGGAAGAAGAGGGTCCCCTCAGCACGTTGTTCCAATGTCATCACATGGGATGTAGCCAGGCCCATGCATGCCAGCCTCTTCTTGGAGCTCTATAGGCCCCACATTTCCAGTCACAATTTGCTGCATGCGCCTGCGATTATCAAGACATGCATGTGCATCCCACTGACAGAGAACAGGAGCAGTGCGCACATCTTTCTCTCCCTCGCCGATGACCACGATGCCGTTCATCTGCACCGTCGACAGCACTTTGCGCATCATGTCCACTGCCGCCTGGTCCGCTGCATTCTTGTCCCCCTAGTTCCAAGCAACAGCGCATGTCACCATCATTGCATTTTAGAACACAGACTCATTACTGAGAGCAGGCTTGTCCCCATGATTGCATTCTAGAGCATAGGATCCTTCCTGAGACCAGGCTTGTCCCCCATGATTGCATTCTAGGACACAGGTCCCTTCCTGGAAGCAGGCTTGTCTCCATGTGTGCATTCTAGGCCACAGGTTTCTTTCTGAGACCAGGCTCGTCCCCATGATTACATTTTAGGAACACGACTACCTTCCTGAGAGCAGGGCAGTCCTAGCTGACGTGCACACCCGGTCATGCTCGTCGCAGCTGCCGTCATTTGAGTGTGTTCATGTCACGTAATATCCTCACAAGACAGTGAAACAATGATAATATCTACACGTGGAGCGTGAACGGACATGCATGGATTGAGATGCAGTGCCCTCGATCTGAGCAGCAAGATTGCGCACCTTGCCGAGCCAGCTGCCTCCAGCGAGCGCTGCAGCCTGCAAATGCAGTGAATCTAATCAACAGCTGTGTCAGCACACCAAGGCTAAAGCTCTTTATTAATTGGGTCGCAGGAAAATCAGAGGAACATGTGATTGGCTAGGTTTATACATTGGTGGTGTTGGTGTAGCAAGGGGGCGCCTTGGATGAGTCAGCAAAGCTGGGCTCTTTATCAAAAAGGGGAGGTAACTTACCTCGGTGACTCGCACGAGCTCCATGGCAAGATTCCTGTCCACTGTGACATAGTTGGGCCCTGTCAGCTGACTCTCGCCACGCTGGCCTTTGCTCAAGACTGCCGCTCCTGCAAGCAAAGGCAATTTTGTCATGCGAATTGTCCTCCCCATTCTGCGCTTTCACCCTGCGAAAACTGCAAGAAGCTAGTACTAAAACTCAATTGTGCCCGGGAAGCATGCATCGAGAGTATTATGATGCACGTACTGGTCAGCAACAGACAATAGATCGCACATGACAGTCAAGCTAGGATGGCCTCGTCTGAGACGCATCAGAGCTTTCGCATAAGTGGCATCGTTATGCAAACTTGCCTGCCGCGCTTTGCCCATTATCTGACCCTCCAGCGGCACGAGGAGCCTTTCTCGCTTGCCGCTGTCCGCAACGTGACCGAGCACTGGCTGGAAACACCAGTCCCTGCTTGAGAAGACTGCTCTGCATCTTTCCTGCTCTTTCCAAAATTTCTGTGTTTAATTGTGATCCCAGCTGAATAGTATAGGATCTGTACAGATCCGAGGAAAAGGGCGCAAAACGCTTGCTGATGTGGACACATGTGGAGGGCTGACGTGTAGTGGTGTTGCCAGAATAGGTGCAAGCCAGGCCATCGCTTCCTCAAACTTCCTCAAGACAGATGATCCTTCTAGAACCTTTGGCAAGAGGCCACACACTGAGGCAGAGATACTGTGGTGCACTTTGATTCGTCAGGTAGGATGATCTGAGCAAACCTGCAGAACAAATCAGGCTCTGGAGATGTTCAAATAGATATGGCGGAGGGTGCAGGAGTTGTGCGACTCATCAGTGAGGATGCCAAAGCGAGCTTGTTGGGTCTGGAAAACAGTCAGGCAATCACTTGTGAGGTCATTGAGTGCTTGCGCCCAGACGAAGCAGCCGGCTGGGACGCTCTGACACATCAGCTGCAGCATTCCACCTCCGACGAAAGTTCCCCGCCATCACAACGTTCCGGTGATCTTCGAAGCTTCTCAATCTTTTCATGGAAACTTGGTTGTAAGGAACCCTCATCGGGCCTCCCACACATCAAACACGAACGATAATGTATGTGTGCCTCTAGTGGAGAGATATGCGCAAAACCTGTGGTCGCCGCCCCTTACAATGAGGCAACAAATTCGCGTACCTTCCAACTGACGATGTGAAACCCAATCTCAGGGGAAGCAAAGTTAGACGACGCCGAGCCTGTCGCCACAAAATCAATTGCACAGGACCACAGCGGCCCCAAGCGACGGCCTGTTCTAGACGAAGACCTGCTGCAGTTGCTCCAAGCGCCAACGAGCTTTCGGGTCGTCGATATTGCAAGCCTCTACCCTGGTGAGCGTTCTTGATTCTCGAAAGTGCCACAGTGAGGCAGCCTCACACTCTGACATTGTCACATTTGACCATGCCCTGCTGTTGCTTCGGGAAATGCTACTGCAAATGATACAGAACGAACACACCTATATCCAAGGGTAGCTATCTTTATACGAAGACTGAAGGTTGCTTGTAGGATGCCTTCACGGAAGGGGCTCCATGAGAGCAAATCTATATCCAACCAGCAGCGTAAGGGACCATATTTGGTCGATTGCATGCCGTTCTGATGAATTGTCCTATCTTTGAAACAGTGCGGCTGTCTCTACAGGCCAAGTCTGCAGCCACGATGACCTGGCGGCGGTTCCCTCCATCATGCCGATGACTGGAGAGATCTCCCTGAAAGACATTCAGATGCTCATCAGCATCAACAGCCCAATCCTGCGTGACTCCTCAATGATGGACTTCTACCGAGACGCGCAGACCATGGACGATGGAGATTTCTCTGACAGGCTTGCCAGGGTGAGCATTCACTCCTCATGTCTATCCGTCTTCTAGCTGCCTTCCGGCTTTCCTGCAATAAGATTGAACGATTTGAATGCTCAGAATCTAAAGCTTTGGCTGCGTGGGACTCTGCTTGCCATGCAAGCAATGCAAAACATGTGCATCTTGGTCAATCAGGCAGATAGTCCATGATGTCCAAGAATGCAAAAAGTCATCTCCTGACCTTTGCAGAAGCTCTTCTTGCATGCTGCAGGCCGTAGGCAGGAGTGCAGAGTTCCGCAGCTACTGCAACGCTCGCACGAATCTTCACAACCGCAAAATCCCAGTGCTGCTGACCAAGACTCTCTCCAATGGCTGCTGGGCCTTCCTCTTCCTGCACGCGAACGACTACAGCAGCGGCCGCTGCGTTGTGGCGGCAGCCAATGACTGGCACTTCCGATGGAGCCTGATGCACGAGGCGATGGCCGCCAGATTTGGCCAGCCGCCGCCGGGAGCAGGCAACGCCCCCGGCAAGGCGCCCGCCGCTACGAGTCCGCCGCCGCCGCGAACCGTACCTGCTACGGGAGCCGCCGCACCGTCGGATGACTGGGTGCGACCCCGGCATCATTCCATGCGCTTGGGCACACTCGCTGGCATCAAGGCTGAACAATCAGGGATTGACAATGCATTGGACGAAGCTTACTGCATCGGTAGCAGGCTGCCATTGCATTCCATAAACGGTGCTACATGGGTTGCAAAGTTAGCTCTTGCCAATCACCAGCTACTCAGCAGCAGACTCCTGCTCTGCCTAATCAACATTGCTGTGCATGGGCGCGAATTTTGTTGTGGTGTTTGCTGCATATTTGTGGCTGCTGACACACCACATTTTGCAAACTTACAGGCAGCAAGTTACAGGTCGTGTGCATTGTGGTAACAGAGCAGCTTTTGCCTGACATGCCTTCTTGTCTTCTGTCAGGTGTATATTGACTCAAAGCCTGACTCTGAGGGAGAGGGCAAACAGAGGCCCTTCATTCCTGGATTCCTTCGCAGAGATTTGCCTCCAGTCCGTGAGGTGAGTCTCAGCTCTTACTTTGTGTCAGCCCCCAGCAGGTCACATGCATTTCCTGCACTTTGCTTATACCTGCTGTTGTCAACATACCAATGCTGCGGAAAGTATTGCTTCACAGCACATGCATAAATATATCTCCTTTGTGGGAGCTCATTCCTCGGCTTGCTGAAGTTGCTTTTGCTGCCAGGAGGGTGCCACATTGGCTGATGTGGCGGCGCCTCCCGCTGATGTGGCGGGTGATGTGGTGGGACCCCACACAGAGCCGAAACCAGCCGCAGTAAAGAAGGGCCTTGAGCAAATCGTGCCTGAAGAGGCGTCTGCTGTCCAGACAATTGAGGCGCCGCGTGATGCAAGTGACATTTCCTCAGCATGGGAAATGCTCACATTCAATGAAACCAGGAAGTACGAGCTTCTGGCAAGGCAGATGTCGCAGCGCAAGCAGGTGAGCGACTAGCACCTACTTTGCCATCTGCTACTGCCAAACAAGACAGCTAATCTGACCACAAATGCATCCCAAACCTTGCTGTGCTGTCTTGGCGTGTTTTCAGTGAAAGCCATATAGAAATTTGTGCTAGAAAACCCCTTGCACAGAAAGAACCAGTATGCTGCTGCGACTGCCGGTGTGGCATGCAGATTGCGTGCATTGAAGCATCCGTATGACCTATGACAGCAAAATGCTGGCTGACAGAGATCGTGTGACTGCTCTCAGGGGGACGATGGCTCGAGCGATGACTGTTTGCCGGAGGACAAGTTCAGAGATTGCCTCCCCAGAAACCGCTGCGGCAAACTGCCGAGTGTATCCAGCAAAGCTGACAGCCCGAATAAATCCTCTCCAGCAGCCTCCTCCCAAGGCGCAGCTGAGGATAGTGCACAGGCAGGGAGCAAGGAGCCGGAGGAAGCTTCAGGGGGAGCTGCACCCTCGCCTCAGATTACGGCCAAGAGTGCTGCGACTTCGGTGAGCGAGCGCGCGTGGGAAGCTTCCAAGGCAGCTTCATCCGCAGCAGAAGACTTTGTCACCATGCAGATTAAGTTGACCCCTGACAGCACTGCAGCAATCGGGGTCGTCGTGCGGAAGCACACTGCTGAGTCATCTGCGCCAAGTGAGGCTGCAGCTGCAAAGCCAGGATTCTCGCTTGCCACCGAGCCAGATCAGGCGTCTCCTGCACCGCGCAAAGATCGACAGATCGCTAGGCTGAGGGAAGCTGTGGATGGGTGGTTTGGCACATACAAGGCGCCACCTAAACAGGTGTGCCACCAGCTGCCATTCTTTGCCACCTGCTGTCTTTGTCTTTAAAGTATGCTGTTTACTTACTTACTTACTTACTTACAAACTTACTTACTTACTTACTTACTTAGCAACTTAAACACTGACCGGCAGAGCTTTGCGCAATCACTTGGCGCACCCCGCACCCTCCCTGTGTGCCTTGGCGCAAGTTCATCAGATTAGGGGGTTTCATGTGCCGCGATATGTATCGCGATGTGGGACTCCAGATGCCCTAATTGCATGCATGCCCGGCATGAAAGCACACGTTGTGCCTGACAGGTTTGTGTGGGTTTGCTGCCAGGACTACGATGACTCATGCGATGACTCAGAGGATGACTACGAGCCCATGCGGTACAATCCCCCCAGCCGCCGCCGCAACCGGACCAGCACGGCCCACCCACGTGTCACCTCCCTTCCTGTGGCTTCCTCCCGAGGCGCGGCCGAGGAAGCTGCGCCGGCACGCAGCAAGTCCAAGGAAGCTTCCGCAGCAGCTTTCTTCATTGCTGCATCGGCGGCCAGCAAGAGCGCAGTGGCAGCTTCCGAGGCAGCTTCCATCACAGCTGCATCGGCAGCCAGCCAGACCGCAGAGAAAGCTTCCGAGGCAGATTCCTCAAAGGCAGACTCACTGGAGCTCACCTCTGATGAATCAGTGTCAGGCGCAGAGACACGTGTTCCACACTCTCCTGCAAGCTCGGATAGCTGCCGCTATAGCCAATTCATGTACCTGGACGTCTGTGACTGCTCGAGCTGCGAAGAATACAGGCGGGAGAGATGGAACTCACGCAGGGCTCAAGGTATGCCTGGATCCTAAATCCTACCCCTGAAAAGTTCATCAGCATCCCAAATAACAGTTTTATTGTCTGCAGTGTTCACCCCTAGATAGAGCTGGCGGGCCACAGCCCTGTTCACATTCATGTCAGGTGTCAAATCTGAGTGTGCACAATAATAACATTATTACACTGCTGCTGTCAATTAATTGGTCCTGGTGCAGCTTTAATTGGTGAAGCTGTTTCGTGCTGCAAGACCGGGGTAACCCTGAAAGGCATTTGGTGCTTCCGAGCAGGTTGGGGCGCGATGTCAAATTATTCATCTCAGTACTCCTACGGGGGATACTCTGATGATTGCCGGTCGTGATTGTTCGATCGCGCTGAGGAAAAGCGTCTGCAAGCCGAGGCTGAAGATGCTATGTGTGAGGATTGGGCGTATCCTGTCAACAAGCCAATGTTCTTCACCCGCTAGGCCCCGAGAGGGTCCCAATGCAAAGAGTGATGGAGTGATGGCCTAGGCGCCTGCCAGCAGTGGATAGGAGATGGGCAGTTAAGGGGAGGATCAGTGGGAAAACCACTGTCAGTGCCAGGTGAAGCTTCAACACAGGCATGCAAGCAGGCTTGCAAAGTTCTAAGAGGTGAATCCACGTGATAGTTTAATGAGCTCTTGTATATCTTGAGGTGAGGAGGACCTCAATATGGAAGTTTGTGGAGCAAAGATGAGGCAAGACGGCACCAGAGCTTGTTGTGACTCTCATCATCAGAGATCTAGGTCTGCAGATCTTGCATTTGCTTTGTAAAAATTCTTTGAGACACCTGCACTTGGAGATGTTGGCAGGGTTGTGCAAGTGAAGGAGGACAGTTAATTTCCCGGGTGAACTGGTGCAGCAATGTGAAGGTTTACAGTATATTAGTGATGTCAACAACATCCTGCACATGGTGACACCACAAAAGAAGGAGCTTGTCTATATACAAGCAACATCTGATCTGAATATATATCGTACCGCCAACGCAAGTCTGCCGTCCGGTCAAGCCATCATTCTCACCAATTATAAAGCATCAAAGCAACAAAGTTCTTGGCAAGACTTTCACCTGCAGGGTCAATAACATATGGCAGTTCACAGCCACCTAAATCGACAGCCATGCGAGGGCAAAACACATCTTGAAAGCAGAACACACCAAACAAAGCGTATGTCTCGAGATGAGATCAGGAATGCTCAAAAGTGCAACTTTCTCATCTTTCCCTGCACCTCCAGACACAAGCTTGATCTGCACTATTTTGGGAACTCTGCTGTCTTGAGCCGCTCTCATACAATACAGCCGCAGACACTACCTTGTCTCTTTACCAGACATGAGTAATTTCAATGGACCAGGCTGTGAGATATTCTTGATCATGCTGCCCACAGTGACAGGGTATCAACGTGAGCGTGCCCGTATTTAGCCGGCAGCGTTTATTGCGTGATAGCGCCAAATTTGTAATCACGCTTGAATTTTGAATTCGAATTTCATCCCCAGAAACCCCAGGGGCCCCCCCAGCCCAGGGGAACCCTGATCAGGCCGGCCTTCTGGGAGGCGACAGGGGCGTCCACATATGACATAATGTCCGCCACATCAGCCGCCAGGCTGGCATTGTAGAAAGTGGTCGACCCCGGGGTCACGTAGGGCAGCACCTGAGGAGGGGGAATATTCAGGGGTCAAACCCTAGAGCTCATAATTTAGCCCCAGTACCCGAACCCGCTCCATCCCAGGGGGATTCTGATGAGCCCGGCCTTCTCGGCTGAGACTGGCGAGGCAATATATCCCAGGATTCCAGCAACATCCACGACCAGGCTTGCATTGTAGAACTTGGTAGAGCCGGGGGTCACATACGGCAGGACCTGAAGGGGAAGAAAAGAACAGCGGGGGTCAGTTTCCAAATGGAGAATGTGTGCGGGATCAAGCAATCACTCACACATTCCCGATCTGGGACACAACACAGCAACCCCAACATGACAACGCATCCCGAAAGAAGCACCAAAGGAAGAACAGCCCAATCCCAATACACTTCATGTCTGCAACAGACCAACTCTCATGCTTATCCCAGCGTCATGCATGCAACTGTTACCTTCGCTCAAGAGAACAAAGATGCCCGGGCCGATCCGTGGGGGAGAGATGTGACTTTCCAAAGAGGCAAGGGAGTTAAGGGGGGGCGTACCGATGTGCCGGAACCCTCAGCGCCGTTGTTGCTTGACACAATGCCATTGACAGTGCCGCCGACTCCGGGCAGAGTGGTGCCGTTGACCGGCAGGACGCTGTAGTTGAAGGTGATTGTGTTCTTGGCAGAGTCGTACTTGGGCCTGTGGAAAGTGCAGCACAAACATGGTCAGTGCTGGGGCTTGAGTGGCTGCACAGGTCACATGAAACATGCGACGACAATGCTGGCTGCTGCATGGCAGTGCTGAGAGATCTGCTTTTGCAGCTGCGACAGGAAAACTCAAGCGCTGGCAGTGAAGATAGGGCTTTCAATCTGAGCTGGCATGAATCAAGGGCCAATGCAAGGAGTCTCAATGGGAAACTATAACCTATGCGCTTTGCTATGGGGGAAAAGCCCTGCGCCATCAGATTACATTGAAGAGTCCCCATGCATGGCTGCCATTTATTTCGACCTGCATGGCAAGCCTGTATGGCAGCTCCTGGCGCACTCCATGTGCATGTGCATGTGCATGCAAGCAGGTTCATTAACCCAGGGTCAAGCAGGGGAACTTACGCATCGAGCTGCACAAGCACGGTGGAGGCGTTGCCGTTGTAGGAGCCGGAGAGGGCCGCCTGAGGGCCACCCGCCCACTTGCCGCCAAGATCCGCCATGCTGGCACTCACCAGGTAGGTCTGCACGTCATGACATGAACGTCGTAATAAGCCAAAGGAACTGTCATTCTGGTGCTTTGCAACCTCTTTAAGCATTTCTGATGAGTCATTAGTCGAGACAAGGACATGGTCTTGCTCTTTACTGCCATAGTAAGTCAAGAGCTCATCAAGACGAGATGAGGGAGGACTGAATATGCTGCAAGTTCTTGAAAAGCGACACAGGACACTGGAAAACTATTCTCGATGCAGAAGTGGCTTGAGAGGTGGTGAGCTCTTGACTCATTAGAATCTTCACTTATGTTAACCCGAGCTCACGGCTGCACCAAAACAAGTTGCACGTTGCGATGCTCAAACATTTTTGGTCAGTCCCGAGGCAGAAGCAAATTTCCGCGCAGAGTCATTGGCAAGGGTTTGGGTGGTACCTGAGAGACAGCGCCCGCCTTGGGCGAGGGGGGGAACTTGACGTAGGAGGTGGTGTTGGCAATGTCGTACAGCACAAGGGCTGTGCCGTTGATGAAGGCAGCCTTGCCAGCAGTCAGGGCCAGGACTCCATCGATGGGGGATGAGGCTGCAGCACAAAGCACGAAATCCGCGAAAACGTCAGAAGTATAATAGGGATGTAATCTTCACTAAAGCTTTGTCTTCTGGCACCCAATACTGTGATATGCCTCCCTCTGCCAACCCTGCCAGTGGGGCAAGCCATGAGGCAAGTCGTATTCCAAGGGAACTGCAGAACCCCCGCGAGGAGGGGATGCGATTACCTGCAGGAGCCGGAGCTGGGGCCTGCTGCAGATTTCTGGAGGCTGCCACACCTGCAGAACCACAGATACGACTTAGTACAGCTCAGTTCAATGTGCCCAATTCTAGATGCTACGAAGGCAAGCTAGCACATGAGTGCAGAGTCGTCCTAGTCCAGCAATAGCATCATGTAAGGGAAATGTACAGTTATGTCTTGCTTTTGAGAGCCAATACGTGCCCTGACTAAGCTGCTCCGACTAGGCACTCTCGCTGAGACAGGAGATGTCGTAATATTCCGTAGCACGCTTGTCACAGCACTTGACAATCATACAGAACAGAAAACCTGCACAGATGAAACACAAGGGCGGCAAAGAATGATCTTTGACCGGCAAATGCCAGAAGCTGGCTCATGCTACCATCACACACCACGCCCGCCACGATGCCAGACTCTTCCTTTCCTCAAACACCGTGCCGTACAGCCTAAGAGGCACCGTATGCCTTCCAAAAGAAAGGATGTACAAGCCAAATCGTTCTGCAGGGCCATCTGCAAACTGTTGCTTGTGCCACCATCGCCAATTGGCAGCACGAGCCCTAGTACTTCCCAGCGAGGCCGTCAAGCGCCCGCAAAAGGCTCACCTTGCGATGAGATGGCAATCAGAGCTGACAGAATAACGAAAGTAGACATCATACTCCTGCTAAGCTGCATTTGGCGGCTATCGGCTCGTTCAGACAGAAAGATACGAAGCTGGCCGGTATGATCAAGTCGGTCACGTTTCGCTGGGCAGACGTTGGCCGATATCAGCCCGATGTTTTCCTCCTCGACGGATATCTTGGATATTCGAAAGCAAACTTGTTTGTCAAGCCAAACTTTACGAATCGCTGAGGTAGCTGGGATCTGCATTACTCCATCACCCCACTTACGATCATTGGATTTACGAGAGATTCCCTGCGTTTGTCATGCTGATCTAGGAAGCTCAAGGAAGCTTGCGTTCAGGACTTCTCAAAGTGTGCCCACCTCTCTGCAACACTGTGATTCACTCATGCTCGTGAATGAAAGGTTCAGAAGTGCAGTACTGGACTAGTCATGCAAGCGCAGTGCAGCCACCATGATGTTGGTCCATTTGTATCCAGAGACCAGTTTCCAGAGAGATTCCCTGCTGCAGATGCACTGATTTGAGGACCCCAGTCAGTGGCATTTGGTGCCAGCGCACTAATCTCAATCAGATCATTTTTGAAAAGCCCATTTAATGAGGTCACCTTACTTCAGATATCATCTGCAGGTCATGCTGCAAGATCTCACTGTCATTGTGAGCATCACAACTTGTTGAACTGGCAGTTCCTGCATCCCACTGGCGGACAATGAGGGCTTCAAAGTATTCTTACTAACTTGAAGCAGCTATTAATCTAGAAGCTACAAGGCATTGCTGCTAATTGGATGCTGCGAATGGCAATAATGCCTGTCACATCACAGGAAATATGAGTCATTTCCACTTTTCTAGAGTCTGCTCTTCACCGAGCGAAGCCATGTCAACAGCCGTAGCTGTAACACACTTTTCTCAAAGACACCAGTTTTTTTGGAGGTGTGCGCAAGACTCAAAGGTGCAGGTCTTTCAGCAAACCTTCTGAGAGGCTTTGACTGAGCTAATTCAGACGCTGTCAACGATGTGCAAATGCACAGAAATTGATGCTAAGGCATTGACCAGTCAAACATGAGTCCCTGTCATTCTTTCTATACTTCAAAACTTCAAGTCAAGGGCCGGGATTGGCAACCGCCCAAGTGCCGGTTTGCGGCAGTACTTACTGAAGACTTCCGTAGTAGTCATTAGTATCTATGACTGCAGTGCCTCAAGGGTAGTAGTAAGGGTCGCCCACATAGTAGTCATAGCCATAGCCAAAGCTGTAGCCCAGGGGGACTCTGATCAGTCCAGCCTTCTCGCCAGATGTTGACGAGCCACTTCCAGTGTACTTAGCAATATCGGCTGTGTCGATAAACAGCGTGGCGTTGTACAGGGTCAATCCGGGGGCGGCTGCCGTCAACAGAGGGGTAGCTCCACTGCTGTCGGTTGACTGGCTCGCAACCTGCAGCAATATCAACTGCTCAGCACAGCATGATCTTGGTTCGGAAGTTTTCTGCTCACGTTGGAAGGATCCCCTTCACAAGGAAGAACAGTTTGTAATACATCGTTTTCCGTGGAAGTGTTGATCAGCATGAAAATTTGTCATAGGTATCTAATCGAAGCACAAGTGATTAACGATTCTTCACACTGAAGCAGTAATTAGAAATTTTGTCATCCAATGTCATGTCATCCAAAAAATCCAAGAGATATGAAAGAAGTTACCATGTGAAGCCAGTTTAAGTCTTCTTAAAGAGCAGGCAGGGTGACTCACCAAGCCCAGGACAGAATTGGCGATGCCCGAAGCTGCGGGCAGCGATGACTCATTGGCAGGCAGCACCTTGTAAGCCAGGGTCACCACGTCGGTCGCTGCGTTGTACACGGGCCTGTAGAACGCAGCAAACAGCAAGCCTCAGATCCCTTCTGTAAATTTTTGATGCCATAAATATCTTTCAATGAGCTTTTTGCATGCATGCTGCACAACACACCAATAAGCAGTGTTGCACCCTGATGGGGGACTGATGAGTTAAAAGAGTGCATGGCAGGCATGGCTCAGGTGTAAATTTGATTTCAAGAATAGGTGACTCACGCGTTGAGAATGAGGAGGATGTTCGAGGCATTGCCATTGGCAGAGCCTGACAGCAGCGCCTGAGGCCCATCAATCCATTTGCCGCTGGTTGCAGCCAGCTTCTTGCTGAAGAAAGCTGCCTGCAAGACACCCAGCATTATCAAAACAACGCGCCGTTCCTGCCAGAGACAAGGTGCGTCTGCGGACAGGCTGCAGGTGAATGCTGCCACATATCCTTCCCCTGGAAGGACTTGTCAGATCCACGCAAGAGCCCAAGCTGCTCAGCGTTTCCACTGCTCCTGCCAGCCGGGGCCAGGTATTTACAAGGGCATAAAACAAGAATCTATTGCCCCTCCCTTGCATCATTATTGTGGGAGGCCATAGCACAAGCGGTGGGCAATACCAGGTGACCACAAGGTTGAGCTGAGTGCTCACAATTCTCCTTCTTCGACTGTACTTTGCAGCACAAATTCTTCGGATGAGCTCTAGCAACGCGCATGCGCTGCAGTTGTTTTCTGTGCCAGAAACAGTCACATTGACAAGCCACCGGGCAGAGAAACACCTTTGCAAAGGAGCCAGCAGCCGGCTTGGGGGTGTATTGCACCCACTGAGTGACATTGGGTACGCCACTGAGATCGATGGCTGTGTTGTTTTTGAAGGTGATCTTGGGAATCGTCACGATGAAAACTCCGTTGGCTGCCGGCCTGGCAGCTCCTGCCGGTGCCATGGCCCCCATAGGAGCAGTCTTGGACATAGGTGCAGGAGCAGGTGCTGTGGCAAGAAGATCCCTGCTGATGGCGAGTGAACCTGCAGTGGAACGAAGGCTTGTGTGGGATACGAGTCACAAGAACCATGTATGATACTTCAGCTGAGTTTAGATCATCGTTACATTTTTGTTGCTTGTGCCTGGGGAATTCACAGACTGAGCGTGACACCCGAATGATGGATCTGCTCCTTCTCAAGAGATTGTTACTTCGGGAATCCTTTGCTGTGCTGGCTAGTAATTTGTTAAAGCACAAATGTTGACCATCAAGTGCAGATAATCTCCTTTTCGGAGCTTACTTTCCTCCATATCTGCGTTACTATATTTTCCGAAACCACGATGAGCACGAGCAAAGACGCACCTGGCGCTTGAATTGCTGCTAAGACACACAGCAAGGCAATGGTGATGCTAGTGTAGGATGATCGCGGCCACATCCTTGCGCAGGCCCGAGTCGGGCGATGGTAAGCTGGCAAACCCGGTCTCCGGTGGTGCTCCTTTAACGTCACAAGGTTGCGCGAGCCTCCGACAAGGTTCAGCTTTTTTTAAACACAAAAATGCGTCAGTGGTGCTCTCTCGGGATCGATTTTCAGTCTATTGGACGCTAGGCTTTATGATGAATTGCTGGCGGTTTCGATGATGAAAGTATTCATGATGACGGCGTTCCAGAACTTCATCTCCCAGTCAGCAGAACGTCAGCTTCTCTCAGATCAGGTCTGGACATGAGAGAAGCAGCACATATATGGCAGTGTGAGCGCCAACATAGAATCCAGAATGCACGGAATATTTTACTTGAGCCGGTCCCCACGCAACTGTGCAATTTCTCAGGGACACCGGTACATAGCTGCAAGCAGTGCGGCCTCAGGCTCTTGACGCGGAGTCAAGAAAGATTCAGGTCTGTTTCACTGACAGTGGTTCGACAATGAGTCGCTCAATACTTGCTGAACACAGATCTACTAATTCCATTGGGGTCCAAACCTTTGCCCCACTGCTGGCAGCCATACAATATATTGCCAGTGATGAGCACCAGTGACTGGACGCATGTGCCACAGTCAGTGACAGGCCGACGTCGGCTCAGGCTTATGAGCCTCGTGAGCACAGTGCTGGTTCAATTAATTCTACTTGGATGGGAAATGGGAGCCAGCGGGGGCCATTCCCAACTGGCAAGCTGCAATCGTGCTTCAGTGTAACTTTTACAAGGCCACACACTGTGACAGTCAAACACCAGTGCACAGAGTACTCACGATGACACATTCAGGTTCCTCACTTTTGTGCGCAGAGAGTCCACCCTGGACTTGGCCACCTTGTTTGCTGGGGAGTACGACAGCGCCTCCTCATAAGCCTTCAGAGCCTGCACCACACAAATGGTTCAACGGCCTATGAGACTCGCACATCATGGCACAAAATCTTCAACCCCAGGTAATCACATAGACCGTCGTCGTTACAAAACTGTGCTGTCTTTGTCGTTTCCAGCAGACTCCCCACAGTCATGATGTCACAGCCCAATAGAGACAGACAGGCGCTGCTTCGCCTGCTGGTTTTTAATGAGACTCCCACTGGGCTCTCTTGCGCATCAAGCGCACAGGGTCATGGCAAAGCATGCAGAGCAGCAGCTGGAGTATCCATAGATTTCCCAGATCAAGTGTACCTTAGATTAGGCCAATTATTAGATGAGAACAAGATTTTTAAGAGTTGGGCACCTGATCCAAGTCCTTGGCCTTCTCATAGGCGTCTCCCAGGTTGTTCCAGGCGGTGACATAGCCCGGCTGAAGCTCCACTGCCTTCCTATAGTTCTTCAGCGCCAGCTCCGTCCGCTGCATGTTGAAGTAGGCAAAGCCAAGCGCGTTGTGCACCTGCGATCACATGGCGCTGAGTCATCACGCTGCGCCATTATCATCATACACGATTTTCCTGCCTTGCAAGGTACATCTGCAGACAAGCTGCAATTAAAGGCTTGCAATATATCCTACCCCTTGATGGACTCGTAATCCACGCAAGGCCTTATCAATCGTGGGCACGGTGCTCAGTTGCTGCGCCATGCACGCAGGAAATACAGCGACAATGTGAGTCTTGTTGATAGGGCCATTGGGCACTAATGGCATTAAGCGCAGCAAGAGATGGCGCTTGCTGTTGATGTGTGCCATTCGTAATAAGCAGGCATGTCAAGATTTTCTTGCAGCGTCCAGTAACCACTCCTGCCTCAGAGCAAATCTGAGGGCAAGAGGCTTGCGCCACTCAACAGCCGGGCAATGTGCCTGATATCAAAGCTGCCCCTTTCAAGACTGCAGAGGTGACAATCCTCCGATCAGCAAGCAAAGCAGTCATGGGCTTGCACCTGTGCCAACTCCTCTGGCTCGCTGTCCCATATCCGGCTGGCTTTCTCCAGGTTCTTTGTGGCCTGTGTGTACAGCTTCTTGCGCAGCAAAATTACTCCGAGCTCGAAGAAATCCTGCAAATGCCACAGCCAAAACTTGTGAGCGGGATGTGAAATTTTCTTTCGTTTGGGGATTATTACTAATTGAGAACATTATCTTGTGTCCTGTGTGGCACTGTATGCAAGGGTGGCAGCAGAAGCATGCAGGTCCTTGCAGTCAAAAGTTTTGCGCTTGCTGCAAGTTCTACATGAGCGGCTGCCCACCTCGCAAGTGGCATCGTTGGTGCGAATCCTCTCTCCCAGCACCTTTGCTGCCTCTTCAAGCTCTCGTCGTACAAGAACCTGTGTGAAGGAAAACAATTTCACTGGATTTCTTCACAAAAAGCCTGCTGCATGCCCTTGTCTTCCCTTTCGCACTAGGCGCATGCCATTGCGAAGAATCACGCTCAGCTTGCATGCACCTCTGCACTCATTAACACAATGCAGGGCATGATCTTTTGCCGAACAAGCAGGGGCTGTGTACCTGGCGGACTACAAGGTAAGCGCCAACAACCACGAAGCCCAGTAAGGTGATCAGATACAGCAGCTGCACTGGGGCCTCCAGTCCATCTCCGAGCTCGCCAAGCACTGCATTTGCTGCTGCATGACTGCTGAACACCTGGTCATGCAACTCTGCGCTGAGATTTAGCGGCCCTGCCAAGCCTGCCGCTGTCCTGGTGGACGCCCTGAGCTTTCTGCAGGGCTGCTGTTGTCTGCAAGGCCATCTGACGCCTGTGAATTATGACAAAAACGGGTCTATCAAGGGGCTATTACAAGTAGGGAGCGACAGAAATTTCATTTCTATGCATTTCGACTCTTTGACAGTGGCGATCAATTTTCATGCGACCTGATCATGAATTGCTTGCACTGCGATGACTCCGTACAAGCCAACAAGAGGTGGTGTCACACAGAACTCACCCTGCGAAGATATCAAGCTACATCTTGAGATCATACAGGAAGGCTGCGCAATGTACTCCTGCCGTCTGCTGATGCACAAAGTAGTTTGAGCTGACGCGCCACATTGATGGCTTGTGCCGCAGGCCTGCATGCCTGTCATGCTTCTCTGAAATATGTCCATTTTCTATTTTGGGAGAATAAAGTATTCGTATATCGATATGTTGCTGCAGGTCCTAGTCTTGATTCCATTAATTGCAGATACATCGGATTGGATAAAGCAGAAGATGAGACGGGACCGCGTGGAACCACCCCAATTGCAATCCACCCACTCATGCACGTGCTTCTAATTAGACACTATCTCATAATACCATTACGCAACATTTCAGACCACCAGAAGTTTCCTGCGCCAGCAGTCATTCAGATTGCAGCTGTAATTTCTGCTAAACTTATCAGGAATTGCTTGTTGAACGTCGCTGCCATCCATCGATCAAGCATTCGAGCTAGCGCCGACGTCAAGACCAGCAAGAAGATTTTTTTGTTCCTTAGCAAACTAGCACAATGAATATCAACGGAGGACAAGACTGGGATACCGTGGTGATCCGGAAGAAGGCTCCCAAAGCCGGGACAGTGAACAAGGACAAGGTGGTCAATGACGCTCTGCGAGCAGGAGCGCAGATAGAGGCTGTCAAAAAGTTTGGGGCTGGTGCAAACAAGGTCACCGGCGCTGGCAAGGACGCGGCTAAACTCGATAGGGAGACAGAAGAACTGCATCACGATCGGTGCGTGGCGTTGCTCTTTGAATCTCCGTTGAAAACGCTTGATCAGAGATCAGAGCAGCTTCTGTGTTTGTAGCAACGCAAAGCCTGCTTCTAATTGCAGCACTGTGCGTAACCTTAACGTCACACCTCTTTACAGCGGCAAGTGAAGAGATGCATTGCTCGAGGTGTCAATATTGTGGGGTGACTCTGTACAAAATGACATTTCTCTGTGTCGTGGCTTGCCACCAGTTGTAAATGGCTGTCTTATTGTCAGCGGTGCCTGTATCTTCTCTGTGCATCCTGCTGACATTTATATGCCATGTATGTGCCTGCAGCGTGCCAACAGAGCTGAAGAAGCGGATACAAACAGCGAGGCTAGAAAAGAAGCTCACTCAGGCGCAGCTGGGGCAGCTCATCAATGAGAAGCCAAATGTAAGTCCAGCAACTTCGCCGGCTCCTCCACCAAGCTCACTAGCATAGATACCCAGCATGCAATCACTCAGAGACCTGCTTGTGTCCTGCTGATACATTACTGGTGTGCCTGCTGCTGGCATCAGTTCTGCTTGCGTGTGTGCAAGTGTGCTCAGCTGTCTTGGCCTGATCCAAATGTCAACTGGTACTGCAGACCTGAATGTGGCTTCCTGATACATTGCGTGAAGTTGTCAATGTTCTGCTCCTGGCATCAATTCTGCTTCTGTATGCGCGAGTGTGCATAGGTGTCTTGGGGGTGAGTCTGCCTGAACAAGCTGTTGACTGGTTCTGTGGCATTTCTGTGCAGGTGATTCAGGAGTATGAGAATGGCAAAGCTATTCCTGCGCCAGCTGTGCTGTCCAAGCTGTCTCGCGTGTTGGGAGTGCAACTGAGTGTGAAGAAGAAGTGATGCAGTCCAATGGCCGTCTCTGTATCCCTACTTATGCAGCAGAACAGAACTGTAACCGATGGTATTAGTGAGCAGCACAAACGCACTCCGGAGCTTTTCATAGAGCAGCAGATACAGGAGCTCTGCTATAGTCTTCTAGGGGCGTCAATGGTGCATGCAAGATTGCACAGCAGTGTGGGGGTGCTTCGAGTAATTCAGCCACTTGCGGTCCCAAAAAATTGTAGTAAGGATGTGGGACTGGTAAATGACCTGACGTGTGCATCATGCATGCCTTAGTCTAGCTCACCAAATGGATGCCATGGGCTCGAGTTCGGTCTCCTATTCTTTGTGCTATCTGCAAATTCCTTTTGAGACTGCTCGAGCGTGACCTTGCAGCGCGCTCTTGAGCTTTGAGTCCGCGCCTGAACATGTAACATTAACGCTGCTGCTGTGTTCTTTATCTTGAATGAGAACTTCCAGAAATTAGTATTCTGATGGTGCTGAGTGCACCTATGCACTGCATTTACTGTGCCGCAGGCACACTGGGTGAGTTTGCAAAGGTGTGTTCACATCGCATTACTTCAGCCTACCGAGCTACTAGGCAGCCATGCACCTGAAGCTGGCATGCAGAGTCATCAGATCTATGGAAGTGTGCCAGTGGCCTGCATGCAGGATGTGCAACCATGGGATGCGAAATGCTATTTACATCAGGCAACATTGCTTAACAGATCACTGCCTCAGCACAACATCATCCATTGATTGAGCACTCAGGCTGAGTGATTGTCAAATATGTGTTCCACAGGCAGAGAATGCATCCTTACTGATCCAGGGCAGCTTTTGAGCTGAGCACCCCTTTTACGAAGCAAACAAAGAACACCAAATCCTCAGTTCTGACCAGGGACTTGAACCCCAAACTGACCCCCGCCCCTGCACTCACATTTTCCATGGCTCGATTGCACGGCCTTAGCTCAAGATATGTGCGGAACTCTGCCAGTGCAGGGCCAGAGGCACAGCATTCCCTCTTCTACTCAATACAATAATCATTTCTGCGCATGCAACGCTGCGCAACCAATGTTCTTGGACATGCCAACTGAATTTTTGACACCCACTAGCCCTCAGAACAGCCCATGCAATACCACGAGCGACTCTTCAGAAGCTGACAACAGATGTTCCTGACACTTCACACCAACCCCATGCGCCCGTCCCTCTTATCTGCTGCCTTCACACAGCCCAACACCTTTGCAGACAGCCGGTGCTGACACACCCTCCTTTGACATTGCGGCCGACGGGACAGCAGATGTAGCGCCTCACTCTACGGCAGTCAGCCCAACACATCTGCACACAGCCGTTGCAGAAAGGCCGTGCTGTGACATTGCAGCTGATTGACAGCAGATGTTGTGCCTCCACACAGCTCAACACCTGTGAAGACAGCCGGTGCAGAGAGGCCATCCTCTGGCATTGCAGCTGAGGGGAAGCTCAGGGGAAGCGGTAGGGGAAGCTGCAGGTGAAGCTGCCTCACTCTTCGGCGGCCAGCTGGGTGCGGAAGGTGTCAATGAGGTTGTTCATGTATTTGGCAATGGGGTTGTAGAAGTAGTCTGGGTACAGGCGGGAGGCCTCAACGTCCTTGGGGCCCAGAGGGGTTGTCACGCCGTCCACAGTGAACGTCTTCTGCAGCTGCAGGAGAGTCTTCTTGATCGGGTCCTCGGCAGCTGCACAGGCCAGACAAAGTGCTTCTGTCAGTTCCTTGCATGTTATCACTGCAAATGTCAAATCCAAGCACTGCCTGTGCATCCTGGAATGATGGCTTAAGCCACAAGAAGCTCCAGATCATCAAAGCTGACCAGAGCTCTGCACTCTTGAAGAGAGGGTACTGCCTGTTGCAATGCAGATAGCACCGGAATAATGCCAACAGCCAATCTCCTGATTGGTCACAATCCAAGCACTGGCAGAGCAGAACACATCATCATGAAGGGTGCTTCCTTCGATATGCTATGCAGCCATGCATGGACACACGCTTGAACCACTCAAATTGCAAAATCGGCAGCGCACATGCGTTAAATTAAAGTTCAAAATGACGGTCAGATCAGGCGCAGGGGGCGCACATGCGATGCGCTGCTCGAGGTCGGCGTTGGACACGAAGGCGCGGTCGAGGCGCGAGCCGATGCAGAGCTGGCGGAAGATCTTGTCCTCCCAGATGTACGCCATGTCATGCTGACTCAGCGCGTTCAGCGGCGGCCGCACGTGCATCTGCCGGTTGAGCGTGCGCGAGTCGCCAATTGCGCGCGCTGCGTACGCGGCGATGTCCCCCTCCACGTTCATCACCACTGCACATCAGCTATGGGTTCTCATGGCAGGTATTTGAATCTTAAATTTTGAAGCCGGAGATGAGTAACATGTATTTGACAGTGACTATGCCCTGCTGGGCAGAGGGAGGGCAAGCACAGCACATACTTGGGCTGGGTCAGGGTCAGCGAAATCTGCAAAGACGATGCATGAATGTTTTTCTGGCCCTGCGTTTGCAATGCTGTTTGCATGAGAACCCAGGTACCCATCTCCTTTGCGAGCTCACTCTCTGCAAAAGTGATAAAATAGGACGGTGACTGGTGTGCGCTTGAGCAGAGGAGCACTCAGCAGCAAAGGGGACAGGAAGCAGGAGGACAGAGGGGCGCACGTTTGGTGCGGCCGGTGCCGTAGAAGGGGACCTTATTGGCGGTGGAGGGCGAGGGGGGGACCCTGTTCTTCTGCCCCAGCTCCCCCAGGCCGTTGGCCCAGTAGGAGGCAAATCCGTAGGACACGATATAGGTGTACAGAACTCCCGAGGCCTCCAAGGCCGCTCTCACCTCCGCCTTGGGGCCGAACAAAAGCGGCGCACTGGCCTCACCTGCGCGCACATGCCGCCACATCAGTATCCCTTGTTTGACACCTCACCAGCGCGCATGTGCCGGCCCATCAGTAATCGATGTTTGACACTCACCAGCGCGGCGGCACAGTAATCATTGTTTGACACCTCAACAGCGCCGCATATGTAACCAGTATTTGATATAATAGAAATTCCAACTTTTGCTGTATGCCGGCATGCGCGCTCAAAATGCACCTTTTGACCCTCCCATGCAGCAAAATCCTTCCCCCTTCATGCCAATTGCAGGAGTTTCTATGGTGTGTGCTTCATTTTGAAGCAGTCACTTGCATTGTACAGAAGGCTACCAGTGCAGCAAAGGCCAGTGGTTCACAAAGTTGCAGGTAGAAGTGGAACGAAGCTCACCGACAGCGCCAAAGACGCTGAACTCGGAGGGCATGAATTGCTTGATGGTGCCGGCTTCCTTTGCTGCAGCCACCAGCTTCGTTTGGGCGGTCATAGCGGGGCCATTCACTGCAGAGACCACCTGTTTGGCAACACCATCAAGTCAGGCAGAAGGAGCTGAGGTGCCGAAATATGCTGGCCATCGGATCGAGCGGACTCGCCACTACGAAAGCATTGCACTCTTGTCGAAAAATTACTCGCATCAGGAGCATGAATTAACGCGCGCAATCTTCGCAAGGCAACCTGTCCCCAATGCTACAACGATAGTACTCACAAAGATTTCCTCGATGTCCAGCTGGGGAACAATTGGTCGACATTGTTCGTGACATTTACTGTGAAGAAAGAGACTAGCAATGAACGATGTTGAGAACAAGTGCCAACCTACCACTTCAACGGTCTTAAGCAGGGCCACCAGATCCTTGTGATCGGACTCCAGGCTGCCGGTCTTGATCTGCACGCCGGCCGCCTTCAGGCCCTCGACGGTCTCCTTCTTCTTGGCGAGGCTATCCTCGCTGACTAGGGCGGTCACCTGGTGGCCCAACTTGACGGCCTCCTTGGCGATCAGGTTGCCCAGGAATCCGGTAGCACCAACGATAAGTACCTTCACCATCTTGTACCGCTGAAAGACTCCCTTGGTATTTGTACAAGCAAAATTCGAACGTCGATCGATCAGAATATTGAAGACAAGCAGGTAGTAGGGATGTCGATCATCAATGAGCCGGGCGTCATGGTTTCTGGGTATGGGATAATCTTCAATCCAAACCGCAGCCTCCCAGGTGTGACAGTCCAAGGTTGGTTTGAGATCTTCCTGATCCAGGTGCATCTGAAGTTTGCCAACCTTCCAGGAGCAAGAAAGCCGCTTGCAAGTCTGATTCGGCTTCTATCCGTGGCCAGGGCTTTGCAGTGCACTGCATGCAGTGTGTAATTACCGTAATTACAGTGTGACATGTGTGATCTTATACCAGGATGGCCCATTGGCCACTGGCACTTGGCAAGCCGGGTTTGCTTGAAGCCGATTGTGTGGGACTGCCAACCTGAATATGCCATGCAAGCAGGGCTTGTCACTGGTGTGATACGCACCTCGGGAGAGTTGTTTACGCCTAAGCATACTGATAATCGCTGACGTCACGGTGATGTCTACACCTCCAGTGGACCCAGAAACTCACATACTATGCTAGTAGCAAGTCATGCTTGCAGACAGTCTACCCAGTTCAAATGTTGTTTCTGAGCGCACATTATCTGGCACATTAGTCGTCTCGAGAGTCTGCGCCGCTGGCTCAAGAATCAAGAAACGGCGACAAATTCAGGTTGCCAAGACACAGCTGCCCCACTTTTCAGGACACCGCACTGCCTCAGGCTCCTAAAGCTCACATTGATATTCAGCTGCACTAGACTGACGCACAGCCCGAGCTCCTGGCCATGTCGGCGCCGGTCATTATTTTGCCTTGGGCCGTATTCCAAGACACAGCTGTGTCACTCTGCAGGCCAACGCCCTGCCTCAGGCCTCCAGAGCTCAAGCCTATTAGACATACTTGATTGTACTTAGCTGACGCACAGCCAGCACTCCTGGCGATCATGGCGCCTGTCACAGCTTTGCTTCGGGCTCTGGACAGCGCTTGAGGATCCATTCTTTGAGCGTCCTGGCGGCTTCTTCCTTCTCTGGGCCCATCAGCAGCTCGTGAAAGCCCCCGGGAAACTCCCTTAGCTCCTTGTCCTTGCTGGCTGCAGCCGCCAGCAGCCTCTTCACTGCCTGCGCAGACCGCCAGACCAAGTTACTGCAGTGCTCATATTAAAACCCGCGATAAGAAATTATATTTGACCAAGAAGGTGGATAAATCAGTAGATACGCGCACTGTCAATTTCGAAGCATTCATTAGCATTTAGACCTCCGCTCACAGCAACAGTCTAGCAACGCCCCCTGAAGTTGATCCACTGATGCAGCACTCATTAAGCCTTGAAGATTTCAGTGATGGTCATCACTCTCTATTGAAATGATGAAAAACCCAATGCAACTCTGCTGTACAGATGTCTGCTTTGTCCATGCGGCCATTTTCTCCGCAAGACAGCCCTTTCCCCCTTCTTTCCGCTCGCACTGCCTCTCTTAAACTCTTACTACCCAATTCATTATGGGTAATGGGCACTCGCCGTGTAGCTGGTGATCTTGTCGGCTGTCCCATGGATTGCCAAGATGGGTGTTTTGAGCAGAGCCTCCTTTCGCTGCACGTCCCTGAAGCCCTTGAGGATCTCGTTTGCAGTGCGCGCGCGCAAGTCCCCCACAAAATTCAGGGGATCCTCCGCAAAATGCTTCACCTGTGTGGACCCGCAGCACAGCCGGTTAAGCCCCTGCATCTGCAAAGTAGCTCTGGACAGGGACAGAGCGCCGCAAGTTTTCAATGTTATGAGATCAACTGCATGCTTTCCCTGCGATAGCAAGGAGGCAAGGCGAGTCTGCAGACAAGTCACAATAGGCCCAAGGAAAACCTGCAAGCTGTTTAACAACTGGCAAAGAAATTCTTTTTACCAAGTCAGGCCTGCTACAGTATACCAGACGCAAAGACAGTTGAGGATTTCCTCGCTGCCCTGTCGCAGCCCTTCAAATAGGTTCTTCAGGCCATGAAAGGTGGAGCGGACACAGTCTCACCACTTGAGGCCTTCTACAATACACCAGATGCGTACACCAGATGCAAAGATTGCTGCAGATCTCATTGTGCAGCCTTCACGGATCCTATTTGACAGCCCTTCAAATCAGTTCCTCAGGGCTGAAAGTGATGAGTGAAAGACAGGGAGTGAAACCCAGGCTCACCACTTCAGGGTCATTGCTGATGTTCTCCAGAGGGACTGCAGGCACTATCTTGGCCCGAGGCAGCAGCGTTGCCAACAATCCCCCGATTGGCGCCTGCAACCTGCGCACAGCACAGCCCATACCCATCAATCTTTTCATAAGTACAGTAGCTACTTGCTTGTAGCTCCATTAATCTCAAGGATCACACGCCTCCTCATGCCGTGCAACGTCTCTGGCTGATCAGTGGCAGGTCATACTTTCCCTTTTCTTTGGCCTGGCCAAACCAAACCAGAGCCCAGGATTGGCAAGTTGCATAACCCTGAGCTGCTAGAGAAGATCTCAACGGAGTTATTCATAAAGGCTTCACAATTCTTGCACGACCCCTGAGTTTGGTGAAACTGCCAGTGAAGTGTTAAATGGAGAGGCAGAGGATAGGGGGCATGGGGCGGACCTGAGCACAAGGGTCCACTCTACATCGATGGCTGCTGAGCACAGGATGAGGCCTGCCCAGGCGCTCTGGTCTCTCAGCACGAGGTGTGTTGCTATGAGGCCGCCCATGGACTGGCCAGCAGCTATGCAAGGGATGTCTGGGCTGTACTGCTGCCGTATCCGCCTGGCAAAGTCTTCACTGTCGTCCACCTGTGCAGGCGCACCTTACATTGTGACAACGCCATTTCGTCACACCTTGCAGGCTTCCTGTGCTGACTAGGGAGTCAAGCAATAGCGTCCAGCAGCAGAGTGAAGATTGATGCTCCTTACAAGATAGTTGAAGTCCCCAACAAGGGCTCGATCCCGGGGATCCTTTGGCTCTGACAGGCCATGCCCATGATGGTCGTAGCCGTACACAGCGATGCCTGCTTCAGCAAGCTCCCGATGCACTGCAAAGTCACAGATGTAATGCTCAATAATATGCAAGCGTGTATCCATTGCGCTTGTCCTGGGAACTCCAGAGACAGAGATTTCCAAACTGGTCAACAGCTCAATTTGCCCGCTGTGAATTCAACATCTGCCATTGGAATATTTACATCAATCATGGGACACGATAACAGCATACTTGAGACAAGGATTGCTCCATTCCTATTGCCATTGCTTACCTCGTTCGTAACGACCTATGTGTTCTCCATACCCATGGTGGAAGAAGAGCACTGCTTTTGGCCTGGGTAGATTTTCTGGAAGATATGCAACAGTACTGATCTGCTGATTGCGTTTATTTGTGAACGAGCTTCTCTCTGACTGCACCATCAGAGTTATTGGAAGCTTTGAACAGCGATTCAATCTTGAATTCACACCCCTTTTATACACAAATGGCAAACAAATGTTTTTCTGAAGAAAATTTGCATCCTTCATGTTACTGTCATTCCAAGAAAACATCGAAGTGATTGCGCTCATGCTTTCGTTGTCAGGGTTCTAGCTAATTATATCTCTTGAGAAAGGGTCTTGAAAGAGGGCTTCATGATGCACCTCGGAACCGCTCGCCGACATCAATTTGATCGGTCTCCGGAATCGTGATCATTTGAAACAGCGCTTAGACGATATTAGCAGTGTTCCACACAGTTTAGTGGGAGCAGACGTGGGCTAGGATGGGTCTTTACGACGAGGTGGAGATCGAGGATATGGAGTGGAACGAGGAGCTGGAGGCCTTCACGTACTCGTGCCCGTGTGGCGATCTGTTTCAGATAACTCTGGTATGATTTCACTTGCACACACTGAGCTGATTTGCAAACTGATTGCCCACTTTTGCTCGTGCATCACTATATTCTTGCAGTGTCTCTTCCACGCCCTGTGGACCTCACTCAGTGATTCCATTATAATGACAATTTGACATGCTTTTTATGTTTCTAATTTCGCATGTATTTCATTTGTTTCGCAGAAAGAGCTGGCTGCTGGCGAGGACATTGCAAAGTGTCCCAGCTGCTCCTTGTACGTGCAAGTCATCTACGATCAGGTGCACGTGCATTTTTCTTATACCCTTCAACATACCTCCTGCTAGTGTTGCTTGCTGCTAGTGTTTGTCCTCATGTGGACATGGATGTCCTGCAGCCTAAAGCGCGAAAGTGCTCTGCAGTATGCTGTTCTCGAGCTCATCTCTGGCCATAACCCATGTTTGTCTGATGGCAGGCGGCCATTGCTGCTAAGTGTCGGGAGGGAGGCTCCAACATTGAGGGCAAGGCTCTTGCAATTCCTGTGTCCTAGATGGCTTCTGCTCTGCAGAGCAGGAGTCTCCAGGCGCCAAGCAGCAGGGATAGGAGTTTGGCGGCAAATTTGGCATTGTAATGGTCCAGTGGTTGGAGCACTTGTACACCACTAAGCAGCAGATGCTAGTCAGCAAGCTGATGCAGACACAAACCGATGAGCGAACTTTTCTGAACGACTTGGAGTTGAATGCATTCTGCATGGATACAAGGCAGACCTTGAATTTGATTTCAGCAGGGGACATGATTAGAGCAGCTGTAGATCATGCAAACAGAGACAAGTTGCCAGGGCAACGTGACCAGTCTTAGTGTCAAGACATGCGTATGCTGTGCTTGCGAACTTTCCTGCAGATGTCAGGTTGTGGAGAGCAATTGTTTGCTGAGAGTGTCAGCGCTTTGATAAAAGAGTCAGAGATTTTGTGTACTTTTTTTTGGATGTGACTTTGGCCCGGACACGTAGAGGCGGGGTGATTCAGGTTGCATATGCCTCAGTGCCTGCATAGAGCAGCATCAGTGCAAATCGAGGATGCGTGTGCGACTCCTCAAGTGTAGTAGGCCAGTGTGCACAAGCAGATGGTGTCCTGCAATGTTCTTAAAGTTCCAAAGTCCGTGGAGGAGCACGTGCGCACCTTATGTAGAGGAGCTCCGTAGTGCAGTGACTGTGTGATTTGGGAAAAGCCGGCGATGGGCTGCCGACAAGCAGCATGAGCTTCTGACCAGCAGAGTGTCAGCCGTCCGAGAGGGGTACTGTACACATGTGCATGCATATTATTAATGGCACATCCTGCCAGGAGGCAAGGTGTGTCCTGCAGGCCAGCTGCAGGTACAGGATGCCATACTCCTACTCCTCAATGGACTCGCCAGATCCAAGCAAGACCCAATCAACCGTGGGCACGGCGCTGAGTATTTTGTACCGCCCCCAGCCAGCCGTGGGCATATGCTGCACAGCAAAAAGACTTTAACGCTGCCACATCAAAGGCAACGCTCGTGAGCTAATACCATTCCCAGTGAGGTTCAGCCCAGTCTGAGACCATTGCCAGACAGGATCCAGACAATATTTCAAAATTAATTATCATGCAGTGTGCACTGTACCACAGTCAGTTGCAGCCGATGTACACTTATGCGGCACATCAACCGATAACAAATGCATCCTTGATATCAGGGGGCACTCTTTTTATCTTCTAGATCTTCTTCTGGACCTCTTCTTCACTCACACATGAAGCCTTTCTACATCAGGGGTCTCAGGACACACAGGCAAGGAAGTTGCCATGCATGTGCACACGTAGGGCGATGGCGTTCCAGTCTTCATCGGATTACCAAATTTGTCCGCGACTGATGTAAGGTTTGAGCCGCATTCAGATGAGACATGGTGATGCTGCAATCGATGCACCTTGCACTGGCATGCTCTAATTCGGGACGGCGTCGCGCTTGAGGATAGGTGGCGTGCATAGGGCCGATGTAGATCCCCGAATACAATCATAAACCTCGACGCCGGCATTCACAGTACCAGCGAACAAATGCAATATATTAGGCATTGTGGGACGCCATTATTCCCATTGCCGCGTGATTCAGGCATTTGAGAAGCGGTGCGCTTCGTCGTACATCAGCCCAATTCCCAAGGTATCAAAGCTGTCTTGTAAACGATGGTGGATCGTATCATGAACGAATACCAAAATCACAGACGTTTCAAAAACTTCTTGAGCCCCCAGCTGCAATAAAAATAAAGGAGCTCTCAAGTGTTTTCGCAACACTCATTTAGCACTTAGTGGCTTGCTGAAGCTGGTACTGCTCACGAAAGAAATGTGCAGCTTGATCAAATCAAATGATTTTGTGCTCGCCTTCAACAGGTGATCATTGGACGATAGGCTGATGGCTCCGTTCCCACCCACTGCAACCTGTGTCCTGCCCATGAACGCGCAACAGTACTATGCAATCCAAGACGAACCAGGTTTCCGCTCTCTTCTTGCCCAGGTAAGCCTGATCTCCAGTGCTTGACTGTTGAGCACTCTCACTTGGCCTGCATATGGCTCCTTAGCGTACCCTTGCTCCCCTAGTAAAGCCAAAGCTGCGCTGCCACTTTTCTCGAGACACAGCAAAACACGATTGACTGCTGCAGCTTTCCCGTGGCAAATATGTGTGCTTGAGCCTTATTAACCGCCCTCAAGCAGCTCACCTGACTTGTCACAATCTGAACTGGGGGAAAGGTGATGGATCAAGAAGTGGAAATTCTGGATGTCTGGTACGAGGAGGACACCAAGTGTGAAAAGGTCATCAACAGGTGGGTTACACTTCCTCAATGAGTGTGTTCAGAGCCTGCAGCGATGATAACAAATTCCTGCATCTTGCATGCAGCAGTATCCTGCAGCCCTGCATCTTATGATTATAATATCGGTACCACCTGCAACATGTGCACAATACTGCTGCAAGGCCTGACAAGCTTATTCTGTTCTTGCTGCAGGCCCGACTATGACAAATGGGTAGGGCTCCATCACCCACAAGCTCTTAGATTCCCAGTCCTTTGTAAGACTCATCAAATGGAGTGCATGGACCAGCAAGCTGACATGGGATTTCTAGTGAAAAGAGTGCATGCATGACAGGTGCCCAAGATCGGCAGGAGGTTTGTGAAGCCCGATGACATAGCCTTCATCGACATCACAGAGTATGCGCCACGGTCGCAGACATCCGCTCCCTACCACATGAAGATCCAGTCCATCCTGCCTCTCCTGGGAGACAGGGTGAGCTCCTCACAACAATCAAAATGCTGCAGATATTACTGCCTGTATGCTTTGTAGGATGTATCTGGCCAATCAGACCGCACAGACTTGGTACTCCCCAGCAATGTGCACTGTGTTGTATATCAAACAAACATGATTGTGCATGCATCCGTTCACATTTGGCCCATGCACAAAGAAGCATGAAACATCAAACAAATTCATGGGAGCACTGTCGCGCACTGCAGAGCCAGTGCTTCTTTGAAATGTTTGATGCCCAATGTTTCTGCTGCTCATATCTTGCAGCAGTTTTCACGCTAAGGCGATCAGAAAACCACCTCTTTATTTCAATTTTGCTTATCTATTTATACGAGGCGTTATCTCAGACATGCGTTTGTGCGGCACTCAGGAGCACACTGCAGCTCTATTTCATCCCAGGATTGAGAAATATGGTCAGTCTGTCTTATGCATGCACAGGAGTCTTCTAGTTGATAGCCCCAACTGTCTCTAATATCTCATTATAGAGCCCAATCGGAAGCTCTGACAACCCCAATAGAATGGATGCCAGACGCAGCAGCCGCTCTGCAATAATTCCCAAGTGTGCTTGCTATGGCTACAGGTGCACATCGAGCGGGTGGTAGTCATCAGCGAGGTGACCGCAAGCACATGCCGGCACACCATCACGGGTGACGTCAGCGTGCGCGTGCCAGGTGTCGGCCGCATGGTGGAGCGTTATGTCATGGCCAACACCGTCGCTGCCATGAACATGCTTCACACCGTCGTGGACAGGTCAGCACGCTAGCGCGTCTCTTTTGCACCGCCACACAGTCTGAGTTCTGGAGATGTGCAACACATTTAGATGTCAGTGGCATCTCTCTTTCTCAGTAAGAAAGATAGTAAGGCAGAGCGAGCACCAGAGATGAGAGGAAAGGTCAGTTGACACCTATGAAACAGCAGCAGCAAGGCCAGCATGCGTGCTCTCGCAAAACAATTCTGCATAAGTCACAGATTTCCGGGAAAATAGATTGCATGCGGATTGTCATTTAAGGAGCATCCATGCATGACAGCAAGCGGTCAGCCATATGTGGCCTTTTGGGTAATGTTGCATGCTGGACATCTGATGGATTGCTTATCTATGGCGCCAGGTACCAGAAGGTGCAGGAGCAGTTGCCCAAGGAGGTAATTCCTGCAGAGCTGCCTGGCGACCTCAACATGCTCCTGCAGGTGCGCACTTCTTGCTGCTCTGATATCTTCATTGAAGGTAAAGGTCAGCTGCTCTGGGCGGGTGGGTGGCCGCGGGGCAGAGGCGGCGATGGCACCACATGCATGCAGGCCTTGCAATGGGAGGCCTGCATGCATGTCGTGCCAGGGCAGCAGCTACTAATCCTTGGTTGTGGACCTGAGTCACCCCATTTAGGCGAACCATTCGTGTATCGTGGATGCAGTGAAGCAGGATATGCTTCAGTACTCATTGTCAGCGGGGTCTTCATGAAAACCAAGATGGCCTTCTACAGCGGAGATGCACCTGCACAATCAGCTGCACACCCTGCCCTCGTGAAACTGCCTGTTTATAGACAGGGAGGTCAGGAAAATATTTCTAAATAGATAAGAGCTCCCTGCGGCTTGTCTACTGATGCACCTTGCCTCTAACAAGAACCTCGTGTAGTACTACTGATATTAAGAGACCCTGGGGGTGTTGGCACAGAGGGGGTTGATATGCATGCAGGGCCCCTATGCATCAGATGAGGAGTCAGAAGCATCTGCACAGACAGCGCTCAATGCTGCTTCAATTGAAGCAGTGGATGAGGCTGAGGTGCTCAGTACAAAAATTGACAAGCATGCTGAGTCACCTGCGCCGGCTGGCAGTGTGCCAGAACAGGCGCCGCCCACCAGAACTCTGGACCGGCAGGGCACCAAGTACTTTGATGCAGGTGAGATTATGGCATGCACAGCCGTATGCATGCGCTGTTGCATTATTGGCTGCTGCATCTGCGTTTCCTTTCTGTATTGCTGCACAAGCCCCACAACAAGGATGTTAAATCAGCCACATGGTTCAAGCAGCCTCCATGCATGCACGAACCATCGTTGGAGGCATCTTGAGGATGATTGACCAGGCATCTGCAGAAATCAACAGTCAGTCGAGAGCTCTGGACAGCCTTTCTCCCTTCACTTGATTTTTGCCGGTCTGCCTCCCTACTACTGTGCAAGTGATTCTTTGTAGTGTGCCTGCCTGCCTCCTACTATACTGATGATTTATCCTATGCCCACAGATGAGGCACTTTGGAATGCGGACAAGGATGAGGAAGCCGAGGAGGAAGATCTGGATGTGATGATTGAGGTGCTCATCGGGGACGAGGTACAACACATCTACAGTATTCACCCCAATCACACCATTTACATGGCAGACACTCTTGACTACACGCCACCACAAAACCTGCATTAATTCAATGCCACATGCTGTCCCTGCTGGCGGGGGCCGGTATATATATGCCGAGCACTGTGCCCGGGGTCGATTGGGCCTTTCTTTGATCTGGCATGTCCATCAAGGGGTGGCATTTTGGCAGCAACAGTTGCCTGCAGCTTAGGTGCAGACGCACCTTGCCTCGCCAGTAAGAACACACCTCATTGACGGATATCTCCCACCGATGTAGGAGGGCGAGGAGGAGATTGGAGATGATGATGTTACCAAGGGGAACGAGAAGCTGCCAAGGAAGGCTAGCGAGCGCCACGTGCGCACCAAAAAGTTTTTCGCAGAGCTGCGCAGTTTGAATCTCAGCAGCCGCCGCCGCCAAACGCACGCCGAGACTGCGGCTTTGCATGACGGTGCGGTTGCTCATTGCACCCAGATTTATTATGATTTTTATTACGCGTTTCCACCCCTTGAGGACTAGGTACGTCAAGCAACACCAGAATCACTCTCCAGTCTTCTCGATTCCTTCACTTCCTCTACCAGTCACCCAGAATGACAGTGTGAATTTTCCAAATCTGCATCCATGTCTGCAGCAAGACCCGCCATTGTTGAGGAGATCGCTCAGGAGTGAGTTTCTTCTCTGATTCAATCGTCTATCATGAGTTGTCGGCCCATCCGGCCAGGGGTCTTCTCTGATATATTCTTGACATCAACATGCGCCGATGAGCTCCAGCTGGGCAGACCAGAATGTATGGAGGATGCCAACATTGGATGCTTCATCACTCATCAGAATTCCGAGTTCGTGCATGCTGCGATGCGCGTGCAGGCAAGTAATTACTGTAGATGATGGCATTGTTATCGGGGCTGATGTGCAAGCATGGCCCTCTTGAGAGTGCCCGGAGCCCCGGACTGCGTCAGAGGCAGCTGTACAGGATAGTGACTCTTCATAGGGGAAACATTATTATTTTTACACGCTTTTCCTGCCAGGCAGTGCCAAAGGCAAGGTGCGTCTGCAGACAAGCTGCATGTAAAGGCTGCCAAATTTCTACCCCTTGTTGGACTCGCCAAATCCAAGCAAGACCCAATCAACCGTGGGCACGGTGCTCAGTATTTGTACCGCCCCCCGCCAGCCGGGGCCAAAGGGGAAATCAATGACAGAAATGTGACTAGTGCAGGTGCACGGCAGGCTTCTGAGGAGGTGACACGCTGGAACCGTGACAAGGAGCGCTGGGACAAACTGTGGCGGGGGGCCAGGGTCCGCTCAGCCCCGATCCCCAAAGCCCTCGCATTATTCGTCTACCCCCTGCGCCTCGACAAGGGTGAGTCCCCATATGAAGATACACTTCAGAGTATATTACATAATTTCTGGTCCCCATGCATCTCTCCCATGCATCATGCTGTCAAACAAATTGGTCCTGGGTTACTTCCTTGGGATTCAGGTCATACACATCGGACCTGCACTGCAGTGACATGGCATACCCGTCCGCCACATTGCCAAAATCGCAAGTTCTTGTGAACCTCTTGAACGGTAAAAAAGTGAGTCACTCGGAGTGATACCGCTTGAAGCTGGTGATCAGAAGCGGAAGTGTGTGTCTGCTGCTGTTGCGCAGTGGGGAAGTGCCTGAAGGTGCACCCCGGGGAAGGAGCAGCAGAGGAAGAGGTGAGCGGATCTTCTGAGGAGGAAGCTTACCCGGGCAAGCAGCGGCTGAGCAGCAGTGGCTCAAAGGAGTACCGCAGGAACTCGGGGATCAGTGAGGGAGAGGCAGCATTCATGGACCAGCAGGGGCCTTCGCTGTCCAGGGAGGGTAGCAGGCTGATGGCTCGGCTGCGCCTCAGGAGGGAGATGAAGAGTCTGGGGAAATAAATCAGGATCAGGGAAATGAAAGAGGGTCTGGGGAAATGGTTAAGGACGGTGTCTTTTTCAGCACATTGCAATGCATTATGGACTGTGCATAATGTATCTAGTCCATGTACCTTGGCAGGTGGCTTGAATCCAGGGCAGATATCAACATGTGGAGGCCGGTCTGTTCAAAAACTGCCTGATGAAATATTCTCTCCTTACACGTGTGTACCATAGATTCTTTTTACTGCGAAATGTTTATTGCAGCCTGTGGAAAGCTTCCAGTATTTGCTGTGATGCTGAGCAAATGCTCTGACAGTTGCCAAGAACTGTCCAAGAATTGATGTGTATGAAGTGCATGATGTGTATGAGGCCAACTGGCAGCCACTCAGAGCAGGCCATGTGGACAACGGTAAGCATGCATTGCAGCATGTGCCCTCTGTAATAAAAAGTTTGATGTCTTCCCTCTTCTCAAAAAGAATTGTATTATACAAGCCTGCAAGCTGCCGTCAGCTGAGCCAATGATATGTGCGGAGGAATCATGCATCTTGGAGGTTGCATGCAGTCATCACTTCGCTCATATGCCCAGTTCAATATTAATGACATCCATGTTATCTTGACCATTGCAGTCAATTGAGTGGATGGCTTGTTGCGACGGTGCAAACCGAGCAGCGGTATTTGTATGCTGCAGCCGCGCCGGCTGGCAGTAGTCGCATGCATGGCTCTAGATCTGCCAGATCTCCCAGTGGGAGTGAGCATGCATGCAAAATATTTGCAGAGTAGTCTATTAAATAGACTCTCATCACGGCTCTGCCAGCATTAACATTACATCCATGTCTGGCTCAGTGTCAATGGGCACCACAAAGCCTCAAAACTCTGCAGACTTTCAAGAGAATCACATAAATAAAACCCATCGGTTGTCGGCGCTGTGGCAACACAATGTTATCATGGTGCCACACCAGACGTGCCTTACTGATAGCAAAGAAGTAACCTGCAGAACTGCTATGGACCGTCTTGTACATCTTGATCTTGACACGAACAGCCACGCTGAGTCAACAGCGGAACCGGCTGGAAGTAATCTGAACAACCTTTCAACAATTGGAATCCCTGGACACCATATATACCGCTGTTGCTACAGGACCCTCAGTGTCGTCTGTGCCTTGACCGCTGCCGCACTGCAAAGCCACACTCACTGCTGCAGCTTGTCAAAACTGCTTGTAGCCCCTGCGCGAATGCAACACCCCTGTTTTTATTCTTTGGTGCCTCAGAGATAACACCAGAAGATTCTGCTGGGAAAGGCAGGCATCACGTACGCTCTGCCTCTTGAACAAGTGATGCAATATGCACACCCACTCCGCTTCGACAGAGACTTAACGAAGCAGTTTGTGCACAGCAATCTCAATGATGTCAACAAGATGAAGACTTCCTAGCAGATCGAATGCCATCAGCAAAACAATGGTGGACATCACCCCAGTCTCAGGCTACCACACTGCACTCCGTCCTCCGAGAACAGCACGTGCCTGACCAGAAACTCAAGCACTCAAATAGCCAAGAACCTGCGCCTGAAGCACGCAGGCAGTCTGATCCTAAGTCTGATCAGGTGCATGAGCACCACCTAATCTGGCACTTAACCATGTGCAGATGCAGCGCCTGATTAAGCACTCTGTCTAATCAGGCGCGATGCCGTGGAATTCTATGGGGGTACCCGGTTTTAAGAAGGTTTTCGACGTGCGCACCCTCGGTGAACGCGGGGGCGAGCGACGCTTGAACTGCGTCCTTGTCAGCAGCGATGGCGGCAACATCAAGGTTGCCGCTTGTGACTCCGTGCACAACGTCTGTGTTGAGTTTCTGCAGGGCGGCCTTGGCCTTGTCCGGGAAGGGGATTAGCCCGACCGGCAGATTCGCTATCGCCAGAGAGAGCGCCTCAAAATCGCCCTTCAGCTTGGTAGCGAAGCTCGCCTGCACAGTTGCAGTCACGCGTGATTGAGCCTCCGGACCGGAGTACATGATTAAAACGTTTCTGGATGGAGGAGTTAGACCCACAGGAACAAGTACTATCACAGTACTTATTGTTGATCATAGAACTGTTTGATTGTTTGGTTCCTCAGCAGATACTTTTTGGTGTGCCCAAAACTGGAACCCAACCCGTGCACAAACAAGGAGCTGCTTGCAAGGTTGCCATGCAAATCCGGGCATGCATAGCTCGGTTGCAATTCTCGCCAGTGTAAAAAGATTGGAAAGCTCTTGCTGTGTATATAGATGACAGGTAACTCACTCGTTCGTCAGCCGCCAGAGACACCGCGTGGCCTGAGGCGGCCAGGTCAGCGCCCAGCTGTATCGACGACGAAACCAGCTTGCCTATCGCATTCGATTCCTCCATGGAAGTTGCATTGGGCCTGCGCACAGGTCATTCCAGTCTCAACAGGCCCTTGCATTTGCGATTACTTTTACTACTACACATTTTCCAGGCAAGAGGCAAGGTTTGTCTACAGACAAGCTGAAGGTAAAGGCCACCACAAATCCTGCCCCTTGATGGACTCGCCATATCTAAGCAAGACCCAAAATGGGCTATGCCAAGCTTGCACTTGTCCATTGCCGGGCGCATGCTCTGGATGTCCCGGGCTGCTGAAGCGGCTAGCATGACACTTTTTAAGGCAAAGCAAGTAGACACCATTGTGCTTTTACTAAGTTCCTTGGAAGGGACTGCAAGAGAGACCACTGCAGACTGCTATCCCCTTCAGTGTGCCAGCTTGCCAAGGCAAATTCACGAACAGCGAATTCACTGCACAGTCCTGTCCTCTACAGAGTGCGGGCGAGTCATTGGCGAGTCATTGCAAATCCAAGCAAAGAGTCTTCACTGCACAGTCCTGTCCTGTTGAGTGTGGCAGCCAGTAGCCGCGTCCTCTACAGCAGATCAACGCTCGTGCTGATCAAATGCTGCTTCGACATGAGAAAACTAACCTGTTTGGCAGGGCGATGATGGGTAGATCAGTGCCGTTCCCACCCACGGAGCCAGTGGCAGCCGACACCGCCGAGCTGGCAGCTGCCTGGAAGCTGCGCATGGCCGACGCGGCAGCCGACGCGTTTGCAGCCGCCAGCGATGCATTCAGTGAGAACGGCGGCTGCTGCGCCGCAGCAGCCGGCTCCGGAGCATTTGCGGGGGTACCATAGGCCTCACTCTGCCCCCCGCAAAACACAGAATTCAATGCTAGAAAGTCAAATGTTCAAGACCGTAGATCCCGGAATTCAAAGCCTATCTTGAAACCTAATTTGGAAAGCTGCCGATGAGCCTCACCCAATGGAGCACACACTTGGATGCAGAAGACCCAGGGACTTGACTCCATAACCAGATATTCTACGATCCCTGCAAATTCTTGATATTTCTTCACAGCTTTCCCGCACTGCTAGGGGTGCGGGGATTACACTGAGCAATAGTTTGGATTGGCACCTGTGCGGCGGGCCCTGGGGCGGGCGCAGGCGCAGGGGTTGATAATTCGGCGGCCGGCCCAAGGAACGCAGCTGCAGACGGGGCCGAGGCCGGGGCAGCCGCGGCAAGAGTTGCGAGGAAGTCGGCGACCTCGGGCGCTGGCGCTGATGCAAGCACGGCGCTGACGGCGTCAGCTGCCGCCTCCGGGGAAGCTGCCGCCGCCGCCGGCTCCAAGCCTAGCCGTGCATGAAAGAGAATGAGTTGTGCATAACAAAATTTGTTGCAGAGCGCTGTTGAGAGGTGCACAACACAGAGGCTTGTTGGAAGGTTGTGTTGGAGATCCTGATCCTATAATCTTGCTGTTGGGTTTGATCTACGTGGTTCCATGTGCTTTTTCATGCAGTACAACGCAGCATACGGTACAGGTTGATTACCGGTGTACATCATAAAGTGTAGCTGTTTGATATGGGCCACCATACTTGAATTGGCCGCCTGGGGTCTGAGGATCTTGGGAAGCTCACCCGCTAAGAGGGCTGCTGTCACATTGCTGCCTGATGTTACATTGCTGCTTGCTGTCAAATTGCTCGCTGCTGTCAGATTGCCTCCTGCTGTTACATTGCTCGGTACAACGGTCCCTGGTAGCAGAGGTAAAGGTGGCAACCTAGGCTGTGGTGGTTGCAGCCAAGGGCCTGGTGTAGAGATGTTTGCTGCAGTTATAATTCTGGAAGATAGATCCTGGATGGGTTGGGATTGGTTGGCTGCTGGTGCCTGCATCCCAGGAACAGCAACTCAGACAAATGCTGCCCATATTCAGGTGAAAGGCTGGGCTTATCGTGCCCAGCTCTGCATCAATGTAGTGAGGAGATATTGACAAGAAACACACTGGAAAGCAAAGAGTGTCAAAGACAAACCAATAAGCAAGTGCACATCAGGAATTTCCTTGTCAAGTAAAGAAGAGAGGCGAGTGAAGTAGAGCTACTTACGCTTGTGCTATCTGACGCATGCACACTGATGGTTGACAGAAAGGCCCACCAAAAGATGTTCGCCCAAGACGACATCCGCAACATCTTGTTCTATTTTCACAGAAGCATGCCTGACCCGTTCAAAAGATCTCTTCAGTGGAGGCAAGCTTGAACCAGTAATGATATTACAACCTTTGTAACGATAATTAAAAGGCTCTCTCAGGCAAAGCATGCTCTAAGAGTGGTTGGGCTTCCATCGAGTCCTACCAATGCATTAGTCAGGGTAAGAGGGTGAGCAGCATCCAACAGCCCAGGAACTCTGTTAAGCACTCAGATATCTCATATTAATAAATTCTGGAACGACAATCTTGTACTCATGGATTACGATAGCCTGTTAGCTGTTAGTTGTTAGTTTGTTTTTCTTATCTGTGGCGCAATTCTCTCAACGAAAACAAGATGAAAATGTCTGCAATTACTTCGCGATTGATGAAAGACAAAATTTTTCAGGCGCAGAGATGTCTCTTTTCGCCTTGCAGAAGCATTCAAGCTGTTGCATTTGTCATGCTTGTGTTTGAGCTGGAGCATAAAGCCAAATCAGGACCTGTGCACCTATCCCAAAATACATTCTGATCCAAGGCTGAATGGGGGACTAGAATTGCCTGATGTTCTGCTCTGTATAAAAGAGCAATTACTGCTATCATCGAAGAGCGGTGTCCTGGTATTAGAGGTGGAAAAAACGCTCTCTGGGACGGTTCCGCTCATCTGTTTCCCTTCTACCTGAACAGTCCGTGTCAAAGCAAGCAATGGTACTACAGGAGGCATCATTGGGTGAATACCCAATCTACTATGGAGGTCCAAGCGACCGTCCAGCTGTCATTGTTATCCAGGTACTGTTTTGGCAGGCGATCGGCATGTGATCTGGCTGATGGGCCTTACAAGAGATTTCATGATCGTCTGCAATCTGCAATAATTTGTGCAGCATGCTCAACATCCTTTCTGCGCTTTTAAATTAAAGTATTGATGGGATCGATTTGTCTGTCTCGTAGGAATGGTGGGGTGAGTCACTGGAGCCAGGGATGCTGCAGCATTTGTTTTGCATGCTCTTTTTGAGCCTGGCTGCCTGCTATTTCACTGGACATTATTGCAATACCTCTGGTGAATTAATTCTATGTGTGCAGGAGTGACCCCTGAGGTGAAGGAGCAGGCAGAACTCATCAGCCAGAAGGGCAATTACAGAGTGCTTGTGCCAGACCTGTACAAGGGCAAAATCGGCGTCAACGCTGAAGAAGCAAAGCACGTAAAATTGCCTTCTCTGATCATGATTTCTTAAACTGCCAGCGTTCCATGCATCCAGTACATGTGCATAAAACATAGTGCTCCTCAAGCATGCAACTAGGACAGGGTTGAATTCAATCTTATGACGCAGAGCAGTATGGCTTCTGTCAGTGTAGGCAGTGCAGGGTGCAATAACGAGCTATCATTCTGCAGCAATCATTACGGGTCTTAGTAGATGTTGGCCTGCTGGGTGCAGCTGGCGTCTGAATTAGACTACGAATCAGCCATTGAGGGCTTGAAGCAGTCTGCCGAATGGCTGCGCGCCAATGGAGCCACCAAGGTGTGCTGCCCTGTCCCTTCTGTCCTTCACAGATGGTCACTATTGCACACGAGTTGAACCATCTGCAATTTGAATTGTAAGGTCAACAATTGCTTTAGCGCGCCTCAGCCGATGCAACAAGGCTTAGGGTCGCTCCAGGCCTGCATCACAAACGGCATACAGTGTGTACTTTCAATTCTTGAATAGTCGCTCACTGGGCAACGAAACTGCGCTGATTGCTCTATTTCTGCCTGTGATATTCTGCATGCACGCGCCAGGTTGGGGTGACTGGATTCTGCCAGGGAGGCTCCCTCGCCCTGCTGGCGGCTGAGTATGCTGGCGTGGACGCAGCTGCACCTTTCTATGGCATTCCTAACAGCTACCCCAGCCATGTGCGCCCACCATCTCTCATCATCAGAATTTGACAGGGCCTCACCAGGATTCCTGGATCGCCCAGAGATAGTTTTGGCGTCTCTGGGCAATCCCAGGGGATTCAGACCTGCCCAGTGTGATGGCAGTCAATGTGGCAGAAAGGTCTGGGCGGACCAGAACCTCATCCCAGACCCCAGAATTTTAAACACAACTCAGGGGAGATCCCCCTGAAAAATAAAACCCTGGGAAGTCAAACCCACATCATGATCAACAGCCGGGGTACTTGAAATGGTAGGGCGAGGATCCTCAGAGACTGTATTGCAGCCCCTTGTCAAGTCGCAAATCTGGTACCAAGGCAGAGTCAGGCAGTGGGTTCTGACGTGTAGTGATATGGGCTACTGAGGGGTAAGAGGCAGCTGCGGTATCATTGAGGATGGGATCTTGGTTCTACGCTTGTACTGTGTCACTGGTCGACTGTGATCCCTACATTTTTCTGACATTACTAATGTGTGCTGCGCAGCCCGAGAAGATCAAGGTGCCTGTGCAAGCGCATGTGGGTGACCAGGACAACTTCTTCCCAGAGGAGGTATGCACTAATCAATCAAAATCATCTTCAATTCATTGTCAACTAGCTTTTGCATGGGATGATCCACATCTACAAGGCCTGCACTGTGTGACTGGCTGAGTTCAGGTATCACTGTTATCACATGTTTTACTGCCAAGAGGCAGGAGGTGCCTCTGCAGACTAGCTGCAGATGAAGGCTGCCAGAACTCTACCCTCTGTTGGGCTGCCAGACCCAACCCAGGACCCAATTAACTGTGGGCGCGGTGCTCAGTGTTTATATTGGCCCCCGCCATTTGGGCCATCTGGCTGATTTGGGGAGCAGGTTAGACTGTGCGGAAAGAAACAGGGTAGATCAGTGGGTACACACCGATTTTTAACCTTGATGGTTGCTATGCAGGACGTGAGGAAGTTTGTGGACGAGATAAAGGCGGCAGGTGGAGATGCGGTGTTGTATGTCTACCCGGGAGAGGGCCACGCCTTCATGAACGCACAGAGTGACAGCATCGAGCGCATGAAGAGTGAGTTACAAAGGCTCTTTCTTTTCAAGCTGTACTCATTGCCCGATTGATAACTTTCCTTCCACTGCTCCCACCAGGGGTTGTAATTCTAGAGCAATTCCTGGTGTTCTTCTGTGTTTACCCTCTACTCCCACATGTCTGTACATAGCAGAGTTGTTGTGCCAAGTTGTCGTATGATTTTTAATGTGCTTAAGCCCTTGTTTCTCGACCTGCTGTCAGATCTGTTGGCAGTGCCTTTTAATCTCATTGTAATATTGATGTCTCTGCTGGACGCGTGCCATTGAGGTGACTGCCAATGAGGTTGCGATTTGTTGAAGGTTTGTGGGAGATGGCTTGTGGGATATTTTTTGATCCCCAGGCTGAAAGGGTGCGTGTATTGTGTGCAGCTGCAGGCATTCCTGTGGGCAAGAGGGAGACTCAGGAGCTGGCCTGGTCCAGGCTCATGGACTTCTTCAAAAAACACTTGGGCTGAGTCAGATTAATTGGGGGTAGAGGTTGCTTTTCAAGTCTGCTGTTCGGAGATAACACTGTAATTAATTAGTGCCACTTGTGACACGCCAATACATCAACTTTCGGATGTAGTACTGCAGTAAGTGCCATCGGCCATGATGTGCGACATGCTCGGTGGTGCCCATTTTGATTGAGACGCACGTGCAAGCACATTACAGAGATGAGCAGAGTGCAGTGAACATGTAAGCCTTTCAAGGTAAAGCTTGATGCAAATCAAGATTGCCAGCTGGACACTCTGGCACACATCATGTGACACATGCGCTGCAACTCGCACTCATTGAACGAAACCAAGGTCTTCAAGTCTTAAAGACAAGAATCCTGCGTTCGAATGCAAGATCTCCGCCTTGATGCACGTGGCAATGCATGCGCGGTGCACACTGGAAATGTGCTCATGATATTGGAGACCTTTAAAGCTAAATTTAGCTTGTAGAGCTGGTGCCTAGTATGTCCTTTTGGGACTGGGAACACGTGACTTCAAAGTGCGACTGGCGGGTATGAGTAATGTCGGCCCAGTCGCCACCTGCCCAGGTGCTGCTGGTGATAATCTGCTGGGGGTGTTTATAAATACAGTCATGCCCACTGCATTTAGGGCAGTCAGTCGACGCCATCGGATAAAGTCTGCAAAAATCGACTCTCGACGTGTGACGGATAGAGGTAGCTTTACACGAGTTATATAGACAGCTTCAATTGCCTGGAAGTTGATTGTTGCTCCAAAAATGAAGGCGACGGCGGTGATTGTGTTGATCGCATTCTGCACCCTGGCAGTCGCCCATGGCGCAGCCAGCGACGCAATTCAGGTGTGAGCAACATATTTGTGCAACGAACTTAATCCTATTGACCTCAAGAGAGAGCTTCAAGTCATATCCAATGCCGTTTAGCAGAAGTGCTGACCTGCCAGCCGATGCCGGCATGTGTTGCACGTCAAGTACAGCGATGACTGAGCAGTCGGGAACCGAAGACATGACACCTGGTTGCAAAGTTTGGTTATACACAGAATTTTAGGATGCCTTGAATTTGACAAATTTGGTGGCGTGGCTGGCATAACTTATCTTGGGGTTGATCCATCCGTCGACACTAAGCCTCGCAGCCATCGGCAGGCTTGCTGCTTTCTTAGCGCCAGGCTCAATCGATCTTGAGATTTTTAGAATTGTTGCCGGATTACAAGTGGTTGGTTGCGTGGAAGGCGGCCGGCCGTCCGAGTCGACTCCTCGATCTAGGGAAAAACCAAGGAACGTTTGCAATGCAAACTTTAATCGCCCACCACCTCCAAGCCGATTAGGAAACGAATGGGAGGCCATGAATAAGGGCATGCGTGTACTGAAATGTATTACTGATCCTGGACGACGTTTCACACTTCTGCCGATTTTTTCTTCAAGGCCGATGATGTCAGCAAGCCCCACAGCTGTGCTGCATTGCAGACAAAGGCCAAGTCGATCACACTGGTGCATGGCATTTTCAAGCCAACTCCTTTAGAGGGCATTTGAGAATTTCTACCGGTCGCCAGCTCAGAAGAATGTGTACGCGCACAGGGCACTGGCGGCTTCACAGGCCGCAAGATGCTGCAGACTTCTACTGCGCAAGCACCGGCTACATCTCAGAGCAGCCCATCCCCGTCAGGCCCCATCACCCAGCAGCAGATCCAAGACCAGGTATTGTTAATTCTCTGCTGCGTGATTCGTCTCTAAGGATGCTCACATGCTCAGAGCTCACCTCAAGTTGCTTTAATTGGCCGGTCCGGGCACCGCTGCAAAGTTTGTTGATTCATGCTCTCAAAGCATCCCCCATCAACGTGCTGCCTCATGAAATACAGGCTCTCTGTTGGATCAGTACATCTTTCCACTGAATCAGCGGCGGCTATTGTTTGATACTATGCTGGCAAGGTAGTGGATTGGATGTTGCCAGTATTTGGATGCTTCACACAGACCAGATGAGGGGCAGACTTTGCAGTCAATTGCTAGAACATGCAACACACAAAGCATTGCCCTGGAACGAAATTGCTCCAGCTTCATCGGTTTTAATTGTGCATCGTTTACAGGTGAACCAGGACCGCCAGACTGGTGAGCAGCTGCAGGAGCAGAACGAGGCCAAGCAGTACTCTGCGCAAGCCGCCGGTGCCCCTGCCTCTGAGGTTGCCAAAATGGTTGATGAGGTGTGCACTACTAAGCCACTCCGATGGCCTGTGATTGTGCACTCTCGCAGCAAATTTTGCACTAGCTGAAGTCCCCGTCAATTCCTCTGCAGTGCACAATTTTCATTGTGCCCTTGCCCAAACCTTTGCCTGTAGCAGGGGAGTCTGCTTTCGCATACGAGGCTGATTTTGCACGAGTCTGATTTTGCACGAGGATGATTATTATCTGCATGTGCCATGGCTGGATGATATGAGGAATGTATGCACCAACGCTGCAACCTGTGTTTGAAGGTATCAATTTTCAGATTTTCCCCGGCTGGCGGGGGGTGGCACAAATACTGAGCACCCGTGCCCACAGTTGATAGGGTCTTGCTTGGATCTGGCGAGTCCAACAAGGGTTAGAATTGTGACAGCCTCTAACTGCAGCGTGTCTGCAGGACGTACCTTGCCTTGTGGCAGGAAAAGCTTGTACTAATAACAATAATAATTCTTTGATGCCAGGTTGACTCTTAATTGACTAGCCCTCCTATATATTGGAGACTGACACAAGGGTGGTTGATGGGTTTCCAGGGACGCAACCAGCAGGAGCAGGCTCAGGAGCAGCGTGAGGCAAATGAGTACCAGATGCAGCAGCAGTACAGGGACCAGCAGAGCAGCAGCTCTTCCACTGCAAATTCGCCCGCACAGGGCTAGAATGTTTGCATGAGCAGCCACTGCCGGCTGACGGTGTCAGTCTGTCAGCCTGACTGTGCAAGCGCGCCTGCACATGGTTGAAAAGTTTGCATGTAGAGTGTAGAGTGCTGCCAGCTGCCTCCTCAGCATGTCAGCCATGAAAGTGAGTCCTCTTACGGAACCCACTGCGATCTGTATGTTGGCTGAACTGGATTTCAGGGGAGTGGGTCATTCAGGGCATGAGACAAGGATGTGATGAAGGGGGTTTGCGCATATTTGCGCTCCCATGCTGCAGCATCGATTGTGCACATTGCACTGCGAGCAAGCTGTATTCGTGTTCTGGAGGTGCAGGCGTGGTGAGTACTGTGTTGCGGGGTTTTGAACAAAGACGATGGCCATGCTTACAGACGTTGTCCAGTGCATATTGATTGGGCCTCTGTTTTTGGGAGATATTGCATTGAATGTCTTCTGAAAGTGGAAGGACACTGATACTCCGGCGGGCATTATGTAATCGGCAACTGCATGCACGCATCGTTCAGTCATTATTCTGTAGTGGGTTACCTGCAGGATTGAGTGACAAGCATTTTAAGGAAGGCACAACATATTAGCTGAGTGATGTCTTGCCAGCATGCCATGCATGTGAATGCGCTTGCACGTCAGCTCTCAAGCTTCATGACCAGTTTAAGTATCTGAAGCCGTCATGCTTTGCATCACAGACATGCATGGCTTTTAGGACATGCTGGCCATCTCATGCATGTAACAGTGTGCCCACCTATGGCATGGCGAGCAGAGAGAATGCATGTATGGGATGGGTTGTTGCCGGGTACATTCACAGGGTAGCTACATTTGGCTCCCTGCGAAATGCACATCCCAACGTTCACAGGATGGAACTAAAGCAAGTTGTTGTTTCACACGTTGTCGCTATTGCTTATCAAGTCGAGTTTATATAAGTTACTCGCTGGACACTTCCTTATATGGGTGAATCGTTGACATGCTGATGCTGTAATAACTTTTAGAGAGACAGTACCATTGTTTCGTGCAACATTGGCTAAACATTGCAGACATTTGTTGACTTTGTGGATGGTGTATCTCTCGTCTTATCGCGATTTGTTGGACGTTTGTGATCGAGTTCAATGCCCATCAGTGACAGGTGATACATAATTGCAGATAATTCTCGACAAGAAACTGAAGAAATAACGAAACTGATGCACAATTTTTCGGAAGTAATCGCAATTTCTAGAGACATATATGTACACAAAGGAAAGTGCCATGCTGGCTCAGAGCAGTGACCCCTTCTGTGATACTGTGCCAGGGCTCAGTAGATGATAGGATGAGCGATCAGACTTCTTCGGCACAGAAGCGCACAGAGCTACGACGCTCCCTCGTCGACCTGACTGACAGAGGCCTGACAGCTGCAGCAAAATGGGCTGGCGAGCAGCTGGCAGGTGACCATTAGTCCTCTGAAGTAGTGTGGTTCACAAGCTGGTGGACTTTATCAATTCTTAATCGAAACAGAGTATCCTCATATTAACGACCTGCCTTTACATGCCCGATATGTTGTGTCCTGGCCTGTGAGGAAGGAGCAGGGTGAAGAAGAGCAGGCGTGAGCGGCATTAATGGCCTCTTATTGAGAAACAATTCCACTGGCAGCACAGCAGAATGTTCAAACTGGTGCTGCTCTTCAGCATTCCATTTTGTGGGTATGGCAGGTCTGCCAGAGCCAGATGGGAAGCACCCGCCTGCACGCAGCGCCAGGCAGAGCCGAGCAGGCTCCAGCGGAGCAGCATCACACCATGCAGATGGAGATGACGATGCCTACCACTTCGCCAAGTCACTCTTCGACATGAAGGTGAACATGCTGCGCTGTGCAGTCCTTCTCAAGGAGCTGCTACTTATGGCCCACAGCTTCTCAAGGCCCTACTTTCCGGTCAAGCTCAGCCTTGTTTGCAGAGCTGGATGCTCACAGATACAGTGCATGAAGAAAGGAGGCGACCACCCTCATTGTATCAGCTCTTTGTAAAAAGAACCGGGCTAAGTGACCACATGGCAGGAGCACAGCTGAAAGAGAGCATGCTTGCGTTTCAGCGGCCAGATTGTATCTGATTTGAGGTGAAATAGTCACCATCTGAACGCAGTGAGAAATGGCTGCAGGAGTATAGAAGGGCTGCGCACGTGCTAAAGGGGGCGAGCGGGCCGAGGGCGGTCTTTCTGAGGGGCTACTCCACCTATTTGGCAGGGGAGAAGCGCAAGGAAGAAGAGCGGATCGAGTCTGCCGGGCTGCTCGGCAAGGAAGGCGCAGCTAATAAGGTGCATTGAGGGACTGACTCCTTCAAACAGTTGGACTATGCTGCATATACAGTAATCATGGAGGCACCGGAACCTGAAATGTCCCTCACAGTACATGCATGCTGCACTGCAAGGAGTGCAGCGAGTCTTCACGTGCCTGTCAACTTGATGGCGGGGCACGCCCTAGTGGAGAGGAACAGAAGCTTTACGCGCACAATCCTGTTACTGGAGGGATGTACTGGGTGCGGCATCAGTGAAGAAGCTGCCCTGGCTAGAATTTGCGGTGGGTGCTTTTGAAAATACTGCTGCGGATTGATCCAGGAGCTAGAGTTGCTGGAGAGCGAGCTGCAGGCTGCCACCCGGGACCCTCAGACCGCCGACCCCTTCCTGCTCTACCTGTACGGCCTCGTGCTCAGCGACAGGTGATCTCACTCCTTCAAAGTTCTCCAAACACTCGCTGCAATCGGAAAAGACCCCATGGACTTTGCACGAGGCACAGCGCAGCAAAGCGCACCCCTGGTAATGGTATAGGACATCAGCAGCACACCCACATCCTGCATCTCATTATCGCAATGCCACAGCAGGGGTGCTTCTGGGGAGAGGACTAACCAATATGTAGACGGATGACTGCAATAGGATGAATAAAAGTTGCAAAGGATGGGAGTTGTAAGATCCTAGCATAAGCACGCCTGTACATAGGCTGGGAGCTCAAGGTTCCCAATTTATGCCAAAGAAGGGATACTAATTCAATAAGCCATGAGTGAAGTGCCCTAGAAAGCCATGCCACATGATTCAAATTAAACACCCTCTGCACTCCTGCAGGGAGCGGCGGGCCGAGGCTCGGGAGGCGCTGCTGCGAAGCGTGCACGGCTATCCATGCAACTGGTCGGCCTGGCAAGCGCTGGCGGCTGCGGCCGCGCCGGGGCAGGAGCTCGCACCGGACGCGGATGCATCGATGCCGCGGCACTGGACTCGCGAATTTCACCTCGTCCACATCTGCCTCGAGACCCAGGAGAACGATGAAGCCCTCGGCCGCCTGCAGGCGCGTGCCGGAACTCAATTTCTGTCAAAGTTCCGATGGTTGCATGCATGGATATCACATAGACGCCTGAAAAGTCCAGAAGGGCTTGTAAGGCCCTGGTCAGCCGGCAGAAGTGCATCAAAAGTTTCCAAGCCAAAGTCTGAACCTCAACTTGCATACATTCAGCTTGCATATGCGCACGCGAAACTATTGATGATGCCCTCAGCAGCAGGTTGCCTTCCTCGTCCAGGCTTTAAGCAATTGGCAAGAGGATGTGCAGCACGGCTCTTTTATTCATATGCAATTGATTGACACTTCAAAGGAACAAAAAATCTCTAACCACCCATCGGATAATCCCTGACTGTGCTGTGCATGCGCATGCGGTGCAGAGCCTGGCGGCGCAATTCCCCGGCAGCGAGTGGGTGACTAATGCCACTGCGACGGCGCAGTACAACCTGCGCAACTTTGACGAGGCCCAGGAGCTGTTCGAAGACCTGCTCGAGCGCGACCCCCACCGCATCGAGGTGTGCGCTGCCCTCTGTTTTGAGTTTGACTTTCACTATTATCGAGTTTGTACTGAGTTGCACAGTCTCAGGAGCACACTGCCAGCCTGCAGGCTTTGCTGGATGCTGCGCATGGCTGTGCTGAGGAGTGCGCCTGTATCAAGTGTCAACCACTTGTCTGGTGACCTAATGGGAGCCACTTCATGCTTTTTGATACATTTACAAGAGCAGTTGAGATGGTCACTTAAGGCCGTATGAGGAAAGCCTTACTTGACCATCTCAACTGCTCTTGTAAATGTATCAGTGCCTTTGCATGTGCAGAGCTGTGTCTAGGTAAGTACAAGGCTGTGACTCAGGATGCCATGCCCATGTTCTTCAAGGGTAAAGGGCAAGATCTACTGCTCAAAGTTCCATGCAGAAGAGAGTGTCGCGCAGATGCGCTTGAAAGGGGTTTAGGGAGTTCACGATTTGTACACACCATATCTGCTGCGCTGCATGTAGTTTCATTCGAGCCTTCTCAGCTTCTGAGCACCATTTTATGCATGTTGCCAGGGCATGGACGTTTACAGCAATATACTGTACGTGAAAGAGGCCTTTGCAGCGCTGAGTCACCTGGCGCACAGGGTCTCCATGGCCGACAAGTACCGCCCCGAGAGCTGCTGCATCGTCGGCAACTACTACTCCCTCAAGGGACAGCACGAAAAGGTGTGTCTTTTCCCTCTCTCTTCTCTCTTCTGTGCTTCTATCTTTCAGAGGCTCATGCCCTCTTACTGCAGATTAAAACGCGCCCAGGCACCGGGGTGAAGGCGTGTTTTCGCCACCATGTGGCCGTTTTCAACTGTGCATGCTTCCCAAGTCATTTTCTATCACGATTGAGATCCCTGATACACCTGACATACCAACGTAGGTCTGAAGGGCTTGGATTACCGTGTTACTTTGCTGCTACTGCACTTACCACGTGTTATACGTGGCCACAAAGCATCCTGTCCCTAAAAAACCCTTAGAAAAGCCCTAAAACCCCTAAAATATATTTAAAAAAAATAGGTCAAATATTATTTTTGTGCGAGTGAAGGCGGTGCAGTACTTTCGGCGTGCGCTGAAGCTGAACCGGAACTACCTGTCCGCCTGGACGCTCATGGGTCACGAGTACGTGGAAATGAAAAACCCGCCCGCCGCCATAGGTACCTCATCTCCCCTGTCGATTTTCTTCAAGCTTTCCCCGGTGTCTGGACCCCTCTGCAAACCTGCTCCGTACACAGGCAGTGGATCAATGGCTCAATGGTGAATCTATGGTTCAAAAAGGAACTGCCCGTGCAGCATTGGCAGATTGTGGTCTCAAGCACCAGCACTGAGTTCAGAGGCCATGCCCATAAATCCTGCGGTCAGCAGTCTTGTGCGCACTTGCAACTCTTCTTCAGAGGGCCACAGACTCCCAGCAAGTGCTACCCACCTGCCAAAGTGTGCCTCGTGTGAAATCACACATCTTTGAACCACAACGTGTGCGGGTGTCTGCAGAGGCGTACAGGCGGGCAGTGGATTTAAATCCTCGGGACTACCGTGCATGGTACGGGCTGGGGCAGACGTACGAGCTGCTGCACATGCCATTCTACGCACTCAACTACTTCCGCCGAGCCACCCAGGTGCGCTGTGCTGTAGGGCCCTGCTGTGCCTATTATTATTATTACACGCTTTTCCTGCCAGAAGCAAGGTGCGTCTGCAGACAAGCTGCAGTAAAGGCTGCCAAAATCCTACCCCTGGATGGACTCGCCAGATCCAAGCAAGACCCAATCAACCGTGGGCACGGTGCTCAGTATTTATACCAACCCCCGCCAGCCGGGGCTCAGGGGTATACAAGGAGAAAAGCACCTCACTCATGTCCCCCTGTTCAGTCCGCGGTGGGACAACGAAGAGAAGGGACCGTCCTTAATCCCCTGCTGTGCTGTGGAATTCAAACAATTGCTCTGCGAATAAAGCAGCCTCCTGAGCGGATATCGAAATTTGACTACTCGAACATAATGTAGCTGCCCCATGCATGCCACTGTAAAGGCTGTCCTCTGCTTTTCCTGTGCGCCGCCCCCTGGTGAACATGCTTTGAGCTTGGATTTCTTCACATTTGTCCTGCGGGGCATGGCTTTGTCTCAATGCTCCCACAGATTTCAATGACCAGAGGCTTGCTGATGCCAGGCCTCTGAGCACAAGCTGTTTCAGTGGAAGTCTCAGTGGAGGTCTTTATCATCACTCTTACCGGCTGAGAGGCTGACGCACCTAACCTCTGGCAGGAAGAGCATGTGATGGTCATGCTTGCACCTGACGAAGCTCTGGTGCACCTGCAATTTTCCTGTATTAATTTTAGCCGTCAACACAAAGAGGTGAGGCTGACGGGGCTCGTCTGTGCCTGCAGCTGCGCCCTCACGATGCCCGGATGTGGATAGCGATGGGGCAGTGCTACGAGCACGAGCAGCTCAGCATGGCACCCGCCGCAATCCGCTGCTACCACCGCGCCCACGACTCCGGAGACCGCGAAGGTCTTTCTTTGGCCCCTCCTATAATCCCCCTGGCGCTGGGGTAGATATAGTACTCCCTGGCTGGGGTCACACGAGGGTTGTTCGCATGATTGTGCTTGCTGTATGGGACCACCGAAGTCACGACCCCGGCGACCGCAAAGGTTGTTCATCTGCACCCTCCTAAAGTACCATAATTCCCTTGCGGCCGGTGTCACACGAGGGGTTTTGTGTGAGTGTGCTTGTGTGCAGTGCTCTTCAGTACCACCGGTGTCACGACTCCGGCAACGCAAAGGTTGTGCACCCACCTGAGTGAAACACTACAGCTTCCAATAGCAAGGCCAACACCATCTGCAGCCAGTGGGTTGGTGCCAGCACGATCGCCCAGATTTCCTATGCATGTCAATGCGATTGGCGAGTCAGGGACAGGCAATGCAGGGCTGATCTGAGAAGCAAGGCAGACCTGCAGTTTAAAGTTTCTACTTGTGTGCTGCTGAGCACAGGAAAAGCGCTGCACAAGCTGGCGCACTGCTACCTGAGATATTAGGAAGTACAGCATAGATACCCCTGATATGACCGGGGAGATGGGTGTAGCTGAGTGTATGTGTTTCGGCTCTGCCGTGCACAGGCATTTCTTCGCAGGGCCTTGTTGCCGCATACGTCCCAATAGGCAGCTTGAAGATCCCACCAAACTCAGAGTCCTCCTCATGACTTTGTGGCCCCTGCTGCGCATATTCATAGCGCTGACCTCGGTGCAGTTGAGGATGCACATATTTGACCAGGGTTTTGTTGTCTAAAACCCTTTCTCACCCTGTGCATGGGGTTATAATGCCCGCAGGCATAGCGCTGCACAAGTTGGCGCGGTGCTACGAGCGGGGCAAGGACCTGGACGCGGCTGCTCGGTGCTACGAGGCGAATCTGGCGCGTATTGACGCTGAGCAGCTGCAGGGACAGGACGCGCCCGACGCCCTCCTCTTCCTCGCAACCTACAAAAAGGTGAGCTCTCTGAAGGGGTGTAAAATTAGTTTTTTGGGGGAGTTCAAGGGTTGCATGAGCAGGGACTGTCAGCTGGGAGCCACCTACAGATAGGCGGCTGCGCACACAGTCTCCAGGGGCTCTTGCAATATCTTGGGGGTTTGTAGGAATAAGTAAGTTAAAAGTAAGTGCGGCCGCAAGTGAGAGCCACCTGCAAGAAAAGGTGCAATTGCGCTTGATATAGTACTTCTAGTGTGTGATCTCCAGGGGGTTCGACATGAGAATGGTGACTTGTATGGTTACAGCATTTGGGCCTGTCAAATAGGATGGGTGCCATTGCCAAATTGGGCGCTTTTGACGGCAGTTGGTGAGGCCCAGACCATAGACATTGTCCAAGAATTGTGACATGACTTGAAGCGAGCAACTGCTGCTTGTGTGGATTTCGCAACATCTTTTCTTATGGTGCATTTTAAGATCAACCTGGGTCTGAAAGCCTCCAAAAGCTATTTTGCCAAGGCCGCTGGTGGGGAATTTTTTGCTGTAACGGCCTAAATTTGTCTGTGGCTGCAGAACGCTGGGGAGCTGGCGGCGGCTGAGGGGTTGTGCCTGCGGCTGCTGGACTTTGGAGCCGCCTCCAAGGAGAGGGCCAAGGCGCTGCTCAGAGAAATCCGCTCCATGCAGGTGTGCCCGTCTGGCACCCCTTATCTGTCATTGATCACCTTACTTGCTGTGTCTACCAAAAATGGTGTGTCTGCAGACACCAGCTGCACGTAGTAGGCTGCCGCGATCATATCATTTTGGCCTTGCCTGGCAAGACTCAATCAACTAGTGGGGCGGTGCTAAGCAGTTGTAGTGGGCCCCAGCCACTCACCCCTACCTCTAGTTATTTCAAGAAGTATTTGGACCTGCATGCCTCTTTACTGCCGCCATAAGGTGCCGCCTTTGTCTAGTTGTGTCTGAAAGATCTCGCAAAGGGACCTGAGAGAAGATTTTGCCAATGTGCGCAGCCCTGCACACACGACATGCAGCGGTGACTCACAGGAGCATATTTTTGCTGTCTGCTCGATGCTGTTTGACAAGTCTTTCGGTAAAGACTGCGACTCTGTTGTTGTTGTTTTTTTGTGATGCAGCCTGATGGCTCGCATATTATGAGAGCATGCTTCTTCCATCCTGACTGTGTATACATGGGAGTCATGCTGTGTGGGTGGACCAGGGTGACCTCTAAATGGGCAGACCTGTTGCCTGACGTCCAAAGCATGAATATACGTGAAGACTGTCCTGGCTCATTCTATGGGGCACTTGGCATCTTAAATGAACATATTTCGGATTATGGGCAGAAATGCAACCTGCGCAAGTGCATGCTGAGTAAAAAGAAGTCTACCGGGTGTGGAGAAGGGCACCTGTGGTGCGGCTCTTCTTGAGGCGCTCACTGCCGGCAAGGTCGGCGAGGAAGAGCTTGCCTGCCAGCGCGGCGGTCAGCATCAACCTGTGGCTGACCACTCTAAGGATGTGAATCAATGCGCGCGCAGGGCAAAAGAAAAAGACCCCTTTGCGGGGCCTTAACACAAGCAGACAGAGACTGCACTTGCTGCCGCAAGCGTTTGCTGCTGCCTGCGTCTGGCCATGCATCAATTCATGTCATACGAGGCGGATTATTCTTAAGTTGGCTGTCTGTTGGGTCAGAGAGATTTGGTTACTTTTGGTCAAGTCTGCAGCAAGCAATCCCCATCCTGCAGCAGGCATCTCCTGCTACCTTTGCCTGGCCGCAACCACAGCTCCTATCACACAAGGCGATTTTGAGATTTGTTTCCTGTCCTGATGTCAGCAGCAGGTGGCGGGGAGCGCGTCTGCAATGGCGTTGGCGGCTGCCAGCCTGGCGGACGACGATGACATGGCGCAGTGGGACCCTGCCGAAGATATGGCGATGACCCCCGGATCCATGGGAGGCGCGCCGCACGAAGGCTCGCTCACCCTTGACACCGCCTTCGACATATCTCCCCAGTACTAGGGGGATTGTAGCCTCCTCCAGGGGTTTGTCCCATGCATTGTAGCGACACGATTCCCTAGGTGGGGGAAGTAGGGAGTTGTGTGGTTCTTGTAATGACCCTCGCTCAACCTGGACATTGCGTCAATGTAATGGACTAGTTCCAGTTGCAATATAGACCCTTCCAAAATTTGCTAGTGTTGGGTCGATTGTCCTGGGACTTGTTTGGTTCAAAGCTAGGTGTGCCGCCATGAACAAAATAGCTGGCTCGTGTTCTTACGGCCAGCCAACAATAAATCACTTCTAGAATGGTGATGCAAGGTATTCCAGCTGTTAGTATCTGCAAATATGGTATTCTCTTACAGAGCTCTATGCTCATGTTTGGCTAGACATACTGCAATGTACAAGAGTGGCTCCAAAGTCATGTTGGTGACGCAGCATTTTACAGGACAGCTTTTGTAATCCTGTGTAATCTGTCATATCACAGCTTAGCAAAGCCCTGGTTCACGGTGGCAAAGAATTGTGTGCTGTTGATACAGTTGAATTGATTGGACTTGGAAATTATTGTGGGCAATGAGGTCAGAGGAGTCAGAACTAGAAGGGCCGCAGTAGCGTGAAGGTGCATTTGTGGCACTTGCAGCAATTGCCTACTCGGTGACCACGGCAATGATACGTTGGATGACTACATTTAGGTTGTTGATTGGTCTTTACTGAAGTTCTATGGCCAAATCTGTCTTGAATAGGTGCGCTTAAAACACCCAAGACTCACAATCCCAGAATCGATATGACTATACTTAGTGTGAATACATTACAATTGATGCCTGACAGTGCAAATACGTTCCTATATGACATTGCATGTGATGTCGTTCAATCTGTCTGCTTCAGGCTCTCCAGCTGCAGCAACATTCCATCCAGCTCTTGCCGCATGTGCAATACTTGCATCTTTTCTGCTGCCATCTGCTCCTTGTGGGCTTCCTCTGCATTGTGATGCCGATAAATACTGCATCAGTCTGACAAGCTTCCAGAAGCAAGAACAGGATCATCAGTCAAGGGATGACATACGCGTGGTTGCCTGAATCTACATGCAAGGGCAAACGTAACGCATTCTGAGTTTTACAGGAGGTTTCAGACAGGGGGTCCCCGGCCAAATTGGAGCAGGTGTGTTGGAAATCTTACGTGCTGCCTTCACAGCCTCGGCTTTGCGCGTCTCCTCGCCGGCTCGGTAGGCCTGGATCCTCTGCTGGAGGGCGTCAAACTGCACAGCCAGGCATAAGGCTTCAGCCACGCTCTGATGAGGCACTTGACATGTTCTCTCTATCTATCCATCACACTCATGCCACTCTACGAAATCCTTCTAAGGCTCTGTATCACAAGTTAGCAGCAACAGCGTCATGCTACGCTCTCGTGTGGGGTGCGATGAACATCGCTGGAAAGGTGAGGACAGTATGAAACCAGCATTGCCCTTTGCATGAGTCTCTATGCGTCCTCAAGATTCCATGGAGACTTTCAAAGCCAAAGATGGGTTGCTGGCGTGTCCCCTGAAGTACATGCCAGCCAGGGACTTCAGAGGGATGCACAAATATGAGGCGGGGCTTGCTGGCCTCCAACATTCATATATATGGTAGGATCTCTGGAGGTTATCCTCAAGTTACTTGAAACGTCATGGCAACTGGCGGTTGTGAGAATCCCACCTATGCAGCCTTGGGGTCCGGGGAACGAAATTCGATGACAACAAGATGCCTGATGATGACACTAAGGAGATGGCGCCGAGATTCATTGCATTCCAGGGGAAAACAAGAGGAAAGCACACCTCTGCAGCCTTGGGGGTCCATGGAACGCCCCTGCGCGCGGCGCGCAGCTCCTCCTGCAGCCGAGCGCTCTCGCTGAGCTGGCGCGCCACCTCAGCCTCTGCCGCCGCCACCCGCTCTGACCATGCCTGACTTTCTGCGGCGGCTGCTTGCTGGGCCGCCTGTGCCCTCACAGCCTCCAGCTGCATCTGCAACGCATGCAATGTACCCATGTCAGGAAAGCATTTTTCTAGACAGACAGGCTGTCTGCTGCCAACACTGCGCAGCAGAGGAAATGCAATCTTCCATGCAGCTGCCCAATCCATGAGGCTAAAGACCTGCAAATTTGGACAGTAGAGATACACCAAAGGGACATCACAGTTGCATTGTAATGCCAGCACCTGTGTGTTGCATAGAGCAGCAGCAAATTTGTTTGAACTGAAGCACGAAGAGATTCACAGCCATGTTGCAAAGGCAGGGCAGGAAATAACAAGATTAACAAAACAGCAGGTCCTTCTTTCTTAGGTGTACACATCTGCCGTGAGACCTTTGCAGGTGCTCTTAATGTGGGCCCTACTTTGATTATTTAGCCTGCCATCATCGGTTAAATGATCACAGACCTGGTGTTGGGCTGCGGCTGCAGCTGCGCGGTGCTCGATGGCGCTGTCGCGGTCGTGCAGCAGCAGCCGGTGCGCCAATTCAGCGGCCGCCACACGCTGACTCCCCGCCGCCACCTCAGCCGCCAGCCTGTCGCGCTCCGCGGCAGCTTCCTGGAGCTCCTGCGTGAGTCAGCACTGGGCATCAGCAAGGCGCACATGCATCACCTGAGGCTTACACCTTTTTATGTCCAAAGTCCAAGGTGGACGCCCTTCCAGTCCGCATCATTCCTGAACTTAGTAAGACTGCCTGCCTCCCATAAAACAAATGGCATAAAAATTGAAAAGGTAACGCAGATGGCGTGCTTGTGGCATGCAGAGAATTCTTCTGCATCGGCCGGCTGAAAACCAGTTCATGGCATAAACGGCTTGTTGGACTCTATTTCGTATGCTTGTCTTTGTTGAGGAAAGAAAGTCAGGGACGGTGGGGAAACCACCTGGCGCGTGGCTGCCACCTGAGCCTCCAGGTCGCCGCACTTGAAGGTGAGCTGTGCCAGTTCATAGCCGGCCCCCTTTGTCACCTCCTCCTGCACCCTGATCTGCTCCTCCAGCTGCACATGACACAGGGTCCCTCTCTTGAAACTAGCTTTCTTGGACCAGTTCAGATATCCCAGATTTGTGCAAGGCAGAGACTTGACGGTGGTACACTTGACTGCCAGATCGGTGTTCTGCTTACACCGGAGATTGGCACCTCCTAAAAGAGGCAATGGAAGTGGCCAACACGTTTTTCTGGTCATCAGATCCACGGCCCCGTATTTCTTTAGTACTTTACCATTGACGGCGGCCTCGTTCATGGAAGACCGTGAAGTACAAATCCTAATGAATAACTTGGCTGGTGGAAGTATTGGTGATGCATGTCGGGCACCTGCTCGATGCGCGCCTTTCTCGCGGCCAGGTCAGCTTTCAGGCGGGCGATGGATTCCTTCAGCCGCTGCGGCTGCTGCGCTGCGCTGGTCTTGGGAGGCAGGCGCGCGGTAGCTGTGCGCGTGGGAGCCTCCTGCAGCTGCTGCCTGGCTACCTGCCAGAATGCGTGGAATCCTCGTCAGGTGGCATGACTTCAGCAGAGCATGCTACTATTTCATCATATCATGTTGGGACAAAGGCCTCGTCGGCAGCCACCTTGCAACAGGAGTGCAGCTCAGCATACTGCTTTTTGACCCCCCTGGCTTGCTCCTTCCCTTTGCCTGCTCGGTCTTGAGGATTGAGCCACAAAGGTATGCTTACAGGCAAAACCATATCTGTCTGACACCCTATGCATGTCTCTTGAGGCAAGTGCGCTGTCCCACATTCCTTCCTGAGGTTTAATTGCACCAGAGAGCAATGAAGAAATGCTGTAGCTGGAAGAAAGCAGAGCGCAAAAGCCACGAAGAAGGAAGAAAGGAGAGTCGCAACCTTGAGCTCTTTCTTGAGGATGCTCTCGCGGCGCGCAGAGGCAAGGCGAGCATCCTGCAGCTGCCCTTCCAGTTCCTTCACCCTCGGCAGCGCCCCTGCTCCCTTGTTCTCCTTCTGGGCAGTAGACGCGCTGCGCTTCACATGTTGTTGTCAAGGGCGCATCAAAACTGTTTTTGTCACCCTTTACTTGCAGCTTGTCTGCAGATGCACTTGACCCCTTTTGGCAGGAACAGTGAATAATAATGTTGGCGGACGCACCCTTTGAATCTCCAGGTATAACGTGTAGGAACTTGAAGTTCCTAAATATCTGGGAATCAAGCATGTCCATCAAGATTTTGGATTAGGGTGTACATGCACATTTACGCACGCCATACTTACCCACGCCGTCCCTATGCTGTGTTCTCAGCACTTCCTCCGTCAGTGTACTGCTATACGTTACATGGCTGACATGGTTGGCCTGTAAAAGCTTTGTGGGCAAGCTTTGAGAGGAGTGTGAGCGATTTCTGATATGGCGGAGCAGTCACCTGAGACGCCTGGAGGCTTCCTTCTGCTTGCGTGCCTCTTCTGCGCGGCTGTACTCCTCTATGGCAGCCTCCTTGCGAGCCAGGTCCCTCTGCATGCCAGACATCTCGCACACTTTGGAACATATCATGCAAGCAGAGTGAGACAGTGCATGCGTATTCTGTGAATTGAGGAGAGCTGAGACGATTCAGAAGTTGACTGTGTGATGTCATGATATCTCCCATGCATGGATGCTCTGTAATAGTTTGGCTGGTCATCTCATGCAACTGCACAGAAAAAATATTGCATTGTGCACAATGAAAGCTGATGGAGGATATTAAAATGGTGGCTTACCTGCATCTCAGCCAATGTGGTCTGCAGCTCTGAGGTGCGCGCCTGTGCGGCTGCAGCTTTGGCCTCTGAGTCCTCAAGGCAGGCCTGCAGCGTGCTGACCTGATCCACTTTCATGCTTAGCACCTCCAGATCTGCGCCTTCATCTGTGACTGCACCACACATAAAATTGCTCAGGAAAGCTTGCCATTGAAAATTTAAAATATTGGAAGAGGCAGACAGAGCAGTAGCAGGGTCCATGCACAACCAGCAATACCATGCATACCTGACCTAATGACATGCCATTACCCCTGCTGTCATGACAGCAACGATATCAGCATTTGTGAGATATCTAATA